TAATATTAAAAAGATAGCGATTTATAAGTAATTTAAAATAAATCTATAATAGAAATTATAAAATCCTAAGAAGACTTAGATTCTATAATATAAATCCAGTTTTTCCTAAGATAGAATTATGTTAACTTATTTTTAATCTATTTTTATACTATATTTATTAATAATAAATCCTAAGAATTCTAACTTATATTAGTAAAAGCTATATTTTAATAGTTTTATATATAGATTATATTCTTAAAGACATTAAAATACTTAGTATAGTACTATAATATAGTTTTTATAGTTATTACTAAAAATTAAGATATTATCTAGATAATAGATGTAGATTATATTAAAAAGGTTTTAAAAAGTATTATATATATAGCTCTAGAATATTACAGATATATTCGTTAATCTAAAAGGTATAATAAAATATTTAAAATATCTATATTTAGTTTAAAATACTATTTTCTATTTATCACCTTTTTAAATACGAATTTTATAATATATATTTTTTAAATTAATTTTACTAAAGTACTTTAATTCTAATAGTTAATTTAAGATTTCTAAAATAAAGAGTAAAGGATAGTGGTTTTTGACTAAAACCTTATTTAATCCTTAGTAGTTAACGTATAATCTTAATATTCCATCTTTCTTCAGAATAAAGATAATAGATATCTCTGCTAAATTTTTTAATAGTTGAATTAGCTCTTTATTTATACTATTAACTAAGTATATCTATAATTCTTTAAGTTTATTATAGAATAAAAGATATATTAGTCTATAGGGAGTTTTTATTTTTTCTTCTAGGTTAATTATATAATTTATCACTCAGTTCAGAGGTAGTTTCTTTACCTTTTTATAATTAAATATATTTTAAAACTCTAATAATTCTATTAATAATTCTATATCCCATTTTAAAATAGAATTCTTATCAGACCGATAGCTAAATCTTTTTTAGAATTTTTAGCAAAATATAGATTATAGCTTAGTTTTTATATTTCTTTATAAATCTCTAAATATTATATAACTTAAATTATTTTATACTAAATTACTATTCATTAATTATTAGGTAAAGTATGATATTATATTTGTTTAAGATTATTTAGAATAATAAGATTAGACTTCTTTCGATCTATAAATTACGATCAATTTCTATATAGATATATTTAAAGGTTTTAGTTATGCTTTAGGTATCTATAATAATTATAGGAATCTAAAAAACTCTATAGGATTCTAATCTTTAAGAAAATATATCTTTTAGAAAAGGAATAGAATAAAAAGTAATAGCAAAATTTATTTTTTTAGTGAAATCTTTATTTATAATATTAATCTCTATATAAATATCTAAATCTATATATATTTTAATTCTATTATATAAAATTAGGATATATAGATAAATTATTATACTAATAATAGGATAATAAAATAAAATAATATTAACTTCTACTTTATCTCTAGTCTTTTTTTTAAATTAAAAATAGTAGTTTTCTAAACCTTTATAAATTTTTTATATAACATCTAATAATCCTTTTACTAATAATTTAATTTATTATAATAGAAATAAGCATTTTTCATCGGTGTTTTACTATCGATTCATTTAGGTTTCCCTTTTTTATTTTAGTTAGATTTCTTATTTAGATAGTTTTTATCTGATTTTAGAGAATTCTCCTTTCTTTTCATATAAGATTTTCTACCGAATCGTCTATTAAACTACTTCTTTATAGACTTTATTTTAGTTAAATTAGCTACTCTATCAGAATTATTCTTACTACTATTACTTAATTCTTATTTTGTTACAGTCTTAGTTTGATTAAGTTTAATTTATTATACTTTTTAGCCTTCTTTAGTTTTGCGGAAATAGTATTTATAAACAATATTAGTAATCTTTATAATCTTATTCTTTCCTATTAGTATATCATAATATAATTTAATAATCTTATTCTTAAATAGTTCTTATAACTAATCTTAAAGATTAAGTCCTTAATCCTTATTAGACTATCATTCTAAATATCATTTAATCTCTATTAGTTTAGCTTTAAAAGCTATAGGGTCTTCGTAAGACTTTCATTATATATTAGAAAATTTTTGGTGTATTTAAATTATAATATTATATATATTATTAAAGAGTATTACTATCTATTCTCTAAAATAACTCTACTTTCTCGATTTATTAAGATTATCTTTAATATTATTTTTCTTAATCCTCTATTTATCTTAGTAGACTATATATAGATAGTCTATATTTTTAAAGATTTTTTTATAGTTGTCAGAGTAGGTTACTAATCCTCTTTAAAACCTAGTTTCTAAATTATTAAGCTATCTTTCCTAATTCTAGATATTGAAATCTTATTAAAAAGTCTCGATCTTCCGTTTAATATTATTCTTTTAGTAAAATAATTTTAATTCTTTAATATCCTATCTAAGAAGTTTTTATACTATATTTTTAGTCTATAGTTTAAAAATCTTCTTCTTTAGATATTTATTTTTTCTCTTAAGATTTATAATAATTCCTATTCTCATAAAATCCTTAAAATCTCTATTTAATATACTCAAATCTTACTCTTTAGAGCTTAAATTATTACTTTAGTCTTTTAAAGCTAGACCTTTTACTTTTTACTAATAATTCTCTATCAAACCCTTAGTTATAGAGATTAAGTTCTCTATTTAAGCTAGAAAATTAGAGCTTTCCACTAGAAGATCTATTATACCCGATAGCCTAGTAAATAGTTATTATACTAAGTTATCTATAAGTATATCCTCTCTATTATTATATTCTAAAAATTACTTCTAGATATCAGATTTAAACCCTAGTTCTTATTAGGCTTAAGTATTAGATCTCTTATCTAGATCTCGCTATTTTCTTTAGACCCTCATAAAGTAGCTATTTATTGGAAATTCTTCCTTTTTAATTTCTTAGAGAGTTAAAAAAGAAAAATTAGAAATTATAAGAGATATATAGATTTAGATATATAGTCTATTAATCTAGTAAGATATTAAATAGGGATAGTTCTGGTTTACTATAGAATCACTAACTAATCGATATTGGTTTTAGAGTTGGTAATCTTATAGATTATTTTAAAACTGATTTTTATAGAAGTGAGAAAGTCCTAGGGGACTTTCCCATCTTATAGCATTTCTATAAGATAACCGGATAATGACCTATTAACTAATCTATATCTTTATATATACGACTTATAATATAGTAATATCGCATAACCTCTACCTTTATTTCTATAGAGGATAGAATCTTCTAGGACCTCCTATATTGTATCTATATCCTTAGTTCAAACCTCCTGCTTCTGCGGAGTTAGGGATTTATATGCGAATCGTTGGCGTATCGCCAACGCTTCGTTCTAATATTGTATGAAGTCAGGACTTCTTACACTCTCTCCTTCCTTCTCCTTTCCCTATATTTAGTATTTTCAGCGAATACACTTCTTAATCTCAGGAATTTAGTAGATATTATATAAGGCTTCTAATCTATCTCTTTACTATCTATCTTATCACTTACTATTAGTTATATAATCTATATTATATGACTATAAATATATGACTCTAATATATGACTCTAATATATGATCTATTATATAACTATATAATATATGACTTATCTAGTATGTGATAAATAATAGAACTAGAAGATACCTTATAAAATATAGTAACACTATAATATTAGATAGAAATTATAGCCCTATATCAAGGTGACGATAGAGTTTTAGATAGAGATACACTCTAATAGAACAAAGAGGGGGGGGGGGGGTAATGTTATAGATTTGTACAAACGAACTCTTTAGAGTTGTACTTAGCTTCGCCTACGCATTCTGTCGGCTGCCACTGGCCGCACAGATTCTGTATTTATTTTGCACCTTGATAGCTAGCTTACTGTTCTTTATCAAAACCTGCTTGTTCATAGCACACCTGCATCCTTTTGGGGACAGAACCCTAACATTAGATAATACTATCTACTAGAAGTCGTAGGTTCGAAATCAGGATTGGTCTGGAAATTAATTCCGTTCCGGTCCGGAGGAACTGTAATCCTATAGTAGTACTACTATGGTAAAGTTAGTCCCCTAGTCTAGCCCTTAAAGCCTAAGACCTAAGTTCCTAGACCTTTAGGTCCCTAAGTCTCGGCCTAGGCCTGGAAGCTAGGGGCCTGCTGGGAGCCCGGAAGCCCGGGGGCAGGGGGTCCCCCCCGGGGGGGGGGGCTGGAAGGCATAGTACGGATCAGTATAGTAACTAAAATTGGGTAAATTTGTATTTTACCATTTTCCGTAATTTTTCGCATGGTCAATATGCACCCAATATATAGGCAATATATATTTTTGCTCAATATGTATTGAAATAACAATGGTTACCTGTGTCTTGTTTTTCAGGAACGTATTGGCCTGCAATATGATCATATTACAGTCACCTGACCATAGTTGAAAACACCGAGACTCCCGCATGGTAGGTGAGCTGATTAGTCACAATTATGAGGTCGGAATCCATTGTACCCAGACCCCCACACCCTATCTGGGCAGACAACCTTGGAACCTTTGAACTCATGGACCCGTGGACATCCCGGGTGATTACATTTACGTACCCAACTACCTTCCATATCGACCTCATCATGGCCAGCCCAAGCACCCATTTCGACATCTCGCAGGTAAGCCCTCTTATATTTATGGTTTTTGCAATACCCGAAGGATGATCACTGCCCCTCGCCAAGTCTGCTCGGCTTTCTCGTCTTTCATATCCCATCTTCCAACCATCGTAGTCGCTAATCACTGGTCGCGCATATGTATAGGCACTCGCAGATATCGCAAGGTATATGATCGCGCCATAGCCATCACACCATTCGCAATCTGACAGTTACTTTACAGGGGTGAGATGACTGCGTCGGCCCTCGAGGATAGTCTGAATGCAATTGAAGGGAGAGTCGACGAACTCTTAGCGGCATTTGATGAAGAGGACGCCTCTACATCCAACAACGCTGTTACCCTAGAGTGCACCCAGCGCCATTCCGGAAATGCTTCAAATCAGACAGACGGAGCGTCAAATAGTCCATCCAAGTGATACTGCCCCTCGGCACCTTTCTCTACCACACCAACCTCTGTCACAATTCCATCAATCAGAGCCGAGGGAGTTATGTCGAATGCCGGGTTCCAGACACTGATTCCCGGTGCCGCAATCTGTACGCTCTCAATGGACGCACCGTCGATGCTCTCAGCATCGCTTCGAGGTCCTTTGATGCTGGTTACCTCGGATGCTGGCCTTTGCTCAATGACAATCTCGCGCCCTGATTTCGTGGCCAGGTCAATGGTAGTACGCGGCGCGGCCACTAGAAACTTGACACCATGGTGCTTGGCCAAGACAGCCAACGCATACGTGCCAATCTTGTTTGCCGTATCCCCATTAGCTGCCACCCTATCAGCACCCACAATAATCGCACCCACTCCCGCCTCGGCACTCGCAAGTAACGCGGCTGCCATGGAATCTGTGATGAGAGTAGCTGGGATTCCGTCGTGAACCAACTCAAAGGCCGTCAGGCGAGACCCTTGGTTGTAAGGCCTTGTTTCCGTGCAATAGGCATGTTGTAGAGTGTTGTTTGCGGCCAGCGAACGGACCACACCCAATGCAGTACCGTATCCCGACGTGGCCAAGGATCTACCGATGCAGATATTAGTTCGACACGAGACGGGATGCTCCAGTGTTCTTACCCGGTATTGCAGTGTGTCAATACAGCAACCTGAGAGTGGCCCGGCTTGACAGCGTACTTCGCGATCCATTCTGCACCATTGTGGCCGATTCTTTGATTGTCCTTCAAGTCGTCGCCCAGCATCGCTTCCGCCGCCTGTATAAATGTATGCGCAACATCACTGCCACGGGACTCCGCTATCTTGGCGCGGTTCAGAACTAGGGTTTCCAGTTTGCGAGCAGCGTCGCTTAGGTTGACCGCGGTTGGTCTGCTGGTCACCAGGTACGCCAGCTTGGTAGAAATGTATTGACACATCTCTTCCGCCGACCGAGGAATCATGCTACCCTCCAGGGCAGATGTCAATTCTGAGGCAAGTGCAAGCATCGCGACAATCGCAATGGCGGGCGCGCCTCGAACTTTCATGTCCTTGATAGCGTACCATCCATCCTCTGTGGATCGAATAGGAATAAATATCTCGATAAAAGGAAGCTGCAATTGATCAAGGATCTCCAGCTTTCCCTTGCTGTATTTGATTGCCTGTAACATTTTTGCGACGGTCAACGGTTTGGCGGGGGAGTTCAACGAGAAAAAGATCCGTCAGCTTCAGGGCTGAGGTGCCCCGCGGGTCCCGCCGCGGTGATTATATAATCCAAGGTACCGGGGCCCCCCCGGCCCGGGGTCCAGGTGCCGCCGGGGGACATGTCCACAGCAGAGCTATCTATTTCTCGATAGATGTGAGATAGCAACATTGAAAGGTGAGCCTGGTTAGAGATTATGTATGTAAATGGCAGTGGGAGGCAGAGAAATTTGGTATTACTATGCAAAGATGGGCTGCACGAGTGAGAAAGACCAATGACAGATCATCTCCTGCAGAGAAGCTAAGCAACAAGCAAGAAATCTGACCGAAATTCGAGACTGAGAGGCAATATGGTAAACAGAGAAGCGGAATGTATGCCTGGTGTGTAAGCCTAGGACCATGCGAATGGAGGCACCGGCCCTTCTGCACCAAATCTTGTCTTCTCAGATCTCAGGCCTGGCGCCAAAGCGACTGAACGTCATAACCCGTTTGATAAAAGCAATGCCTCTCTTCCAGTCAATCATCAATCATTACTCAAGAACGGAGCCATTTCTGCTGCTCGATGGAATCGAAAACAATCGACGTTGGTTCGCATCAACTCGCGGAGATGTAAAGTACTGCGCTTGTTATCAGAACCCCATATGATCCGACTTGGGAACATCCAGAGACACACCGTTGTTTCCACGCACAAAGGCATCCCCATAATTCCGTCGTAGTTTTCCATTAACATACTCCTCGGTCTTTTCGAGGGCGATATTCATGTAGCCATCGACTGACTGTAGTTCGCCTGGATGGCCATTAATATCAAGCTCAATGTTCAGAGATAAGGACCTAGTCACCCTTGTAAACGACACCGGAATTCAGTTTCACAATCACAGGCGCGCCGGTAATCTCACTCAGGAAGACCGAAGGGTCCTTTCCCTCGGAAGATGGGCCGTTCTCCATGACAACAGATTATGAGGCTATCTGGTTTCAAGGGTCAGCAAGTAGAGTAGTACATTAAGTCTAAAGGAGACATACTGAGGTTTGATGTTCACCGAGCAGTGGAAGTGAAGCCGAAAGCGAGAGGAGACGCAGACACTAGGGCGGTGAGGATGCTCGATTCCGTACGACACTGTTCGGTTCCGAGTCCTACTTGAAGTCCTACACACACCAATCTCTCTGTCTCCCCCTCTCTCCGAGAGAGCACCGCTTGCAATGAGTTCTTTCTTCAAGAAGCCCTCGTGGGCGAAGCAAATAGAAACCGATACTGAGTTTTATCAGCGCTCCGGACAGACCTACTCTGATATCATTGCGGCACATCGAGAAGCGCATCACAACCCGAAGAAAACGCAACCCCCCGAAGAGGAATCGACAAAGCGGCGTCGAATCTCTGAACACGATGAAGAGGTCGAACACAAGCTATCAAGTCCAGATATCGGGGGACGCATGTCGAGCCCACGGCCCTCGAGCTCTCCAAATAACTCGCCGGAACCAATTGACCATGAGACCTCCCAAAGCCACAGCCCAGAGATCACTTCGTTTGTGTCCCCTGCAAAAGGCATTACTTCCGAAGCGCCAGCCTCTCAACACGTCCCAAATATTTTACCTGACCCTATTTTCTCAAGACCTCGTCTGGCCCAACCAAGTCCACCGATTGAGGACCCGATTGTGCATATTGTGATCTCATCAGAAATTGAGAATACGACACCACTGCTTGTTCAACGCAAGATGTCACAGGGCTTAAAAGAGGTGCGTTTGGCATGGTGCAACCGCCAGGACTTTGCGCCAGAGACACACTCATCGATCTATCTGACCTGGAAGGGCCGTCGGTTGTTTGACGTGACAACTTGTAGGAGTCTTGGACTTCATGCTCGAAGGCCCATGGCGCTTCTCGGTGACGATGACCCTCTGGCCGAACAGGAACCCTTCCGCATTCACTTAGAAGCCGTTACTGATGGGTCTCTATTGACCAACCGACCGAGTGTGTCTGGTAACCAGCCAAAACCAGCAGTAGTTGCCGTGGAAGATGAACAGGGCGAGCCAATAAAGCTGATTTTGAGAAGTCCTGGATTCGAAGACTTCAAGATCAAAGCCCGGCAGAAAACCCCAATCTCGCGACTCATCTCTGCCTTCCGAGATAAGCAGAACATTCCGCGGGATCGTTCTCTTACCCTTGTGTTTGACGGTGACAAGCTGCCTCCCGATTCCTGCCTGGGTGATCATGACATTGACAATTTAGATCTGGTCGATGTCCAGATCCAAAGAGTCGCCTAAATCTCAACTACAGTCTCAGCTGTAACAGGGAAAACAACCTTAAAATGTACTTAATACAGCCACTAGCCCATTAATATCGATAACAAATGGATATGTATACTACCCACATATGTACATACATAGGTAGGTACATACAGTAGGTACCTCCGGGGCTACAGTAGTGCCCACCTGGGCAGGTACCCATCCTGCGATCGTGTCGATCACATGATATCGATGAGCCGTGGGGCACTCAGTTTCTTTTCTGTTCCTCTTTTTTTTTGAGGGGGGACAACGATATTGCCCTTGGAACCCTTACACAACGTTGTTGCTTACCGTGAAGTTGAATATACCCGCCCTAGTATTTTCACATCGGAGTCAAGGCCGTTCGGACAGCCGCCATGAAGGTGATCACCGCCAATTTCGTGACATGCGCCGTGAAGGAATGCAAGACATCCCCGGCATCATTCCCACTACATTTCCATGATGCCGAGCTGGAGCAGCAAGAATTGGATTTCCAACCCGAATTTATCCGCAACGTGATTCCCCGAATTGACTGGGAAGCCCTCCGCGCAACCGCAAACGAGGTAGGACTAAAAACCAGATCAACAGCGTCTTACCTATCGACATAATCCGGCTAACCGTGCTGGAAACTATAGTTGGGGTTCCCAAGTCTTCCGGATGCAAAGCCAGAGGGCCAGGCGCTCGAGAATGAACAGACACTGAGAGACCTGCACCGAATGCTACTTGAGACGCATGTCTCCGAAGGGAAGTTGGTCTGTGGGAATTGCAACCACGCATATACGATCAAAGAGGGGATCGCAAACTTCCTCCTTCCAAGTCACCTAGGTGAGAGAATTCATCGGCCTGAGACGCAATGGGTCACTAATGCCTCCCAGTTTGAGCAACCCTACATCTGATCATCACTTTGAAAAATCGATACCCCAGAGATCTAGTCAGCGGCCTTTTGGGACGTTCTTCTTACACTACCATCGTTTCAACCCAGAGGATAGGGTTATCCGGGCCGAGAGACAGGAGTTGGAAGCAAGTGCATTCGACTTTGGAAAACCCTCAATATTGCTACAGCACCAAGCAGTGTGAGACCCTTTTTGGAATAGGTGTATTGTACAAAGAAGGTTGTAGTTTATGAAATCACGATCGCCATTGATGCCTCAATGCTCCCCCCGGAACGCCAGCCCGGTACAACGCCAATAGATATGATGGGCCAAATGCTCCCCCCAGACCTTGAATGGATATTGACAGCAATCGTGGGAGGGTTCACTTCCCGTCTTAATTGAGGAAACCCTTGCAACCCGTCGATCCGCAGAGGCAGGGAATTCGGTCATCGCTGTCCCATTCTCGCTCGAACTTGTAATCGTAAGTCAACTCCTCATCTGAACCCAGGGTTAGTAATTGCGCAGCCGGAATGTAATGACTCTTAGACGTACCTCGCTCGATGTCCCTGAGCGCATAGATGACAATGCGTTTGCTGCCGTCCACCTTGATGATTTTGGCGGTGCAGTTGGGAGTACAGCTGTGATTGATGAAGCGGGCAATGCCGCCTCTCTTAGTGGCATCGATGACGGTGTTCTCGTCAATTCGGAATAGATAACTGCTACCAATTCCACTCTTCAAGTACCGTCTTTCTCTCATATCGGCAACTTGCTGGCGTACTTTCTCGCCCACGTACTCAATAATCATATCATTGGCGGTGATGTTCTCTTCGGCATACAGCCCCCAGTTGTGAATGGCGGAGCGAGCAAAGCGCACAGGCTTCTTGCGCTTTTTGAGCTGATTGAAACGCAGAACATCTCCCTCACCATTTGCAGTGGGAAGTGCTTGCTTCTGGGCATTGATGTCGGCAATGAGTCGTCGATTATTGACTCGCGTCGACCGGGAAGTCGACTTCGAGATGGTTTTGGCGGCAGCGATCCGGGCAGCCTCAGCCGCAGCGGCCTGGGGATCTGCCGTGGAATTGGCCTCACGCTCCTCACGGGCCTTTTGGACCTTGATCCGATGAGGGAGGTACTTGGACTTTTCTGCCTCCATGATTCTTTTTCGGCCTTCCGTCCGGGCAGCCCCCGTGACGTTGGGCACATAGTAGCCCGTGATGCTGATGGGATGTGCGGTAGTGCCTGTTTCCAATCCATTGAGAGCTTTGATCTCTTTCTGCTTCCAACCCCATGCCCCCAGACTGCCAATGTTGGATCCTGACTGATCCAATAGAACCTCGCGAAGGAATCGCAGGTCTTCATCATCTTTGATCAAGTGTTGCCAGCCGTCCAAATCAAGGACGATACTTTCGTCATCTTCCACAGTGGCACGAGGCTCACCCCTGGACACGCCCCATTCAATCTCGGTTCTCGGTTCATCGATGGGTTCATCGACAGAGGCATCGTCATCCGAGTCCTCGACCGAGCCCTCTCGGTCTTCGGATTGATCGTGCGTCGGTAATTTGACGTGATCCGCTGCAACTTGGTCGTCGGCAACCGGTCCAGGAACTTCAAGAATGTGCTCTTCCTCATCCCCATCGGCAGTTTGGGAGTCAAGACCGAACAGCTCATCTTCCTGTCGCTGCCTTTTCCGGGCCTCCAGATCTTCGGCCAACCGCTTTCGCTTGTGGGATCTGGGTGACAGGTCTCGTCCCACGCCGCTGGGAAGGCCATGAGGGGCCTCGTCGGTGGCCGGGACATGCTCGTCACTTTCTTGCGATGAGCGTAGATCATCTGATTGATACCCGCGGTCTCGTCCGAACTCAGATGAAGTCGAACTTGCGCGACTCAAGGGTCTGCTATCGCGCTCATCGGTATCCTGAGCAACAGGTGTATGCTGCTCGTCGTCCGAGTCCTCATCGTCGTGCAACTGTTGAAGGCGATGATATAAAGGACGGACTTCTTTTTTCCGCAGTGGTTGCCTGCGCCGTTCATCCAAAAAGGCAGCACCTGCACGGTCGAGCCCATGGGCTTTTCGGATACGAGGAAGAGCAAGGACGTTGAGGCCCGAGGATTGGGAAGGATCTCGCCCGGCGGGGAAATCTGCCCGCGGGTCGGGAGTACCGAGTGTGCTATCAATCCGGAAGACGGGCCGCTTGGTTCCCTCCGGATCCGCAATCCCTAGCCTCTCCCGTTTGGCCACATGTTTGCTCGGCTCTAAATAGTCATAGAGGGCCGGAGCAGCGATCCGCGACTTGACGTCCTCGAGCAGTTTGTCCCTCAGATCACGAATGATGATGGACAGCACCTCCCGGCAGGGATCCAAGTCCAGCGCGCGCTGTTTCTTTTCCTCCTCGACATCCAAGTCAGCTTCCCTTTTGGTCCGGTCCTTCGCTGCCTTGTCTCGTCGTTCCGCGCGCAGACGCTCAGGGCTTGGGCTTCGCTCGTAATTCGGATTTCCGTATGGCTGGCTTTCCATGTTCATGATGTACGTGAACAAAGGCTGCATATGGCATAATCGATGGCATCGTTCGGTCTCCTCCTCGCCTCGGCGCGAGTTCTCGAATATGATGTAGTAACCGGTCTTGTCGCAACGGATGTATTTGTATGCAAAGAGTCGCAGTCTCTTCCTGAGATGCGGAACGGTCGTGCTGAGGACTGGGACGTAGCAGTGGGCAATGAAGATGTAGGGGTCGCGCTTGATTTGACTGAGAATCGCAGTCTCTTCCACCAAGGATTGAACCGCAGAGGGTCGAGCTGCGGCCCTGGGCCCGTCTGGAATGGCGACACCAGGGCGGATCGATGGTCGACCGGAAGGGCCCTTGGGCGCGGTGGGCGGTGGCTCGCTTTTCTTGAGGGGTTCGTTTGCCGTCGGATTGCTGGCCGGGGGCGGATTGCTCTTTGATGCCAGTCGTTGGGACTCTACGGCTTTGGTAGTCATTCGATCCGAGATAATGCCGTCCCGGTCCAGCTCGACCCTGATCCGACGGGTCCCAATGCGCTGTTCCTTTTTACATTCGAAGTAGGCCCGTCGGGCCGCGCTGGTCGCAGACACCGACCCGCCCCCGCGGCTGGGGGTGCTATCTTTGTATTTGACGGAGCAGATCCCGAGAAATCGCCCTGTGATGGGGTCGGTGCGGTTTTTGATCTCAGCCACTTCCCCAAAGCTCGCAAACAGCGCGCTGATCGGTGCGATTGGGGTCAACGGGTCGAACCCGGTGATCACTACTTGTACGGGGGGACCGGGGCCGATGCTGGTGGTCACATCGTAGGCCCATGGTTTCAGCGTGTACGGCGCCGGGCGGTATTTGGTTTTCTGCTTGCAACCGGACCCTCGGGTGTAATGTGGGATCGCAAGACGCGGATCGACCGGTTTGTCGCCTTGATTGCTGCTCGCGATGTCGACGTACTCCAGCTTCCGCTTTTCTTTCGATGGCGTTCGCTTATCCAGATCAGGGTCATACACCACCTTGCAACCGATGACGCTCGGCTCGGGATTGCGGGATTGCGACTGCGGCGTGGGCGGGGTGTTAATGGGGGTGATGGAAGTTTTGGGGGGTCCCCGTTCGGGTTTGGCGGGGACTGTGGCCGCTTCGCCTGCCAGGTTTGCCTGCGCCGGGCTGACCTTGCACGGCGGCGAGGCTTCCGCCTGGGTGAGTGGCGTCAGAGTCTCGATTTGGGATAGAAGGGGATTGGCAGGTGGCGGTAGCGTGGCTTCTGTGTTTTGCGCCGGAGTGCCGATGGTCAATTCAGGTTCCTGTTGGGCTGTGGGCGTGGGAGGTCCCCTCCCATCTGTCATGTCCGGTCTCTCCGCGTTCCCTGATGCTTTGGTCGGCACTGCCCCTTGGGGGGGTCCGGGGAGTTCATCCACCTGTGTTTTCCGGCGATCCTGGGCCGTCTTGTAGCGCTTTTGCTGTAGCACCGATGGCGCGGTGGGAAAGAAGTCTGCAAATCCGGCCGACGCGCGTGACATGGTGAGAGTGGCTACACGCCAGAGACTGCGCGATCAGAAGGCAGCATCCTTGACAGCGGGGTCGGCTATTGCGAGCACATGCGACCCGGCAGGTCCAAGATGAGCAGAGACGAAATGGCTGAACGGAGAAGCGTACGTAAAGGGATGGAAATCGAGGAGCTTGACGCGAATCCAGATTTTGCAGGAGGCTAAGACGCGGAAGAAAGTGGAAAACGGGACCAAAGGGATAGGATCTTTTGCTTTTCTGCTGGTCCTTGTTGAAAGTCGCTCTCGCTTTCTGCTTTCTGCTCCTCCTCTCTTGTTCTTGTTCTTTGTTCTTATCTTTTTTTTTTTTTTTTTTTTGCAGGCCTTTTTTTTTTTTTTTTTGGTGATTCTGGGGTGACCTCACCGCTACCTGGCGCATAGCTGCACATCCGCCCGCCGGGAAGTACTATACAAGTCACCTTTCTCGTTCGCTTGTATTCATCGGCGACTCCGTATATCCTGCCACATCTCTCTATCCTGTGATTGTCCTCCGTATGTGTGTCTGGGACTGGACTCATCCGTCGGCATTGAGCATACTATGATTCAGGCCAGCTGATATACTCCATTGCTTCGTGCTCCTTATACCATACTTGGTACTTACCTAACAACCATACCTACTAGAATATGAATACTATGAAACTACCCAGCTACTCAGCTCCAATGCTACTATACTTGATACTATGCTCCGGAGTAGACGATTCGACGATGCCGAGGATGTGTGTTTGGATGAGTATAGTAGCAGGGCGCAGTCGACAGCTCATAGAACCAGTCACCGTCACTAGTGGAATACATACTGCTAGTCGTCGCTCTCACAACAAATAGCTAAAAGCCCAAAATAAGTGAGACATTCCCCTAGGAACCAACTTGGCCCGAGCATCGGCCCCGTCTCATTGGATGAACAAGCTTGCACAGAGCTAATAATAATATCTCGCCCCTCCCTTTCCCCTCTATAAATACGAAACCTCGTTTCATCTGTTCTTTACTTTACTCTCTTCCCCTTCCTCTCCCTCTCGCTATTTCGCCCTCTACTACCTCTACCCTACCCTCTCTTTATTATAAACTAATACCCTGCTCTAATTGCCCATCATGTGGTAAGTGCCCCCCTCCCCCATCTTGACCGACTTACTCACAGCTCCCAGTGGAATCTTTGGCTACATCAACTACCTGGTGGAGAAGGACCGTAAATTCATCATCACAACCCTCCTCAATGGTAAGTGTAACCCCATGGAGTCCATCTGGGTTGCTCACCGTCATTTCCAGGTCTCTCCCGATTGGAGTACCGTGGCTATGATTCCGCCGGTATGGCCGTGGATGGCAATAAGAAGAATGAAGTCTTCGCGTTCAAGGAAGTCGGCAAGGTCGCCAAGCTGAAGGAACTGATTGAGCAGAGTGAGGCCGACATGAGCAAGACCTTCGAGTCTCACGCCGGTATCTCTCACACTCGCTGGGCTACCCACGGAACCCCCTCCCGCCAAAACTGTCACCCCCACCGGTGAGCCCCCAGACATCTCCCCCCCTTGCAGAAAATCGATCTCGTGGCTGACATGGGTTGAATAGCTCCGACCCCTCCTGGGAGTTCTCCGTCGTCCACAATGGTATCATCACCAACTACAAGGAATTGAAGGCCTTGCTGGAGAGCAAGGGATTCCGTTTCGAGACCGAGACCGACACCGAGTGCATTGCCAAGCTGGCCAAGTACCTCTATGACCAACACCCCGACATCGAATTCACAGTTCTGGCCAAGGCGGTCATCAAGGAGCTGGAGGGCGCTTTCGGATTGCTGCTGAAGTCCGTCCACTATCCTCATGAGGTCATTGCCGCCCGCAAGGGTTCCCCCCTGGTCATTGGTGTGAAGACCTCCAAGAAGATGAAGGTGGATTTCGTCGATGTCGAATATTCCGAGGATGGTGTCCTTTCTGCGGAGCAGGCCTCCCAGAACGTGGCCGCCAAGAAGTCCGCCACCAGCCTGCTCGCTCCCCCCGACAAGTCCCTGCTGCACCGCTCCCAATCCCGGGCCTTCCTGTCGGATGATGGCATCCCCCAACCTGCCGAGTTCTTCCTGTCCTCGGACCCCTCTGCCATTGTGGAGCACACCAAGAAGGTGCTCTACCTGGAGGACGATGACATTGCCCACATCCACGAGGGTCAGCTCAACATCCACCGCTTGACCAAGGATGATGGCACCTCCAACGTTCGTGCCATTCAGACCATTGAGCTCGAACTCCAAGAGATCATGAAGGGCAAGTTCGACCACTTCATGCAAAAGGAGATCTTTGAGCAGCCCGAGTCCATCGTCAACACCATGCGTGGTCGTCTGGACGTAGCCAACAAGAAGGTCACCCTGGGTGGTCTCCGGCAATACATCTCGACCATTCGTCGCTGCCGTCGCATCATCTTCATTGCATGCGGTACCAGTTACCACTCCTGCATGGCTGTGCGTGGTATCTTCGAGGAGTTGACAGAAATCCCAATTGCAGTCGAGCTGGCCTCCGACTTCTTGGACCGACAGGCTCCCGTTTTCCGCGACGACACCTGTGTCTTTGTCTCCCAGTCGGGAGAGACCGCCGACTCTTTGATGGCTCTTCGCTACTGCCTGGAGCGTGGTGCCCTGACGGTCGGTGTGGTGAACGTGGTTGGATCCTCCATCTCCCTCCTCACCCACTGTGGTGTGCACATCAACGCTGGTCCTGAAATCGGTGTGGCCTCCACAAAGGCCTACACCTCTCAGTTTGTGGCCATGGTCATGTTTGCGTTGTCGCTCAGCGAAGACCGTGCCTCCAAGCAAAAGAGACGCGAGGAGATCATGGAGGGTCTCGGCCAGGTTTCCGAGCAATTCAAGCAGATCTTGAAGCTCAATGATCCCATCAAGGAGCTGTGTGTCAAGTCCTTCAAGAACCAGAAGAGTCTGCTTCTGCTGGGTCGTGGTGCTCAGTTCCCCACTGCCCTTGAGGGTGAGTTCATATTCCCTCCGATCATCTCTCTTGCGTAAAGACCGTGCTAACGATACTGTAGGTGCGCTGAAGATTAAGGAAATCTCCTACCTCCACTGCGAGGCTGTCATGTCTGGTGAATTGAAGCACGGTGTGCTGGCTCTCGTGGACGAGAACCTTCCCATCATCATGATCCTCACCCGTGACGACCTGTTCACCAAGTCCCTCAATGCTTATCAACAAGTCATTGCTCGCGGTGGCCGTCCCATCGTGATCTGCAATAACGATGACCCCGACTTCTCCGCCGCCGAGACCGAGAAGATTGGCGTTCCTAAGACCGTTGACTGTCTCCAGGGTCTGCTCAACGTCATTCCCCTGCAGCTGATCTCCTACTGGCTTGCCGTGGGCGAGGGACTGAATGTCGACTTCCCTCGTAACTTGGCCAAGTCGGTCACTGTCGAGTAAATCCTTGTTTTCGCCAGTTTAGACGACTCTTATGATCCGCGGTCATCTGTTTATCTTTTAGGTGTTTTTAGCTTCGGGAGAATGGAATCTCGTGATTTTTCTATATCCTTTTTCTGAGTCTCAATTTAGACCCAATTGATTTTCTACCAGAAAAAAAGTGCCAGTCGAATCGTAAGGGAACAAGAACGATGTGTGTAGACCTCGGGATGCCCACGGGTGCGGAGCAGGAGCTTGGTCAGCGGTGATGACATTTCGCCTCCCCCGCCAAATGCGGGATGTTTTCGTCCGCCCTTTTGCACTCGCCACGTCCCTCAATTGTTCCCCTGGCTATCTTCTATACCTCGATCTTCTACCATGACATCTATTAAGGGCCCCGGTGCTGCCCAGACCCACGATGGTGTGTTCTCCTACCCGTGAAAGACCACCGGGCTGATCATAGTACAGGGTCCGGACTGCGTGTAGCCATTGTCCATGCCAGATGGAATACCACAATCATTGAGCAGCTTGTTGCGGGGGCCAAGAAGCAGCTGCTCGCTGCTGGCGTCACTGAAGACAATATCACCGTCCAGACAGTTCCTGGCAGCTACGAGCTACCCCTCGGAGTGCAGCGGTAAGCCCGCGGAGCCTTTGACGACATGTGATTTAGGGGCATGCTCTGACACAAGTTAGGATCTACGCGGCCTCCCAGCTTCAGGCTAACTCCTCTGGTGAAGGCATCAGCGCCACTGATCTTCTGTCTTCCCCGACCACCGAGACCTCTGGCGCTGCCGCCCCCTCCAGCCCGAAGAAGCCCTTTGATGCCATCATTGCTATTGGTGTTCTGATCAAGGGTGCTACTATGCACTTTGAATACATCGCTGACGCCGTCAGTCATGGGCTGATGCGAGTCCAGCTGGACTCGGGTGTCCCTGTGATCTTCGGCCTGTTGACGGTTCTCACGGAGGAACAAGGTCTGGAACGCGCCGGCCTCGGGAAGAACGGCATGCACAACCATGGCGAGGATTGGGGAAGTGCTGCCGTGGAGTTGGGTCTGAAGCGAAGGGAGTGGGCGGAAGGCAAGATTCTGTAAAGGTACCGCGCCAGTAGCTTGTGCCTTCGGGGCTACGATTCCACCCCGTGAGCACTGGGAAATTTGGGAAATTCAATACTGCAATCATATGAGTGCTTGCGCTGCTTTCTTTGGAGAGTCGCTTTGGAGAGTCGAGAGAGCCAGCTTCACAGAATCATAATTCTTTGGGAGCATAATCTATTACATATTCACTCTTCCATCTGTTCGCCTTGACCCTTATCTTCCTCATCCTCATCATCACCCTCCAAGGATCGCTTTGCGGCCTTCTCGGCTTCTTCCAGCAGGTCCTTGGGCACCTCCTCGTGGCGGCCCTTAGTCGGACCATCGACCGAGCTAATCCATGTCATCTCCAGCTCGAACTCCTTGTCCTTGCTGTCTTCATGGGCGACGTAGATAATGCGGGCTGCCTCTTTCACACCGTCTGCCAAAGAAAGATTGCCCGAGGTCAGATCCAGCTTCTCCAGCTCGGCCTTGGCGGCCTGTCGGCCCTTGCCAGTTGCGGCACCGTAATATCCCTATCAATACCGTCAGCAAGTTGAACCCTGTGCACCCAGACAAACTGCGACATACCCAATAGAGGCCACTGGGCTCAATCATGTATAGGCCGGGGCCGCCGGCCTTCGCGCCCTCAACCTTTCCGCCGGATCCTGACTTGGGACCACTGCCCACCTGTCCGTCTACCGGAACCTCCGCCTCGCTGTCCCAGCCACCGACGATTGCGGTCACACCAAACGGCCGTACACTTGAGTAGAGCGTATAGGCCTGCACGTAACCACCCAATCGATTAGCCAGGGCGTTGGTCGGGATCGGACCCTTGTAAGTACCTCTCCACGAGGAGGCTTCATCTCTGGCTCTGGAAACGAAGTGGCGACCATCGGGCACGAGTCCGGAGGAGACCTAAGAGGATGCACAGTTAGCGAGTACGTCGATACGACGCTTGGAACCACGAACAATGCCAACATGACGATCCACCGTCGCGATTCTCTTATTGGCCCCCGGCTTTAGGAGTTTGCTGGTGATGATCTTTTCCACTGCCAGCACAACACCATCCTTGCATCTGATGCCGACGGCAGTGCCGCCGTTCTCCACCGCTTTAACGGCATATTCGACCTAAACAGTATGAGCATCGCTTGAGCTCCAGGGCTTCGGGACTGAGCCTTGCATACCTGGAAGTTCCGGCCGTCCGGCGAGAATACCGAGTTGGAAAGATCGTAACCTGTGCCAATTGACGTCTGAGAATGGAACCGATTAGCTGGGACCCCAGACACCACAAGTCCGTCAACTGACCATGGCGAGGATTCCCGATGTTTGAACGAAATAAAGATGCGACCGAGATAGAGCTATTCAGCTAGTCGGTGATAGCCAAGAGGAATATCGAGGGGAAAACTGGATAAGGTGAGGTTGGTAGCTCTAAGCCGTGATGTCGCGTCACGGGGTTGCCTTGCAGCTCTGGATCACATGACCCATCGATTGATTACCTGGTCGATACCTCTGAGCTATATGTGTCTCCCGTACTGGCAGTGGGTACTGTCCAGGTACCCTACTATTGGACCATAGTATAACCTTTCTAGAAGAACATTCGCAGCCCAACAAGCACTTGGGCATCTGCCCCTCTGGTTTATAATGTCTTTCGCTCTTTTCTCAACTGTTTTAGCTGTCCATAACCATGTCGGCCTCGATCTTGCATCAGTGTCCCCAGTGCGGGCACGTCTCTGATATTTCCAACGCACTCGCAGCATTTATCGAGAACCCCCACTGTACACAGGTAGATCGTCCTCTCCCCGCCGGGACGTCGAGCTGACTGTTCTTTCTCAAGTGCGGCTTATCTGCGTCGGAAAGCAACCAGAAGATGCAAGATGAACTCGCTGCGTTGTTTGATAGGCAAATGAACATGACTCCATTTCCTCCAGTCAAGAGTTCCATTGGTGCACCCCAAGAGCCAGATCACTCGAATAATTTTCAGCATTATCAATCATCACCGCTGGGTCAAGCCCTCGGACACTCAAGTGTGGATGTGTTGAGGTATCGAGGGTTGGATCCAGATAGCCTCACGCCGGGTCAAATGGGGCTTTTCGAGAACGCCGACGCAGAGCAGAGAGAGAGGCTGATCCAGACGTGGCAACTTTATTCCCAGATTGGTGATAGCAGCCCCTCCGACTCCTCCATGACGGATTCCGCCATGGAGGACGATGAAACCATATCCGCCGAACCTTACATGATCTCCGGCTACGAGACTAGCACTCCTCTTCCCAAAGAGCCCACTACAGGGGCACCATATGCTGGCTCTAGTGACCCCGTGTACCAAAACCAACAATGGTGGGAATTGACCAAAGCTGGTCCCATCGAATCAGGCTATGGAGCGTTTGAGGAGATGAGAAGATACTATCCCAGCTGTGGGGTATATCGTTGTTAGATTTCGGCCGGCTTGCTTTTTAGTCCCTGCTGGTTGATGGCCTTGGGAAATTTGCTTCTTCGTCCTTTCGGACATAGTAGCTCGGACATAGATATACGATTGATCTACAGTTTGAACAAGGTTCAGGGAAAACCCTTTGATTGCAAATAACTTATTTTCTGGTAAATAGCTTCCATCCCCCATAAGTTGATAGATTCAAACGCATGTCATGGCCAATGGTCAAGATAAAAGAGTGTCCGCCACTGGCATTCTCATCAAACGGTTCGTTCCATGTTATCCAAGCTTTCAATTCGTGATTGAGATTTGGTGTGGAGCCAAATCCAGGACGAACGAGGTTGAAGGGACTGCACAATCGAAGTTAGCCAAGTCCTAGGGCAGGGGGGGGGGTTCCAGAACACACATTTACTCGTCGACGTGAGAGTCGAGAGCAGCCATGGCCTCGGCAAGTTCATCGGCAGTACGCTGGACCTCATCGGCGGCGACGGCGGCACGCTTGGCCTTGGCGCAACCTTGACCAGGGTGGGCGCACCACTTGGGGACTTCGGTCGGGAAGTTCTGGGCCATAGCCTCGGCAAGGGCCTCGGCGGAGCGCTTGACCTCCCAGGAGGCATCGGCAGAGCGCTTCATCATGTAGCAGCCCTGACCGGGGTGGGCGCACCACTTGGGGATGGTGGTGTAGGGCCGGGGAGTGACTTGCTTGGCCTCGACGGCGGCGGCAGCGAGAGCAGCGATGACGATGGTGGTGAGCTTCATTTTGACTTGAAGAGGTGATCAACCGACGTAGCAATTGGGGATTTGGTTTTTAGAGCGAGAGACAGAGGATGAGAGCTCGAGAGATGTCTGGAGAAAAGAACTCTGAGACGGCAAGATTCTGGAGGTTATATATCTTCCTGTGTCTATAGATGGCCATGGGTTCAATAGCCCACATCTCCAGGAATCAAAGAACAGGGCCTGTCTCAATAACCGTGAATAAGGTCGAGTCATTTGCGGGGAACGGCGAATAGCCTCATCGAGGCTCAATAGGGACGATTCATAGAGGGTCGTCGCGCTCAATAAGCGGACTTGCTTTCATGGTGAGGACAGGATGGTGGATGTGTCGCCCGAAGGAGAGGTCAATAAGGTGGCTATGGATGAAGAAGAAAGAAGACGAGGTGCAGCCAAGAGAATGAATAAGATAAGATCGGGCCGGCGCTAACCAGAGTCGCGCGATGCCGAGCCCATCCGGCGCCTTTTTTTCCGTTTTCCCTTTCTGATCCTTTCCCCCCCTTCGAACGTCTCTTCTCCAAAGCTAACCCTTCTCGCTTTGTACATCATGTTCTCCAGAACGGCCCAACCCGCTCGGGTAATGTTCCCTTTTCCTTTCTTTTTTTTTTGCTTTTTTCTCAGAATGCTAACGTGCGCTCTTAGACTGTGCTCCGCAACGCTTCCGCAGCTTCTTCGCTCGGTCGCTCCGTTCCTGCGAGATGTACGTCTCAATTGATTCTCTATTACCCCCCGATTTCGCTAACAGAGCCGCCTAGCCTTCGCCAGTGTCCAGTCCGACACCTTCAAGCCGACCAAGTATGGTGGCAAGTACACCGTCACCCTGATTCCCGGTATGTCTCGCGATCTTCCTGCTCGTATCGCGCGAGCTAAAACTTGACTAGGTGACGGAATTGGTGCCGAGGTCGCTGAATCGGTCAAGACCATCTTCAAGGCCGACAATGTTCCCATTGAGTGGGAGCAGGTCGACGTTAGCGGTGTTGACACCGGTAACAAGCACTCCGAAGAGCTTTTCCGCGAGTCCCTCGCTTCTCTGAAGCGCAACAAGCTCGGTCTGAAGGGTATCCTTCACACCCCTGTCGAGCGGTCGGGCCACCAGTCCTTCAACGTCGCTCTCCGTCAGGAATTGGACATCTACGCCTCTATCTCCCTGATCAAGAACATCCCCGGTTACGACACCCGCCACAAAGATGTGGACCTGTGCATCATCCGTGAGAACACCGAGGGTGAGTACTCCGGCCTTGAGCACCAGTCCGTTCCCGGTGTCGTCGAGTCCCTCAAGATCATCACCCGCGCCAAGTCCGAGCGTATCGCCAAGTTCGCTTTCAGCTTTGCCCTGGCCAACAACCGCAAGAAGGTCACCTGTATCCACAAGGCCAACATCATGAAGCTGGCCGATGGTCTCTTCCGCAGCACATTCCACAAGGTCGCGGAGAACTACCCCACCCTGGAAGTGAACGACATGATCGTCGACAACGCCTCCATGCAGGCCGTCTCCCGCCCCCAGCAGTTCGACGTGATGGTCATGCCTAACCTTTACGGAGGTATCCTGTCCAACGTCGGTGCTGCCCTCGTTGGTGGACCCGGTCTTGTCCCCGGATGCAACATGGGTCGTGATGTCGCCGTCTTCGAGCCCGGTTGCCGTCACGTCGGCCTGGACATCAAGGGCAAAGACCAGGCCAACCCCAGTGCCATGATTCTGTCTGGCTCTATGCTCCTGCGTCACCTCGGTCTTGATGCCCACGCTAACCGCATCTCCAAGGCTGTCTACGATGTTATCGGCGAGGGGTGAGTACCCAGCATCTTAATCTCCATCAGAACATGACTTGCTAACCTTTGTCCACAGTCAAATCCGCACCCGCGACATGGGCGGTCAGGCTACCACCCACGAGTTCACCCGGGCTGTGCTGGACAAGATGGAGACTCTGTAAATTTTGGAATCCGTCATCCAATATCCCTGCTACGATTGAGGATCCCCGCTGGTTCTTGGACGTGCCGAGTCTGCACACCAATCGGCCGGGGTGATCCTCATTGATGTATTATCTTTCAATTTAGCTCGACACGTCCTGGCAACTTATAGCAATAGACACCTTTTCTTTTGTGGTCATAACGGGGACATTCATTGCGTAAATCTACCTGGGTAGCTGGGTATTAACATAAGACAGTACTGGCATCCAGGAACCTTTCAATCGTTCGACTTTGTAGCCAAAAGTCGAATGACCTTGCCTTGGAAGCAAATTGTCGCTGGCTCGGGCTGGACTCGAACTGATCAAACTCGGATTGGTTGCTCTAGTTTCCCGTGCCCAAAACGAAGCTGGATGTTATGCTCCGGTTGATGCGTGGGTATAGCATGTCAGAGAGTTTGCGCGCGTTTCGACCGGTGACGGCTTGGTATCTTTTGAAATCGAATCCCCCACCTGCTTTCAATCCAACCCTAGGCTCGCGTTGGTTGTTTGGGCAGGGGACCGCTCAGAAAGCGATGCGGCGCTTACGGCCGGTGAACTTCGAGTTCGACTTGACGACCTTGCCCTTCTTGGCCATCTGCTCCTTCTTGTTCAAAATCCACGCCTTGTCACCCTTGCGAGGGGGTCCCCGGGCATTGTTGATCTCCTGGGCCTTTCGTCGCGCATCCAATACACTGACGTCGTCCATGCCATTCACAACACCGGTGATGTCACCTGGAAGCCCACCACCACCAACGGTCAGAACCAAATACAACTTGCTGCTCTTGGTGCCTGGATCATCCTCGAGGATACCGGCGCCAAAGCCAGCCTTGATTGCGGCTCCACTGATCATGCTCCGCTGGGTATCATTTTTCGGGTAGAACTGACAGACCGCACGGCCACCGCGGCGGAGACTTGCATAGAGACCCTCGAAAAAGCGACGTAGACGACCTTCGGCGGTCACATCACTGGTTTCCGCATTACACAGCCATTGGATGGCACTAATGCTGATAGCGGCATCGAACGAACCGGGACGGAACGGGACGCCTTGCCCAATGTCGGCGAGGAACAGATCCCCGTCCACCTCCCGCTGGAGGGCCACATCCAACATACTGGGTGAGATGTCCATGCCAATCCACGTGTGCGGGCCACCTTGGTCGGGGGGCACTTCGGAGAGCATCTCACCGGAGAGACCAGAGCCACATCCCAGGTCGAGGATCAGCGACGGGGATTTCAAGTCGAGGAGTTCCAGGGCACGATCGGTCATGTTCGCCTGGATGTTGCGAATTCGCGACGACTTGGTATACTTGCGCGATTCATTGTCATTGTAGAACAAATCCGGAGGACTAGATAGATGTCAGTGGGAGCGCTCATGCAGACATGGACAAGATCGTACAGAATATCCTCAGGGCGCGACATGATTAGAGATGTGGAAGTGAAGAAACCGACGCAAAAGGAAATAAATTATTTCATGTGGGGCTGTTGCCTCAGGCTGCGATGTCCCCCAAAACGTCCACGTCGCCGTCTCCGTTTCTTCAGACTCATTGGAGATCTTCTGGATCTCTTCTTCACCTGTCCTCAAACATATATACCATGTGGATTCTACCGCTAGTGGGCTACTTCGGTGTGGTGGTTGGCTTTGCCTTCCTCACCCTGTCCATCGGTATGTGTATATCAGCATCCTGAAGACCAAAACACTGACCTAAATAGCTTCGGGACTCTACTATCTGTCCGAACTGGTGGAAGAACATACGGTCCTGGCCCGCCGGCTATTGACCCGATTGATCTATGGCATCATCGCAATTCAGATCCTCTTGATGATCATTGACCGATTCCCCGTCTCGCTGTCGCTACTGAGCATCGTCTCACACCTGGTTTACGCCAGCAATTTGCGCCGCTTCCCCATCGTCAAGTTGTCCGACCCGCTCTTCATCCTTTCCTGTCTCCTCGTCGGTCTCAACCATTGGCTATGGTTCCGTCATTTCTCGAAACCCCTCCCCCCCTCGAACAACTGGCGCCAGCCATACGGGGTCAATTACGAGGAGATGCCCTCTTTCTCGGAAGTGGCCTCCTACTTTGGACTCTGCGTCTGGCTCGTGCCGTTTGCTTTGTTCGTCAGTCTGAGTGCGGGGGATAACGTGTTACCGACAATGGGCTCTGAGCATGTTACGGGGGATCGGAACGGTCTCGGTCACAGTCGGGGCCCATCCGACGGCAAACTCAAGAACAAGGGAATGGCCAAGGCTTTAGTGGATAGCGTCCGCGACTGGGCCCGGGAAAACGGGGAACTGATGGGGTTCTGGAGGGGAGAGCAGACCAGGCGCTTCTAAGACGAGAGAGACGAGAGACGATAGACGATGTAACTAGTAATTGATAAATGGGATTCACAAGGTGTTGGTATAGTTATCGACATTCGATGAAAGTCTACTACATTGCCTTGCAGATAATATGTAGGATGTCTAGATTTCATTAATAGACCAATTACCGTGGGAGAGACCGCCAAAGTCATCAATGGCCCAAGCATAAGTTCCAGGGGCCCGATACTTGAGTGATGTATAATGAAGTTGGGATCTCTCGGGATACCGCCAGCATATTGTGTGAAACATAAACCAGATATCCATAAAAGTGCCCACAAGCTGCCGCCATATCGAAATGCCTTTTCAGCAAATTGCCAGATCAATGTATAGAACAAAAGGGGTATGGACATGGAGGCACACGAGGAGCGCTGGAACAGGAAACCAAATACTCAGAAGTAGACCGGAGAAAGGAAGCAAAGGAAGAGGAAAAAAAAAAAAAAAAAAAAAAAAAAGAAAGAAAGAGAAGAAGAAAAGAAGAGAAGAAGGGAAGAAGAAGAGAAGAAAGGGGTATAACGACGGGCCTCCCAAGGCACGAGATCTCAACTTCAAGATGATGGACAACCGCATCTTGATTACCATTATCATTAAACATTCCCTTGCGACTTTGAGATTGCCAAGTGGGTAAAGTCATCATTCTGCGGTCGTGCAAGTCGTAATTGGTAGGGAAATTCCCAAAAGAGAGAGAGAGAAAATAAGATTAACCAGCAGCTCACTTGCCCTGGTAGAAAGAAGAATCTACAATGTGTTAACAGCTGGCATAAGCGTCATTGACTTCGGACTCACCATCCATAAAGAGCATCGAGCTTTCTCGTCGCTTCGTTTTCGCGGATCGAGTGTCCTCGGAATCATTGGGCAACAGCATGCCATTCAAGGAGGAATACGGGGCAGAGGCCCCAGAAGATTGACTGTGTTGTTCATTTCTAAACGTGGATTGATCATAACTGGGCTGCATCGGGATGAAGCCAGTGTTGTAGGGCGTGCTGGGGCCGTCAGACGGAGCGTTCGCCTGGTCCGGTCCCCGGAACGAAGTCTGATGATATGAAGGCGTAGGAATATCGGAGAACATCTGGTGACGAGGGGAACGAATGTCATCGGGTGACAAGGAATGGTCCACGGTCAGTTCCTTTGTCGTGGAGCCAAGGGTTTTGTCATTATCTCCAAAGATGCTGTCATAGTCCGTGAGGAACATTGAGAAGACCGGCGCGGGGATGTTGAGGGTTGGGGCAAACACGATGCCCACATTCCGAACCGTCATCTTGTTCACTTCGGAATTCTCAACGATCTCAATCAAGAACTGTGAAAGAGCTCGCAGCAGCGACAAGTTGGGGCTAGGCAGCTTATGCACCAAAGAGTTGAAGGCAGCGACCTTCTTCTGACGGTCGTCGAGCTCGAGGACGCGAAGGAAGTCCAAGTGTAGTTCCCGAGTCAACACGGTGGTGGGAAGCTCTCGAAGGTATTGCTTGAAAAGAGAGGCGACGGCATGGATGTCGTAGTACTGATCACCGGATACAAAATCCACGTCGCCCTCGGTGTTGAATCGTTCCTTGAGCGCCTTGATCACCACGTTTGAACCGCTCAGACGGAAAATCCCTTCCTCCAGAGCTGCTTCCTTGGCATGGAGATATTCAATACAGCGGTAAACCACTGCTGGGAGCTCCACGTCAATACCCGGCGGCGAACAGTCTTGAACGGCCTCTGCCAAGGGTATGCCAAATACAGGTCTGACGGGTCCTGTTCTTTCGACGGTGTTGGTTGTTAATGCGTCGCTGCTGGCCTGAGCTTGCGCGGCAAGATCAAAGGACGATCTGGTGCGGAACCCCCAGATGCTACGCTTTTTCTCTTTGGTTGATGTCTTAGCTTTGTTACCCCACGCCTCCAGGTCCTGGATGACTGCGCCATTGGTGGGACGGGAGATCAGCCTGGGCGACTGCATTGGGTGATCAGGAGAAGACATGTTCATTTCTCTGAACTCGGTTGACAGAGCCCCGGGCAACTTTGGAGATCGGGGCGCTTGCTCAAGGGAGGATCCCATCATCGGGGGATCGGCTGGCACTGCGTCGTCAAAGCTAAAGCCTTGGACCGAGTTACCTTGATCTTGGTCAGGACTATCGACGCTCCGACCAGATTTCTTGCTTCCGCCGCTGAACAGCTTTGTTTTGGTCTCGTTCGAACTCTGCTTTTGCTGATGTTCTTGGGGTTGAGATTGACCCTTTGAGGATACACTTCCCTGACCTTCGTTTTCGGAAGAAGTATTCTCAACATATTCCATCAGTGCATCGACCCAGGTATCACGCTCATCGTCACTCTCTGAGCAGAGGACATGACGGACGAGTGCGGACGAATCCTTTTTCTTGGGTTCCAAAATTAAAAATGCATGGCGGTACTGATTGTCAGTATCATCTTCGCCACTTGGAGATGAAGCAGAATTATCAGCTGCCTTGGTGGATTGTTTTCCGATCTGAGCATGATGAAGCTTGATGGTACCCATGTGCTGGCCACCCGGAGATTCGAAGTATTTCAGCTCAGGCCCATCCAGGACGAAATATCTTTCTTTCCATCCACCAAAGCTTTTCCCTCGCTTGGTCAAGTATCCTTGCTTCTGAGGCTTCCCGTCAGGCCCGCGAGAGACATCGGGTTTTGCTTGGGCGAGACCCTTGAGCAGATTAGTCTCATCATCCCGGGCCTCGATAGCATCATTAGTCAGGAATTGACAAATGGCGAGAGCCGCGCTCTCGTCCATTGGGGTGTCCAGAATACTGTCAAAGTATGCATTCAGCGCAGCGCGCCTCAAATCGACCTTGGCAGGCGAATGCCCGTTGAAGATGTTCCTGTCAGGTAGTCTTCCAGTGAAAGAAGAAGTTTGTCTCATCTTGTGATCTAGTTGAGGGAGAGACCCGATCACCTTTTCAACTCGCCAGAGCTCCGACATCTCATGCCGAGAGATCACGCTGAGAGTGAAGACCGGCTCTTCTTCTTGCGGCCTGGGCGCCATGTAACTATTCCTAGACGGCCGGAGCCGCGAGGAAGACACTTTGACCTGAATCAAGGGAAGGGCATTTGGGGACAGAAGCAGACCCGGATACTCCTCTGATATCAGGCCTTGGTAAATTCCGTTGTTCGCGAAGTGTGCCGACCTTGGACTGTCTATCATGACGTCCGGGTCAATCGATGGAATGGGTCCGTTGGTTCTTCCATTTGGAGGGGGAGGGGCGAATCCCATGGCGTTGTTGGCAATTCTCGGAGAGAGTGGTAATCCAGACGTCTGATGACCGGCTGGTGGGCCACCGGCCATCTCTCGAGGCATGCGAGGCAATGGAGAGTTAATGGGCCGATCCTCTGGCCGCGGGCTCATGGGAAGACCGGGGCTCATAGGCATCGCGGCGACAGAACGCCCGTTGAACGATGGAGGCGGGGCCCGAGAATTTAACATGGAACCCAGGGAGTTAGAGCCACCGACGTTCGGCGGGGATCTTGAAGAGAGCTCACGCGGAATTATGTCTGGGCTAGCAGAGCCCGCTACATCCTGCGGGCCTTGAGAAGTAGCTGCATTGGCTGTTGGCTGAGAGCCAGACACTCCCTTCCGCAGGGCAATTTCCCGGTCCTTGTCATCCTGCTCTCTCGTCTTTCGCCTTCCTCGGTCCACGCTCGGGGCTCCACCTGATTCGTCGCCATAGTCCGAGCCAGAGTCGGATGCTGAATGCACTACTTGCTTTGGTTCGGCTTGACGAAGATTGAGAGGCGCGGGTGGAGCTTTTCGGTTTGGGTGTGGAAATTTGCTCTTGCCCTCTCCAGTGGGGGACGCGACATCAGAGACGGAGGTCGGGCTAGCAGTGGTGTCAAGCCCTTGCCGTGAGAGGTCTGGGGGGATTATGGATGGTCGATCGGGCGCCTGCGTCCTCTCTCCCTTGTCATCGTCAGGTCCGTCGAAAGTCCCAGCAACTGCCCGCGGAGGAGCTTCTTGCAAATCTTTGAGCCTTTTTTTGTATTTGTCCTTCTCTTGCAAAGAGCGTTCGAGATCTTTGTTCAAACCGAGAATCAATGTCCTCTGTTTGTCTACTAGTTTCCACAATTGCGAATTCTGGGAGGCTGCCTGATGTTTCTCTTTCAACAGGTGCACGATCACAGCCTCGGCCGACCCAGCAGCGTTGATGAGATTGCTGATATCGGCCGGGCTCAACGAGTTCACGTCGAATGTTGATCTTTGGGAGGTGGAAGACAGGGAGGAGATGGCGGAGTCGATAGACGAAGTACGCGGCATGACGCGATGGAGTGGGCGGTCCCCCGGCATGGAGTGTATAGAGCTGACCGACGACGATGCAGATCTGTCGGTCTCTGGCACGCGGGACTTGGAGGACGTGTTTTCGTGCAGTTTGTTTCTGTCGGTAGATTCTGCGTCTACCATCTCTGGCGACTGCGACAAGCTATGACCAGTGCCGGAGGGTGGCGCGGGGAATGCTGCATTGGCCACTCGGGCGATTGGCGACTGGGGCTTATAAGGGGATGGGTTGGCGCTGGATCCTGCGGACAAAGGACTCGGGGATGATGTTGAGCCGTCAACGCGGTTCGATTGAGATAGGGAGCTCGTATGCAATGGCGACGGGGTAATCTGACGACCAGCAGGCATAGGGCGATCTGATCGCGCTAAGTAATCCCTTGGAATGAGGCCGTTCACAGAGAAGGGCAGAGCTTTCGCAGAGCTTTCATCACTGCCTCGCCGCGGGAGTTGCGACATTACCGATTCATTCGAGGGGTTGGCAACACGAGGCAAAGGCCCAGATGGCGCGGGACCCCGGCTGAAGCTTAAGCGCCGAAGGAAAAAGAAAAAAGGGGCTCAGACAACCGATTGGCGATCAAAGCATAACATCGAGACAGAAAAAAAGAAAAAAAAAAGGGGAAAAAAATAGTATATGTATAAAAGTTGGAGAAAGTGAGGTGAAGTGGGGAGGAAAAGGGGCTACTACTACAAGAGCTGCTTACCCCCGTCCAGATCAAGTGATCGTGAGCCTCTCTTTCTCGCTCTATACTACCTACCTAGGTAGACTATTGTGCAAGATGTACTTAGTCCGTACATGCTTCTCACTGTCCTCGATATATAAGACTCTGTGGCGCGTTCGGCGCAACTAATGCCGTGAAACAGACATTGGGAATCGAACCAGGTCCACGCTGAAATTTCATACACTCTATCAAAATCGAGGACTCCCTTGAATGCAGTTATGATACATGGTTTTAAGAAAGAAAGAAAAACAAAGAGGAGAAAAGGCACAGGATCAAGCCATGTTGCCGGCCATGCCCATAAAAATAGCCTGGGCGGCCAACTGGAGGGACCAGAACCCAACTTTCTTGAATCGCCTTTTCCGGGCCTCGTCATCCACCACATCTCGGGCAAAGGCATCGTAGGTCTAGCTGGTCAGCATAGGGTACCGGATCAGGGGCAAATCGAGGCAAACTTACCGCCGCCGAGAGGTCATCCATTAAGCTACTGTCGAAGATGGTCCAGCTTCCGTTGAAATCACCAACTCGCTTGACGAGGCGGCAATTGATGGGAATAAAAGTGCGTTTCGAGTTGATATAGGCGACAATGGGCCGGATCAGGGCGTTATTTATGTAGGAGAGGTCTCGAGTGAAGATGGGTACAACGGCCCGGACGTTGTTCAGATGTACGCGAAGATCCATCACTAGGAAACGGCGGTCTTCGGTCTCAGATTCCGAGTTGGAATCGGGCGATAAGGGCTCCGGGTATCGGTTGGAGGTGACGGTGGCTTCCAACCGATCGTAGAAATCAGCCATCACTTTGGCCAGGCTCTCATCATTCTCGGAAGGCAACATGATATCTGCCACAATATCCACAGTTCCCTCGTGGATCCAGGAGAAAGGTCCCTGAACGCCGCGGTTGAGATGGTCGATACTGAGCCCGTCCACTCGGATTCTGTTGTGTTTCTTCCACGGGTTAGATGTGCCGTCTTCTTCGGCCCCGCGATCCAACCGAGAGTTCCCAAAGCCATGGGTTTGACGAGCATGGATGGTGAAGAGAGAGTTATCGTAGGATCCAGACATCATGTTGGCGGAGAGGAAATCATAGAAGAGCCATTGCTTGCGTAGTTGGGGCAGATCGCACGAGAAGATGCTGACAGAGAAGGGTCGGAAGTTGTCGGGTTGATAGATGGTGACCAGCAGGTCATGCATCTTGAAAGAGTCTATCTCGAAGTCGCCTGGATTGTGCTCATGCCGATAAGACTTAGGGTCCAAATCCTCTTCGGGCCAGAAAACGTGCCGGCGGTCGACGACACCCCGAATTCCCTTCACCTCCACATCATGAAGGGGGCCTTTTCCGTTGAGCCATTTGGTAAATGAAAGCGTGACATTGACCGTCTCGATTGACAGGTCGAACTGGGTGTAGTTAGTATCTTGCTCTTCGTCGGTAGCGACTTGATTGTCGTTAAATCCAGGCTCCCCTCGAGCCGCGGCCGCTTCTGCCGCAGTCCTGGGGGAGCCTTTGCTGACATGGCCTGTGCCCTGGCCGGGTCGTCTTGAGACAAAGACGTTTTTAAAGGTGATGACGCCATTCCTCCATTTGGGCACGATTGCCGATTCGAAGACGACCTTGACCCCAGAGGATTTGGTGAGGTAGTTCCCTACCCATCCGGCTAAGGTTTCTGCGTAGACTTGTGAGAATCTAAATGTAGTCAGGCATTATTCCATGACTTACCTTGAGCAAAGACCGTGTTAATGGCAAGAATCAGAAGCGAGAAGAATGTCGTGGTTCCAACGACAACCCAAACGATGTGACCCAGCAGCACCCAGGAGAACAAAGCGGCAATCTCATCCAGGTTGTACGGACGGACGCTTCTAATCGAGAACCACTTAAACCGCACTTTTAAACGTGACCAGAACCCAGTAGCTGCAGCAAGAAGCTCTTCCTTAGTCGGCCGGTGGAGGTGAGGCATATGGGGTAATCGATCTCTCAAATGGCGATTTGTCGTTGTGAAATAATGGGTCTCCTGGGGCTTGTTCGGAACGGTCTGGTGTGCGGAAGTGTCTCTACCAGATTCTCTGTCTTTTGAAGGGTGGTCGCCTTCATTGCGTGCTTGAGTTGGTTGAGCAGCGTCTTTTCCGTGTCGGTCATCATGAGAGGCGTGTACGAGTCGTTTCCAAATATATGGAGTGGCAATCTTTCGGGGTGGAGTGATGCATGCTGAAGTCGATTCCGCTGCGGTCGAGGTGGGCGAGACACCGATAATGAAAAAGCCTCCAGATGCGAATCTTCTGGTCAGGTGTGTCGGCTTCCTTAGGGTCGAGATCCGTCGTGAATTATTGGCCAGGAGCCCGTCAAGTAAAGTCGAGCTGGCATCGCTGCGGTTGGTTCGTATGCGCCCGAAGAATGGATTTGCTGTTTCCCAGATATGGGCATACAGCCGGCGTCCCAGATTGGCTGACATTCTCATTACATCCTGGAGCTTTGGAAGCGGAAGAGTAAGACTGTTGACGGAAGAGAGAGCATGAAATCATGTGTTTGTCTTGTTTGCATTGGGTTCCCACAGTTCTGGATTTTCGCCGGAGGGGGGGACTGATAAATTTTGCGATAACAGACATTCGAAAAACTCATTCTTGGACACACCATGTCGGCGCCTACAGCTCTTCGTCAGGCTCAGCCTCAGTCTGAGCCTCAGGTTACTTATGGTTGGTTTTCCTTTTTTTTTTTTCTCTATCTCTTTCTTCTGTCTTTTTATCTCAGTTTGAACTGATCAGAGCTAACCGCTTCTTCCAGATCACGATGATGAGATTTTGATCGATGCCCAAGCCTCGACCGATGGCGTACCCGTGAACCCCGTCGAGGAATCTACCGAGGGCGAGATGCGTATCGACGAAGAAGGCCGTCCAGTCTTCACACCGGCCAAGGACGTCGCCACTGCATACCGCATTGAATCACGAAAGGTCCCCGTCCCACCGCACCGTATGACCCCGCTTAAGGCCAACTGGGCGAAAATCTGTCCCCCGATTGTCGAACACCTCAAGCTGCAAGTTCGCATGAACCTCAAAAGCCGATCCGTTGAACTGCGAACCTCCAAATTCACCAACGACGTAGGCGCCCTGCAGAAGGGCGCTGACTTTGTCAAGGCTTTCACCCTCGGCTTTGACCTCGACGATGCGATTGCCCTGCTCCGTCTCGACGACCTGTACATTCAGACTTTTGAGGTGAAGGATGTGAAGACTCTGAACGGAGAGCACCTTGGCCGTGCCATTGGACGTATTGCTGGAAAGGACGGAAAGACCAAATTCGCAATTGAAAATGCCAGTCGTACCCGAGTGGTTCTGGCCGATCAGAAGATTCACATCCTGGGTGGGTTCAAGAACATTCACATCGCTCGTGAGGCCATTGTCAGCTTGATTTTGGGTAGCCCTCCGGTAAGTCTCGGTTCCTACTTTACGAGAATTCTTTCTGACCCTGCGACAGGGCAAGGTCTACGGCAACCTTCGTACCGTTGCCTCTCGAATGAAGGAGCGGTTCTGATCCAGTCATTTGCACTCGTTCGGCATGGGATGGGCGTTCAGGATTATCAGGTTTTACACTGTCTTCTTTTTTATGATACTAGAGACATGATGACGTACAACGTAAAGATATCAATTTATGGAAATTTCAGTCATTTCAATTATATTGGCGGTCCGACGATCGATAGAAAACAGCACTTGAAGAACCGGGTTGCCTGCTCTCTAATCCTTCTTCAGGGAATGGTAAATCTCCTCGATACCCTCTCGAGTGATGATCATCATTTGCAGTCCATCACCAACCTCAATATGTCTCTCCACAGCACTTGTAAAGGCATCCCGCACCAGCTGCTTGACTGTGTCCTGTGGCAAAGGCTCGGCCTTCTTGGGTTCAAGAGCATGTCCCTCTCCGCTACCTGGGATGTACTGGTTCTTGAAGTTGACCTGGTTGTCCAGGAATGGCATGATCAAGCTTGATGCTGCACCTGCTGCACGACACTGTTCCCGCTCGTATGAGCCCACTGGGTCGTAGCTGTACAACGCGCCCACGCCCTCCTCATCCAGACCAGCCAGAATAGCGTGCACGTAGTATGGGAAGAATCGCTTCTCGTAGAGAATGGTTGACAATCGCTGCGCGCATGCGCTGACTGACATGGGCTTGCCGTGCTGGTATTTGTACATCTTCACGACGGTGTCCAACTTTTCCTTGAGGGCATTTCCATCTGCGGCGAATCCGACCACAGACAGGAGGATGGTAGCTCCGGCGCCAGTTTCGTCATCCCCGCCAATCTTGAAGACCTTGGGGACCATGCGAGAGTTGATATTGTAACCTGATGTGGAACGAGTGTCACCGGCGAGGATGGCGAAATCAGAGCCAGTGATTCCGAGCGTGGATCCACCATTGTCGGTGTAACTTGCATGCGGGTCAGCTCATCATCCTAACCGGATCCCTGAGGTACTTACGGGTAGAAAGAGTGTTGTTTGACATTAGCGGATGTTGGCTCGGAGAAGGAGTATCCAATGGTTTCGGACTGGCCGATGAGCGACGTCATTTTGGCGAAGATGAAGCTCAATAGGGATCAAGAGAAAGAAGATTCACAGTGAAATCAAAAGTTGAAGATAGTGGACTGGAAGGTGAGTTGGAGATGAGCAAAGCAGCTGGGTGACGCGCGAGATAGCTGCCTTGATTAGGTAAGGTGAGCTCACCTCCAGGAGCCAGCACTTGAGGGCTTGATGTTCAGGCCGGGACTCAATGTTGGAGTATTGAAGTCTACCTGTAGAGGCCACCCAAGCTCATACTGATTCATGGCCATGGCAAGAAAAGTCAGGGCGACTATCACCGTGAGAGTCTCCCACACAATGAGATTGACCATGGGAAAGAGCCCCAATCGTTCAGTCATATGCCATGGATATACTACGTACACCAACCTCGAATCTTACATCCCTGATTCCACTTGGGGGATCATCGATCAAAATCTCGGGGTGCGACCTTGGTCTGCTCTATGGCATCTCAATCTCAGTTATTGGTGATATGGAACTTTGGCTGGAGTGCTCGTTGGCCAAAAACACCCCAAACATATCTGACAGTAATCCACGTCAACCACTCTAGAGGTACACGGGTTTGAAGGGATTGCATTTTCGACCTGGCGAAGATGTGTTAAGCGTCCAATAGAACAGTAATAGTATGACACTCCAGCGGCTCAAGCGCTAGGTAAGTAAGCCATAGTGGACAATCAAACTGATGTGATTAGGCCGGACTCCGACGGTACGGCAACCCCTATAAAGACAGCATACTCGGCATTGCTTCTCTTCAAAGTTGTTTCGCTCCAGGGCTATTCCCATGTTCAGCTTTTATCTTGCTGCGCTATTTGGTGTGGCCTACGCCTCGCAGACAGTCCTGCGACCAGGGCCAGGGACGGACTTCACCACATTTCGGAGCTCTAATTCACCCCACGCGGTGCGTATCCGACAACAAGATCAATCAATCTGCGCGACAGACTCTGCGCAGTACACGGGATGGCTAGACATCGGGCCAAAGCACTTGTTCTTCTGGTACTTCGAGAGCCAGAACGAGGCCGTCGATCCGCTCACGCTGTGGATGACTGGTGGGCCCGGGGATTCCAGCATGCTTGGCTTATTCCAGGAGATCGGTCCCTGTCTGATCGATGGAAATAATGGAACTGTTGAAAATCCCTGGGCCTGGTCACGAAACTCATCATTACTGTTTGTCGATCAACCCGTGGATGTCGGCTTTTCCTACATCGATGAGGGTTATGAGATCCCGCACGACTCCCAGGAGGCTGCCGCTGACATGCACCGTTTCCTTCAAATCTTTGTCTCTGAGATCTTCCCTCACAAGCGTTCCTCGCCGGTCCATCTTGCGGGCGAGTCTTATGCGGTAGGGAATGCCCAGTCCCTGTATGTTTCTGACTGATTCCCGCAGGGTAAATACATCCCATACCTGGGAGCGGAAATTGTGACCCAGAATGAGCGATATCCTTCAGAGACCCAGATCAATGTTCAGTCGTGTTTAGTGGGAAATGGCTACATGTCACCCACGGACACCTTCTATGGATACTGGGAAACGCTTTGCACGACCAAGCCGGGTGTCCCGACACCGGTTTTCAACGAGACTCGGTGCGATATCATGGCTGCCAACATGCCCCGATGCATGCATGTTGCCAAGACCTGTGTCGACAATCCCGATCCAGCCATCTGCAAGGCTGCTGGCTCTGTTTGCTACGAAGGTATCGTTGGGTGGTATGAGGATGAAAGTGGCGCAGGAGGTCGCAACCGCTTTGACAGTAAGAGCCCCTTCCCATGATCTAACCTCTGACTAAATGCTGGAAAATGAACAGTCACGTCTCCATGTGAGATTGATGAGCTTTGTTACAAAAAAGCCGGTTACATTCAAGAATATCTCAATTCTCCTGCGGTCTGGAACGCCCTCTCACCCCCGGCGGAGGTCAAGGAATACAAATTGGAATCCAGCGCTGTAGTTGATGCATTTGCTACTACACCAGAGGGCATGACCACTTCTTCCGATGCAGTCACCTTCCTGCTGTCGCATGGAGTACATTTCCTGGCATACCAGGGAAATCTCGATCTAGCCTGCAATACGGCTGGAACCCTACGGTGGGCCGATTCGCTTTCCTGGAAGGGACAGGTCGAGTTCGCATCGACGCCGCTGCGACCTTGGACTTCAACCATAGCTGGTCACAATGACACAGTTGGCATGGCCAAGGAAGTTCGCGTGAACGTAGGTCAGACAGAGACGGCTTCGCGGTTCGCTTTGGTCACGGTGGACGGAGCAGGTCATTTGGTAGGTCTTCAAGGGGGTTCTGGTTGAAATTCGAAATCAGGCTGATATTCGATTCTAGCTCCCCCAAGATCGTCCGGATGTTGCATTTGACATATTGACACGGTGGATCACAGGTGCTCCCTTCACTAGCTCTTGATCGGGTGTCATTCTATGTTGTCACCTGGAGTATTCATCCGAAGACCACAATTGGGCATTCACTGCATGGTTTAGCTTGATGGGAGTTAGCATTCAATGGCCAATGGTATGAGCGAAGCCCACCAGGGACTAACAGCTCAACTGGAGCATTTGATGGGCGAGGTACACTCTATTCCCCACTCATAGCTAGTATTTATTGAAACGTAATGCCGTTGTAGACCAACATAGTTCCACTAAGGACACTGGACATCGATTAGAAGACACAGCCCGTGGCCGCTTTAACGTTCGTATTCGCTTCGCTCGATCCCACTCCCGTAAGTTTGCTGCATGTCCCATAGGTAATTCCACCTTCACCGCCCGTGAGATGATCTCGCCCATTTCCAGTCGCACTGGGTCAATTGTATCCGATCCTCCCGACCACAATGGTCCTTCGCGGGTGTTCCCAATCACCAAGCGTCTGATGGAGCGGCACTACGAGATCAAGACACTCAATGACCAGCCTTTATTCTATGGGGATGTCTCATTGTTCACTCCCAATAAGCCCGACCTGACGCTGCATGCGGGCGGTAGCATTCAGGGTCCGGTTGTGGCAGTCTCCAAGTTCCTGAAGCTTTCGGGAAACTACAAGATTGGAGTCGGGGACCCGGACGACATGAACCATGTCCGATGGGAAGACATGACCAAGGAGCTCCTTCACAAGCCAGGGTATCGACTGGAGACCACAATTCCACGGGGGTTGGATCAGCCTCTTGGTGAGCGCCGGTCGCTCCTATGGAAACGCACCCGCAGCGTGGGGGTGTGTGGCGAAACACCATCCAGACTGTCCGGTCGGAATTATAAGCTAGTGGATGAATGCAGCGCGCAGGTCCTAGCCGTCTTCTCGGGTGGAAGAAGACCAGGGAGAGGAGGGAATCTCGAGATCAGAGTGGAATACGGGCAAGACTTTGATCATCTGGTTTCGATATCCTGTTTGGGTTTGTATGAGAAATCGAGGTGGCGCAGTCACAGAGGGGCGGCCGGTGGAGGCGGCGGCGGTTGAAATAAGCATGATGGCTTCGGAATCTGAACCCACAAAACAGGAGAATGTACCTGAGGTTCGAATTGTTTGACCTGCTCCCTCGCTCTCTGGAAATGGCAGTAGGGTAGTTCTTCCAGAAGGCGTTCGATCGTCAACTTGGGACTATCCTTGCTAGGGCCCAACAACATTGCTAGGCAACCGATGCCGGTCAAAGTGATCGATTTACTGGACAAATCCCTCACGCTGAGCCAGAAACGAAATCAACCGAAGTCCGCTGACCTGATGACTTCTGCTCCTCTGTTTTCCGCCGCAGTTCGTGCTGGGTTCTTAAAAGCTCCCCCTTGAACCCCCAATGGGGGAGGGTAGAAGTACTCCATACATCGGTCGGTAGTGCGGTGTCATACTGAGACTGCTCGCCAATTCCAGCATGTGTCATCATGTTTGATAGTAGGCTCGGGTTCTTCAGCGATGTAGAGCTGGCAAGTTTAGAATTGAAATGGACGCCCTGTTTCTTGAGCGAGAGGAAATGGTCAAATTTCGCGTTGAGGGCAGGATTGGGTGATCCTGGAGGCGATGGCGGGATTTCAAGATTGGGCACAGGAGGAAGAGTCAGGTCTTGGACGAGTGCCCGTGAAGCCGAGAACGGGGATGTGCGTCCGCTCAATGTATGCTGGTCCTCTGAAAGGGGGGCCATGTTGATGGATGCGGGGCCAAGCACAGGTCCCGTCGGTGCGATGTCAGTAGTAGGCTGGGTTTGTTCGTCTAACTGCGTAGTCGACGAGGGGGCTGCGGAAGGTATGAGCGCTAGGACCATAGGTATATTGGATCTCAAGATATGATACCTTCGCTCTGATTGATTTGTGCAGTTGGACCCAGGAGCTCCTGGTCGCGAATCTGAAGTCGCATTAGAAAGTATACAATACACCCAGGTAAAAGGATGGTGTACCTGCGAATTAGATGAAGGTGCCTTATATTCCACCTCATCGTCGCTGCTGTCATATCCAACAAGATCAAGCATGGTTGCGAAGGTATGCGCAGTTTTTCAATGGCTCTGGCTTTCGAAACACCAAGAGGAGTTGGCTATAGAATGCGTATCGAGCCCTTCCAAGCGTGGTTGAAGTGTCGCGAGTGTCAGTAGCACGCATCTCGCGCAGAGACGGCAATTAACCATGTACTTAAGTAAGCGAAGCTCTCCGCCCGGAGCGTCGAGCTGACGGGAGCTCGACTGCCTAGCTCCCCGTCTATCGTCATCGCCTGATATCCATCTTGATACTTTCTCCTCTTTGTTCTCTCTATCACACTCATAGTACCCCTACCCAACAAGAATCCTGCTGCATCATGGACCACTTCCCTGGAACTTGGGGCCGCGTATGTGGCACAAATCCTCCAAGTCTCGCTTCCCTACTAACATTCCTCAGCCCAGAAACGATGCCTACGGCGCATACGATGCTTCATATTTGCAAACTACCGGCCCTAAAGCCCATACCTCATCCCCGGCCGTGACTGGAACATCAGTGGTGGGTGTCAAGTTCAATGGCGGCGTTGCCATTGCTACCGACAACTTGGGTATGCTGTTCTTTGTATCGATCTAACACCATGGTTATTTGACTAACGGTGCTCTTGCGATATATAGCCTCCTATGGCTCACTAGCCCGTTTCTCTGACGTGAAGCGTCTACGATCTTTCGGCGACAACGCGATGGTTGGATTCGGCGGCGATGTTTCCGACATGCAATATCTCGACCGCCTCCTCGAATCCATGGATATCAGGGAGAACTACTCAGCCCACGGAAACATGCTCAATGCCAAAAACCTACACACGTACCTCGCCAAGGTGTTCTACAAACGGCGCTCCGAGTTCAACCCATTGTGGAACCACGTCCTTGTCGCCGGTTTTGACGGGGAGGGAGAGCCGTTCCTCAGCTCTGCGGATCTGTTGGGCACCACATTCTCCGCTCCACACCTGGCCACTGGATTTGGTGCCCACTTGGCGGTCCCAATCTTGCGTCGCAAGTTCCCTGAGGAGATGCCCCTGGCCGAAGTGACACAGGAAGCCGCGGTGGAGGCATTGAAAGAGTGCATGAAGGTTCTGTTCTATCGCGATGCCCGCAGTATCGACAAATACTCGATAGCCGTGATTACCAAGGATGGCATCGATCTGAAGGAGGATGAACAGATCCAGGGTCAAAGCTGGGCTTTCGCCGAGCGAATCAAGGGATATGGAGCCCAGGTTGTCTAGATTACATGAAATGCACACGGAATTATGGATCAGAGATTCGTATACAGATCTAATCATTTGCCGGCTAAACGTGCAGTCATACATACATACGTACAGTGCCATTGGGCTCGAAGGTCGTAATAACTGGCAAGATTCACAGCTTAGAGCTTGGCTTGTCAAAGACCACCCGGTTGACGCATGATCCCACCCCCTCGAGCGAGACTTCGACTTCATCGCCATCCTTCAGCCACAATGCGGGCTTGCGGCCCATGCCCACACCTTGGGGCCTATCACTCGGAGTCAGTTCAAGTTCACTAATTGCTCCTTTGGCAGCTACTCACGTTCCAGTGAAGATTAGGTCTCCAGGTTGGAGTGTCGTTCCCTGGGACAGGAAGGCTATGGTCTTGGCCACATGGAAAATCATGTCCTTGGTGGACGAGGATTGGACCGTCTTTCCGTTCAACTTGGTCGAGATCTGCAGAGCATTGGGGTCCTTGATCACACTCGAAGAGACGATTCCAGGGCCGAATGGCGCCCATCCGTCAAAGCCCTTCCCCAGCCCCCATTGACCCCCACCCCGCTTGATCTGCCAGTCCCGGTGGGATACATCGTTGCCAACGGCATAGCCCAGGACATATTCCAGAGCCCTGTGCTCGGGGACTTCGTTGGCCTCTTTCCCAATGACAATCACCAGCTCGCACTCGTAATCCAAACCCTCGCCTTCCTGGGCAATCCGTGGCACTGGAATTTCATCCGTGGGGCCGGAGATTGAGGTGACGGGCTTGTAGAACAGCACTGGGTATTTGGGAATGGGGAGATTCGACTCCTTTGCATGTTGCTCATAGTTCAACCCTAAGCAGCGCACTGTTTTGATATCTTGACGGGCCAGGGGCGCCAGCAGCAGCTTCACATCTGCCACCTGCTCGGTGACCCGGTGCTCCCCGAAGATCTCCCCTTGAATGACTCTCGCCTTGGTTGCAGTGGCGATATCACTCTGACCCGCTGGGAGGATTGCATCTCCATAGTAGATTTGGCCATCCTTGGCCAGGAAGCGGACGAGGTGCTACAGAATTAGCGGTAGTCGAGCGAACTCGAGCAAGCGACTTACTGTGAAAGACATGATGTATAGAGTCGAGAGAGGAGTTCGGCCGAGACAAGTAGAAGTAGTCGGGAAAAGTTCCCCACGCGGGAAACGTCAGCTCCACCCAATCGACTTTCGTTTCTTCGCTTTTCGCATTATGGCGCGGCTCTCCGGATTACAGCGGGACGTCTTGTCTCTATACCGAAAATGTCTGCGGGAGGTTCGCAAGAAGCCCCTGGTGAGTGCCATGCCCTTGTCCCACTGTGGGCCCCCTTGCTAACTGATCAGGACTCCCGGTCCAATTTCCAAAATTATGCCCGGTAGGTCGCCGTGGTGATCTCCAGTTCCCCCGGACTAACACGAGGACAGGGCAGAGTTCCAAAAGCATCGCTCGGTGAATAAGAAAGACTTTAGCGCCGTGGAGTATCTCCTGCGCAAAGGCCATCGACAGCTCGAGATGTATGCTTCCCCGGGAATCCGCAATATCCGATGAGGACTGGTCGACGTCTGGGATACGGAGCTCCCCTATGCCGGTTCCGCCCGAAGGCAATGGGCCGTGATGGGCACTGCTGGAGGCTCAGTGGGATGTGTCCTGCTCAGAGTACGCGGCATTGTATACTACGCGCATTTGTCAGCTGGAGAACTCTCCAGGGCTCTCTGGAGCTATGTACAAAATATGAGTAATTACCAAGCACACATTGCCACGGGAATTCCACTTGAATTTCCAAGCATATTTACTGGAAAGAGTGTAGAACGGATGGGGGATGTGCTGAGAAGCGTCTACCTGCCGCCACCGGCTTCTGGATGCTTCCCGCAGACACTCGACATAGGACATCCATGTATATAAAAGGATGCACATTCAAGGAGGAAAGAGACACTCAGAATCAAAAACAATCATCCCAATCATCCCAATCATCCCAATTCACTGCCAAAGCCTATCACTCCAATCTCAATGGCTTTCTTCTCGCAATCCGGCTTCTCGCCACTCCTCCAACTCCTCAATGACTACGAGGCTCAACCGGAATGCAACTTCTACAAAGAATGCAAACCAGTGCAATGCCCCAAACCGCAGACAACCCGATCCTTCGCACCTGCATTTGACGTGCGCGAGCTAGACGAGGGTTACTACCTGGACGGCGAACTCCCAGGCGTCGACCAAAGCAACATCGATATTCAATTCAGCGATCCTCACACACTGGTCATCACCGGTCATACCGACCGTAACTATGACACCCCAAAGATACCCAGCCGCAGTCCATCTCCTGCGAGCTCTACAGGCTGGCACCAGGCCACCGTTGAGGATGAAGATGCACAGTCGGCCAGCTCGGCCAGCGATACTGCACCCTCAGAGCCGGCAGAGAAGGCGGAGCCTTACTACTGGGCCAAGGAACGCTCTGTTGGGGACTTCCAACGGAACTTTAGCTTCACGGCACGCGTCGATCAGGACTCGGTTCGCGCGAGTTTGAAGAACGGCATTCTATCTGTGTTCGTGCCGAAGGAGGCTGTTCCTCTACCGAAGAAGATTCGCATCCAGTGAGCTTGAATGATGGATTATTTGTACTTTTGGCATTTATGGTTATAGATATGTAATAGTATGAAATTTAATCGTTTACAATTGTTTAAGCACAAGTTTTGTAGATATTTCGCAATTGTAAGTTTGCATCAACTCCCGACGTCTCTACGGTTGGCGTGCATCAGTAGACCTGGAGATTCAACGAGACGTATCTATCCTAGGTGATGAACAGACTTTCGGAGTTAGTAAATATGGGCACAGGATTAAGATGTACAGTTTGACTCGCTAAAATGACATGAGTGGTTTTACAGTTGCGCCAACAACGACTGAACAGCCGTGCGCAGTTCCTCCAAGGGGACCTCTTCCTTGAAGCCAAGTCGGCGACATTGCACCTCCAAGGTCTGATTCTTCTTCCATCCGTGGCCAGCAACCACGATGACCGGGTATCCAATCATGTCTGCATCGCCCAATTTCCAGCCCATGCCCTTGTCCCGATCATCAAGGATCACATCAACGGCATCAGTGAGATTGTCGTAAACCTGATCAGCCACAGTCTCTAGCCCCTTTCCGGGAACGACCACAACTTCGTAAGGTGCCATGGCCCGTGGCCAGTTGAGCCCCCTAGAATCAGCGAGTCGGTTCGCCACTGCAGAGATCATCCGCGAAACGCCAATACCGTGACAGCCCATCTGCATGGGGACAATTTGTTCCTTGGTGGATGGTTTGATTTTAGGGTCGGACGGTCCCCCCAGAAGCGCGGAATTGACCGAGACCGAGGCGTCGAGCACCTCGCTGTAGCGCGTTCCAAGGTAGAAGGTATGTCCTAGTTCGACCGCAGGGTGACTCGTTAATGACCCATGCGCGCACTGGGAGCACTGATCACCATCGTGGACGCGAACAAGACTGAGGTGATTTGAGGTTCCAGGGAACCGATCCAGTTTAGAATAGTCGATGTCCGAGGCCGCGCAGTTGACCTTTTGGAGGATATCACTAAGTGGTGGGCGTTGGTATACCCGAACCTGAGAATCGTACAGGTCTAATACTCGAGGTCGCTGCCCCGAAGATCGATTGGCCATGACATGTTTAGTCCATCGGTCGAGCGGATTTTCCACACTCAGATCGAGGTCAACGCCAGCCGCAGCGGCAATGGCCTTGACCGCATGTGAGTTAACGTGTCGTTCCACAGGCTCCGAGGCACCACTATGCATGGAGAACTTGGGATACCAGCCCCGCACAATGGTGTTCCCGTCGTGCGAGACGGCCATCCACATACCGGTTGAAATCGTGGGTCCCCCTTCGACAGTCGCATGGTCAGTGTTGAAGCCGGGTGTCGGAGATGATATACTTTCGTCAAAGTTGTGCGTCATTCCGTCAGCCAATTCTTCGTTATAAACATGTTCGCAGTGTGAGCAGTTGACCACATTGTCCTCGCCCTTGGGACTGATGAAGTGATATTCGTGACTCAATGAGCCGCCCATATTTCCCGAATCTGCTGCAGCGACGAGATATGGAATTTTCAACTCATCAAACAGCCCCCTGTAGGCTACTTTAACCGCATCGTATGTCTTGAGTGCCTCATGAACATTGTAGTCGAATGTATAGAGGTCTTTCATAATGAACTCTCGTCCACGAAGTAAGCCTTGCCTTGGCCGGGCCTCATCTCTGTACTTGCGTGCTTGAAAGCATGTTAGCCACTGTAGCAGGTGAGATCGCACGAAGGGCTCACAGATTTGATACACCCGCAAAGGCAAACTCTTGTACGAAGTGGTCAGACTTCCCACCAGAGTGGTGATCTCCTCCTCATGTGTCGGAGCCAGGAGGAATGGTGTCTCCTTTCTGTCTTTAAAGCGGAATAACTAGGAATTGGGTGAGTGACGATGCCCAAACGCCAGAAGCGCAAGCTTACTTCGGAGCCTCCACTTAGTCTACCTGACTGTTCCCAAAGTTCTTGCGATGATAGCGAAGACAAGGATACTTTGGAGGCACCTGGTACGGTTGAGATGAGAGGTATGCCCAAAGCCGCGGAAAGCATCGCTTACCTAGCGAGCGCATGTGCTTGTCAATGAGACGTTCTAGCTTGTCCTGAACGCGTAGCCCAAGTGGAAGTAAATGAAATACACCCGAGTAAGCCTGCAGGATTGTTAGCTATTCCCTTGTATCTAAAGATCCATCCTTACCTGGCGAAGAAAGCCACCTCGTACTAGCAAATCATTGACGTCCTCTGGGTTAGTGTTAGTCTCTGAGAACATAGTCAGTCATCGTAAACCATACCAATTTCCCCATCAATTGGCTTTTTTGAGATTCCTCCTGTTGGGATCCAGAAATTGGACACACGGCTTCGCCCATCAATCTAGATCAAGTCAATGTTTGTTAGTCTATAGCAGCTAGGTCAATGGCACATACATGAAGATTGCGTTGTGAGATACGGAGACTCAATGCCCTCAGGGGCAAGCGCCCCAGAGCAGGACGCAGTCTCGAGATCATTGAAAAAGACAACTTCATGAGATGGGTAGAGAAAGTCCGCGAGGGAAAATACCCGTGGACGTGGAGTCCCATGTTTCTTATCGGGGTGGTCCGAGCGCGCTGATAACCGCAAAAGATTTCTCCGTCCAATTTTCTTTCCTCCACCATCCCCAAACACACCACATCATGGCTAAAGGGAAAGGAAAGCGTTCTTCGGACGCAAATGAGACTGCCGGAGCTGCTGCTCCAGCGCCTGCTACCGACACAACCGTCATGCCCGACGAAAGCGCCTTTGCGGGCCTACGACAGAAAATCGAACAGCGATTGAAGAACCAGAACCAGAATTCTGGCAAGGGAAAGAAGGACAACAAGTCCCCTGCGCCTGCGAAGGAAGCCCCCACCAAGAAAGAAAAGCAATCGCCCGCTAAACCCAGCCGACCCCAAGACTCAGCCCAGGGCAAGAAGCGGGATCGTAACGGCGAGGTAATTGCTCGGGATGAGAAGAAGGGTGGAAAGGACAGGCACGAAAAGTCAAAGGGCTCAAAGAAGAGCAATGGCGATGAAACGTTGCGCCAGGAGATCCTTGCCATGGGAGGCACAGAGGAAGATCTTGATCTTCTTGCCGGTGTCGACTCAGAATCCGAGGTTGAAGGCGAAGCAGCCCAGGGCGACGATGATCTCCGAAAACAGCTTGCAAGCATGCTCGAGGCGGCTGGCCAAGTTGTGCCCGAAGACCTCGATGATGATGAAGTGGAAGATCTTGAAGAACAACCCGAAGAGAGTGAAGATGAGGCCGAGATCGAGGACAGTGAGGACAACGCGGAGAGCAGTGGCCCGGAATCGGATATTGAAGAGGCACCTACCCCCAAGACCAAAACAGCTGAGCTTGCTGTGCCCAAGGAGTATGAAAAGCTGGTAAGCGATGACCCGCTCTACTACATGGTGCTTTTATTAACAAGATCTACAACAGAATGTGCTCCCTCGCTCCGATTGGTACAATATCCCAATGCCCACCGTTGGAAACACGAAACAAATGAATGCGCTGCCCCGTCACCTAATTGACCGCGTCCATGAGTTGGCCAACAACCTACTACAGGAAGAAAATGAGGATTATGCGGTAGCCCAAAGAACATCTGCTTCCTCGTCGCACAAGTTCTACTCGACAATCATGACCTCCGGTACCCTGAGTGATAAGATTTCAGCCTTGACTTTGAACGTCCAGGAGTCACCTCTTCACAACACCAAGGCACTGGAAACTTTGATTGGCCTCGGAAAGAAGCGCAGTCGTGCACAGGCGGTCGAGGTCCTGCGATCCTTGAAGGATATGTTTGCTCAGGGTACTCTTTTGCCGAGTGACCGACGACTAAGGGCTTTCGCCAACCAGCCTGGGCTTGTTGCGGCATTCCAAGGTGCCGGTGGTCGATGGAACGAGAAAGACCCTCTTCCTGGCGGCTTGCAGAAGAGCCAGCTGATCGTTTGGGCCTTTGAAAACATTGTGAAGGATCAATTCTTCGAGGTTTTGAAGATTTTGGAGATTTGGTGCAATGACGAAATCGAATTTTCCCGATCTCGGGCCGTCAGTTATGTTTACGAACTTCTCAAGGAGAAGCCCGAGCAGGAGACCAACCTTTTGCGACTGTTGGTCAACAAGCTCGGTGACCCAGGCAAGAAGATTGCATCTCGGGCATCCTACCTCCTTCTGCAGCTCATGCAGTCGCACCCTATGATGAAGCCCATTATCATCAAGTCGGTGGAAGAGGTGTTGTTCCGCCCTGGGCAGAGTTCGCACACCAAGTACTACGCCATCATCACTCTGAACCAAACTATTTTGAGACAGAAGGAAGAGAAAGTGGCTGCACAGTTGCTGGACATTTACTTTGGTATGTTCCTCGTCCTTCTGAAGCCATCTACCGGTAAGCCAGCGCCCCAAAGCAAACGCGGCAAACCTGGCAAGGGCCATAAAGGCAAGGGCGACGATGAGGCGAAGGGACAAGCCCAAGATGAGGAAATGCGGGAGAAGTTGATCTCTGGAGTCTTGACCGGTGTCAACCGCGCATATCCCTTTACTGACTCTGACTCCGAACGGTATGCTCCCTTTTGTTCCCATCGTGTTAAGCCGAATACTAATCTTCAGTAGCATGTCAAAGCACCTTGACACCCTCTTCCGTATTACGCACTCGTCAAACTTCAACACCAGCATCCAAGCCCTTATGCTTATTCAACAACTCACAGTGGCCAACAAGGTCTCTGGTGATCGTTTCTACCGCACTCTGTATGAATCTCTGCTCGATCCGCGTGTTGCTACTTCGTCAAAGCAATCTCTTTACCTCAACCTTCTCTACAAATCTTTGAAGAACGATCTCAACGTCCGACGAGTCAAGGCATTTGTCAAACGTCTTGTGCAGGTCCTGGGTATGCACCAGCCGTCGTTCATTTGCGGTATCTTCTACATGATTCGCGAGCTTGAGAAGACCTTCACGGGTCTTACCGCTCTAGTTGACCAGCCAGAGGATCTCGATGACGACGACGAAGAGATCTTCCGCGATGTTCCCGACGAGGATGACGAGCAACCGGAGGAGACCCCAGTTGTCGAAACCAAGCCCAAGCAGACGAACGCATACGAACCCCGCAAGCGAGACCCTGAACACAGCAACGCTGACAGAAGCTGTCTCTGGGAATTGCTTCCCTTCACCAACCACTTCCATCCTTCCGTTTCTCTCAATGCCACCAACCTGCTCGAGCACAAGCCCATGAGCGGCAAGCCAGATCTCACACTGCATACCCTTACTCACTTCCTCGATCGCTTTGTTTACCGCACGCCCAAGGCCAGTGCAGGTGCCCGTGGAGGTTCTCTCATGCAGCCTCTTGCTGGTGGAGACACTGTGGATCGACTGGTAGAGGCCGGTAAGAAGGCTCAGAACCAGCTGCCGCTGAATACCGACGCCTTTTGGAAGAAGAAGGCCGAGGATGTCGCGGCCGAGGATGTCTTCTTCCACGAATACTTCACTCGCGTCAACAGGGACAAGGAGAAGTCACGTGGCAAGAAGGACAAGGAGACTGACCCCGCGGACCGTGACGAGGAAGGCCTCAGCGACAACGAGGATGAGATTTGGAAGGCGCTTGTCGATTCCCGCCCCGAGCTGGAAGCCGATGAGAGTGATGACGACCTGGACATGTCCGACTTGGAGTCTGCGTTTGACGACGAAGAGGGCGAGGGCGAAGGCGATGAGGAGTCCGACGGCGGTGTCATCTTCAACGATGAGTCCGACATTCCTTCTGACGAAGATGAGGAGATGGCCGACTTCGGCGAACCCGAAGACGCCGCTCCCGCTCCGACGAAGAAGGCTGCCAAGAAACCCTCCAAGGAAGACGAGGAAGATTCCGATGACTTCGACATGGATGTCTCAGACGACGAGGCCTTCTACGACAGCGACGAGGATCTCCCCTCGGATGTCGAGCTTGGCGGTGCGGCGCTCGCAGAACCCGAGACCCCTGCTCCAGAAGAGTCGAACAGCAAGAAACGTCGCAAGCTCAAGCAGCTGCCTACTTTCGCCTCGGCGGACGATTATGCGGCGCTCCTGGCGGACGACGACGACGGAATGTAATCTTTGTATCGGCTTGGATGAGTCTGATTCCGAATATGCCTTTTGGGCCCCCAAAATTCGATCTCGCATTTGGAGTTGTTGTGGGCTGTACATGTCTATTTTTCATAGCTTTCTTATTATTCAATGTCATCTATACCGTATGTCTATTTGCCATAGCTTTACGGAGTATGTGCAGTCAGTACAAGCTTCCCACGATTTAGGCCTAGGCTGAGAGCTGGCATGCACGGGACTTTTCTCAACTCTCGGCGTCCAGGATTGGGGCCAAAGTCGAACCGAGCGGCCATCTCGGCTCCCGGTAAGGGAAAGGCTGTAGGGAGTCGGTAGTCGGTCGCACGCCATTCAGATCCATCTAAATAAGCTCTTTCGGTCAGCTCCGTGTGGCTCGATGCCGATGTGGAGTTTGATGCCATCGCTGCGGGTTCGCACGCAAGAGGCTAGACCGTTTGAGGAATGTTCGTATTGCTGTCTCCGTACGTAGTCAACAGTAGATTATACTAGTACTGTACTTCGTACAGGGTATGAAAGAACACTCGGGCAAAGGGGAGGTACAGATAGTTTGACCTCTGGAGACCTCAAGGGCCCTTCCGATCAACTGCCTCGGGGCCGGAGACTCGGCTTACATCATCAGCCCGTCCCCAACCTCGGGACCCTCGGGAGGTTCTCATCTCCGTGTCACTCCCACCACTCACCACTCGCGCATTCGCTACATCAGCATCCCTGTGTACTGCGTACAGATGAGAAGTCTTCCGCATGCGGGGCCGCCATGACCCCACTGGCGTACCCATCGAAACGGAAATATGATGGGCGCGACATTGCGCAGTGGGGGTGCGGGTCTGCCTCGTGCGCCCCCTTGCTGAATCGCAGTTTGCAGCAGGGCCGATCACTGACTATCTGGGCTTAGCCGCTCGTGGACTGGATCGAGCTTCCATTCGTGGAGGTCTGTTCGCTGGAAAGTCTTGAATGGCCCTTGGCACTGCTTGACTGCCAGCCATGGCTGGTGCCAATTGCGGTAGTGGTTCATCACGTCACGAATCAACTGCGATCGACTGGTTTTTTTTTTTTCTTTTTCTTTTTTTCTTTTTCCGGTTCGACCTGGAGGAACTCGGTGTGTTGCCCCATACTGCAATCTACGATACTCCATACTGGGAAGATTGCTGACGGCCTGTTTCCCTTTTCTTCCTTTTCTCTGGTTTCCTGTTTTCCCCTTTCCCTCTCCTACAAACTTGATCCTTTTGATCCTAGTTCGATCATTTTTTGGGCTTTAAACAGTCCTCTCTTCCCGTCCAGGTCTGCGACTGCGGTTTTGTTCAAGGAATACCACCTTGAGTACCCACATTTGCCCTAATCCGTCCATTTCTCTGTCTTTGGACCTTGCAATCCACCAAGTTTTCTCGAAAGAAATCTCGATTTTGAAGGTGAATTCATGATCGGCGTACATGTCAACAAAAAAAAAAAAAGACCACTCCGCTCACTCCGCACTTCAGACTATCTAGACCGTTACATGCATCCGCAGATCTAAACATCTTCTCTCAACTCCAGAGTTGCCTCGGCGGGATTCTTCCGCTCTTTCACGTCATGGCTGGGTTAACCAACTCAACAAAACCCGTCGGCTGGGACCACGACCGGGATATCGATACATCGCCAGATCCATCAGACAAGTCCGACCAAGATCCAAAGCTGAAGGACTTTGATGTCGAGGGTCAAGGCCGCCGTGGCTCTCAACATCATGTCACCGCCATTGATGGCTCTTCAATGACCGAGAGCGTTGGGCGCCAGATCGATATGGAGTCGGAAAACACGATCAAGTATCGGACTTGCAGTTGGCAAAAGGTGCGCGGAGATCGGTTCCGCAAAGGAAAACGACTTGCTAACAAACCACTTCTTACAGACCGCTGCATTGCTCTTCTCCGAGTACATTTGCCTGGCCATCATGTCGTTCCCCTGGTCCTATTCAATTCTGGGCCTGGTTCCCGGTTTGATTCTGACTGTTGTCATCGCCGGTATCGTCCTATACACTTCGCTGATCACCTGGTATGCTCCCATCTTGCTCTTCCGTCATTACTGCGTTGCCATTCCGGGTACTCATAATGATACAGGAGATTCTGTCTACGACACCCAGAAGTCCGTGATGTTTGCGACATCGGCCAATACCTGTTCTGGGATTCCAAGATTGCCTGGTGGGCTACCGCAGTTATGTTTCTGTTGAACAACACATTCATTCAGGGCCTGCACTGCGTGGTCGGTGCCGAGTATCTGAACACGATGTCTAACGGAGCAGTATGTACAGTCGCATTTGCCGCCATTGTCGCAATCATCTCGTTCTTCTTTTCGCTGCCGCGTACATTCAGCACCTTGTCCAAGGTTGCCACCCTATCGGCGTTTTTCACCTTCGTTTCCGTCATTTTAGCATGTGTCTTCGCTGGAATCGAAGACCACCCCAAGGGTTACACCCCCGCCATGGGAAATCCCATTGTACTGGCTATTCCGGCCAAGGGCACAACCTTTGTACAGGGCATGAACGCGTTCTTGAACATCAGTTACACCTTCATCGGCCAGATCACACTTCCCAGCTTCATCGCCGAGATGAAGGAGCCCCGGGACTTTTGGAAGTCCGTGACCGCTGTCACAGTTGCCGAGATCATCGTCTTCAGCTTGGTCGGTGCGGTCACTTACGTCTATGTCGGCAACCAGTACATGGTTGCTCCGGCATTTGGCTCTATTGGAGACGACCTGTATAAGAAGGTTTCATTCTCGTTTATGATCCCGACGATCATCTTCCTAGGCGTGCTGTATGCCTCGGTTTCGGCCCGCTTCATCTTTTTCCGCCTGTTCGAAGGTACCCGCCACAAGGGTAACAACACTGTGGTCGGCTGGGCCTCTTGGGCTGCAATCCTTGCAGCTCTTTGGGTCGTCGCTTGGATCATTGCCGAGGTCATCCCCTTCTTTTCTGATCTGCTGTCCATCATGAGCTCTCTGTTCGATTCCTTCTTCGGATTCATCTTCTGGGGCACTGCTTATCTTCGTATGCGGGCTGATGATCACGGGCCCCAATTTTACAAGATCCGTGGTATTCGTGGATGGCTTGGTTTCATCTTCAACGTCTTTTTGATTCTCGTTGGTTTCTTTTTCTTGGGACCCGGCACCTACGTAAGCTTTCCTCTCCTGCACTGCTTGCTTTCGACTTACTGACCCTGTCCAGGCTTCCGTCATGTCCGTGGTTACCAGCTACCGCGATGGTACCGTCGGTGGCGTGTTCACCTGTGCCAGCAATGGCCTGTAAATCTTCCACTGGCCATTATACCCATGAACAATTTTTGAAGCACTTGGCTGAGATATCTCGTGCCTTGGCTACGAGTCATGATATCCGCTGTCACATATAAATAAGAGATAATCCAATCACCGCAATGTGCATCTTCATTTACCCGTGTCCTGATTGCGGAGCGAAGCGAAGCATTATAGTATCATAGGATCCCCGGGCCTCTTTCCCTGCATCACGTGACAACACTTTTGGTGGTGGGCTCAAAATCCATAGAATTCTGCTCAAATAGGGCGGCGAAATTGTCATCGCTGAGATACGGCAGAATACTTCGACTGGCAGAAAAAAAAAATGATTTGCTTGGACCAATATGCCTCCACCCCCCTTTTGGGGTTGATCACGTGACATGATGCTTTGCTACGTTCCGCGTGACTTTCTGGTGGCCTTAGGCCACCGAGATCCCTAGTACGATGTGTTCTGCACCCCAAGACGTTCAATGCCTCCCCTGTCCCGCTCTCGGTCATGACAACTGAGCTGTTAAATCTACAAAACTCCTCGGATGGTCAAGCATTCGGTCCTATTCCCTACATGTCACGGCGGTGGGTCATCTCATGCTGATCAATGTGGATTGATCGCAAACGCTACTTTTCTCCAGCTGAAGCGAATTACGGAGTACCAGTGGGGGAATTGCGCAATGTGATAGATCAACAAGCGGTCTATACTCCGTAGATGATTAAGCATCATGGCTGTAGGTTTTAACTTGACCCCGCGTGGGTTTAGCAATTCAGAGACACTTCAGCTTCTACGCCACCCCTATGCCTTGGGTCGTGGTCCTCCCATCGTCCTAACTGCTTCGTCAGAACGCCATCGCGCTCTTCCTGTTTCACTGGGTAGAGCTCGACCTGCTTTCTCATCATAGGTCTTTTTAAGCCCGGTCGTAATCAAGTCCATATAGTGTGTAGCGCATAAGAAAATATAAGAGAAATAAGAAAACTCTTTTGAATGAACTCATAAAATCGGATATATACAGTATAAATCATCACGCTAGTCTTTCTCGCAAACGTCTGAAAATAGTCCAGAATACTCTTCACTGAGGACGGTGGAATTTGCTCTCCACCCAAGGCATACCACCCACGGTAGCCTTGCGGACCTTGTTGCGGACTTTAACACCAAGCTCGGTGCCCTTCTTGTGCAGACCCTGCTTGACATAGGCCATGGCAATGTTGGTCCCGTTTAGAGATGGGCTGGGTAGACCGGAAGTTACAACACCGACCTCGACGATGTTGGTAGGGTCCGAAATGTCAACGACGGTGGCACCCTCGCGGGCCGGGGGCCCCTTCTCAACTGTCAACCCCACGCGGCGCTGAGGGATGGTCTTGGGGCTGGCGATTTGGGAAAGAATGGTGGATGCTCCGTTGAAAGTGGCGGTGGCCACATCACGGCGGTCCCGGCCAACAACCCAGCCAAGGGCTGCGGCAGGGGGTGTTTGAGCGGTTGAGATGTCATGCCCGTAGAGACACATGCCGGCCTCGAGGCGGAGAGAATCACGGGCTGCCAGACCAGCAAGACGGCTCTTGCTGCTATCAGCCAGGAGAAGCTCGGTGACTTGCTTGGGCAGGTCGGGGGCACCGGATGTGGGGATGGAGATCTCGAAACCGTCCTCGCCGGTGTAGCCTGTGCGGGAAATGAGGAGGGGATGGGCACTGGCACTTCCGTCCGAAAGGGTGAGGTATAGTTCGCGGCAGTTGCCAAAGTAGAGGGTGCTAAGGTCGGTTTCAGAGGAAGGGGTGTTTGCGGTGTTAATCAGTGGTTGAAGGACGGAGGCAGCGAGGGGACCCTGTAGCGCGACAAGGGCACGGTCAGAGAGAATGTCCCACTTGATGCTGTCGAGACCATGCTTGGACCGGTAGGCCTCGATCTCGGCAGTGAGGAATTCCAGATCCTCGGTGCGGCGGCCGGCATTGGTCACAAAGTAGAAGGTATCTTCAGTGCGGCGGGTGATCACGCAGTCGTCAACCATGCCACCAGTGCCCTCTTCTAACAGGCAAGAAAGGGTCGATGTGTTTGGGGCGAGCTTATCCACCGAGGACGGAGTAATCTTCTTCAACAGTTCCGCAGCTCCAGGACCGCTAAGGTGGTGCTGGACCCTAAATCCATGTTAGCCATGTATAGGTGGATGGACGGAGACCCGAACTTACATGTGGCTGACGTCGAAGAGACTGGCCTTCTCGCGCGTCCACAGGTGGCTTTCCACATGGCTCATGTCGGCATACACCAGCGGCATGTCAAAGCCCGCGAAAGGGACCATCTTGGCCCCACGCTCCACATGCAAGTCATAGAGCTGGGTTTGGCTCAGAGGCTCGCTTGTGGTGGACGCAAACCGCACAGCCCGCGGTGCTGACCGCGAAGCTGGAGCTGCCAATGGCGCATTGGACCTCAATGCCCGTGATGTGGTCGGCCGCACTGTAGCCGCGGAGGAGAGCTCGCGCCGAAGCAGAGTGGAGCCGATAGCGGCGCGGGGAGTGTGGAGGGCGACCCTCGTGGTAGTAAGGTCAACGCCTCGGGAGAGAATACGGACGCTAGACATGATATCAATGCTTCAATTGACTGACGAAGAGAAGAAGAAAACAAAGAGGAAAAGAAACGGAGCATAAGAGATCCCCAGACGGAGAAGGTGAAGCGGAAAAGTCACGTGCTGATAGGGGGATGTTCCAAGGTTGTCCGCTCGGGAATCTGGTTGGCCTCGGAGTTCTTCAGTCGATGGAGGTCATACAGTAGAGTGCAGTACTCCGTGCTGCAAATGGCCCTTCAAGCTTGCTGAGAGTGAATTCAGAAGCCAGGTTGGGATATAGTGAGTGTTGGAAGTAGCACTGTTATATATCTCCCGAGGTCGCTAATGCGCTATGATATACATCTAAACCGAGGGCTACCGAGCGGAGATGAGATGGATACCTACCTAGGTACCTAGGTAGCTACGACTCCCCGGCAAAGTACCACCTACTAGTACCTAGGTCGTAAACATGAACCACCACAGACCACCACAGCCTTGGAAGAGTTGACTGAATTTAATACATATGGTTGTATCAGCTTTGGAATATCACCTGTGTTTGAGATGTAACTAGCGACCCGAATGAGCCTGAGGAACATGACCATCAGACTGGGCACGCTTCGACAGAACCCTCTTACTCTGTTCCTGAGGAAGAGAGGGTGGTAAGTCCTCGGGTTTGGTGCCCCATTCACCTTCCTCCTTCCCAAGAACAAGGACTAAATCGCGTCCCTCCGTGAAGAAATCATGGCCCACCCAACTCTTAGAGTATGGCTTTCCGTCAAGAGTGGCAGATTGGATGAACCCATTCCCACCAGCTGCAGCACCACTGACATTGGCAGTGTTATATTCTGCCCAATTTGAAACGCTCAGAGTAGCGGTCTTTCCCGTGATCGGGGAGACGATGCTCACGGAGTCAAAGAACGGCACGGTGAGAAGGTAGACGTCTTGTCCAGGGTTCGGGAACAAACCCATCATGGCCATGGCGACAAATGATCCCATAGCACCGCTGTCGTCATTCCCGGGAAGCCCGGCTGGGGTCGGCGAGAAGTAGTCTGGGATGTAAGTACGGACTCGAGACGTGGATTTCCCGGGTCGGCCGGCATAATGATACTGGAAGACCGTCAGGAAGGCAGGCTCGTTGCCAATGTACGTAATGTTTTTGTCATGGAGATAATCAAGACGGCGAACAAAGTCATCTGGACCACCAAGGAGGTTGATCAATGTTGACATGTCGTGGGGAACGAAGCTTTATGCCGCAGAGTTAGCAGAGATTTTTCACCAGATACGAATAAATCCAGGAATACCTACAATTGATACTCCCAGATGCTAGACTCAAATGTTTCCCCAGCATTGTTCTGTAGGGAACACGAGCCACCGCTGTTGTCAATGTTGGAACAGGCGAGAGGATCCTGGAAACCCCATGTCTCGTTCTGGTACTTTGGCTGAAAGAATCCGGTGAATTCGGTGTCCTTCCCTTTCCAAGACGAGGTTTGGTTTTTCTTGAACAGATTCTGCCAGTTCCGAGATCGTGTCTCGTACCGATGTGCGTCGTCTGTCTTATTAAGGGCCCTGGCCATTTGGGAAATGGCAAAATCGTTGTATGAGTATTCCAGAGTGCGCGAGATACTTCGAGTCATCGTGCCAAACCCTTCATAGTCGAAATCTTCAACAGGGATGTAGTGTAAATCTTTCCAGCTCCGCAGACCCCCACGACCCTCGCTAGACCAGTCGTATGGCTCTTCCTCGGCGTCCTTCTGAACGGCAGCATATCCTGCATCCCAATCAATGTCACCTCGAAGACCTTTGAGATAAACATCGGCCAAAACATTGTCAGCGTTGGAGCCGCCCTGTGTGAAACCTTTACAGAGAGACATGCGACAGTCTGGAAGCCAGCCTAGATGACGCTGAGTATCGATGAGCGAGCGGACCATCTCAATCACTGAGCTCGGGTCGAAGATCGTAAGGAACGGAATCTGAGAACGGAAAGAATCCCACAGACAATAGAAAGAGTCAAAATACGGCTCACTGCTTGACCAGAGCGGATTCTCCCCAGTGTAGTTCTGGGGATTGATCATCGTTCGGTATATCCCACTGTAGAAGTTAGTGAGAACAGAGTCACTGATGTTTGCCCGTGAGACTCGGATTGGCTCCATCTTCTTGGTCCATTGATCGACCGCAGTTTGGTGGGTGGAATTGAAATCGAAGTCGGGGATTTCGGCCTCGGCATGTGCACAGGCTTGCTCAGTTCCCATGAAGCTCACACCCATCCGAGCCAGGACCGTATCAGTTGCATGCTCGAACCGAATGAACCCACCGCCCTATCAGTAATTGATCAGCCCAAATACACCTGCATAAATCATTCACGCCCAAACTCACTGGAAGCGGGTATCCATTGATACTTCGCGAGACTTTCAGATCGTGGACATCAGTACTGGCTCGTGAGTTGACAAAGATGCCGCTGTCCCGCCGAGGCGCGGCACTCTTGAAATCTGCACAGAAGTGCAAGGTGTACGTCCCAGATCCAAAGCTAGGAGAGAATCGCGCATTGCCCGACATACGACCCGTCTCCTCGTCCACGGAGATCGTCGCATTGTCCTGTCGGGAATTGGACAAATCAGTGAGATCCAACAGGACCAATGGGCTACTGTCCTTTGGGAACTGGAAGCGGAATAGAGATGCGTGGTGCGCAGTAGTCATATCAACCCGCACGCCAGACGCCAGCTCAATACTGAAGTATCCTGGGTGCGCCTGCACCGAGTCAGGCTTGTACTGGATCTTTCGCTGGTTCTTCGGATAGTGACAGCCATTCACATCATCACCAACGCATTTTGCATACGGGAAGAACGGAAAGTTCCCCAATGAGGGACTTCCTCCAGTACCGGAGTCATGCATGCTAGAGAACCCAGTGATATTCCCACCTTCGTAGGCGAACCCTCCCTGGTTGCTCCCAGAGTCCGTGTCGGCCACGGCCTTGGCCATGCCGTAGGGTAGTGAGGCACCAGGGAAAACATTTCCTATGGATGTTATTCACTTGCGACTTGCATTCAGTGTTACAAGAGCGTACCTCCATTAGCGCTCCCGATCAAGGGATTGACATATTGGAGCACCTCGTAAGCGTGAGCTATATGGCCCAGTACGCTGATGAGAAAGATTAGCGATTGCATTGTCGATGTGTGGAAGATGAAAGAGAGAGGAGAGAACGGAGAGGGCGCTCTACCCCTACAGCGTGCCTGCCTGGTATGTGCCTCGAGTTCGGAATGTCGCTTTGCAGGCCAAGGGATTGGAAAGTCGACTGAGACTATTGCACTCTTTATTTTCCATTGCGAGTCGGTGGAATATCTAGGAATCGTAAAATGCCAAAAGCCATCTAGTTGTCCTGTATGTACAGCAAAGGTGGGGAATCAAGTTAAAAAAACACCATGTCCAATCCGCTGTACAAGAATAAAAGCAATCATAGATACAAATGCCATGCAGCCGCTTACTGCTTAGCGGGGAGGTAGCCCTTGGAGTCAAGGTACTCGATGATCTGCTTCACGGCCTCGGTGACGGGGAGGTCAACATTCTTAATGTGCACCTCGGGGTTCGCAGGAGCCTCGTAGGGGGCGGAGATACCAGTGAACTCCTTGATCACACCCTCACGGGCCTTCTTGTAAAGACCCTTAGGGTCGCGCTGCTCCGCGACCTCAACGGGGACGTCAATGTAGACCTCAACGAAAGGCAAACCGGTCTCCTCGCCGGGGGTGGGGACCTCGTGCAATTGACGGGCACTGTCACGGTCCTTCTGGTAGGGAGAGATGAAAGAGGTGATGGCGATGGAGTTGGAGTCGGCGAACAACTTGGAGACCTCGCCAATACGGCGAATGTTCTCGTTGCGATCAGCCTCGCTGAAGCCCAGGTTCTTGTTCAAGCCGAAGCGGATGTTGTCACCGTCCAGGCGGTAGGCGTGGACACCACGGTCACGGACCAGCTGGTGCTCCAGTTCCACAGCGATGGTCGACTTGCCAGAGGCGGAGAGGCCGGTCAACCAGATGGTGAGACCTTGCTGCTTGCGCAACTCGGTGCGCTCGGCACGGGTGAGGCCGCTGGCGTGAAAGGTGATGTTGCTGGAAGATGTTAGCAATTGAGATTGGCTAGGTGCGCCCGCTACTCACGTAGACATTGTGTATAAAGAGAACAGTGAACTAAAGAAAAGAAAAGAAGAAAAAGAGTGTACAGAGGAGGGGCAACTTAAAACGGGGCCGCGTCAGAGCGACTTCGCTGATCCGCGGGGGTTGCGCCATTCCTTGGCATCGCATTTTTCGATGGCGTTTTTTTCCCAGTTTTTCACTTTCTTTCGTGTCTGGAGGATATTGTATTGCGCACATGTCTAATTATATATATACAACGGAACAGGAACCAGGAACACCCTCAATTCGCCACCTTATGCAGATTCGCCAAGGCCTGGTCTCTAGATTAGTTGGATTCCGAGATGGGTTTCGGGTATAGACTTACAGCGGCCTGTTTGGGCTCAATGAACAGCGCCTTCGACTCAACCAATACCAAAGGCGCGGAGCCATCAGTGGGGAGAGTCTCAATGCGTCCTTCCACCCACGCTTTGCGGCCCTCGACCTTAACCGTCTCCGCGCGGAGGGCAACGTACTGATCGGCCATCGCGGGAGCCCGGTAATCGATATTCAGGTTTGCGGTGACTGCCACTTTGTTCGGTAGGGCGGGGAAACAGCAACGAGCCATGCCCTCATCGAGCAACGTAGCGAGTAGACCGCCGTGGACGATTCCGGGATGCCCACAAACATCGGAGCCAAGGTACATGAGCGAAACCATGCTCTTACCATCGCGCTCACTGAACACATACGGAGGGACCACAATCTTTCCGGGGCCTGCCAGTGTACCCGCCGTTAGACTACGGGCTCGCAGGGACTCGGGGATCTTGTGGTGGGGGCGCGCTTCCGTGAAGTCCGGGTTTGCGCGGAGGGCCTCGGCCTCCGCATGCGTGCGCAGGGTCTCGTCAATCTGTGCGGAGTCGGAGTCGGGAGCTTGGTATGCAGAGAGAGTCTCCTCGTTTGTGGGGATGGGAGCCGCCATGATGCGGTTGAGGGTGCGGAAGCTTTGGAACGATAGACCGGCGCCGAAGGCGAAGAAGGCGATGGCGCTGAACCCGAGGAAGCGTGAAATGAGGCGGCGCGGTGGTCGAGGTGAAGCGGAAGTCGATGGGTTTTCTGAAGGCGTATTAGACTGGGTACTATTCTAGGAATAAATCGCGGACCTGAGAAGTAGGTTTTATACTGAGGTTGCCTCGGGGCACCGGAGAATGATCGGTAAGCTGGAGATCGGCGCAAGGAAGGGAAAGAGGATTTAGGCAGACGGAACATGGCGAAGGAAAAAAAAACCCCCAAACGAAATGGGGCTATTAAACGAGTGAAGGGATTCTAGAAGCGTTGAGACCAAAGTGGTTGAGGTGGTTTTTACCTCGGCATCCTGGCGACTTGGCACGGACATCGGAGGAATTGGAGAAAATGGAGCAGTACGAATATACTATATGTGGACGCAAATTGCTCATTGCTAGTTCTATGTACGCAAAGCTTAGTTGAACTCGAATTCATAAAACACGTAGGGTGTGTACTCCGCGCTGGCCTCGCCGGTGGCGTGCATCTCACCCGGGTCATCGCGCTGCATACGGCCCTTCTTGTCTCGCCCAAAGGCGTTGCCGGCCAAGTACGAAAACTTATTCTCGAGGTTTTGCTTAGCGCGGTCTGCTTGCTTCGACGTGGAGGTCTAAGCCGAGTTAGCCAAAATCCGAAAGCGAGAGAGAAACCAAACATACCCGAACCAATGCACAGACAAAGTCCAATGGTAGTCCGTACCGCAGGACAGTCTCCACGAACACTCTCAGCACCAGGATATGGATCCAGACCATGACAGCTTCGCTCCAGGCAGTGCGACCAAGCCTTAATGTCTCGCCCCATACCTTTCGCTCGTCGCCACCCACGCGCTCGACTTCCTTGCGCTCTTCCTCCTTCCCGCCCTCGACGTACTTGAAGTCGCGCGGGATCCATTTCTGCTCACGGCACTTGTGCACAAACTCGACACTGTGCTTCTTGAATGAAGTCACGGCATACAGCGTGAACTCGCTGTCCGAGGCGACCAGCTGTGCAGACCGCGGAACAACCATGGGGGCAACCGTTTCATATGTCTGCAGGAAGTCTTTGACCAGCTGCGCGGGCACGGCGATCAGGTGGGTTTCGATGTATTCGGAGTTCTGGATTATGGACTTGGGATCAATCACCGAAGCGAGGGACTTGGTGGAGAGGTTTCCTCTATGGTAGCGCAAAGTTAGCTGGGTTCTCATGGATGGTTCTCTCGCGCGTCGGATCACACGTACGTTTGCTTGCGCTGGAGTGTAGATAGCGTGTTCTTAACCTGGTTATATTGGGAGTATTTTTGCCGGATATCGCTGTCAATACTGGCAGCTTCCTAGAGGTTGGTTAGAACATCTCAACCGGTGGAACAGCTTCCCTGGATCTGGGTCCAGGTGTTGTCCAGGTGGAAGACCAACCTTCTGCAGCAGATCAATCAACTCCGCCAGCGGCTTATCAACCCTGTACTTGACTTTGTTCCACTGGAAGGTCCGCAAGTATTGGTCCACGGGCTCTACATTAGACCGTCAGAACCACCTAGTCCAAGAACATTAGACACGACGTACTATCATTGACGACCTTCATCTGCTCAATTTGCGCCTCGTCGCCCTCGAGGATGTTCTTCAAAGCATCGCCAACCTTTCCAACCACACTCTGGCAGGAGGCCTCGAGCTTGGCGAGCTCGTCGGCTTGCTGAACGAGAGCGTCTAGTGTGCCGATCTTGAATTCCGGGATCGGGAATGACGCAGCGGTGTCCGGGGAGACGGTGGCTGAGACAGCCTCGAGCGCATCGTCGCGGTGGTGCGAAGGGACGATGGAGTTAGGGAGAGAGAGGAGGAGGTACTTGCTCGGTTTCGACATGGTTATGAGTTCTGAACTGAGGGGAGGAGGCGTTGTCCTCGGGGGTGTCGTAGGCGGTGGGTGCTTGGACCACCTGGCCCGTTGACCTGAGGACCTCGTATTCCCTGCCCAGGTGCCGTTTTATACTACTCTTTGCGGGTTTCTGGTAAAAATGGACACTTATGTCCGTCTTTATTGCCATCTTGCTTCTGATCTGTCTTTAGGCTCTGCGTGTGGATGGTTGCATCCAAACTCAAACCATCTACGGAGTACTGGGATCAATAACAAGGCATAGTAACGCATTCCCACGCCTTGTTTTCATCGCGACACTCCCCAGGCCGAAGGCTTTGGTACCACAGCTGAACCTCGGAGCTTTTCAAGAGAGGTTTCACGGTTATACAGTCAACACGAGCAGTTGCTGGGATGCGAGCTCCTAGCTCGATACCGCTTCTCTCGATCTGAACCAAGCTCTCAATGGAAGTTGCCGCAGCGGAAACCCAAGGGCTGTGGTGTTTGCATTCTCTCAGCAAGGCTACAATCTCATTTCGGGTCTTCCAGTCACGACATTTGGCCCCGCACCATAAGAGAGCAGTCACGACGCCGGGCCTGATATAAGAGACTGGTGCTGGCACTTCACTTGCGTCTGAACGCAGTAGACCTCTCGCTAGCAGGATGGCGCATTGGAAGCGAGACAGATAGTCATCATACAGACTCTCGCTTGGGTTTAGGCTACTTGCCACAGCCATTTTCACATCAAGGACCAAAGTCCACAATTCGAGTAGGACAAGCATATCCTGTTGGCGCTGAGAAAGAAACCCACCGGCTGCGAAGAACTTGAGTTGGCTGCGCCACAGTCGCAGCTTGCTCAGGACTGCCACCCCACCACGACTCACAGGTGAGCTCGCGCATGCTATGCCGAAGCCCCCTCCTGGATGGCTCTGCAGTATGAGCCAGCCAATCACCTGTAACCCTCTGGTCTCCCGGACGAGGTCTGCATTACAAGTGACCGCCGAGGAGTTCCTCTCTGGAGGCACCGGAGGTAATGAACGGCGGTTGTTGCGAAATTCCTTCGGGTCTACGCAGGTTGAATAATGTATATGAACCTGTGAGAATGCCTGCTCTAGAATCTCCTTATGAGGACTTGTTTTGGACTCAATAGCGGCCCATTCCTTGAACAGGTTGTAGCCAGACTGAAGATGGCATCGTGCCGTGAACAAGTCTTGTTGAAACAGCGCGAGCATGGTTAGAATGATGCAACTAACCAGCACTGTCTCTTTGTGCTCACGGCTAGACTCGTGCCGTGCGAGGTCTGCACCGAGCCAGCTGATGGACTTGTGGGAATGGCTCAGTGCCAGGAAACTTTCCCGATCCTCTACCTGCTTTGTTTGCACCGCCTCGAATTGGCGTTGCCTGGCCGTCATTGCGATGGCGGCGTGCTGGACTGCGGGCTGTCTCTCGCACATCTGGAGGACCAGACGAGTCCAGAATGTATCCTGGAAAAACTCGGAACACTGGACGGTGGTGCATCGGCGGAAGTAGTCCAGGTGCCAGCGCTCACTCCACGAGAGACTCACCTCGCCATCGCGAGGCAGGCTGTTCGTGATCTGCAATTGATACACCGCGCATTGGCTTTTTCCGTCTCCCGGCTGCCGCCACGGCCGGGTTCTCTTATCCGGGGCTTGTGCATACCCATCGCACTTGCGGCCTGTGCTGGTGCAGTTCCCACACGCCGGGGCGGTCTCGTCACATTTGGTGTGCCGGATTCTAGTCAATAAGTTCCTGCCCATGCATGTCGAAAAGGCGCCGTACTTGCAAGTGATGCACCCGGTGCGCACCTTGGGATGCTTCAGCCTCTTTTTCCTCTCCATTCGGATCTTTGGGATCCTCGGAGGGGAGATGTTTTGGGCCGCGTATAAACCCCACTCTTGGCGCCGATCACGGTCGGCCCCATGGCTGCACAGTGTATGTACTTCATCCACTCCGTTGTCCTCTCGAGGACGTATTTCTGCTTGACCGGATGCTGGCCGAGTCATTGATCAATGCTGGAGGTTCATTGCTAGTGCTGACCGCATTGGGTGGTTGCGCTCGAAGTATCTCGGTGGATTTGCAAACCAACAACTCAACAGCCGACGATTACTGTAGAATTCCCTGTCCTGGAGGGTGCCAATGTCCCAGATAGCATACGTAGCTGGACCATCCTCGAGGCCTGAGGTATAGTCTCTGTAGCCACGTGATGCGTTTCAGGTGTGAAACGACAGGATCAGGGGCAGAACTCGAATAGAGTACTAATAGTACAGTCAGTGAGATGTGGTATAGAGCAGAGATAACATAGCAGAGACAAGTGTTCCTAAAAAGACAGCAAAGACCATAAATGGGCCTTGTATAGTTGTTACGTGGGGAGTTCCAGACCGGGCAGAAACTCAGACTCCCTTGCCCCCTAAACTTCCCCTTGGCTTCTTCGGTCTCTCTGTCTCACGCTTTTTCTTTTCGTTTCTTTCCTATTTGCTTTGCTGTGCTTTTTGCTTTTTTTTCTTTTCTTTTTCTTGTTCCTTTCCTCTTTGTGGCCCTGGCCCTGGTCTCGGATCTCATTTCCTCGACGCGAGGGGCATTGCGAGCCCACACGATTTATCTGAAACGCCGCTGTAGCACGGCAGTGATACGTCTTCAAGGTCTCTAATTCCTAATCCCTAATCCCTACCCACATTGAGCACCGACGGTGAACTTACTGTGAACCTTCGGTACTGCCTCTGAGCTGTTCCAAGCTCATGTCATGCACTCCGAACTGTCGAGGATCACCCATCTTATTGACGCACTATTCTGCAGGGTCAGCCACCATCTGCCGTTCTTTGAACCCCCCCTGTCGCATCTCCCCCTCCAAACCCGCATCCATATCCTGTGAGATCAAGGTTACGACACCCATTGCGACAACCCGGGCATTGAAGACGCATGTGACAACAGACAACGTTCCCTGTCGCGATCAGGAATCGCTTCCCCAAACAATCCAGCCCCATTAGACTTTGCCAAAACATTCGGGAAACGAACACTGTGGACCCCCTGGGTGCGCATATAGACAATGGAGTTGGAAAACCAAACATACCCGGAATCTCCTATGGAGCAGGATGAATCGTATCCCTGCAAAGGCTGTGGAGAGGTGGGTACAACGCGAATGGGCACGAGAATGGCGCTGATGGACACAAACAGACTCTGGAAGAAGGAAAAGCGTTTGAGCTTGGTAAGTTGGCAAAGTGCCAGGGGATGCGCTGGGGTCTCTGCTAACATCATCAAGCTGGAAACCGGTGGCACATCGATTGTTTCCGATGCAGTACCTGCAGTACCCTTCTTGACTCGGATGCGCACCTCCTCCTCCTGGGTGATGGCTCCCTTATTTGTAGCAACTGCACCTACAGCTGCAGCTCCTGTAACAACAAGATTGAAGACCTGGCGATCTTGACAGGAGACCAAGCGTTTTGCGCGCAGTGCTTCAGATGCCGCAACTGCAAGAGGAAGATCGAGAACTTACGCTATGCGCGTACATCCCAAGGAATCTTCTGTATGGAGTGCCATGAATCCTTGATGGCTAGGAGGAGGAAACGAAAAGCAGGCGGCAGTAGTGGGAAGAAACCGGCCGGGCCCAACGTGAAGCTGGATAAATCTTTGCCCTCACTGCCTCCACATCTGATGGAGGAAGCGCAAGTAGCGGATGAATCACCCAGTGAATATACAGGGACGCCAGACCCTAATCAAATGGCCGACACGCCAGACCTGGAGGATCGACCAGAAAGCTCAAGGTCCAACCAGGTTGACACAGGTACGCGCTCCCCCATCCTCCCACACTTGAATGGAATGCAGGTAATGCGCAGCATTGTGCATTGTGTAGGTTGCATTGTTGGCCACGTCCTTGGGTCACACCCCATTGATGGAACCGACAGGCTGGTCTATTCAGTATCTCCTCACATACCCTGTCGTATCCAGCACTCACCAAGGTTCTAGATAACCTCATCCTCCCTTCCAGCACATATCGCAGTAGTCGTCACTCGATGGCCCGCAATACCGATGCCGATGGGGGTGAACTATTGATTCCGCTTGCCTTTGATCCCTCCGCAGAAGGTCGCTCTTCCCGTGGCCATTCGCAGACACGGCAGGAGCCCCGACAGGACTACTTTGGCCAGGTCCGATCCGAGGAATCTTCCCATCCAACATCCCGGGACGGGCGTGAATATTTGCAGGAACCTCCTTCTCGAACCTCGTCCGAGAACCCTTCGCCCCATATTGCTTACCAGGAAAAGAATTGGGAACGAAACGAGGGCAATTCGCCCGACAAACCACAAACCCTGGACTCGTCCAAGTTCAAGGAGAGCTCTACCCGCACTTCATCTGACATCCCACCCAGCCTCAGGGAGACGAGTAACCTCTCTGGGGCCACCAGTGCCGACAGCAGGCCCAGGGATATGGTCAATGAGACAAAACGACCGGCCCCATTAGAAAGTGTGACCTCGGCCCCGGCTCGTCCATCGAGCGAGCTTCGTCGTTTGCACGATCACGGATCAAGGGAATCGACGCATTCCCAGTCTTCTGGTATCCCCAATCTACCGAAACGTGGAGATTCGCTCGAGGGGAGACATCACCAGATTCCCAGGAAGGAGGTTGGAGCCTCGCCCGCATCATCTCACTACGGGGACTCCCCCGTGCTCCGGAGCGATACATTCGAGCAACCGAGCCACCCAACACAGCTGAAGACATCCAATCTAGATTCCTCCGCACCGGAGGGCGCCGGTTCACCGTCCTTGTTACGTTACCACAGTGGTGGTGATTTCTCAATGGACGAGGAATTGTCGCGCATTATCAACCAAGATGAATCAGCCGGTCCAGGGGGCGATTCTTTCCTAAGGCGCGTCTCCCAATCTGTCCGCCATGGCCGGAGCTTCAGTGAGAAGAGCGTGCGTACAGGCAAAAGCGAAAAGAATCCGCGGTCCCCTGGCGGGGGAAGCATTGCCGGCACCGATGTTGGCAGCCCAATCGCCAGTTCCCAGAGCGAGGAGATTTCTTGGCTTCGAAACGAACTCCGCAAGGAACGTCAGCGGGTCGCAGAGTTGGAGGCAGCCGCCCGTGCCACCGCCGATGTCAAACAAGTCAACACCGAGCTTTCCGAAAAGCGATCCACCATGGTTGTCCTTGATGCGCAACGCGAGATTGTGCTTCGTGAACTGACAGTGCTCACTGATCACATGGAAGCCGAGAAGCGCGGCGGAACTAGCGGACCATTGGATCTCGGGAAATTGTCAAACCATGTCCTGCGTGAGCTGGCAGAGTCCATCCAAAAGCTCAAGGAATCATATGCCCCACAGATTGAGGGTCTGATTCAGAAGCGCAATGACCTGTCCGACGAACTCGAAGAGATGAACATTAAAAAGGAGAAGACTTTCCAGGAGTTTGAGCAGCTTTCTTCTAAGAATGCCCAACTGGCAGAGCTAAATAACCAACTAGTTCACCAAATCCAAGAGCTCTACAAAGCCACAGAAGGTCAACCGCGACCGGACGGCTTGGGCATCTCTCACAACAAAGAGAAGTCAAGGACTTCCATGGAAGTCGTGAAGCCTGCCTTTAATGATCTCCACCCGTCGGTCGTCTCAACTGCCCATATTCACGAAGACTCGGAGCCTGCTACCGCCACCGTTGTCCCCGGCCCTCAGGTCGTCAGTATCCGAAAGGGACAGCCTCGCAAGTTCAACTGGAAGAAGGGCGGCCAAAACGTTGCGAAGGGTGTCAAAGGCCTAAAAGGAGCCTTCCTGGGAAGTGAAGGCCAAGAGGGCGGCGGCAGCTTACCCCGTTCTCAAACTCAAGACCCTAGCCGTCAAGGATTTGGATTCTTCGGAAATCAAAGGAGCAAGACGGGTGGAAAGATGTCACAAGCTGACAGCGTGCCTGTTTTGGCAGATGTTGCCTCCAGTACTGGCACTAGCTCTAGCAGTATGTGTCCGCCCACCACCCCCAAACTCGATCAATGGATGAACTAACGCTGCCCAGGTCTCTTTGGCGTTGACCTTGAGGTTCGAATGGAACATGAGAAGAGTATCATTCCTTTCATTGTCACACGGTGTATCCAAGAAGTTGAATTGCGAGGTAAGTTGTATCACATTGCCCACCTGGATCTACTCGCTAATGCAACCAGGAATTGACATGGAGGGTATTTACCGAAAATCTGGCGCCGCCTCCGTTATCCAAACAATTCGTGAAGGCTTTGAGCGCTCTCCATTCGATTACGATATCTCTGACCCCGACCTCGATATTCACGCCGTCACGTCTACTCTGAAGCAGTATTTCCGAAAGCTGCCCAACCCTTTGATCACGTACGAGGTTTATGAGCTGGTCATTGACTCGGGCGAAGTCAATCCGGTCTCCGCGCGAATTGAGTTACTCCAGAAGAGCCTGCTCGAATTACCTCCCGTGCACCGCGATGTCCTGGAGTTCCTCATCTTCCATCTCAGACGCGTCGTTGAGCGCCATGCCGAGAACTTGATGACCTTCCAAAATGTCGCAGTGGTCTTCGCGCCGACTATCATGCGACCCGAGAGCCTTGCCCGTGAAATGACCGACGTTCAAAAGAAAAACGACGTGCTCAAGTTCCTGGTGGAGAACTGTCATGAAATCTTCATGGGCATGCAGGGCTAAAGCCTCCCTTTTGCAAATTTTGTCTTTTGGTTTCCTCCCAATATCCTTAATCACCAACTATTTTGGTGCCATCCTCGGCCTTTTCGTTCTCTGTCTCATGCTCCCTTCCAGCCTTGTTTATACAGATACCACTTGTTCCCATCCCCCCCCCCGACTCAGGCAGATCCGGTTGCCTCGAATCATTTACATTTCACTCCTTCGCCTCTACCTCCCTTTCAGCGAAGTGTTCAAATTCTTGTCATGTCCCTGTGTGGAATAAACCTATTTCTACAGGTGGTTGCCAGTCCTTTCTTGCAGATGTCTTGTTCCCGATTCCAGCGTCATACGCCCTCAATAAAAGTCGATAACCCGGCATTCGGTACCAAGGTACCGATCTTGCAATATGATTTATTACAAGACCTCCAAATTTTTCCTTAGACCTGGGCCTTAAAATTGGCTCAGGCCCCTTGGTGGATACGACCTTGGGCGTAGAAAGACACTTGACCGTCTCTTAAATGCACGAAGGAAAGATGGCGCACCCAAAATCCTCTATTCTGCACCCTCTATGTCGGCTTGGGGCCCCGGAGCATCTCGGCATACCGTAGCGTGTTCTTGCTTGCCCCGGTGTCCAAAAAACTGGGATTGATGCAGGCGAGGACTGCGGTTTTGCACCTGCGGCTCTCGGATGGATCAAACACATGCTTTAGGACTTTGGTTAGCATGCTTTGTCGAAAAGGGACGTATGGCTTCTTCGAAGACTTGTGGTCAACGCTAGATATGCCCCGAATACAGTCTTTCAGCACAGACAGACTGATGTTGATCTCGCGTGTTTCCTTCATCCGCTCGGCGCAGTGCGAAGCAACATCACGCGCTGCCTCGGACCCAGCTAGATCAATGAGGTAAAGGAGTCCATCCCCGGCTGTTTCAGATGATGGTGCCGCGATTCGGACACGACAGACAGCATGCGAGCGAGAAGAGCCGTCATTCTTCAACGTCGGGGCGGTTTGTCGAAGTCGATTTGCCTCGTCGGAAAAAGAGAGGAGGTCCTCTGTGCTTCTGATGGGGTGCTCTTGTATACCGACCAGTTGTGTTGCACCGGCATTATCCTGGAGAATTGGAAAGGAGGCCCGTGAATTCAAGAGGTCTGGATGTATTGCGAGGTTGGCTTCAATCCAGAGAGGCAAGGGAGCTGAACCTACCGAAAGCAGAGTTCCCAGCAAGTTCGAAGAATGCAGCGTGGACGTGTCTCTCGCCTGGGAGAGTCCCATCGAAGAGGTTTTCCGCTACCAGGCGTTCGATCTGACCAATGGAAAATGTCTTGCCTGACCCTGTTTGTCCGTAGGCAAAGAAAGTCCCTACATTGCCCTCCCAAGCCCAGGGAATGAGAGGCTGCACTGTGGTTTTGTAAATCGATTCCGTAGACTCATTGGCACCAAAGACTCGGCCTGGCTGGTAGACCGAAGACTAAAAGAGTCAACCCCGTCAATGTTTTGATCCTTATGGCTGTGGATCACTGACATTCAGTGGTGGGAATCCCCTCACAACCCGGCGCAGATCATGTAGATCCACCACTCCACTATCGTCCACGCGAGGGTAGACAGCCACAACTTGCCCCGTTGAGGATTCGTGCTCGAGCAAAGGTCGAATGCGTGTGGCTACGGTGATGTTGGTCCCATCTTGACCTTTGGTTGCTGTTCGTGGAGGCTTGAATCTGGAGACCAGCAATTGATGACGGGCAGCGTTGTCAAGTAGGAACTGCTCCATATTTGTCTTCGTGGTCTGCTCTGTGCAATGAAAAGGGAGTGAGGCCAGGGGCTATACGAGGCAGCTCTGCTCTGCGCAGGTGCCCAGGTGTAAACAAAGGATTAGATAATTTCTTATTCAGCTGCATGTAGGGGGCCCAACACCCTTTAAACTGCAGACTTGCCAGGTGAAGACGAGAACGGGCCCAGTCTTGACCATTGGCTATGATATGCGGACACCGTGCTGTTGCTCTGTTAGACCCCAAACATCATTCCGGGGGTCTAAGGGGATGAAGAGCTGAGGGATAAAGTGTCTATTGTCGATGAAAATGAAAATGTCCAATTCAAGAAAAGCATGAATAAAATGCATTGTGAAAGGACGCTCGCCAAGTGTAATATGAATAGAATATCCAGCGACTCGCCTCACATGCTCTCTGGACTCAATATGTGCAATGAAAATCGTCAAAGGTCATAAAACAGGTGTATATACATAAGCTGTGTGCTATACAGAACGAACCAACGTGCCCAAGCAGTTGGTTTAGAGGCGGTGCTGAACAGGCGACTCGGGCGCGGGGATGCACGCAGAGATCTTCTCGACAGGCTCCTCCCAGCCAAGGACTTGAGCCATCTTGTTATATGAGTCAATACCGCGGCGGGCATGGTCAGCAGGAACGAAGGCATCAGTCTCGCCAAGGGTGCGACTGAACAGTTCCAAAGAAACCCAGCCACGGAAGCCGAGATCCTCAAAGAAGACACGGGCCACATCGAGAATAGGCAGGTATCCGCCACGGGACTCTTCGAAGGGGAAGAGGCGCGCGTTGCGAGACCAGTTCATTCGGGTAGGCTGACCGGCGACGTGGAAAGCGTGCTTCTCATCCAGGGGGGCGGAAAGGCGCTCACCATCGACCAGCTGGACATAGAAGATCTTGGCCGGGTCGATGTTCGCCGTGCGCAGGCGCTGCAATGAGGCAGCCAGATCCGCGGCGGCGTTGGGCGTGCAGCCCGAGGGCGACGCCGGGTCAGCGTACACACGACCGGCAATGTTAAAGGAGTCGAGGCAAAGACCGAAGTTCGGACGGTTGACATCCCGCACGATCTCCCAGGAAGCCTCCCAGGTGTTGACATGATCACCCCAGCAGAGGGCCTCATAGACAAAACGGAAGCCGGCGCCCGCACCCAAATCGGCCAGGCGCTGGAGATCACGCACGATCACCCCACGATCACCCGTCGTGCGAGCGACGCCGGTCTCAGGGTCCGGACCGAGGAAGTTGGACGGGACCTGGATCATGTCGGTGCCCAGCGCCCGCGCCAGGGTGAACCATTTGGGAAGCTTTTCGTTCACGAGTCGGTCTGACTCGCTGCGGTCGATGAGACCTTCATACATGGAGAAGGGCTGCAGGCAGATGATGGCCATGCCGAGACGGTCGCAGATGCGCCGTGTGGAGCGGGCTGCTTCCAGGTGATCGCCCTGGAAGACCCGCTGGGCATAGCAGTCCAAGTCGTCGAAGAAGAGTTCAATACCTTCAAAGCCATGAGCGGCAGCTTGCATGAGCTTGCCGGGGAGATCGTGTACCCAGGGTCTGCCCAGGGACATGGAGGCAATACCAGGGCGGTTGTAAACCATTTTGAAGAGTCTTGAGTGGGTATAGATGTATGCAAGGATATGATGCGGATTCGCACGTAACGCAAGTCCAAAAATGCAAGTATGCAAGTGTGCAAGTGTGCAGGTGTCTAAGTGTCTAACAAGGTGTAAGAGAGAGAGTAAATAGAGCAGAACCGAGAGCAAAACCCCCAAAGAAAAGGACAAAACGTCGCAAAACGTTCATCCTTGGGGTTGACGATTACGAAGCGGCTAAGCGTTTCCCCCGTTGTGTTTAGCCGTTCCCCACTGCACATCTGCTTTTTCCCCAAAACAAAACCGCACAATTCCCCATAGTGCCCGACTCGGCTCCGGAAAGCCGTTCAGAATCCGGGGCAATGTTCTCTCCGCAACCAAAAAGGGCTCGCTGCGTGATTCATCCCTGATCCCTAAACCAACAGCATCATGACTGTCAAAGTTGCAATCATTGGAGCAGGCCTCATCGGTCCTCGCCACGCAAAATCGGTCATCTCGAACCCCTCAACGGAGCTCATTGCTCTCGTGGACCCAATGCCAACGGGTGAAGCCACTGCATCAGACCTCCAGACGAACTACTACTCTTCTGTGGCCTCCCTGCTTGCATCTCCCCACCGGCCTCACGCAGCAATCGTTTGCACCCCGAATCACACCCATGTCCCCGTTGCAAAGGAACTCCTTGCAGGAGGAGTCCATGTCCTCCTGGAGAAACCGGTGAGTGACACCTTGGAGAAGGGTCGGTCTCTCTTGGAGTTCGCCAAGGCCCCTGAACAGGCCCATCTCAAGCTCTTGGTGGGCCACCACCGTCGTTTCAATCCCTACGTGCGGGTAACCAAGTCGATCCTAGAAAGCGGTTCTCTGGGACGACCCATCGCAATCAATGGACTCTGGACTCTATACAAGCCAGACCCATACTTCGCCCCACCAACCGACTGGCGCGCCTCGAACGAGACTGGTGGCGGTGTGATTCCCATTAACCTCGTCCACGACATCGACTTGATGCACCACTTCTTCGGACCAATCGTCCGGGTCACCGCGGAGCCTATTCTGCCACAGCGTTCAAGTCCACACAATGCCGACGAAGGCGCGGCGCTGACCTTGCGATTTGCATCCGGCGTCGTCGGGACATTCCTGGTGTGTGACGCCACCCCCTCGCCACACAGCTTCGAGACCGGGACGGGCGAGAACCCGCTGATTCCGAAAACTACAACGGGAGGCGACTCGGACTTCTACCGGATCTTTGGTTCGGATGCATCTCTGAGTGTGCCTGACCTGACGCGGTGGAGCTACGACACCAGCCCTGAGAAGAGCTGGAATCACCCGCTGACCGTGGATCGGATTCCCCTTCCCGACAACAAGGCGCCGTTTGATCTCCAGCTGGCACATTTCGTGGATGTGATCAATGGAGATGTCGAGCCGAGCTGCTCTGGTGAGGAAGGCTTGCGCGCTTTGGTTGTTTGTGAGGCAGTCCAAAAGGCGATTCGATCTTGCCAGCCTGTAGACATTGATGTTGACTTGAGCAAGTCCGACTAGAGATCATATTGAAGGCCAGTTACGTCGAAGGCGAGTCATTTCATATTTTGTCAATACAGAAGGTAAAATTTATGTGGACTATACATTGACAGGCTATTCCTTACAATCGATATGCACAGTGTGTATAACCAACTCATATCAAAATCGTGTCAAAGGAACACATCAGGTCATCAATACTACAAACAATTGAGAAAGCTCCACCGCACAATTCAAGCATACTTCGGCTCAGCCGTCGTGTCCTCGACTTGCTCATCGCCCATCTTGGTCGCCGCGAAGCCAGAGGACTCGATGTCGTGGCGGAACTGCTCCTCGTTCTCACGCAGCTGAGCGACCATCTGACCATGAGCATGTCGCACAGACTTGATGTCGAAGAGCGCGTCCATGCTCTCAAGTGGGATGCCCTTGGTTTCGGGAACGAGGAAGTACACGAATACGATGGAACACATCATCAGCGATGCGAAGAAGAAATACACGCCGTATCCCATGGCCGTGAACATCTGGGGAGTGAAACGCGAGATGAGGAAGTTCCACAGCCAGTTGGAAGCGGCGGCACAGGCCTGAGCCAAGGAACGCATGTTGGGATCGAACATTTCCTAGTTGGAGTGTTAATGAGCGCTACCTCTTGGGGAAACATGGATATGCTTACCGAGTTGAGAACCCAGGGGGTACCATTCCAGGTCGGGGTATAGAAGACGGTCCACAAGTAGAAGAAGAACATGGCCGCAATACCACCGCCACTGAGGCTGTCACTCTTGTTGTTCTCGGGCTGCGCGATCTTGATGTATGCGCCGACGATCCAAAGACAGACGGAGCCACCCGCAGCACCGATCAGCAACAGGTTACGACGACCGACCTGGTCAATAAGCCAGAGCAGCCAGATGAAGGTCACGACTGTCTTCACGACACCGAATATACCCGTGGTGAACAGACTTGTGTTGGTACCCTTGACACCAATCTACAGATGTGGTTAGCATGGGTCGATAGACGGAACGTAAATAACTTACCGACTTGAAGACAGTTGGGCTGTAGTAATTGATAGCGTTGATACCAGATCCGTTTTGCCAGAAGAACAAGGCGCTTCCGAGGAACAGGCGCCACATAACTTTCTTATTGGTACCAGCAGCCTGGAAAGGCTTCCAGAAACCCATGCCAATGCTACGGCGCTGCTCCTCCAGCGCCTGGTCAATAGCACCAATCTCCTCGATCATGTAGATGTCATCCGCGGGAAGTTGGCGAACCCAGCACAGATTCTTGATGGCCTCCTCCCGACGACCGCGGCCAAACAGCCAGCGAGGGGATTCCCTGATGAAGAGAGCACCAATCAACAAGAGACCGGAGGGGATCAACTGAACGGCAAAAGGAATGAGCCACTGCTTGTGGCTCGGCGCGAGGGTCTCATCGACACCAAACTATAAGAGATTAGCGTATGCACGTCAATATAATAATGCTCCACACTCACGTTGATCCAGAATCCGACCAGACCACCAACTTGCCAGCCTAGCTCGTACACACCTACTAGCCTACCACGAATGGCCGGAGGAGCCAGTTCAGAGATATAGATGGGCGTGATATTCGAACCGGCGCCCACGCCGAGACCAGCGAGCACACGACCAGCGTATAAAAGACCGAGGCCTCGGTCGCCAGTAACACCCAGCATGAGACCAGCACCAAGAGTAAAGACCAAACCGGCAGAGAGCAAACCAATCCTGCGACCCCAGAAGTGGCCGATCGGGTACGCGAAAAAGGCACCGAAGAAGGCACCCGCCTGGTAGCAAGAGACGATGTTGGCACTGATCAGGTTTCGCTCAGTGTCTCCCATGGTACCGAACCCAAACTCATCTTTGAATGAATCCAGAGAGATGGTGGTGCCAATAAAGGCACTATCATAACCAATCATGCATGATGTGCATGAGGCCACTGCAGCCAGAAGGTAAACCTTCCAATTGTAGACAGCCTTGGGAGTTGGCCGGTCCTCGACCAGCTTGAGAATAGACATGGTGAGGATCGAATGGAGTGAAGGAGTTCAGCCCCCGATCCTTGAGGCAAGAGTAAGATATAAGATGTACGTCCTCGCACGATCCCCTGGGATGGGAAGTATAAAGCTGAGGTGCAGGGGAGATGAGGAAGAGAAGTAGAAACGAAAAGATGGCGCCACGTCCTTTTAAGAGTCAACTAGCGAGGGTGGACTCGATCTAAATAGCGTCCCCGGACCGTCGATTTGCCCTGGGGTAAACGCGTGTGAATCTGGGGTCGAGAGAATAGGGGGAAATCGTTGAAGATGTGGAGGCGGAGAAAGGTATAGCACATAGGAACGTGCGAAATCCCTGCTGAATTGAAGCCAAGGAGCGGCAAAACGAATCTTGCAAGCTTTTTGGGCTGGGCGAAAGAGTCAGAGAGTTTCGCCTCTTGGCCCCCCATTGTGGCTTGTCCAAGAGATAGACTTAGCGAATGGGCACATTAGACCGAGAAGGAAGCGAGACCAAGTCGAGTGTTGACCAACGGGAGCGACGCAAAGGGAGAATTTGCCTTGTTGTGGGGAAACTCCGATGCCGCTTCGAGGGTGGGGACTGGGATCCCGTGACACTGTCTATCTTCAGCACGTCTGGGGTACCCCGGAGAACAACCACATGGACTCCACGGATGCACTGGCCTGGAACGGTGGGAAGAAGCGAAATAGGCGAGACCCTCATTGGTTAAGTCAAATTGGGTCCACGAGCAAGCGAAGAGGGGGACGGCCAATGGCAATTCTCCGATTTCTGAGTGTGGAAAAGCGCTTCCCCGGCTGCTTCCAGCCCATCCCGGGGCTGCCGCCACATTCACGGGGCATTTCCAAGTGTCGACAGGGATCTGGGTTGGCACTTGGCTTCTGTAACTCCAGGGTTCTCATTGGTCTTCGGGACTTGTGTATCTGCATGCCATAGCCATGTTTCCCCGTGGGGGGTGGTGCATGCAGTGGGAAAGCATTCAGCCCTGTCGCACAGCGTCAACGGGTAGTGCAGAGCAGGTATCACAGCAGTATCGTGTCGAAGAAATGAAACATGTCGAGCTTAATGTAAAACTAGAGTGCATAGGGTGCCTATGCGTTCTAATATCCAAGAGATGTGAATGGGTGGGTGAGTTCATAGGAGCGAAAGTGTTTCTCCGCCCCGCGGCTCATCGCTTTTTTCGTCGCCTAAGGGTTTTCCGATCACAAATTCGATTCCAAGGTTATAACCCCCGTAGTCTTCCCCTCTTGGATCGACACACACTCACACATTTTCATCATGTCTATCACAGAGGTTAACCAAACATCAGAGGAGCCCATCGCTATCCCCTCCCACCTCGATGGCGTCGCTTACCTCTACGGCCACCCTCTCCTCAACTCCCTCTCCCCCCCTCTTCACCAGACTGTCTACAATGCCCTCGGTCTCAACTGGACCCAGATTCCGCTGTCCAGCGTGACCGGCACCTCAGAGACCTACCCCCCTCCATACACCAAGTCCCCGCCCATTGAGAAATACCTGGCCTCCATCAAGGCCAACCCTAAGTTTGTTGGCTCATCCGTGACCATGCCCCACAAGGTCGCCATCATGCCTCACCTGGATGACCTGACCGAGCACGCCCGCCAGGCCGGTGCCTGCAACACCATCTTCCTGCGCGACGACGCCAACGGCCAGCGCCAGTACGTCGGCACCAACACTGACTGCGACGGCATCCGCGAAGCCCTCCTGCAGAACGCCCCCGATGCATCGCGATTCCGCGGCCGGCCCGCGCTGATCATCGGTGGTGGCGGTACTGCCCGCACAGCCATCTACGTGATGCGCCGCTGGCTCGGCTCCAGCCGCATCTACATCGTCAACCGGGACGCCGACGAAGTGGCTACCATCCTGGAAGAAGACCGCCGCCGTAACCCGGATGCCAATGGCCAGGCTCCTCTGATCCCCGTCACCGACCCCACGGAGGCGGCTCGTCTCGAGTCTCCCGCTGCCATCGTGTCCGGCATTCCCAACTACCCCCCGAAGACCGCGGAGGAGCTGCGCTCCCGGGCGATCATCGAGGCGTTCCTGGGCACCGCCGCCGATGCCGACAATCAGGAAGGTGTCATCCTGGAGATGTGCTACCACCCTACTCCCTGGACTGAGATTGCCAACCTGGCCACCACTAGCGGCTGGAAGGTCATTCTGGGCTCTGAGGCCCTGATCTGGCAGGGTTTGGAGCAGGCCCGTCTCTGGACCGGCAAGGACATCATTGGCACTCCTGGTCTGGTGCAGCAGGTCAAGGATCTGGTTGCGAAAACCATCGCTGAGCGGGCCGAGCCCAAGTCCAGCCTGTGATTGACTGATGATCACGTTCGATGTTTCTTTTACGACTGTACAGAGCGCAAAATAGGTGCTAGTTTGCATTGTCTATAGATAAATGGGCGGCGTCCGTTCCGGAATATATAAATAGTATTTCTGTCATATATCCTCTATGTTCATATAAAGAGCTTCAGGCTATGTACTATATACGGAGTAGAAACAACCCCCTCAAGCCCCCGGCCGAGAATAGTCCAAATTGCGAACGCGGCGCCAGACTTCACGGACCGTGCGCTCCTGTGTTTCGCGACCTGTCTCCGTCGCGGACGGACCAGCCGGTCTGGAATGTGGATTAGCCAGCGTTCCGAATGTCAAGACCGCGGTGTCACTCACCTGATGGCTAGATACAGCCGGCTCCCGAGTCGAACATCTTCGATCGGTGCCGTTGCTTCATTCTCTGGTGGGTTAGCAGTCGTCATCAGTCCACCTGCCTCTAGGAGGATGGCGGCTCCGGCAGCGATATCCCTTTGCGAAACAGTCAGCCCGGTCCCACACCCGCGAAATTCCTCACTCACCACTCCCAGCAACCTCCTTCCCACCAGATATCAAATGAGCCCATCGCGACATACGCCAGATCCAGCGTAGCACTCCCTAAGCTGCGCATCCCATGCACCATTCCGCCCCGCCCCGACCGACTCCCCAGCTCGGCCGCCATGTTCACAAAACTCTCAATCTTGCGGTGCATGTTCCCATCTGGGATATCACGGCGGTCCTTGCCCCATTCGCAGGAAAACACACATTGCGCTGGCGCGTTGGGGGGCATCGGTGGGATCGGGTTGTGGAGGAGAGGAAGGCGGCGCGTCTCGTTGAGCCAGGCACCGCGCCCGGTGCAGGATGACCACAGCTGGTCTGTGAAGGGGGCATAAATTACGCCGATCACGGGCTTATGATCGACGATGAAACCGATAGAGACGCAGAACATGGGGAAGATGTGCGTGTAGTTGACGGTGCCTGGAAGTCGAGGTTAACTGTAGCTCTATGTGTTGCATGAATGCCAGTCTTGGGGATAGATATGGACGTAGCTTCCGGTCGAGAATGTTGCTTTACCATCTAATGGGTCGATGCACCATGTTGGTTGTTCATCGATGAGGTAGTCGCGTGATTGGCCTTTGGCGTATGTCTCCTCGCCGAGGAATCTGGGATGGTCAATTTGGCGCTGCAGCGAGCTTCAACAGCAACTCACTTGTGAGAGGGGTATTTGGCTTCCAGTCTGCTGCGAATGAATACTTCGACGTCTGTTCACGGCTATCAGTGATATCATTCCCCGCTCCAGCGCTCGGGGTCCGCACCTTCATCGGTCTGCGTCACGATGTCCACGGAGTTCTCTTTCTCTTCGAAGGCGTTATTGTCTCCACCGGCGACGCGCTGGTCCACTCGGTCCATGAGCATCTTGCCAGCCTTGCGACCTAGGTCTATCGCGAAGGTGTAAATCTCGTCGAGCTCATCTTGTGCGAGCGCCATGTTGATATGCGTCCAGATGTCGGGGGGAAACTAGGAGAGAGGAAGGGAGCAAGAAGCAAGAAGCAAGAAGCAAGAAGCAGCGAGAAAAGAGAAAAGAGCCAGGAATAAGCAAAGAGCAAAAGAAGAGGGGGGCAATTGAGTCACTGAAAATGGACACCGCCACCGATCTTATCTCCACTGCGGAGATAGCTTAGTTGCGTTCGTCTCTCTTCTTCTCTCCCACCTTAGTCCTGGAGATGTCTTTCTAATGAAGCGAGAGGGTGTCTGCTCGTGCTCAACATTTCGTTCTCAGAAGGCCTTCTAAGGTGACAATCAGACCCACTAGAGCAAGAAGTCCGATGCTCCAATCGTTCGGCACAGGTATATTGCTGCTATGTGAGCTTGGCAGGCACACCAGGAGCTGTGCAATACAATGCGTATATCTGCTTTAAGCTTTAGAGATGAATAGTACAGCGATATCCCGAGGTCTCTCAATTCGAAATGCTGACCAGAAGATCAAGACCACATTTAGAATGAGCCATTCGACCTCGGGAGACAACAAAGCCCTGATGAACTGTTCAAATCAAAAGCATGCTCACAAAATACCGCTCTGAGCTTCATCAATGGCCAGATAGCCCTGCCAAGCCTCGTATTCTATGGCGATCCCATATTCCAACACGAGCCATGAGGGGAAAGACCCTATCACAGAGGCGATGAATAGAGCTTTGGTTACATCGCTCATGCGGCTGAGAACACTGGCTGATGCTCATGCTCTATGGCTTGCATATATTAAGCATCAATCTCCTGTTGATGTAGACTCTTCAAAGGCGATTTGGAGCACTTGACCATCATGCAGTATAAATTGTTGCTCACGGCCCTTCTTTCTCTGCTGCCGGTTACCATCGCAGCCGATCCTCGCTACTGTCAGGGGAAAACGAGCCTTAACACCCAAGACTTCACTCTCAAGGAGTCTCTGGATAATGCTCACCTGCCTGTGCTATCCAAGTACTTCAAATCAAAGGGCAAGATTGCAAGCGTCACGGCGGTACTTCAATCTGCCAACCGTGCTCTAAGCAAAGGCTCACCCCCAGTCGGCAAGGAATCTCCTGTCGAGGCATGGGCGTGGAACTCAGGCGACGACAAGACGAAGGAGTGGATCCCCCAGGGAATCACCAGCTCGGCCGACGCATACGCAAAGGGAACCTGGAATGATCATGAGGCATGGGTCGTCAGTTGGTATCGCGACGGGGATAGCGTCCGGCTCAGCTTTGTCGACCGCAAGACACACAAGTATCGGCACGTCATGCTTGTATACCCTACCGCAGACGACGACTTCAAATCGATCGCCATCCACGCCAGCGGCATCATGTGGTATGGAAATGTGGTGTATGTCGTCGACACCAAGAATGGCATTCGCGCTTTCGATCTGGATAATATTTGGGAAGTTGAAATTGCAGACGGTGTCGGAAAGTCCAAGGATGGCAAATCGTATTCCGCAGATGGGTACCTATATGTGCTTCCTCAAATCCGGTGAGTACCAGGCTGGCATGTCCTTGGCTCAAAGATTAATAGCATTTCAAGTTGGTACAAATGGACCCCTGGTGAAGACTCGCATTTCCGTTTCTCTTGGATCTCTCTGGACCGCAGTGATTCACCCGATACTCTCATGGTGGGCGAGTTTGTGCGCGACGGAGAGAAGTCCAAGGAAAACAATACCCCCGTCCCCATTCGCTATGTCAAGTACAATTTGGATTCTTCGACTCGCAGGCTTCATACCAAAAACGAAATTGCCACGGCCAGCTGGGCGTATTGTGTCAATATCCCCAATGTCCAGGGTGCTGTTTCGTACGATAAGAGGTTCTACATTTCCCGCAGCACTGGCCGAGCCCCTAAACAGGGCGATCTTTTCATCTGGGAACAGGGGAAGACGGCGACAGAACACCAAGGGTGGTTTATGGCCGGAAATGAAGATATGAGCTTCAATCCTGTGCACAAAGAGTACTATACAGTCACTGAGTATGACAGAGACCGGTATATTTTGGCATACAAGGTCTAGATTCTGATTGAGGGTACTCTTGGGGCATAACATGGCCTATGACAAGCCACGGTTCAATTTGGGCCCGAGGACCTAGTTCAATCTCACTTTATTTAGCCAATTCTCAGACATGAAAATCTCCGGCGCGTACAAATTGCCGTTTTGGGCGAATCTGCAGCGTATTCGGGTGGGGCCCATGCTTGGCGTCAGGTATAGAACAGGCGCAATCGCTCTTTTGAACCCAGAACTGTTTCTTTTTCGTGAAAATGCATATCTTGGTACTGGGAGCGTCAGGTATTCACTACTAATTCTCTCCATGCTCACATACTGATCCAAAGGTGACCCTAGGCGCTATTGGACGTCAGTTCTGCGAGATGGCTCTTCAGGAGGGCCACAGGCTCACGCTGTTCGTTCGCCATACCAGCAAGATTCCCGAGCATATTCGTATCAATGAAGCAACGCGGATCTTCGAAGGGACTCTTGAAGCCGACTCTATTTTAAAGGAGGCTGCGAATTGCGGAGCAGACATATTTGTTTCTCTCGCAGGTCCCTCATACGGGACGCAGGGGACGGTATGAACTTATATTGCAATCTCACAAGAGAAAGAGTATATTGCTAATACATTCTACAGCCTTTGACAGATGGCTATCAACGCCTCATTCCCAAGCTTGCCTCGCACCGCATCAATCGTGTTCTCATCCTATGCACCCCTTCTTTCCGAGACAAAGTTGACGTTGAGACGTGGAAATGGCGAACCGGGGAGTGGTTTATGAGAATATTTAGTCCAGGTCAATACCAGGAGATGCTGGGGGTTGGGAATGTGGTAGCTTCCACCGAGGGCATCCAATGGGGTCTGTTTCGAGTTGGGGGGCTTACGAATGGACCGGAGGCACCGGTTGAGGCTACATACCTGGGGAGCGGCGCAGACAAGACCTGGATCAGTAGAGCCAGTGTAGCAAGATGGGTTCTCGATGAGGCAAGGGAGGCACAGTGGATAGGCAAGATGCCCTACATCTGCAATAAATGACCCGGGCTCACCGCCCCTCGGATCTCTTTCGTCTTGGGATTGTAGTTTTGTATTTGTTTCTTCCATGCCGCAAAGACGCCCCCATGCCAAGTCTACCGGGGGGTGCAGTCGATGCAAGAAGCGTCGGATCAAGTGCGATGAAAGCGGTCCCCCTTGCACCACCTGCAGAGCTCGAAATGCGGATTTTGAATATCTCAATGCCTTTCGGGCCTCTAGTTGGATGCGATCGACTGAACACATATCTAGAGAGAATACTATAAAGACGGATAGAGCACCACACCAATCTCAACATGTGCCTGAGTCTGACCCGATTACCCCGTCCGTATCATCCCGCAATCGAGAACTACAGTTGATGCATCACTGGACATTACACACATGTCATAGCTTCTCGGCCATATTCAGTGAGATATTTCAGACGTGCGCGGTGCAGCAGGCATTACACTATCCATATCTGATGGATTCATTACTGGCCCTTACGTCGCTGCATATGGCGTCTGAACTCCCGGACACTGCGGAAAAGACCAAGCTTCGCGAGGATGCACTACGATATCAAAGCCAGGCCATGCCTGTCTTTCGAATGGAACTAGGGAATGTCACACGGGTGAATTGCCATGCTCTTTTTGCGTGTTCTGTCATAACGATGGCTTGTACTTTTGTGCTTCCCTCCTTAACATCCACCACGGAAGGAGATGTTGAAGCACAAACATCCACTGACCTCAAGTCTCTCTTCCGCCTCGTCAGTGGAACTCACTATATCATAGATCGAGCACGCGTGTCTCTTGAGGCAGGGCCATTTAAAATGATCATCCAACCTTGGTCGGGGGCAAATCCAGCATTCTTACCACCGGGCGAGCGTGTTCTCCCAATGGAATTGAAGACGCTCTGTGAAGGTTCATTGTCGCAGAGACTTTATGAACATGCTGTCGATTCCCTTGAACGCTATGCGATGGCAGAAGGGATGGTTATCCCGTGGATAATGGTCGCTGGGGAAGAATTCATCGAGCGAGTTCAAGAGAGAGAGCCTTTGGCATTGTTGATCTATGTCTGTTGGGCAGCACTGATGGCACGTCAAGAGATGTGGTGGGCCAAGACTGCCGGAATGACGATTGTGCAGAATTATCGACGTTTCGAAAGTGATAAAACAGACCGGGTTGTGAGATGGGCAAGAGAAATCGCAAAGATAGACACATAAACCACTCTGTGTTTGGAAACCTTTGAAATGACGAGACTTGAAATATTTGTCTATTCAATGTGGCCTCGGGACTATAGGACTCATGTCTATATCGCCGCTCAAAGGGTAAAGTAGTACTACTACCTCATATATGATTGTATCAATCCTCATTTCATGTTCAGTCCGGTGATACCACCTCATGTCTAAAAAAAGGTCTCACGCCGTCCTGATAGCATAAGCCCAAGTCGACAGGTAACCTTCAAGCCATGGAGTTGCGACGCGAATTTGCACGGGAATTTACACAAGAGTTAACACGTGAGTTCGCAAGACTGCCCGGACGGCTTCCCATCTGGCGGATTCGCAAGCTCTGCTGCGATCTGGCGAGTTGATTGGATTTTCCCATCGGAATATCGCGCTCAAGAATGCGATTGTGTGTCTCCACCCGGGCGTCGATCAATTGCTGTGCAAAGGGCGAGCGTTTTCGAAGAATAGGCCCATACCAATAGATCACGTAGACAGTTATAACAAGGACAACGGATATAGCAACTGGAAATGCATCAGTTCAGCCTTGAACGACTCCAACCTGTTGTTGGTCATATTTCGACTTACATAGAATTGTCGATGCATATTCGAGATGATATTTGCCACCAATGTCTAGAGGAAGAAGAAGTCAGCAATGGCGCGCAACGAACTGAATGAGAATCATACTTTCATAGAAGGGGGTGGCAGGGACAGTGAGTACTCCGGCCAAGAAGTCCCTGGACCAGCCATTTCCGCCAGCTGCGGAAGCAGAGTAAGGCCCGTAGGCGCAGATCATGTAGTCAATAGTCCCCATGAAAATACTGAAATTGGCAACTCCGATGATTGCAGAGAAAACCATCGTCCCGATCCAATGGCACTGCGGAAGACTTGTCCACGCAAAGCCAATCATGCCAATGGGAAGACACAAGGCAGTGTACAGAAGCCACCAAAGCCGCGACTCATATTGCGCACGCTCATCGTTTGGCTTCAATTGTCTCTCTCTCACATTGCGTCTAATCACTGGTATGGCAATAAGCCAAGCGATGACATACCCTAGCATAATAGGAAGAAAGGAGAGACCAAGAGCGACAGGGCCAAAGTCCCATTGTGCGTAAACCAGACCGAAAGACTGGATGAAAATGAAGATTAAGGCATCGGTGAATCCGCTCAGTAGGGACAAGGTCAGAACGATAGGTTCGGCGAGGAACATACGGAAGGGCCGAATCCAAGTGATGAGAACTTCTCTCATCGAGAATCGATCCTTGAATGAGACCAATTCATTTGGACCATAGACATCTTCTCCATTTTGTCTCCGCTTCTTCGCAATGCCGTCGAGCATGATCGTTGTTCGAGTCTCCGGTACGAGCACCAGATGGGCAATCTGAACGAAAACACCAAAGATAAGTTGAATCCAAATATTCCAGCGCCAGGGCAGATATGCTTCTACAAACCCCCCTACCACTGGGCCTAAGACCGATCCTCCGACAGAAGAAAACACCACACAGGCGACGGCGTACTGTTGGTCTTCAGCCTCCCATAGATCGGCAATCATTCCCAGAGTGACCGAGCCACCAGCGGTACATATTCCCCCCAAGGCGCGACCGACCATGATCGTGGCAAAGTTGGGGGCAATTCCAACTGGAATCTGCCAGATATTGACGAGAAGAAGGCTCAGCTGGAGAATGGGCTTTCGGCCGAGCTCTTCACTCCATGGAGCCCACAGCTCACAACCAAAGGCATACAGGACGAGAAAGATCATCGCACCACAGCGTCCCACTTGCTTGCTGACATTGAACTCTTCCGAGATCCCTGAGAGTGCATTTGAGTAGAGGCTGGTATTGAAGTTCATCGACGTCTGAACCAAGAAGATGACCAGGATGATAGTCCACTTTTTGAACTCGGAGAAGGAGTAACCAAGCTCGGCATAACAATCGGCTTCTGTAAGTTCGACTTTGAGCTGGTCGGGGGAAGACTGGATTGTCAGCTATTGTCTTTTGACCGTGACCGGGCTCATACCTTCTCCTGCATAGGGTCACATCGGTCGATATGAGTGGACGAGGAATCGGGCTCGTCACCCCTCTCTGGGTCTGCTTTTTGTTTGAGGGTAGCCGCCATTGTTTCTCTGAAACTCGAGATGATTCTCTAGAGGCAATTCGAGAGAATATGCGGATTTTCAGCCAAAGATAAACCCCCAGAACCACCAGGAGTACGCGGGGATATAAGAGTGGGCATTCACCTGGGGAAGTAGCCCCATACGACAGAAACTAGCCAAGACGCAATGATATCGGCTAGTGAATACTGCAGAGAGTCATAGCCATTGAGACAACCGTCCGATGAACTAAACGGGCCCAAGTGGACATTCTCGGCTCGCAGCGGGGGGTTTCCGGCATCCCAGTCTGCTCTGAGAGGTCCAGGGATGCCGAACTAGAGCATCGGCGCTCAACGTCGTGTCCATCGGCTCCGGCGTCGAGCATGGGGCGGAAGATCCTGCCCTAATCGGACAGAAAGGGGAACTTGATGCCCGCGGGGGATCCACTCATCTCCGCGATGTCGTCCATCGGCTTCAATTGACGACAAAACTTGTTTGGAAGGGACCGACCGTCGTGTCTGACATGTTCATGGTCAACCTGCGGAATGTCAATTTGCGACATAGCGTGATCGTAATCAACCGCGATCGGGAGAACATGGTGAATGACTGAAAGCCTCTGATTCGAGATATTTGTTATTTACTTCGCCCCACCGTCCACATCGACTACAGCTCCGTTGATGTAACTTGCAGCCTCACTCATCAAAAACAGGACCACCCCAGCCACCTCCTCCACAGTCCCAAATCGCCCCAGACTCGATGTCTCCGCAATCTCATTGACAGCTTCTGGACCCCTTTTCACCGCGATATTGGTCGGAGTATGAATCTGGCCCGGAGCAACCGCATTTACGCGAATGCCTTTCGGGCCAAGCTCCAGGGCCATGGACTTGGAGAAGCCAACAACCCCGAACTTGGACGCGTTATAGATCGCCCAGCCTGCCATCGCGCGAGATCCAGCAATGGAAGATACATTGACGATCGACGATCCCCGCTTCAGATGCGGAATGACCGTTCGGGTCATGAGGTAGGTGCCTTTGACATTAGTGTCGACGATCTTGCTCCAGTATTCATCGGTGGTGTCTTCCAAGGCATGTTCTGTGGGATTCACACCCGCACAGTTGAATACGTGATTGATTTGGCCAAAGTCCTGGATGATAGATGCCACGGTCTCCGTGGTACCACTGGGAGATGTCACGTCTAGCTGGTATACCCGATGGCGGGAGTCAAGGTCGGAATTGTTGAGACTTTCAACATTCACGTCACACAATGCTATTCGGGCGTTGCTTGATGATAATTGCTTGAATGTGGCAAGTCTATGCTGGATTCAGCTTCTACCTGTCAAAGTGGGAGGTGGAGGCTTACCCGATGCCACTTGCAGCTCCTGTGATCAGGACGCACTGTCCTGAGAAGTCATATGTAAGTGACATGGCAATGAATATTTACAGGTATTATCTGGCCTGCTTGGGTTCTCTGGGGAATTCAGGGTCGATGTACTCCGTATCAAGATCACCGTGATATGTGAGTTACCCCAAGTGACCCCAAATGCTAGGTTACATTACCTGACGCGTTTTGAGCGTCTCCTTCACTATTGTGTCCCCAGTATGGTGTATTGCGGTGTAATTTACACTCTGACCCCAACAGCACAGTTGGAGATCACCTACGAACGTCCGCATCAGTTCTATCAAGTTCGCCCATACATTACATGTGGTCACGTTATATACATTGCTATTAATCTCTCAAGATGGCTGTCCATCCATCTGCTGCAACCTATCCTGGATTGCGTCATGATCGTCATTTCCTTCGTCGTCTTTGTACTCCTGGAGTACGATACTTCGCATTACCCGTCGTGGGGCGCGACGGCCAGTGAACAATTCAAATTGCGCAAAGCCTTGCTCTGGAAGAACATCGAGACCATCCAAGGCTACCCAGCCGCGGTGCGAGAGGGATCGGGTTTGTTTCATGAGAGGAGTGTTGAGGGGTTTGTATGCCAACTATGAGAAAAGGTTAGATTCAGGGTGCCAGGATCGGACAATAGTATTGAAACTCACTTCAACAACAACACCACCTGTAGCGCTCTCCTGCCACTGAGAGGGCATTTGGAAGTTAGGTGCGGGCTCGCCGCCAATGCTGTGAGCGGGAATACCCGAGACGACGATGGTGGGTTGTTTGAAGTCGGCAGGCCAGGAATCTGACAGAGACTCCAGAATACGGACTGTAGGACGGCCAGACCCGCTGGCCTCCTTGGAATGAAGATCTTGTCGGTTGTAGTGGTGGGCTAGCCGCTCGGCGTTGGCCAGCGTGCGGTTGTAAACGAAGATATGCTGGACGCCGAGATGGATCATGGAGTAGATTGCGGCGCGGGCCATTCCACCAGAGCCAATGACCAGGCCGGTGGTGGATGCGCGCACTGCGTTGGCGGGAGAGAGTCCACGGCGAATACAGTTGCAGATTCCGATCCAGTCGGTGTTGTCACCGTGGAGACCCTTGATAGGACCCGCGCGACACTTTTCAAGGAAGACGGAGGACTCTTGTAATTGGACGTTGTCAAGATCTCGAACGTTGCGAATCGGGATAAGGGTATTGATGGCACCGATGGCGCGAGCGTGGGTAGACATCGAGTGGAGAAGAGGAATACATTCAGTTTTGTAGGGCAGACTGACACTGGATCCCCCAAAGTATTGATTCTCGACCAGATCGTTGAGGCCCCGTAAAGTAGGTGATTGGTGGATAGAATAATTGTGCGGCAAACCGCAGATTTTGAAGGCAGTGTTGTGCATTGCCGGAGACATACTATAGGTGGTATTGGCACCGAAGACGAAGAATTGCATGGGATCCAAGGCGAAGGAACTGTAGAGAGACTGCTGGACCTCACGCGCTGTGATCCATGATCGCAAGTGGGTGCGGCTTTCCGTCACCAGAGAAGGATGTGTGACTGGGGAGAGAACGGGGTTGAAGCAGCGAGACGTGCGCCCCAGCGGACCTGTATTGTATGCTACTAAAGAGAGAGGGGTGACGGGCAGACTGTGGACTCGATGGCGGAATCTTTGCACAGCGATATTGTCTTCTGGTGTCTCGGCTGGTTGGCAGAGGCGCACGATATCGCAGCCTAATCTCCTGGCCCTTTCATAGACCTTCATATAGCCATCTCCATCCCAGCCACCAGGGAGAGGTTGGAAGGCTTCAAAATGCCCAATAATTCTTGTTCGTCCGCTCGCAGAGATGATCTGTGAGAGAATGTGATCATCACGAGAGAGATCTACGGTCAAGAACCCCGTAGACAACCGCAGCCCGTGCCGCACGAGGTTCAAGTAAGTCTCATCCGAGCTGCGTATGGGGGCCTGGCTAGGGGAACGAGTGCCAGCGGGAGTGTAGCTTTCCACGTGATATATTAAAGGCACAATGATGTTGCGGCGAATGGTTGCAATCGCCTGGCTGATGCTGTCCGCAAGACTTGAGTCAAGGCCCGGCTGACCAGAGGAATCCGTCACATCGATGGCTAGCTCAAAGGCATCAGCACTGAACTCTAACTCCTCGATGTCTATGCCCTGTTCGCCGACCCTGGAGAACGGCACCGAGACTGCGGTTGTGTAGTTTCGGGATTCCACCGGTAACAGCGACAGCGGAAAGGATGCATGCTGGCTATTGAGTTCCGCGATGTCCCCGGTTATGAAAGCAATGAATCGCAGAAAATCTCGCTGGACTCGTTTTAGTGTGAGGAACGGTATCGACGTATGTGATCTGGGTTCCGTTCTGTGTGCTGGCGACTCCTCACTTTCCGCGGTCAAGTCGCTTCGAGTCTCCGACAGGTTGAAAAATTCCAAATTGGAACATCCGCGGTATATCGGTCCGGACAAGTCCAGGAAGTGTCGGACCTTTTGTGTATCCCATGCTTTCAAGTACAATTGAATACTCTCTGGATCTCGAATCACATGGATGACTGGGTGTGTCTGCGCATATTCTCTGAGCAGTCTTTGGCCGTTCCTCTCCATCGAGCCAGCCCCGCAGACTATCACGCAGCCTTCCTGGTTATCCGCCAGCATCGATTCGAAGACCCGAGCTTCCTGCTGGCGATAGACGAGTCCATCGTTTTCCTTTTTAAACACTGCGCGAGGGCATCCGACGCTCTGATGGAAGTAGCGGTCGGCATCGATGAGACGCCTTCCAGATGTTGCTGCAAGGATGACAGCCAAACTAGATTTTCCAGTACCTCGGATTCCAATCAGAACAATGGATGCTTTGGGGCTGAACGTCCGGGGAGTCTGCAGGTGGCCATTTTCGACCAGCACCGGGGATCCACGGTTGGAATGCAAGTCTCTGAGAGAGGGCGGCCGGGAGGATGAATCTCGGGATTCGTCCCGGTGCTCACTCAACCGACGGGAAGGGGGTCGTGACAACGACGTGGGGGAGTTCAGGATGTGTTTCCGAGGGCCATCGTCGAGGGTCTCGGTGAGCTTTCTCTTCGGAGGGCGGACTAGCATGGACATCGCGCAAGATCGAGTTCAAACAAGGTCACAAGAAGCCCCATTACCACCGTAGACAAAAGCACCAAGAAAGAGGATATGGAGAAAATGTGGAGGAAGCACCGATGTGGTAAGCGGGCCTGAGTTTGCGGGGGAAAAAAGAAATTGGCTCACCGTTACATCCGGTTACATAAGGCGGACGAGCACTCACCCGGCTTCATTCGGCTGTCCCCTTCCCCGCGGGGTCGGTACTCGCTGACATTTTGCATTTGGCACGGCCTTTTCGGTTTTCGATTACGAGAAGGATCCTGGTCTTGATATCGGTACGAGGCATTCGAAGACACGAGTCACGACCAATTCGACCGAGTGTGCGAGAAACACCGCTCGAGGCAAATTCGGTATTACCTTTGGCGAGGCACTGACTGGCTCACCGCTAGCCGGGTATCCATCTTCCCCGGAAGAATCTCGCCTGTGCACCTGAGCACCTTGCGTCGTGCTGCACTCTCTTTTTCCACACCGGAAATTCGATCCCTCCACTCGCAACATCCCTGAGACTAGCTCGTTTATGGCGTAGTCGCCGGCTCGTCCGTGCAGCCGCCAGTCGGCAAAAGGGTTCCCATACGCTTCGAAACATGCGCCGGGCTCTGACAGGTGGATTGTGACAACCATGAGCGCGGAACAACGCCAAGCCACTGGCTCCAGCGCCAAATCAAAAAAGAGATGGACCGACCCCGACGAGGACGGGAAGACCGGGGAACCCAAACGCCAGCGGGTTTCCCGGGCCTGCGATAGCTGCCGCTCGAAGAAAGACAAATGCGATGGGAAACAACCAGTGTGCTCGACATGTGCGTCGCTCTCGCGACCGTGCACCTACAAGGCAAATCCGAAAAAGCGTGGCCTGCCCACAGGCTACATTCGGTCCCTGGAGCTACTCTGGGGGCTGGTTTTCCAAAGAATCCAAGGCAGTGAGGACGTGATGCGCGCTTTGATGCGATCGATCAATCTCCCAAGCCATCTGGCGACAATGGGTAAAGAAGCGGAGGGGTCAGACGCCTTGATGGCTTCTTTCAAAAACAGCACAGTGCTCCGAGACATCGAGCGTATCCTGGTGATGCTGGAACAGCCAGAAGAGGAGAGGGACCGGAGCCTGCAGGCTTATGGAGACGGGGAAACACCGCTCGACGTCGATTCCATACTCTCCTCGGCTGATGCCCAGGAATGGCAGATCCCCGAAGGCTTGGAGGCCCGCGAGACACCTTTGCCTGGGATTTCGCCCAGTCGAACGGCAGCCGGCATTTCCCCTTTCAAGAATCCTGCACGAGCTACCAGGGAATGTGGTGTTCAAACCATCGAGTCAGACGATGCACCCTCACCCTCCTTTACTCTCCAACCACATTACAATGATGCTCGATCGTTGTCAGTGAAAACTCCCCTTCAACTCCCTTACAATGCATGGCCGCTCTTCGATGTCTACTTCTCATACACACAATGCTGGTTTCCTATACTGGAAAAGCACGATATCCTTCGTACCGCCTTCCAATACACCGAAGGCGATGTCTATGTCTCACGTTTCGCCCCCGGATCGGGTGAGCACGCTGCTCTGTGGGCTGTTCTGACTCTCGCGTCACTCCAAGATGCCTCGATTACCGCCTTCCGACAGACGGATGAGCAGCCTAGAGATCAGCTCACCCCCTCACAAATGTATGATATCGCTCGCCAGTTGATTCCCTCTGAGAGTGGCCCCCACGAGATAGGGCACGTGCAAGCACTCTTGATCTTGGGGCTGGTTAAATTTGGACAGCAAGAGTGGACAGCATCCTGGATGTTGATCGGTCAAGCTGCACGAATCTCTAACACGTTGGGGCTCGATCAACCTTCTTATCCGTCGTCATCCAGGACCGCTGATCAAGAAAAGCAACTTGCTCGGGCCAAGCATGTTTTTCTGGGTTGTTTCGTTCTCGAGACCCTGGTTGCCGAGAAAACCTCTCAATGTCCCTCTCTGCGGCGGGCAGACTTAGCCAGAGTAGGATCCATCAACGAGGACGGACTTGAAGAATGGCAGCCCTGGGAGGATCAGACTGGCCTGCGGCCCCCACAGTCATCACGTTCATCCATGCAGCGTGGGCCCCTCCACGCCTTGAGCACCTTCAACCGTCTTGTTAGCTTGGTCTCCATCCTGAACGAGCTCTGCTGTTGCAAATACGATCCAACGATATCGCGATCGCAGCTGGAGCAGCTGGAGTTGCAGTTACAACGCTGGGCGACGGCATTGCCGAAAAGCTATCGAGTCGACCTCCAAAGTCGGCCTGTGCGCCTCGCTTCGCCCCATATCTTCGTTTTGGAGATGACATACGAGAGCGTGGCCGTTGCGCTCAGCTCCCAAATAGCCATCCGCGAATGCGATCAGAACATATTGGACCCGCCTCACAAGTATCGTGCGACCGAAAGTTCAAAACGACTTCTTCAGCTTCTCCAAATCTACATGGAAACATACAGCTTCGCTGCCACACCACCCACGCTCGGCATGATGCTCCGATTTGGTCTCCCGCGAGGACTCTCTCGAGAACTTCCGTCGGACCTGGACATCGGGCTACGAAACAAAATCCACACCTTTTCCACTCATCTTTCTGCGCTGTGGACTATGGCGGACCGACAGGCTGCTGGTCAAGGTCTAATCCAGAGGCCTCAGCCTATGAGCATAGGCGAGTCCCCGATGTCACAACACATGGAGGGCTCCACCAGTGGTGAAATGTCACTTCCATTGGGCATTTCTATTCCAACCTCACAGCACCTCACACCGGTTGACGGGAATCCACCCAGCAGCTCCCATACTACAGCGCCTCCGGACCAATTCCTCTCCACCCCATGGCTTCGGGCCACACAGCACATCGAAGACATATCCTTACTCCCCACACCCTCTTCACTCACCTCCGTTGGAGGCCCCGACATTCCACCCCAGCAGGGACACATGGCGGCTCCTGTCAGCAGTGGCCTTGCCCATCCAGCCTCCACGGGAAAAACTCACGGTGGGACAGGCATGATCCCACAGCTTTCTCCCACATACCACCAACACGCCCCATATCACCCTAATGCATATCAAGATCCGTCCCTCGCCCCGGGCTCCTTTGTTGATATGGATGGATATGGCGCACCTCGACGCCAGCGGATCGCCCCCGATCTAGACGCATTATTCGACGAACTCGCATCTCTCGATGGTGCTGAAAAGTAAGCACGCAGCACTTCTCAAGATTTTCCCCACTAACTGGCTCATCTAGGGCCGACAATCAGCCCGAGTTCATGCAGAACCTTGGCTTCGTTTCCGACGCGGGCATCCCCGAACTCTACTCCTTCTCCGGTCAGGTCGAGCCTTTCCTGCTGGCACAGACTCAGCAACTTCCCGGCGACGGTACCCCCTCCGGCGTGCGACGGGAGTCCCAGTCCTTGGGGATATCGGGAACTCCCAAACGTTGATCGGCAATGGATGGGCGTACTCGCGACGAAGGAAGTTGAGCGTGCCGTGGCCGCTGGTCGGTCCTCTCCGCAGGGATGTTTCGCTCTCTTGGGTCTTTAGTCGTTTTGCTGGAAAACCACACAGTAACATGCTCATTTAAAAGCTTACGAGCCCCAAGTGTATCCTAACTTGCCGATAATATGTAACCATACATAATTGAACCATGAATTCATCATCTTCCCTAGATCTATATACAAGAAATATTCTTTTTCCCTTAGAGCGCCGCCTTGGCCTTCTCCTTCTCCGCGAAATTGACACAGACATGCTCCACCGCCACCTTGTATCCATACACTCCCAGGCCCACAATGATGCCCGCCGCCTTATCACTAAAGTACGAATGATGTCTCCAGGGCTCTCGGGCATGGACATTGCTCACATGCAGCTCAATGAAGGGGATTTCAACGCCGAGCAGCGCATCCCGGATAGCGACGGAGGTGTGGGTATAGGCGCCCGGGTTGATAATGATGCCGTCGACCTTGCCCCGCGCCGCCTGGATGCGATCCACGATTGCGCCTTCGTGGTTGGATTGGAAGGACTCTAGAGTTGCGCCGTGCGTGGCGGCCATCTCGCGGCTGTTGTTCTCCACGTCGGCGAGGGTGGTGTGGCCATAGATGTGAGGTTCCCGGGTGCCCAGGAGGTTGAGGTTGGGACCATTGATGAGGAGGATTGATTTGCCCATTGTGTATATAGAAAGTGATGTAGAAAATAGCCCTGTAATTTGGCAATTGTCGTTACTTAAAAGCCCGTTTGACTCGGTTATATTCTCTACACCCCGGGGCCCCGCGGCTGAGCCCTTTGCCGTGCGGAGAAGACGTTTTGCCCCCGGCGAATGGGGGAGACGCCATTGCCAGTCGGCCTTCACGCACATTGACATGCATCACATAGTTATATACTGTATACTCGAGACTCAATTGTTGTTCAATGGCTGGAAGGATTCAATAGATCTACATGTTCTGTATGGAGAAGTCATTGCGCCAGGAGTATAATACTATACAGGATATAGTGCATATTTGTATATTCCGCAAATCTCATACTTCCAAGGCTGCATCTCACATCTCACAAGTCATTGATCTAAGATGTATAGCATTTCGTCTCAAGTCGACTCTGTATCGACAGTCTCTCCGACATTTGGACCCCACGACCCACCGAGCAAAACCAATCAAAACCGGGAAATCAGAATCTTCACTTTTCACCCCTCCATTCGGCGAGATACTCGAATGGGATAGCCAAATGTCCACGCGTTCTCCGGAACAGATAGCTGCTAAAGGTCGACATAAACCCCCGGATGAGGCAAACAAGCACTAACGAAAACAGATTGTCCGACGTGCCAACGGCGCCGCATCAAGTGTGATCGGGGACTACCGACGTGCCGCAAATGCGGCAAACGCAATCTTGAATGCCCAGGCTACGGGCTCCGACTCAAATGGGTCCAGGGAGTCGCCAGCCGGGGTAATCTGCGCGGCAGGGCAGTCCCCTCTTCACCGTCCTCAGTGGAAGGGCGAGTGAGCAGGGAACCAACTGCCGCCAATGGGCACAGTCGCCTTGCGCCGCATTTCCCACCGCTGTTTCCAACGCCCACCTCCGAGCTGGGCTTGTCGCAGGGTCGACCGGTGCATGTCTCGCGGTTGCTTGCGTGGTTCAATGAGCGAGTCGCTCATCGACTGGCGTGGGTTCCCCAGCAGAACGCATGGCGACACATGATTCTCCCGATGGCGGAGAGCTCGGAAACCGTCATGTCGTCGATTCTGACTATCGCCGCCAATGATCTGGCAACCGAGTACGCTCCCACAGACCTGGGTCACGGCACATTCCAGCAGATGTCCAAGAATTATCAAAATCGATCACTCGCGTTGTTGGCACAGGAGCTGAATGGCCTGTCCATCTCTCCCGCTTCACCGCGGCAGACCAATACCACGTCAGCCTACACCTTGGCCGCTGTCATAATTCTCTGCAACAACGAATTTATGAAGCCCCAAACGGCCGGGTGGAAAGTTCACCTCTCGGCCGCAAGAGAAATCATCTTAGCGGCCAAGGGGCGGCCAAACCGCGCCCACCATCTGGCCTCTATTGAAGAGTTCCTCATGTTGGAATTCTACGAAGCCTCCGTATGGGCTGATCTGACCACTTTCCAAAACTACAATGATACACCCAGGGTACCCCCCACTGGTGCCGAGAACGCAGTCTTCACTGATTATGTCCGCATCATCGATCAAATCACCCGACTAGAGCGTCGCAAGTCTCATCCCAAACCAGTCGACCAGGCCCCGCCAAAGTGCGGCCCAATCCAGGACATCCACTCGCAGATCGATGCAGCTAGAGATAACATGATGCAGCTGAGTGGTTCAATTCACTTCTCGTCCGAGGAAGACCAACGAGGCTTCGAATTGGTCATTTGGATGTATTACCACGCAACCATCATCTACAGCTACCAGGCCCTCGGAGAGGATTCTGCTACATACGACATCACCACGTCTCGAGATGAGATACTACGGTGGGTACTGTTTCTGTCGGAGACTCGAGACGGCATGTTTGCACAGGATCTCGTCTGGCCGCTTTTCACCGCGGGATCCGAACTGCGTGGCGACCCGGCCGGGCAACAGCTCATTCGAGAATGTTTCGGTAACGTGATGCGCATCAGTCGGATTCTGGATCGTGCGCGTGTATTGGCATTCTTGGAGAGATGGTGGAATGAGCCTCATACGTCCGCGTCTTGGATTGACATGGCTCGAAAGCAGTCGCAGGATCCACAGTACGATATTTTGGTTGTATGATACCATTGTCGCTCGATGAACATATTGGGCATGATGTATATAAAATTAAATAGAAGCCAGATGTATCATACCGCAAGTCATGTTTAGAGCCAGCACTTAATGGTCTTTATCCAACAAACCAGACCCGAGCAGCTTTTCAAAGATGGATGGCTTCTTCGGCCACAAGCTTCCGGTGCCATTCATCGACCCCAGGACACACTCGCCACCATGGAACATGGCATCCGCCGCCGATGCCCATAAGGTCTCCGGCGCGCGAATGTTATCCAGGGTGAAAAAGCGGCGGCATTCCGCCGCTTCGTATATGAACTGGCGAGGCAAGCTATCATTCGTAGGACCAAATGCATTCATCAGATTTACTGCACCTTCAGTCAGGTTCAGGGGGAATTTTTCGAGAGGTTTAGGGAAAATATCATCGAAGTGGTCCATATCCTTCGAGGCGACAATAGGCTCAGATGAGTTAGAAAAGGCCCTGATAAGGGAAGCTGCTTGTTCCATGAGTTTGCTCATTGTAGTGAGTGGAAGTGTCTGAGAGCCCTTGACGCCTCCCATCCCTTGCATAGGGGCATTATGGGGTCGGCCGCCGAATGCGATTGTGCGGACGCCTTCGGCTTTCATGAGCTCGGAGAATATCGTGCATGTAGATGCGCAGTATCCGTCGGTGAGCTGGAAAGATGTTAGCTGGGTAAGACATAGTTGACTACACGAGACTTACAAGGATGATATCTTCAGCTTTGAAAGCTGACCGGGTTGGATCTAGCTTGATGGGTCCATATCCGCTGATTGGTTCGGTGGAAGAAGAACCCAGAGAGAGATTATTAGAGACCAGGCTGGAAGATGGAACCCCCAGCGTCGTATGTGGACCAAAGAGCTCTTTCCAGGATTTGAAGTCAGTCTCTTGGTCCGGCTTGACTTGAGACTTCCAGTTCAACCAGATCGGACCACTGGGGAAGAAAGAGACTACCTGACCAGCCAAGTCAGCACTCTCATGGGCTCGCCACCGCCCAGCCGAGTAGATATCCTTGTTGGGGAAGAACAGTCTGAAAAGGTTCATTCCGGAGTATACCGAGCCACCTCCATTACCGCAAAGATCAATGATCATCTTCTTTTTCCCTGCAGAGGTCGCGTTGTGGATGAAGTCGCGAGCAATCTTGGCGAAATCAGCTGCGCCATTGAGAATCGGTACCTTTTCGAGCGATTCCGCAAAGGTAGGCACGGCGAGAACAGCTACATCCTCGAGTCCCTTGCTATCAGGTAGGAACCCCATGATGCGGTTGGCCCCTTCTCTGATGGTTGGCTTGGGATAGCCAGCAGGCGCCCCCAAATTCGGGGTTGAAGTGAGAATCTTGGGTGTTGCGTTCGAGGTATTTTTTGGGAGGCACACGTTTTCCCAAAACGAGGTGCCATTCTCGAAGGGAAAATTCTTGACTGTCGTGGTGGTTTCAACGACTGAATTCGAGCCATTTGCAAAACGAAGCATGTGGTATGCACCACTCCAGGTACCGTTCGTGAACCGACCTTGCAACGAGTTGCTGCGCCCATGGACGTTGAGACTCAGTGCAAGTGACTTGAACTGGGCGTTGTATCTAACCGAAAGTGCTGTTAGGTAAAGTTTTCTGTTTGAAGATGGCACACTGACAATGCATCCCAATCCTGTGATCCTGTTCCGAGGCTAAGCAAATAATCGGTCACGTCGGCCCCATTGATCGAAGCTATAGGAGAAACCGAGGACTGGGAGTGTAGCTGCAAAGCATCGCCTTGAACGGTTATTAACACCCCTTAGTCGAAGTCGAGGTCAGATGAGAGCGACACATACTGTAAGTGTAAACCTGGGGTAGTGCAGTGCCGTTCGAGGATACGGACACCAAAGGCGTGTCGTTTTCGAACACAAAATACTGTTGCGAACATAAACTCGCGCCCAGATGACCATCGTAGGCTGACTTGAGTAGATCCGATATTGCCGTGTCGAAGTCAAACTGATTGTTGTATAAGCCAGTCTTGGCCTTCTTCTGGATATCATCGAGGCCTCCCAAAAGATCCGTTGGTGGCATGGGATAGTTTGCGGGAGGGTTGGGGAGAATCTCGATGGTAGATTGGTACTGCAAGTACTTGCGATATTCCTTAACAAATGCGACGGCTCGTTCTTTATCGAACGGCATTTCCCTCAGACATTGGACTGCTAACTCGCCGGGAATAACGACATCCACTGCGTCTGAGTTAGTTCTGGTTAAATTGTACCTCATGGAAAAACTAACTCTTGTCATTCTCAACAGAACGTCTGCGAATCTCTGGGCAGGCTGTGTTTCTGCCGACATGATATCGGGGACTTATGCCGAGAGCATACGTTGAAGCCAATAGACCCGTAAAGGAAGCCAAGATGGTATTCGGACGAAACCGCATGATAAGCCGAGTTATGGTTGTATAGCAAGACTGGAGATGATCTGAGAATGGGAAAGATATCGCCCCACAGGCTTTTGTGCCCGAATTGCGCGCTAGATGCGCGAATTCTCATCGGTGACTTCATGGCTCTTGTTTGTTGTGGTGGGCAAAATGGCCCCCAGAAGCCAAGAACGGCTGTGGGCTTGGGCTCTCCTGATTCCGCCTGGCCCCAATCCGAATCAGGGCATCTTATTGAGACTCCATTTGAAAGGACTGGTGACCCTGGTGGTCCCTACTTCGTATTGAGGCTCTCGTGGCGATCCCTTCGAAGACCGGGGACCAGCCGGAACGCTGGCAGGGCTGTGGTTCAGTCGGCTGGGGTTGAACAGGCCGTTTGTTACTTCGCCGAATCGCGTTCTTCTTCTGGCGCCACATCTGTTGCCAAGAAAATGGCTTGCCAAGGTGTTCAGGTGGATCTTGGAGCTCCGGGGTGTTGATGTGATGAAGTTGTGGGACGGTGCCCGGGTGCGAAAATATACATCCAGGACCTCACCCATGCTGGAGGTCCCCACGTCAACCTTCGACGTAGAGTACTGTAAATAATTTACAACCCAAGAGAGCAGAAGAATCAATTAAAAAGGAAGTTGAATAAAATTAACCCAAGAACACCTCAGCTATGACGTTGTTGAAAGACAACACAAGAGAGATGGCCACCATGCAAAATAAACAACCATCTATGTCTTACTATTCCAGACTATTCCAGACTTTTTGCGACAACTGTGTGCTGCTCTTTGTTTATGGAACCAGAATCATGGTTCCAGCACCTTGATTGTCGGTTTCATCGGGCTTGGCCGCTCAGAGAAGATTGTTGAATTTCCCGAGGGCCAGTTGAATGTTGCAATTAAGAGTCAAGGCGATACACACTTCGGGAACGGCGCTTGATGACGGCAAGAATAGTTCGAGCGCGTCTGCCTTGACAGAGAAAAGAGTGCCAGTCACGAACTAAGGCTTTACGCCTCTTGCGCCCAGCGCGACTCACGGAGCGGCATCTCTTCGCCAGCATCCTTGCGGCTTCCATCGACTTCGCGCTTCCAGGCGTAGTACTCGCCAAGACGGACCTCGGCGTAACTGGCGTAGTCGAAGTCGATCTGTGAGATTTGGGCTTGAATCAGAGCCCAGACACCCCTGCAGAAAGAAGAGTCAGCACAAGACCACGATCAATGCATGCTCCTCCAGCTTACCAGTACAGACCGGGCATGCCACGGAAACGGTCTACATCCTCATACAAACGATCCACGATCTCGGCCTGGAACGCAGCATCCAGACTGCTCGTCTCGCAATAGCTGTTGGTATACTCGGTGAGAAACGCACGGCGCACAGATTTCGTCGGCATCATGGTATAGTCGCAGTCATAGCCACCCCACTCGGCAAGGTGGTTTGAGATGTCGAAAGCCGCGGGTGCGGGCACGGCGTATTCATAATCGATAAAGTCGACCGATGTGGTACCGTCTTCGGAGACAGTGTTGCCCTCGCTGGGGAGCACGATCACGTTCGCGCAGAGAAGATCGCAGTGTGAAAAAACGAGCTGTGAGTCTCGACATTAGCCAGATCCCCGGCGTGTGATGCAGGAGCCTACATACCCCATCTTCTCCAATTCCCTTTCCGTCATCGAGACGCTCCACGGCCCACTGCAGCTCCGCCTGCAAGCTTAAGCGGCGCGCACGCTGTTCCGGCGTCGTGACCGGCAAGGCCAGCACCCACTTCTGCAGGACCGCCCAGATCGACGGGCCGGCGCGGCGGGGCTTGATTACGGTGATCTCAGGGTCCTGCTGCAGGTCGGAGGTATCCTTGACCTGGGCGGCCGCGCTACTGGGCAGCGCAGCGTGCCACTGCGCCAGGCGACGGGCTACTCCGCGCCAGATGGGCGGGGAGACCAGGTCCAAGTGGCCGCAGGGCTTACCGCGGATGAAGCGATAAAGCAGGCCGTTTTGAAAGCGGGCGAGAAGGGGTGGGGCCAGACCGCGACTGGCGAGCAGGGCGTGGGATTTGGTTTCTCCTAAGGATCTCTACTTCAGCATATGTCGCAATGGGCAAGAGTCGCACGGGGCTTTTTTGGGGCTTTCCCAGGGTGGACGATGTCCGTCGGGGGTCTCGTACTTTCACGGTCTATCAGGATTTCTGTTCCATTTCCGTACGCCCTCATCAATACGGCCTCATTGTCTATTTGCTCTTCCGTCAGGCCGGGCTTCAGGTTGATTATTTTCAAGAGCTGACAGATGTGTTAGTCGAGTCCGGAGATGGGTTGGAGGGAGGTGCTAGGAAGACACACAGTATTGGTGATGCCGTCGGTGAAGCGCACGAACTCGATGTTGTTGCCAGGACCTTCCCAATGGGGGTTCAGGGTCAAGATTAACCTCAGGGCAGATGCCTGGGAGTCCGCATGGCTGTATGAGAGCGGAATATAGCGAAAGTCCGGCTTCACGGGTGTCTGGGTTTCTACTGAACCCATGATGGAATAGCGAAGAGGGGAGAGGGGAGAGGGGAGGTGGGAGGTGGGAGGTGGGACCGGGAGAGTTGGCGATCTGCTTCAGTTTAACGCCTAGGAATAGGCACCGTTAGATCGAGGATCCCACACGATCACGAAATATTCTGTCAGCAAGGGGAATGTCCGCGGGTTAAATTAAAGAATAAGGCAGAGCAATCGAAAGGAAAAGTCGATTCAGGGGTCAAAATAAAAAAAAAAGAAACTATGGCGGGGAGATTGAGACACGAGGGGAGGTCTCGTGCTCCCGCCCCATGGAAAGACTCTTTGCCACTTGGTATACTTCGTCTCTGTTTTCGTTATATTTGGGGGTAAATGAGTGCATTGAAATCTAAGAATTGACTGTTGAGAATATAGAAACCCGCGCAATTGTCAAGAGTCTGTAAATTTGCAACTTTGTAGGGTTCGTACACGGTACATTGGCATATGTGGCCAACAAGGTCTTCCGCCAGGTACCAAGTACGGAATCACTGTCACATGCAAAAGGGGGACCCTGAGTCAGGTGATCTAGGTCACCTGACAAGGCGACAAGCCCCAGCCCTACGTTCCCAATCGGGCCGGTTACCTAACAAGAACCCTGTCTGCTGACTCAGCCAGGAAAAACTCTCTCACCGTGTCCCCATTGGGGCTAGCGTAGTCTCAGTGTCCCAGCATAAAAAGGAGTTGTTCGTCCGGCCCTTTCATCTTTTTTCTTTTCTCTCCATCATCAGTAGAGGTTTACTATTCTTTAGTAAATTTCAACGTGGCTCCACACAGTGGCTTGCTGAGGGTTATCCTGGGCTTCGGCCTCCATGGGTTTTCTTCCGTTCCCGGCCTTGGAGAGTAAAGGCGTCTCTCTTTTTCCCAATCACTTTATGGCTATACTAGGGTTTCCTTCGGGAAGCTCCATGGGTTTTAGCTGTGGAGAGGACGTTACATACCTTTTTATCCTGTCACTTGGTGATTTGGAACTTGATGGCAGTTGGCACGTAGCTTGACATCATAACGGCTCAGGAACCTTTCTCTGGGAGGTGTCTGCAAGTTTAAACGTATCCTTGGATCTCATCGCAGATTCAATTTAAGACGGCTCTTGTGTCCCAGGCGCATGTCAAGCTTCAACTGAAAACCCATGATGCTCGGGTTGATTTGTGGAGCTGACAAGCTTCCAACCTTGGCTTCAAGATATACTACGACTTAAATCTGGTGTCGATTCAATGTGTGGGCAAGTTAATTGGCCTGCCTTTCCCGAGGTCCAGCGCATGAACTCCCAACTTGGAAGGACCATCACGGAGGAACACTATATATTGGTGCAGTCAACCTTGGAAGGGATGCAACGCAATACCCGACCAAGCTGCAGCCATTGTCATCACCGTCGTAACTTCTCAAATTTTCTATTTGCTTTTTACATGGATGTTCTATGCGCGCCCAGCATTTCCAATCTGGATGCGTTGTCCATCCCACTTATCATCGCTGCGTAGCACAGGCCAGCTGGTGCCATCGCCCTTGACGAGCTTCAGGTCCAGCTTGGTGCCCAGAATCCGGAAGGTCGACTCCGCCGGATCAATGGGAGCAAAGAGGGAATATGTGTCCTGGTATCGCTTGTTGTCGGTGGTGGGCAGGTCCAGGGTGATCGAGTTGGCGGTAAATTCCACCTTGGCGCGTTCCTTGTCGATCTTCTTGAAGTAAAGGGAGACATTGACCGCGGTAGGAGTCTGATAGAAGTCATTACTATAGAGTGTGTCAGCCGGTGCTCTGAAGGACAAGAGCTGGTTCTCTATAAATACCGGACAGAGTCCACCTTCTCTTCGCCTGCAGCGTTGGCCTTGCCAACGTACATGTGCCTTGTTTTCTCTGTGCATCCGGGGATCTTCAAGAACTCGTCGAATTCCAGAACCCGGCGCTTGCAGCAAGACCACCCCTTGCTGCCTTCATGGAAGACGGGGTGGCCCGGGTGGTGGACGCACTTCTCCTCGTCGCGAGCGATGGACCCGCTGTGGGATGCGCCGCAGCCTCTCCGGCGACAGGTCGCATTCGCAGGGATCTCCACGTCAGGGTCATCTGACTCAGGCTCTTCGACCACGGGCTTTGCGGGAGGTGCCGCGGTGGCTGTGACCGGGGGAGTGACAATGGGCGGGCGCTCATTCTTCTTCTCCACAGGAGGGGGAGCCTCCTCGACCTTTTTGGGCTCTGGGGCTGGTGTATCGTCGACTGTCGAGTGCTTGCCGGTAGTGCATGGTGGAATGGCGAGGAACTCCTCAAAGGTGAGGACACGGGGCTTGCAGCATTTCCAGCCTAAATGGTTAGCGAGAGGTTTCCGATCATGAGCGATCGGCTTAGGGTTTGCGAGGGTATGCGACATTGAACCCCAAGGTACTTACCTTTCTGCCCCTCGTGGAACACGGGGGGCCCTGGATGATACACGCAATCCTCCTCAGGGTCGCTAAAAGTCTTCCCACAGGCCTTGTGAACGCACTTCTCCATGATGTATGTAGATTTGTGAGTCCCAAAGACAATGTCAAGAGGGAAATGGCGGGATTGCCCAACGAGGTTTAGCGGGGGCGAGCTCGAATGTTCCATAGCTGACCGCCGTCACGTCCCATCCTCCCTTCACCTCCGCGATGCTGCCCACGCGTGCTCTCCTGGCCTCAGCAAGGCTGACCCTATTTACTCGTGCAGGCTGTGGCCTGTGCGACACTGCCAAAAATACCGTTCTGCAATTCCAGAAACGAAGATCCTTCGAATACGTTGAGAAGGATATCATGGCCCCGGGGAATGAATCATGGAGGGAGGTCTATGACTTTGATGTTCCTGTCTTGCATGTCCAATCTGTGCAAGATGGAATGCCCATACAGGCTGATCTCTCGGACGCACGCAAATTGTTCCACCGATGGACAGAGGAAGAAGTGGCGCGATCAGTAGATGCGGCAGAGCACGAATAAGCCTGGATCTCACGGGCCATGACCTGGTCACTATTGCACTTCACCCCCAGGGCTATTTTTTTCATGCATTGATATGCAGTTTGGCATAAAGATCCTACATTCGATGGTGTCCTTCGCTTTTATGTGGCATATCTCCTTATTCCATATGTACTCTGTATGGACCCTATGGCTCAGTGGCACACACTCAATCTGGAATATCAAGCGATCCATGCACTGTCAAAGACAAATTTGAAATCACAACCCAGAGAAACGGATTTTGGGCTCTTGTATCCTTGTGTTCTGCCCTAGGATTGAAGCCAATGCTGGCTTGAGACTGCACCTTTGGAACCAGCAATTCCTATGGAGCAGGAATTCGACTCAGGAGCTTCTAAGCGGTCAGAATATGCCATCTGAAAGGGGACATTCCACTGGAATTGTGAGATTGTGACTTGTGGTGACTTGGGGATTGTGAATTGGACTGCCACATATCGGATCAATGTATATCCGGTTGCCCTTGGGAACTACATTCGGACAGCTTCAATTCACTTGATTCTCCATCTGCTTGTCCCTTCTAACGCAGTTCCGTAGTGTTGATATGCCAGGTTTGTAGAGTAGACTCAGAGTAGAGACTCTGAACAAGGGCCACTTGATCCATAAAGGATTATGAATTCATTGGAAGCCTGCCACCATGGGCTCCAACGAGAAACACTTCAGCGATCAATGGCCCAGACTGCTTCTGAACAGTGTCCTTCCATTGCTTCTCATTTGCTTCCCAGTCGCGACTGCCCTTTGGGATTTCGACTTTTCTCGATCGCGTTTGCTTTCGCTTAGCTTCGCCTTGTTTCTCCCACAACATTGCCTCTCGATGTTGATCTGCTAAGTGAGATTCACATCCCCAGTACTCCTTCTGGTCCATTCGACGCGTCCAAAATACATCTTGGGTCTTGGTACAGCTGTTTTCGACCTCGGATGATGTCGAGTTCAACAAAGTCACCGGCTTCATCGCCGACTCCAGTGCAGTACGGTACTCTGATTGGTCTCAGCAGGAATGAGCTAACATTATCCCACCTAGTGCTGATACACTCCGTGTGATCCCTTGCAATGTATGCGCGATAAACCGCATAGCCTGTGATAAGACCAGGCCGGGTAAATTCTGACCAAAAGCCCAACACGAGCATTCGGGACCATCGCTGACTATCTTCATAGCCCCATGTGCCATGTGCGTTTTCACCGGATTGGCATGGCTCTGTTCATATGATATCTTCTCCGGGTATGTTGACCTTCCGGTGTGGCAAGAAGGTACTGAACATGTTCTAGTATCCCTGTAGATCGCGACGAATCTACCGCGGTCCAAGCGACCCCCGGTGGCTCAAGCAATGGAGATGAGCCCCGACGTGATGGCCAATTGATCATGTCCGAAGGATGCATTGTAAATGCTCAATCTGAAGGTCAAACCGTTGCACCTCAGGTTGAAGATTGCACCCAGGAAGATCAACCCGTAACAGTGGCATCGAATACCGAAGTGGGTGACCAGGTCTCAAAAAGTCTGCGGTGCCGTCTTTGATGGTGAATCATGTTGTTGAAACATATTGACGAACGATGCCTGCCTGGGAAGACAGCCTCTCGGTACAGAGCTTTGCTTCCACGCCTGGAGAGAATTAGCCCGACCTGGATCAAATCGGAGATTGTTTTGCGAAAGATACCCGTGGACATACCTTCTCGTGGAGCTTTGGGGTCCAGTAGAGAAACCACTGTGAATACTGCCATAGGTGCCCGTTGACAGGAAGACTTCGCTCCTTCCCCAAGCTTCCCAATCTTAAGGGATCCTCTTCGCCTTCGTCTATTTTCCCTTTCGCCTCACCCCATTGAGTCAACCAAGATGCCTCCCAAGATGCCTCCCAAGAGGCCTCCCCGTTCTCGCGACGAGGAGATCTGCGCGATACCTGCGTCTCGCACGATGAATGCCGCCCAATATGCCAACTCCATCGCGGGCACAACAGGCCCCAGATTTGCAACCCCTACCCACCGACGGATCTCAAGCAACACCGGGAGCTCTTCGGCCGGTTCCCCGAGTTCCCCAACTCCAGGAAGTCGGCTTACACCAAATCGCCCACTGAAGCGTTCATCGGCCAACGCCTTTGACGTCTTATCGCCTGAAATCCCCAAGCAGCTGATGTTGACTTTCATTGACAAAGCGGCTCCGGTCTTTCTACAATTCATTATCCATCTGAGCGAGCTGCAAGATTCGTTTGACCGTTTCGAGAGACAAGGAAACCTCAGTTTCGAGACCGTCGATATGGTTGTTGGTCTTTGCCTCGCCATCGGTTCCCTTCTAAGCCGCAATTCTGAGCTTTGGAACGCGCGCCAATGGTATGAGGCGGCTTCCGACAAATTGCATTCGGTGACAAAGCACAGCAAAGGCATCGGGTACTTTCAGGCCCGGATTCTGCAAATCAAATACCTTCAGATGTCCGGGGAAGTTAAGCACGCCTGGGAAATTGTGTCTCTGAGCATCGGCGAAGCCCAGTCCCTCGGTATGCATCTTTCTCACCATGGGAGTCTTGCTGTCGACAACGAATCTAAGGAACGGCTTCGGGCTATCTGGCAATACATGCGGATGGCGAAACTGTCCCTCGCTCTACAACTTGGGCATGGCCATGAAGTCTTTGATGTTCGCTTGGAGACAGCGCTTCCAACACGCGCATGGCTGGAGAAACAGGGCAAGCAGGAGTGGAGTACGTATCTATCGCATGTCGTGCCCGACTCTTTCTTTGCTCTGGTAGCGATTGGCAATCGCACTGACGACTTTTTGGAGCTCGAGGCGGATGTTCGGCCCACCGGACCTGGATGCGTCTACCAATGGGCCGCGGAACTCAACCTCAGTGAATTCACAGGACTCAACAACAAGCTCATTGAGTGGAAAAACAAACTTCCTATTATCTTGAAGTGGCACAGCTTCGGGGTCGACTCCACTGAGAAGGCAGATCCGGTTCTGTGTCAAATGCGTATGCTGGTTCATCTGCAACATGTGTCCTTGAGACTTCGCCAGTACCGCGCTATGATGGTTGTTGCTATGAGGCTCTTGCGCCCATGTACCTGCCAGGATAGGACCCATGTGTTCAAAGAGGACATCATCACAATCGAAGGGGCTCCGAATTTCCATCTCATCCGCGGCGCGACCATTCAGTGCTTAGTGGCCGCCCAATTCATCATCAAATCCCTTTGGACACCTGCGGAAGGTCGCTTCGATGAAGCTATGATTGGAATATTCTCAAGTGAAACGATCGACCTGATCTACAGTGCCGCTCTTGTCCTGGTCGCGGCCCGGTCCATTGGACTCGTTGTGAAGCATGTTGAGCCAAACGTTGCCAAGTCCGTGTCGACCCTGACCGAACAAATCAATCAAGCCGAAGTTATGCTACAGAACTACCAAGAGCTCTGCGGGCAGTGCCCTAGCCTCGGTCAGCGTATCGGACGTGTCCGCGATTTTCTAAGCCGGGCTAGCCGTCAATCGTCTGATTCCACCACCGATGGTATGCCAGGCATGCTATCCGATGGAGATTTACAAACTCGTGGGTCTGTGTGGACCAACTTGTACAGCCGCCTCGGTGTGGCCTTTGATCCTTATGAACCTGATGATCCGGTCCCCGGTCAAGAGGCACTCTTTTGCTGGGCTGAAAGTCTCTCTGTCGACTTTGACTAGAGAACTTGCTTTGAGTGTGAGATCTATGGCTATATGGTCTCTTTGTATGTCGCCTATCAACTTCCTCGAGTAGCCATCGCGGACTTTGTTAACTACATATGTGACATCTAGGACTTGTTTCCTTGTCACTTGTCTGTGTATGTAGCGCACAAGTATCAATGAATTCCAATGAAAATTCCCTTGCGCTACGCTTTAATTCAATCCTTAAGGTTATCTGGAATTATGTTCAGCGAGAGAGCATTAGAATCACATTTACCGTGGTGATCTTCGCCCTGGGGCATCTCATCTCATTAGCTCCCTGGGACAGCGATGCCTATGCTATCCGCACACTGGCACATGTTACTTGCACACTAAGAGATTGAGATTCAATGTGCCAAATGGAATTCATTTCCTACCACTGAGCCCCTGATTAATTAATTTCAAACAGCACCTGGGCACGCATACACTGTCGAAGGGCTATCTTCGCGCATGGCCACACCATGATATCCAGGTTCTCCAATTTTGTTCAATGCATGTAGGTCAATCCCTCCATCCAACACGTCGTGCGATCCATTTCACCGCATAAACCAGTCCTAGCAGTACTGGGACCTCGATCAACGGTCCGACTGTCGCAGCAAGCGCCTGGTTACTATCAGCACCAAACACAGCCACTGCGACCGCGATGGCTAGCTCAAAGTTATTACTAGCGGCAGTAAAGCTCTGCACCGTCGAGAGCTTGTAGCCAAAGCCCAGGTAGTACGCAAGGAGCAGTGTGGCAAAGAAGATGATCAGGAAGTAAACAATCAGTGGAGCAGCAACTCGCACAACAGAAACAATCTGCTCCACCACATGACGACCTTGCGAGGCAAACAACACTAGGATTGTGAATAGCAGTCCAATGAGGGACCATGGACTGAGCCATTTCAGAAATTTCTCGTCGTACCACTGGGTGGAAATTGTTCGAATGAGGAACCGCGTGAGAATTGCAGCTCCCAGGGGAATCCCAAGGAAGACGGCGACACTTTTGGCTGCAATGGCGTATTCGAATGTGACATCATCTCCGCTGATCACACTGATGAAGAAGACCCCCATTGGAGCGAACAGAACCATTTGAAGTATCGAATTTACGGCAACAAGAATGGCGCAGTATTCGTTGTCACCTCCTGCCAATCCCGTCCACACCAACACCTGTAAGATATTAGCGACAGAATATCACAGAGCTCGATTTTTATTAAAACTCACCATGGCTATGCATCGTGCTAGCCCGACCACGATCAACCCTTGTCGCAATTCCGGCTCGTCGGGGAGGAAGGCCCAGGCCAAACCCAGCTGGAGAGTCCTGGTTAATCATCAACCAGCTCAATCAGGGCCAATCTTACTTACCATGAGAAATGGCGCAACAATCCAGTTGAGTACCAGGCTCAAGGCCATCTGAATCCAAATATCCTTCGCTCGAAGCACATGGTGAAGTGATTCAAAGCGAACCTTGCACAATATCGGATACATCATGACCAAGAGACCAACCGCTAGATATTCCAGTCCTGTCAGGGCCGTCTTGCATATGATTTGAGTCTTACACACCTATTGGGACTGACACGCCGACAAATTTCCCTCTTTCAAGGGTTGGTCCTGTGCTGGGCACGAAATTGCCGAGAACAATCCCGATTGCCATGGCAAGAAAAATCCATAGGGCGAGAAAGCGATCAAGAATTCCGAGACTTGCGAAGACTGACTGTTTATTTCGTGGCTCATTTGAAGTATCGAGTTGATCCTGCTCTTCAATGTCGCATGGTGTTGCGTTCCCCTTGGCAGAGGCGAACGAGCCTATCTGGGACTGGCCCGATGCCATGGAGAGCTCTGTTTTCAAAGTATGAATGTTGCAGCAAGCACCAAACTGCAAAATACGCCTCTATATACCTGCGCCGTCTGCAATTGATATGTCACTGCCGGCTTCTGATTGGCCACGATGGCAAACTAAGGGATCTGTCAGCAAGGTATCCTGACCAATCAGCGTCGAGTAGTGACATTCCCACGCGGGGTATAACTGCTGCGTTGGAATCCTGACACACATCGCTGATCTCCCAATGTCGACAGAAACACCGTGGCAGGCAGCATTCCCTGCTCCAAGGAGTACCCCGTCCTCTGTTTCCCGGGAGGAAGTGCTCCAATGGGTCCGAGACGGCAAACAAGCCGGCAAGGACTTTATCCTTGTTGATGTGCGTCGGACGGACCACGAGGTATCGAAAGATGAGTCAAATGCGCTGAGAAATACAGACTAACATCCATGGATTATGCAGGGAGGTACAATCAGAGGTTCCATCAACTTGCCGGCGCAGAGTCTCCACCCGACGATTCCATCATTGTACTCGCTGATATCGAACAGCGGTGTGAAGAATGTAGTCTGGTACTGTGGTAAGGCATTCTTGAAAGACATTTAAAATTTTCACTCTATTCAATTCTGTATGCTGATCGTTATCTAGGATCATGTGGAGGTCGAGGACCGCGTACCGCAGGCTGGTTCGCGGATTACCTCGAGGGAAAGGGAGATTCAACGATCAACAGCCTCATTCTGACTGGTGGTATTAAGGGATGGGCTGCTGCTGGAGACGAGTACACTGCGCTGATGGATGGGTATGAGGCCTCTGTTTGGAAGAAATAAAGGATGTCAATTCCATACACCGGAAAATGCAATACAATGAGTAAGCCGTTCGACCGAAATAAACTGATATCTGGCCATTTGAGACACATTCAAAGCCATCAAACACATCTATTTAAGTGGTGACATGTGGTTCAGAAGCGAGTTAGGTCCATGGCGTGGCTTTGGTCTTCTAGACAACAAACGAGGTTCTACTCCGTGGACCCTCTAAAGCAATGTTTATTTCCTGACTCTGCTTCTGAGAACATGAGGCAAATTGTGAAAATGCTTTGAGTGTTAGTTCAACCTTGGTCTTCGAAGAATATGTACAGTATACCTACTCACCTTGGAATCACGCCGTGCACCTCAATTATTAGAGAGATGAGGTTGCGAGTGTGTCTTCGAGATATTACTTTCCAGCGACTCTCGGTGCGCTCGGTCGCCTTCTGCTAAACGCTCAATCGGAGGTGGGGCAGCAACCTCGCTCAAAGAGCCCATTGAGTCGTTATCTTCGTCTTTCCTGGCGTTGGGGTGAGATTGGTTCTCGGGAGTCGAGTCCGAGTTCTTCCCACGGCCACAGGTTAGTATGCGACGAATTTTGGAGAGATTCATGATAGATCTGTCGATGGAGCAAATCAAGCCTGGATTATCGACAGAGACCTCTCTTGGGGAACTCTATAGATCCCATTGGCCACCGGGATACGTCATATCTATGATAGAACTCGAATAGATGGGGCACTTCTCCGATACTCATATATAGGTAGATTGAGGACTACCAAGACATTCGATAATTACGATCCTGGTGAGATATCTTAAGGGGCTACGGGCTATTTGCAATTGCTTGCCATGCATGATATCCATTCCAAGGTTACTTCTAAGGTTCCAACGCGACTAACTCAAGTTTGGAACAAAGACCGTTTCTATATAGCTTCTATCAATACCAAATCTAGTACATACGACCACAGGGTGTGGAAAACAGGGCTTCCCGTCCGCTCAGCCGTACTTAAGCCACACGCCGGTGAGTTAGTAGTTGGGTGGGTGACCACCAGCGAATCCTCACTGTTGTATGTTTTTCCTTTTTTTATTCCTGAAGTTCTTATTATACCTAGGTAGGTGGCTTCAGGTGGCTTCTAGGGTCTGTCATGATTTCATTGTTCTCACCTGCGGCCCAGGGGCCAGTCTGCCATTTTCGGCACCACCTGTATGTATGCCATCCAATTTGGGACCTCCGGGTTTCCTTCAAAACAGAATGCCAGGCGGCTTCCAAGGTTTTTCAAGAACAATCGGTATCCAATATGTCATGGGTTCTGACAATAGTATGCCCAATTGACGTTTCAAGAGCACTTTCGGAAATATATATTGGCATTGTGGACCTCATTTAGGCGCAGATACCTACCTAGGTCCGTATTCAGGGACCTCGGGATACATGGGTGTCAGACTAGTGCCTAGACGGAGATACCTAGGTAGGAATTGAGAAAGGAACAAAGTTCAACACCTGAATGATCCAAGACCAAGTGCTGCCATCAATTCGCGACGGATGCCTCTTCAGGGCTCAACGAACCGATGACACGACGCTAACCACGTCGGGGATAGCGTGAAGCTGATCTCTATGGATTATGATTGGCTACTGCGATGTATGCCCGGAGGTCTTCACGACGGCGTTACTGTTGGTATCGCCGAAGAGGCACATAAAAGACTCTAGTGCTCCGGAGTCTGAAAGAGATAGTACCTAGGTACACCCTCGCTCAATCTAAACAAATCGTGGAAACCCCGACTTCATATCCTTTCAAGGTTCCAATATTGTCCAGCATGTCCAACAAACAACAAATTCTTCGTTGTGAGGTGATACTCCAAAAGTATGGAAAGGCCCTCAGTGGAAAAACAGGTAGTGCCACGCTCAATTGATAGAACAGAGCCCAGACTGATCAACCCGCTCCCTAGTCCTCATCACCGGCGTTTCTGACGACTCCATAGCTGGGCAACTGGCAGTACAGCTCGCAAGAGCTGACCCGGCTTTGCTGATACTGACTGCTCGTGCCGAGTCGAAGGTGGTAGGAATCCAAGAAAAGATCAAATCAAAAAAGCCGAACGTCAAGACCCGTTTCTTGCACATGGACTTGAGTGATCTGAGCGCCGTCAGAGAGGCCGTTAAGGAAATCAACGATGTGCCTCACATCGATCACCTGGTTTGCGTGGCTGGAGTCATGTTCCCGCCACACGGAAAGACCAAGGATGGCTTCGAAAGTCAGCTAGGCGTGAACTATTTGGCCAACTTTGTGCTTGTGAAGCTGCTGTTGCCGAAGGTTCGCGTTGCTGGCCCGTCTTCGTCGATCGTGATCATGGCCTCGTCCATGGCTCGTCAAGGCAAGATGCACTTTGATGATGTTTGTTTTAGCGTGGGTCCAGTGCAGATACCTTTGGATTGACTGATCTCAACTCTGACACTCGATCATAGGATAGCAAAACATACGATCCAATGGTCGCTTATGGCCAATCGAATGCCGCGCGAGTCATGTTTGCCAAAAGACTCGGTGAGAAGTTGTGCGACGAACAAATCCGCGTCTTCAGCGTGGATCCGGGTGGTTAGTTGAATCTCTTCCCCTTTCCGCATCGCAAACCTCTGACCCAGATATGCAGCCGTTCAATCTGGTCTGCAGCGACACTGTCCTCCCGGATTTCTCGATCAGGTTGCCGAGTGGAAAAAAGCAGGACGTATGTTCGATTTGATCTCTGCAAGTTCTTTGAAGCCCTGGAGCTGACATGTCCTCTTAATAGCGATGGTCGACCTGGATGGAAACACATTCGACATACCCCCCTGGACTGGGACCTCCGAGGGAGCAGCCACCGTCATTACTGCCATGATTGATCCCACTATCACTGGTAGGGACAATATCAGCTGTTCCTCAGCTCTCAGACCGCATGCTAACCAAACTTGCATCTAGGCTATAATGGATCCTACCTCAATCAGAACGCGATCTCCGATCACGAATTGCATAGCCACCTCAAGGACACCACCAACTGGACCAAGCTCTGGGGTTTGAGTGAGGAACTGACAGGGGAGACATTCTCTCTGTAGGATCACACACCGAGGAGACTTCATCTCAGGATTGAAATTGTAAATCTGAATAACCATCTCACTCTTCTTCAATGACAAGCGCCTTCTCTCCCCGCCGCCGCCTCCAGTAATTAGTAGACTTGATCACATCGGGGCACTCTTTAGCTATCCAAAACCACTTTCGGATCAGATCTGGTGACGCTTCATATGCAAGTGGATCCCAAGCCTCCCCCCAGACCAGCAATCCGCTATCGCCGGATGATGAACACATTCCGAAGATATCGCCACAAGCCTCGTCTTCGTCGATTGTATCCAAGCGGGACAAGATACCTTCTCGCATAGATGACATTGGCAGCAGGTCAATCCACGGGTGGTGAAGGACCTTTCGCTGTAACTTAGACGGCCACAGGGTTGGTGGAAGATGGAGCGAAGATGGGCCGACCAAGTTGAACTGAGATGCAAGATCCTCTTGGAGAAGATCGAGAGTCAGTCCCATGAGTTGGGCATTTGCGAAAGTAGCAATGAGCAGGTTGTATTGCGCCGCACAAAATGATGGATTGGGTGTGAGAGTCGGATTATTGATCCAATGCAAAGCTCTTAAATGAAGCTCGGACACAGGGATATCCTGTGTGGTTCGAGGTTCGCATATAGATCCACAGACTTTCTGTTGTGACATTTCGGTGGAGCTCGACTGGCTTGAGTTTGGAGCAAGATTCGCGCGTCGCTTGGCAATTGCATCGCCGGTGTAGACTACCCATTTTTTATTCGAGTCTTTCTTTTCAGCCTCGAGCGCCTTTCTTTCTCCTGTGGATATGAGTGCGGGCTCGCGAAGAATCGGGAGATCACTTACTGCGTGCGCGCTGATTCAGACGATTCTGAAGCTTCCTCCGGGCTGCGGGATCCATTTGGACTGTTTCTAAGCTCCCAGGGGTGTTAGTGTGAGATGTTGATGGGGAGGAAAGGGTGGCGGGGAGCGGAGTTAGGACTAAGTCCGGCCCCCTAGGTCTCGCTGACTTTCCCTTTTCTCCCAGCACTTGACTCGTTTCTCTGACTCTACGAGTTCGTTTTCCTTGGAATATGACCCAGCTGACTGGAGATTCACGGGACTCGGATATCGGAGTTGTTTCAAATAATGCTCAAATGGGGTTTTGCAATGATCAAGGCAGTCATTCTTTCTCTGATCAATAATCATACACGCCGGCAAGAATAATACACGCAGACATCAAATCTGCGAGGATTCAACGACGCAGGGGCAATTCTGGTGCGCCGTCCAGCACCGACTGTACTCCGTTGGCGAAAAGAACCTTCGCATATGCAGTGTGGAACCACAACCCAATCCTGGGCATCCAGAGCTTGTTCTTCTGAGGATCACAGTGAAATCCTTCCAGACTGATCCGAATCTGCTCTTCCGTTTCCACTGTCGACGGAATCCTCATGATGCGGAAACGATGACAGCCGGCAAATGAATTGATATTTGAGCCAAATCCATAGTCGACGTAGCTGGATGAAGTCGACACAGAGAGGTACTTGTCGAGCAATTTGAAAGCTCCGAAAAACTCCGTCCCAACTGAGCAGAGATCATCTTCCGGGATTTCCGACCTCTGCCAGATCTCTTTCGCATTCCCATGGGGGAATGCTGGTCGCATGAGCTCGACAATCCTTGTAGCTCACAAGTGGGAAGTTTGACAAGGAAAACTCACTGCTGAAATGGACCGGAAGCAATCTCCATGCTCCCATTGTCAGGAGTATGCGCTCCATTCCAAAGACATATCCACCGAAGAACCCACGGGTAAATAAGGACAGGGCTTTGCGATCGTCCATGCCACCGAGCATGTTGGTATTCAAGGTCCATGAGACCTCGTCCGACGAAGTGACATGGTTGTGCGGGTTGGCGAATCGTGCAGCAGTTGAAGCCAGGAATTCTGGCCCGACTTGGCTTCTATAGCTGAGATTATAGAGGGCACTGAAGAAGGGTTTCGGAAAGATCTGCCACAGTTGAATGGCCATTGCTCTGTAATACGACACAATTAATTGGTAACAATGGGATCTACGATGTTGATATAGCCCTGGAGTTGTCGCAATGACTCAGAATGCAAATACTACCTAGGTACTCCGTACAGGCTTCGCGTTGAGTGCTGACACGCCCCGGTTTCTCCCGCGACGAGATCTCACCGGATCATTGAAGACATAGCTCAGTCTCAACTAACTACGTAGTTGAGAGCAAAGTGACAGCGAAAGACCAAAAAACAAAAACATACAACAGTGAGGATTCGCTGGTGGTCACCCACCCAACTACTAACTCACCGGCGTGTGGCTTAAGTACGGCTGAGCGGACGGGAAGCCCTGTTTTCCACACCCTGTGGTCGTATGTGATCGATATCAAAACGACCTCACTCATCAATTGTCACGTCCATGACTCCCAGAGCCTTGGAATATTTTCCCAACTTCAAACTTTCAGCGAATACATTGATAGGCGACAAACAAGCTAATCACGTTGAAGCGAATCTCGAGCAATTCATCATCCGTCGCTAACCCCCTTAGTATCCTCACCACTGTTGCCCGGGGCCTATTCAATCTTTTTGAGGGGGTTCGACGAGGCCGTAATGAGCGTAAAGCGCGTCGGACCATTGATACGCGGGTGAGACAGTTACAGCCATGCTGAAACCGCAGATGTAGCTAAGAAGCAACAGGTGTCAGCATACACACACATTTCAGTGCCATCGTGGGAATGGAGAAATCACTCACATTGACATATCAGTAGCCCGAATGGCTGCTCCAGGTTCTCCCGTCGACCATCGCAATTTCAGACCACTAATAAGTGTTAGAATTCCGAATTCCTGATATCCTCCCCAAGGCTGGTATGAACTAGCTCACTGTAACTGCATGGCTCACCTTTGATTCATGGCTGATCTTCAGGAAAATCCACACTGATCCTGTGTACGCCATTCCGTGCACACCACAATTTCGGTTGTGGCCAGCTTGTCTTTGATACCTTGAACATCAGTTAACTTTCTGAATAGGAGTATACATAAAGTGAGATATATACCCATGTACCCAAGCAACTGGGGGATAGGATTCGTGGCGTTTATGCCACGACGTCCGCTGACTCTAAGTTCCTCATTCACGCGCTCTTCCAGTTGTTAGTATCAAAAGCCGCCTCATCACTCCGCGAGCAGCTACCGTACCTGATACCTTCACATTGAAGAAACTGCGGCAGCAGTAGATTCATGTTGGTCTAAGAAGACCAAATGGCGGAGGAAGGCAAATAATGGAAAGATAGGAGCCCTGGAGAAAGGGAAAGACCTCAGGGGTAAGCTATACATGGAAACAACCCTGGAACCTTGTTGATTTGAGAAAAACTCATTGTCTTTTCGGTGCTATGAGGCTATGATACCCTGGATACCCGTTCTGTCGCTTTAGATTTCGTCGCGCTTCCTGGTGTCCCGGAATATGCGGCATTCATGGCCCACTCGATGTGTTATCGGGGGCTCCGCCATGGCGAAGAGACCCATGATTCTTGGCTGACTGCTGCCGCTGCGCTACGGAAAGAAAGCCCAACGTAGGGGAAATTCGAGCAGAGAGAGAGAGCGCGCCTGTTGCGAATCAACTGACTAGGTCGGGGAGAAACTCGACTATCTTTATCCTCCCGTCCCCTGAGATCACATCAAACCAACAGCCAAATCAAAAGGGGATGCATCAAGTCAAGATATTTCATTCGCAAGGATGTGTCTGCGAAGAAAAAGTCCCGGTGATAAAATGTTCATATGGCAAAAAGATAGGTATCATTTCATTATGATGAGACAAGTAGATGGCATGTGATGCAAGTAGATCATACGAATAAATCCCCTTACACCAATTCCGCCCAGCCTCGATCATCGATCAATACTCATTGAGATGGAGTTTCTTTCCCACAAACCTCCTCTTGGCAGGCTTTTCACGCGACTCGCGATCCGCACCGAGACCCTTCAGGGCATGAAGCAGCATTCCGGCATCGAAGAAGCCATCTGGTATACCCATGTTAGTTAACAGGAACGATGGAAGAAAGAGGAAACATCAATAACTTACATCCGCCCATGCCATCATCTTCGATGTAGGAACTCTCAGCTGCAGAAGTAGGTGTATCCGCACCTCCCATGCCCCCGCCACGAACAATCCGTCCCCGACGACTAGTCTCGGACTGTAAGTTTTCGGCCAGAGCCTCTGTCTCACGGGCACGACTCGTTCGGGGGCTCATTGCCTTGCGATTAGTAGCACGCAGCAACTTCCGGATTTCGAAGAGATATTGTTCAAGCGTGTGCATCAGACGGCCCGTCTGTCTATGCTTGGATGAAGCACAGAAAGAAATCGAGTCATCTTTGATAATGTATCCGATACCGAAGCCGTCTGCAGAGGTTGGGCCGAAACCGAAGTGACGAAGGCAGGGATTTCCGCAGTTCGAGGTTGAAAGGACTGTGTTGTTGATCTTGTCCCAGCCTGCGTCGGCGAAGATGGCAGGTGTTGGAGCCGTGGTGCGATAGGCACGTGCGCTGCCAGGCGAGGACAGGCTGTCTTCTGAGGGAGATAATGTTGGTGATTCGAGATGACTAAGGGTTTCTGAATTATCGGCGGAGCTAGTTTCGAAACCATCGTCGAAAGAACGCTGCCAGAGGCAGTAAAGAGCGTAGAGATGGCGGTCTTGGCCCTGGCCCTTTGAGCAGTCTTTAGTAGCAGCTGTGTGCTTTTGGGTTGCGGTTCGCAAAGCGTCGACCTTTTGCTCGGCAGCGTTCTCGCCCCAAAATGCCGTGACAAAGTCCATGCATTCTTGGGTCACTGTTCGGACCGCTTCCGTGCGGCCGTGTAAGAACATCTTTGTCATTGCTGGCTCATAGGTGTTCTCCAATCGCCCATAGAGACCGTAATAAGCGGCTTGGAAGGCCATTTGCACAAAGGCATCGGGCGAAAAGCCCATTGAGGTGATGAAGTTCTTTCCGAATCCTTCAAAGTCGAGAACCTGGAATTCGTGCTGGTACAGGAGGTCGGACAAATGAGATTCAGCGAAACGAAGTGCAATGTTGAGCTCGGGTGTCATGTCCCATTCGAGTTTGCGAGGTGTTGTGCTGACATTACCAAAGCTACTGGGGTCACGCTTGGCTGGGTCGGGACTGCTGGTTGCCCAAAGGCTTGGGGCCTGGCCATTGATGGTCTTCGCGAAGCGGAGGATCGTATCAGTGTACACGTCACTGGCAAAACGAAGCACCGTATGTCCATCGACGCCGGTGTGCTCGAAGTTGATACCTGCACTGCCGTTCTTGCAGACAATTATCTGGAGCTTGTCGTACCAACGATTGGTGCATGTTCCAACCTGCACGCCCTTGATGACTTCACTCGTGCCGCAAAGCATGTTTGCGCAGAGCTCCGCCGTCGTCGAGGGCTCTGTGTCATCCAGACACAACACGTACAATGCAGTATCAACTATGTTCAGACACTCGGCGTTATTGGACCTTGAGTCTTTGGTCATGATATCCCGTAGCCCGGACCAAACTTTCCGGTTCTCTGTACTGAGAACACCTAGAGCCCCCTTGGCCGCATGGTGGATTGGTGTTTGCGCAGCATCCTCGATGATAACCTGTAAGTTAAGGGAGATATCCTTTTCACTCATGATGAGGTCACTGTTGTCATCAAGGACATCAAACCAATAGAATTGGCCCCGACACATAACCACCATGTGTTTGGCCGATGGGTCTTGACTAATGACACAGCCATTTTCGGTTGGTAGACGTGCAGTACCAAAGAGTCGCGAATACTGGTACATGCACAGTGGTGTTCCGCGGACAGTATCCGCGGGAAGCTCCTCACGGCGCACAGCTCGAACGAATGCCAAGGCCGAAATGGCCAGTGATGCAGCTCGAGTCACCTGGTGATTTCTGGCAGGGGTTGGATCGTCTTCCAAGAGGAAGAATGGGTTGAGGTTCAGAACGACGGCTGCTCAAGTCAGATTATGATGAGACGTGTTATAGCAGTGAGTACTCACGATTATCAAAGTTCAAATAAGAGTCATACCCTAACTGGTCAGTCGCCGTCATCGCTGAAGACCTCATCACTTACAAAACTGTTCAATGTAGCTGGTTTTAGAGCCAGCATAGGTCTTTAGTCTTTCTTGCAAAAGCGGACCGTCGTTCTTCAAAAAGTCGCGCACAGCAGCCTTGGTGTCTTCATGCTCGCGAGGAGTTTGCAGGGCTTGCAAGGCATCCAAATGCCGGCGACAGGTATCCTCCAGATCAGGAATCGGCAACTTAGGAAGTGATTCCTGATTCGCAAAGGTCAAACCTTGCTTCAGCGGTGTGTGAGGAGCGGCAACTTCAGAAGATGGTTGCTTAGTAGACACATTCGGTCGCATGACCGTCTGGCCTTGAGACTCGGCCCCAGACTGTTTACTGGTTTCATCCATAGCAGCACCGAGGGGCTTGGGTGCAGTGAAGAATCGCACTGCCATCGAGGAGTAGGACATGTTAGATGAAATTCTTGACTGAAATCAAGCGTAGCGACTAGCGAGAACGGTGGGGATAGAAAGAAGGCGCAAGGCAGTGCGGTAGAAGTAGTGGCAGTCTTGTAGGCAGTAGAATGGCATTGAGACTATGTCATGTGCGTTGGGCAGAAGGCAGGACAAAGGAGAGAGACGTCCAAAACGTATGCAGAGAATACGACTCGGACTCAGGAACAGGAGGAATAATTCACAACAACAGAAAGGAGACAGGAATGATAAGGGTCTTAAAATTGTAGGTTCGACTGGCAGGGTCGGCCTCGGGTCTAAGGGGGAACGGACCTTGACCAAGATGGAGAAATGGACTTACAGGAACAGTGCTCGGGCAAATGATTTGCAATACCGAGATGCAGGTGGTTTGTCCGGGTGGTACTAGCAGAGGAAGAACGGAATGATAGCGCCGGAGAAACGGATGACTTTGGCTGCGGCTGTCAGATGTCAGATGATTTCACATTCACCAAAATGACCCGTCCAGATGTAGCGTAGAGGGTGAACATGAGCTGGAAGATTGAACAGAGAGCATCTGAGAGCCCAAACGTCGAGGCAAGATCTGTATCAACCAGCATGAGGGTTCATTGTAGCCCCTCATTCACCCCGCAGGATATGGGGGAACCGGTAAGGCGGGATGCGGGATGGGGTATGGGTCCGGCTAGGAACTCACTTAATCTCAGGCTGATGAACCCTGTACCTGCACGCTACTGCAGACGCTATGGCTGTGTTCCCAATGGTGATTGTTGCAATGGGAATCAAGGTCAGATAGCCTGCAAGATGATACTGGAGAGAAGGAAGCGAAGGGCGCGGTCCACACTGCCGAGCGACAGACTCAATGAAAGAAGTATATCGGCTTGGAGATTTGGCTCCCGATGACGTTTCGGGCGAAGGGAGACGCTGCCGGCCATGCGGGGGGAGCTTCGGGTCACGTGATTGATATACACGGTCATACGCGGCCTACAAAGGGAAGAGTTACTCGGCACTGGGAGTTACGAAATCGAGTTGAGGTATTTCATGATCACGCTGGGGTCGTACGCAGTACATCACGCTAGCAAACAGAAGGACGCCGGAGATTTTGTTATCCACAAATGACCGCGACATGAACGTCGTGGGCAGACAAGAAGAATATTCACAATTGAACAATAGTATCTGCATTGCCATGGGTCCTCCCAAAAAGAGAAAAGGGCCAGGCACGCTAGCATACATACAGTATGGGCCCCAATGGCAGAGACCCAGCCTCGGAGAGGTGGGATGCCCGTCCTCTCGCCCAGGAACCCAAAGGTCTCTGATTGAGGAAGGACATGCAAAACATCAAGAAGTTAGAAAGGTCAGGAAACACACTATCACATGGCACAAAGCGGGGGAGACATGTCAAGAACAACATCAGGGGTCAGGTTAATTGTCCGGAATCATTCCACACTGCTGATGCAGAGGTCCTTGAGCCCCTGCTTTATCCCAAGGCACTTAAGCAGTGTAGGGGGTAGCGCCCTGGGGGGACAGGACGTTGTCAGCGTACTCGCCGTCGTAGTTACCGGCGGGAGAGTAGTTGCAGACGGTGAAGGGGACGTTGGAGCCACCGGCGTTGCCGAGGGACGGGCAAACCACGGTCGCACAGCCAACTTCCTCAGTGCCCTTCCAGACAATCTGGGAGAAGTGGCCCCAGGCATCGAAGTTGGACATGTCGGGGGAGGCCTTGCCGTAGAGGTCGGCGAAGAACATCATCTCATCGTTGTACATCAGGTTGGTGATCATCTCTCCGATGGAGGACTCTCCAACACCGTATCCAATGTTCTGGCCGTAGCCACCGCCAGCGATGGAACTAGGAAGAGGGTCAGTGTGGGGCTCAAAATAACGGTTGCAATGGGGGTACTCACGTGTCGTGCTGGTAGACACAGCGCTCAGCGAGGGTGCGGGCGCTGGACTCGAGGGAGCCGGACCAGGTCACAGAGCTGGCGGAGTGGTTGCTGCGGTGGACGTTGTGGTTGTACAGGATGGTCTCCTGGTAGGCGTTGGTGGGGGTGGCAGCAGCAGCGGCCGAAGTCGAGGTGGACAGCGAGGTGGGGGTCTCCGTGGTCGCGGGCTCGGCGGGGATCGACCAGTAGCTCGTGGAGAACCAGGTGGTGGCACCGGCCAGATTGACCTCCGCATCAGTGGGGGCGGCGGGCAGCGCGGTGGTCTTCTTGGTCAGGTCGACGGTGGGCAACGCGGAAGTCGTGGTGGATTCAATGGTGGTCGAAGACGACGAAGAGGAAGACTCCGCCGCGGCGGTTTCGGCCACAGCGGCCACGGTGTCCTGCTTGACATTGTTGACCGTGTTGGGGGTGGTGGTAGGCCAGCTCGTGACGGTGGTGGTGACGGTCTCGGTGGTCCAGTCGGTCACGTAGACTTCCTTCTCAATGACCTTGGCGCAGGAGCCGACAGCCAGAGCGGCGAAGAGCAGAGTTGAACGCATGTTTGCGACGAATCAGGGATCAGAATTGGGATATAAGAAACTTCCCCAGGAAGCTTTGAGAGTCGGGATGTCAAACAGATCGACTGTTGACAGGAGAGAGAGTGATTGGCGCTTGGATCTAAGGAGTGACGGGCCCCAACACCTTCTTTCTTCAAAGAGTGAAAGAAAGATAAGATGCACGCGAAAGGGCTGAAAAGAGTGTGAAGCGTGAGAGAAGGGGGAGAAACGAGAGGACGTGAGGAAGGGTAAATAGTGTAGAAAGGGGAGACCCGTGGGGCCGTGCGGGATCAGGGAGATTAGTTTTTAAATGAGACACTCTCTTGTCGATTAATTTTGATTATATTTGACGTGCATCTAACGGCGTCTCTGCACTACTTATTGCTTTTTGCATGGCCCTCTGCTGGGAATCTACCAACCTCTTCGTCTTGAGGCCGTACATACCGTAGCGTGGCACATTCCACGCAGCATTCCAGACGCGCGCTACGAGGCTCGCCTATTGGTCCCCAAGGTGTTCTGAGGTTGGGAGATCCATGATGAGCCCTAATCAAATATTCTCCGAGCCCAGACTCTGGTCCAGGGCTGACAATTTCCCGAACGTTTGGGAGAGATCGAGAATTAAGGATGGAGGGCTAAGGATTAAGGACGACGGTGATGACTCCACCTGATTCGCGTCGAAGCATACGGAGTACAGTACAGACGCAATGACGGAGTACTGGTACACAGTGTACAGGAAGACTGTCACAGATTGAAGTATACAACATCCAGGCCCAAAGCCAAGCCCTTATAATCTCCCAACGCCAATCATCGGGCGACGTGCATCCAGACATCCCGGGTCCCACTTGTGCCGCTAATAAACTTGGCTTCGAGCGGTTTGGACATTAATTGCCCTGTTTCAGCTTGGATTAATTCGTCTCAATCGTAAACATCGATCTGCAGAGTACTAGTAGTACATAGGGTATCAGGATGGTCTTCAGAACTTGACATTTTCCCGTACATAGTACTAGTAAAGTATAGTTCTCGATCCCCTGTTTCTGTTTGCCGGTAATTAGGTTCCAATAATGCCCAAGGATCGCCCGGCCGGTGGAGTGACAATTGAAACATTGGCACCAAAATTCGGATCGTGCAGTCGCAGAATCACGCCAATCAGAGATCCTGCCCAGCCTGGAAATTGGGGCTAGCCAGCGCCTGTCATTTGGGCCCCAAGTGAGACAGGGCGGCTATAGTAAGGGGTCAAACACATCGTGTTTCTATGATTTCATCTGGACTACTCCGTACATCGTAAATTACTATCGGAATGGGATCTGGCTGAATCTGCAGGTCCCGATCGGATCTTAAAACCACCCGGGATGCCAGGGACTATCAAACACAACCAACGGTCAGCAAAACGCCACCAAAAAACTCCACCAACAAAATGAGGCCAAGGCCCGTAAACATGTCTCATGCTCGCCTAAAGCTCGATAGTGTTGCATCGCCCAGATTCGCAAACCAAAAGATGATTTTGGGCTGGCTCGGGGGCCTGGAGGTCTTGGAAAAGGGGATTGCGCGATTTCAGCCAGAACGACTGGTTGCCCACAAAGTCTTTCAAATGCGAGGGCCGGATGTCAACGAGCGACGTCACCGCGATGGATGAGGAGACGGCCACGCCGGCCTCAGCCCGGACCCGCCGGCGGATCAGGTCGCGTGCAGAGACAGGCTCGGCATTGCGACTCAGACTGTCGCCGCGGAGGTGAGGCGATAGCTCCGCCGTGGCGAAAACACCTGTCACAGTTCGGGTGCCAATTTGCAGGCCCACGATCACATCCAACATTCCGACGAATAGGAACGGGTGCTGGATGATCTCCACTGCGAAGGAATTGCAGGTCTGTCGCGCCAAGGTTCGGTAGGTCTCATCGTTGAGGAGGGCAGCCAGCCGCAACAGATTGCGGGCAATGATCCCGTTTATGGAGGGCGTGGCTGACTCGGTGCCTGTCTTCAATCGGAGGAGAGGGGCGGGCATCCCGGGAGTGTTCACGGAGGGCGTGCTGTAATATCCGGTGGCAGTGGAGTCCGTCTGGGAAAGGAAGTATTGGTTCAGGTACTCTGTAGCCACGTCAGTCACCGCACCCAAGACACGTAGTGTAGGAGGTACTTACTTTGCAATCGCTCGGCAAATTGCAGATAGCTGTCGTCGAACGTAGCGTCATACATGTCAAGCAAGCCGCTGGTCAAATAGGCATAGTCGTCCGCAAAGCCTGGTGTATCTCCACGGTTTCCATCGCGGTAGATTCGCCATAATTGACCAGTGGACTTGTCAAACAGGTTGTCCTTGATGAAGCTGATGGCGCGGGCTGCGGCCTCGCGACACTGAACAGCCTTGGAGCTCTCAATCTCTTCGAATAGGATACTGCACTTGGCAAGCGCACCGATTGCCAGCCCATTCCAGGCCACAATGATCTTGTCATCTAGGTCGGGCCTAACGCGCGTACGCTCGCGATAATCGTGCAATTTTTGCTTCCCGGCCTTGATGATCCTCACTACTTCCTCCTCACTGAGACCAAAGTCTTTCGCAAGCTTGCTTGGGGTGGCCTTCACAGTCAACACATTCTGATTCATGAATTCGTCGTGCGGATCGTATTCAGGTGGTACATTCCCGTCGGGGAGGACACCCCAGTGTTTGGCGCAAACGGGGGCATCGCGAGGTCCCAGGACTTGAGTGAGTTCCTTCAACGACCAAACGTAGAAGGCACCCTCACGCTTCTCCGTGTCATTTGAGCTGGGATAGCTATCCGCATCCTCCGATGAGAAGAATCCTCCAGTAGGAGATTGTATCGGGGCGCCGGTCAAGTAAGCAGCCAGATCATAGACAGCACCCAAAAGTTCCGGGTCGTGAGTCAACCGGAAAGCATCCACATAGGTGTCTAGTAGCTGGGCTTGGTCATAGAGCATTTTTTCGAAGTGAGGGAGACCCCAGTCCATGGTGACACTGTATCGTGCGAAGCCGTGGCCGATGTGGTCTCTTAGTCCACCACGAGCCATGTTCACCAACGTGGTGACGGCCATGGCGGTTGCTTGCTCGCACTCATCTTTTCCCACCACATCCGCGACTTCGGATGGGTAAGCACTAAGTCGGAGCAGGAAACTCAGATTGGACGGCGTGGGAAATTTGGGAGAGCGACCGAATCCACCATTGATCGAATCGTACCGAGACGCGAAATGCTGATACGCCTCTTCCAAAAGCTCAATGTCCATGTCTTCATCGCTGTCGCGTTCTCCTTGTTGGGAGTGTGTTCCTTCTTCGGCGAATTCTCTCAACTGTTTAGTGATCTCTTTGGCGCTTTCGACACAGCGCTGCTGCTGAGTGTCCCAAACATCCCTCAACTTCTCCAGAATTTCTACGAATCCAATTGACTCGGGGCCAGTGAATGTGTTCGAGTTAGGACCTTGCCAGTAAGTCCCCCCAAACACTGGCTCCAAGTCAGGAGTAAGAAAGACGTTCAACGGCCAACCGCCGGAGCCTGTCGTGGCTTGCACGTAGTTCATGTAGACATCGTCGATGTCCGGTCGTTCTTCACGGTCGACCTTAATGGGAATGAAGGATTCATTCAAGATCGCTGCCACCTCCGGTGACATGAATGATTCCTTTTCCATGACATGACACCCTGCATATGGCATTAGAATGGATTGTGGCATAGATTAGCGGATCATAACTCACAATGGCACGCGGAGTAGCCAATGCTGAGGAAGATTAGGCGGTTGTGCTTTTTGGCAAGCTCCATAGACTCTGCGTCCCAGACCTGCCATGCTACTGGGTTGTTCATGTGTCCTCGGACCTATGATCTGTTAGCTTGGCACGCGTACCTGAGATAGACAATTGCGAACATAGGGAGATTTGCTCTGCTGCAGCCGATTGACCATCTTGCACCCTGTCTCGGGTACATTATGGCGAGGATGTGCATGATTGATCGAGGCCGCCATTGTGGTCAGCTAAGACTTCGGTGGAGGCTAGGCCTAGCAGGCGGTAGCAAAGAGGGAGGGGCTACTAGCGGGTATCGGCAGTGCCCAAAGTGTCCGAGCACAGGTACCTCGCGTGTAACCGAGTAATAAAGAGGCACAAGGGTTCCTGTAGCACGGAGTACAGGCGGTCACTGGTAGATCTGAGGAGCAAAAAAGGGCCGGGGTCGGAGAGTGTGTGTAAGCGCTCCAGGCGGGGTCGAGGTCGAGGGATCGGCCCCGGGTGGGATCGACGGGGTGCGTCATGGCTGCATCAGGAAGTGTCACGTGCTTCTATACCGTGTCGCAGATGCAACGATGCAACACTGCACTGCATGTGGTTCCTGCGTGTGTATGTCTCACATTCTATCAATGCATTTTCAATGCCTCTAAATACACATGGTTAAAATACAATTCGGGTATCACATGATCTAATCATCTTCCATCAGCTCGGCCAGCTCGGCCTCCTCTTCTGCTGTAAGCATTGATTCACCAGCTGGTGCGTCTTTCTTCTCTTCTTCATCGACGGGCTTCTTGGCCAGTTCCACTGCTTGCTGAAGTTCGTCGGGTCGAAGTGACCATTGACGAATCGTGGCATCAATTCCCACGCTGACAATCGTGGAACCAATGAGGACAAGCCCAGTGACCTCCTCGAAATGTCCCGAGAAAGTATGATGCAATGCGCCGGTCTGTCGGTGGTTAACTCATATTCAATGCATGTTGGAAAAGGAACGGTCCTTACCGATCGGTTCCACACCCGAACTTCTTCATCGCGGCAGGCCGTCACGACCCATCCTCCGGTTTCACAGATAACGACATCTTTCACGAAGTCAGGGTGCTCCAATGTCATATTCGCTTTCCATCCATCTTCTCGGACTAGGCACTTGGCAGTTTTGTCCGCCGAAGCCGTCCAGAGATCGCCGTCATTATCGAAAAGAAGCTTGTAGACACTGGTGTCATGAGGGAGCAGAGGGTCAGTGGTACAGCCACCGCCAAAGATATCGAATTGGCGGATCTCGCGATCGCTGCCCGCACTAAACACAATTGGTTGCGAGCTCTCTGACTCCGAGTCAATGACAAGATCTTGGATACCCCGGGCGTGTCCTTTGAAGGTCTCCAGACGCTGTCCAGACGCGATGTTAAACACGAGAACTTGAGCATCAGCTCCACCAGAGATGAGGAGGTCTTCGCCGCGTAGTCTGGCACTAGTGACTGCTCGAACAAAGTCGTTGTGACCTTCGTACTTCTGGCGCTGCTGCCCAGTAGCAGTGTCCCAGCTCCAGATGGCCTTGTCCCAACATCCAGCAAACAAAAGCTTTCCATCCGGGCTCACACAAAGACTGGTCACAGGAGCCATAGGACCTGAGAAAACCTTGGCGGTTTCCCCCGTCTGTCGGGGGCGTGAGAATCTATAAACTGAATAGAGGGCAAGATTGCACTTACAGCAAGGAGGATTCTTCTCACGCTGCCATTACTTTGCGCAACGTAGATGGCTCCATTGTTCAGTGGATCAACATGGACAGCCAAAATCTTGCCTTGAAGACGTATAGGGTTTCCATTGGTGTTTTGGGACTTGGCATCCTTCCGCTCCTGGTCATCCAGAGATGCGCTGACGATGGTTAGTCGCGGCGGAGATGAGAGGTGCAAGCGTTGGACTTACGATGTCTGAAAGAAATTGTCCCGGTTTGATGACGTTGTCATTATGATAATACGAATAATTGAACGAGTTGAACGAAGAAGCACTTTTCCCCGTGAAACTTCTCCCCCGCCAAATGCCGTCGAAAGTGCTATCCAAGCTCGTAAGGTCTGCCGTAGTCCGTAATCCACCACAAAACCACAGGTTTTTCGTTCCATCTCCTCTCCTCTCCTCTCAACTAACTCTTATCCCCGCATTATCCTTCTCTCTCTCATCCCCCCGTCTTTCTCCGCGCGACGTCGCGCAATCCCGCCATCATGGAAATGAACCACCTCATTGGGTCAGTCTGAACATGGTCGAATGCGGGAGCTCCGAGTTAACACCTGGCAGTCAACGTTTCAACTTGATCTCCAAGAGCGACATTCGGTGAGTTGGTCTTATCTTCATCGTTACATTCATCGCTAATTTCAATTCCAGCTATGTCGGCACTCTCCACGAAATCAACCCCGAAGCCTCGACAATAGCTCTCGAGAACGTCATGTCATTCGGCTCTGAAGGGCGCCGTGGCAACCCTGCCTCTGAAGTGCCCGCTTCAACCAGCGTCTACGAATACATCGTCTTCCGAGGAAGCGATGTGAAAGACATCAGTATCGCTTCGGAGGAGCAAAAGGAGGCCCCGCAGCCAGAGGCCCCGCGGGTTCCAGACGACCCAGCCATTCTCGGAGTAAGTGACTTCGACACTTTGGAACGACGATGCCATTCCATCACCCTCAAATCACCTGGACACCGTGGATTGATCAAATGACGAAAAATTCTCGGATGTAAACTCACAGACCTGTTCTGAATGCGCAAACCCGTGTAGAGATTTCCGTTGCCTTCCTTCTGATGATCAATCTTCGTTCCAAATTTGGGGTTTCCTTTCGTCCCTGCAGAGTCGAACGTGCTAACCAACGCAAAACAGGGCATGCAACGGCCTGTTCCCGGTCAGGGACCTGATTCGGCGCCTCAGAATCTCCCTCAAGGTCCCCCTCAGGGAGCTGGTCCAACTCCTCCTGGCTATCCTCAACAACCACCATTCCAACAGGGCTTCTACCCACCTTACGGACAGCGATTCGGACCTCCTCCTCCATTCCCCCCTGGTCCCGGTTTCCCGCCATACGGTGCTGCTCCTCCAGGGTGGTACCCTCCCCCAGGTCACGGATTCCCCCCTGGACCTGGTCAATTCCAGCCCCCAATGCCAATGGACCCCAGTCAGCAGCCAGGTGCTCAGCGCCCGGGGCCCCCTGGTGCCGCTACTGCGCCTCAAACCGTTACCTCCGAGCTGCCTTCCGCAGAAAAAGCCAACAGCCGCAACGCGACCCCCGCCGCTCAAAAGGCACCCACCCCGCCGGTCGAGTCTAAGCCCTCTGTCGCTGAAGCTACTGCTCCTGTCACTGCTACACCTCAAAAGAGCGGCCGGGTCATGCCTGCCATCCCGATGGCTGTCCCGCGCCAGGCCGCCCCGGTTCCCCAGATCCCCAGCGCCCCTCGCGGAAACAACCAGCAAGTGACCGACGCCACTGCGGCTGCCACCGCCGCAGTGGCCGCTGCCATGGCCAAACTTCCTCAACCCGGTGCCCACAAGCAGTCTGGCCAGCCCGATGGTGCCATCGACGGTCTCACGCAAAAAATGGGACACATGCGCCCTTACGACAACAACCGCGTTCCACGCGGCGGCCATCAGCAGCCCCGTGGCGGTCGCGGAGGCTCTCGACCCCAGCAGCAGCACAAGAAGATTGAAGTTCCCCAGTCCGATTATGATTTCCAAACCGCCAACGCCAAGTTCAACAAGCAGGACCTTGTCAAGGAGGCCATCGCTACTGGAGTCCCCGCTGCCGAAGCCGAGGCGCACGCCGCGGACGAAGTGGACTCATTTGAAACCATGTCCAATGGCGGAAGTTCCAACCCTGGATACAACCGTGGTTCCTCTTTCTTCGACAATATCTCCAGCGAGGCCCGTGATCGCGAGGAAAACACCGCCCGTGTTGGAGGTCGCGAATGGCGCGGAGAGGAAGAGAAGCGCAACATGGAGACCTTTGGACAAGGTAGCGTTGATGGCTACCGTCCCAACTACCGCGGACGTGGCCGTGGCCGTGGCCGCGGTTTCGGCCGTGGTCGCGGTGGCTATGGTCGTGGCTACGGCGGTGGCCGTGGTGGTATGCGGGGTGGTGCCTCGCAGTCCACCGGCGTCCCCTCGCAGGTGTAAATTTGCTCTCTTCTGACTACTCCAGCGACGATTGCTCTTTATCTTTTTTTTTCCTATTTTCTTTCACATCTGGGATGGCAAGACCTATGACCGAAACGAATTTTCGCAGTTGTTTTTTGATTTTTGTCTCTTCGGCGCAATGGGAAACTGGGCCGGGGGCATACAGGCAGGGTTGGCCACTCGATACTTTCTGCGACTAGCAATGGTGGTGTTTATTCTTATCTTTGTATTTGTCAACGCATACCCTTTCTGCAGCGTTTTTCCTGGAAATCCTGGAACTGGTGGCTATCTAGCTATTCCCCTTTCGTGTGTTCGTGCAGAAAGCGGCCGATGCATGGTCTCCCATGCTCACTGTGAACAGACTGGGGTTGTCCATTGCAGATATCTATGTGTGTATCATCAACGAGAGATCTGAACCTCAATTAAAAAGGTGAAAACCCAGGCTATTTGGCCTATGAACCCGTTGCTTTGATCGTACTTGTATACTCAGGTTTCCACTCTGTTCACCGATACATAAAACTACCGTCTAGTACATAAAATAGTGAAACAGAGCTATGCCCAACGCGACTGAACTCAGGATCCATCTTGCGGGTCTTGCGGGAAAACCAATTGCGCCTCTTGTCTCTCGTGGTATTGTATGGAGTAGGGCGTGCCCAGGTGTGCCCGCACGCGAGAGCTGCATTGTACTGATATAACAGACCCTGATGAGCACCCTCACTTCAACCTCGGGGAGAAAGGACCCCTCAAATACAATACATCCTCGGTTGCCGGACCCTCCACTTCGACCCACTACTCTACGCGAGCTCACCCTCTCATTTGCAAGCGTTGTGCCCTCTTTGCTGGTTCCACTACTGGATTTGGAGACGTCGCCACTTCCCCATGTCGTTCCACACTTCCGAAAGACTCTCGGAGATATCTGGTCATATAAAGAGCTCGATCCGGCCGCACACTGAAGGTTCAGAAAAACCCGACACAATGACTGCTCAGATTGCCGATCAGTTGCCCTGGAACCCGAATAATGCAAGCTTCCCTTCGCGGAAGAACCTCCCCAAACTACCCGGTGCCCCTGAAGATGCTGCTTGGGTGTGGGGGAAAGATGATCAGGTGTGTGCTATTGTCTGTTACAGACATTCAATTTACCATGGCTGATGCAGGTCATATAGTTGGGCAGATTGAATCTTCTCACGCCGCAGAGAGTCAAGGCTTCCGCCGCTGAAATTGAAACCGGCGAGATGCTACGGTTAGAGTAAGTGTATTGATCAGGTCGAAGCGCATAGTATACTCATGTTGCAATGATCAGCCTTCCTCTTACGGTGCCCGAAACACCAGCTTTCGACCGTGAGGTCTTCCAACATAACATCAAACCGCTCATCGAGGGCATTGCGTATGATGACACATACACAATGAATACACAGAGTGGAACACAGTGGGATGGATTCCGACATGTAAGTCACGAAACATCCAGACCCAATCCTCCAGATCCAAAGTTTAACATTGTCATCAGGTTGGCCACATCGGCAGCAAGCGCTTTTACAACGGGGTATGACCAGTGCATTGCAGCTTCACTCCCCAAGACTGACATGACCCACGCAGGCCACAAGTGCCGACTTTGTAGGTGACGCTCCAAACCACCGCTGCAGCATCCACTACTGGGCAGTTCACGGGATTGCCGGTCGTGGAATCCTTTTGGACTACTATCACTATGCTCAAAGCCATAACAAGGCCTATGACCCCTACACAACCCACAGCATCGGCCTTTCCGAGTTGCAAGCCTGCGCAACCTTCCAGGGTATCGATCTCCGTCCTGAATCCGAAGGTGGAGACATTCGCGTCGGAGACATCCTCCTCGTACGTTCTGGCTTCGTCGAGAAATACGGCGAGCTTAGCCCCGAGCAGCGCCATGCGGCTGCAACGCGGTCCCACGATGACCTGTGCTTTGCGGGACTAGCACGGGAGCCTGCAATTCGTGATTGGTTGCATGATTGTTACTTCGCAGCTGTTGCGGGTGATTCCCCAACCTTTGAGGCATGGCCTGTTCCCGAGATGGATCATTTGCATCAGAGCTTGCTGGCGCTTTGGGGGTGTCCTATTGGAGAAATGTGGGATTTGGAGAAGCTTGCTGTTAAGTGTCGTGCGAGAGGCAAGTGGACATTCTTTATGACGAGTGCTCCGGCTAACATGCCTGGTATGTATATTCCCTCTGCGTCTCGACGGTCCTGAGATACCGGTACTAACTTTGATTCAGGTGGTGTTGGATCGCATGCGAATGCCACTGCTATATTATGAGTGTCTTTACGTCCATGGATGGAAGCGGATCTCGATGTCAAAGAGAAAAGTGAATTTGTTAAATATAGCCGAACATTCAAATAAGAGCCAGAGAAAGGCCAGAGGCCTTTCGAATCGATCAATCATATTTGGTACTTCCATCATTGCCTACTTCCAAGGTTGTTTCAACACGAACCGCGAAAAAGCCAGGCTCCATCCCCCGAGCAGAGTCTTCAGGTGACAATTCGAGGTACGGGAACATCATAGCCGGCGGATTCGCTGGGCGATTTGGACAAATGGCCTCAACAGGGATTCTCAATAGGCTTATGCTTCCGAAGGGCAAGTTTCCTCAATTTTGGATAGGCATTTGGCACAGTAGACGTTTCGCTTGGAGATGACCATCTTGCCGTATCTTCTGAATCCATTTTGAATAAGCATTGGACCCTGGTCTTGATTCTATTCAAGGATAAAACAAGCCCTCTGAATTTGAAAGCAAAAACCATGAATGAGATGGAGACACCAGCCGAGACACCGACTGTGTTTGGATCTTATCTTTCAAGGTTAGGACTTCGCACAGGGTTCTGTTTACATACAAAGAATTGGAAATAACCACCCTGCTTAATATTCGACGGATCCGGATGCATGTGGGAAGTCCGTTACGTTGAGAGCAAAAACAGAGGTCAGAAAAGAAAGAGGAAGCCATAATTCATTTAGCAATGCAAACGAGATGCCCAGGTGGGAGTTCAGTATTGCTTGAAAATCCAAAGACAACTGTGACCATTGTAAAAGCCATGGTAATGTCTGCTTGTCTTGATGTGTCGTTTATTTGTCGTCGCCCATATTCTGCTTGGGTGAGACTCGTCTCAGTCTGGCGCAGATCCAGAAGAGTATTGATCTAAATGGCATCAGCGACTTAGTCTTATTGCATTTCCGATAGGAAGTCTCAACGAACAGATTCTTGAACCATTTCCGCCTCGGTGATCATATCTTGGATGTCTCGTAAGACCATGTTTGGGGTACATGTGTCTTTAAACTGCAAGTACTTGAAAAGAATCAAGCTCCCGTGTTTGAAATAACTGCTCCCACACATGCTGCTGGGACTCGGCGAGGCCTCGAAGCATGTTGAGTTCATCGCGTATGTCTTTGATCTCATTGAAAAGTCTTGCCTCTTCCGAAACGACATTTAACGAATTGCTGGGCTTATCACGAATCCAGCGGTTGCGGTGTTTATGAGGAGCATCGCCCAAACCCAGAGCCTCGGCGTACCGAGTATATCGTACCTAGGTATACTATTGAAAATTTCTAGCTATCTTTATAGGCCCTGGAGGTATTGTATTCAGTACGGAGTACTTGAGGCTCATAGGCATCGTTTTTCTAGGAGCCACCTCGACGAATAGAAGGTCATGCTGTATTAAAATATGTATAGAAACTAGGCTAAATTGTACAGGGATTTGACGATAACGAAATATAACCGCTCAGGCTGAAAATACTTGCTCCAAGAATCCCAGCAGACCACCTTTGAGATAGATAATGACAGCCTCGCTGTCAGGAACTGTGACTGTGACTTGACCATTCACGACAGCAGCAGTCTCCTGAACTGACTCGCCTGTGGGGAAATGCCCCTTGCCCTCGTCGAGCTTGAAGGACCACTGTTCCCCAGCCCATGTCACATTGTGCTCAGGGCCACCTTGGTCGAATCCAACGCCGGCAGATCCCTTCTCAGAATGCAACCTCTTGACGGTAACGGACTCAACGCCATTCTCAACATTCAGCGTAACAGAGGCATTTCCACGAGGCTGGTCAGAGTGCTCGTTCCACACCTTCAAATTGACCAGAGCAACACGGGCCAATTCTTCGCTCTGGAGATCGTACATAGCAAATGCACTGAAATCCTGCGGTTGGCCAGGCACATCAACCTCAACGACCTTGCCCAGTGAATCTCCCTTGCCCACAAAGTCCGTGATGAATGCCGCTGAAGGGAAAATACCCTGCACGGAAGGACCGGTCGTGAACTGACCCTCATCATTAGGAATCCAGAAAGAATCAGGTGCGTCTTCGAACATGTTGTTGGATACACGCTTCACTCCGCGCGACATTGCCGTCAGATGTAGGTCAACAGCCCACAAGCCGGCGCCCAGGCCTCCGGCCCAGCTTACGGGAGGGACGCCCAGAGCGGCTCCGAGCTCCGAGATAACGAAGTCGATCTTGCTATCTTCCTGGTGGATGTATTCGATGCCCTTTTGGATTTTGGGGAAACGTTCGGCGATAGCGTGGTGGTTCAACAGTCGATCTAAACACGATGTCTGTTAGTCGGCAGATCTCTTGAGCACGTTTGGACAGCTTGTTTTCGACATACCTTGCAATGCATTGTTGTCATACGGGCCTCCGACGTCGGTCTGGTAGTAATGCTGCGCAGCAAACTTGCCATATCCATTTGCATTAAGATCGTTGGTGAATACCTTGTGTCTGGAAATGATGAAAGTCAGGCACAGTGCAATGCAATCACAGTGAAAGACTTACAGCCCAAAGTCTTCTCCTCGCTCCTTGATGACCGTCCAGCCAATATCACCAAGCTCAAAGATGCGTCTGTCCTCGCCTTCTAGTCCCAGCATTTCAATCGTCTGGTTCTCGACCGTCAACGCACGCTCAACATACTGCTCAACGCCGTACGAGTAGTAGTCCGGCTCGTTTCCAAGCGCGATAGCACTGACACGCTCTTTTCCAAGAGCGTTGTATGCCTGGCGCACATACTCCATCGAGTTAGGAAGCCAGTTATTCTCAGGGTCGACTGGCGTCATGGGAGCCTGGAAGGTCATGGTTGCATTTTTGAAGCGACGGAATCCGTCAAAGTAGCTCTTGCCCACGGTCCAAGTATCCTGGCTGGAATATGGACACGAGGGTCCCGAGAAGCAGCGTCGGGTCTCATCTTGGTCTAGGTCAACCTGGATCAAGTCGCCGCTAGTGCCACCAACGCGAATGATGATGGGCTTGCTCATGCGAGCATATATGGAGTTGACGATGTTTTCCGAGAAGTCGTTATCAAAACTCGGGAGATACGCGGTTTCCCAGCTGAAACTGAAGAAGTCTGCTGGAACGGCCGTGGCATTTGAAGGAGCGTCTTGTTGAATTGAAAGAATGTGTTGTGTGTCTGCCTGTGCTAGGGCAGTGAAAAGAGCGGCGGCTGCTAATGAAGACAGCATTTTGAAGGAGTGTGATAGTTGAAGCAAGCTTGAATTTCTATGATACTACGGGCCCTGGTCTTTATAAACAGTTCACATCTCAAGGTCCACCCCTGGGTGTTTTTGTCACCATGGGGTCGATCCACTCATTTAACAAACACATCTGGATTTTCCACCTGCGTTTCCACATCGAGGACTACGAGCCTATGAGAGGATTGTCGGAACTTGCATTGCTTGGCTCCGTTTGAGTGGAGCTCAATGGGCTAGGCTACTCCATACTGATGCTTGAGTCCACGGAAAGGCTGTGGGGTGTACTCCGTAAGGCACCCAGTGTAAGCTCTCCCTTTAGCATGAATATTGAGAGGCTGCGCCGCGCGTCTATCATGATCTACGAGCTTGACGATCACCCGGAGCTACGAAACAATGGATTGGCTCAACGCGAGGGGAGGATTTGACGCGCTTTGCGAAATTTCCTAGCTGAGCAGTGTGATGGATAAGAATAACGAGCTGGAGCGCAGAAGCTTGTCGAAGTGCGTGGGAAAGGACTACATTAGCCATTGACGTGTGAAAGGGACTGGATAAAGTAACCAGAATTGAAGATCGTATAGTTGGCCCAGGCAGACCTGGACCGGTCCTGATCGGGGATGCGATTGACAGGGATGGAACCTGCATTGTGATTTTCACGAAATGATAGTACTACTAGACAGTATCACAAGGATGAAGTCAACCAGGTGGAGTTTCTCTCATGTCAATTCCCATTACTTGCTCATACGCAGGTCTATAAGCCACTGCAACGTCCAAGCGTGCATCGTATAGTACTTACAGTAACGGTATTTTGTCACGTCCACAGCAGTTCGCAGATGTACGGAGTAAAAAGTACTGATCTGCAAATAGACTCATTTTTGTGGACACTCTTTGTATCCAGAGGAGCTACCCACTGTGGAGTGCGACATTGCGAATCCCTGTTCTCCTGCTCAGGGGCTGCATGATGTCATGGTAAGTCGCTGGACATGTCACTTTGCTTGTCGCATCAAACAATTTCTAAGCGAGTTGGACAATTCATAAATCCCCCGTTGGCCCAGTTGGTCCAGTTGGGGCTTAACACCACGTCCGGGGAAGAAACGGCACTGAATGACCAAAACCGGACACCTGTGAATTGGAGTGCGAAAAAGCACGCCACGATTCTTGATTCGAATGAATACCAACATTCTGGAACAGAAGGGATAGAGTGCCCTAAGGTTCAATGTCCGAGGCGATTCCGTGCTAGCTTGCCTTGCAAAGTTCCCCTGAACATCTGATAGAACAACCTTGAAACAACCTAACATTTGAAGTAGACTCCACGAGGCCTGTATCAGGAATCGAGGGCAGATTGTCTGACAATCTCTGTGCTTCATCCATACCTAGGTACCTAGTACTAGTAGATGTGCTCTTTTTCCATTTGGCTTGTCTTCTGCGGACAGCGCCCGAGGGCCGTATATACATCTCTCGGTCGGTTCTCCGTCCACGGGTGTCCCTTCACGATAGCCCGAGAATAAGGTGGGCAAATTACACACTGATTTTATACTGGAGTAGAAAGCAACATCTCTCGTACCACGGCATTCTAGAGCCTTGGAAGTAGCCCTGTGAGGCTCGAGGGCTCTGGGCTGGCTATGACCTTGGAATAATGCGGACGTTGCTCCGTTCCCAAACCCGAAAAGCAACCCTGAAAGAATCACCCGAGTATACAGCTATTGCTTCCATTGGGAGAACTTTGGAATACTCTACTACCTAGTAGGTAGGGCTCGAGTGAGGATGAACAAACCAGTCTCCGCATCCCCGCAATTCAGCCGACCAATTCCCCGAATCCCCGAAATGCACATAAACCTCGTGCTCAAGACACAGTGAGATCTGCCATTCTGCCATGAGTGCAACACAAACAGAAACAATCGAGCTACCCAGAGCCGAAACTTCTGACAATGTGTTGCAGGACCCAACACCCCCCGAGCCCAAATGGATGTATTTCAAAATCCTCAGCGCAGGTGTATCATTCTTCGTCGCGGGAGTCAACGACGGAAGTCTTGGTTCACTGATTCCCTATATAATCCGCACCTATGGCATTGGTACGAACATGGTAGCCGTGCTGTGAGTATCCCAACTGTCCGATCAACCACACCCGTGGACCAACCCCACAAAACCAATACTAACAGAGCCAGCTACGGCACAACCTTCGGCGGGTGGCTCATTGCCGCTTTGACGAACAGCACAATCACCCGACACCTAGACCTAGGCCCGATTCTGTGTTTAGGAGCTGCTATTCAGGTCCTGGCTCATGTGCTCCGCGTCTGGGAGCCGCCGTTCGCTCTATATGTAGTGACGTTTTTCCTGGCGAGCCTGGGTCAGGCTTTCAATGATACTCATGCCAACACGTTTGTTTCTACCTTGATGGGCGCACATCGATACCTTGGCTTCATCCATGCTATGTATATGGCTGGGTGTCTGGTTGGGCCATTCGTCGCCACGGCAATTGCGTCTGCGAATACAGACTCGATGTGGTATATTTTCTATGCGTTCCCGCTTGGGGTTGGGACTGTGAACCTTGTGCTGTTGGGCGTATCTTTCCGTGATCGTATGGCTGCACCGGCCGATTTGAGGAGGAAGAGGGAGGAGGCATCGTCACGGTCTGCTTGGAAAGAGATTAAGGATACGCTTTCATCGCCTGGCGTTTGGTTGGTCAGCTTGTTTTTCTTCTTCTTCCTTGGTGCTTCAATAACTGCTGGAGGTATGTCTTTTATGTCCTTTCGCCCAGCTGGTACTAATTGCATTAGGCTGGATGGTTGAATATCTCGTCAAAGTTCGAAACGGCGACGTTAAGGAAATGGGATATGTCCCCGCTGGATTCTTCGGAGGTGGGTTCTTGGGACGTCTGATCCTCGCTGAGCCAACTCATCGGCTGGGCGAGCGACGAATGATCTTCATATACGCGGTATTATGTGTGGGGTTGCAACTGGTGTTTTGGCTGTGAGTATTCAATCCTTATGCCCGGCTGTCAAGCAGGTGAGGTCGTATACTGACCCTTCCAGTGTCCCAAACATTATCACGGAAGCAGTGGCAGTCAGCTTGCTGGGCTTCTTCTCTGGTCCTTTTTTCGCAACAGTGAGTTTGGGCACTCATTGGCAGGGAATTATGCTCACCCGATGCTGTAGGGTATCTCGGTAGGCACAAAGATATTCTCGCCTGAGATCCGCTCCTCGGCCATTGGTAAGTCAAGAAGTGTCTTGCTTCTTTCCTCAGACAATATGTGCTCAACAAACGATACAGCTTTCGTCTTTGTTCTCGGCCAAGTTGGTGGCTCAGTCTTTCCTGCTCTGACTGGCATCATTGCTGGGAAAAAGGGGGTCCAAGTCCTGCAACCAATACTTGTTGGTCTTCTTGGGGCGGCTGGTTTGAGCTGGTTGATCCTGCCCAAGGATGCAGCACTGCATAGGGAATAGTTAGTAGAAGACATGTGGACTCAATGGGCAGTGCCTGGCTCACGCTGCGGTCTTGGTGCTACCGACATAAAAGCTCAGCATTCAGTAAGATTGGCAACTTGAGATGAGTCCGAGAAGGAAGGAGAGCGAGAGGGGAGAGAGGTGATAGCTACTTGAGAAGCTTGTTCAATTCACACTTGACAGCAAACCCCGGACGCCAGGGTATAAAATTCGTTACATCGTTACATCATAACAGGTAGGCAAAAAAAGACTAGATTAACCACCCCCAAAGACCTGCCAGACCATCAAAACCAAGCCCAGAAGAAGAACCAAAACTCCACCATCAACCCAAGCTGTCATTGAACATCCATGAAAGGGAACAAGTGGGACCCGATTAGAAAATATCATCAGGCCACTGATAATCCTCTACACCAGGAACCATTGTGCTCGCAGGTGCCGGAGTCGGCGAAAAAACAGGCGCAGAGATGGGCCTCTTCTTGGGCGACTTGTTAAGCGACTTGCTCACATGAACCTTGGCAGCACTCGAGCGCAGCTCCTCGGGGAGGGGCGGCACAGGAGGGATATCCTCGTCGCGGCGATATCTTGTCGAGCGAGCGGGGCTGGTTTTTGATCTCGAAGGGGTATGGGGACTACGATCGGGATCAAGATGGGGCTGAGAATGGAGGTAGAAGTCGCCATGGGATTGGTCTTGAGCCATTGGAGAAGACCAGGTATCCACAGGGCCTTCTGAGATGAAAGGAGGCGAAGATTTCATACCGCGAATCGAGTCGCTGCGTCGTAGCAGGCTACCGCGTGGTGTTGTTGGCTGGGGACTTGGTGAGTAGGCTGTCGCGGATGGCTTTTGGGGTGACGAAGTGTATGAAGATCTGCGGGTGCGTGTGTTTGCACTCCCTTCTGCGGGTTTAGCATCGGATTCAGTTGAGATAGACTGGTTTGCTGCTTGTCGGCGCTTTGCAGAGCCTGGACTCTCGCCGGCCCCAGATTTGTGCCATTTGGTCTTACTGGGTGGGCTGAGCAAACCAAAGTCGATCAGGTCTTCGAATTCGGGGTCTTGCTCGAGGTTGTCGATGCAGTCCGTCGAACTGGGCTGAGGAGGCTTTCGACTATCGATTGGTTCAGGGATTGGTGACTTCCGTTTACGGGAAAGACTGTCCTTACCCAGGGTCGGCGGCCATGTCTCTTTCGAGCGCCGTTTTGTATGCTTAGCCGCAGCCGGGCTCGGAGCGGGACGAATCTCCTCAAATGAGAAGCTTTCGCGATCTTCCATGGGAGGCAGCGCAGTGAAGTTTCCAAGATTTGCTCCGGATGCCGATACTTCAGCCGCTTGCTGGTGCAAAAGACGTTCCGATGGCAGCGTCGGGAGAGCTCCGGGGACAAACTTCCGCGGGAAGGATGCAGGGTCAATTTCAGTGTTGACAGTATTTGGCGGAGGGATAGGGGCCAAAGCCGGCGGCGGTTCGTTTCCCGTGAGCTCACGAAGCTCGCGCCGAGCGCGATCCAGCTTATCCTCAAGATTGCTGACCTTCTTGAGAAGCTTGGTCTGCCGCGATAGCTCTTTGCGCGAGGGCTGCTTGCGGAGTCCAGTTTCGGACTCTTCGGAGGTTCTGTCACAATAGATAGTAGCTTGAGAAGCAGATGGGGACTCATGACTTTTGTGGAATAGCGACATCGGCAGACGAAGATCTTGGAGAGAAGAGCGCTTGGAAGCCCCAGAATCAGATCGTGAATGTACATCTCGATCTCCGCGATCAACCGAGTACCGCTGCGAGCCTTTCAAAGGAGAGCTGTGCTCCATTCTTTCATGAAGAGACTGCCAGGTTTGGTCTGCGGAAATGCAGTCGACACCGTGCGTCTGAATGTAATGCCCTTTGTTTGTGCCTTTGTATCCAGCCTTCTTCAGCTCGGCGTAGGCCTCCTCGGCTTGATTGATAACGTCCTTCTGCGGTGACTTGCTCGGCGATCCTTCGCTCTTGTTCCATCCACCGAACGGGTTGAAAGCCGATGCGATAGCCTTTCCGAAGCGAAAGATACCAGATGAGCGATTCTGATTGCCAGCGGGCTTGCTCTCTCGGTCACGGAAATAGATGCTGGGTGGCTTCTCGCTGACGCTATCACTCATAGTAGCTTCGACGAAACGAGATGTGCGGCCTCTACGATGGCGCGGGCTGGAAGATGATGCAGCTGCATGCCGCGCGCGCAACGATGCAAGTGAGCCCCGAGGAGATGCGCGCGGCGACGCACGGGGCGAAATCCTTGAGGGGGTTCCAATGCTCCCGACACTTAGATGTCCAGTTTCACTGCGCTGGTTGCGACGGTCATTGGATCCGTAATCGGCTGCCTCTTCGGGCAGAGGCCAGTCGTTGGAGCGACGGCGCTTCGCCAGATTTCCTGCAGGGGACCGGTAGTCTTCCGGGTCAACCTCTTCGGCATCATCGAATTGTCCACTAGAGTCCGAGCTCCAGTCGTAGCTGTTGTCATCGTCACTGGAGCGGAGATGTTTTCGCGAGGTGCGCAGCGCGGGGCTCCGGTCGACGCTCATTTTGGGGTCGCAAGTGGCCTAATCGTGACGCAGGGCAGTCAGATCCATTCATTTATGCAGTCTTGAATCACAATCCCTACATGGGGGGACTGGGGCAAGGAGCTTACCTCGATTGCTGCTTTCCAAGGTTGGTATCCCTCCGCACGCCCTTGTTGCGGGAAAGATATCAACGCGCAAGTGAGATGAAAGATGGCATAGAAGATGTGCAAGGCCACGAATAAAGAAGTAATGCAAAGAAAATTGGCGATCGCAGTGAAACTTGACGGGTGCCTCGAGCAAATTGAGTGTTTGAGAAAATCCGGTCGTTTGTTTACATACTCCGCACTTGCCAAGGGGGGAAGTTTGTTGTGGTACTGGGTACCCACGCTGCCCGCAGTGCATCCACCACTTAGGAAGTACCCGCTACCTTGGAAATGAGAATGTCATAATTACTTTCAGCTACATAAACTATTGAGGAGCTATGATCAAATTGTCAGTGTTTGGTGGGTTCTGATACAAATATGTAGGGATCTCAACCACCTTGCGTGCAAACGTTGTAAGAATTCTATGTCTTATCCTGGACATGTGCGTTAGAGGAATGGAAGATGGGATTCTGGGGATGAGCGGCTACAAAACAATGTACATTCTATACGGATGAACGCACATCAATTGGAGAATGCTAGGTATCGAACAGATGTCATAACGCCGGTAAGAAGGAGTAGATCGAACAGGCCTTGTGGGAATCAAGGGAACATGGTATCGCTTCATCTCCAAATGCAGTTGCCGGATGAGGCCAGTGTGAGCTGGGTTGAAAGAGTGCAAATAATTTCCGCTGCAAAGAAAAAATATATAAAAAAGCCAAAGCCAACATTGCCGACAGTTTGATCCGAGGGTATGGACATATAAGACACAAGCAGAAATAGAAGTCATGTGGTCGTCAACGCGTTGGTCAACGATCCCAGTTGACTTCATTTTGGGGTTGTATTCCCCTATCCCATTCATCAGCGGATGCTGTGAAGGAAAGGAGTACGATGCCCTTGTTCTTGGCCAAGGGCACAAGAACTTAAGTAGATGAGAGGGTGAATCAAGGCCTCGGGAATGGACGCGATCATTGGACTGTCGTGGAGTTGAGGTGGCACAAAGGAATCACCAAATCAACCAAGGCAGCTTGTATGTGTTTCAAGGTAAGAGGTCCAATATGGGCGAGGACGGGTTGGAACAGGAAATGGACAGCCACTTTGAGGTTGCTCACCGCTCGGAGCAGTGATGGAAGATGAATGGAATGCCCGTATAAAACAGAGACCAACGAAAGCAGAAGATTAAGCGCTATAAAATGTTCACATCTCGGAACCAGGTTGCATTGATCATATGTCCGTTCGTTGCCGATACGACTTAAATTGCGCCGTACTGTATCAAGTTGAGGGGGCAGCCTTCATGACCGTCTTGCCGTTGGCACGCTTGTAGGCCATTTCGATGCCCAATTCAGCCATTAATGCAGCCCGGCTTTCCCCTGCAAAGTCGCGATAGGCTGGCGGGTAAGTCTCGGTGTCAGGTCGCATACCGTTCTGCATTGAGCGCTCGTCAAGCCCGAAAGTATCTTCATGAGACCGCTTGCCATATGTTGGCCCGGTGTGATACAACATACGTTTTCCTGCAACATTGTCGTATCCACTGGGACCCGGCGATAAGCATTCCACAGAAGGAACAATCTGGCTGGTATAATCGCTTGCAATAGGCTTGATTGGTGCCACAGACTGAGGCATAGTCGAGGGCTGGGCCATGCTTGAGGGCTGAGGCTGCGATACCGGGATTTGAGGCATGGGCCCATAGAGATTTTGATGAGTCTCCAAGCGCGGAGGTTCAGCCACACGAGGCTCCATATAGGGTTGGGCTTTCGGAGGGTCCATGCGATAAGAGCTCATCAACTTGGGGTAGGTATTGCGATCGGGATAGCCACCACGCTCGGGCGCGATTTGGGGCGCCATAGGATACGCAAAGGGCGTCCCCTCGTACTCCGAAGCATTGGATGGGTGTCGTATTTGAGCGTAGCCGTTCTGTGGAGAGTAGATGCCTTGAGGGGCGATTGGAGGAGGTGTAGGGGGCATGTGAGGAGCTGGATAATGTGATGGTGTTGAGCCGAATGATAGATGCGATTGGTAAGAAGGTGTTTGGGAGTGAGACAGGGGGGCAGGTGGCATGGGCATAGATGGCCGCGAGTATGGCTGTGGGCACTGGAATCCGTAGTCCGGTGCAGATGGACGTCGATCTGGTGGAACAAACCCATAGGGCGATTCGATGTTGCTGCCATTGCTGTTTGATCGTGGTCGTTCAATCGAGTTCACATATCTATCGGGTGTCGTATATCGGTCTGAAGTTCTCGCATATGCCGCTGCACGTTCCTCATCAAACTCGTAATCTTCTTCTCGCTTGTCGCCCCGTCGCCTCATGCGAACATCACGACGGATGCGTACTCGGCAACCCTGTTCCGCAATAATTCGGCTGAGAGAGGTGCTTGTGGCCAGCCCAGGGAATTTCTTCGCACTGTACACGGTGAATGGGACAGACTTGACCTCAAGACGGAAGTGCAGGTATGCTTGAGGCTTGCCGGGGTTCGCATTGGCACCGTTGACCTGGTTAGGCAGAGGTAAAGTCGAGTCCTTGTCGGCGTCCTTGGCCTCCTTAATCTCTTCATATAGGTGGAAATTCAAACGATATCGGCCTTCGTGGCGCACCGAGAGATCCGGGAAAATGAAGTATCCGGCCTGCGATGGACGATCGAGGTACGCGACTCCGGCGACCGGCACACCAGTCAACACAGGGCACGACGGTGGACCAGCCACCCGTCCATGGGCGATAGGGCGTGCAGTGTCGAGAGTTGCGTACAGGAAGAAGTTGGCGTTGTAGGCGAATGTGATATCTGTCTTCTGGGCATCGTTGGCGGGGTCCGATTCGAATATCCGGAGTTCGACGACAGGCGGAGGGTCAACGGGACGGCGATCGGCCGAGGCTATTGACAGTCGTAAGTTAACGAAGCGCTCTCTCCCCCACCTTGGACCAAGACTCACACTTTGCTCCAGCGCCACATGCCCTTGCCCGCTCTGGTTGTTGCATCACGCTCAATTTGTATGTGAGTTGTTTGCCCTCCCGAGTGATCCTGCTGACTGAATGCTCGGTCTCATTGTGAGGCGGCATGAGGTGTGGTCGGGATGCCATTTTCGAGATTGGGATGAGTGGTGTTCCGCCGGGCGCGAGGTTCATCCAGGTACCAAGACCACTTCGTGTCCCACTTTGCCTTCCGCCTCGAGGGTTGCGATCGAGCACGCCGTAGTGCAATCAGAGATTCGATATATCAACGCCGTAGACTTTTTGAGGGCTTCGCTCAGGGCTTTTTTTCCCACTCGAGTAGCACCTGGGCTCTCCTGAAGCAGGGCGTCTATGTACTGAGCCGGTGAAATTAATCGTAGAACCTCTAATAGCAGGCGAAATCCACCAGAAAGATTGAATTATGGATGATGAAGAGAGAGAGAGAGAGAGAAAGAGCGCGAGAACATGGAGAGGGGGCAGAGTGGACCAGTGACACTAGGCGTAACCAGTTGGGTACGCCTCCCGATTATGGGCCCTCGCGGTATGACCAAAGTACCCGATCGGTACCGTATCTACAGCGTCTACTTTTTATCATATTCTGTCGGAGTCATGCACAACAGTTGAATTGGCACATTCAAGAGATTCTCATGATTTACTCGAGAGTATCTTCACTGAGTGTTCGTAAGGCAACTGTGTATTTGCGTTACGATCTGCAAAGGCATCCGTGTACTAGCGCCTTTTTTAGGGCTTGGAAAATTACCTGCTTTAGTCCATACTTACTATTACCCTTTTGGGTCGGAAATCAATTTGCAATGCAGGTTGTCAAGCGCAGATGTCACCGAACTGGTAATGAAACAATCCCCACGTTACCGGGTACCCTGGGTGCCGGCAACCCAGTCCAACGGATCGGATTCTCTTATTTTCAAGGTTCCTAACTACCTACTACCTACCTATGTAGGTATATAGAACTATAGAGAGACTCGAGCAGTATAGCAAGTCGCACAAACGTAATCCCTCAATAGTCTCGCCATGAATACCAGTGTACAATACAGTAAGGCCTAGTCCTTTCCGATCAAAAAGTCCCTGGAATTTAGCCCGAACCCTTTCCGATTCGAGGGTCCAAAACCAGTTTGCATAGTTCGGAATCAGAATTGATTAAATATCTGCGCCTTGTACCAATAGTATTTCGTACGGGGGACTTGCAGCTATGATGTTCGAGGGATCGATCTACGCTCAGCTTGAAAAAAGCGCAACCCGTACCTAGGTATGCGCGGAAACATTTCCCGAAGCCTTTTTGGTGCGGCTGCTGTGAACTCCGGACAAAGTGATTCGCTTCGATGGCCAGCCTGAGCTCCATCGAACCACCGATCCCCCTCATGACGCGGCTTGGCTGGCTGCATCCCACCAATCACACTGTTTGTTGGCGCTCCCTGGACCGACTATGTTACTAGTAGACGGCTGACGGGGTGTCGCCCCAGTTCTTTTAATGCCACCTTACCTGACACGGCTGATGCACTCTGATCTGTGCAGTTGCTCTGTTACTAAAACACTAAAACTCCTTTCTTGAACCCTGATGCTGATGCTGATATGACTTGAAGCGCGGTCCGAAGGAGAAATTCAGAGGCGCTCGGCTATGCCTCATTTTGTGGGACATCATCTCAATGTCGAAATATCGCTAGTACTTCTGGTACTCCGTAGTAATTCTGTACATAAATTGTGTCAAACTTATGAAATGCACATAACGGCGTACTCGCACGGAGGTATGATTTGATTTTATACGGACGCCATACTCCGTACACAAACCGCTTTTCCGCGAAACATACGAAGTACTGTATCCACAACGCAACCATAGGACCATCGGGTCTACGTTCTATTTTGACATTACCGATCCACGAGTCGGATCGATTCTGCAGCACCATCTGAACAATTGTGCCAGCTTTGGTTGATGTATTGTACTAATACAGCACCCTGTACGGAGTACGGAGTACAGCACCTGTTTTATTCATCGAAGCGTCAGCTATGATACCCAAGGAGGCAACTATGTACTCCGTACAGCAAAGAAAGCTGGTCGAGGGCAGCAAGGTTGAATTCTGATCTGGGCGCAGTCCAAGGTGCCAATGTGGAGATCACAATCTGAGAGACTCGTACGAGTGGGGAGTCGACGATAATGGTGCAATTCATCTACTACTAGTACAGTAGTTATGCAGTTACGCTGAAACCTCAGAGGAAATTTTTGTTTGACTCGGTGTCTACTGCTAGTAGGTATCTTACACAAAGTGCAGTAACCAGAAGATGAGACTGATTCGAAGGGCCTGGACGTCCTACTAAGCAAGCCTGCAAGCATGGATTCACGTTGTCCCCCATGGCGTAACATAATGTAATACGCCTTGATCTCCAAGCTTTTAGCCTCTCTCCAAGCCATGTGGTACAGGGATTTCGGCTCTTGGCTCTTGCCGATCAACCTTGGAACGCTATGGTTTCTACGTACTCACGAGTTGGGTATTGGCGAACAATCTTGTAGGTACACGTAGCAGTATGTGCCCTGAGGGGTTGACGGAAGTACTATACTATAGTACACTATAACCCGGGCCGAACACCAGGATCCTGACTCGAGATTCTTTCAGCGAGCTAATGGGTGATTGTCCGTTTATGGTAGGAGTCGCATGCAAGCACGAGTGCGAACATGAGCTTGTAACACGCGGTTCCGGACCCCTGTCAAGTGTGTATTTTTGGGTGCTTTGATCCTGTCTATTCGCGGCAAGAGGATTGCATCCCGTGAGCTGGCCCACGGAATTGTAATATGTACGGATGATGTATCAGACTTTTGTTTTGTTTTGTTTTTCGTCGCGTTATGATTAGGGCACATGAGACCGGTTGAAACGTCCTCACAGCTGAGCTGTAATAAATAGCAACTGGCCAGGTGGGTAACCCGATCCCGTTTCCTCGCTGTCCACTTCCTTGGGCAGGGTCCTGACATCGAAATTGCTCTGCAGTACTGTACTGTGTATAACTATGTAGAGTTAACTATGCAAATCCATGTTCCAAGATCTAAGACCCCAAGAACCCGACTGCCACTCCCCTGGGACAGCATTGAATGCTGCACATATCTCGATACATCTATCACTCGTACGGAGTCGATTCCACAGTGTACAATCCACTTGACGAATCATCAGACCGCTAGTTCCTTACGCTACCACGTGGAAGAGCCCTGGAGATGTCAGATCTCAAATCGGCGTCCCTACTATAGACTTCGTGGAACAACAGCTTCACCCTAACGAAATTGGGAATTATCGTGACATCAGGTATCTGATCGGCACAGCTTGGTATGATCAGTCACGTCTAGCTCTGAGTGTGGGCAAGATCTGCCCGAAAATCTCTATTCGTACGAGTTCAGCATACAAGGTACAAACAGGTTTCATTCGAGACATCGGAGCATTCTAATGCGTGTCTTTCTTCCGCATGTTCCGTTCATTCTCCAATACACGGGGCGGATACACCGGCTTAGAGTGATTTGTTCGTGACTTTGCTCCCGCTATCTTTTATCCACCTGCCCCATGCAGCCTGTTGAAAGCACCACTACGGGTTAGCCTCAAGGATTGATACAAAATGACCTGTACACGTACTAGGTGTGTTTTGATCCACTCCACAGTGTATCGTATTTATGGTAATCAGGATCTTCGGGGTTCAACGATGATCGACCTATCCACCCGGCAATGTACTCCATTCTCCGTATGCACGGAGTGCACTTGGACGACTCTTCAGAGGCTGCCAAGGTCATGATCAAACCATCGTCTGAAGATGGAATATTTTCCAGACAAGGAACCTGTTTCATACTTACGGAATACTCGTTTGGACAAAGCAATTGCTCGGTTTCTTAATATTTCGGTCATTGTGAGCGATTCGAAGGTATCCTGATCTCACACCTCACCACATACTAGGATAAGATGCTTCGCACATTCTAATTACTGGATGCCCAGAGTATCAACAGAGAAGTAAAAGAATATCAAGAGAATCAAAAGAAGATTCGTGATTTAATTATCGAGTTTGTATATCACTTGTTACGTTTGTCCGCGGTCGCAGACAGAGAGCCACTCCATATAGGTGACACAATCAACTATTCTTTGCATTGAGCTCGAGCATTCCGCAAGCTTTCAATCGCCGCTCCTGATACAGCGTTTCCAATTTCTTCCAGCTGCTCCAGTCTTTTTAGCCAGAAATTCCACCGATCCATGCTCATGGGTCCCGCCGTCCAAAGCCTCCCCTCTCTCTCCAACGCCCAGGACTTCTCTTCTCTCCTTGCGCCCTCTCTGAGTCTTTCCCCGGCAACTCTGATCCAGACCGCCGCAGCAGGTACCTCAAAGTCCCACACTGCGTCCTGACATTCGAGCGCCTCGGAGATGCACTCATAACCCCAGCTCAGTGGCAAGAGACCATCTTCAGCATTCGGGCCCGAGGCAGCCATCGCACATGATGCCTCCACAAAAGCAAGATGCACGTGTGCTTCACGGCGCTTCGATCTTGTATTCGGATCCCGCGTTGCTAACGCTGCTCGCCAATGGCTTTGCTTCCACATATCTGACCACGAGTGGCCGAAGCTTGTGAGATTTCGCCAAACTGGGTCACCGTCCTCCTCATCAGATAGCTGGCTAAGCTCTTTTAGCAGGTCGACAAGAGCAGGCGTGTTGCTTTCGGGTAGTTCAAAGAGTGCGTCTTGTATTATTCCGAGTACACGGTCTCGTGTATCAACCTTCTTCTCGGAGGCATGAGGCTTACTCAGGGCAATGGCTGTTTTGGACGGGGTTTCATTTCCTTCGAGATACACTTTGAGAGCTGCGGCTTGATGAGGATGGGCCCCGGTTTCTTCCTCGCCGTCTATGGGTGCCGTGTGTTGGTCGAACCAAGCGTCGTCTGCGGCGGAGCCAAAGCCGTCCAGATCAACCGACGCGCACGTCACTTCTTGGATGGCGGTATTCATTCTGACAGAGCGCCGATGATTTTGAGGGTGTGTGTGCTTTGAGCTTTTGTGCTTGGGTGATGAATGCACGGGGTGATGTGATGAAAGAGAAAGCGGAGTGGTCACAATATTGGAAAGTTGAAAGAGCCCCCGAAGTCGGGCAGCAGAGCGCCTAATCGCACACCTGGGCAATCACCCCGGTCAATGAGACTGCCCCAGGCTGTGATGCAGTCAATCCATGTGATATCACTTGCCAATCAGAGGCGCCCCACAAACTTTCAGCCCTGGAGGCTCGCTGACTCCCTAATCAGACCTAGCGTAGAACCTATGTAGACAGTCCTGACAACCCTGAAATACCTCATTTCTGCTCGATATACTCGGCGCAAGCAATTGAGACCTCGGCAGTGGAACAGTTCTAATATAAAGCGATTGGGAGATCTCGATTGACTTCTCGAGTTTGTAGGACTGGCGGACTCTAGACTTGGAATTGACTTTGGATTAAAGGTACGATGTTGTGAGCCGGGATGGGTTGCTAGGAGGTACCGGAGGGTAAAGCAGGGTACAAGCAAGGCAGACACGAAGACAAGAGCATGGGTCATGGTGTAAGTAGGGCCGCAAACAATACTGCAGGCGGGGGTATAAACAATGGTGCAGACGAGAGCGTTCATGCGCTGATGCAGGGGAAGAAGTTGAGCGCAGTCAGGTTTTCTATACAGACAATTGGATGACAGTGCAGTGCCCTGTAGCTTGTGCCCATACATAGCTTCCAAAAAAGCAAAAATAGCATGAAATCAGAATGTAACCATGTCTTTGCTGATGTGAACGCTCGATCAGTCTTTAGGGCCCTATCAATAGCTATAAGAGTGCCGTTGGTAGCCCTGACATTTGAAGAAAGACTAAAGCCTTGCCCAGATATCAAGAAATTCTCTAAGAACCCACAGAAGCAATCATCTAGTCGTCATACCAATCGCTTAAATGAGGTTAGCTTTAGCAACTTCTTTGGTGCTCTTCTTGGGTCTGGCATCCGCTCTCCCAGCCGAGGAGCTATTCAATCTCGAAGAACGTGCCCAGCCCTCCAACGAGCCCATTGACGTGAGTCCCTCGTGAGCTAACTTGAGCTCTTCTTATGGTGGCTGATACACTTCTTGCAGTGGGATGGCCCCCGGAACTTACAAGACCGTCAAGTGCGGCAAACAGACTTACGACGGTCACGATATTTACCTTGCCGCGCAGCACGCCGTGAATCTGGGCCGGTTGAGTCACCCCGAGACACGAGGTGCGAATAAATACCCTCCACGTTCGACAACGATGACAGCAAGGGTGTGAAACTCCGCTTCCCTGCTCATTGCCCGCAGCACGATAAGAACCGAAAGGAGTACCCGCTTGTCAAGAAAGGACCCTACAATGGTGGTGGACGCAACAAGAAACAGGGTGATGAACGTGTTGTGTTTTACTACGATGGCCACGCAAGAGGTGTTGGTGGTCACCCGTTGGTCTACTATTGTGGCTTGATGACCCATCAGGGTGCGGCAAAGGGTGGTTTCGTGCAATGTCCCAGTGGGAGATAGAGACTCCGGGTTTCATCTTTCTGTTATCGGCAAGGTCTTGCAGTATCTGCCCCATGGGGTGGAGCGGCTACAGGGCGGAGACCTAAGCTCATTTTATACATATCCCACCTGGGCTAGTACCTATATAGGTACATAGGTAGGTAGTATCGAGGAACAATTGATACGTTGACCTGCAATCTCGGGAGGCTAAGGCCTTGGAACAAAGGGTATGCATGACCTATGACCTTAGTCGCAAAGGAACCTTAGAGAACAATGCACTTCATGAGCTCCCGAGGTCCTTTCATTCGAGTGACGAGTGTCCCGATTGCTGTGCAATTTACATCCACCACAGACCTATGCTGTGCGAGTATCCTGTACCTGGACAGAGTCTTCATGGTCTGCAATCTATCGTGTAAAAAGTCATTGTACTTTGATGCCAAAGGGTCTTAGGTCTCACCACCGCAATGTTGGGACGAGTCCTGCATATGTTTGCCTATTCTTGAGAGCATATGCCTGAAATAAAGTCCTGGGTAGTACAAGATATGCGTCCAAACCGAAACAAAGCTAGTTTGCCATATAACCAAGTATGAAAGAAATCATGACAGCAAACACCCAGTTGGTTTACAACAGTAAATCCAACGTCGCCGTCGCACCCGGATTACTGCCATTCCATGCTCACCGCCGGAGTAACTGGCGGGGCTGACTTGGCCCGTTGATTGGCCCCGGGGTTATCGACTTGTAGATAGTCGCGATGTTCACCTATTTCCCTGCTTATGGATCTTCTATCTGTTCTGCCGGGGTTTTCAACGCATGGTTTCGTCCACATCATCCCGCCACTGGAGCGGCGTAGAGTCACCGTTGTCGATCTAATCACACTCGACCCGTTGGAGATCGCGAAACGCGCGCGCGTGCCTCCCGCAGATGTTCGGCGCCTCTCGAATCGCATTGTCGAGGCATTGCATGGAGACCTCGGCGTCAAACCGTCCCTCCCGTCGACAGATGCACTTGATAGTATCCCGAACCCCAACATAAGCCTCGAAACACCTCGTCTTGAGCCTGCCACAAAACCACAATGGAGCACCATCAGCACACTGGACCCCGCGATGGATGCATTGCTAGGAGGGGGGCTACCGACGGGCTATGTGACAGAGGTGACAGGCGAGAGGTATGTGTCGGGTCTTGGACTTCTCCCAATTTGGTCATGTGCGTAGGCTAACATTGCCTTCGACTCCTGGTTAGTGGATGCGGCAAGACCCAATTTCTTTTGAGCCTTTGTCTGGCCGTTCAGCTGCCAAAACCCCAGGGGTTACAGCAGCGCGCGATATACATATCCACAGAACATCCGCTCTCGACGCCACGGCTCACCCAGCTTCTGGAGTGTAACCCTGCTCTGTCAAACCTTCCGCCTGAGCAAGCCCCGTCGCTAGAGGCAATCCTGTCTGTCAATGCCATGGACCTTGAAACACAAGACCACATTATCAATTATCAGCTCCCTGTTGCAATTGAACGTTACGATATCGGGTTGGTCATTATTGATTCAATCACATCGAACTATCGTGCCGAGCACTCAAAGAGTCTCACATACCTCGCCAACCGAGGGCGCCAGCTTGCGAAATTAGGCAACTTCCTACGCAAACTCGCCATCAATTCAAATGTTGCTATAGTACTAGCAAACCAGGTATCTGACCGCTTCGAGACTATAGGCAGTGCCGCATTATCACGTCCACCGTTCACATCAAGGCCAAGTCTCACGCAGGGACAAGCAAACGGACCTTCTTCTCAGTACCCGAAATCAAGGGCGGAGCAATCAGCCGCCGAAGATGGCATGCCAAGCTCATCGGCTCCGCGATCCTCTCAAGCTATACCTCCGTCCACGTATCATGCACCAGAGGACAAAAATTTCGACGGTTCATACCTCGTTCCCACCCCAGAACATAGTCCCTATCTCAGCCTAGCATACCAAGAAAGATTCTTCAGTGGCTGGGGTGATGGTCCGAACCCAGACAGTGGATCATTGAAGAATCCAAGTCTGGGCTTTATTTGGTCGACGCAGCTTGCGTGTCGAATTGCTCTGAAGAAAGAAGGTGTTCGCGCGGCCGTTGCAGTCCGCGGGGAGGGCACGCCGTATCAAAACAAGGCTGATATCAGTCGAGATCCAGACTCTATAGCGATGCCGGCACCTCCACCTCGGAATCCAATACCGGGGTCACAGAGCCAGTCAATTGGTTCAAGCCCTGAGCCTGTGACGCGGAGGGTCATGAAGCTCGTATACTCTCCTTGGACTGGAGGGCTGGAAACTGAAGGAAAGTCCCAATCGGCACAGATGACGACGGAGTTGGAGTTCGAAATCTGGAAAGGTGGATTGCGGACTACGAGTCACGTTTAGTCTGTGATAACCTGGAAATAGCTAGGGGGAGAACATTGGAACAAATCAACGTCCAATCCTGGACTCGATTGAGAGATATCATTTGACAACCTTGAAAGGACGATATGTATGCGAGAACAAACACGCTTCAGATTAAGCAATGAGGCAGAACATACACGAGAAGGCAGTTCTATATAAACAAAAAAATAATCAACCCTTTCACTCCATTTTTCATTACCGCTTCGTCCAGTCAGTCTGAACCAGTCTCTCCGCCACGTAGAGCATGAATCGACGATCTAAACATGTCCATGCAAGATCAAAGTACGGCTAATAAGGCCAGGGGCAAGATCCCTTTGTTTCAAGAAAGACAGCAATGTTTTCTATGTCTCGCGAAAATCCAAAGAGTGTATCGATGTATCAGCAGGGCAAGAAATATCGTGACAATAGCTCAGATCAGACAAAATACGAAACAGGCGCATCATATAGCACTCTATTCGGCCTTGGCAGACATCTTGGCAGGAGGAACTCCAATACCGTTGGTGTTGCGGTAGAACAGCACATGCTGGCTCTCGCCAGTGGCACCCTCGGTGGGCTCGACCCAGTGGCAAGCACGGGCAGAAGTCCAGAGAGCCTTGAAGAAACCAGTCCAGCCGGTGTGAGCTTCAGTGCGGTAGTGTTCACCCATGACGCCCTTGATGGCATCGGAGGCCTCATCGGCGTTGTAGAAGGGGATGTTGCTGACGTAGTGGTGCAGGACGTGGGTCTCAATGATGCCGTGGAAGATGTGACGGCCAACGAAGCCGAAGTCACGGTCAATGGTGGCGGCAGCACCGCGAGCAAAGGTCCACACTTCAGGCTCGTAGTGAGGAAGAGTAGGGTCGGTGTGCTGGAGGAAGGTGATGGCAACTAAAAAGGGTTAGTGATTTGGAACAAAAGGCTACTTTGCGATGAAGAAAAACTTACCGAGCCAGTGGTTCACCCACAGGTAGGGGAGACCGTACCAGACCAGCAGGTTGAGCCAGCCGAAGTTCGAGCCGATGTAGTACAGGAGACTGCCGGTGAGGAACAGACCGAGATCCGACAGGGCAATCAGCTTGGCGTCCTTGGCCTCGTACAGAGGGCTGGATGGGTTGAAGTGGTTGACACCACCGCCCCAGCCGTTGGCCTTGCCCTTACCGCGGCCCTCGGGCTGGTTGGTGTGGTTGTTGTGACCGGTGACGTTGTTCAGGAGATACATAGGCCATCCGAAGAGCTGCTGGGCAAGAAGGTTGCCGGCAGTGAGGATGGGGGTCTCCTCGAACAACTCGCCGAGCTCGTGCAAGGTCTTGCCCACGCGGGAGGCATACTCGCTGCGGGTCTTGGGGACGAAGACCATGTCACGGGCCAGGTTACCGGTGGCCTTGTGGTGCTTTCCGTGGGAGATCTTCCATGAGAAGTAGGGAACCAGCAGGAGAGAGTGGCAGATCCAGCCAACGGTGTCGTTCAAGGTCTTGGAGGGGGAGAAAGCCTGGTGGCCACACTCGTGGGCCAGGACCCAAACACCGGTTCCCACCAGACCCTGGACGATGGTGTACATGGTCCAGAGGGCAACACGGGCAGGCATGAAGGGCACGGTCTCGGGAGTCACAAAGTTGTGGAAGAGGTAGAAGACCGAGGCCAGGATGGCCATGTCCCGGAAGACGTAGTAAAGACTGGTGACCGCGGAGCGGTGGAAGCAGTGAGCGGGAATAGCATCGCGAATCTGCTTGATGGTGTAGTCGGGGATCTTGAACTCTCCACCGTAGGTGTTCAGCATCTTGCTGGCCTCTTGCTCCGAGGCCATGGAGGACAAAGAAGTCGAAGAGGGGGACTGGCGCGGGCTATCAAAAGGCGACGCCGAGACAGAGCTCACAGTAGAGGACTCTGTTGGGAGGTTGCGGTTCAGCGCAACGCGCTTGGGAACTGCGGTGGAAGACATCCTGGCGTGTGAGGGGTCGCCGTGGATTGTTTTAAACCCAAAGATCTGAGGTTCAGGTCAGTCCAGTTCAGCTCTTGTTGATCCTGTACACGCACAAGTAAAGGAATGGGGCTGCACTGCGTGCGAGTCAAAGTGATTGAAGCGATCTAGAGGAAGCAAATACCCCGATTCCTCAATAAGCCAACGAGAGAGCAGGCAATTGACTTGACTGAAGGGGGGAAGAAAAAAAGAACAGCTCCAGAAAAAGGGCAGAAGTCAAAAAAGGGACCGGGGTTTACTAGGGTAATTCGCATACCAGGTACGGGCTCCCCGACGTAGCTGGCAGGCCCTGCGAACAGTAAAATACGTGTATTGGGGTTTGCAAATTCAGGCAGACTGCCCCCTTCGCCCCTCGACCACTGAAATCTCGGTCTCTGCATGAACTCTACAGCTGATCGCTGCCCTTTCTGTCTTTCTTTTTCGTCTTGTCACTGGTGAGATCTTGCAGCTCAGCAGCGCCGCGTCGCTAGTATGCACTTCTATCCATTTTGCTCAGTACATATACTACATACTCCGTACTGTTACTCCGTGCTTCGACTCAAGTTCTGCCAATAGTCTTCAACATGGATATTATCTCGGCAAATCCCGTGCGCCCCAACATTTTTGGCCAATTTCATTGTCTCGGTCTGTCAGATATAGGGCTAGGCCTGACCCTCACATGAGAATACGGTGAAAGCTGAGCATGTGGATCGTGGCGATCGACTTGCCTCGGGTCTTTCTGTCAATTGAGCTCCACTGTGTGATCTACCCAGTGGCAATTGGGTTTGCTTTTTCTTCTCACGCGAACCCCTCCGAGTATGTGTGGTATTACATGTGAATTCCCTCTCGCCCGAACCTCGCCCGGAGGCCAAGAGGACATACCGCAGCCATTGACTCAACGCGTGTACGGAGTAGCAGTATACAAATAGAGAGTATGGTATGGAGTATATTCTGTCCATTCTGTTTTCTACATTCTGTTATACATTCATGTATACTCTACATACAAACATGTATAGTATACAAAGAGTGACTACTGTACAGATCTGTGCAGACCCAACATACTTCGGCGCTTGTTGGGCGGAGTCGGGTTTTGTTGGGGCCCCACTCCCCCCTTTCGAAACTGCAAATTACACAAACGTTAAATTTTGTATTTGCCACCTTAGATAAGATCTGATCTTTCCGATGTCGGATGTTTCATCACCTGGGCAGGCATCCGGAGCCACATGATCGATGCTGAGCAAGCGAAAGCAGGCGAAAGCAGATCAATGAGCTGAAAACTACCTGCAGACGGTGTAAAAAAGGTTGAGTTAAATGGACTACGCTAGTCCATATCGGGTGTCACTAGGCCCAATAGGGACCAGGGGGGCCCTAATCACCCGAAGCCACCGCAGAACTATATGGACTGTACATACTGTAGTGACAGGACTGTGGATATGCGCTGGGCACATGGGAATGAAATTGATAAAACAAGAGTCATGATTCGTAGAGCTCTATACGCTCTGTGTGTATATACACAGACAATCAATTAACTTCCTCCACTCTCCGCTCTGAATCAATCAACCACGACCCCCCGCCAGCGTGGCCCCCAGCAGCGCTGAGCGTAACAGTGGTCTTTCGTAAATCCGGCAGAACAAGGACTGTTTCGCTGTGATTCCGGTAGTCGACTTCACAGGGGATGGATCGACGGGGCGGGGCAGTGGTGGGATCGGCCGGGAGCTGAGACGGCGACGGGAAGAACGTGCGGATCTCCAGGCCTGGGAGAAGCAGATGGCCTGGCTTCTGGGGGAGCAAAATAACGGTGAAGCGGGTCACTTCACCATCCCGCGCCAGGAAGTTGCCTCGTCGCCTACCTCCGATTTGCCATAGGTCGGGGTTGGCGTGGATCTCATACAAGCATTCAAGAGGCTGGTCGCCATTTTCACGGGTTTCAGGTGAGCACCAGCGGCGCGTGTGGCGGAGGCACAGCTCGGCGGTTATGATTTGGCCCACGGCGGCGTGGGTCGACTCCGTGTTGGGTTGAAGCTGCAGCTCGGCGGTATGCACGACCTGGATTTCGGGCACGTCGACAGGGATGATGATGCGGCGGGACGGGATCCTGGGTTGGGTGGGAAGTTGGACGACGGGGTTGTTCTAACATCAAATGTGAGCCTGGTTGTGGGTATACTATCTGTATAGTTCTTACCTTGTGCCACTCCTGGAGCCACTGTCGCACATCCTCGGACGGTTCTTTCAAAGCACCTAGGAGATCGTCCCAGCGCACGCTTTGATAAGGGAGCATATTGACTTCCCGGATTAACCCGATGGCCTCCATGTCATTCGTGGACAGCTGTGCACGGAAGCTGCTGACAATGTGCGATGTGAGTAAGGCTGCATATTGGCGGAAGGGACTCGTGTCAATGGAAGCACCGAACTGCCTCGCGATCGCGTCAAGACATTCATCATCCACACAGGTGAAATCCACACTCAGCTGTAGACTGCGCGGTGTTGGCTCGGCTGTGTTGCTACTATCCACGGGTCGAATTTTGTAAAGCAAAGAGGCAGGTTGCTTAGGGAAGACATCCAGCGCAACAGGGCCAGTCATACTGGATTGTACCTCATAAGTACTAGAGCCGGGAAGGCTGCAGTTTGTGATCCGGAGTGGGATCAACATAGCAGGGCTTATCGTGAACCGCGAGAAGAGCATTTCACCCTTGAAAATGTCCTGCACATTTACCGATATCGGCAAAGAAGCCACAACACTGAAGGGCGCCGATGATGCAAATGTGCCGTTCTCAGTCTCATACCCGATTTCTGCCCGGGCCGACAGGGTCGCAAATGCTTCTTCTACCGTGTAGGGTATCCGTAAGCGCACAAAGGATCGAGCCGCCAGTTGAGAGAACTCAATGACACCAGATTCATGATTGGCATCAATCTCGAGGTTTCCATCCACAACCTTGGTTTCCGCAAGGCGAAGGCGTAGACCCGCGGTTGCTGGCCTGACGCGGACCGTCCCGCTCTTGATATTGTTGCGCCCGCTGTCGATTTCAAGCTCCAGCGTGCGCATGGCTTGTAAATCAATCAGATGAGGCGACGCAATCTTCGCCTGGAGGCCATCTGCGGGGGGATAGCAGTAGATGTAGGGTCGTGCATCCACTTCTTCTGAGTCTTCGGTCTCCCTGAAACCGACTGGGAGTGACGAGTCTTGCCCGCTATTGAAGTTGAAGACAAGATTGCCTGCTCTCATTTCAATGCGATCGACGAAATATTTGCCTTGGAGTGTGGTCTACATCATAGTCAGTACCTGATCGCAAGAAGACTTCAATCTCATGTACTTACCGAGGAGTCAATCAAAACCTTGGTCGATGATGATTTGACCACAAATTTCTCTCCGTTCTCGATCCAATGCTCGGAGTTTTGAGCACTGTTTGCACCAACCAAGCGAATTTTGAGGTTGTCAATCTCGATTTGCTGCCCGAGAAGGAAGCGCAAGGACAGCTCCACCTGGAAGCCGTCCTGGTTGTCATACAATCGTATGGCAGGATTGACATGAAGATCAGCGAAGAAGTCTGCCAAGAAAGCTGGGATGTCTTTCTGGAGTGCCCCAGACGCGTTGAACAAATCATTGACATGTAAATCCAAAATCTCTTGCTCTGTAGAAGGAATGGAGCCAGCCACGGCTTTCTGTCTGATTGACAATTGCGCCTGCGCGTATGTAGCAAACTTCGAAAGCAAACGTATCATCATCCGAACATAATCTTCGTTGCGTTGGAGTTCTTTCAGGCAACGCGCATGTAATTCTAACATGCACCCTTCAAGAATGACCCAGTTCCGAGTCCCGTAGAATGGTGCCATTCGATGGAAATAAGAAACAGCAGTCTCATAATCTTTCTGCCGGTATCGTAGAATGGCAATTTCAGCAAGAGCCTGCTCGGCAGAGTTGACGCGGTTGGCTGCCATATGATGGCGAATCAAACGATCTGTGAGGTCCTCATAGAGGAAAAGGAACGCCTCTTTCGACTCCAGTGCAACCTTAAGACCAGCTAGGTCAATCCCCACCAGGGAAGATTGCTTGTTCTTGAGATCGAGCTGTGAGTCTTTGGTATCATCCGCACCCAACGAGATATCCGCCATACCACTTGCCCCGGTGCGGTGTCGGTCATCGAAAAGCAGACCGAGATCATTCCACTTTTCAGCCCAGCCACGCCTTTGGGCGATTTCTTCCAAGGACCGTCGAGCCAGAAGGAGGAGCTCTGCCCTCCCAGACGCCAATTGCTCAGAGCCAGTCTTCTGTGTAGCAGGTGGCATAGGCTTAGGATGGTCTATCGTTGAACGTCGCTGAAGCAAGCCCACACTATCGGAAATATCCTGGGTCACTGGCCGACCAGAACGAGGATTAGAGATTAGCGAGCTGGTGCGCCGGGGTACATCAGCGGGTTTTGTATCTGCTTTAGCAGCAGCCGATGCTTCGCTTGATTGTGCTACCGCATGAAGCGAAGATTCGGGGAGCATGAGTGTGGGAGTGAAAGTCTGACTTAAAATCTGGAATGCAGCCGCAAACGCCCACGTCGAGACGATGTTGTTGATAGCGTCTGTCTTCTCATCGTTGGTTACATCCGTGAGACTGCACTGGAGATCATAGCGAAGGGTACGGGCGGCCAGGCTGATGGTCTCAGTTGCTCGTCCGCAAATCTCGGAAAGTAGCATGAGATCCTCAGATTTCTTGCTTGATTTCACACCCTTCGGGTCTGTTGTGGGCTCACTGCCAACTACTGATGGCGCCCTTGCGGCCCGAAGCAATAACATCAATTGACGAGAGAAGATGTAGGTGCGGAAATCAAAGATGGAGATGTCACTGGCCAGAATCATCTCACGGTATGACATCTTGTTTGAGTTGAATGGGAAATCTTCGGGCTGGAGCTCCGAGAACAAAGCAGCATCGCTGCTATCAGCGGAAGCTTTGGTATCCAGCGCCTTCTTGGCCATCTCAGCCCAGGTCTTGCTGGTGATCAGCAGCGCGCCTCCATGTTGGTCGCCACTTCCATCAAGTTGATCTCGAATGGCTGCATCCAGACCGACAGCTAGCTCGTCGTATCCAGCTAGCGCGTCTTCAAAGAGCCCCACGTTCTCAAAGCCTCTTGCAAGACCTTCTTTAAGGATGAAGAACGTACAAAAATTCCACCCCGGCAGACTGCGCTGAGAGTCCTTTTCCTTGATGTCCTCTTCGTATTGCGCGACCCGTAGATCAAAAGATGCCAGAATTCCGTTCTTCATCTTATCGATCAAGTCTTCCAATTGCTCAGTCAGCTCAGGGGACTTGGCCCCGGACTTGGGAAGTCGCAACTGGGCTACATGGTCCACAGCGGTCTTTGAGGACCCGTTGAAGTCAGCCTTCACTTTCTCCAACACCGTTGTTGATCCGCGACCCCATTTCGTAGTAGGTGCAGGGGACCTCTCCGCGCCGTCACTGTCCGGCACCACGTGCAGGATGAGCCACTCAAACGCATCGTGTTTTTCCTGACTAGTAGTCGCAGGCTGCGAGGTCTGCGAGGTCTGTGAACACGAGTTCGCCTTGATCCAATCACGGAGGTTCTTGCGTGCTGTCGCTTTGTAGGTCTCGTTGTCGTCGCATCGAAGGAGGTAAACTTTCAGGTATGGGGTCTGGCGTAGACCCGGGATCTGATGCCGACGGTGAGTGACTGCGCCGGAGGCTGCATCGGCCGAGACCTTTCGTTCATCCGATTCTTGCGCGGGGGTGAAGCCAATGCGGAGCGATTCGATTGACCGCACGGGGCGGGTTGGTGATTTCCAGTGGAGATTTTTGAGGGGAAGCTTTGCCTCGATCACAGGTTGGATAAGCGGAAACAGGCCCGAAGGATCCGTGTATTCAACTAGAGAGATTGATTAGCGCGAGCTTCGGCCGTCTTGGTTGCTCACCGTACCTGTTACATTGCTCGAAGCTGCTTGCGAAGGGTCCATGATTCCCGGGCGGGATTTGGGGAATGACCAATTGGATTCAAAGCATCACACTGCTCAGACTGCACGGGAGCTTTCCACCGAGATTTAAGGGGAAAAGTCGCGGGGTGAGGTCAGAGACCGAGGACTGCGGCCACGCACGGCCGTGTCGTCTCTTTTCCCGTTTGGGGCACCGCCCTCGCCGCTTTAAGGCTCTACAACGCCGTTTCTCAAATTTATAGATCCGCTTCAAATGTTTCTCTCGAAGTCATTCATAGTTGGTGAACCCAAGACTGCATTTGTCGAACGGAGGGATAAATTATACTACCTAACAATACCAGCAGCATGTCTCAAGGTCCTAACAAACTACACGTGCTCTGTCTCATACCTCAACCTCGAACACCTTTGCCAGCAGAGCACCACCAACCAGAAGAACTCCTGCCTGAGCAGCCAGTCCAATATGGCTGGCCACAGAGAAAGGGACCAGGACTTGATTCTGTGGCCTGATTGTGTTGGGGTAAAAGAACCCAGTCGAAGTGACACCGAGCCATGCCATCGACCACAAGAAGCCCAGAACTCTTTGCCAGATTGGTTTAGGGCCTTTTTGGCTTGTGTTCTTCGCCCCAGAAGCAAGTACCCATATATAAACGATCCCGTCCTCTATCATGAGGCCTAGAGGAGCTGTGGTAAAGAACAACATGGCGCCAGACTCCTGCGTCGGAATGCCTTGCACAAGATCGATTATAACATGCAGGACAGCGGAGAAGAAGAACACCATGAGCACATTGGTATACCGCCGTAGCAAAGAGCCAGCCGGCAAGCCTAGAAGGTTCCAGGTGATGAAGCCGCTCACCGAAGTCAGGGGCCGTTGCAGCAGCTGGTGCCAGAATTTCCTGATCTCATCAATACATTGTTATGAAAAAGCTGCTCCAGCAATTCTTCTAGATATACTTACGCCCAGAACCCACGGACTGTATCGGCGTCCAGCGCCCTTCCAAACAATGGAGGACAATTCGCAGGAGAGTCAAGTCCCAGTCCCACGAGGATTATCGAGAACACACGGTGGTGAAAATCAATGAGAATCCGACTAACCACGAATCCGGCCATGATGTTTGAAATGATCCGTTCAATCCACTGCTCCGTGGATATGTCCCATCGAGGGATTGGCGGCAAAGTGCCGCTTTGCTCTCGGTTCTGTTGCAAAGCAAGGGTAGCAAACACATCCAGAGTCAGATATTGCCAGATGGCAATCGATATTTGTCGGGTCAAAAAGCGAGCACGAGGCGGCTCTCTGCGATCCCATCGATTGTAATATTCTGGTTGTGAGGGGGCATTTTTGACCTGCCAAGGGGTATGAATTCCCCGAGGATCAGTGAAGAGCCGGGTCGCTGCGAAAAGCCGAGAGCCAAATGTTTGACTGCCTCCAGATGGCAGATCTTCGCCGTCTTTCGGGTTGATCAGCAGAAGATGTAGACATTGGAAGACTATGGTCAGGAAGAGGCGAGCACTTTCACACCAGACAAAACCCGGGCCGAGTGCTGTAGCCACAGGTATGGCATCATATGCAATCAAGACTGTGCATGGGATGGAGAGATATCTCAAGATCGACCCCTTTGGTGTTGCAATCAGCAGAATCGCGGGTATGAGGCATTGGGCAGCGTACAGACAGGCTATGTGCAGGATCAGCACTGAGCCTGCTCTGTCCATGGTGGGTGGACAGCAGCGACAGGATCAGAGTCACTTGTTGATGGAATCAAGGATGTCAAAAAAAAAAAAGAAAAAAGAACTGCATTGGGTGTTTTGTTTGACATTAGGGATGGACTCGGCACACCGATACGCCTGATTCTCAGCCCCTTAAACGAGGCTATACGATCCACTCGAACATTACTCTGTACTCTGTAGAACGACAAAATTCGGTGTTGAGTACTTGAAAGAGGAATTTTACAATCCTAGATTTATCTCCAATTGGCCATAACTTACGAAAATATTTTTGATCATTTGAGCATACTCAACTCGGCTTTCAAAGTCTTGGGGCTTGATCAGCCAAGCCTAATAAGCCAAAAATATGCGACGCGAAGAGTCAGCATACCCATCTTCCAAGGTTTGTCTATGCCTACTTGATGCCTATAATATGTGCCAGAGTGTCTGCGATGAAATGCAGACCCTCGGGGAGGGGTCAACCCTGGAGTGTTTCCCCGCCGATAAAGTGCAAATAGTGTGATTGACCGTGAAACCACCTGGACACCTCCCATACCTCATATACAACATGGAGTCAGCCCTTCAGAGCGCCGTCGCTGAATTTATTGAGCGTCACCCGGGTTCTCAACGCCTGCATCAGCAAGCACTGGAAAGCTTGCCTGGAGGCAACACCCGCACCCTGCTGCATACGGCCCCATTCCCCGTTTTCATGCGCAAAGGGGAGGGATGCAACCTATGGGACGAGGATGGGAATAAGTACGTATGTCCTCCTGGCTTAGAATTGACAAACTCATGCCATTCACAGATACTATGATCTTGTCGGAGAACTATCCGCTGGACTCTACGGGCATTCGCATCCAACTCTGCAGCGAGTCTTGACTGAAACTATTCACAACATTGGCTTCACTCTGGGAGCCACGAATGTCTATGAGCAGCGATATGCGTCATTACTCTGTGAGCGGTTTGGGCTTGAGCGCCTGAGATTTACCAACTCGGGGACGGAAGCAAACCTGCACTGTCTCGCCGCTGCTAGGAAATTCACCGGAAAACGAAAGGTGATTGTCTTCCGGGGTGCGTACCATGGCAGCGTGCTTTCATTTGGAGAGGGAATTGCCGAAAACAATGTTGACCAGGGCGATTGGCTATTGGTGCAATACAATGATGCAAATGGTGTCCGGGAGGCCTTCGCCCAACATCGGGACATTGCCGCCGTCATTCTCGAAGGTATTCAAGGCTCGGCTGGCTACATAGCCGGCTCGAGGGATTTTTTGAAAACGATTCGTGAACAAAGCGAGAAGGCTGGGGCCCTCATGATTCTCGACGAGGTGATGACATCCCGGCTAGCCCCCGGTGGACTGAAGGGGACGCTTGATATCGAGCCTGATCTCATTACTCTGGGCAAATATCTCGGCGGAGGCCTGCCATTTGGAGCTTTTGGTGGACGCCGCGATATCATGGATGTGTTCAACCCGCTTACGCCGGGAACTCTGACACATTCTGGTACGTTTCAAAATAATACCTTGATGCTACATGCGGGCTATGCAGGACTCTCTGAGGTGTACACACCCGAAGTTGTGCGAAAGTTCAATCTCCAAGGCGATGAGTTACGCCAACGCCTACAGAAGATCTTTGCGAACTCAAAACTCTGTGTCACAGGTGTAGGGTCACTCATGTGTATCCATGCTACCGAGACTGGAATTCTCCCGGAAAACATTGCTTGCAGAGACACCGTTGCAGCTATTGAGGCGACTGACCTCAAAGAGCTCTTCTGGTTGGAGCTGGTGAATGCTGGATTCTGGGTACAGATTCGTGGGTCAATCACTTTGAACATCGTCACCCCTGCTCATGTTCTCGATGCATTTGTCGTGGCTGTTGAGGATTTCTGCAAGAAGCATGTATCTTTGATTACTGTTTAGGAAATCAGAGGTCTTCAACATTTGGCGCACCAGCTGTCCTCGGTATTTCACTGTTTGTGTCTACCCAGAGACGAGGACAATAAAATTGAATCAAACAGAGAGATAGCTGTTTTCTTGTAGAAATTGAAAGGTAGTTTCGGAGGGCGTTCAGGGTTGCTGTCGATTGACGGGACCCGATGACCGGGCACATCCGGCTGTTCGGAGTCAACTCAGACCTCGGTATCCGATTCACATCGTAACATTGTTGGAGACCTTGGAATATGGAATCGCCATCTTCTAACAACTGGTCAATTCCCAGGCTGATATTGTCGCAGACTTTCGCCGGATAAAATATCCGTGCTCAACTCTTGGTTCATTGGTTGCTGCCCAACTGATTCGCCACCTCAATATTGACATGCAATTTTGTTCTCTCACGATTGACACAGCTCTGTGTTGGAGCTGAGGCCCGTCCCCTCAGGGAAAGTCCGACGATCTAAGGGGTAGCGTCCGAATATGTGCCAGGTACGGCCAAGTCCCCCGTAACATTGGACAATTTAATAACCACGTCCAGGATCCACAGTCATGCCAGACTCGACTGATCCCAAACCCGCTTCTGCAACCCTCAAGCCCACAGAGCATTGCCAACGTTGTCTGGAGACCGAAGAATTTTGGCGAGAAGAGATTGAGCTGCGAGATGCTGCGATCAAGGAATTGCGCGAAGAACTAGCGTTGGCGAGCTCAAAGCCATCACCGCGCCCTTCAAATTGTCCATGTAATTCCAAAGACCCAGTTGTTCCATCTTGAGGTCCGATGCGCAAAAGTTTTTGTTAATTGGGCGTCGATCAGCCCCGGAGTCCACCTGGGCATGGGTATTTCTGTCAATGGATATAGGATGACTGTTGTATATCCTCACACTTTGTCCGCACTCATCCATCGTCCCATCTAACTTGGAAGCTTGGCATACACTGACAATATAGTCCAATTTAGAATAGACACATGATGTCCCAAATTTATTTGTTTCCATTCACCTAGGCAGCGTCCAACTTCCAACTCCCAACTTGGAAGGTTGTATTTGCCTCTCCCCGTCGGACCTGGACGAATATGGGAAGCACGGGGCTAAACAGTCAGATCAACGACCTTGGAACACTCCCAGGCAAACTTAGAAACGGCAGAAATGCGAGCTTTTCATGATTCCAAGGTTGTACTAGGTAACATTGTCAAATCAGTAGTCTATGGGCTAGCTATATAAGACCAAACAGAACAAGCAAAGGAATATATGAGGTCCATCATGCGGATTTAACATATGTAGTCATGCCGCGTCATTATAAACACAAACAAAGAGACAAAAAGAGAAAAGGCAAGACAGATAATCTGTCACAGGGATTCGCTCATAAAAACGCCATAGAGATATATGACCAACAAAAGAAAGATGCCCTAAATACCCACCTCCACAGCCTGCTGTGAAGAGCGGGCTTTCACAAATTCAAACGTATCCGTGACGCCTTTCCAGATTCCGGGAACGTAGTTACGGACCCATGCGCAAATAACCAGCAGAAGAAGGGGAATCTGGAGAGCAAGTTAGTAAAAAGAAACAGATTGGAAATGAAAAAAGGCATGGTGACTTACCCAGACAAAGTAAAGATTGCGATCGCTGCGCAGGCCCTTCATGCGTTGAGCCTGTTGCTCACGGAGGTGCTTCTGCTGCTCGTGTGAGATGACCTTGCGGCCAATTGTAATGTCTTTGAGTTCTTCCTTGACTTCGGAGACAACAGCGGGTGCGAGCTGGGATGTTGAAGCGGCGTTGCTGCTTTCCGCTTCGAAATGCTGGTCGATAGCTGCCTCTGTCGCGGCGCGCAGAAGGGTCGACTTCTTGATATCCGAATCCTCGGCGGTGGGATCAGGGTGTGGGAAAAGCTCATCGTATGAGGGCGGTTGGTTGGGGTTGGGTGATGTGTTGCCCTTGAGGTAATCCCACCAGCCGTCCCCGGCGGTGGGCCGGTTAGGTACGAGATTGGTGATGCGGCGCATCATACCTTGACCCTGGTAATCAGGGAGAGCAGGGATAGCGGGCATTGGAGGCATTGGAGGGAGGGCAGGAAGGTTGGGGAAGGCGTTGGCGACGCTCTGCTGGAATTGGGTGATCTGAACAGCCAGCTGATCACGCCAGGCGACCAGAGGTGCCGGCGGATCACCGGAGGTGGCGCTCTGTTCACTGGTATCGGCGATCGGGGGACTGATGTCTTGATGCATACTTGAGCGACGAGAAGAGCTGAAATGCAAAGGCTCGGAGTCCGAATCGTCCGTTGTTTCTTCCTCGTCGTCCAATTCTTCTGAATCGCCAGCAGCATGACCAAGAGAGCCCGATGCTGATGACACTTCCCACATAGAGCTGAGCGAGGCTGAGCTACTCTGCCGACGGCGCGAGGTAAGGGATCCAACGCTGCGAGACCGATAGGTCCGGGCTGGCAGCAAAGCAGCCTGGTGCGCCGGGAGCGTTGTCGCCAGGTCCGCGGGAGTGAAACCTCGCACGCTGCGAGCATTGGCATTGGCGCCTGTAAGACGAAGTCGGTGGACAATGTGAGCATGGCCATTGAGTGCGGCCAAGTGCATCGGTGTATTGCCGACGTTGTCTTGCACATCAGGGTTTGCACCCCGGGCCAACAGACCCGCAACAAACCTTGTCAGGCCCAGCGAAGCCGCGAAATGAAGTAGGCTTTGGCCTGTTGTGCTGCGGGAGTTGTAGCGAGGAGGACGAGGACTATCATCAAGGTCAAGGAACTCGAGATAGGTGAGCATCTTCGAGTCCATATCGCTGAGTTTACCTTGATTCTCAAGACCTGGTACTTGACGCTGCTGACCCCCAGAAGAGCTATTGCCTTGCATATCTGCCTGCATATTGAAGAAGGCATTAGGATCGCTGCCCATAATCTGCCGCGCGGTTTGGAACGCATCCGCCTGACTGCCCAGCTTTTGGCCAAGAATGTTGAGTGCTAAGCGATACATTTGGAGTTCACGATCGTCAACATAACGGAAGAACAGCTGCTGCTTAGGCATCAAGGCTTGGTGCTGTTGGACCTGACCAAAGATAGGGTGTTCGTGCTTGAATACAACAGAGACCAGACCTGGCTGGAGAGCAGGAGGGGTCAGGCAGTTGAGGCACTTGTCACCCCAGAAGGTGGTTGTAGTCGCCAGCGTGTCACCGAAGACAACCTCCATGCCGGGATAGAACCCACTTCCCAACAAAGTTACCTCAGTGCCTCCAGTGATGGAACCTTCAGAAGGGACCAACTTGTGAATCACCGATGGCAAACGCGTGGGAGCGGCGTTGAGAGGCCAGACCTGGCTTGAAGAGTTTGCACCGAGCCCAAGAGCGATACTAGGGTCCTGGAAGCCGTTGCGGTTCGATCCGCCTGGCGTGCCGGGTCGACTGGGGTGAGCAGAGTTGGGGGTTGAGCCCATTGCTCCACCGGCCAGATTGTCCAAGCTTTGGCGCTGGGCAGGAGTGGGGTTGAAGAAGGGATTGTTGTCATTGCTTTGGTTGGGAGTCGGCGGGCCGTTTCCATACTGGCCCGACATGGAGGAAGGTGTTACAAATGGTTGTTCGGATGGAGAAGCGAAACCTCGAGCGGCGGCAAGTTGAGCGGCATTCATAGCCGCGGCAGATGACTGTGGCGTCTCGAGGCGGGTCATTGTCAGTTCTGATGGGAGTCTCCCAGAGCTGCTGTGTTTGCGTCGTTTGCTTTGGGGCCCTTGGAAATCAGATGGTGATGCCCCTCGAGAGAGGCTTCGAGATTGGTGGAGCACAGGCCCCCCGTTTGTTGAGCCCTGAGCTGTGAACGAACTGGGCGTGAGTTGGTACTGAGAGTTGAACCGTTGTTGGAGACCCTGTAGATCGGTTGGCGATTGGGGTGCAAAGGGACTCTTCCCATTTTCGTTCTGACCCGAAGCGAACACACTGACTCCTGGGACTTGTGTGCCATCTGCAAGTGAAGGCGATGGTCCAGTTGGCGCTGGCGCAGACGGAGCCTGGGTTTTGTGGTCATCGGTGATCATGATCGAGTTGGTGATTGCCTGCGCAACAACATTGTCTGAATGATCTTTCACAGTGAAAATGACCTGGAAACCGAGTTTCTCGTTCTGGTGACGGCAGTAGCAAGCAATCCGCATAGGAAGCTCTACCTGCATGGATCCTGGCGGCACTGGGGCGTCGCCATAGCCACCACTGGCGTTCTTCGGTGGCTCCGTCCATTCCTTGATCTCGCTTGTATTGAAAACAATGACTCTCTTCTCTTCGTCTTTTTGGAACAGTTCATCCTCTTCGGGCTTCCTTTGCTTCTTCCGGGAGGCGCGCTTTCGCTCCCGCTGTATGCATCCACTGCAGATCTTCACGTCACCTCCATCCAGTGGGCGTTCATCGTCCGAAGTTGGTTGATATTGTTCTCCTCTAGTACGTGAAAATGCTCGCTTTATCTTTTCGCGATCTTGCATGGCGCTTGTGCAAACCAGGCTTGTATACAATTGAAGTGTATCGGGCGTCGGCTCGGTGGCAGGAGGTGCAAGGAACTTGAGTTTCGAGATTGTGTGCGAAGGAAGTCGAAGTTTCCTAACGCCAGACGGTAGAGGGGAAAGGGTCAATCGAATGGGAATCTGGGTCTCAACACGCGATTTCAAAGACGTTGGGTGCACTGTAAGAACAGGTTGAAGTGGATTCGTTGAGTTCATCTGAGGCTGAACCGGGGATGAAGCAAAGCTCATTGGTACCGGGTATGAGGGAGGAGTGCCGAAGTTCATTCCGGGAGAGAGTGAGGCGTTCAAAGGCGACTGGTGGTTCATGTTGATTCCTCCGAAGCTTTCTTCCAGAATCGAAGATGGAGACTGTCCGCCCCATTGCGGCGGCGCACCTTCTAGATCGTGATGCATTGTGTTGGAGTACGGCGACTGATTGTTCAGTCCGAACGCGAAGAATGGAGACCCGGGTGCTTGAATCTGTGATATGTGTTAGTCTGACACACAAAGAATGAAACATGAGTGACTCACCGACTGCGCGACGTCTGGTGCCAGCGCGGCATGATTACTTGAAGGGCTCCAGAGTTGAGATTTTGATCGCTTGTGCGGTCTCGGAAGGGATCCATTGTCTACTTTCAACGGACTTGGGCTACTCGCGGCGCTTTCGAAATCGAAGGCTGCGTCCATTGCCTTGTTACTGACCTCCAAATCAGGGTCTGCGGAAAATCCGGCGTCCATGTGGAAAGACGAATCGATGTTGAACGGTGACTCCTCCTTCACTGATGATAACTCCGGGCGCATCCAGTCTTCGGTGGAGTAGTTTGCAGAGGCCATGGGGTTTTCACTATGCGCGGCGGAATTCGTGGAGGCGATCGAAGTGTGTCGGATGTGATTCCGGGGCGATTCGGACGAAGAACTGCGACTCGAATCATCTGCAGACTCCGCTGGCGAGTCTGCCGCTAGAGCAGGCACCTGTCTCAGGGGGGTTTCGTCGTGATAGGGTTTCGCATGCCCCGAGGTGCCATTTGTATGCGAGGTTGTTGCCCGAGCGAACAAGTCGTCGAATTCAGCACCACCGTTTTCTGCGGACATCTCAAGTTTTGTGGGATCCAGGAAGTCCATGTTGGCGTTGCGGAAGGTGGACTCCATGTCGTCGTCCATGATGATGGGATCGAGGGAGGGAAAGGCGGATGAAGAGGGTTCCTGCGATGGTCCCATGCTTTATTTTCCAATGCCACAACTGTCCAACAGTCTAATATCACAGTTGAATGCAACCGCCACCACAAGGTATCTGGTGACTCAATTGATGTTCGAGCCAAATGGTGTGTTTTCAGTTGTCGACAGTCAAGTCTTATCGCGGGGTATATCAGGACCAGTCACCGATACCATGGCCCTGAGAAAAGCGAGGGGTTGGTGAAATGGCGAGAGGATACGGTGCTGTTTGGTTATCTGTGGACATCGGGAGGAAAGGAGAGCGGGAAAACTGTGAGCGCCCAGACCGGCAGAACCTCAACGAAAATCAACGGATTGTTTATAGATCACCACGTCGCCTTGGATTTTCCTCTATAACATCCCTACCTAGGTACAACTGATCATGATTCTTGTTTTCATCTGAATAACCTGGATAACTATCTATACTGCATTTGTTCGCAGCACAACACACGCGAGTCAACGACACCTCAGGCATCAGCGAGCGGTGACCAGTGGAATATGGCTGACTATCGCCCCCACCTTTGCGTCCGTGATTTGCTGTTCGACCTGACAGATCAACCTTCAAGTCGACTGGCCTTCTCCTTATTCGAAAGTCTTCCATGGCACACTTTCTGTGTCACTCACTACGTGCTTCCAGGGTCCTCCAACGGCTTGAAGTGACGACTATGCAGAATCATCCGTGGACATGGGTAGAGCATGCCTTACCGACGGAGGCCTGTGCTAACTGCACACAGACACATTGGGTGATTGTGCCTCCCAAAGTACGAGTACTGTACTACTGGTAGTACATATTGTACCACTCCGGTTATCGGATGTCTAATGCCTGCATGGGATTGGCGTAACCGACAAAGATCCCAGGGACTCTCTGTGTTGCCTATCACGATACGGGACACGGAGTCCACGGGTAGAGCTCCCAGTGACGCAGATCCGCCTCTAGGTCTGTGCGATGCTCAAGTTCCATTGTGCCCTGAGGGGACTCGCGGCCCTTCACGGAGTACACATTGCCGAAAACCTTCAAGGGACGTAGAATGTGCCCGGGTCAATCCGACTTGGTGAGATTTCGACAGTGGTCTCTGCCGAGGAAAACGGGGGGGGGCGTCCACGTATGTATATGCGATTTTAGTTCATTATGAGCAGCCACCGGGCTGAGACTGTCTGGCTTGGTGCATCTAGACCATTGATAATTCCCGGGAGGCAATGGCAGGGCGTTTGCATCGACTGTAGTTCCCTCAGATCCCAAATGCCACTATGGCGTGAGGTCTGCGAAAACAAGTTTGTCAATCATTTCACGCAGGGTTCGAGGTGAAAAAACGTGACCCCTGGTGGCTTCGTCCAATTTCGCATTGATTGTGTTTGGCGCCTGGTTAATCTGGACAAGCGCCCCAGCGACCTAAATGCTTCTAGGCCCGAAATCCGAATGGAGCTGTCACCCTTAGGGCTTCTGTCAGGTTTCAGACTCCGTGCGGGCCAGTGTGCTTGGAGCGTTTCAGACTACTACTATACCATGGCAATCGCCTAGGCGCCGGAACAGCACAGCATGCACCCCTGAGTGCACAGGAGATTAAATTCTTGGATTTCGGATGAGTCTACGGAGTATCTGAGGATACACCATATGCAAAGATTTAGGTACGAGCAGGGGGCAGTTCGATTGGCAAAGCCGTTGGACTGGAGTGCAGCCCTACTACCGTTTCAACTTGATCAGCACCTGTCAAATCATCCGAGACGCACCTTAAAAAAGGTGGAGTCTCCAAGAAGTCGACCTTGCCCGCCCATCCCCTGAGGGAAATCCACGAGATTTCACCGAGGCGATGGGTTCTTGGCAGAGCGGAGGTATTGATGGATTGAACGGAAAAGTGGGTTCGGATGTCGGTGATGAAACCTAGACTGTCGCAGCCAACCGCCCACGATCGACAGGTACCAACGAGAGGTCCGGAGAGGTACTATGGAGGTCGACACTATTGCCAAACGGACTCCGTTTTAAATGGTCCTGATGGGGAAGAGCTTAATCAATTTTGCCTACTAGTGTCGTTTAGGAACACCCGGCGCTTTGAAGACATCGGAGCTTCATCTATCTCCTACCCTTTCGATGGGTCGCCCCGGTCAACTCCCAATTCTCCGCCTATCAGCGAGGCAAATGGTCAGCGGAATGCGGTCTCTGGTCGACTTTTGCGCATCTCGTCCGTGATGGGAACTTCTTGGCAGCGGTGCGGCTCCTGACGGACTCGAGAGAGACAGATATAAAGGTCCTGGAACGACCAGGTCTACTTTCTCATCATCAGTCCTTTGCTATTCCATTCTTTTTCAAGGTCCAGTACCTGCCATTCTCTATTGGGTAGATTTCATTGATTGAAATCCCCTTTTCATTCTTTTTTTCGCTCATCTTCGACTCGTCAATCCTTCGATTTTAAATAACGCTGTGCGTTTTTATACAAACTATCAACATGTCTATCCCCAAGATTGCTGGTCTCCTCCTCAGCACGGCCTCCATGGTCGCTGCTCACGGTTACGTCTCTGGTGCCGTTGTTGACGGTACCTACCACAAGGGTTTCATTGTTGATACCTACAACTACATGTCCGATGTTCCCGAGAACATTGGATGGACCGAGGATGCCACCGACCTGGGCTTCGTTGACGGCTCTGGATACTCTGGTGAGGACATCATTTGCCACAAGGATGCCACCCCTGGTGCCATCTCCGCCGATGTCAAGGCCGGTGGTAAGGTCGAGCTCCAGTGGACCGACTGGCCCGAGAGCCACCACGGTCCCGTCATCACCTACCTCGCCAACTGCAACGGTGACTGCTCTTCCGTTGACAAGACCGCCCTTGAGTTCTTCAAGATTGACGCCGCTGGTCTCATCGATGACAGCAACGTCCCCGGTACCTGGGCCTCTGACAACCTGATCTCCAACAACAACAGCTGGACCGTCACCATCCCCAGCTCCATCGCCGCTGGCAACTACGTCCTCCGTCACGAGATCATCGCCCTGCACTCCGCTGGCGAGACCAACGGTGCCCAGAACTACCCCCAGTGCATGAACCTCAAGGTCACCGGCGGTGGCAGCGACAAGCCCACCGGTACCAAGGGTACCGCTCTCTACAAGAACACCGACGCCGGTATCAAGGTTAACATCTACACCTCCATGGACTCCTACGAGATGCCCGGTCCCGCTCTGTACAGCGGTGCTTCCTCCGGCTCCGCCACCGCCGCTGCCTCCACCGCTGCCGCTACCACTGCTGCTGCCACCCAGGCTGCCACCACCGCTGCTCCCGCTGCCGCCTCTTCCGTGAGTGCCGCTCCCATCCAGAGCTCCTCTTCCTTCTCGCACCCACAATTCTCCCGCACCCGCACTCTTCCCCGCCCCTCCCCCAGCAGCTCCCCTGCCGCTGTCCCCTCTGCTCCTTCCAACTCCGAGCCCAGCGGCTCTGACGCTCAGCCTACTGGTGCTCCCGCCGTGGAGACCAAGTACGCCACTAAGACCGTTGATGGCACTGAGACCATCTATGCCACTGCCACTGAGACCCTCTATGCCACTGAGACTGTGGATGCCACTCAGACCGTTCCCGCTGCCGCACAGGTTACTGACGAGCCTGATTCCCAGACCGCCAGCGCCGCCGCTGACAGCGTGACCGTCACTGCCACCAACGTCGGTGGACAGTCCGCCCAGAGCTCGACCCCCGCCTCCGGCAGCGACTCCTCCGAGGCTAGCTCCACCGCCGCCGCTGTTGCCACCCCCAGCTCCACCTCTTCCGCCGACTACTCTACCTACCTCAGCTCCCTGAGCGCTGACCAGCTTCTCACTGTTGTCCGCTCCACCCTTAAGTGGCTCGTCTCCGACAACAAGGTCCACGCCCGTGACCTTTCCTCTTAAGTGTTGTGTCGCAGAGCTAGTGTATAAAGATGTTCAACATCTCTATATATCTAATTCCGGGGGAGTTCAGATCTAGATCTCATTTAGGGACTCGGATCAGGTATCCTGTCTTCTGGGTTGTTGATTTTGGATTGGACCGCTTGTAACAACACTCTGTTACGTATTTCTTTACTTTTTTTTCTTCTGATTCCTCCATATGTCTTTGCATTTGGAGACGAGGGACTATCGCCCTTTTAAAACTTTATCATGAATGGAATTGTTGGACTGCTCAATATCTTGCCCATCGTAGTCTAAGCCCACATTGATGTAGACAACCTTGAAGATTGACCATTCGATAGCTCAGAATTTCTTACGCGAGAAAATCATATATATGGCCTTACTAGGTAAAACTGACAGTGTGCAGCTGAATTTATATGTTCAACATTGGCTCGACCTATGTACACATTCAGTTCTTCTTCTTCTTAGTCTTATCAACCACTTCGATCAACTGTGGCCTCAGTCCACGGCGCAAAAGAGCTGTCTCAATTGCCTTCCGCTGATCGCCTTGCACTAATACCTCCATGACACCCTTCGGGGCCCCAGTAGCCTGGGTCACACTGGTACTACCTGCACATTTCTTCTGTAGCTCTTGTGCCAGGAGGGTAGGGATGACACCAAAGACCTCAAGGTGCACCACCTTGGTGACAGTCTTGGATCCCGTGCGCTTTTCCAGAGTCACGGTAATCTTGGGTGCGGCGCCTGCTTTCGGCTTGACATCTGCGATGGTCTGACCAGTCTTCAAGATCACATGGTGTGGCTGCATGAGAGCTTTGTCCTCCATGAGGCGTTTCAAAAGACCATCGCGTGTGACCTTGCCGCGAGAAAGTGTGCTCTTATCTTCGGGAGAGGATCCGGTGAAGATGGTGTTGGCGAGGAAGGGGTTCAAAGTGATGATTCTTCGATTCTCCTTGGATACAATTGGTGGATCTTGGGATGTGAGGTATTGATCCAAATGAGATGAAACTTCGGAGTGTTTGTAGTAGTTGTTCGCGTTGCCAGCTGCGAGAGCAGGGAACACAGTGGGCATCAACTTGCCGGACGGCCTGTACAGATTTTGCACAGTGATTGTCTGGCCCACTGAAGGGTCAGAATCATCTGATGCAGCGGGCTTCTTGCCCTCTGATGAGGATGCCTTAGTACCCTCCAAAGCACGAGGCGAAGGAAGTCGATATGGAACAAATCGCTGGACTCGTTGATCTTCAAAGTCCACATCCAAGATGACTGTCTCTTGGCCATTGCGATCTTTGCTCTTGACGAGCTTCAACTTGTCCAGATGCTTCATGAACTTCTTCACGTTCTTCCAGCTAGTCTTTTTGATGTTGTAGAACTGGACTTGCTGGGGAGTGTAGACTGGAAGGTAAGGTGTAATGAGATTGGCTACCAACGCCGAAGGTGTGATTGGCAATTGAAGGGCATGGGTAGTGGCGGTAGGGTTATCTTGCTTCAGCTTGTATAGAGCATAGACAAATGCATTGATAAATGCGTCGTCAATTTCTGAAAGTTGTCAGCATCATTTTCATCTAGGTTGTCACGCGCCTGATGGGATGTGTTTCGATAAATTACCTTTTGTTGTCGGCTCCGGTTCATCTTCACCCGCAGGTTCTTCCGCATCAAGTTCGTCTGTCTCCTCGACATTTTCCGCGGGAGAGCCCTTGTCTTCAAGGGTTATTTCCTCAAGTCCTTCAACCTCCTCTTCCTCATCACCTTCTCTATCCTCATCCCAACCCTCCAGGTAATCGGGTGCCGGGCGACCCGGCCGGGACGCCGAACTCCATGTCCAAAGCTCGTCGCCTTCCCAGTGCAAACCCCGGACGGCCTGGCCTCTAGTACCCTGCACCTCCCCGAGAGCCGACACATCTATTTCACAGATGCCGACGAACACAGGCACTGAGTGCTTGTCCACACTAGCGACCGCAACAACAGCACCCTTGACTGCTCTCTGAGGGAAGGGAGGCTCATTTGCAAGGCCAGGGGTCATGAGGTCTGCTCCGCCATGGAGCTTGCCCATGACAAACTCCGGGGTATAGAGAAGGGGCACTAGGTTGGGGTTGTGCCATAATGTGTATACAGTCGGGTATAGTCGCTTATCGGCTCCGGGACCATGCTCAAGCTTGAACCAAAGCACTCGTTCTTCCCCATCCGGGTGTGTGCCAACATAAACAATTCCTGTGAGCTCGCGCAGGTCTGGACCAGCGGTCGTGGTAAACCGAGCTGTCAGGGAGTTATCGGGGAGAAGCGCATTTCGGATTGACGTAAGGCTGGATGATGTTGGCCCTGAGTCTTCTTGGGAATTTGTGGGAACGGAGATCTGATAATCTTTGATAATTTGGTCGGCGATCTTCCTGCGATCAGACGAACGTAGAGGGGATAGGTTTTTGATCTGTTTGATGTCAGAGAGCTGCGCAAGCTATGGAGGGGCACTGCGGGGCAGGTGTACCGTTGGCTTCTTTTTGAACATGGTGGAAGGATATACTGGACGTCAAGTCTATATCAAGGTAGTCGACCAATTGAAGCCAGAGAGTGTCGAGAGGAACGAGGTCAATCTTCGAAGAGGTGCGGTGCGAACAAAGATATTCTCAGTCCCCACATTTTGGCTTCGGCCCAGCGTTTCCAAGGTTGTCGATGCCTTCGCCCTCCAGGGCTGAACCCAGGTCTCCAACCCCTTTCATTCGAGCTACGAACGGGATGATTGTCTTTGCCTTGAATGACTCAGACTGACTCATTTGGTGTTAACTTTGAAATTCGAAAGGCAAAATAATAGTACGACTATCCCAACTACTAGTACAGCATATACTAGATCTATGTTTCACGTAGAATCGAGACCCAAAGCAGCATAATCCCTGGTATGATCAAGATTCCCCAGTAGGAGCTGTACTAAGGAACTTCACAATTCGTCGGAGTACAACACCTCCGGACCAGTCATCGGACAATTGCCGATACCCCGACGCCCCTCACCGGACAGCTACCGTCATTGATCATGTCCTCTTCAACTCTTGTTTCCCCCACCATCCAGTATGCCAGTCTATCATATAGGTATGTGATGGGTGTTAGCTGGTTTCAACATACTAACCAACCAAGTTTTGTTCCGCCTCAAGCCCGGCGTCACCGAGGCTCAGATTTCCACTTGGAAGGAGACATGCCAGGCGATGGTGGGAAAGATCCCTGGTGAGGCCCTTCGGGAACAACGTTCGTCATTTCAACTAATGAGCGGATCACAACAGGCTTGCTATCCATGCAGAGTGGAACTCCCTTGCCTGTTTCGATCCCTCGTGCGAAGGGTTTCGACATGGGCTTGGTCGCTGTCTTGGAGACACCAGAGCATGTGACGACCTATGCGGTGCATCCAGCCCACCTAGAGTAAGTTGCAGCTGAAAGTTTTGTCCGGTGTAGCTGTTAACACTTACGCTCGAAGGGTCCACAAGATGCGCGAGGAGCTGTGCGATGATACGTTGGCGTATGACTTGGAGTTCTAGAAGTAGAACGAAGCCGCAGCCAATCCACAGCCGTGGGAATCGGAGAACACTCTTGACCAACGGTTCATTGAGTAGTTTCATTTGTAGATATCAATATCAACTTCCGGCCTCGGTCTAGTCGCCGAAGTCGTTCAATCCGCATATGCTCGTGATAAAAATGGAAATCAAAAACGCCGAGAAAGGTTTACCTCTTCAAATATGTAACCGATAACATGGGGATGCGTTGGATCTCCAATCCACAATACTTTTGGGCCCAACCGAATTGACCAAAGCAAAGAACAGGGAAATCAAAGAATACAAGACGGGACCTTGTGAGCCAGAAGACCTTACTCCTTGGTGTCGGCCTTCTTGGCGGGGTGGTCACCGTTGGAACCCTCGTCGTCGCGAGAGCGCTTGGTGCTCTGGACAACAGGAACGCCGCTATGAGAAGTTAGCGTGGGTACTCCCCACTGATGAGCACAGTCACTTACCGAGCGTCCTTCTGGGCCTCCTTGGGGGCCTGGAAGCCGTTCTGCTGGTCCTCGGTGCGACGATCGCGCCAGTCACGGTTGTCGCGGTCACCACCACGGCCACCACGTCCGCGACCACCACGACCACCACGGCCACCACGGCCACGGCCACCCATGCGGCCGCGATTGCGAGCGTCGGAGGCGTAGACCTTGCCGGCCTTGATCTCCTCGACCTTCTCGTCGCAGTACTCCTTCTTGCTCTTGTAGGTCAGCTCCTTGCCTTCCCACTGGGGCTTCTCCTCCAGAGCGAGGAAAGCCTTCTGCTTGTCCTCGTTGACGAACTCGACGAAGATGCTACCCTTGAAGGTCTTGTCGATGGTGCGACGCAGACGAATAGCGTTGAGGGGACCGTAAGGGGCGAAGAATTTTTCGATATCGAGTTGGGTGGTGGGGCCTTCCTCTCCGAAGCCCCAGCCCTTCACGTAGACGGAGCGGGCCATGGAGGCATCCTCGAAGACCTTGACGGACTTCTCATCGAGCTCGTCAATGGACTCGGGGAGAGGAACCTTGCGCTTGACGGCGGTGTCGTTCTCAGCGAGCTCAACGTTCTCGGCGGTCTTGAGGGCCTCGACGATGGCAGTGAAAGGTTGGAAGCGACGCATGCGCTTGAAGGAGTGGAGGAGCTCAAGGGAGACGGCGTTGTTGGCGCTGCCGCCGACCTTGGAGAGCAGGAACTTGTCCATGGGGAGGTTAGAGTCGGAGAAGTAGAATTCAACCTGCCATTGACGCGTTAGTTTGGGCTTGTCAGAGCTCTGTCAAGGATAATTCTTACCTGCTTACGGATCTCGACAGGGTCGTCGGTCTCCTCCAGGGTAGAGGGGTCGAACTTGGTCTTGTGGCGAACACCGCCACGGCCACCGCGACCACCGCGCTGGAAGCTACGGGTCTCGCGCTTCTCTTGGGGCTCGGATGACTTCTCTTCGGCCTTCTCGGACTTCTCGCCAAGCTTGGCAGCTTCAGCAACGATGCGGGCCTCATCGGCGTCCTGTGCGGGCTGTTCGGAAGCACCAGCCTCACCCTTCAGCTCGGCAAGGACGCTCTGGACATCCTTCTCGGCTTCGGTGTTGGTGACGGGGGTCTTCTGTTCTTCGGCCATTGTGAATTTTAGGATCTGTTGGCACAAGAATAATAAGCAAGGGTCTCAGACACAAATTATGCCTCGTGGATAGAAAGAAAAGAGTCGCGATATAAGTAGGCAAGCGACCGAGATTTCGTACCTTGAATGCGCTATTCAAATGTCTAAATAATAAATGCGCTTGAGCAGGATCGCAGCGGGGACTCGGATTTTTTTTGAGCTTTGGTCGCCTGAGGCACCACGCTAGGCCGTTCCCGGCTTAGACGGGTCAGCTTTTGACCGTCGCAGTTTCAAGTGCATTATGTCTCTGTCTATTCAATGTTGCAGTCACTTCTCTGTTCATTGTCTAAGTTCACAATTACTATTCAGCTTATATTATAAGGCGTCCCGTTCTATACCCGTTCTGGGGCTCTGTATACCAATCGAACATTCTAATCGGCTCGACAGTATGACGACTATTTTATCCGTTGGTGAGCTAACCAACAATGTCATCCCTGAAAGTCGAGATCAATTTTAATCCTATTATATGAAGCCAGAAAGATAGAAATGAGTTATTCTCTGTGTCCAGGTTTGGTATAATTATGCTCGAAGATGCACAACTTTGACCAAGCGTGAAGCTGGATAAGTCTCAAACAATGCAAAGATATGAGACGATGGCCAGATTCTTCAAAACCCGGTCAACTAACATCGATATCGGCAGTCTCGGCCATATTGTCAGAAGCTAGTTGTATTTATCTTGATGCAAGAAAGGCGAGATGCGCAGACAGAAATATTTGAGGATTGTCCACATTAGCCCGCGGTCCACGAGATCTCCCATATTTCTGCTTCTACATCATGCTCCTGGGTCTAACAAGAAGCCTGATACAGGAGTTCTGGAGAGTACACTAGGCGCGTCAGTATGTAGTGTTCAATGGAAAATCGGAGTCGCACCTTCTACACTTCACTTCACTTTCAAGGCAAGAATAGTGGCTGTGACTACTCACTCTTATCACATACCTAAATGCTCGTGCGAAATCTCCCCAGCGATCTCAGTCATCATTTCTTACCTAGCAGCTTGGGCTTCGAGCTGATGGAAGCTCAACGAAATTGCACACAATCTTCGTGAAGCTCCTGCCGGGATCTAGCCGGACTTGCTACGATCAATACTCACGGTTCTCTCAAACGCCATTGGAGATGGCACCCACATACCCGGACTCTCTCGAGCCATGGCCCACGAAAGATGTACTGTGATCGTTGTCAAGGTCTGAAATCAAAGCTGACGCCTCACAGATCGTCTATCTAGCGATCATTGGACCGCTGATGCTGATGGCCGTGTTCGAATGGATGCTGTGGCTTGCAGCATTTATTTACTGTCTGGTGAAGGTATACACCAAGGCAGATCATTGGAGCATAAGGGCTCTAGCAGTGGTGATGATGGTTCTGTTTTCTCTCATCCGGTACGTCACGGCGACAGTTGCTGGGGCGCCGAATAGTCTGGTTATTGCTAACACTTTTACCTCAGACTAGCATTCCTTCCCGTATTGCTTGTGACGCTTCCCTTGCCGCCTCAAATCACAATCTACCTGCCTTACCAGATGGTCAATGGATTTCAGATATTTGCTTTCTGGGCCTTCTCGGTCCTTCTCATCGGCCCCTGGTTATGTTGTGTTTATGTACTCACAACCAACTTCCTGGGGAGAAAAAAGAGGATCAAACACGTACTTGACGACCGTACTGCGCCGAAAACAGTGGTGGTTATGCCTGTATACCAGGAGGCACCAGCCGTCTTGATCAAGGCTGTCGACTCTGTGGTTGACTGTGATTATCCTGCGAGCTGCATTCATGTCTTTCTCTCTTATGATGGGGGCCAGGTGAATGAGCAATTCCTTCAGGTTATTGAACATCTGGGTATCCCAATTTCTCTGATGAGTTTTCCCCAGAGCATTGACTGCACGTACAAAGGGGCACGCATCACCGTCTCACGGTTCAAGCATGGCGGTAAACGACACTGCCAAAAGCAAACTTTCAAGCTGATCGACAAAGTTTACGCCGAATACTTGAGAAGGCATGATAATCTGTTCCTGCTATTCATTGACTCGGACTGTATCCTCGATCGAGTTTGTCTGCAGAATTTCATGTATGACATGGAGCTCAAACCCGGAAGCAAACAAAACATGCTTGCAATGACAGGCATCATCACTTCAACCACCGAGAAGAACAGTCTGATCACTATTCTCCAAGACATGGAATATGTCCATGGTCAACTGTTTGAACGGTCGGTGGAATCTGGCTGCGGTGCCGTGACTTGTCTTCCCGGGGCTCTCACAATTCTGCGCTTTTCAGCTTTTCGCAAGATGGCTAAATATTATTTCTCCGACAAAGCTGAGCAGTGTGATGATCTTTTCGATTATGGAAAATGCCACTTGGGAGAAGACCGCTGGCTCACCCACCTGTTCATGATAGGGGCGAAAGAGAGGTACCAGATCCAGCTCTGCACAAGTGCATTCTGTAAGACCGAGGCGGTCCAGGACTTTGGGAGTCTATTGAAGCAACGTCGACGCTGGTTTCTGGGATTCATCACCAACGAAGTCTGCATGATTACCGATACCAGACTTTGGGTGAAATACCCTTTGCTGTGTCTGGTTCGGTTCATGCAGAACACAATTCGAACTACCGCGCTCATATTTTTCATCATGGTTATCGCATTGATGACCACCTCCAAGAGGGTGGAAGATCTTCCTGTCGGTTTCATGGGTGTCTCCCTCGGGCTGAACTACTTACTCATGGTGTACTTTGGTCTTCGTTTGAAGCGGTTCAAAGCATGGCTATATCCTCTCATGTTCCTTGTCAACCCCTTCTTGAACTGGGTCTACATGGTGTACGGCATCTTTACAGCCGGCCAGCGCACTTGGGGTGGACCAAGAGCAGATGCAGCTACTGCTGATGACCACATTACGCCCGGTGAAGCAGTGCAGCGCGCCAAAGAACAAGGCGACGAGCTCAATGTGGACGTTGATACATTCCGCAGTACTCTTGCACGGCGGCGGTCTGTCCCCATTCGCCCATCCGAGGCCGTCGAAGGGCGATTCGCCCGAACGGATCATCTTGTGGATGGGATTTCTGTCAACACATCGGGCCCAGGGCCAGCCTTGGCGCGAATGGTGAACGCAATGGAGGATGCTGAATACCACAAAGTTCCTCCCCATCTCCGACAGTCAATAGACTCCACGCCCAGTGAGTGGTCAGACTGCGGCTCTAGCTCAATCGCCCTTCCACAGCGCGTTGAGCATATCGGGATCAGCGCGGAAGACCAGCCAAACCCCGACCACGCCCGCCAAGCCCTGGCTTCTATGAGCAACAGTTGGGACGAACACGGCTTGGCAAGCCCGTTCGGCGACAACTACGCTCTCCGGTCTATGAGTTCGGTCTCCGATCATGATGAACTGTTGATGAGTCCTCCCGCTGAAGCCTACCAGACCAGCCGGACGGCGAATCTGCTGCCTCGGTATACTCAGCCCTCAGAACTTCCACAGTACGAGCCCCAGCACTCGTACTTCGAAACAATTTGACCCACCTCATGATTTTCATTGTCTAACAGGAACGCGGTCAGCGAGTGACGTCAATTCTCACAATTTTGTTTGCGAATGATTCTCCGTATTATTAGCCGGCTCCGGAGAGTGACACATACATCAATCCATGACTACCTTCCAAGACTTTTCCAAGCCCCGTTTGCTAGCGCGATGTGTCAAGAGCATCACAAAGGTACTGCCCAGCCATATACACGCTTTCGTGGGGTTCGTAAAGATGCGCGGCGATTGGACGTCCCGCCCTGGTCCACCTGGAAGGCGGTGACTGCGACCCCCCGAAAAAAAACCCGTTCTGCCGAGTGCCAGCAGGCGGTGAAGGTGGGCATATCTAGTAGGTTCGATGAGTGTCGATGGGCATCGAACGCAGAGAAAAAAAAAACAGTATATAGAGTCCGGAAAAGACAGGCCAGAGAAAAGAGAAAACACTTGATACCTGTTTGCTTGCATTTTCTGATACCCCAAATTCGCCCGATTAGTTTGGCGCCTAAAGTGTAGCCAGACCGCTTGACAACTTGGTCATCGCCCCTCCAATAATTGTGGAGTGGCGTGCAAATTCTCCCCTCCGGGTTTTCGTTTCACTTTTCTCTCTTGGAATCAACATCTCCTCCCCTACCTCACAACCCCTTACTTTCTCCCAACATGAGTGTCGTCGGCATTGATCTGGGTGCCCAGACCACCAAGATTGGTGTTGCCCGCAACAAGGGCATTGATATTGTGCGTGCCCCACGACCCCGATACGCAATCGCGCCTTTTTTTTTCCCGGATCATCGTGATCTCGGTTTGGATTGTCATGGAGCAATGCGCTGACTCGTTTCTTTCCTTTTATTTAGATCACCAATGAAGTTTCCAACCGTCAGACCCCGTACGTCTTAATCCCTGAAATTTATCATCTGACAGAATATGGATGACTGACTGCAATCGTTCTAGTTCCCTTGTTGGATTCACACGCCGCTCTCGTCACCTCGGTGAGGCCGCCAAGGGTGGTGAGATCTCTAACCTGAAGAACACCGTCGGCTCCCTCAAGCGCCTGATCGGCCGTTCTTTCAACGACCCCGATGTCGCCATCGAGCAGGAATACAACACATCAACTCTGGTCGACGTCGATGGTCAGGCCGGTGTCGAGGTCAACTACCTCGGCAAGAAGGAGAAGTTCACAGCAACCCAGTTGGTCGCTGCCTACCTCACCAAGATCAAGGACATCACCGCCAAGGAGCTGCGTCTCCCCGTCTCCGACGTGACCGTCAGCGTGCCCGCTTGGTTCACCGATGTCCAGCGTCGCGCCATGATCGATGCCGGTGACATCGCCGGTGTCAACATCCTCCGTCTCATCAACGATACCACCGCTACCGCTCTCGGCTGGGGTATCACCAAGCTGGACCTCCCCGCCCCCGAGGAGAAGCCCCGCCGTGTCATGTTCGTTGACATCGGTTACTCCGACTACACTGCCTCCATCGTTGAGTTCCGCAAGGGTGAGCTTAACGTCAAGGCCACCGCCTACGACCGTCACTTCGGTGGTCGTAACTTCGACAAGGCTCTGACTGAGCACCTTGCCGTTGAGTTCAAGGAGAAGTTCAAGGTCGACATTAAGACCAACCCCAAGGCTTGGGCTCGTACCCTGGTCGCCGCCGAGAAGCTCAAGAAGGTCCTGTCGGCTAACCCCCAGGCCCCTCTTAACATCGAGTCCCTCATGGACGACACCGATGTTCGTGCTATGATGAAGCGCGATGAGCTCGAGGAGATGGTCAAGCCCCTTCTTGACCGTCTCACCGTCCCTATCGAGCAGGCTCTCTCCGAGGCCAAGCTCAAGGCTGAGGACATCGACTCTATTGAGATGGTCGGTGGCTGCACCCGTGTCCCCGCCATCAAGGACACCCTGACCAAGTTCTTCGGCAAGAACCTGTCCTTCACCCTCAACCAGGACGAGGCCATTGCCCGCGGCTGTGCCTTCAGCTGTGCCACTCTCTCCCCCGTCTTCCGTGTCCGTGACTTCGCCGTTCACGACATTGTCAACTACCCCATTGACTTCACTTGGGAGCAGTCCCCCGAGATCCCCGATGAGGACACCAGCCTCACCGTCTTCAGCCGTGGCAACGTCATGCCCTCTACTAAGATCCTTACCTTCTACCGCAAGCAGCCCTTCGACCTTGAGGCTCGCTACTCCAAGCCCGAGACCATGCCCGGCAAGGTCAACCCTTGGATCGGTCGTTTCTCCGTCAAGGGCGTTCAGGCCAATGCTGAGAATGACTTCATGATCTGCAAGCTCAAGGCTCGCCTTAACCTCCACGGTATCCTGAACGTCGAGTCCGGTTACTACGTTGAGGATATGGAGGTCGAGGAGCCCGTCGAGGAGGAGAAGAAGGAGGGTGACGCCATGGACACCGACTCCAAGGACGAGCAGCCCAAGAAGACCCGCAAGGTCAAGAAGCAGGTCCGCAAGGGTGACCTCCCCATTGCCTCCGCCACCGGTGGCTTCGACCAGGCCACCAAGGAGGCCTGGACCGAGCGTGAGAACGCCATGTACATGGAGGACAAGCTTGTCGCCGAGACCGACGAGAAGAAGAACGAGCTCGAGGCTTCCATCTACGAGCTCCGTGACAAGATCGACGGCGTCTACTCCGAGTTCGCCAGCGACGAGGAGAAGGACAAGCTCCGCGCCAAGCTCACCGACACCGAGGTAAGCTATCATAATTCCAACATTCCACCGTAACTCCATATACTAACATTCGATTCCAGGACTGGCTCTACGAGGACGGCGAGGACACCACCAAGTCCGTCTACGTCTCCAAGATGGACGACATCCGCTTCATTGCCGGCCCCATCGTCCAGCGCTACAAGGAGAAGGCCGACGCCGAGCGCGAGGCCGTCCGCAAGGCCGACGAGGAAGCCGCCGCCAAGAAGCGCGCCGAGCTCGAGGCCAAGAAGCAGGCCGAAGACGCCGCCAAGAAGGCCGAGGAGGACTCCAAGCCCGAAGGTGACGCCGAGATGCAGGATGCCCCTGCCGAGGAGTCTGCCGACAAGCAGTAAACGTCTGTTTGATATATCAACTTGCTTTCATTGTACGGGCTTTACTGGCCCCCCATGTTCGCGCGGGCGACCCTGATCCCCCATCATACTCCAGATTGGGTTGACCGCGCTATGACGAAAAGGACTTTCAGAGATGTGTTACGCACCTAGAGATGAGATCGATTTCCGTTCTCTCTGTTTTTTTGTTGTAATGGCAAACAGTTATGATGTAGATCGTTTCTTTGGATGTTTATGAATAGATGAAAATATATCCACGCCTTTGTCTTCAACTCTTCTATTGCATACTAAAGCGTCAACCAGTATGTGAGACAGATCCATTGTTACCCTCATGCCTCGAAGGTCCAGGGAGCCAGCCCGGAGGAACCTTGAATCTACGTAGAGTTCTCAATACACCTTTCAATGTACTATATTCACTTTCAACGTTGTGGTCTAGACACACCTGGAGGTTTACCTCAAGGCTGGAACTGATCCATGGATGCCACGCATGACAAGGCTAGAGGGCCCCGAGGTCGTCTCATCACCCTAAGTTCTCAGCGACGTGAGCTACAATAATGCCAAGAACAAACCATACTTTACATTGCACATTGAAAGTCAGAGCGTAATTCGGTGCGTAGGCACATTCAGAATAATCAATACTAACATTCTCTACTCCGTAGTAAATTGCCGAGCAGGGTTGTTTGGGACATTCGTGTCTCTTTCGTATCTTGCATTATGCAGACCTACCCTAACCAGTCGATGTGGTCTCCATGAACGGATGTACATAAATATTGAACAAATGACAAGCATTTGGGTCCAAAGGGAATTCGATAATATCATGGCCTCTGTGTATTTCTTGATGGGAAGGCTATACGATAGAAAAGTCTCATCTTCTCTGTGAGGGCAAAGAGAGCTACTTTATCCCACAGAAGCCCCTGGATAGCCCATTTGGACAGTGAATCAAGAACCAAACGGCACCCGTTTGCCTGGGAACACAGAAGGGTGAGGCTTCATGACAAATCTAGGTTTTCTTTTTGGCAGGCCCCAGCCTGCATCAAACACTCAACAACTTTGGCGTTGTTTACATTCTCTGCTGCTGCTTGGAGCGCTGTTTTCCCATCGAGATCTGCCGCAGGCGCGTTCACATCTGCTTTTGCTGCAAGAAGTCGATCCACAATCTCGAGATGCCCCTCTCCGGCTGCTGCCTGGAGCGCTGTTCGTCCGCTCCGCCGTCCGGCAGGTGCATTTACATCTGCTTTTGCTGCGAGAAGTCGATCCACGATCTCGAGATAGCCCCCTTCGGCTGCCGCTTGGAGCGCTGTTCGTCCATTGGCTTCTCCAGCAGGCATATTAACCTCTGCTTCTGCTGCGAGAAGTCGATCCACGATCTCGAGATAGCCCCCTTCGGCTGCCGCTTGGAGCGCTGTTCGCCCATTTTCATATCCCGTAGTCGTATTAACACCTGCTTTCGCTGCAAGAAGTCGATCCACGATCTCGAGATGCCCCCTTCCGGCTGCTGCTTGGAGCGCTGTTCGTCCGTTATACCGTCCGGCAGGTGCATTAACATCTGCTTTTGCTGCAAGAAGTCGATCCACGATCTCGAGATACCCCCCTTCGGCTGCTGCTTGGAGTGCTGTTCTCCCAATATAATCTTCAGCGGGCATATTAACATTTGCTTTTGCTGCAAGAAGTCGATCCACAATCTCGAGATACCCCCCTTTGGCTGCTGCTTGGAGCGCTGTTCGCCTATCGTGATATCCAGCGGGCATATTAACATTTGCTTTTGCTGCGAGAAGTCGATCCACGATCTCGAGATACCCCCCTTCGACTGCCGCTTGGAGTGCTGTTCGTCCATAATGTTTTCCAGGCGCTGCGTTGACATCTGCTTTTGCTACGAGAAGTCAATCCACGATCTCCAGATAGCCCCCTTCGGCTGCCGCTTGGAGTGCTGTTCGTCCATAGTTTTTTCCAGGCGGTGCGTTAACATCAGCTTTTGCTGCGAGGAGCTGTTCCACGACCTCGATATGGCCTCCTCCCACTGCTGCTTGAAGCGATGTGTGGTCATCCACTCGAAAATTCACATGAGTGACTACTTGCAGCACGCTTGGTAGTAAATCTTCCCATCCTTCTCTGGAAACAAAAAACAATGCTTCATTCATGAGATCAGGAGAATCGTGTCCGTGTTGGATAATACACCTGGCGAGACGATCTTGACCATCTTGTATAGATTTCTCAAGGATATGACGCTTATGATCCTCTGTCAGGATATGAGTGTGCTTTGCATAGTATAAGAGCAATGGAAAATGACAATGTGTCAACAACCATTTGATCATCGGCGGTGCATCGTCTCTGTCGTCGTAGGTATTCTGAGCTGACTCCCATGGTCTGTATGCAACAACATCTTTGCCCTCTACACATCGGCGAAATAACGACCAAGTCGCATCCTCAATCGTGGAAGGTGGGTTTGCGAGGTGATTGATCCAGTGAGTTCGGGCGTATTCGAGAAAATGAAACCCTCGAGTTTGGAGCTCTTTATCTAGACGGGAAAACTCTTCGTCCCCAAGAACTTGTTCCCAGGCCTTTCTCTCTATGTCTCCAGAGCGGAGGTGTCGTAGCTTCTGGCTATATGAAAGTAGCCTTTGAGCCATTCGACCACTGATGTTGCTGGAACTGTTGAACGCGGATATTTCGAGCTGGACAGGTCGTATAGAAGTATTTGAACCCTTCTGGAACTTCGCTAATTGGCGCTTGAAATCAGAGAAATCTAGATAGGTCATACAAAGAACGCCGATGTGCCAATCAAGCCTCGCAACATCGAATTCCTCGGTATATCGGCAGGCAATGTCGAAAAGGTGTTCTTTCACGCTATGATGAATGAAATGCACGGTGCTGTCCTCTTCGTCGATGAATAAAAGACCACAACAATCGCCGATTACTTTATTCATGTCGTTGGGCAGCTTCTCTAGTTTCAGAGATTTTTGCCCGGGAGAAAGACTCAAGGCCTCTTGGTATTCCATCGCCGTCAATGGCCGCTTCACGACACCGCAGAATTGGAGAATCTTGAATGAATCTTTTGCCGTTGCTTTGTTTCGTACGCGACTGATTTTTCGGTCAAATATTTCAGACAGGCCACGCGGTGGGTGTTTCAATGACTCCAAGATTTCACTATCGCTTCCTTGTGCGCAGAGTTCTTCGATGAAAAGACGCGTCCAGAGAAACCTTTCTAAGTCAGCCTAGACACACACAACGTCAAATTCGAAGAGATGAAGAGATTAACCCAAGATTTGATTCCCAGTTTGGTTTATTCGAAGTGTGGGAAACATCTCATCTCCTCGCGTCAATAGGACTTGATCACTCACATTCCCTTGGACCCGTTTCTGAGGGCATCGGCTATTTTCAAAACGAGGGTTGGATCCCTTATCTTTAACTGCTCCTCTTCCAAGCAAAGGCGTAGGGTGGTGTCGATATAGCAATTTATCTCCGAGTCAACCTTTTTCTCGGTGACTGGTACCTTGTATATGCCCTTCACAGATCTGAATAACTCACTTTCAAGTTCCGGGCGGCCTGTATAGATGACTTTGAAGTTTTCCACGCGCGCGCTGCAGAGCTGGGCCATACACTGCGCCAGCTTTCGGACCTCGGTAATTTCACACTCATCGAGACCGTCGATAGCCAGATAGTATACATCATCATCATGAAGATGATTCAGTATAAAATCGACAAGCTCGATTGTGTTGAGGTCACGGCTATCTTCGCGAAGGCGCTGTAGGTTTTCATTGCTGGCGTTCCCGATGTCAGAGTCGAGAATTTGACGAGCAAGACTGCCGAGAATATTCCTTGCTGACAGGGATGGAACGTCATCCGCGCGGCAGAAGTAATATGAGATGATTTCATTACTCTTTCGTAGGGCATGCAGTTGGGCAACAACATTAGACATGAGCACTGTCTTTCCCACACCCATCGTACCTGGGCACCAGAGGATTGCAGCATCATGGTCAGACTGCCATTTCTGGAAAAGGGGCTCGTGCAGCAGCCATTCAGCCGTGGAGGGAACTCGCTGTCGTATAGCTTGCTTCCAAGGCTTCAAGTAGTTAATTTTGGAAAGACTATCCCTGATGCTGGATCTTAAGCTTGCAGCTTCCCTGTTCATCATGTGAACCCTCCACTGATGCGCCTCGGCATGCTCTGCTTGGGCGTCTCTTTGGAACGTCTTTGTCAATTTTCGGAAAGTCGCTTGATCGCGGCTCTCATATTCTAAAAGCTTTTTGGCTTCCACGTTGACCTGATTTGAGGCAAGTGATATCTGCAGCTGTACGTCCTTTGCAGCTTGATTCAGCTGGTCGATGACGGTCTTGAAATCAGACTCAAAGGGATTGAAGATCGACGATATAGTTTGGGTGAGCAAGGGGCGCCTCGAGACTTCGATGACCTTGGTGCATAACTGGACGATTGCAGCATAGTATTCGCATAGCTCTCGCTGAAGGCCGATATGGTCGGGATAAAGATGACCGAATTGTTGGTAGGTCGGGCACGACCTTCCGACTTCCATAATCATACTCGTGACCTTCCCGAAGTAAGATGCGATGTTGCTTGCCGTCAAGATGGCCGTCTTCACGCCGCCCCAAACGAGAGCGGCGATTTCGGGGTGGGAGCTGACAAAAGTGCCCACCACGTCGCTAAACTGTTGGGTGGCCTCTAGGAATTTATGTAGCCTCGACCCCACACACATCTTCATTGTATTGTTTTTGTTGGCGTCGATCTCTGTCACGAATGCGATGACGCTTTCAACATCTGGTTTTGTGGCGCTGACATGGTACAGTCGCTTTTGGTCGTCGGTCAGGATACCATTGAATTTCGTCAAAGCCTCCATGAGTGCCGTTGTCGGGTCCGCGACTTGCTTCGAACGCGAGTGAGACAATGCCACGCATGCTGTATTGTTTTCCGCCATCGGTCGAAGATAAAAGCTGTGAGTTGCAGTCCGTGGACGGGGGATATGCGAAGCCTTAAAACACGAAGCCAAGAGATCCGGCGGGGCTGAAGGCTGGCACGGTCTAAGCCACGATCTTCATCCAATACGACAAGTCGGAAAGATCACTCTGTTAGCCCACAGTATGGACGAGTTTGGCTATTCCATATGGAGGGTACCGAGAAATGAGGCGGTCTGTAAGAAATAGCTTGACCTTTGAAAAAATGTCCTTGTGTGGGCATGTGTAAAGTTGACGATTGACCTAAGCGCCTGCTGCGGCACCTTGGCCCCCTGGGCACCGAGAACCCGGGCAAAGCTGTTGGGCAGTGTCGAATCACACCTCGCAGGGTGTAGGTGAAAGATCTGCACTATCACCCATCACCTGACTAGTCCGTAGTCCCTCAGACAATGTCGTAGAAAAACGAACAGCAGATACCTCTCCGATCGTCTCCATCGGTTTTGTGGAGTTGATGTCTGTAGACTCAAATCCCCGGCTGATCGCCCGCCCCACAGACCCCAAGCCTCGAGGTCAAGGGGAACGCTGATGCTGTATGCTGTAGCTATCTTCGTAGCGAATTTCACCATTCTTTGGCGAAGCAAATATATCGAGTGAATATACGGGTTTGAAGCACCACAGCATTAAAGATCTAACTTTCCAAGCTAGGAAGACCCGATAGCTCCCTTATGGCCAACATGTGCCGCAACGAAGTGTCTCAGGGCTTTTGAGCCGTCATGATGTATGAGCTTGTACGGCGATTTACAATGTGGATTACAATTGCAGGATGTTTGCACTTCTTTCACTTCCACGAGAGATCTGTGGCATGGTCTGAAAACTGCTCATGAGGACTCTACAGACTGGCAAATTGGTAAAGAGTGTTTCCTTTTTCACTCTCTCGACTGTCCACGGGAACTCTTCCACTCTTCATCTCTCCTCCATTTCCCTCCTTCAACCTATCCACTAGCCGTTGGAGATTTGTTTGTCCTGCTCATGGGTAATTGAGAGCCCGATTGCTGCTCATCGCAACATTCTTCATTCTCCGCCCACAGAGAGGATTTCTATCGCCTTCGACTCACAGTCTCTCTGGCATTCCAAGAAATCAGGTATCTCATTTTAACTCACCTTCTCTCGTTTGTACACGCTAATCAAAGAACGCAGATAACATAAACCTCGATCCAGCTGACTGAAAAGTCATTGAGGGGGGGAAAGAAAGTGAAGCTTGACAGCAGAAAGGTAAGTACCTACACCACAAGCCTGAAACCCGGGGAGCGAAACTCTCCATGCCCATCTTGTCCAGCTCAGCTCCCTGGATATTTGGAGACTTGGCACTAGATGGATGGCTGATTACATTTGGAAACAGACATCTTTTCCTACGAATCATCTCATCATACGGTCATACCCCCGGGTGCATAACGAGACAAGAGACTTAACAAGAAGCTTTCTGCTTTCTTGAGAGAATGGACGACCGTGAGAGCAAAGAGGCCATCCTGAGGCTTCTTCGGGAAGACTTGGACGCCCTGAATGATGTCTCAAAAGGAAAACAGAGAGCTGGAGATCTGACAGACCTCGATCTTGCTATCCAAAGCATGCAAGATGACATTCGGAATCTTGAAATTTCCATCAGTGACCATTCTCAGGCCCATAGCACAAACTCTGCGGTCTTGACTGATCAGAATATGCTTGTTGCACTAGCACGGGAAGAAAGAACAGCGAACGAGGACCACAGACTTGCTCTTGCACTCGACCGTGGACAACCTATCCGTGCGCCTCGTCCGATAGAGACTGAGTCCGATGACAATAGCGGCGCTGTATCTACAATCATGGATGATTTGATGAGCCGGCTGTCCCTGAAAGATGGATCGGACAATGGCGAAGAAAGCTCGCAAGCCGCGTCCTCCCACCAACCGACGACCCGCCGCATCAGATGTGTTTCGTGCTTTGAAAGATGTGATGCTATGCTCTCAATGGGGAAATGTGGTCATGAGTTCTGCCTTGAATGCACTAGACAAATGTTCCTTGGTGCAATTCGGGACGAGGGACTGTACCCTCCCCGCTGTTGTGGAAATGTCATACCCCCTGGGGTTGCTATGAGGGTTTTGAACTATGTGGAGCTCCACGAATTTAGCCAACGGGCTCTCGAATGGACCGCGGAGACTCGTGTCTACTGTGGTGATTCAACTTGCTCGAAATTTATCCCTGCCCATGCTATTAAGGACCAGCATGGTACTTGCCCTCGATGTGGTCAGCAGACGCATCTAACTTGCCAATCTCTTGCACACCCTGGGATAGATTGTCCATTGGATGAGAATCTTCCTCTTGTCTTGGAAACAGCAGAAGCGCAAGGCTGGAAGCGATGTCCACATTGTCGGACTATGGTGGAGCTTGTTCGAGGCTGCAACCATATGATTTGCCGGTATGTATCATCATCAGCGCCCACGTTGACCCTGGATACATCCTAGGGTGGCTTCATTGTCCGATAGCCAGAGCGCACCACCGAAGAGAAATCTCACCTGCACGAACATTTGCGCTAACATTTTGTTGAATAGTTGCGGCAGAGAGTTCTGCTACATCTGTACCGCGGTCTGGAAGACATGTGTGTGTGAATATTGGCACGAGAGACGGCTAATGGATGAGGCGAATCAGGTCGTTCAAGAGGAGGTACCACGGAATGGTGATCAGGATGCCCTAGATCGTGCCTTGGAGCGGGCTGTTCACAACCTGGTTCGCCACATTGATGTTGGCTGCGAGCACCACAGAGGTTCCCAATGGGTCTGGCGGAATCGGGGAAGTCTGCAGTGTGATATCTGCTCCTCTCACTTACCCGAGTACATCTTCATGTGCAGCAACTGCCGTATGAGGGCTTGTTGGCGTTGTCGAAGACACAGATTGCGATAGGGATGTTAACTCGGGAGAATGGTTTGAGTTGACAGTATCAATCAGGCGACTTGCAGACAAAGAAGACAGACGGGAGCAAGCGGAAGCTCTTTTACTAGGAGGACTGCAGTCTTAAAGCCACCCAATGCAGAATGGGCTCTTTGTTATTGTACCACGAAGCCACCAGTTGACTGCTGGACAGGTTATGAGTTCAGCCCGCAAGCATACCTGTCTCCCCGCCAAGGATAGCACAAGTATCGAAATTATCAGAAACCATAGTACTAGGTGGCCATATGGTTAGGTGGACATATTTCTCTATGACCTGAACATTGAAAACACATCTGTCAATCTAGATAGTGCATTCTTTGAGTAAATTTCGGCGCTGGCGGTGTGTGACCTGGTGTTTGGATTATGAAAGAATATCCAGGGCTTCTGCTCAAGTCCCAGACGTATTCTAAGGATGTAGTCGAATGCTGGCAAAGTTCATTGCCAACTTCAGCGCATGCGAAGGGCTTATCTCCGTGCTGACAAACCTTAACGCCGCGGTGGGACCCATTAGAAATCGGGTCATCGAAGCTGTTTTCCTGTCCTACGGAGTACGCTTGGCTCTGTTTCTTGCACATATTCGCATACTGAGCTATCATGGATTCCCCAATAGAGCTAACTGTTCATCATCATGGCGCTCCGCATATCATTCAAGTCTCTTCTTCAGCGACCTTACAAGACCTCTCTTCCCAAATCGCAAGCGTCCTGAACATCCCAATCGAGAATCAAAAGCTTCTCATAGCCCCGAAACCAGGCATGCAAAAAGCGCCATTCCCGCCGACACGCCTCGACACAATCCTCCAAACCACCTCTCCCAAATTCAAGATCACACTTCTTGGAGCCCCCGCCAAAGCAATCGCAGACCTTCACGAACAAGCTGCCAGTGAAAAACAGCGCCAGGAATCGCGGGCGTCTGCTATGGCAGCTGCAAGACGCAACAAGCAAACACCCTCAAGCCGCAGTGGTGGCGTCCATACGATTTCCTCGTCAAGCAACAACTACACATTCCACCGTCTCCTTCCACTCTCATATCTCCCCAACCCAGACCGCTCCCTGGACTTCCTCAAGCGTCTTCGCGATGACCCAGGCATTCGCGCTGCAATGGCAAAGCATAAGTTCTCCGTTCCGCTTCTTACGGAAATGAACCCGGCCGAACACACGACTAGCGAATCACGGACGCTAGGTCTGAACCGGAATAAAGGCGAAGTCATCGAGTTGCGGCTGCGGACAGATGCCTATGATGGGTATCGTGATTATCGAACTATAAGAAAGACGCTGTGTCACGAGCTCGCACATTGCGTTTTTGGACCTCATGACCGTGACTTCTGGGACTTGACATCCCAAATAGAGAAGGAGGTTGAGCGTGCGGACTGGAAGTCTGGCGGAAACCAGTTGTCCAGTCAGGAATTTTACAACCCTGGTGATTGGGACAGTTTACAAGATGGAGAGGAGTTTATGGATGAGTGTGGATGGACAGGCGGCGAGTTTGTCCTAGGTGGATTGCAGGGTGATTCGGCATCGCCGCAGTCCGGTGGTGGGACGCTTTCTCGTAGAGAGATCATGGCGCGTGCTGCGGAGGAGAGAATGAAAAGGGAGAGCCAAGCGAGGAAGCAGGATGATGCTACGTGATGCACATTTGTCCCGATATAATTAACGATTTATGAGCTTGATATATTGAACATGCCAATCTTACAACGCTATTCTAACAAGCGGCCCTGGAATCATTGAGAAAATCTGCATTTCGTACATTCGATGCTATTTCACCACGCATCCAAGCATATATATGTCCTTCCAAATTTAAATTTGCTCGTTGACGAACAGACCCGCCATACCCTGACCAGTTCCAATGCACATGGAAGTGACCAGAATCTTGCTCTTTGTGCGTCTAGCCTCGCTCAGAATTGTAGCGATTTGACGCGCACCGGTCGCGCCAAGAGGGTGGCCAATAGCAATGGCACCACCACGGGGGTTGACCTTTGCATGGTCAAGGCCGAGGTTCTTGACACAGTAGACTGCCATAGAGGCGAATGCCTCGTTAATCTCATAGATATCAATGTCGTTCTTGTCAAGCTGGAACTTGCTCAGCAGCTTGGGGATAGCGGCAGTTGGGCCAATACCCATGACGCGAGGAGGCACACCAGCAACGGTAGCACCGCAGAACTTAGCAAGAATGGGCTGGTTAAGCTCGATAGCCTTGGAGCGACGCATAAGAAGAACGGAAGCGGCACCATCGGTAACCTGACTGGAGTTTCCACCAGTGGACTTATCACCGAACTGAGGGAACGCAGGACGAATCTTGGACAGCGACTCGAAAGTGGTACCCGGGCGAATACCGTCGTCGCGAGACACGGTGATCTCCCTAACCTCGCCAGTCTTGGGGTCCTTGACCTTAACGTTGATAGGAGCAATCTCGTCATCGAACCATCCGGCCTTCTGCGCAGCCTCGGCACGACGGAAAGACTCAGCGGCGTATCTGTCTTGCTCTTCGCGAGGAATACCAAAGTCCTTTCCGATGTTCTCGGATGTCTGACCCATAGGCTGCATGCAGTCGGCAGCCTCCTGGTTACGGAGAACCTCCTCGTTGAAGGGCTTCTCCAACCGGTCGCCAGCGGCAGACATCAGCTCGGCGCCGAGAGCGACACCAACATCGATGGCACCGAGCTGGATCTGGTTGGCGATGTCCTGCACGGCCTTGAGTCCAGACGAACAGAATCGGTTTACCGAGGAAGCACCGGCGGTGTGGGGAATACCGGCAGCCAGCGCTGCGGCGCGAACCATGTAAGCGGCCTTGACCTCATTAACCTGTCGATAGTTAGAGTGAACTCCGAAAATAAATGTGGCTTTGAGCTGGAAATCAAACGTACGTTACCCAGGCAGACATCTTCAATCAAGGCAGGGTCGATCTTCGACTTGGACAATGTCTCCTTGAGCAGGGCGTAGACAATGTAGTCCAACTCTGTATCCTTGAAACCACCCTTGCGCGCCTTGGTTAAAGGCGTACGGAGAGCTAGTGTAATGACCACATCGTCGGGGTTCTTTTGGGTGCTAGAGGTGGTTGTCAGCCAAATGAAACACAGCCGAGGTTGCGCGGTCTTACATGGCGGCGAGGCCGTTAGCGGCGCCGGGTTTGAGGTGACTCAGGAGGGAGCTCAGACGATCTGCGGCCATGATGTATTAAGATAAATGACTGCAAAGAATTTGATGTTAGTGTTGTCTTGGAGGTAAATGTGTGCAGCATCAAAGTGAGAAATTCGGTGTTCTTGCGGGGAAAGCTCAACGGGTGCGGAGAGTCGTTCTCGGAGAATTGGAGAACGAATCGAAGCGAAACGCACCGGGGGATTCTAGCTTTGGGTTCGAAATGGGAGGCAACTTACAGATTAGATAGGATGAGTGGTGAGGTTCTCAAAGAGAGGATGTAGAAAGGAGAATTATTTAATGAAGAACGCGAAACATCCCCGCGCTGGACAGACCGAGACAGCCGAGGCTCATTTTCGCCTATCGGGCTATCCGGCCAGGTATTCAGTACCTTGAATTTGGCGTGTTTCACATATAACAGCGAGGTACTAGTGACCTATCTCATGATCTACTTGAACCTTGGAAAATATCGAGACTTGGCTAATCCAAATACCTAGGCAAAAGTTCGTTCTGAGGTCCAACTGCATCGATTGCGCTTAGATTTGTGATTCTGGAGCTCGGCACGTTGCATCAGGCCGCAATGAAGTATCTCACGGCAATCAAATTATATTAACATTATATCATGCACTTTTCTCGGAAGATCGTCCGATACTGACTGGCAATAATACTCAGCTGTCGAACTGGAAGTCAAGTCGCTTATTCCCTTGGTCGGATGTCGTGCTGAGGTAGTTGGCCTTCTCCTCGGGTGTCATCTTTTCCCACTGTGCCTTCTTCCATTGGTTCCTCCTGGTATAGTAAATCTTTGCGAGAACATAAGCAACTATCGTGGCGACGTTGATAGCAATCAGTTGAGAATTGCCACGGCGGTACAGTGGCTTGTCGTCTTTGCGATAAATGTTTGACGATGCGATTCCGGAAAGTTGAATCGTCACGTTGTAGAGTGCTGCACTGATACTCCGAGTCCGTACAGTGTTGCTGAGACGTGAGCACCATCCAACATGGGCCGCATGAGGAGATGGCCAGCCCAATAGGATGAAAGTGACTGCATATAAGCCCCAGCTGGACAGCGATCCAGCCGAAGTATAAAGCACGATGAGAAGTGGCAGTGTCCAGACTTGTGTGAGAAGACCGATGATGGAGATCTCATGCAAACGCTCTGTTAGCTCGGTCACAAGCAACAAGTTGATGGCTGCAAAGACGGTGACGGGGATGGTCAGGAGAGTTGTCTGGAAGGTACCAAACCCAATCGCTTTGAGCGAAAGCGTCAAATAGGTCTTTGGGGGAGATGTAGGTATTTCGAAAAGGATTCCAATGATGTATATCGGCCAAAGATCGTAGTCCATCAGACTTTGCCAGAGCATGCTGAGAGAAAGAGCTTGACGATTGTGCATGTCACCCTTGGAGGGATCGTCTCGCAAGACACGATTCACAATAATCTTTTCTTCTTTTTCCGTGAAGTATCCCTTCGGGTTCCACCACGTCTTCGTTTGCGTGGGACCTGGGACCAGGAACAAGAAACTCAAGAATCCGATCACGATGCTGATGAGAGCTTCAATAAGAAACAGCCAACGCCATCCCTCACGCCCATCCACACCACGCATATGCAGGACACCATAGGCGATAAAGGAAGCAATGACACCCGACATAGAGTCAACGAACCAGAACATGGCGAGACGGAATGGCATTTCAGACTTCGTGTAGAAGTATGAGAGGTACAAAACTGCATCCGGAATGAAACCGCCCATGAAAAGGCCGATGAAGAAACGACAAGCAAAGAACCCGGACCGTCCTTGCATGAAGAACTGACCCCCAGATGCCAGACTCCATAAGATAATTTGGAAAGGAATCCATCGGTCGGGTCCCAATCTTTTCCCAAGCATTTGGGATGGAATTTCAGCAATGAGGAACCCGATGCGATACATGTTTTGTGCGTTGTTATAGTCGTTGGTGTTGATCTTCAGATCATCAAGCAAGTTGTCGGCCGCAGCATTTCCCAAGTTTCCTCGGTCAATATTGAGTCCAAAGAACATGACAAGAATCCACAAGAAGATTGTCCAATCGGTCTTGCGGCGTACAGATGCTTCTTCGCGATAAGTCCATCTCTCGTTTGGGTCGAATCTGTGCAGATTCTCGTAGTCCGGTCGAGGCTGATAAAAGGGACTCAGCAGCGGATCGTCAAAGACACTTCGAACCGTTGCGATGGAGTCTGGGTCGACTTGGCGTTTCCGTGAGAATAGTGCAGCAAAAAGCGACTGCGACTCTCGTTGCTCCTCTGGCTCGGCGAGATTTGTCACCAATGTGCCATCTTTGAGATAATGACCCTCACCCTGGGAATCTGACACCGAGGTGGGGAATTCTTTGGAATCTGTCGATGCCATGTTCCTGGAGATTGCGGATTGAGGAGCTCAAGACACAACAGGACTCGAGAAAATGATCTCGACGTTTGGTTCCTGGTCTTTTGCCATTGCAGGTATTGATCTTTTATATCAACTGATCATGGATCAAAGCAGGTATGGTCCAAGTCCAGCAAGCCTCACAAAATGCGTGCTCGGCCAGATACATGATGCGATCTTTGCCAGCAGATGCAGGGACTCATTCGCAAGCGACATTTGATTTCCTTAGCGCTTGAAAAGAACGCTACTATGATCTAAAGAGCGCCTCGCTCTAAAACTTTTGAACAGCAATTAAATCTAGAGGTCAAAGATAAGTTGTCTTGGTAAATGGAAACAAGCCTTCTCATTTAACCGAAGTTTGCGCCATGGATACGCTCGATTGCATCAACTTACGCTGAATCTAGACAATTCACGGTGAACCTCTGGTACTATCCCTTTCGACATTGGTGGAAAAACTCCTTTTTCAATCTATCTAGCTTCTTCGGCTTCTTCCAAGAACCAAGCGGACCTAACGTCGCTATCAATGTCGGCCTTCCCAAATTAAGCCTTCTCGTACTATCAAGCATCTGATTCCTGAAGTCAACTACTTGCAGCAGGATTCTACTCGTTCATCAAATTTCTAAAATGCTTACTCTATTACGCCATACACCTGGGCGGCTGCGTTGGATGAAAGCCCTTGCATTGGAAGGTTGCTGATCGAATACTCTTAAACACGTACATTGACCAAAAACAATAATGTAGTTACCTTCCGACACATGGATATTAATGAAATATCAAATTCAAAGAAGACATGATTTTTAGTATCAGGGTTCATTGATATTACTTAGTTAGATGATCTTTACTGGCCCACAGACAAGCTACAACCCCTTGCTCTTGTATTTTTCTGCCACTAACTATGTCACGATGCCACATGTATCCGTCGTCTGATAACAGCCCCCCAAAGCTCCCACACTCTTGCCACAAAGTATTTCGCAGAAGCCCTCAGGGATCTCACAAGACTGACTACTGAATAGTCTTGAACCCGGCTCAGAAACTCCCCCAGTAATGCAAGTCATAATCCACACCACCCGGGCGCCACAAAGGAGCCGGACTATAAACTGGAATAGGAGATGCCGCTATGAAATGTGGGTGAGTTTCTTTGAGCGATAATCAACGAGAATATTAAAAGAGAAGACTTACTGCCATAGCCTGTGCTAGTAACAGCCCAGGTAGGGGTGGTCGGAGCTTGCCAATTGGTCGGAGAGGCTGTGATAGTATAGGTGCTTGTGTAAGGCGAAGGGGATTCACCTTCGCCAAGAGATTTGATGCCATCGTTAGATCCGTAACTATCATCGCCGGTCCCGAATATGTTGCTGATCTTGTTCAGCACTGTCGTACCCGATTCTGTCCACACTGTAAAGTCTTCAACCGTGACATTAGTAGCAAATGTGAGATCATTCGCAATCAGATAAAGCGGAGGACGCTTCGTTCCTTCAGCCACGGAGCCTGGTAACTATGTTAGACCACATCAAATGACTGAATTCATAGTCAACTTGCCGGAGAAGTTTCGGAACACTAAGTTGCTCAGTGCAACGGCTCCAGTGTCAGGCTCAAATGTGTTTTGCCAATATTGATTCACACTTAAGCCGTAAAGGCTTGCCAAGGAGCGGAAATTCGAAAAGGTGATGTTTGTGACATAGCCGGATCCACCGGGATATGTTTTGATAAAGGCAATGTTGTTACCTTGGATGATACTGATGTTCCGTGCTTCCTAATCGATGGTTAGAGAATTGATTGAACTCATGATGCTTGAGACGAACGATGTTTGATATCTCAGCAGATACATTCAGACTCCCAATCGATATACCTGAGCCTGCTTGGTTGCAGACCAGATTCTCAACCAAGGCATGGTGGGAGGGACTCTTCACGGAAACGCATTCATCACGATTGGTAACCTGTCCTAGAGTTAGACCTCTGGGTAAAAGGTAATACAAGAGTGGTCTATACTTCATTGTCGTGGATCCAATAGTTCGTTCCGATGGCATCAATACCATCATAACTGCCCAGATTGGCGCCGCGGATAGTCAGATGGTATGCCTCAACATTGACCGCAAAATCCAGAATGATGTGGAATTTTGGACTATCCACTAGAATCAAGTCATGGACCGAGGCATTGGTCGGAGAGATTAAGCGCACCAAGCGTGGACGATCGGTGCTGAGATAGTACTGATGTCAGTTTGGATGGTTTCAACAAATTACGATGGATATCACTGACTTTCCAAGATTTCGATAGAGATAACCTTGTCCCTGGAATGCGCCTTTTCCATTGGAAGAATAGAACTCGAAATCCACAGCTATTCTGTCAGCATGAAAGCTCAAAACAGGGGAATATGAAGTGAACTCACCGTTAACAATGACAAGAACATCTAAAAGGAATTTAGAATCACCTTCCCCATTGATGGTTGCGTTGATGATTTCTGTGCCCGCGAATCCCTGGAGTAGCAACTCACGCTCAATATTCCAATCGCCACCATATGCAGCGGTAATCAGACCATCCAACTGGAATGCCCAATTTGTGCCATTGATTAGAGTCACGCCTCTCTCAATCAGGTACTCTCCCTCGGGAACAACCAGTCTGCTTCCTGGTTGCTTGCGAACACATTCAGAGAAAACGGTTTCGAGGGCAGTGGATATATCGGTTTTATTGTCTGCCACCGCTCCATAGTCCAGAATGTTGCATTCGATCGATTTCTGTTTCAGGTCGGTTGTTGGACCAACGGGTCCGATGAGTTGGCCCGCGGTGATGCGCAAGAAGGACAACAACACCAAATTGGTGAACTTCATGGTGAACTATTGGCTTTGCTTTGGTTTCTTCTTTTCTCATCTTTCCTTTTCAACCCTTATCTTAAATGGGTTTTGCCTTGAGCTGCTGAAATTGATACTAACTATTTTAGCCCGTCTGTAAGCTTCCTGCTCAGCACAATTTAGTTCCCCAAAGACGCCATATTTGATTTATCCGATGGTCCCCTCTAGTCTGAACCCTTGAAATTAGTATTAAAAAGGTCGATTAATTAGCTCTGTTATACAACCCATTGTCCTATATGTCTCCATTAAGGTGGAATGCTTTAGGGGCATATTACAGTTGCTAACCATGCCCGAAGATGACACCATTTTCAATCAAAAATTAATTAAAATGCACAATTCAAGCTCTTGTGGCGCTTGAATAGATAAGAGGACGTTTTTTAAACAGAAAAGCACGTCATCCCGGTGTCAGTTCGTGCTCACTTCAAGGCCTGATATGTGTTAGCTTCAGTCGAAGTAAATGCACCAATGGCGAAACCATTGGAAGCACCCGTCACAGCTCTCCAGAGCTCCCATCCTGTACAAGATCATCTTCAGCTCGCACGAAGCTGGCAAAAAGTTATTGAATTGCAAAAAAAAACACCAAATTCACCATGTCCGCCAAGAACATCCTGTTGATGGTCGCCGATGATCTCGGCAAGCAGCTCGGTTGCTATGGGACATCAACTATCAAAACACCCAATATTGACCGTCTGGCTGGAGAAAGCACACAGTTCGAGTATGCATTTGCAAGTACTGCCTCCTGCAGTGGCAGTCGATCCGTGATATACACCGGTCTCCATACCCACCAGAACGGACAGTACGGACTTGCCAGTCATCGCCACCACTTCGTCACGTTTGACCACGTCGAGACTGCACCAAAACTATTGAAGCAAGCTGGATACCGGACAGGAATTCTTGGGAAGATTCACGTTGGACCCGCGGCCGTCTATCCCTGGGAGGTCACCAGGGAGAGCGAAACACGAGACGTTGCTGTGATTTCCGATCAGGCCAAGAAGTTCTTCCTCGAGTCTAAACAAGATGGAAGACCCTTCTTCTTGACCATTGGATTCCATGATCCTCATCGCGATCGTACGAGAGGTGGATTTGGCAATGATCAAGAATATGACCCCAGAATCCAAAAGGGCTCCTACAAGGCCGACTCTGTCGAGGTTCCTCCTTTTATCAACGACTCCCCGGGTGCCCGATTCGAGTTGGCTGAGTATTATAACTCAATTCATCGCCTTGACCAGGGTATCGGATTTGTTTTGAATGCCCTTGAAGGGGCGGGTCTAGCAGAATCAACCCTAGTCATTTTCATCAGCGACAATGGCCCGCCGTTCATCAACTCCAAAACAACTCTCTTCGATGCAGGTGTGAGACTACCTCTCATAATCAAGCACCCGGAAATCTGGCCCGTGAATAACTCGGATATGGTATCATACGTTGATATCCTCCCAACTTTACTTGACTATGTTGGGCATCCAGGCGCAGTAGATCCAGCGAAAAAACGTCTTGGGCGCTCATTACTTCCCATCCTCGGAACTGACGGAAAGGCGTCAGAGCGCAACCAAGTCTTTGGCTCGCATACTTTCCACGAAGTGACCAACTATTGGCCAACGCGATTCATCCGGGATCGACGCTACAAGTACCACCGAAATCTCGCGTGGCGCCTTGACTTCCCCTTCGCGGCCGATATTTATGGGTCCCTCTCCTGGGAGGATATTCGCAATTCCCCAGATAGTGAGATCATGATTGGGCAACGAAAGCTCAAGGACTACTTCTTCCGTGCACCTGAAGAGCTGTATGATTTGGAGAATGATCCCAATGAGGTCGTCAATCTTGTCAAGAATCCCACTCATGCCACAGTACTGGATGACCTCAGGGCGCAACTGGAGACATGGCAGCGACGGACCGAGGATCCTTGGCTGTACCGAGATGGCGTATCAACCTGGTTTGTCCGATACCATGCCCAGTCTGGTCTGCGAATCCCAGATCGGTTAGACTTCGACGCGGAACGGCCCGGAAACCAGGACCAGAAAGCGGTTGGCAACTTGGCCTGGGGTAGCGATGTGGAACTAGCGACTAGTTCAACTGAATAGCAATAACAAATATTCTTTTGGGCTCTTCTGTGAAATTCCAATAACCTCGTCCCGAGGTTCATCGAGATTCGAGAGTGTCTGGGGGATTCAGGGGATTCATGCAGAAGAGGTGGTATAGTTTCATGGGGTAAGACGGCTTGGGCCTTCCAACTTACCACATCCAGGAATTATACCGGGGCTAGTCCGATTCTTGAAGCTCAATGCGGGATTCAGGTGAGAAAGTGAAGCGAGAGTTGTTTGCTCTGAGAAGCTCTGCTCAGACTCAATATAGTGTAGGCAGGGCGACCACTTCACATGAACCCTTTTTTCAAACCTTGATATTGCTCTGTTGGCAGTCTTCACCAACTCAACTTAGCCCTTCATTGCATCTCATTGCTCTGTAAGGGTTTGCGTGGGGGCGTGGGATGTGCAAAAGGAGGTGAGGCCATGCGGGGAAAGTGGGGAAATCAAGCAGAAGCTCAGGTCACATCGAGAGAGTGAATGCGCGGTTTATTCATCTTTGACCTCATGCTGGGCCAAGGTTTATCCGAGCTGACTCTTCGGCTTTTCTCCGGCAATACACGATGATCCCTACATTAATTGAGCAGTCCCTCTCGAGGGTGGGAGATCTGCTCCAAGAAAACCTCTCACCGGCTCGGATCTACAATATGAAGTCCATTGCTCTTAGCCTTTGTGCTTTGGGAGCTTCGGCCAAGGTTATCACCGATGATACCATTTTCTATGGCCAGAGCCCCCCAGTTTACCCATCACGTATGTCCTCTTTCGTGTGGAGACCTATGTGCTATGCTAACACAACCGAAACATTAGCAAATATAACAGGAACTGGAAACTGGATAGAGTCTTATACCAAGGCCAAGGCGCTGGTTGCTCAGTTGACTCTCGAAGAAAAGGTACGCGGATCGGAAGTGATTCTCATGAGACGACCGACACCGTACTGACGAGATCAGTCCAATCTTACCTTCGGTGCCTCTACCACAGAGAACGGTTGCGCAGGATGGATCCAGGCCATTCCACGCCTTGGGTTCCCGGGCCTCTGCCTCGTTGATGCTGGAAACGGTGTTCGAACGACTGATCTCGTCAATGGATACGCGGCTGGGCTGAGTGTTGGTGCAAGGTGAGCATGATCTGGGTCAGTGACACTGGCATGCCAATTTTACTAAAACTACATCAGCTGGAACCGAGAGCTTACAACCAAGCGAGGCCATTATATGGCAGGGGAGTTTAGAGCCAAAGGAGCCAACGTCGCCCTGGGCCCAGGTACGGCCCATCCAAAAGGCCCCAAGGAACATTCCTGTTAACATGACAATAGTCGTTGGACCTCTCGGCCGTATTGCCCGCGGTGGGCGTAACTGGGAGGGCTTTTCTCATGACCCATACCTGTCTGGCTTGCTCGCCGCAGACACCATCAAGGGGCATCATGAACGTGGTGTGATCACAAGCTTGAAGCACTTTATTCTCAACGAACAGGAGACAAACCGTAATCCCTTTGCAAATACGACGCCTCAAGTTGAGGCGGTGTCATCAAATGTGGACGACAAGACAATGCATGAGCTTTACCTTTGGTATGTTGTTTCACGAACGATTATGCACCGGTCTATGCTAATAACCCTCATCAAAGGCCTTTCCAAGATGCCCTCAAAGCTGGATCTGCCAACATCATGTGCAGGTATGAGCCCATACTACAAGTATTGAAAATGAGGTACAGGACTGACAATTCATATCCAGCTATCAGAGGATCAACAACTCTTATGGGTGCGCAAATAGCAAAACATTGAACGGATTGTTGAAAACAGAGCTAGGATTCCAGGTATCAAGTCATCCCTTTGCTTATACAAGGTCATGACCAGCTCACAGAATCAATCCAGGGCTTTGTCGTCACTGACTGGAGGGCTCAACGTGAGTACTTGGTGACCAAAATCAATTCAAATTTTCTGAGCTAACACCCCGTTTCATAGACTCTGGAGTCGCAAGTGCATTGGCTGGCCTTGACATGACAATGCCAGATTCAGGATACTGGGGCAAGAACTTGACCAACGCCATCCAAAACGGCACTGTGCCAGAGTCTCGTTTGGATGACATGGCCACCAGGTACATCATCCTATATCTGTTTGAAATTACTTTGGCTAATCATCCTCAGGATCCTCGCTGCTTGGTATCTCTTGGGCCAGGATGAGGGTTTCCCCAAGCCAGGCGTTGGAATGCCCTATGCAATCACGGAGCCTCACACAAGAATCGACGCCAGAGACCCTGCAGCTCGGCCTATATTGTTCCAAGGCGCAGTTGAAGGTCACGTCCTGGTCAAGAACAACCGAGCTCTGCCCCTGAAAGACCCACAAGTCATATCAGTATTTGGTTACTCGGCGCCAGGCTATAAGCAATCAGTAGTTGGCGATGGAACATACTCGGCTTGGAAGCTTGGTGCCCAAAGCACGAACCCAGAGCAACAGGTGGCTTCAAAGGTTTATAATTCGACGGTTCATATCGAGACAATCGCCATCAACGGTACTATCATCATGGGCGGTGGTTCCGGTGCGACAACGCCCGGATATGTCTCGAGTCCCTTTGATGCACTCAACCAACGCGCCATGAAGGACAACACTGATCTTTTCTGGGACTTCGTTGATCCAGCCCCGCAGGTTCCTGCTTCTGATGCCTGTCTGGTGTTTATCAACGCCTGGTCATCGGAGGGATATGATCGACCAGCCGTCTATGATGATTACTCAGACAATCTAGTCCTCTCAATTGCTGAGCAGTGCAACAACACCATCGTTGTGATTCACAATCCGGGTGTGCGCTTGGTTGATAACTTTTCCGATCATCCTAATATTACCGCGATCGTGTATGCGCACACGCCTGGTCAAGACTCTGGCGCCGCAACAGTAGCACTACTGTATGGCGACGAGAACTTCTCCGGAAAGCTCCCATATACAGTTCCGAAGAATGTTAGCGACTATGGACCACTGCTTGGTCCGGATTTGCCTGAGGGCGATTACATCAACTACCCGCAGAGTGATTTCTCTGAAGGAATTTTCATCGATTATCGTGGGTTTGAGGCCAGAAATATCACACCACGGTATGAGTTCGGGTTTGGCTTGTCATACACAACTTTTGAGTATGATTCGTTGTCGATTAGCAAAACCAAGGAGGGAGAGAACGCTGAGATCTATCCGTCCGGGCCAATTGAGCAGGGTGGCCAGATTGATTTGTGGGATGTCCTGGCAAACGTTGACTTCAAAATTCAGAATACTGGCAAGATCAGTGGAAAAGAGGCAGCCCAGCTTTACATTGACACCCCCTCCGGTGCCAGGCAGCTCCGTGGATTCGAGAAGGTGACACTTGAGGCAGATGAGACAGCTTCTGTCACACTTCCCTTGACACGCCGTGATTTGAGCGAATGGGATGTTGAAGCTCAGAAGTGGAAGCTGGTGAAGGGGAGCATTGGGGTCTATGTGGGTGCGAGCTTCAAAGATGTGAGACTGCAGGGCACACTAGATGTTTGAAGCTTCAGTATTGGTTTGCCAATACCCCCCATCCATCCCCAGTGACTGGTATAGATCGAATGATTTATAGAATTGACTATCAAGTCGAAGATATGGACAATATGAACGCAATAATGGATTCGGACAATCAAGACTCTATCGCAGGAGTAGGGAATCAATCATGAGAACAGAATTTTTACCTAGTCACACAAAAGAGAAACCTAATAACCCAGTAACCAAGTAAGACCTAGCAAGCAGGAGAGCCCCGCAGCCACCAACGGTCGTGAGGCATTCTTCTTATCTGGGCACTCGGCTGGCTCGTTGGGTTGGAGATGGCAGTAACTGACCAATTTGGAGGCCTCGATGAAGGCAAGCCCCTGATCTCTGGGTAAAGTGGTGGTACCTGGTAACCTCTAAGGTTTTTGGGCAATCGTCAAACATGTCTAGAAGAAAGAAGAGTTGTGATTTTGAATTTCTCTTGCCAGAAGACCAAGATTACATTGTGACTTAAAACCAAACGCCGCCATACCATCTTAGCAAACCCTAGTGCAAGCCCACTGATCCAGCCAGAAGACATCAAACATGTCGATCTCCCAGCTCCCGAAAAAGATAGATCCATTTTAGCAATCAATGATGGCCGGCATCTTCGTTGCTTATTACACTACCCACCTCGGACCAGCTCGCCGGGGTTGCAACTCCGCCAACAGATCTCACCCCAAGGTCACTGAGAGTGCCATCTGAAGTGCCGTCATCGGAATCGCCAACATGAGTGAAGCTTCCATTCGTTGAAGGAGCGGCCGAGATATCATGATGTGACTGAACAAGCTCTTGATCAAGCCCATCCAAGTCAACAAGCACATTACTATGATTGCTCACGGTGTCTGGAGCACCGGGGTGCGCATAGTACACCTGCTCATGGCCTTCTGTGTGGCTCGAGTCGGAAGACAAGGTAGGTGAGTTTGGAGAAAATGGGTCAAAGAACGGATTCTCTCCTGCATCATCTGAAGTGGGCGTGAGCTGAGTCGAAGATTGAATGTTATAGCTCGGAGGAGCTGGTGGAGCGAGCTGGATGTGTAACGGATCCCTGGCCACGGCAACTGAGGGGTCATCGTCGATCAATTTACCACTCCGACGGATAGGCCCAGAAGTTTCCCGGTCTAGCCCGGTCGATCTTGCTGTGGATTCTTGGCTAAGTTGTACATCGTCAAAGTGGTGTTTCGTTCCACGCAAGTGGCCATCCTCGTCGACGAGCATGTCGAAGCTGTTACGGGGTTGGACTGTGTTCTGGGATTCCCTTCGGGATTCGATAAGTGCACCGCGTCGCATGATTTCCGCACGAGCAATTCGTCTTCTCTCCTCGGCAGCCTGGCCGGACTCTTCGGTCATAGATATGTCTTCTCTCAGCGGTATGTCACGAGGTTGTATCTCATCACCCAGGTTGTGTAGCGCCAAGGCAATCTTTCGCCGCGAGTTCGATACCCATTGTTGAAACTGAGGCGACTCATACACGGCAATACCGGCTGCGACAAGCACAGAAACACTGATAATCAGCCCTGCAGGGGATTTTAGCCTCATGTATAGTGGGGAACTGATAAGCTGGAGTACACCGCCCGGATGAACCGGAATGTAGTCAAGGGTGTTGGGAAAGAGAAGGGATACCTTTTGCAAGTGGTGCTGGCATAATGATGCTGGCTCTATTCTTGGGTCGCTTGCTTGTCGAGATGTTCAAAACCTACCTTGTTTAGTTGACGGAGGCAGGATGACCCGGTGATGCCTGCGACTGCGCGCTTATCAGGGATCCTGACATCAATGCACGTGCTTTCGCCAAGCCCTTATCTGCCGCCCTACACACCGCTTTGGGTCAAGCCCAGTCCCCCGCGCGTCGATCGACGTGACTGTATAGCGCTTCTTTTTCTATCAGATTACTCTATCTTAACGAGCCCGAGAGAAGCATGTCTCGCCCACTCTCACAGGGCCAAAGGCCCCTGTCCCTCACGGAGGAATTGGAGAAATTGGAGCAATCTATCACCCTTACGATGCAAGGTCAGTTGAAAGTAAACAAAACAGTCCGGCAGACAACTCATGCTTCTATATTGCAGAGATCGACCATAATTTCAGCCAAGCCCACCGGATTGTGACCACTAGTATCCTTCCGCTCGTGGAGCAATACACCGAGCATTCTCGAGACGTTTGGGAAGGCTCCAAGGTGAGTAACATGACCTTAAAAACCGAGATCACCGGCCGTTGACACTGTCACAGTTCTGGAAACAATTCTTCGAAGCAAGTGCCAACGTTTCTCTGTCTGGATATGAAGAACGCAACAATGAGGAGGAAACCATGCAGGAGTCCACGGCTACGGAGGAGGAGCTGTCTACCGACATGACACAGAACTCCAGCCTCGATGAGACTATCACTCAGGAGACACCCTCATCACAGCGCCATGAGACGCCGCTTCGTGGTCAAGCAGATGATCTGGACCTGACCGACCTCGCAATTTCCTCGCACAGCACCCCGCGTGCTCCGGGTTACACTCACGACGACGACGACGACATCACAACGTCCTCCATGGACTATTCCTCCTCCTATGAGAACCTCAGGAAGCAAGTCAATGAGTCAGAAGCTCCCTTCGAGCTTCCCGACTCGTCAACCCTCCCATCAACTCCAGGCCGCGAGCCCTTCTTACCCCGTGGTGTCTCTGCCTCAACTCCCATGTCATCCCCATTCCTCCCACCCGCATCCCAGCCGTCCACACAAGATCGCAAGTATCAAAAGTCCTCCGACCCGGTTCTTCACCAGGTCCTCGACAAGACATACCGGGTTCAGGCCACTCCGCTTGGGAAGGGCTTCCGCAACGTCGGTGGAGGCACCAATACTCGATCCAAGTACAACATCACGCCAAAGAAGGCCGAGACCACATCCAAATATGGCTACGATGACTCCCCCATCTCTAGTCCAGAGCCCGAGGCACCACAGCTTCACTCAGAGATCTTCTCATCGCCCATCAAGGGCGTCGACACGCCGGGCACTCACCGCAAGCGTCGAACCAGTAGCAACCACATGCGTGAACCTCCTCGGCCGGGAATGAGTGTTTTGACCCCTGCTAAGAAGCCAACTGGTAAATCAGCCATGTGGGATAGTGACGATGATTTGGAGTACGACGATGAAGACCTTGGACCCAGTCCACCTAAAACCATGCAGTTCCATATCCCACAGAGTCGACTGATGCGAACGCCTGGTAAGTTGGAGTCTTCAATTTTCTCTCTATAATGTTTCCGTTAGCTAACATATCGTTTACAGCGAGAGAAGCCTCCAAGCGCATTGTGACTGATTTATTAGCCACTGCCGGAGCTGGAGATGTTACGGATGACTTTGGAGACGACCAGAGCCCGAGTATTATCCGCCGGATGGAACACTTGGAGGATGAGACTTTCTAGGTCTTTTGTTGAGTGAATGACCCTGCATGAAACTTGAGTGGTATGCTGGTATCTATTATCCCACATCATTTTCTATGGCTAGGATTGTTTCGAAGTACAAAAAAATCAACAATCTTCTTGTGATCGATGAGGTCTAAAAGACCATTGAAATTTACATATCCAATCACGGAATCGACCCATCCAGTTCACTAGATCATAATTGAGGTTGGATTCAAAAGTAATACCAAGGGCTTTGACCTCCCCTCTTCATCGCTTCAGTCCCGAGGTCGCATTCCAGGCTCTACCATGCGTTGTAATTGGAGCGCTGATTTTCAAAACTGGATAGCGCTGGCAAATTATCATTGCTCAAAGTTCAGAAGTAAAGCACTTGTTCAAAATAAAAACACCTGGGCCGAGATACCAAGTGTTTCCAAGTCATCAAATTGCCCCGGGACCGGAAGGGGAGCCGATCACCCGTCCCGGATATGGGCCCATTGTCTCTATTTGGCAAATGGATTTCACGTCCCTTGGACATCCACATAAACCAGCCGAAAATGAAAAGATTGGAAGTTTTCGCTATTTTCAGGCTCTGACCGTATTCCCTGTGGGGCTCATCTGGGCACAATCGCGAGAACTTTACGTCAACTACTCGTGACGTCATATATAGACAGGAATCAAGAAAAGTCGTTGAGTACGGAGTTGAGAAAGAGGTCAAGATGACATCGAGTATTATCATACATGTAGGCAAGGCTAAAACAAACGTGGCTTTTGGGAATCGAACAGCTCTCAAGGCACGTGAAACAAACGCCAAAGCAAATATGTGTAGTGAGAAGGGAAGTAGATCGCCGTTTGGGACCGGGTCATGCATCAATGATGTTCTGTTCAAGGGGAATAATCATGTCACGACAGAAGGCCCAAAGGGGAATAGGAGGCGTTCGTGTGGTTGCGGATAGTGAAGGGTGCCGAGTCGTCAGCACAATAAAGCTGGTAATTAAGAGTGCTTTTTGCTGTCGGACTTGGCATCTTTCTTCTCAGACTTGGGCTCCTTCTCGCCATCCTCAGAGTCGGACTTCTCCTCCTTCTCGTCAGAGGCAGGCGCATCGCTCTTCTGAGCTTCAGCAGCCTGCTGCTGACGCTCGTGGTGCTCGTAGAGAGACTGGTGCTTGTTGCTCAAGCGCTGCTCCTCAGCAGCAACCATGTCCTTCCACAGATCACCCTCAGACTCGCGATCCTTGTGAACAGGCGCAGGCTCGGCAGCGTCCTCAGCCTTAGCGGCGGCCCGCTTGGAATCAAGCAAGCCGCGACCACGGCGCTGATCCGAGATCTCGAACGCAGCGGAAGCGCACAGCACACCGAGGGTGAGACCTTGAGCGTAGACACGGGCCTGAACAAGCTTCTGCTGACCACTGAGGTATGGGTTGCGACCGACGAGGGCGAAGGAGCCCAGCATAGAGGCAATCCAGGTCGCACTAATGATCTTGTACTTTTCGCGACGGGCGAAGGCAGTGATGCGGTCGGAGAGGGATTGACCGGCGCTCTCCTCGGCGCGGAGGCGCTCCTCGCGGGTCTCGTACCACTTTGTGATGGTGTTGCGCTCGTTCTCGAATTTGCGCGACGCGTGATCGGCGGAGATGATACCGGCGAAAGTACCGGAGGATGTCACCAGGAAGGATTTCATGGGCACTGTCAGGTTTCGGATCGTGTGGTAACGGCGAGAAGCAAGGAGGACACCTGCAACTCCAATGACGAGACCGGATACACCTCCGACGGAGCCACCCTTGAGGACCTCACTATACTTTTGGTCAGTGTGGGCTGATTGGAGGGGTTCAATGTATTACCTGTAGTGGGCATCTTCTTCTTCTTTGGTGAGGAGCTTCATTGTATAGGTATGTGTAAGTATGTATATGCGATTGGGGAAAATAAGAGGGAGAGGAGAGAGAAGAGGTATTAAATCAGAAAAGCAAAGGCCGGACATAGCATGACGTCTGACGGGATCTGCTCTCGCCGCTTCTTCCGTCGGTCATATCTCGGGCTTCCCGCGCCCTGTTACGAGACGCCCTCGCATCTAGATTCGTGGATTATTAACGTCTTTTCATGGTCATATTGATTTCCAAGGTTGGTTTTAAAATAAAATCTGGCTATGCTTATTCACTCGGGCGAAGGTAGGGTGTCACTCCAATCCCCGATATCAGTCCCCGATTGATCCCGAACACCCAAACGCCGCGGAGAAAAAAATTGTTTCAAATACACATCACGGAGGTTGCCATAATCGCGGCGATAAAATATTACAGATGAAGGTGCCGATTTTACCGGCGAGACGCCTTGCGGGCAGCAGCCTGGCGGGCTTGCATCTTGCGGAAGCGATCCTCGCCGCTGGCACCCAAGGGTCGGGCGAACTGACTCTCACGCACGGCAGTCTGGCGCGGAACCACGGTGTAGCTGACATTGGTGCGATCGACACGAGCACGATTCATAAGGCGAGGAGGAAGCATCTCACGGGCGCGAGCCTCGTCTTCAATTTCCTTATCCGTGGGACCGGCACGCTTGACAATCTTGCTATGGGGATGTTAGTAGTGAAAGTTGAGGGGGAGCAAGATACATACGTAGGATCGTAATCAGCCTGCTGGTAGACGCGCTTGGAGTAATCATCGCTGCGCTGGAGAATTGGTCGTGTCCACTCGGCCAGCAACTTCTCTGCCATCTCTTTGATGCGGCGCTCGGTGCGCTTGCTCTTGGTGTAGAACACAATGACCTTGCCGATTCCACTGGCGATCAAAGCATCCTTGTTGATTGGGAGCTTGGTAATGGCAGTCAAAAGGTCGCGCTGGATGTTATAGGCAGGCATCGCTCCGTCGTCCAGGGGTTCGAGGAAGAATCTGACAGCCTCCAGGAGGTTAATCTCAGGGTCGACCAAGGCATTAGTGTACTGGTTGCGGTTGAGAAGCTTGATGACCTCGGGCAGGAGCTTCAGCTTATGCATGGCTGGCTTTCCTTCCTGGCGATTGATCGCATCCATTTGCGCCGCATGGGTCATGCGCTTGCGCATGTCCTCGATTTCAGCGTCGGCCGCAGATTCCAAATCCTGGTCGTATAGTCAGTATCAGTAGAGGGCTGCAAGCCACCATGTGCACATACAATGCCGTCCTGTTTGCGGAAACGTCTCTTGGCTGGCTTCTTCATGGCCTCGTCCATGGCACGATCGAGAGCTCGGCGACGTCCTATTAGTGGTCAGTATTCCATGCTACCATCACTCGTGGAGCAGAACATACGTGTCTCTGGATCGAGGGTCTCCTCATCCGTGTCGGGCTTGTCTTCGCGGGGCTTCCTCTCCTTTCTGCGCGAAGGACCAGCTTCGTCGCCATCTTCGGTAGCTCGGCGGCTCTTCTTCTCGCGACGACCCTCTTTGCGGCGTGGGCGACTTTCACCGTCTTCAGTGCGCTTGCGCTTGTGGCGACCGATGAGTTTCAAGTTGTCTTCGTCGATAGCGAGCTGCGGGCGGTCCTCGACATCAACGTTCTCAGGGTCAAAGTTCTCGAACTCCGCCTCGTCGACCTCGGACAGGATGGACTCGTCATCTGAGATTTTGTCTTCCTCGTCATCGTCATCTCCAGCGGCTTGTTCGTCGTCCATTCCCTCTGCGTTTCCATTGACCTCGGCGGTGGGTTCGGCGGAATCCTCGACCGCGGCGTCATCGCTGGCGACCGTGGCTTCAAGTTTCTCGGGTACATCGCGCTCGGGGGATGCGGCGGGCGAACCCATCTTCTGATCGGGTGATGCGGACATGATTTTTCCGATACTGGCGAGATCAAAGCAAATAAACTAAAGGCGATGAGAGTAAGGGTGCGGAGACCAGTTTTGGGGCGTACCGCGAACAAGTCACGGTGTGTTCGGAATTTGGCGCCTCTCCGCTAGTTCGTGTGGCGCTGCTGACCCCAGATCAATGTTTCGCGATGGGATGAAAGCTGTCCTCCAGGATAGAAGCACGATGCGAGCTTCTCTGGTTGTGAGGTGGATATGCTTTCAGACGGAGAGCACAGTGAAGGCAAAACCTCAGAGAAGGAGGGCGGTCCGTGCACCCGCGATTTCTTTCTCCACTCGTCCCAATTCGGATGTATACACACGGCGGGAAATGGATGTTCATGTTCTGCTGGAATTGTCTCCGCTGTAGCTATGACTGTTACTAGAACATCTGATGGCTTGGGAGGCTCTACGCTGGTGACCGTATCAATGCCCTCATCTCCTTCATCTTCAACCAGATGAAGAACTTCCATGAATCCATATACTGAAACCAAGGGACCTACTCAGCGAATCAACCGGAATTCAGCTTTAGTGCCTAACAGCCCAGGTCTTGTAGGCTTAGGTGGCCTTCAGCTACATAGGCTCCCTGGGTTCATCTTCAATTCGTTCTCAATTCGTTCTCACGATCGTTATCTCTTTTCCTGATCATAACTATTCGCACCCAGCGAGAGCCCCGAAGCATCAAGCTGCGTTGCCACTACCATACTACTCTCTTATTCTCACAGACTTTCTCGTTCATCTCCGGCTCATCGGGCTGCTCTGGCAGTTAGTGACCAGGACCTCACTCTCTCCTCCACACAACACATTCAAATTGACGCCACCTTCAACATGGGGCGTACTTTTCAGAGAGTTCACTGCGCATTGGTCGGCAAGTTTGATGATGGTATCAAAGAGAAGATACCTCAATGGATCCGCGCCAATGGTGGCCAATTCTCCCGAGCCGTCAACTCAAACGTCACTCACCTGATTGCGACTGAGCAGGCCTATAAAGACAATGGATCTTTGGGTATGAGTTCTCGGGGTATGAATGAATATTCAAAGCTAACTGGGGGCAGTTCAAGTTGCTAAAAGCTCGGGAAATGTCAAGATTGTCTCGTACGATTGGCTTGAGGACTCGTTGCAGGCACCCAACCGAATACCCAAAAAAGAGGGACCCTACCTCCTTGAAAATCTCACGAAGCCTGCCCAGCCTCAAGCCAAACCCAAAAAGGTTGACTCGGACCGAATCACAAAAGTCCAGAAAGGTATTGTTGCTGTTGTCCTTTCTCAAGTCATTGGCGAGCAACCCTCATACTGACATGATATCTGTAGTCGACGACCCTTTCGCGCCTCCTAAGGGGAGGAAAAAAGGTAATGAACTCTCATGCAAGCTGAATTCGTCTCAAGTAAATAGCTGACATGATCCAATAGCGCGTCAAACCTTTCATGCTAAGGATGGTGTCGTCTACAACGTGACTATGTTCCGTGCACCAAAGCCACCCTCAAAGACTCGGGAGAAATGCCAACTAGCTGTGAGTTTTTTATGTTACTTTCATCTTACAGAAGGCATCCATGGAGTCCTAACCTGCATGTTAGGTCTTTGAGACGATCAAAAAACCCCACTCCTATTCGACATTTGCCAAATTCAGCCGGACAGGGAAGTCAACCGTCCAAATCTTGTCAAAGCCGAAGGCCAAACTTGACTCGGCCATTGCAGAGTTCAATAAGTTTTTCAAAGAACAGACTGGCAAAGAATGGAAAGATATGGGCGATGACAAGGTACCTTCTCCAAAGGTTGGTGCTGGTGGCGAATCTTTGCCTATCCACGAAGGGTGGTTTTATGCCGAGAGACCTAGGAGCATTCTAGCAGAATACTTGAGAGCCGCCCCAAACCTTGAATGACAATGCTGGAACAAAAAAATGATTTATCAGAATAGGGTGGTGTAGCGTTCGAACATGGAGATGAGGACAGAGACTTTGGTCTATGGATGTTCAGTGGCAGCGCGCAAGGGTTGTCGTTGAAGATGGCAAGTTTGGTCAATTGAACGGTCAGCTACAGGGACTGACAATACGGGCGTTCATCTGAATTCATATATTATCAGATATTCTCGGGGGCACTGTAACACATTTAATGAATTCGTCTATATTTTTCTGGGGAGCTCATGTAGTCCCCATGAAGTGAGCAGGGTATAAATGACAAAAATACCAAGGGGAAAGAAACCCTTCCGATTCTCCACCAACACCGGATACGCCAGTTGACTAACAATGCGACATGAGGTTAATTTTGGAACCTTCGATGGCACAGCAAGTGTCATGCGAATTTTTGAAAGATCACAGGTAGTCCTTCTTTTTGCTAGTCCTCGTGTATTGGGTGAGGGCCCACTCAACGTCGCCACTTGAGCCCTTCTCCAATGTGCCTCCCCGGATCTCGAAGGGCCGCATGGTCATGCGCGGGCCAACTTCAGCCAACTCCACATCACGGTAGCCGGTCTTGACGAAAACGTGGTGCCGGACCTCGATGTTATCATCCTTGCAGACGAAGCTCACAACACGGTTGCCGACCTTGCCGGTTTCGCGTGGCGGGAAGAGGTGCTTGAGGATCTGAACGATTCGAGCACCGAGCTTGGTCTTGAAGCCCTCGAAGATTAGGTGCGGGTAGCTTTCAGAGACGGTGCCCTTAGCAGAATTCGGGATGTCCTGGCGAAGAACAACGTTGTGAAGGGAGAAACTAGCGGTCGGACCGTGGGGAAGGTGAGAAATTGTCATCGCGGTGGGTGTACCACGGTGTTCGTGCAGAAGAATCATGTCGGTAAGAGCCGCAGAGGATGCGCTAGAGACCAGATCTCCAAGGACGAGGGTTCCACGGTTGAGGCGAATAGCGGTAGGAAGAAGCAGACGGATCTCCTTGGCGAATGCGCCGAGACGAGCAGAGGGGGAGCGAGAAGTGGTGACCAGGGGACGAGGATCAATGACACCGGAGGTCAAAACGTATTCGTCGTCAATATCCATATCGGCGTCTTCCTTGTCCTTTGACTCGTCATATTTGAAATCCTCACGAAGCGCTTTATCGTTTGCAATTGTAGGATCGAGCGGCTTTCCAGAAGCCAATGAAGCTTTCAGTTGCGCTCTCTTTTCGGCAATGGAGGCATCGCGGAGCAGCAGAGCTCTCCGGTAGAGATAATCGCGACGCTCACGGGTTTGACGGCGCTTTTGAAGGTTAGCAGACTGGAATAAGTGTTTGGCGTAGGGACTGACCAGCATTTTGCAGGTTGGAGTGAAGATAAACCTGACTGAAACGGTGTTTGATAAAAGATGAGCGGGCAACTTTTTTTTCTCTTAACTCCGGGGCTGCGCTTGTGGTTTCAATGGACGGCCGTAGTGGGATCGCACCGATAAAGATTCTGGGCACTTGCGGAGAGACCTGTTTGCTCATCCTTCGAGACAAACTCGTCAACTCTCTTTTGTCGGTCTTCTGAGACAAAGAGCTGGACTGGAAGTATGATTTTTGTGGACTTCTCATGAGTTTCTTTTGCTGATCACTTCATCAGATCTAGATCGATCGTCTGCCCCTCAGGCACACCCTGGAGATTTCCAACCTCCACTTCACCGCAGGACGACCGGATTGTCCTCCACGCTCTTTTATCGCTACTGGCCACTAGGCTATTTCTCGCCTCCCACTGCTCTTGCGCTTTGGTTCACTTTACTCCTTACTCAACGACGTCATCCCCCTCTACAGTGACATTTGTCTCGCACTATGAGCTATCAACCCGAAGACCCTTCAGCAGGTGCTGAGATCGATGAGCTGGATTCGACTGCGATTGGGCGCGCACGCCCCCGGCGCCACGACGACGAGGACGAAGGATCTGAAACCTTCGAAGACGATGATTTGGAAAGTACTGTGGGTGCACCCACCAATGGGCAGCAGAAGCACCAGGGAAATGGCGAGGAGGAGATAGAGCTTCCCGCTCATGCATGCGCGTGAGTCTTTCTTTCTTCGATTTTGAGAAACATCATGCTGACATGTTCCAGATACTGCGGCATTCACAACCCGAGCAGCGTCGTGAAGTGTCTTTCTTGCAACAAGTGGTTCTGCAGCGCACGTGGTAACACATCCTCTTCACATATCGTCAACCATCTTGTCAGGGCTCGCCACAAAGAAGTCCAATTGCACCCTGGTTCGTCGTTGGGGGATACCATTCTCGAATGCTACAACTGCGGCACAAAGAATGTCTTTTTGCTCGGCTTCATTCCCGCGAAGTCTGATACTGTCGTTGTTCTTCTCTGTCGCCAACCTTGCGCCTCTATGCCATCTTCCAAGGACATGAACTGGGATACATCACGCTGGCAGCCACTTATCGAGGACCGTTCTTTCCTTCCTTGGCTTGTTGGGGCTCCAACTGACCAGGAACAACTCCGCGCACGCCATCTCAGCCCTCAGTTGATTGCCAAGCTTGAGGAGATGTGGAAGGAAAACTCACAGGCCACCTTGGAGGATTTGGAGAAGGCCACGGCAGTTGACGATGAGCCCGCGCCAGTGCTCCTGCGTTACGATGATGCATTCCAGTACCAGAACATTTTTGGGCCGCTGGTCAAAATTGAAGCTGACTATGACCGAAAGCTAAAGGAATCTCAGTCGCAGGACGGATTGATCGTGCGTTGGGATCTTGGTCTCAACAACAAGCATCTCGCAAGCTTTGTCTTGCCCAAGCTCGAATTGGGAGATGTGAAATTGGCCGTGGGCGACGAGATGCGCCTCAAGTACAACGGTGAACTGCGTCCTAAGTGGGAGGGAGTTGGGTACGTGATCAAAATCCCGAACAACCAGTCTGATGAGGTTACAATCGAATTGCGCGCCAAGGGCGACCACAAGTCAGTACCAACCGAATGCACGCACAACTTTATGGCCGACTATGTTTGGAAATCGACATCCTTCGACCGCATGCAATGCGCTATGAAGACTTTTGCGGTTGATGAGCTCAGTGTCTCAGGCTACATCTTCCACCGCCTTCTAGGTCATGAGGTCGCAGCTGCCCCCATGAAGACCCAGATTCCGAAGAAGTTCAGTGTTCCTGGTTTGCCCGATTTGAACGGCAGTCAAATCAACGCAGTTAAGAGTGTCCTTCAGCGACCACTCAGTCTCATTCAGGGTCCTCCCGGAACTGGTAAGACCGTCACTTCGGCAACTATCATTTATCACCTCGCCAAGATCAACGGAGGTCAGGTCCTTGTTTGCGCTCCCTCCAACGTTGCTGTCGATCAGCTTTGTGAACGCATTCACTTGACAGGTCTGAAGACCGTGCGTGTCACTGCTAAGTCTCGCGAAGACGTAGAGTCTGCCGTTGGGTTCCTTTCGCTGCACGAGCAGGTTCGTATGAACGACAGCAACATCGAGTTGGTCAAACTCAACCAGCTGAAGGCAGAGCTTGGCGAGTTGTCCAGCCAGGACGAGAAGCGTCTCAAGCAGCTCACTCGATCTGCTGAGCGTGAAATTCTGACCAACGCGGATGTCATTTGTTGCACCTGTGTTGGTGCAGGTGACCCTCGACTGTCCAAGGGCAAGTTCCGTACTGTCTTGATTGACGAATCCACCCAATCCGCTGAGCCCGAGTGCATGATTCCGCTGGTTTTGGGTTGCAAGCAGGTCGTCCTGGTAGGTGACCACCAACAACTGGGCCCCGTCATCATGAACAAGAAGGCTGCCAAGGCTGGTTTGAACCAGTCTTTGTTTGAGCGTCTTGTTATTCTGGGCTGCTCTCCTATTCGTTTGAATGTTCAGTACCGCATGCACCCTTGCCTCTCGGAGTTCCCCTCAAACATGTTCTACGAGGGCTCGCTGCAGAACGGTATTACTATCGCTGACCGTGTCCGTCGCGACGTTGATTTCCCATGGCCCATCATTGACGACCCCATGATGTTCTGGTCCAACTTGGGCAACGAAGAAATCTCCGCCTCAGGAACCTCGTATCTCAATCGCACCGAGGCTACTAACGTCGAGAAAATTATTACACGCTTCTTCAAGGCTGGCGTGCAACCCAAGGACATTGGTATCATCACTCCTTACGAGGGACAGAGAAGCTACATCGTCAGCTCGATGCAGGCAAACGGCACATTCAAGAAGGAACACTACAAGGAGATCGAAGTCGCCTCGGTCGATGCCTTCCAGGGCCGAGAGAAGGACTACATCATTCTCTCTTGTGTTCGTTCGAACGACCATCAAGGTATTGGTTTCTTGAGCGATCCCCGCCGTCTCAACGTTGCTCTTACTCGTGCTCGGTTCGGTCTCGTCATCCTTGGTAACCCCAAGGTCCTGTCGAAGCATCCCCTCTGGAATTGCCTTCTGCAGCACTTCAAGGAACGTCATTGCCTAGTGGAAGGTCCTTTGTCCAATCTTCAGGAGTCCCTGATTCAGTTCAGCCGGCCCAAGCAAGCATACAGAGGTCCTCAGCGTTTCCAAATGTCGTTCAGTCAAGCTTCCAACTCTCAAAACAGTTTAGCGAATGGTCGCAACGGTCACCGCCCTGACTACCATGACTCTGGCTCTGTGGTCGGCTATATTCCAGACGATGTTTCCTCCGTCCACGGCTCCTCCGTTGGTGGTGTTGGACTTCCCTCTGGCTACCCTCCTATGTTCCAGAACTTTGGTGAGGGCTGGCCTGCTGTTTCTGGCAACCGCCGGGCTAATGGTGGCCGTGCCAAAGGAGCACCAAGTGTGGCTGGAGAGTCAGTTGCCGCTACCGAATCGGATGTCACCAGCAGTGTCGCTGATGGCCGAAGCGTCGATCAGGGCGGCGTCAGTCTTGCTGGTCTCAGCATCAATGACATGAACAAGCAGCCCAGTCTTAGCCAGTCCGACAGACTGAAGCGCTACGTCGAATCTGGTGGGCGTGAGCCTTACCGCGCCGGTGTTCCCGACAACGGGAGTATTTTCGGAGGCAGCTCTGCTAGCATTCGCGTTACTCGTGGTGTTCCTGGTCAAATCCCTCACGACGATGACGACGCTCGTAGTGTCTCCACTGCGTTTGCCAGCCAGGTCGGTGGAAACTATGACTGAGTGACAGAACTCTTGATCAATAAGACTCGAGGCAACCTTCCCAAAATTTTGCCCGCCTTATCGCTCGGGGAAATAAGTTCCGTGCACACTACCAGGGTTCTTTCCAACAGAGTCTGCCCGCCCATTTCTACTGCCGACCAGAACCAGGGATCGACGAACTGAGGACATTCCGGATGCTCATTCCTAGGACCTTTTGATCTGCCCCAACAGCACCGTCTTCGTCTGTCGAGAGATGATTTCTTCGTCTGACTCCTCGTCGTTGTCACCGAGGCTTTCTTGAAAGATGTGTCTTTGAGACGTGAGGCCACAGGCAATCACCACTCAGTATGTTTTGGCTTGCGCAAATCCATGAGCCTCCGCTTATGGTTGCCGATGCCCATCTCAGATCGCCCTCGTAGTAATTCCTGGGCGACTCTGCGAATTTACCCTTCCCCTTGGCTATGGTTGTTTCATACTTGCGAGCTCTATCTCTTAGGTTTCCAGGTATTTAGCCCAAACAGTCAATGTCAACTATGATTTTTATCACGAACATTATCGTAATCCAGTCTCTATCAATGCTCCAGAGTAAACATTGTCATTGACCTCGCATCCCTTCCAGTTTTGGAAGGTTCTGCGAACCAGGTCAGCCAGCCACTTGGAGAGAAGAAATAGGAGCTGTGCAGAGCAAGCATGACCCTAGTTGCTATTTCGCCGCGCGGAGGAGCCTGCAATTCTATCTATCACAAGCAAAGATTCATCTTTACACCGCTCATTCCATCACTTATAACAATCTCCCAGCTGATCTTTACAGTACGTGGTCCGTTTATACAGGATTAGGCGCAGTCCTGGGTTCTCTCCTGAAATTTTTTCCAGGTTATATCAAGACGACATTTTCGCTCAAGTATAAGACTCCACGTTTGTTGTGCGTAACAGATTTCGGTGGTGTTCCATAACGCGCGTTGCCAGTTAGGGCTAATTTGCTTCCCCGCATCAGACCTCCGCAACACAATTACAGCACAAACAAGCTATCGCAGCACCGCAGAACCAGGGTCAGCCCAAAGAATACTTGAAAAATGATGTCCATCGGCACCCACCGTCTCTCCTTCTCTATTAGTGGTCCACCACGCACCCCCAATGATCCATTGGTGGTAGTCATCCCAGGGTCAGGTGATGTTGCCTCCTCTTACGCAGCGGTGGAACCACTCGTCGCCGAGTTCGCACGGATCTTTCTCTATGATCGCTCGGGTCTTGGCAACAGCGAGCCCGCGCCCAGTCATCCTCTCGCTGTTGAGTCGGCAATAGAACTACACAAACTTTTACAGGCCACGGAGCAAGCCCCACCATACGTTCTAGCTGCTCATTCCTACGGTGGGATCATTGCAAGGGAATACTATGACCTCTACCCCGACGAAGTATCTGGTATTGTCTTCTGTGATGCTTCCACCGAGAGACTCCTCGAATACGTTGATATCCCGGACCCCAACCTGATTGCGGTCCTCGGAACATTGGATTTGGATCTCGTGACAGAGCTACAGGCCAAGGCAAAAATATCACAAGATAAGTGGCAACAGAGAGCTACGGATAAGGCTCGTGGGATTCAAACAGTTATGGCCGAAGCAAATGGGGATGCGGTCCAGGAAATTTGTCGCACGCTTGCACAAAAGAAGCAGTTCGACAATCAGGCCATGGGTAGTAAGACACTAAGCATCATCTGTTGCAACACTGCTCTGGACCAAGAGCGAATATATGCTGCGGGGGTCGAAGCTGGAAATGGCACAGAGGCGCAGCAGAGAGCGTTCAGACAGACTCTCGATCGGTTTGGGCCAGCTGCACATGGTCTCGCCTCTGATCACATGAGGCTGTCTTCGAATACGCACTTTGTCAACCTTCCTGACTGCGCACATGATGTTCAGCTCTTGAGACCTGATGTTGTGGCAGGGGAGATCAAGTGGGTGCTGGACCAGCTTAGAGGCTAAGGCTATGTACACTACTTCCAAGGTTAAGACCCTGGTCGTATGGGAGTAGAAAATAAATGATACATTCAGCTATGTACATCGCATATTTGAATATTGGCTTGGTGTGAACTATAATACAGAGGTGGTAACAGAGATCAATGGCATGCTTTGCCATACTTGCGCAGGCGCAGGTAATTGTACGGCAAAGGTGCCAAATATCCAGCACCCATAGAGACCACCGCCGCCAACCAGAATTTAGGATCATCAAACGCGACCATGCCGCCGGTGAGATGGTAGTCGACTGCATTCTCCGCGAGCTCCATGGCCAGCATAGAAACCATGCTCATACCCATGGCAGTGCGAGCAGCCCTCGACCAAGAAAGCTGATCAGCGCCTCGGCGCAGCAGTACTGTTTCAAGAATGATTGATGTTGTAATGCCAGAGGCCACTGCGATATTGTCAGTTCTCATAACCCAGTGTCATGCCATTGATTCATTCAAGGGATGACTCACTTGACATGGCCATGATGGTTCCCATACCCAGCTCAGGGTAGTAGGTCTGAAGAATCCATAGTGCAGAGAAGTCTCCAGCTGTACAGCCAACCAGACAGCGAAGTGTATTGACTCCTGCTCTTCTCCACGTGGATTTGCAATTCCAGAATTGCAAGCTGAGGGTGGACAGGGGCTGCGAAGGAGAGGTTGCGGCGTTTTTGCTTTGACAGGTTGGAAGCTTCTCTTTAGATCCTTCGGCCTGTCTAGTCTTCTCTGAGTGGCATGCTTGAAATTGTGTGGCGCTCCTGAAAGGTCGAATAGCCACCCGCGAAAACAAATGGCTTTGTCGCAGCGGTACTGGGTGGCGAATGAAGTTCATATTTAGTAGAATCCTGTAACCACCTGACCTGAAAATTGTCACAAGTTGTACAGGGTAAATCTGAGCAACAAATTCCACGGGGGTTGAGGGTGAGGACGTTGTGGAGCATTCCCCGGGCCTGTAGCACAAATGCCTCAGGTCCCCGGATGCCCCGGGGTCCACGTTCGATTTAGTAAAGTCCATGAATTGACCTAACAAGGCCACACTATCACTGAATATTTACTTCATTTCACCTCAAATTTTGATTGCGTCGTCAATTTAGGGACACTTTGATATGTTTTCTGATTAAATCTTGATCCAAATTCCACAGTTGAGAAACAATTCATCGAGCCCTTGGAAAGTTCCCTTCGTATTGACATTGGTAGTACTAAACACATTCCTTCAAAAAAGTATACATGGATCGTGAGCTTCAACTTCTACCTAGGCACGGGTCATAGCTCCGAGGTCTGCTTCCGAGGTTCCAAGCCCTGGAGGTTCAAACCTTGAATGTATTACCTTAAAAGTATATACCCGACTCGGAAGGACTGAGGAGACATATATTATCCAAACCAGCTACATACAACCTTGGAATACACTACGTAGGTACCTAAAAGTCCTGAGATATTCTAAAGGATCAATTCCAGGTTATCATGACTTCCAACCTTCCAAGGTTGGGCATACAATGACTCTCTCAGCCTTGGAAAATTGTGCGCCTACCTGGGCAAGGCTTCACAACTTTATCTACCTAGTACCTAGGTATGAATTGTTCTCTCAAAGGCCATTTATTTTCTTTGAGATAACAACGAGAGATAAGCCAGCATCATGCCCAGTGAGTCTACCCCGAAAAGGTTGCAAATACTGGAGTCTCGTTTCATAGATAGTTTTGGCATGCAATCAAGAACTTGCCCAGGGGGAGCGCATGTACAATTACATGTCGACCTGAAGTATAGCGGAGCGACTCAACCATCTTGGTAATTGATCCGGTTTGTTCATTTGCGATTTGCACCGAGTCTGGCTTGACAGGCCTCCGCCCCGTGGCATGGTTGGGAGAAATTGCGCGGCATTCCCTCTCACCCGGGCAAACAGAAGTCGAGCTTTGCGAGCCAAGGTCCCCAATCTTTAACTGTCTTAGCGACCGAACCGCCAATTGCGACGCGACGACTTCTGAGTAGACGGAGAAAGTAACCGCAATGAATTATCGTGGGGCGCAGGCTCGAGGTGGGTCTGGTGCCCAGGTGTAGTTCTACTCATACATCGCAAGGCATGGGACCCGACTTGGGCGCCATTCTCAGGCATTGATATTGCGGAGACGTTGGTTATGACACCTTGCACTCAAGAGTCAAGGCCCTCCGCCTAACATGCTGTATTCTGTATGGCCATGAGCAACCAGCCTCACAATTCAAGGTTGTGGGTAGGTTATGCTTTCCCCGAAACCCCAAGAAACTGGCCCGAGACACCTAGTCTCCTATACGTGGGAATATGTAAAACCTAAGGGTAGTCGGGCGGCCTTGGGAGTTGACAATACTTCGCTTCGTCGTCTCTATGTCGCTAGTGGGTTTCAGGCCATGAGCAGCAGTACCTTGAAATGCAGGTTTGTTCATGTAAGTGTCCGTTTGTAGGGTTTCCAGTGGGGCACCGAACAGAAAGAGCGCTGAGTACATGTCATTGGTAGAAGTTTCGATCCCATCCATGATACGTGGATGTGGCGGTCAGTTATCCGAATACGGTTCGCCTTGTTGGTCCACGTTGAAGGCTGGCTTGTGCCTTACTCTCCGAGCTTGCGAGCTGGACCGTCGTATAACCCTCAGGCCGCTTGAGAGCGTCCATGTAGTTTTGACCCCCTCAGCCCGGTATGGCCGGGAGTTCAAGCGCCCAAAATAGATAAGCATGTTAGTGAGGCTTGACGGCAAGAACCCCCAAGATCTTCAAGGCTGTGTTAATTAGGCTTTACTTTTCTTGCCCTGCCCGGGGGTGTTTCAGCTTGAGTGTCGACATCGCATGTATGCAGACAACGGACATTCCGGTGACAGTGTCACTATACTGCTTTTTGCCTTCAGCTGTGGTCTTGATTGAGGTTTTCTGTTTCTTTCTCCAATTAGCTATCGTTCCTTGATCCATGTATCGTCGAACAGCGCATTGATGGCAAAGCTATCGGGATTGTCCCCAGCGAAACAAGCGAGCAGGCGACGACATTCCCTGTGCGTTGATCTTCAGGCATAGCCATTGACCGTCTCGCCGTATCCACTCAGGTACTCTATTTGAGTTTTAGCATGCAATAGCACAGTCAATGGCCAAATTTGAAGTGCATCGCCCAGCATGCTGCTAGATAGACCCTTGGAGGATATTCCTTTTAATAGAAATTGATTGCGTGTACTCATACATCAAGGCCGAGGGTCTGAATTTTGCAGCCTAACCTTCGGACATGGCGAACATACATTGCAGCCAGGCACTGCCCGACAATGCTTAAAACATTAGTGGCACGTGATTGGCACAATAGCCAGTCACGTGTACTGTCTTCACCGCCACCTGGTTTGTCAGCATGATACATGCCCAGATGTGGCAACTCACCAGATTCCGGATTGGATAGCTGCCTCCAGGCTGTCAGGCACTTACGCTGTCGGTACCTAAACTGGATCCGCTACAAGGAGTACATACAGGCTTTGTTGCGGAGTCATACGGTGTGTTGAGCCAACTATGAGTCACTTTGAACGAGCCAGAAGCCTGCAGGGTTCAACCAAAGATTAATAAACAGATTTTTGCCCACGTTTTGACGTGCATGTAATATATAAGCTCTGACCAGTGATCTCATAAAAAATTCAGCATATCGGAAACCCCGTGAAAAACCGAGAACGAAATAACCAGAGCGATCGGCTGCGCCACACAGTGGCGCCGAACTGTTTGCGGTATAAATAGCCTGCCTGCGGGTGCCTTGCTACCTGAAAATTTTGGCAACTCCTCATCTCTCAGTCCCATCCGACTTATACTTGAGGTTGTCACCAATTTATCTGAAATTATTTGTTCCAAACACTACTTTCTGTCTTCCTCTCTTTCACCGACTACTTTCTACTGCTGAGTTGTCCGTCAAGGGAAAAATCGACGCGTCTTTTCCGGTATCTTCATTCCATCCCCTCAGTGGTGTGGGGTATCAAACTTCTAGCGATATGGGCGACGGGTCTGACTATCCTAGCCCCAGAAGTGAAGGTCCCAACGGCGCCCTTGCTGCATCTATCCTAGCCTCTACCGCGGAGACTTCACCCCCAATTCCCAGAATGAACGAGCCGCAGCCCATGGCCTACACAATCGAGGGGGCGCGCCCACGCCTGTCCGTTCGACGCGCTCGCGATCCCCCCAAGAACCCCGAGGGTCAGATCTTCTGCGACCATCCCGAGTGTCAAGCTAATCCTCCGACTTTCCGCCGTCCGTGCGAATGGAAGTAAGTACAATCCTTTGTGATCTCGAGTACGCGGTTAATACTAACGCAACACCAGTAAACACATGGATAAACATGATCGCCCTTATAAATGCTTTGAGCCAAATTGCGACAAGATTCAAGGGTTCACATACTCCGGCGGTCTTCTCCGTCATCAGCGCGAAGTCCACAAGAAGAACACCGATACCAAGAAGGCACTGATGTGCCCCTACACCGACTGCAACCGCAGCACCGGCAACGGTTTCACGCGTCAAGAGAATCTTCGCGAGCATCTTCGCCGTCGACACATGCATAATGACGAAGGTCCCTCTTTGGTCGTGGACATGCCATGGGATCGCACCGATCTTGAAGTTGAGGGAGTCCGCGCACCCTCCCTTCCCGCGACTGGCATGAAGCGTCGCCACTCCCCTAACGGAGATCTTCCCGAGACTGACGAGAATGGAACCGAGCTGCACCACGAAGTGAAGCGATTGCGCCGGGAGGTTCAAGAGAAGGACCGTCGCCTCGAGGAGTTGGAGCGAATTGTTGCAGGCCTTCAACAGGCTATGCCTCACCAGTCTCCACCCGAGCCTGACCTTCAGGAGCTTGCCCAGCCTGTCCCCCAGCCCACTACTGCTACGCCCGTCTAAGTGGAAGTTTCCGGAAGCAAATAGCCATGCCTCCGACTTTGCATCATGTGGGCGTTTATTGAAGCAGCCAGAGGACTTCAAAAATATTCTGAATTTGTGTTATTGTTTTTTGAGTTGTCCATTTGTGCAGCATTCGGGGTCGGTATCGGCTGGTTAGCTAGGGGATTCATTCGTCCATGTCCCCTGCAATGGTTGGCCGGTCCAACCTCCACGGCGTTCTAGCTTGATCCGACGATTCCATGTGGGCCCGGCGGTGTTGTCTCGTCTCATATACCCGGTTTTTGATTCGATGTATTATCTTTAATGTTGATGCTTTCCGTCAATCCCTACTTTCAGTTTAATTTGAATGCCGTCGATATCAAATTTGTCTCATAAACTATCCTCATGTAGTCCGTAAGCTCCGAAACAGTATTCATCGTGATTCCCCGTTCTCAGCAACCCTGGGAACGGTTGTCAGGCACCAATAGAGGCAAGTCAGTCGAAGTATAGGGCAGCCAATGAAGAGCGACATCAACTTGATTCCTAAGGCGACGAGGCCCCCGGCCTCAGGCGTCCATGCGATAACGTGATGCTGATAGAGCTATTTCAGCCACACCTCCGTGACTCTTGTTGAATACCCTCGAGGCTCCCGCGAGATCCCAGGTTGCGCACGGTCTCGGAGAACTTGCGTCCCCGCCTTCGGCGTCCATATCTGGAAGGTCGGAGTAGGAGCTGTAACCCCGCCAGGCGGGCTCCCAACGGAGCTTAAGGCTACCCTCAGCAGCCTATGAGGCTCCAGCCTGTCGACGACGTTGTCCGAGAACTGACTAATTCTCCCGAGCTGACATGTTATGACTCATTGCTACGTGGAACGCGGGATGTTGTGGTTCTCGACTCAAAATGGTGTCTGAACGCGAGCGCCTCGACGCGTTATCACATGATGGCTTTCCTCGGGTTCCCTTCGTGATAGGTTGGCATCTAGTGGAATGGAGGATGTGCTTGTGATCCCTGCTATCGGTAGCATATGTCTCACAAAGCTAGGAGGATTATATCGACGCGATGTGATTTTCCAGAGTGAAGGACCAGATGGATCAGAGCTTCCTGGGGCCGAGAAAACCAAACTGCATTGACAGAAACTTGTGAGGCACGCCACTTTCCGGCCAGCGTCAGCCAGTCCAGGGGCCGGCTTTCTCCAAAGCCACGATAGGGAGCTCGGTGGTTAGTTCGACAAAGACCAACACTGGCTTGAATGAACCCCAGAGACGAGATTCTGAGGGCACAGTCCAGTAGACCCCTCCCATGCAGCCTTCACCATCATGAGAACTGACCTCGGTAAGTATTAACCTCCTGAGCTTCAACTTTGGCAGCTCGCATGCTTAGCGACGATGTTCAATCACCGGGCAGCGATTGTCAGCATGATGCAACATGTGTTGACGGGGTTGAGCAAGTGATAGTTGAATTGACGATATTAAGCGAGTATTGATACATAGACTAACTGCCATACGGAACAAGTTTATTCGATAGCTCATGATCTACATCTACAGTCAAATTCATTTCGTATGGGTCGCTGTTCGTCGCTGTAGCCTCAGGCTACCCAGGACATTACCTAATCCGCAAGTGGGCTTGGTCCAGCCTCCCCTCATAGAGACACTGGACTCGAAAGCGTTAAGAATTGATAGTTACTTTTGCAGAATAGCGGATCATCGCGGCTGGTCGCAATTGAGGGTGCATGAAGATTTGATGTACCTGCAAAGTCCCCACATTTGTATTGAATGGGACGTGCCGCGACGCTGCACTTGGAGCTGGATCTTAGATTCGATTTCCAGTGTTGTGATTTGACCTGAGCTCAACCACTGCCACTGCAGCTGGAGGCCCCGCTACTGGAGTTTACATCAAATCTTCACGCGTCTACCAAGCAAGGCGCTACAGTGAGAACCTCCAGCCATGTCTAACAACCAGTCAGCGGGCGAGGTGCCCATGTCACTGCATGAAGAGTCGCCCTACGTACGCACTCAGGATTATGTCCATGGCCCGCAATATATGATGCACGAACAGGCATCGCCTCGGCTACCACATCCTAGACCATATCAATTCGGATTTGGTGGTGATGACACCGTGATCGTGGACGCGAAAGTGTTCAATCGCAACAACCATGACTTCGCCGAAGGAGACTTCATCTGCCCCGACTTCTTCAACCGCGTCGATCTAGGGGGGTTCACCCGCCGTTTCAACGTTTCGCAATGGAGTTACGAGATGCGACGGCAGGCCCAGTCCGTTCTTCCCTTTCTATCACTGGGTCCTTCATCTTGTTTACGTGACATTGAGTACATTCGCAACCAAGGCTTTACTCTCCTTCTTGCAATCAGAAGTCGCCACTCCGCGCAGGCACGTCTCGTATCTGGCGACAAGGCTGCGAGAGAAGCCGGAATCATGGCGGATACAATTGATGTGCTCGATAGCCAAGAGCTCATTTCCGCATTTCCTCGCGCAATCCGCCGCATCAACGATCATTTAGCCGGTGTGGATATCGACTGTAAAAACATGGCGGTGGGCAACACGCAGCAAAAGAGGAAGGTGCTCGTCTTCTGTGAATCGGGCAACGAACGTTCTGCTACCGTCGTCATTGCCTATATCATGGTCATGCTCAACCTTGGCGCTGTTGAGGCCACGCACACTATTCAACAGCGGCGTTTCTGCGTTTCTATTGAAGATAATTTGAAGCGCACCCTGGCCGCATTCGAGTCAATTCTTTCGGCCAAACGTGACGTTGAGCACGCAAAACACGCCATCCCCCCGCGCATCAATGCCACTACTTCTCTGGCGCCACCTTCTCCGTCGCCAGTTCTTGCGAAGAAGCGAAGCTTCCAAGACCATATGGATGATTATCACACCATGGATGAGGAAATGGATGTGGATGGAGACGAGGACCCATTCTTTGAACGAAAACCTGATGCCCCATTCCAAGACCGTGTGGTCTAGGAATATCATATCTACTACAACCCCTGATACCATGAAGGCAACTCCTTGCCTTATGGGACATCTGGACCTTCAACGCTGTCATGACATGGTCCAGCCCCCTTTGCTGTAGCTAATACCACCGGTGATTTCGATATCAGACCTGCTAGCTGCGTATCAATCTATCTCTACATGTAAACAGTGATATCCCTCGACCTATTTGAACAAGTGGAGTAGGCATGGTCCACTCTTTTACTGCTGTTGCATAAGAAGCAACTGGAAGAAGCAAAGAATTTTGTAAAGGGCCAAAATCTTGGAGTTGATGTTAATAGGTACGTGCTACGCCGCAAATATAGCTCGCATCAAGTAATACACAGGTGCGCCGACTAAGCAAGTGTAAGAGTCTTTCAAAGCAACGGACCTGACGTTCATCCATGATGCTGTGATAGTTCCTAAGGCCATGACCAGAGCTATTCTTCTTTTACATCTCCCTGAATGCTTTGTTCTTTCATGCATCTGCCCATCCGCAACTACGCCGTGATAGCCTCATCAGAACATGAAGCCCATCGCGAATGTGCCTCTTATATATCTATGGCGCTCATTTGAGAATAGTTGACATGCTGCAACCTATCGTGCATCGAGGACAAAGGCGAACATGGTGTCGATACTTGAGTGTTGCAAGTCGAGCGTTCAATATAGGTTGGTCTGCTCAAGCAGTCGTCGCAAAATCAGCGCCTGCTTTCTCACATTTCAACACTGGACACTTCCTTTCGAAATTCTTACTTTTCGTCACAACAAATTCAGTCCTGCGTCCTCCTGGCGCATCATTGAGCCTACCATCACTCTCCTCCTCTCTTTTCTTCCGCCGCGCGCAACATACTCATCACGCACGCAACCAACCATCACTTTTCTTTCTACACATGATGAAGCGCCTGCGAATCTTTGTCTGTTGACACATCTTTCCAGCCCGCATCGCCCAGCGCACCTCGCGCAGTCCTCCTTGATCAGAACCCACGTACCACATACCTTCTTGTCCAACGGTCAAAATGAGTCCCATGAGGCTTCGAGACAGCATCCGCGTGCCCCTCCGGTATGGTGAAAATGAGCTCGACACTCCAAGTCAAACCCCACTACGTCAAGCAGATGGAGACTCGTCGGATGAGGAATGGGTGCAAACAAGTGAATCAAAGAAACCTCCCTCTCGGAAGAAGCGCAAGCCGAATATTGTGCCGTACGACCCAAATCTGCCCCCTGCTGCGTTCCCTTCACTCGAAAGACCACACCCTGGACCCGCGCCCAAAGCAACTGAGCCAAGACCCAGAGTCCGCAATAGCCTCGCATCCCAACAGGCGGGTACCAGAGAGACCCAAACACTCCCCATTCGCAATGCTAGAGCTGGACAAGCTGCCTCGTCAGGCCCCAGTCTGTTGGAGGGTGTTCCAATGGATCAGCTTGAGAATTATCTCGCCAGCAACAACATGGCAAACCCGACATATGCGAGAAATGTGGAGCTTGCTCGCAATGCGCCATTGAATCCAGCTGATGCAACAGGTCACTTTGATAGCGATGAAGAGCTGCCAGACGCGACACAGGTACTTCTTGATAAGGTGAAATCATGGAACACTCCGTTGATTCGATCAAACCCTATGATGCTGATATATGTTTACCAGATCCCGAATCCAACATGGAACGATCTACATCCAGCTATGCAAGTCGAGATCTATGAGAACATGATGGAAGACTATAATCATTATGCCCTCCACCATGTGCTCGGTATTGGAAAGCCGGAGCATGCAAAGATCATGGAGTATGTGGGGGTTCGTAACAAACAAGTCATGCGAGAGAACAAAAGCCTTGAGAAGATGCGAGCCAAGCAACGCAGCACCCTCATGCAACTCGACAATAGCGACTTGAGGATGTTTGAGCCGCCCCCTCAGCTGGTGCTGAAGAGGATCATGCGGGAGACCACCAGAGCAATGGTCAACAATCACACCAGCCTGATGATGTGTCAATCGCACGATTTTCTCAAGGCCAGACAATACCTGCACAGCCGCAAGTTACCACGTCGCTATGCGGGTGACTGGGGGGACAGCCTAGTGGCGTTGAAAGAATATGAAGAGGATGCCCCTGGTCCGGATAAGTTTGAATGGATGGAGGAATTGAAATTCACTCCGCCGCCATCTCAGCCAACCCCTGCCGAGTTGCAAGCTGTCCAGAGAAACGCCGACTTTATCAACAGTTTTAGCATGGGTGCGATAGCTCCTTCTGACCTAGAGCAAAGCGATTCTTACCAAGGTGCGACTCAAGACTGGGGCAAATATTTTGAAAGAGGGCAAGATGGTTTATCTTGGGATGCCACAAAGCCTCGCAGAGGTGGAATGGTCACTTTGCGCGTGGGCCGACGGAATGCAGAAATTCTTCGACACTACGAGATGACGGGTGTCATGCCTCGAGTTGCTGCTCCTCACGGCACGATGAACCCAGCACACATCTCTCAAACGGTAGTTCCGGGGGGTCACGTATCTCAATTTGGCATGCCTCAAATCACTATGCCTCCTGTTGCTGTGGCTCAAGGTTCAATGGCTCAATTTGGCATGCCTCATATCGGTATATCTCAGGTCGGAATGGCTCCATTTCCCATGCTCCAGGCCGGGATGCATCAAGGTACTGCCTCTCAGTTTGTTGCCTCTTCAGGCCCTAACCTCCCTGTTGGTATTGTCCCAGCTATGGTGCCTCCAGTCGCATACCCTTCGATGCTAGTTCCTCAATGTTTCGTGCCTTTGCATGGTCAAATGCCAACCCAAGCTCTGCCTTTACCACGGCCACGAGAACGTCCACCGGGTGCACGGCCGAGGGCAATGCCAAGCAGTTCTCCATCAAGCGGTGCTGGTGCCATCGTTCTTTCAAACGTCCCTTCGCCCGTTGGTCGTCTGTCTGCTAGACCGATAAGCCGACGTCTCCATACTGATCGCCTTCCGGAGTCGGGAGTGGGGGGCCATGTCTCTAGCCAAGCCAGATATCAACGACAGATGGCGAGAGCCCACTTCGAGCGCATGGAAGCATTGAAGCATGCGCAGACTGAGCAGCAGTCTAGCACTCTACCGAGTCGCCCAGCAAGAAGTGCCATTGACGCTGAGATTCCGCCCCAAACCCCTGCCGAAAAGCCCACCGAGGAAGCCGAGGAAGCTCAATCTTCGGAGATATTTTGTTGGGAGGAACACGAAAAGATAATGAGCAGTGATTCCGTTGAAGATATGATGCGAGAGTTCATCCAGTCTCAACCTCCAGCCAACAAAGACAGGAAATCCAGTTAGGGCAAAGGCCGAGACTACCCCAGCGCAAACTGCCTTACAGGAGAAGCGTTGGTCCTTTGGGGATGGAGAATGTCTTCGATATGTTGGAATCTGGGCCGTTCAATGAACCGAACAGATATGTATGAATATGATAACGTGAAATAGCAATCCACTTTCCTACAAGTACGAAGTTGTGCATATAGTCGAGCCCATCTAAAATTGGTCCGTGCATCGAACGCGAAAATACCGCGTCCGGGGTTGTCGCGTCTATCCCGACCTCGTGTCTCATCTTGACCTCGTTCAAACACTATTGCTAACTCCCATCTCAACTTGGCGGGGTCTATCTTAGCAGGGAGACCGCTCGAGTCTCTGGCATCTCGCTCCTTCAACCCCTACCCACGAAACTTGATTTACCCGCCACCGAACACTCCCTGCGAATGACGTATCCAGTTATTTCGCGATCGATCTAGCTTTCTTTGCCCACAATTCACGCACTGTTCAAACACACTCGTTAATCAGCGTTATCAAGCATCATGTCTCCAGCAGCCGCAGAGACTCCGACAGACTCCCGTGCAGGAACTGCCCAGGCCGAGTCCACGGCACCTTCATCGCCACTAACCTCGACCGACGTGAATACTCCCACTGAAGAATTGAAGAAGGAGATGTCCGACTCTGAAGATGCGGAGGATATGGACAGCAAAGCAAATGCCTTGATGCATTTGCTGAAGACAAGCTCGGTGTGTGTTCAGTGCGCTAATGTTATGCGGTCGTATTAGTCTGACTATGTCTCGTGCCCTAGGTTTTCGTTGCTATCATGTCCGATAAAATGAAGAAGCAACAGGAGGAGGCCAAGCTGGCTGCAGCAAAACAGCATCAAAAACCAGCAAACGAGTCAAAGGGCGCGGCTAAGCCTACTACTCAACGGACCACTCGCACACGGGCCGGCCAAGGGCCTGGCGTTCAGAATAACTCGAACCCTGGTGGTAATGATGATGATAATGACAATGATGTCAAAAAGAAGAGCAAACCAGGACGTCCTGCACGTTCTACTGCGACTGGAAAATCGATCTCGAGTTACTTCAAAAAGGCCGATGTTGAAGTGACTGAGGAAAATCCATCGGTTCAGCAAGCCCTCGAAAAAGCGGCAGACGACTATGAAGCCAATCCAACCGCCTTGGGAGAACAAGAATTGGTCGCAACGCAACAACCTGAGCTCGTCACTGGCGGAAAGATGCGAACATACCAGCTGGAAGGCTTGGAATGGCTCAAGTCACTCTGGATGAACGGGCTTTGCGGTATCCTCGCTGATGAGATGGGTCTTGGCAAGACGGTACAGGCGATATCAATGATCGCCTTCTTGAAGGAAAAGAAGGTTCAAGGACCTTTCTTGATTGCCGCTCCGCTGAGTACAGTCAGCAATTGGGTGGACGAATTCGCAAGATGGACTCCCGGAATCAATACGATGCTGTATCATGGCTCGAAAGACGAGCGGGCTGCAATTCGCAGAAAGTCCATGAAAATGAAGGACCAGGGAAGTATGGACTTCCCAGTGGTTTGTACTTCTTACGAAATTTGCATGAATGACCGCAAATTCCTCGCCCAATATCAGTGGCGATACATTGTTGTGGTGCGTCCTTATTCCTGACGCTGTCTTAATGCAATGCTAATTCACATACAGGACGAAGGTCATCGCCTAAAGAACATGAACTGCAAACTAATTAAGGAACTCTTGACCTACAACTCGGCCAACAGACTTCTCATCACTGGAACCCCATTGCAGAATAACATTTCAGAGCTGTGGTCACTTCTCCACTTCCTTTTGCCTGAAGTCTTCAATGACTTGAATTCATTTGAAGGCTGGTTTGACTTCTCTTCTGTTCTTGATACCAATGGCCAAGCAGAGCGGGTGGAGAAGAGAAAGCGCAACCTGGTCACAAGTATGCACGCCATTCTCAAGCCATTCCTTCTTCGCCGCCTGAAGACGGACGTGGAACATTCTCTTCCGAAGAAGCGGGAGTACATCTTGTATGCCCCCTTGACGGCAGAACAGAAAGATTTGTATCGGGAGATCATCAGTGGTACAGGGCGACAATATCTTGAAAGCAAAGCTTTGGAACGCCTGGAAAGCAAAAGTGCTTCATCATCTCGCTCTCAAAGTATGAAGCGGAAGCGAAGTGACAGCGGTGACTCTACTCCCGCTCGGAGTACAAAGGCTCGAAAAGCAGCTGCGCCTACCAGCGATGCAGTTTCGTCCAAGCGCCGTCGGCGTAGCACCCGTCAGACAACCTACCAGGATCAGTCCGATGGAGAATTCGATGAAAATCTCCGCAAGCTCGAGCTTGGAATTCAAGTGGATGAAGAGCCGGAGCGCGAGCCCAGTGATACTGAGCTTGAAGAGCAAGAACGGGCTAAGAATTTGAAGCTGGCCAGTATGTATATCCTTGTGTCATTTCACCCCATGCACCTCTAACAAGGGCTATAGAAAGAGAAATTGGCCAGAAGAAAATGCAGAACCCGGTCTTGCAGGCACGACTTGCCTGTAACTCACCTCACAACTTCTATTGGCCATGGATGGGCGAGTCCGATGTACCAGATGAGTCGCTCGTCTCTGCATCTGGTAAGATGCTCTTACTGGACCGTTTAGTCTCTTGTCTCCTCGAGAAGGGGCACAAAATCCTCATTTTCTCTCAGTTCAAGACACAGCTCGATATCATTGAAGAGTATGCGACGAATCTACGCTCCTGGGAATGTTGCCGCATCGATGGCGCAATTGCGCAGTCTGATCGTCGGGACCAAATAAAGGATTTCAATACGAAATCCTCTCATAAGATCTTTTTGTTGAGCACCCGGGCTGGCGGTCAGGGTATCAACCTCGTCGCAGCAGACACTGTTATCTTGTTTGACTCGGACTGGAATCCCCAGCAAGATCTCCAAGCCCAGGATCGGGCACACCGAATTGGTCAAACCCGGCCAGTGATCATCTATCGACTGGCCACAAAGGGAACCGTTGAACAGACCCTGCTCGAGAAAGCAGACTCCAAGCGCCGTCTTGAGCGTCTCGTCATTCAAAAGGGAAAGTTCAGATCATTGCTGGACCCCAGCGCAACTTCGCAGGACGTTGATGAGCTACGGAAAGTCCTCGGCGAAAATGAATTTGAGCGGTTCGAAGTTGGCAATGACCCTACGGCTATCTTGTCGAACGAAGATCTTGAAATCTTGACCGATCGCACCGAGGAGGCGTATTCTCGAGCCGAAAAGGGCCTCGACCGCAATGGAGCCGCTTTCGTCGCCGTCGAGACCAAACGCGATGCCGACGAAAGCATTCTTTCGTGAATGTTTTGACGTTCAATCAATTCAATTCGGGGAGGGTTTCTCCTATCGTTTTCTAGACCGTTTTTCGGTTCTGGCTTGTATTAAAACAAGAGGACTCATCTGGCGTTTGGACACATTCAGGGTGGGTGGGTGTGGAAATGAATCCTCGTTCATCAGATTCTGCTTTCTAGGTTTCATACGTGACGTTCTGGTTTAGGCCGTTGTCTAGATACCTTGTTGTAACATAATTGTTTGACTATTGAAACATGTCAAGTAGGTAATAAGCATACTCTTCTAAGATTTCTTTTCGGCTACTCCTTCCAAGTTGCACGGGAAAGGCGAAAGTAAACTACTAGGTAGGTACTTTGAGACTTCGGATTAGTCGCATGGTCAGCTTGACCAGTATTTCCGAAGTCATATATCTAGGTGACCCGCCCAGGTGAGGATAGTTTCAAGAAAGTGATCAAGTCCATTTGACGCCTGAAGCTCTGTATTAACGACATGGCTGTACAAGGTAATGCGCGATTAAGAAAGCAAGGCGTATATGCAACTAATTGACGGAAACCGAGGTTCCTGGTAATGCGATGATAGATCATCGCCGGGCTTTCTCATCTTCAATCTGACTGCGCAGGTCCGCCAAGACATCATGTCGTTGAGACATATGGGCCTTCAAGCCATCCACCTGTTCTCCAACAGTCTTGACATCGTCCCGGAGTCGTTCAAGATCCTGTCCGTCCTTAGCACGACCAGATCCCTCCCGCAACTCACGAAGCTCGCGCTCCTTATACTCCAACAATGAAAGCGCCTCCTTCTTAATAAGAACCCAATTAGGACGGCCATCATTCCGTGGCCCATCCCGTCGAGAATCCGAAGCTTTCTGCGTAGCGCTTAACTTCGCCTCCAGCTCCGCCAGCTCGCGACGCAGCCGCACCTTCTCCCATTCCTCGTCCTGGATCGTATCGCTGAAATCAGTGCCCTTGGGTTGGTACGAGCTCTTGCCACCAACGCCCAGTCGGCCGAGGTATGTGTCACCGAATTTGGCTTTGCGACCTGTGCGGGTCTCGGTTTCCCCGTCTACGCCGTAGCGTTGTGCGGGGGCCGCCTTGTCGATTTGGTAGTCAATCTGGTTGGTTTCAAAGGATGCGCGCAGAGATGCGGGGATTGTGCGCGGAATACGGAAGCCTTCATGGCGGAAGTTCAGGATGTGGAGGAAAGCAAGCGTGGCATCTTTGTTGATTGCGGGTGACGCGGAAGGGTTGACGAGGTTCCATGCGGAGCGGACGTCGGTATCGGGAACATCCAGTGATTCATAAAGCGGCTGTAATTGTTGGACTGGGGTCTGTTAGCGGGGTGTGCATACGCTTTGGGGTGAGCGGCTTACATTCTACTTGGCCTCGGGCGTTGCGGTTGGCATCGTAGATATCCGTATACTTGTTCTTATCGTTAGGCTTCATGTACCAATCGAAACCGTCCTTCAGGCCGAGAGTATCGTCCTCGTCTTCTATGCGCTCGAATTGCTCTTGTCCGCCGCTCAGTGCTCGAGTCGCGTGGATGAGGTGGGATTTGGACTCTGGGACTAGCCAGTCTGGCACAACGTTGGGAACTTCTTGGAGGACCTAATTTGCAGATAAGACACTGGGTCAAAGACGATTCGAGCGCGGTGCAAAGGGGCAAGGTACTTACACCATTGACCAGGTCGAACACTAGGCGCATTGCAACACAGAACTCCTCAAAGTCGAGCTCTCCATCTCCGTCCACGTCGGCAATGTCCCAGACCTTCTCAAGCTGATCATCGCGCAGCCGGCTGTTCCTCAGCACCGAGGCAGCCTGCGAGCTGTTCAGGTGCTTCTGACCATTTGATAATGAGGCGAAGATCTCCCAGTACCGCTCAATTTCCCATTGCTCAATCTTTTTGGCTGACATGGTGGAGCTCTGATGAATGGTTGAAGTGGGTGAGGTGGGAAGGGAGACGGGGGTCGTCCACCTTACCGCCAGGGGCTCTGAGGTCATCGGGTATCGCGACATCTATTGTCTTCACGTTCTTATCCCCGGACATTTTCTACATGTTCATGATTTACTTGTATTCTCCTTGCATTATAGTACATAATCCCCGCTGAGCAGTCCATGATAAAAACACCGTTTCCCAGCCAAGGCAAATAATGCCGCCCGAGTGAAATAAATTAACTCCACATTTCATGACTTTTTCTTGTCTTCTGGACTCTCGTCTGCTGTTTCTGTCTTCTTGGCATTCCTTGCAGCCTCGAGCTGCTCGCTGACTTGAATGATCGCACGTTCGGCCTCCAGGGCAAGGTCTGGGGCCTCCAAGATCTTGGCCAATTTCTTGGCATCTGACATCTTGAGCAAGACCTGGTCGTCGCTCTGCTCTATATCCTCCGCGATCTCCGAATATGGGGTATCTTTGGTTGTTTTCTCGAGGGCTCCGGAGGCGCGCTTCGCGTAAAGGTCCTCCAGCTCTGGCAGGGAAATGGGGTTGAGGAGATTCTTCTCAACTATAAATTCCAGGTGTTTAGAGCCATTGAGAGCTATCAGGATGGTTTTGTCAGCTCAATTCAAACTCCGCGAAGGGAAAGGTGAGACAAACCGCGCCAGTGGGACCAGCCTCGGTACGCCAGGTAGAAAAAGGGGATATTCGGCACTCTGATACGTGTTAGCATTTGCTGTTTGTGATCCCAAGCAGCCACACATACACTGGAATCAGACCGAGTGGTGCTGTAAATGGTGCTGCAATGAAACTCCACATCATCCGCTTCTTGTGAAGCTCCTGCCTCTCTGTGGCGATCTTGCGCAGCACAGGGGAGATTCGCTCCAATCGCATGGCATTTCCAGGGAACAACACGTCGATCTTGTTCGTTCCATGATCTTTATTAATGCGCTTCTGTGCTTCGAGCGAGGGAATGCTCTTCAGGCCCCATTCTTCGTATGGTATCCGTTGTTGGACTCGATTGCCCCAACGCACCAAGTGCATCTTCCAACCCTTATCGGCCTCTTCCCATTTGGCCCATGTCTCCGCGGCTTTGGTCGTAATTCGGTCGAGGTAGGAGAGCTCACTGGAAAGATCTCTTCGCAGGGGTCGAGCGTATATGAGAACTCGCTTTGTCGAGATCGGAATTAGAAAGAGTCGCATAGTGTGTACTTTGAGACAATGGCGCGCGGAGAATGTGGTATAGGGAAATTCAAGGAATCTGAGTCGCAGAGAACAAAGAGTTATGTCGCGAATCGTGAAACGTCTTAATTTTTTTTGCGGTGCAGTGGGCTGTGTAAACCTGGAAGGGATGGCGCGGGATCGTAGGCCTTAGGCTGGAGACGTCATTCCGCTCGCGTCCTGAGATCCTCCCATTTCGACACTTTCCAATCGGAGCTTGACTTCCACGGGAGGCGCGCATTGTTGACGCCTTTCGCAATTCCCGTTCCAAGCCTTTCCCCTCTGTTTACATATTCCCCTATGGACAGCTCCAAAGAAAGCGCTGCAGGGCGCATCTTCAGCGAAAGACTGGCAGATAAGATCCCTGCGCCTATCCCAGAGACACCGACGGCTCCAAATCACTTGAGTGTCGATACCGAGGCTGCCATTCGCACTTCCTCCAACCCGTCACCGGCACTTGCGCGCTCAAACGGTCAGACAACAGACGAAGCCGTCTATTCGCATCCCTTTGCGTTACGAACTTTACCCGGTACAGTTGTCTGAATTGATTGCACAAATACTCTACTGACAGTGGGCACCTCGTAGCATGGATTCGGTCAGCTCAAAAAACCGAGGAGGATGAGGATGAAGCTACCGTCACCGATCGTTTACTTCCCTCCCAGCCCCACGACGCATTCGTAGCCCAGCACAATCACTCTCCATATGCGTCATCATCCAAGCACCAGCCTACTGAATCCATTACCAATGGCTTGTTCGAGGATGACACCCCTTATGAAAATCGGGAATCGCGTTGGGTGACATTCTCGCGCACAATCCAATACCCGAGGGAACCCGGCAGAGAGCAAGAGCAGGTCACGTCAGAATGGATGAATCAAAACCACGGTGACTATCTGCAACCATGGCGAGGCAAGCATTTGGAAGGCGATAGTCCGGAGTATCCACTGCATAGTGGAGGCCGAAGGGAGATATGGATCAAGCGCTTCAAAAAGACACTCCTGCGGAGTCCATTGGTGCCATTGATTCTCCGAATGACGGTTTGGTGCTTTTCACTCTCTGCTCTTGCTCTTGGTGGCTCGATTCAGCACATGGCCAACGAAGGCCATCACCCCCAGGGCCCATCGGCGTTGATGGCAATCATCGTTGACGCTGTCGCGCTGATTTACCTGCTATACATCACTTTTGACGAATACACGTCAAAACCCCTCGGTCTGCGCTCCCCTTCAGCCAAAGCGCGCCTTCTTCTTCTTGATATTTTCTTCATCGTCTTTGATTCTGCCAATCTTAGCTTGGCATTTGCTTCGCTATCCGAAGTGACCGGATCTTGCACCGAGGCAGAGGTCAACCAGGTAGTGGATCCCCGAAATGACCATATCTGCGTGCGACAAAAGGCCCTCGCATCTGTGCTACTGGTTGCACTTCTGGCCTGGCTTATGACTTTCTCGATAAGTGTCCTCCGGTTCGTCACTCCCTGTGATTGATTCAACTCCATCCGTCTACTAACTCCCATGTCTTTAGCCTCGTCGAGAGAGTGACACAGTGATTACTTTGCGATACGACTCGGCTTAAATTCGACTTTTGGGTTAATAATATAATGTCATCTAATCCGCACAGGCTTCCATATGGACACACCTGTCGCTCGGGCTTATCCGTCCAACAGATCTCGGGTGGGTCTGCCATAAATATTGCGCTCAGCACTACTGAGATTTCGTCCGTACTCCAATGGTGCATATCTCACCATCTGTGTGGATGAGCACCAACCTTTTGGCCATGTTTCTCATCGCCGCTCGGCTCTTCACCCGACCTCGCCGATGCAGCTCTCCACCTGCCGCATCAGCTCGACTTTCGGGGTGCCCTCGTCCATGGTACCAAGATATATTCCGATCTAAGCAGTCCATGATTCCCAGGTTTATGATCAAAAGTGTCCGGCGTATTCTGATGATTTTGAAGGTCTGCAGATAATGCAGAAATACCATTGCAGGCTTGGTTTATGATGGCAAGTGTTTTGAGCTAGACATGCATTCATGTTTTGGGCATGGAGAATTGGTGTTGTGTTGTATCTCGAGCACGGAGTATAGACGATGGACTTTGGGATGAGATAAATGACGTCATCAGTGGGGGTCAACATAAGCTTCGATTAAGCTATTTTGATCATCCTCTTCTGTAACCCAAACGCTTCATGTTGGTGGTTAAGCCAGAGGCTGTCTTCTAATAGTTGAAACATCAGATCTAGCCAGGAGTCTTGATTGTGCTTGATCTGGGAACCAATTTGACACAAATGTTGATGTTGGGCTATGAGGGGCATGGTGAATTCCTAAACGCACATGCCCAACGTGGGAAATTCCCATTAATAATCTGGCTGTTGGTTCCTCGTGCATAATGTAATGCATGAGTATCAAGTGGAAGGCAGGATCAGTTCATCAACAACCTCAGAATGGTGCTAGAAAGTGATATACCTTCTAACATGGTCAGTTCCCACAAGTTTGGAGGAATTATAGCCCAACAAACAACCTTGAAAGCACTGGGGTCACACAAGTAGACCCCAGGAATAATATTTGGCACCCGACCAACAATCATATGTTATATGTCGGGCTGCGGAGAGGCCTAAGAAGGCTTGAGTACGGATATCATGCCAAAGGTTGTTAAGCCAAGCCATTTAGGACATATCTTCCAGAGATTGACAGAGGTAGCCCAATGTATCCCTAAGATCAGAAGTGGTGGAAAGTACGGAGTAGAGAGGGTCAAGATTGTGACGATGATGTAGATACAAAGCTCCGCCGCCTCACCGCCTGCGGTAACAGGCCATCCCCACGCTTCTTGCCCTCAGCCTCATCACTTCCTCTCTTCTGCCTGATCTTTCTCCTTACCTTCACTTTCAGATTCGGTGGGCGTTTTTATTTCTCGACTCCCCGCGGAAATCCCCAATCTCTCCCCGTGAACCTCACTCGAACGCGTCACCCATCCGATTACAAAGATCTTTTGAGGCGTGACTGGTGGCGCTCCAACCCTCAGCGTAAACTTTGGGTGTGTGACTTCCAGGACTGTAATGACGCAGGATCCATGCTGATGAATTGAGAAGGTCGTTTAGCCCGGGACACTTGATTGTCTCGTTATCTTGTCGCCGCCGCGCCCCCCTGCCGCAACGATGTCTCGAGCGATGCCGCCGGTTCCCCACAAGGACGACCTTGATTCCACGTGAGTTGGCCATGGATTGCAATGGTAATGATGCGAGCGTGTGGCGGAGGCTGATCTGTTGACAGTTGGTCGTTCCTTGAGGACGGAATCCAGAGCGTCATGCTCAACCTCGACGGTGGTATTGACATGAAGGCTGTAAGTGAATGGACCAAAACCTCACTTATCGTATACATTTGCCCCGAAGTGCCAGATGTTGACTATTTTTCTTTCCTAGTACATGGGTCTATACACGTGCGTTGAACATTCGATCCTCTCCACTTGACTGGAACCCCGCTTATCATTCCATCTTAGGGCCGTTCATAATTTCTGCACATCACAAAAAGCCGTTTCAACTGGTCAAGGACTTCAGCAAGGACAACGCGGGGGTGTGTCTCCCCCAACCGTCGGATCTTCGACTACCCAATATGGACTTGGACTAACCTGGATGCAAGCCCACCTATTGGGCGAGGAACTTTACAAATTACTCGGCGAATACCTTTCACGCCATCTCAGCGACGTCTTCGATAAATCACAGACTCACACGGAAGAGGGCCTACTCGGATTCTACATTCGCGAATGGGAACGCTACACGACCGCCGCCAAATACGTCAACCATATCTTTAAGTACCTCAACCGCCACTGGGTCAAGCGCGAAATCGACGAGGGAAAGAAGAACGTCTACGATGTCTACACCTTACATCTTGTCAGATGGAAAGATGACTTCTTTGAGAACGTGCATGAGAAGGTTATGGATGCCGTCCTTAGCTTGATTGAGAAGCAAAGAAATGGAGAGACCATCGAACAATCTCAAATCAAGTCTATCGTTGACTCCTTCGTGTCTCTGGGCCTCGATGAAAACGACAGCTCCAAGTCAACCCTGGATGTCTATCGCAAATACTTCCAGGACCCGTTCATTGACGCCACCAAGGTTTATTACGAAAACGAGTCGCGCCAGTTCGTGGCGGAAAACAGTGTGGTGGAATACATGAAGAAGGCCGAGGCTCGTTTGGATGAAGAGAAGGCTCGTGTCGGTCTCTACCTGCACCCGGATGTCACCAAGGGCCTTACCGATACCTGCCTGGCTGTTCTTGTCACTGCTCACTCCACTCTGCTTCGCGACGAGTTCCAGGTCTTGTTGGATAACGAACGGCAGGAAGATCTTGCCCGTATGTACCGCCTTCTTTCCCGCATCAAGGACGGTCTGGACCCCTTGCGTACGACATTCGAGAACCATGTGAGACGCGCTGGTTTGGCCGCTGTCGAGAAGGTCGCTGCGGACGGTGAGAACTTTGAGCCTAAGCTGTACGTCGATGCTCTTTTGCAGGTCCACACACGGTATCAGAACCTTGTCGACGATGCGTTCAACGGCGAATCCGAATTTGTGCGATCTTTGGACAACGCCTGTCGAGAGTTTGTCAACCGCAACCGTATTTGCAAGACCAGCTCATCCAAGTCCCCCGAATTACTGGCCAAATACACGGATTCATTGCTCAAGAAGGGATCAAAGTCAGCCGAAGAGTCGGAACTGGAGGAAATGCTGGTGCAGATTATGACCGTTTTCAAGTACATTGAAGACAAGGATGTTTTCCAGAAGTTCTACTCCAAAAACCTGGCAAAGCGCCTGGTACACGTCAGCTCTGTTTCCGATGATGCTGAAACAAGCATGATCAGCAAGCTGAAGGAGGCATGTGGATTTGAATACACCAACAAGCTCCAGCGAATGTTCCAAGACATGCAAATCTCTAAAGATCTGAACAACAACTACAAGGATTGGCAAGACAAGGTCCTTGATGACGATGACAGAAAGCGCATGGCGGACGCTCACTTCCAGATTCTGGGAACTGGTTTCTGGCCCCTCAACGCCCCCACCACCCCCTTCCTTGCGCCCCCCGAGATCGTTAAGACAGCCGAGCGTTTCCAGAAGTTCTACTTTGACAAGCACAATGGTCGCAAACTGACATGGCTATGGCAGCTCTGCAAGGGAGAAATCAAGGCGAACTACATCAAAAACGCCAAGGTGCCTTACACTTTCCAGGTATCGACATACCAAATGGGAATTCTCCTGCTTTTCAATGAAACCGACACTCTCACTTACTCCGACATTGAGAAGGCCACCACTTTGACTAATGAAATTCTTGACCCCAACCTTAGCATCTTGCTCAAGGCGAAGGTTCTCATTGCCAACCCCGAGGGCGCCAAACCCGAGCCTTCCACCACCTTCACTTTGAACTACAACTTCAAAAACAAGAAGGTCAAGGTCAACCTCAACATTCAGATCAAATCTGAGCAAAAGGTCGAGGCAGATGATACACACAAGACGATAGAAGAGGATCGGAAGCTTCTGCTTCAGGTATGTTGCTTTTAACTTTCCAATAACGACGTTCCATCCTAACACCACTGCAGTCTGCCATTGTGCGCATCATGAAGTCGCGCAAGAAGATGAAGCACGTTCAGCTTGTGCAGGAGGTCATCCAGCAAGTCAAGTCTCGCTTCCCGCCCAAGATCCCTGATATCAAAAAGAACATCGAAGCGCTCATGGAGAAGGACTACATCGAGCGAATGGACGGTGACGAAATCTCCTACATTGCATGAACAACCCTGTTCACCTCTCCTCTCTTCATTTCGCAACCCCCTCCCAGGGTTGCAATGTTCTCCTCCCATTCCTACACTACACCACTCGCTGCTTTTGGCAACATCCTCTCGGACATCGGTAACTTGCCTGCTTTCCCTGGTGCCTTTCCGCCTGTATGCGTAAGTGGATACCAGGAACTTCAGTCAAGACGACTTGGCCTCCCAGTGGAGCATTGGCTACTCTACATGGATAGCTGATGATTGATATCTGGAGAGAATAACAAATTTCTCATTGTGTCGGTGATTTATCTTAAATTTTCTTCATAGCGCTGAGACGACAAACCAATGATGACCCGGATGCTTTTTACTCTTGTGTATTTTCGCTTCTCCTGAAATTATTAGCTTCAATCATAATAAATTCGTTTCGGATATGGTGTCTTGATTGAATGGACTTGCATCGAATTCCCAGCTGACTGTCAACCACTTCCATATTTGTATTTAGATCAAAGATATGAGGAATGTTGTCGAGTTGTCCGGGTTGGGTGATCATTTGCCCTGTCATTGGTACAATGCCCCGTAGAAGACCATGTATCAGACGTGAAGAGAGAAGAAAAAGTACATGAACATCATTACACAATTGAGTATTGATCTCGCACCAAATGCGTAACATTATTGATTTCTATAAACAGGGATCTCCCAATCCAGGAGAGGCTCATATATATCCAAAGGAGCATCTCAGGAATATGCCTCGGCGAAAGTCAATGCAAACAAAAGACATTCGATCCCAAAGACCATGAAGACAAGAAATAACCGTCAGTGAAAACCAGGAGCCCAAAAAACGAATCCCGAGCCCAAGCTCGTTCCAGACGAGCTTCACTGCGATGAACGATCGTCCTTGACAGGAAGGGCCGTAATGAATTCCTCAGGGTCCGCCTGACCAGGAAGAACATTCTCCTTCGCTTTGCCATCTCCCAAGCTCAGTCCTAGACCCTCATTCGGCGTGAGAGCAACAGAGGCAAACCCATCTGCGTCAACGGTATCCTGGTAACTCTTTCCAGCCGGGATCCCAGGTCCCCTGTCTATGCTCTGTTTACCCTCGTCCTCGTAGGCCGGGAAGCCCTGCGACAAGGGTGATTTCGGGTACGGAACATCCTGGGATTCGGCGGTGGAGACATCATCGCGACGTTGGAATTCGCCGCTTTCGCGACGCAGAAGGATATTGCTCCATCGCTTTCTGCGGCTGACACTGCGGGTTAGACCACCCTCGGCGATGGAAGGGGTGGGGGAAAGAGGGGCATCTCCTTCGCTGTGGTGCTGGATGGAGCGGCGACGGCCGCGGTCAGAGTCTGCGATTTCGGTGACGACGGTCAACGCCGGGGCGGATGGTGAAGTGGTGACACTGGGAGGAGCATTGGCGTTCGGGTTCGGTGAGGTATTGCGCTTGTCTTGCCATTCGCGACGCTTCTCGCTGGCCCATGATCCCCATGAACTGAAATACGCGCCTGCTTTTTGGCCGGCCGCGGCCACGGAGGCTTGGGCTTGGGTCACGTCTATGGAAGCCCGGGGGCGGATATCATTGGGATCCTGGGAGGGGGTCGGTGAAAGAGGGGTGTCCTTTTCCAGGGAAGTGCGCTGGGACTGAGTGGCTGCTTTTTCCTCGTTGCGTTTGCGTTGGGTTTCGCGCATTGTCTCGATATCAGACCAGAAGCTGTTGAACGCCGCACTGACCTTCTTCTGGCCTGTGGAGAAGTGGCGGCCCAGTGCCTCGCGGCCTTCACGTACTCGGTCGTCCAGATGGAGGTCTGCGACTTGCTGGGAGATACGTCGTTGGACGTCCTCCATGGTGAGGCCACCGGCGTTGGGGTGCCGTGGCTCCGTGATGGAGAAAAGGAGTGCGTCGGAGGTAAGGCGCGAGAACAGTGCATAATTAGAGGTTGCTTGCCACTGGGTCAGGAATTCGGTGTTGAAGTCGATGGCCGGGTCTCCTTCAATATTAAAGTTTTGCAGCTGAGCCTTGCTGCGAGTGGGAGAGTCGCCGTTATTGACCGAGCACAATTCCTCGTGGTATTTCATGGAGGATAACAATGCCAGCAGGTATTCCTCAAATTGCAGCCGGATGAACTCTTCCGAACCCATGAAGCCGAGTGTTTTAGGCTGAGAAGGGTGATCGTCATCCCAAGTATCGTTGACGATCTGCGTGAGGAGATCGATCCAGCGCCTATCTGCCGCAGAAAGGGCCAGCGCATTCCGAAGAGATGGAGTGTTGATAACGATGCTGTCTTCGTCGAGGTTGATTAGAATGTCACTATAGCGATCTTTCTGCTGGAGGAGCAGGGAGTTTGTTGAGCCAACAACATAAGATTTGGTCCCATCATCGGCCAGCAGATCCAGCAGCTGGAGAGGTGTATAGGGACCAAACATGCTTCCTTTGCCGAAGATTTGCAGCGGAAGACCCATGTATGCCAGCAAGGAGCTTCGGTCGCTCGTCTTAAGAGAGGTTGGCTTCTCAACGGTTTTAGAGTATGTGTCGAAAGCAGGGTCTGCGCAGTCTTGCAGGCTGTTAATGAGACCCGGTATTAAAGATATAAGTGAGAATTGAATCATGCAAAGGCGTTCACAACGCGTCCCAAAGAAGAGCATCTTGGGCTGCAACAACAGTGCCTTGAACAGAACCAAGGTCTGGGATTTAAATTCATGAACCATTTCCCGAAGCGACAGGCCTTCAAAATTCAGCGAAGATTCAAATCGATCGTAACGGCTCGTCTTCTTACCCAAGTTCTGATCGGTTGGGCTATCATCGTTCTGGAGAGCAATTACCAAACCTTCCCGGAATTTCTGCAATCACATTAATCTCCGTTCGAGGCACCGCTGTCAGCGAAACATACCTTCAGGATATCAAAGTCGGAGAAGTCACTGATAAAAAAAGTGCCACGTCAGCTAAGGTATGTCCCTGTGACTTGTCCTCGATGTAGACTTCACACCGGCCCGTGAAAGTCGACGATACACCCCTAGAGGATAAGAATCCACGTACCGTTGCGCAAACCACGCCGATGTCACCACAGAAAGCTTTTCGCGTAATTGGCCTACTCGCTGCGGAGTATCCGTGACAACCACGACGGCTTTCTGTACCGTTGAACGTGTCACATCAGCGGAGCGGTTGATGAGTAGACTCGCGTCAATCTGGCGGGAGCAAGCTATCCCGAAAAGAGACGTCGCAGGGATCGTAGGGGTTTCTTTTCGGCAAAGAGTGAAGTACGAGAACTCTTCAGTCGACCTAGAATCCAGGGTGTTAGATAGTCTGGCGCAAAGCGGCTCCCTGTCCGATGCGTGCGCTCGAATCCCGCACGGCACTGAATCCGGTCGTATTGCACAAAGGGGTATCTCTTACAGGTGCGCTCCGTCCGATAGGGCCATGAAAGGCAGCAGGGACCAGTCATTCTCAACCGCTGGGTCGGTTCCTTCGTCGGCAATGCAATGCTCGATCTCGGGGCCTCTGCGGGGGCGTGTCTCAGTCAGCGAGCTACAGGTACGGGTCTGGCTGTGTTCCTGGTCCCCACGCATGGAGACCTCGGCCTAGGGGGTGTCTGGCTCACCGTGCATGGTGGAAATCTATGACCAAGACAATGGGGTCTTGTTTATGCTGGGCAGCCATCACGCCGGATCATGCAACGGAATGATTCTGGATTGACCCGGGTGTGTGTGGTGCGGTGAATGGGTCGAGGGAGTGGTTTGCGACAGAGCTGAGGTGGTCTCCTCCGAAACCTCGATGTTTCCCATGAAGATCGTCGCAAACAGGGGAGTGATATGGTTATCGCGCGCGTTGTGAGTGGCCGAGGCACAGGCGGTGAATCGCAGCCCCGCCAATCTATGAGGCGCATACGGAGTACATAGGTTGTGTATTTTCAGCTGAGAGATACATATAGCATGTTGTCGGCCTCGGGGGAGAATTTCGAATTATTAAGAGTTATGAGAGGGTCATCGCGCAACTAAATAAAATTCCCCCATATGATTTCTCCTAATCACCAACCAGTTCTGACGACGCCGGAAAAGCTATGGACAATAGTTACCACAAAAGACAAGAAAAGAAAAGAAGCCGAATGAAATGTGAAAACAGTAAAGTACGAGAGACGGGGAGACATGCGAGCCTCGCGAAGCCATTGGACAGACATAGGGCCAGGCTGTGCATTCAAAGACTGGAATCCAAGGATCGGAGGGCGAGTCTTTCACTTATGAACGTCCAATAATTATGCAAATGTCTGTCCAGCATCGCCTTGGACTCCGCCCTGCACCAAGGCCTCGCCGGCCTCGTTGCCTTGCTCGATATTGTGGAAGTCCAAGATCTCAGAGTACCTGAAACGAGTTAGTCAAAACTTAGGAACCCCACAATAGCGAATGAATCACGTACATCATAATCTTCCAGGTATCGACCGGTAGGTCGGCATCATTGAAAGACCAATCGAACTTCTCTTGCGCAACAGGCTCGTCGGTGGGGTCGTGGTAGGGCGCCAGATACTCGTGCGACAAGGCGTCGGTGGCTTGAATTCGCTGCTTGGGGTTGAAGACCAACATTCGCTCGAGGAGTTCGATCGCTAAAGCAAGTGGTGTCAGTATTGTGATCCATCGGGCATGGGGTGATCTATTTGGCACATACCGTCGGGATCGGCGTTCTTGAACTTGTTCACGAGGGGTTGGCGCTCGCGTTGAGGGAGAGACTTGACGAATCGGAGAGTCTACAACGTTGGTTAGCGGTTTCGCGATTGCCATCGTTGGAACATTTAAGACTCACGTTCTCGCTGCAGATGGTCTGGATCACGTCATCTGGGGGAGTGCCCAGGAGCTCGGTGATAATCGAGAACTGGTTGACATGGTCCTTTCCGGGGAAGAGCGGTTTTCCCTCCAGCATCTCGGCGAAAATGCAGCCCGCACTCCAGATATCCACCTCGACGTCGTATTTCTGCCAGGTGAGCATGATCTCGGGCGCACGGTAGTATCGTGTTGAGACATATCCGGTCATTTGCGGATCCTGGATTCGAGCCAGACCGAAATCGCAGATTTTCAGGTCGCAGTTTTCATTAATGAGAATGTTGCTAGGTTTCAAGTCGCGGTGCACAACACCAGCCGAGTGAACATATTTCAAGCCACGCTATCATATGGTCAGTTATTTGGCGGCAGCCCGGTTGTGTTGGATGGAAACTTACCAGAATTTGGTATAAGAAGTACTGAATGAATTGCTTTTCAAGAGGTCGTGAAGTGAGCAGACGGTGGAGGTCAGTTCCCAGCAGTTCGGTGACGAAGTAGCTGCGGCTGTCAGTATATATGCGCCCCGCTCAGGAGATCAAATCAACTTACATGTCTTCCAACGGCGAAATGAAGATGTCACTCAAGCTGATAATCTACAGAGTGTCAGTGAACGCCTCGGGGTGGCTTTTTAAACAGGGGACGGACATTCTCGTGGCGGAGATGCTTGAGCAGTTTCAGCTCCCGGTAGGTTCGCTTGGACAGCACAGGGGTGCTGAAAGGCTTCATGATTTTCTTGACTGCGACTGGCTGCGCTGTCAATTGATCCTTTGCCGAGCTGTTGAGTGGCCTAGTTAGCGCTGCCTTCGAGATGTCGCTTCTGTGCGACCTAGATTGCGACTCACCAGACCAGGCCGAAGGCGCCCATTCCCACCGGCTGGAGCTCGGTGTATCTAGCGAGGGCAGTCAGCATCACATCCTAGACCGCCACGGGGCTCAGGGCGGACTGAGGGGCATTGCGCACCGGCTGGTGATCTCAAAGGTGGTGCCGAAGATCTGGGCACGCACGAATTCGGCCATGATGAAGATATTATCGCTGAAGACGAGAAGCAACCAGACAAGAAGCCGAAAGATAATCGAGAAAGGGGGGGGTCGCGAAGAAAGTGTGTTGGCAGCAGATGTGGGGAAGGGACTGAAAAGCACAAAACAAGGTCGACCCACGTCATCGCCCGCCAGGTTTTAACGCTGACTCAGCCTTTACAAGAGATTCACTATGTAGTTATATTAGATATTAGATATTAGGTATATCAGACATAGTACTACCTAGGTAGATTTAGTTGATATAGTAGACAAGTAGTTAGAATATATACTCCAATTCCCCTGTCCTCGCTGTCGAGTGAAAATTCCGCCACGCGGCCCAGACCCGGTCTATTACTGCAAATCATGAATCTGCACTTTCTGCCTATTTCCAGCGTTGCTATTTGCCGGTTACGGGAGATATCAAATAGCATTGTCTATCCGATCTAGACCGATTGAGAGAGAGAGATCTATATTTATATATATATATAGGTATGTATATACTCACCCTCTTCGAATGGCACATGGGCATTATCAACCCAAGGTTGGAAGATAGCAGAACTAGTGGACGGAATAATAACTCAGATCCGCTCATGGGCCAGACCGCCAGGGGACATCTCAGATGCCATTCGTGACGTATCTTAACAGTTGAGTTAGAAGTCAGGTGGGCCATATGTCCGGTAAAATCTACCCTTAAGGCCTTTTCCCGATGCGGATCTGGCGGCTGAGACATGTAAAACATGCAGTACGAACACTGGTCCCCTTTGCAGTTTCATAGTCCATGTTCAGGTGAGCAGTATTCAGGGCACAATCTCTTTGTCGCCCTGAGACCCTCAAACACATGCTAAGTACATATCAATCTCAGCGCGATTCGGCCAAGACTCGGAACGGTTTTGCCTCTCCACTTTTGCGGATGTTGAATTCGACGGAGTACAGACCTCCTAGACCTGGATCTGATGGAGATGGAGAATCTGAGAAACTTGGAAATAGGTGAGATCTCTAATAGGAAGAGATATATGGACTACCTAGTAGTATACTAGTAGACAGTTCGCGTAGAGTACCGAGAGATTTCCCTTTGCTCGTACAAGACCCTGGACATCTAACAGAACGTGTCGGGTCCTTGACGAGGGCAATGAAAAGAGACTCGAGAGATATTACCCTCGAATCTGCCGTTGAGCATTGGAAATAGAAAGTCCGGGATATAAGAGCGTTGGGTAAAAGGGTTAATTACCGAGAGAGCGTACACGTTTCTTACCACTCGCTCCAGTCTGGCATCTCCACTCCCCCAGCATGACGATGGTCGCACTGACACTGTTCCTTTAACCTCCTATCGCCATTGTGATCCTTCCAACCTCTCCCCTCCGCGGATCCTGTGTCTGTCGCCGTATTGTACACGGACCGCCTTCACCCGCAACTCCCGAACTCAACTCTCCTTCCGAACTCGCTCGTCGCAATCCCTCCCACCTTGCACCTCGCAACGCCTCCAAACGCCCGCTCGCCAACTTTTCGCTGAACCATTTTGCGCTTGTCTCGTCTGTCGCTACCGCTTCACCCTCGAGTCGCGCGGATCCTTTCCCGTCTGTGTGTGCGTGGCGCTCATAGCCGCATCCCCCAATTCCTACCCCCCACAGCTGTTCTGGTCGGCATTCTTTCCTCCTGCGCGCGATTGATGAGTCGACTCCCTACTGGTCGGAGACATTAAAGCTCTCGCCATGGGGTCCTGTTTCAGTTCAGAGTCCACCGGGGACGCCGATCAGAAGAAGCGAAGCCAAATGATCGATCGCAGATTAGAAGAAGACTCTCGACGACTACGACGGGAGTGCAAGATTCTTCTCTTGGGTAAGACATCCGGTGCCTGCCGTGGAGCTTGCCCCGACCTGGCTAACCTGGACTGAAGGATCCGGAGAAAGTGGCAAGTCGACGATCGTGAAGCAGATGAAGATTATCCACCAAAATGGTTACACCGTGGAAGAGCTCGCGCTCTATCGATTGACCGTCTACAAAAATCTCCTGGACTGTGCGAAAGCTCTGATCGGAGCATATCATTACCTCCAACTCGAACCCTCCAGCCCAAAGGTCAAGGAGTACATCTCATTCCTCGAGGACTACAACGTGGATCCTGACCCCAATACCACCCTCGATGCGAAGATTGGCGAAGCGATCACATACCTGTGGAACGACCCGTGCACGTCAACCGTTCTCGAGCACCAGAACGAGTTCTACCTCATGGACTCCGCACCATAGTACGCCCCCACTTTACGTCCCACCCCAGCTCCAGCTAACAGCCCCCAGTTTCTTCGACGAAGCGAAACGAATAACGGCCCCCGACTATATCCCGGACGTCTCGGATGTGCTCCGCGCAAGAACGAAGACCACCGGTATCTACGAGACACGATTTACAATGGGGCAGCTAAGCATACAGTATGTGGTCACTGGAAATCGCGCTCCGACGTATCCTAACAATCAGCAGCATGTTCGACGTAGGTGGCCAGCGCAGTGAACGCAAGAAGTGGATCCACTGCTTCGAGAATGTGACATCCATCATCTTCTGCGTCGCGCTCAGCGAATACGATCAAGTCTTGCTAGAAGAGAGCAATCAGGTAGGAGGCATCGGCCCACTGTGGATATAGCGCCAGGCTGACCAACCTTGCAGAATCGAATGATGGAAAGTTTGGTGCTGTTTGACTCCGTGGTCAATTCTCGATGGTTCATGCGGACAAGTATCATCCTCTTCTTGAACAAAGTTGATTTGTTCCGCTTGAAACTGCCTCGATCCCCGTTGAGCACCTACTTCCCCGATTACTCCGGCGGCAACGACGTGAACCGCGCCGCCAAATATCTGCTCTGGCGATTCAACCAAGTCAACCGCGCACACCTGAACCTATACCCCCAGTGAGTATTCATCCGTCGGGTTGTTCTCCAGAGGCCCCGCTAACAATATCTTCAGCCTCACACAAGCGACAGACACCACGAATATCCGCCTTGTCTTTGCAGCAGTCAAAGAGACGATCCTGCAAAACGCCCTCAAAGATTCGGGTATCCTATAATAATTCCCCAGGTCCCCGATCTTGTCGCTCAAGTACTTTCCTTCGCTGCCCTTCTTTCCGACCAACCTAACGACCAAACACCGTCCCTCTTCTCAACGTCGCCCTCGGTGTTCTCAAACATCTTCTCCCGGAGACAAGCTTTACTGTCCCCTACGATCAATCATACCCTTTCCCGATATGTTTTCTTTTCTTTTCTTTTTTCTCATTGCTTTTGACCAGCTGCAGGCGTTGATGGCGTCTTTTGGCTGATTTCCCAGGTCTGATTTAAGGGGGCTCCCGCCTGGCTTTCAAGGTGGCTTTTCTAAACGTGGCTATATCTGTGTTTAAGAACCGTAGCATTCTCAGTCATTCATGCTACTGTTTCTGTTCCATGCATCCTTCCTTCCTGGGTAAACCCTGGACGATCTGTATCATTCTGGAAGGTCGCAGTTCGGCACGAACCCCAATGTCGGACTCGAGCCCAGATCTGGATTGGTTCAAGTCAGATCTCTTTGCATACGACCCCGTCGAGGCGTATCGACAGTTTCGTTCGTTATAATCTGTTTTCCACGCTTAATTCTCCTTGCTTGATAGCCTGTTTCATGCATACCGTGGCGGTTTTTCATTTCCAATGTGCCATGTTCCGCTCCTATATCTATTTCCTTTCTTCTGTTGGAGCTTTACCCTTCCAAGCGTTTCCATGTCTCTAGTAATTCCTGTTTTTCACATGCTGTATCTCTTCTCGGGTCGCTCTCTCGTGGTTCAGCCTTCAACTCACCCAAGGACCATGTGGATTGGACCCCAAGGACCTGCATGGACTTCCAAGGTTGGATTGCTATGCGATATAGCATAGACAAAGGGTGTTGCGTTCTTTGCTGCACAGTCTTTGCTGTCGAATTGGCTAGCATCGTGATATCAATATATTCCGCTCGAGTTTTTGTCCTTGCCTTCACTGAATACGGTTGATCCTATACAGCTGTAGATGATCATTCGGTCCCATGGCTAGGGTGATATCGACCGAGTTTGGAGGGACAGTGGAACCCGAGAGCAAAAGAACCGAGCAAAGATGCCTTTCTAACTTTGGGGAGCGTCATGCTCAGGTGCTGTTGAAGAGTTTGACGTTGTATTTTCGAAACATAGATGGACATCAAGCACAAGCCACCTTTTCGGTCTTCAGGAGGTTGCATAAGTCCAAGGAAAGCCCTGCATCGAGATCTGATAGCGCAGTGCCACCCTAATAGTCACTTGTATCCATGATGTCCATTGACTGACAAGGTTCATTCTGAAGCAGCCGAAGGTCTTTGGTCTACTGATATAGGGAGAGGTGATCAGACCCAGCTCAGCATGAGGAAGTCCCAGATTGCCCCCGGCCTTGGAATTCGCTCTACGATTTCTGCAAGACACCCGGTCTAGCATGAGACAGCAGACCCGATCACATTTGCATTCCCCAATAAGGCATGCAGGAAGGCTCCTTCATATCCATGATCCGAGCACCACACTGTGAACTTCATCCCGTCTGCCTCCAGGGCTTGAAGTTGAGCAGATTCAGTTACAAAAGCACCATGCACCCCACTCCATCGAGCAGCCACCCACATCACCAAGTGCATACTCTCCATCGCTCGAGGATTTCTCTTACCCAACCCCGCAGCTCCGAGGTACCTTGCGCGGATGGCGCCTAAAAGACCATCACTCTCGCAGACAGGGCCCGAGTCACCAGCAAGACAGCTACTATAGCTCCGACAAAGAAAGAATCGACATGACCCCCGCAGGCCAGAACCCCTCCGACCCTGACGCGTCCTAAAAACACGCCTTGGCCCCCGTAACTCTCCCGAGCCAAACCCCCAGCCAAAAAGCCGAGACAGCACCCCGCTATGCATGCCATCGACCCAAGTCACGATCTACGGGAGTGCAGGAGCTCTGGGTCAGATTCCCCACTGGGATCTTGAAACCTACTTTCTGAGGCGCACAGGCTCCCTCTGGTGACCGAGTACGGGGTCTGCACTATGGAGTTTGGCGGCTTACGACAGTGACGGAGTCAGGGTTCCCGCTCCGGCCGGAGGCTGGGATGTGCACAATCAGGGATTTGGAGGGGTTCAGCCCTGAATTCCAGGGACAGGGACCCAGGAAGACCCGTGGAGGATCCGGTGGCCTGATGTCTCAAGAAACAGGGAAAAGGGAGAATAGCTCTGGAGTATGGAGTGCAGAGGAGCTGCAGCAAATCACGAAGATCGTCGCGTGCACGGACAGCTCGGACCGTTATCGAGACCCGCAGGTAGAGTATGAAAGTCGATGTCTGTAGGATTGTAGTCGTAAGGTGTGACTGGGCAGAGACAGGGAGAAACGGGCTAAAAAAAGAGAGAGGTGTCACCACTTTTTGTCATGACTGCATGTACTCTTTCCCCTCTTTCGCTTTAAGTACTTCCCGTACTCCTGCTTTTTCTTTTCTCCTGGTACTGATCTTTATCTTTTTTTGATTTTCATTCCAGTCATCATGTCGGAGGGAACTGCTCCAGTTACCGTACCTGTCAATGAGCCTCGCCGGGAGCGGAGACCCTCTGTCGGAGCTCCAATCGCCGACCTTCAGGGCCCTGTCGGCCCGGGTTTCAGTCGCCCGAAGCACAAACGTACCTTTACCGGCTTGGGTCCTGCCGAGATTAAGAATGTCGAGGCGAGCATTCCAGAGCCACTTCGTGAGGCGTAAGTACAGCAATCGATCATGGGTTGCGCTGGAGCTGACCATTCTCGCCGTACAGCTGGCGGAAGCATGTATGCTAAGCAAGTCTGGGATCCCGAAGTCTGCTAATCATGAACGCATCTAGTCGGCCTCCGAGTTCACGAACAAAGAGGAGTTCGAGGTCAGTACTACCCTAGCATATGTCACCCGTGGTTCCGACCTCATCCTTCTAGACCGAACTAGTCCGCCACATTGAAACGACCCTGGCTCGTTCGCTATACAACTGCGATGAATTGTGAGTGCTTCTGAGCTCATTTCAGTGGCTGTCATTGACATTCTCAGGGCGGCATACTCGGGCACTGCCCTTGCGTTCCGAGACCGGTTGATTATCGAGTGGAACAGAACCCAGCAGCGCCAAACTTTCACCGATCAGAAGCGGGTCTACTGTATGTGGGGACCACCGCACTTGACAACCAATGGCTAATTGATTATATAGATCTGTCTCTCGAGTTCCTCATGGGACGTGCCCTGGACAATGCCATGCTCAATGTGGGCATGAAAGAGGCTGCTCGCGGTAAGAAATATATATCCGTGGCGTCCCGTCACGAACAATTACTGACATACTCCTAGAGGGTCTCAAGGATCTAGGCTTCCGCATCGAAGATGTCATCAACCAGGAGCATGATGCGGCCTTGGGTAACGGTGGTCTCGGACGTCTGGCAGCATGCTTCTTGGACAGCATGGCAACACTGAACTACCCGGCATGGGGATACGGATTGCGCTACCGGTATGGTATTTTCAAGCAGGAAATCATCAATGGATATCAAGTGGAGATCCCCGACTACTGGCTCGACAACAACCCGTGGGAGTTCCCTCGACACGAAATCACAGTCGATATTCAGTTCTATGGTAACGTGAAGAAATACCAAGACGAGAATGGCAAGATCAACCATTCGTGGGAAGATGGCGAGGTTGTTCAAGCAACTGCCTACGACGTTCCTATCCCCGGATACGGTACAAAGACCACCAACAACCTCCGCCTGTGGTCGAGCAAGGCCAGCAGTGGCGAGTTTGACTTCCAGAAGTTCAACGCGGGAGACTACGAGAGCGCCGTGGCCGATCAGCAGAATGCCGAGACCATCTCGGCTGTTCTCTACCCGAACGATAACCTCGAGAGAGGTAAAGAGCTCCGCTTGAAGCAGCAATACTTCTGGTGCGCTGCCTCTCTGTTCGATATTGTTCGGAGATTCAAGAAGACCAAGCGGGCTTGGAGCGAGTTCCCCGAACAGATTGCCATTCAACTCAACGATACACACCCAACTCTGGCCATTGTTGAGTTGCAGCGCATCTTGATCGATAAAGAGGGTCTCGAGTGGGATGAGGCCTGGAGCATCGTGACCAAAACTTTCAGTTACACCAACCACACCGTTCTTCCCGAGGCCCTTGAGAAATGGTCGGTTCCACTGGTGCAGAACCTCCTTCCACGTCACTTGCAGATTATATATGAGATCAACCTGTTCTTCCTGCAATCCGTTGAGAAGCGGTTCCCCAAGGACCGGGACATTCTTTCCCGAGTCTCCATCATTGAGGAGTCACACCCCAAGATGGTTCGTATGGCATATCTTGCCATCATTGGATCTCACAAGGTCAACGGAGTGGCTGAGTTGCACTCCGATCTGCTTAAGACCACTCTCTTCAAAGACTTTGTGGAGATCTATGGACCCGACCGCTTCATGAACGTGACTAACGGTATCACACCTCGTCGTTGGCTCCACCAGGCCAATCCCCGCTTATCTGCATTGATTGCCGAGAAGCTTGGAGGGTATGATTTCTTGAAAGATCTTACACTTTTGGACAAGATTGAGGCCTTTGTGGATGACAAGGCATTCCGCGAAGAATGGTCTGCCATCAAGCGTGAGAACAAGCTGCGTCTTGCCAAGCACATCAAGAGCACCACCGGGTTCGATGTCAACCCGAATGCCCTGTTTGATGTGCAGGTCAAGAGAATCCACGAGTACAAGCGTCAGCAGCTCAACATCTTTGGAGTCATCCATCGCTACCTAAGCATCAAGGCTATGTCCGAAGAAGAGAAGAAGAAGGTGGTTCCTCGCGTTCAAATCTTCGGTGGTAAGGCCGCTCCAGGATACTGGATGGCGAAGACGATCATTCACCTCATCAACAAGGTGGCCGAGGTCGTGAACAAGGACCCAGAGGTTGGCGATCTGTTGAAGGTGATCTTCATCGAGGACTACAACGTCAGCAAGGCAGAAATCATCTGCCCAGCATCGGACATCAGCGAGCACATCTCAACCGCCGGAACTGAAGGCAGTGGCACGAGCAACATGAAATTCGTCCTGAACGGCGGTCTGATCATCGGAACCTGTGACGGTGCAAACGTAAGTTTCATATATTCCCCATAACCCTATCTCCAAGCTCTAACAGAATCACAGATCGAAATCACCCGTGAAATCGGCGAGCAGAACATCTTCCTCTTCGGCAACCTCGCCGAAGACGTCGAGGATCTCCGCCACCGTCACTTCTACGGCGACTTCAAGATCGACCCACAGTTGCAGCGTGTCTTCGATGCCATCAAGAGCAACACCTTCGGCGACCAGGGTGATTTCTCTGCCTTGACGGCGTCCATTGAAGAGCACGGTGATTACTACCTGGTCTCGGACGACTTCAACTCTTACATCACCACCCACGAAATGGTTGATGAGGCCTTCCAGAACCAGGAGGAGTGGCTGGCCAAGTCAATCACTTCCGTTGCGCGCATGGGCTTCTTCTCCATGGATCGCGTCACTAACGAATATGCTGATAGCATCTGGAACGTTGAGCCTCTTCCCGTGAGGGACTAGATACTCTGCATGGCCACTTCTCTTAATTCCCAGTCTGCGATTGTTCATTTGCATGCGTTTATTCAGGAATTAGTTTACAAATACATTTATTATTACTGATATATCCACGTATCGTAAACTTTGGAAGTTTTGCGCTAGTCCGAGGGTCTGTCCAGGTACTGTATGCCCTTGGCCCTCAGCATTAAAGTGGACTATCCTGGCCCAGGAAGCGTAATATATAGAAAGCCCAGAGAAATTAAAAGTTCAGGCGTGCACTTTTATATCTAAGGAATCTACCTATCTCAAACAGTGACCACCGCACCATGCACAAGCCCAAAACACCTACTCCATGCCAAATGAACAGAAGCAACCAATTCTAAACATAGCGACATTACACGTCAAACATAAAACACCTACACCAAGACCAGCTTACTCCTGAATAGTTTCAGGCTGGTCAGGCTTGGGCGCAGAGAAGTAATCAGGCCAAAGAGACATCTTCTCAGCAGGTGTGGGGGTACCCGTAGCCAGGAGTGTAGGGACCTAAAATGCGTTAGCAAGGAAATCAAGAGAGAAGGGACAATGCCAAACATACAGCCTCTTTACTGGAAAGACTGCGCCACATGTTAGCGCGCGGGTTATACCGCGCCGGCTTGCCTTGGCCACCGGTCTTCTTCTGGTCCTCGATTCTGATAGCCTCGACCTCGCGCTTGACATCGGAGAATGTGTCGAAGGGAATGTAGGGAATATCGTGCTCCTTGCAGTGTTCTTCGAGACGGAGGCCGCGACGAGCGAATAGAACATCCGCTTCTCGCGCGGCAGGTAGGTCTGAGACACCGTCGCCAATGAAGACGATCAGTGGGATCTCGCCGGGAAGACAGTCGAGTTGGGCTTGGCTGCGCGCTTCATTTACGCTGTAGGCCTTGTCGAGGCCAGTGTCGCAGTCGTGAAGCCACACGGGCTTCCAGGGGATACCGCCTGGAGCTTCGAGGTTGTTCGCGACGATGTTCATGGTCGCGGCCTGGCGTGTGTTAGTACTCAAGTAGTCTGGTTTTCTCTCGGGATGACATACCTCGTCGCCGAGGAAAATATCCAATGTGCGCTGCAGGACGGGCTTCAGTCCTGCGCTGATAACGTTGAAAGGGAACCCCTGTTCCAGGCAGTAGTTGTGGAACTCTCGGAAGCCGGGGTCGATCTTGAGAGTTTGCGCCATTAAGTCGAAGCCGTCGCCGAAGGGGATGCTCAGTGATCCCCACATGTCGTCGGAAATCTCACGGAAGGTTCGCTCGCCGGATTTGAATTGCTCTTCTAGCTTGTGTCTATACTCTGCGCCGCCGCCCAGGGCGTCCACGAGGACATGGCCCGTGTCTTGCATGAAGATTGTGCCATCGAAATCTATTCGGGGTGAGTATTTCTCCATTCGAGCGATTGGTCGAAAATAAGACCTGCAGGCACATACCGGAGAAGATGACAATCTTTCTCTTGGGGTCTTCGTTTGCTTTGGTGATTGCCATTTTGGAAAAAATATTTATGTATAGATTACTTGTGTGTAGAGAAAAGATGGGAAAGCAGAATTTAAAAGTAGCCCACGATCGCCAAGTCGAGTTGTGTCATTTCCGCAAACAAGGTAGATTCTCGCCAAACAAGATTGAGATGACGTAGGAGACAGCGACATCAGTGTGGGGCACATCGTGACTCCCGGATGTGCCGAATGTCGCAACGCTGATTGGCCGTTGACAAGCCCGAAGTGCCGGTAAGCCCACGCCCGGTGGGATACCGAGATTGAGCCGACGGGATTGGCCAGTTCAACCATGGTGGAGGCCGCATACATCATACATTCAGCGCCAAGATATCTATATATTCTTAGTTCGCCGTCAACTCAACAACCCGGCGTTGTAATTCCGGTACAGCTCGCAGCTGGAGATCCAACTCTTCCTTCTCACTGTAGGGGGTCAGTTAACACACATTCGTGTTGATCGCGTTCGACTCACTCTTCAAGCTTCAAGCGTCGCTCCCAGTCAAGTCCAGTAAAGATATAGCCACCTTGGCCATCAAATTGGAGGATCTTCTGGTGATATTGCCAGAGACTACGTCGGTGCGAGACGGTCATAAGCGTGGTGCCGAGTTTCTTCGCCGTTTCGTACATGACCTTTTCGATCTCCAGGGTCACGGAGGAAGTGCACTCGTCCAAAATGGCAAACTTGGGCCGGTGGTAGAACAGACGAGCCATGGCAATACGCTGCTGCAGACCGCCAGACAAAACATCTCGCCATTCTTCCTCCGCATCCCAGCCTCCAGGGCGGTCTACGACAGACGCGATTTCAACCACAGACAAGACCTCGTAAAGGTCATCGTCAGTGATACCTTTGGCCCGCATCTCGCGAACACCATCCGGGTAGATGACTTGCTGCCGCAAGGTACCACGCGATAGATATGGCCGTTGAGGAATGTAGAAGATATCGTCGAAACGGGGCTTCTTCACCACGCCTCCGTAGACCGGCCAGAGCCCGCCTAGGATCCGGAACAGAGACGACTTACCACAACCATTAGGCCCGACAATCAAAAGATGGTCACCGGGATTGACTGTGAAAGAAAGCTTTCGGACGAGTACGTCGCCGTTCGGCGACACAATCGGTACATCTGTGAACTCGATTGCATCGCTTTCCAGTACTTCGCCTCTGCCAGAAAGAACCTCGGCATTCTCTTCAGTTGAGGCGGAGGATACCAACTTCTTCTCGAATCTCCCCGCGAGCAAATCATCCATGACTTCCAGCAAGGAAGAGACTCGTGAGGTATAGCCAGCTAGCTCCGAGATTTCCTTGTAAGAGAACATCAATCGACCGAAAGCGTCAGATGAGGAGAGCAACATTCGGCGGTTTGTCACAAAGCCTATACGAATTAGTTTCTTTGAAACTGCTCAACGAGAGGGTAGACTGACTCTCTGTGTGATCGCCCATGCTGTGAGTAGCCTGCCCAGGGATCTTGAAGAAGACAGGCACACTGCACAGCATCAAGCCCAAAGCGCCCCAGAAGTACTTGATCACAAAGTCCTCCATGAATCCGTGGTACAACCGGCGGCGCAAGATACGGTTCACGTGCTTGATCAAAGTGAAGTAGCCCTTGTCCAGAGTGTCCTTCTCGGCCTCGTGGCCGTGATAGAGGGCTACCTCTTCGCTGTAGTCAATAAGTCGTGAATGGAGGAAACGGAACTCGCCCTCTAAGCGGGCCTCATCGGCGACATATTTGCCAAAGGGCGGTGTTAGCATGCGCATGACATTTGCCGACAGCTGCACAAGCAGACTCATGATGAACAGCCCTTCGCCTCCGACATTCTTGGAGAGCGAGTAGTTGTAGATGGCCATGTCAAGCACTGGCTTGGCCAGATTGGAGTATAGCTCTGCCAGGCTGTCCGAGAACCGGGAGACATCCACAGTGACGAGTTGGTCGGGATTCTTGATCCGGTCATCCAAGGCTGATATGGCATAGAAGGTCATATTTGATAGATACTTCTCGTGAATGTAGTCCGTCAGACGCTTCCGGTAGCTTAAAGCGAGTCGACACTGGTGATATGAAAGCTATTGTAGAAAATACACATTTAGTAAAAGTATCTACCGGTCGCGTGTCCACGGCGACGGGGTCAGATCGGGAAAAGCAGGAGACTTACCATAGAGTTAGTGAACGTGGCAGGGATCGCCACAAGCATCCACCAGAACAGGCCGAGCAAGAAGTCTTTGCCCTTGCCGCGCACCAAGTTGCTCACAAGTCTGCCGTCCAGCTCGGCGACATACAGACTCAACAGCGTGCGCAATACCAGGAACACGCTGTGGCTTAGCAGCAGGCGGAACTCCTTGCTGCGCCATCCGGGAATTACAATCTTCAATAAGCGAAGTAGGCTCTTGAAGAATTCCCGGTTGATCTCCACGCGTTTCTTGCGGGGTTGTTCCTCGTCGCCGAGGCTGCTGGTGCCGGGTCGGCGCCGTAGCTCGACCTGCTGAGACGCAGCTTTCTGTTCGGAGATGGCATTATGGATTCGTTTGGCTAAGGCGACAAAGAGGGCGAGATATACGCCGCGCGAGATGCGGGTGCGGTTTCGGAGGTAGAGGGATGTGAGGCTAGAGAGGATTTGCTTGACGGAACGTTCGGGCGGTAGCAGCTTAGACTGAACGGCCATGATGACGGTTGCTGTTCAGCCGAAGTTTACATACATGACCGCAGTGGAAAGCTCGGTGTAGAAGGAGAGAGAGGGCGACAGTGAGAGAGAGGATGAGCGCGCCGGGGGGAATGCCCAGGTGGATATGACGGTCCCTAACATGTGATACCCCAGGAAACTGGGGATCTTCAACCGAGGAACCCACATTGGGTTTGCAATGTTTGCAACATTGTAAATAAGTGTCATTGTCTGGGCTTGAGGTGCCAGGGGGCATCAAAAAACATGAGAGTGTGAATAAAAAGGCTTATACTTGGGGCAAAGCTTGCGCCTGGGTATTTTCACTTGTTGTTAACCCCCATGGCGGAGCCCCCCGGGGGCCGTTCCCATGATGAGAAAGTCTGCTTGGCATAGTTGCTATGCGATATCCCCGTGTTCTTGGCTGCTCGAGTATGTCCCATAAGATAAAACATCCAAACTGTGAAACATCAATACTGGCGACCGTCAAGGCATAGTGTTTGCTATGGAGGCTCTCTCGGGGCGTCGGGGGCACGGGCCTCGGGTTAGCACACCCCGAGTGCGGGCTAACGCTCCGGCGAGAACGAGGGGCAGCATTGAACAGATCAAAAGAACTCAATTTCTTTTACATCTTCTTGATTCTTAAGGCATATCTAAGACTCTGTCTCGAAAATACCTCTGCGTATACAAAGTTTCGTATCACAATGGCTCCAGTTCGCCGCATCGCTCAGATCGTTCACCTCAAGCCCGCTGCCGTGGCTGCATACAAAGAATGCCACGCTAATGTATGGCCTGAGGTACTTCAGCAGATTAAGGATTGCAACATCCAGGATTGTGAGTTTCTCTTTGGGACGGCCGAGAACAATGCTGCAGGTGTTGACTTGTCACCTCCTGTGTTGCAGACTCAATCTTCTTCGATAATGACCGGACTTTATTTGCAACGTTCAAATATGTCGGCACCGATTTCGAGGGAGACATGGAAGCCATGCGAGCAAACCCGAAGGTCAGGGAGTGGTGGGCCATGACAGACGGCATGCAGGTAAGATTAGCGCTGCATGAACCAAAGAAATGTGCTGATCAAGGACTGCCGGTATTAGGAAAGTCCCATTCCAGGAGCAGTCAGTAGCGCGGATGGACCGGGGTGGTGGAAAGTTCTCGACGAGGTGTTCTACACCGAGTAGTTGGTGCAATGAGTTTGATGGCAGCCGGTTCGTACATAGCCTCGGAGGCATTCCCGGGTCATCGATCAACGAAAGAAATCTTTGATTTGTTTTTGCTTTCTGTCGTGTGCAGCACTTCCGATGCCACCCTTGGTGCGTCGAAGACCATGCAGGTGGTTGGTGTAATTCGAGGCTTGAACTTTCATCTGCCAACCTCCTAACGTGAACTGTGGGAGACCTTCTAACTTTGGGCCTAACGGGCTGATGAGCAGATCCAAAAAGCCAGTATTAGACCAGGATGGTCTGAAGGTTTCCTCGAGCTTGGTGGAATAGTCCTGAATATCAAAGACCACATTTTCCGGATAAAAGAGTCCCAGCAGATAATTCCAGAAGACGCGAAGTATGATACCGTGGGCAACAATTATCACGACTTGATTCCCCTCATAATCATCGGCGTCCAAGTCTAACATTGACTGAAGATGCTCATCGAAAAAGGTCTCAACTCGAGACTTCATTGAGATGTCCGACTCACAGTTCTTCCATCCTTTTGAAGAACCGTCGTCCAGCCGAGGCTCCGATTGGCTTAACTCATGATCGCTTATCGAGCGTACGCCTTCCAGGCTTCCGAAGTCTCGCTCTCTCAAACTTGTGGCCAATATTGGCTTCCAGGGGGACTTGCCTGGATTCGCGACCAAGGCCGCACAAATGCCTTCAGCAGTTACCCTTGCTCGCTGCAGGTCTGAAGAAAATATGTGGGTGATCTGCGACGAGTTGCATACTTCATCGGACGCGATATGCTTGGCCAGGCGCTGAGCTTGGGCCATGCCATGATTTGTGAGAGCTGAATCTGTCACTCCCGCCCTGTCGCATAACATTAGTTGAGCTCAGGCAAGGGGACCTGTCAGCAGTGACATTTACCATAATTTTTTAGCGTTATCGACAGATTCAGCGTGTCGTACGAGTAGAAGTCGCATTCTCGTCAATTGGTCGGCCACCAGCAGAGCATATGCATACCCAGATAGGAAGAGGGTGGAACCAGCTGATCATTCAGGCGCTGACGATTTTTGATCGATAAGTCGGTTGTAGAGAAGGTTTTGGAATCCTGGAAGCTTTCAAGGGCATCGGATGGGGCCCTTGGCCGGGCAAATAATGGATGACATTGCATGAAATTTCACGCTAGCCGTTTTAAGTAATATTGAACACCCTCGAAGCCCAACGCCACAGAGAAGGGAGATCGCTAGAGGACCGCCTAGCAAGCCAAAGAACAATACTTCGTGTGAACAAGCCGCGGGATATGTATTTTTGTAGACATGGAAGGGATAGAAATGAAAAAAAAAGTCCAAGTTATCCCTACTGGGAGATGACTCGCACTTCTCAATCCGTTTCTTTTTAGTAAGACGGTGTCATATACGAGACGACTCGGACATTTTCGTGCGTATCTATCTGTTGACAGTCCCTAGCTTCCAGGCCTCCAGGTTCAGTTACTAGGGGAGCGAGTTGACTTAAGTAGATCTTACGGTTGCCTAATTGGGAAAGAGGGTCTTATATGTTTCTGCCTGCAGATCATGGCACCAATAGTCCACTTACTCACGAACCACCTGGAGAATATTCACATCACAACCTCCAGGGCGACCTTGGAAAACATACGTACTAGTAGTACCATTGCTATCGTAAGAATTGGTCGCATCACAATATCATCCTGTCAATTTACGCCTTTTAATTTCTTTCCATGCGACCGCGCGACGGGCCGTGTGCTTTCGATCACCATGCAAGCCCCACTGCTTTCAATTCTCCTTGCCGGCCTGCATAGGATTCGGAAAGTTGTCAGGGCAAAAATCGGATTGTTTTGGTACTTTGGGTATTCTCAATTGCTGTTTGCTTTTTTCTTGCCAAGTAAAATGCGCCTGATCCACAATCACATCTGGCTACCCCGGCAGCCCATTGTACGCAAAATCAAATGGATATCTATTACAATATTCCAGTGGGGTATGTTGATGCTGCCCACCCTGCATACACGCAATACTACAACACAACTAGAGCCCAAGAACAGGATGGGCCTGTTGGGCATCCTCTGTGGCAACAACCAGGCGGTTTGCGCAAGTTCGATGTGATGGCCAAGGAAATGCTGCAAGATGCCAAAGTAGGAACACAACATCGGTGCTCAGAAAACTGGAGCTTCTAGGGATCTTATCGAACTCTTGTGGGTAAGGGCAAGTGGAGTTGCGAAATACTAGCGAGAGAAGATCAAATCCACCTGGTAGGATTCCTAGACGACAAGCAACACCCGTCCCCCAAGTCATGAGCCATTGAGTGACCTGCACCTCGATGATTTCATTCCAATGCGATCTGCATGCAATATGTACGTTGAATGGCTTGCGTGAACTTCGCTGTTTTCATTTTCGTTCGTATCAGATACCGTTTGGCTATGACATTCGCGCCTAGCAATATGCCCACCGTTGACAGGCCCCCCGAGATCTATGAATTTTGTTGGTACAATATCGGAACATTTGCTCAATGTACATCTATCATGCCAGTCCATCCGTAATAAAGTCTTAATCATTCTCCAACTCCTTCACGTCTGGCTCCATCAAGCCAGCCTTTTCCTCGTCCAGGCCTCTGTCCCCAGATGCATCTACCTCCGAGCGCCAGTTCTCCACTGCGGACTCATTATAATTTCCGGGGCTACTAAGACCTCATCAGCACAGTGATCAGCGTAAAGTCATCGGGGCTCCTACCCCAAGTCTGGGTCCTGCTCTTCATGCGTCCACGCTTCAGGAAGCCTCGGGCGCGGCGGATCTAATGCAAAAACACCATTTAATCCCTCATGCCTGACAGTGCGTCCCATATATTTATAATGTGAATTGGGCTCTGGCGAGTCTTCTGCGTCATCCGCCGTGTCCGGAGCGGGGTCGGAATGTGGCTCGAATTGAGCTGTCCGATCCGTAGGTGATTGATCAGGCTGCTTTATTGAATGGCCTCTTGAGCGGGCGGCCCTCGGCGACGGCACATCTGTTCTATTTGTGAACCCGGTGTCTGGCCGCTTGGCCGGTCGTTTGTGATGTGCGCTGCTTTGGGGTCGCGATTCTACCCGGGGTCCTTCGTGACACCATGGGCATTGGGCTTTGCCCCCGTAGGCGCGGTGCCAACTGGCGTGCGTGTGCTGCTGGTATCTTCTCATGTTTGGCGGGGATGCCCGAGATCTGTATGGTGGATGTTTATCGAAATGGAGGAAAAGGCAATTGTGAATTCATCCGGGACCCGAAGACTTTTTAAAGCGGGGATTTCGACAGCAAACTCTGGAACTATCCAGCCGCTATTCATCCTTGCTGTGAGCAGCCACTGAGTGCGTTGGCACTGCAGCATTCGTGGGGATGGGACCGCTAATCACCATGGCATTGGCGCTTATGCATGCGTCGACCCAATTTTACCCCTGTGTTAGACCAGTTTCATGTACTTTGCACAACGTTGCATGATGCAACCATTGACTAGTTTTAGGGTTTAGGAATTATGTACGTACAGAGCTACGGGTCCCGACTACAAGCAGATGCGAAGCACATGAGGGAACGAAGACTGATGGACATTGGCGGGAGCAGTTAGAACTGAGTAAAGAAAATTGCCTTGAATAACACCGGACTAATTGCTCCCAGATAAACCCCTTCCGATAAAAAAATAGGTATGTGTCGTGAACCATCAAACTACATCACATGAATTAAAACGCCGGCAGTAGCCAAGCCCCCCATTTGAATTTTGTTGGAACTTTTTGGTCAGAAAGATAGGAAGCGAGACGCTTATGCGGCAAGCTTGCGGATCTTCTCCTCGACGCGAGCCTTGCGCTCGGCGTGGGTGAGCTTGTTGACCTTGTACTTCTTGGACTCGGCCTTCCACTCAGCCTTGGACTTCTTGGGGCCAGCGTTCTCGTCGGCCTTGAAGGGGTCCTCGCGGATGGCCTTGTGGGCATCGGTGTAGATCTCCTCGAGATCACCGGCCTCAATCTCGTTCTCGATGTACTTGAGGAACTGGGACTTGTAGCGCTCCTCATCCTCATCGGCGAGGGTCTCCATGTACTCAGTGACGTGGCCACCGACAATGTAGTTCTTGAGGGTCTCGGCGTCGAGCTCCTCAGACTCGATGTCGTAACCGGGGAAACGACGCTCGGAGTGGGGGATGAAGATACCACCGTCGGAGGCACCCTTCATGGCGGCGAAGACACGGTTACCGGTGGAGGTGCGGACAAGACCAACATCGAGGAAGGCCTTGAAGGGGCGGCGCTCGCCATCGTCGGTCTCGACGGCCTCGGTGAGAGTGTGCTCACCAGTGGCCTCCTCGACACCCTTGAACTGCTCGTCAAGGTTGAGCTTCTTGAGGACACGGCGGGCAAGGAGCAGACCAGTGGCGTAGGCAGCAGCCCAGTTGGTCAGACCCTGGTCAATGCCGTAGCGGGGGAGCTCGTGAGCGTAGGCAGCGGCGAGGACCTTGTCACCAGAGATCTCGGAGTAGACAATCTGGGTAACGATGTCACGGTTGGTGAAGCGAACGACCATGCGGTACTTGGGCGCATTGTACTTGTTCTTGGCCTGGGTGATGAGGCGCTTGCGAGCGTAGTAGTCGGTCTTACCCTCGCGGCGGCGGCGGTACTTCACCTGGTAACGGCTTGGAAAAAGTCAGTCAAAAAAATTCATTGATAATTTTTTTAGGGTAATCCCTCAGTAATAACTCACCTGAAGTAGGCATCGTTCTTGACGGTCTTGGTGAAAGGCTGTAGAACAACATCACGAGTCAGCAATTAACGCTTCAGAAATCACGCCGAAGCAGCTTGCAGGGACCCGGTTCCGACAAGCGGAAGGATTGAATAATGCGAATTCATTGAATGGAATCAACCATTGATCAGACGTACCATTTTGACGGGTGTCGAGGGCGGGATGGTCAAGGAAGAAGTCAGAGAAATTTCGTGGGACGACTTTGTGCGCGATTTCGCTTAGCGTGGCGGCTGCATCCCCCGCCAGAAATGCGGTCGGCGACGAGCGATAAGATCTTAAGACACTTTTCTTCGGGGTGGGCCACGACCCTTTGCCGAACATCACTTTTGGTTTACTTCTACTTCTCTCCATACAATAGATGACTGTTGTTTTCTGGTAGAATTGCTATAGAATAATCATCTTGTCCCAGATAAGAAATTTCTAGACAAAGACAACGCTTCACAATCTAGCCTTGGCATCGTCTAACAACTGTAACCCAGTGAGCTTCTCCAACTCTCTCACTGCATCCTCAGTCTTTCCAAGTGTAACTTTGACGGTACGCATGCCGGCTGTCTTTGCCCCCTTCAGGTTCTCCCCAATATCGTCGAAAAATACAATATCGTTGGGGTTAGTGCCAGGCAGCCCGCGCTGCTTAGCCAAATTATCCATCTCCTGCAATGCCACTTGGTAGATCTTCGAGTCAGGCTTGCGAAGACCTGTATGTGCTGACGAGATGAAGAAATCGAATTGCTTTTTCACGTCGGTTGTGTTATTGTATTCGTGTCCATCAGGGAAGATGACGGTGTTCGATAGTGCACCCATTAAGAACTGTCCCGACTCTCTCAGCTTCTTGAGGGCCGGGAACATGTAACGGTCTGGCGTGCGCGATATCCGCATCATCTCCCAGAATAGCCATTCAGCATCCACTGATGGTAGAGGCGGGATAGCTGCACCACTTGTGCCTTGCTTCTTTTGGAGTTGTTCGTGGAATTTTCTCCAAAGATCGGGGTCCCGTAGGTCGGCATTGAATCCCGCAAAGAACTCATCGTTCATTTCTATATCGCCTCGTTCGAGCTTATGCCAGCTCCCGTTCGGTGACGTTCGCGAGATGCTGAAGTTGACCCAGCCTGGAGGTATGTTCTGGGCAATTTCATAGTCGAGAATTGCCTGGAATGGAGATACGACCTGAGGGTTGTTAGAGGGTTGGACTTGGGTGGGTAAGTCAATTGGCCGACTTACACAGACTCCTCCGATGTCGAATAGCAGCCCCACTGGCCGCTTCGTCTCTGCCATTTCGGAACAAGAGCAGCTGTCTTTGATGATATAGGTAACAAATAGTACACGTGTACTAGTACCCTGGTAGATCCACGGGGAGCTGTGTTAAACTTGATCTTGGAGGGAACGTCGTGGCTTTGAATGAGAGAGATCCGAGACGGCAGGATTGCCGAGGTCCCTACGGCTGCGACACTTGTCTAAACCGAGGATACTCCTCACCAGGCCCCCATCGTTGACGGTCGAATGAATCGTAAGCTTGTGGTCTGCATGGTTGCCCAAAGCTCCCCTGAGGCTATTTTGCCATCTCAAATGTTCTAGGCTTTGAGTCTTCGGCGGCCCTGGAGTACACCGGGACATCACTTTTGTGGGGAGACACGTGATGGCTTATCGATAAGGACGCGTTTGGAGATCGCGCGGGACTTTGGCGATTCAGAGATGCTCCCTCATCATTTGGCTCGAGATGGATTCAAATCGAAGCATATTTGAACTGAAGTCTGCCTTTCTAAGAGCTCAGGTTCGTATATTTGCGGAGAGCCTCGACCTACCTGGAGATTGGCGCAACTATGCCCCTCAAACTGAAGAGGAACATCTGAGTGACAAAGTCATTGAGGATGTTTTACACAAAGGTTCGAAATCAAATTGCCAATGAGATATTGTGCCCGGTCGCAACATGTTGGGGAAAGGGGAAAAAATACTAATGATCTAACAGTAAATGCAGCTGCCAAGCAGCACAATCGCGTCGTTTATTCCTCCCAGGCAATACATCACGTAGCCCAGCAAATTACCAGTCTATACTGGTCGTCGGCCAGTCAAGAGGCACGCAGTCAGGCCACTTTTGCGCGGGGCATCGACAAGACCACGGATTTGTCGAGGCAGATGTGAGATTGATCTGCGACTATGCCAAGTGGGATAACGCTAACTCCATGAGCTAGGAACATCACAAACCTGCCTGTCGATCTGGAAAGCCTGGAAGCGAGCGAAGAGGATCATGCAAGGTCAGTATTTCAATGTATCCGAATATTCCCCGATTCAAGTTCCACCTGCCTCACACCAGTTGCACAGTTACCGGCAGCTCCGCGAGCAGCTCACGGCGCTGGATATGAGACGGCAGCAGCGACAACGGCGCCTGGATCAATTGCAGCACGTCCAACGGTTACTTGAGCCTTTTGAGGATCCGCAGAAAGACATTCAACCCAACCTTATCACCAAAGATGGGGAGCTCGTTCAAGAACTCGACAAAATGCGCATGCTGGTGGCCAGAGTGGGCGGCAGGATTGCACAGCAGAAAGGAAGCAGCGATCTCCCTGAAAACACCGATTACTCGCTTCCAGGCTCTGATCGGAGATTGGCGGAACTGATGGATATGTCTTGATTAAAACAAATACCCCTATCTACCTAGTACAAGTGCATCGAATCAGTTGGCTTGTGATATGACCTATAATGAAACTGCTATTGCCCCTCTATTCAAGTTTCGAGGTTCTTCCAAGTTTTCTATTAATTTTTCCATGAACATCCTTCAAGGTTGGTTTCAGCCAAAATTCCCTGCCTGGATGTCTTCTAAGGTTCTGGGCGCTTTGGAATGAATTAACAACGCTTTTTTTAGATATTCCAAGGTTTCCACCTGGCATGGATGCCCAGTGCTTGTATAAACCGCAGATTTTAGTTCCCAAACGGGTGTGGTTCCTGTTTTACTATTCCGTTACCTGGGTACTCTGAGGACTTTGAATGTTTACCTACCTAGGTAGCCTAGAGGTATGGAGTTGGAGTCGTGTGCTGTGTAGAAGATTCCAAGCCCTGGAGGTGGGTCCGGCTGACAGATATATAACTGAAATCTAGAATTACCGGGATGAAGAACCCGGAAACCTTGGAATTATCGAGACATCTCAATTTGTATGCGCTTGACAAACAGCCCTGGAGTTAACATTGGAACTAGGTAGGTACTGATTCCGGAGTTGGCTATAGAGCAGACCAAATATTCTTAGCTAGTATAACCGTGAATCCCAAGTCAAGGTTGTGACCCAAGAAGCACTGCAAGCATAGAAGCCACGCTCGCATCAACACTTTACTCCTGGAAACATGGCACGTGCTATAAAACGGAAGCCCTGGAGCCTAAACGAATATTTCGGATTGGGCGATGGCACTTTCCCCAGTCTCGTCATGGATCTATTACACTTACACCGTCGGGAAGGAAACCTGATTCGCCCCACCAGAATGCTGGTACACACCGTCTGAGGGTAAGTCCGATCGAGGATCTTCGCAATATCAGAATCGCCCAGTCCATGAATATTTAGCTAAATGACAGCGCTCAACAAGATGAGGGAGTTGGTTGGGATGGCCCGTGCTCCACTGCAATCACGTGCTGTACCGGCGCTAGCCCCACCAGAGACTAGTGTCACATCCCAGCACACCACAGTTGTTGACGGTAGCTGGGATCCGGATCAAAGCTTCTACGAATTTGCTATCGATTCCTCGAGTGATAGCGACAACACCGCCACTTCTCAGAGTGCATCCGCCACAATCGAGGGTGACACGTCTCCCTCCCCTTCCAAGGCACCTTACACGCGTGGGCATCGCCGTCGTTCCACGCACGTTACTCGCCGTGACCTTGAGAAGTTTCATACGGAGGTCCTGGGCATCGAACATCACGCCTCCTGGTTCGACGAGGATAACGGCACTCCACGATCCTTTACCCCCAACGACCCGGCCCTCGAGGAACTCAATCGCGCCTTTGCCAACGCGGACGTTTCCATGAACACCAACGGCATGGCTAGCAACGGCACCGGTCCTGGTGGCTACTACGAGAATACCTCGGGCGCCGTCAACATGGCCAACATGCCTTCGCGCCAGACTCCGTCCCCGTCCCCTTCCCAATCCTCGGGCGCAAGCCAGATCAATGGAGGGATGGGTGCCATGGGCGCAGGGATCCCGATGAATGCTGGCCACCAGATGGATTTGCATCATTTATATGAAATGGTGATGGAGTTGAGTGACGTCCTAAGAAACAACCGTGATGTGACCAAGAACATTGTCGCGAACGCTGAGGAGATTGTGGTATGTGCTGCCTTGAAAACCACAGGAAGCAGGACTGACCCTCATCTAGAAGAACGGCATCACAGATAGCACTACCTCCAATGGGCAGCCACACAGCGAGAACTCGAGTATGCTTATTCCTGAAACAATTCGATTGTTCCCATCACTAACCCCTGAAACAGATGCTCGAATCGCCGAGCTCGAACGCGCCCTCGCCCGAGAAAAGCGCCTGGCCGCTCACCACAAGCACCACCAGGAGGAGAACATGAAGCTGGTCCACGAATTCGAGAATTCTGTGGGCATTATGGTTGAACAGATTCGCAACTACTGCCAGAACAACAACATGCACTACCTTGCACAGAAAACACACTACAACAATCTGCTCCAGGCTGAGCGTGATGCTCACCTGGAAAGCCGACTTGATCGGGACTACTGGCATGCGCAAACCATGAAGTGTGCTGAGATGATCCGCACCGCCCACCGCCTCAGCTGTGAAGCCGATGAGACTCCCACCCGTGTCATCTCCGGTCTGCAGAACGAGGTCCGCGCCTATCGCTTCGCACTTGGCATGGAGGCCGAGAAGCCCGAAGAGGAGTATGGCTGGGAATATTTAAAGAACATACCGGGCTTGGAATGAATAGGGGGTGCAGCGGGGGTGTGCGGAATGGCCGCACTTGGTTCCGCTTGACGGCATGATGACTTTCTTTTCCTCGCATCATCTTCAGCGTTTGGTTATGACTGCCGATGCTTGGCATGCAAATGGCCAGGGATGTTTTAGGCGTTTTTGTTTTTTAATTGCGGATACCCGTGTTGAATGTGAGAAGATCCTTTGAGTACTAGTACTAGCACCTCACAAAATTGAAACCAAATCTCGTAAGGTTTGCCCTGGCCCCGGTAATGTGCTTTTAAGCGGTATTTAAAGCATGAGACCCCCCACTTAGTCCACTTGCCCGATCCACGGAGCTGATCATCGCACATGGTGGCAAACCCCTTGTCTGTGAGCGTAACGCAGTAGATAAATAAGTAGGCAATAATCCTTGGAAGTGATCAAGTACCAGTAGTATGTGGTACACCAATATTACCAGCATACTTCTCGCCACCCATCTCGTATACTAGTACACTCTGACGGAGAAATGAACATTCTCCGGAGGCCAAGCGATCATACATTTGCCAATTGGCTCGTCAGAACTGCCGGTAGAAAGGATCGCCCCGTAAAGTAAAGCATGTTACAGGCTCACGTGCCCGGGCTCTCCCCCAGACGATTATGTCACATTAAATCGAGAGTCGCATCCGGAGATCTCTGTTTTCGAGTTCCCTTTTAATTCTATCGCAATGTGTCTCTCACTGGTGTGCAGTCGGCTTCTTTAGGATACACGCAGCTTCCGGTCGCAGATCATACGGCACATCCCACCGGCACTTCCACCCCATTTGTCGCCTAGTGCTGCCCTCGGGGCCACCTGATTTTGTCCTTCGAATAGTCGCTTCGCGATCATCAGTTCAAAGTGGGGGAACGGCCAATAATGCGTCATTCGATCTAGTCCCATCCCGTCACTGTGCTCCGGTGATACCACGCCACACCGCCGACCACCCTCGACGAAGTTGAGAGATAGAAACATTACCCTCGGATCTCACTTCAGAGGTTATCAAGATGGAAGGCGTTCAGACTGTTGATGTGAGCTGGCTGCACCACTCCCAGAAAGGCAAGTCCCACTTGATCACTCGGCACTTCTCTCCGTGTGGGCGCGGCTCTTGAGGAAATGGGGGCGGTTTCTAATGCCTTGGTCAGATCATTTATCGCGTACAAAGTCGGTCTCATCGAGCGATAAGCAGCCGCGCGCCGATGCTGAAGCTCCGACCACAAAATCCAAATCGCATCGGAGATCTCGTTCCAACAGTAGCCCGGCAACACCGGCACCAGCTGCCGCCACCCCAGAACCGAAACAAGTCACCAAGAAGGATCCTGCTTCGACGGAAGCAAAACAATCACCAGTTGAAAAGACACCAGAAACACCCGAGGAATCAAAACCATCTACGCCAACTTCGGCGTCGCGGAAGTCGGACCCCAAGCCGATCGGACGACGAAACTCGTGGATATCTAGTTTGAGCTCGAAGTTTTCGTCTGGATCGACGCCTCCGTCACAATCAAGTCTTAAGGCAAGCCCAGCGAGCCCGAAAACGACAAGTCCGCTCGAGACGCACAACCCGTTTGGCGCGGCCTACTCTCCGAAGGATAAAGAAGAAGAGAAGAAGGATGAGAACAATCCCTTTACCTCAACATCCCCGAAGGGACCTTCGTTTATTCACAATGCGTTGCGCAAATTCTCATCCAACTCCGGTGGATTGCCCAAGTTAAACCCGAACGACTCGATCTGCCCTCGCCGCGTGATGAACATTGACCAAACTCGACATCGGTGTAAGGTCGCCGATTTGAAGCAGGCCAAATTGAATCGTGTGGCGTTTTGTGTGGACGTCGAGATCGCGGGCATCTCTCACCTGGACGATGACGAGGAGGCCCCTCCAACGAACCAATTGCGACAACCGTTACCAGAATCCAATAGTCACAGATCCAAGAAGGCCGAACTCAAGAACAAGGAGCACGAGGAAGCTGATGCTCTGAAACGACCCCAGGCTACATTGGCAGAGAAAGATAGCTCCTCTCCAGCCCCCGCGAAGACTACGGAGAACGCGAAAAGCCAAACTGCGCCCAAAGAGAAATCTGGAAGCTCCCCACCCAACGGAGAAACGACCGATCCAAACAGGAAACAGGAAAAGAAGAAGCGCTCAGAGGCGGAACGCAAAGAGCGAAAAGAGAGGAAGCGCAGGCAAGCAGTGGCAAACGGCTCAGTGCCATTGCAACTTGACGGCGCGAGTGATGAAGAAGACACACAGGCGCCAGTCGCAGGTACCTCCTCGCGGTCTAAGACGCAAAGTCACCCCACAACAGACCCGGTCCGAATTTATCGCCGTTGTTGCCAACTTCGCGAAACCCCTGTCCTCAAGAGAGTGGTTGACGAAATTTCGAAGCCATCGTCTACACTAGCCGAGTCCCCCGGAACCGTCGCAGCCCTTGATCTCAGCAACTTCCCAATGACCTCGCAGGATTTGACAACTTTCAGCGACTGGCTCGCCGTTGTCCCGGTCCGCAAACTGATACTCGAAAATTGCGCTTTAAATGATCAATCTGTCCGATCGATTCTCGCGGGCTTGCTTTCTACCAAGACCATAGAACAGATGCGTTATCGACGCAGAAAGTCAAGAAGACCAGATTGTTCAAGTATCGAGGACCAGGAGAGGTACGGCGTCGTTGAGAAATTGTCTTTGAAAGACAATCCCAAGATTGGACGAGAGGGATGGCGCCATATCAGTTTGTTCATTCATCTGTCCAAGTCGTTGAAAGCCATCGATGTTTCAGGCATACCTTTCCCTCAAGGCCAGGTTACGATCGACCCTGCCCAAGATACCACAGCGAAAACCCAAACGCCTGTCGCCGATGTGAGCATGGTTTTCGCCAGTGCACTGGCGGAACGCTTTGGTGGAGACCATCTCGAAGAGTTACTCATGAGCGAGTGCAATCCCTCAGTCGAGGCTATCAAGCAGATTTGTCAAGCAGTCACTACAATGGGTCTGCGCAGACTTGGCTTTGCAAGCAACGGCATGACGAGAGAAGGCTTAGAGCACGTGGTAGAGTACCTCAAGGCGGGCCAATGTGAAGGACTGGATTTGGGTGGCAATGCCATCAAGAATGATCTCGATCTGATCACACAGGCACTTGAGCCAGAGACACCTTTGTACGCGTTGAGTCTGGCTGATTGTTCTTTGAACCCGTCAGTGATCTGCCCACTGCTCCAATCTCTTGCCCAGGTGCATAATCTCCGCTTCATCGATTTCTCCCATAACCGGGAACTGTTCACGGCGAAACCGGACGCTCTTGGTGCCTTCCGTCGATTCTTGCCTAAGATGACATCGCTGAAGCGTTTCCATCTTGCTGATGTCAACTTGACACCAGACCATGTGATTGGTCTCGCCGAAGTACTTCCGGAGTGCCCCAGCCTCTGCCACTTGAACATATTAGAAAACAAGCAGATCATCGAGCTAGCTTCGACAACGAACCCTGTTACCCAAGAAGAGGCATGTGCGGTGTACGCATCAATGATGGCAGCGGTTCGTGTGTCGCGAACCATCATTGCAGTCGATATCGATGTTCCGAGCGCTGAAAACAACGAGGTTGTCAAAGCTTTGGCGTCTCAAATCGTGGCCTACTCGCTTCGAAACCTGGAAGGCGGCGCCATTGCCGAAGAACTTTCAGACTCAATCATTCCTCTTGGGACTAAGGATGTTCCGGTGCCCGAAATCCTGCAGCATATTGTTGGTCACTCTGTTCCGTCAGAAGAGCCCTGTGACGAGGAGGATGAACCGGCTCCTGATGAAGACTATGTCATTAGTGGTACGGGCGTCGTCAAAGCATTGGGTGTTTGCCTTGGCAATTTGGATCGCCATGGACTCGATACCCCTGGAGAGATGTCCGTTCCGGCGAGCGGTACCACAACCCCCAGGCGTCGCAAGTCTCGAAGTGTCGTCAGCAAGCGACCCAGAGACATGTCAAAAGATTTGTTGGAGTCCGCACGGAATATCAGAACCCGCATCCAATCAGCTCTCATTCGAGAAGACCGTGCTGGTAATGATGCGAATTATCGTCGCCTGCAGTTCCTTGACATGACCCTGCACAGGATGATTCAGCGCTTCGAAGATGAATACCCCGAGACTCGCATCATGCCACAGGCCGAGTCATTACCCTCCCACCCTGCGCCTGACACTAGCTCCCAACACTCAGGGGAGGACGGAACTGGCTCTGTCACTGCTGGCAATATGACTAGTAGCCAAATCGAGGAGAATGGCGCCGACGATGATGACGGCGAATATGACACCCGTCTATCCCGCGCCAGCTCGATGACCTCTCTTCACTCTCGGGCCATGACCTCCCAAGAAGGCCACATTCATCGCATTGGCCAGAACCTCCGCCGCGATTTCCTTAAGCCATCACTGGTCCCCGGCGATGGCGACGAAGAGCTCGACAACGAAGACACCTCACACATCACTGCTCTCAGACAGAAGCTGGAACGTCTGCAGGACGAGCAATCCCTATCTCAGTTCGACAACTTCGACTCCGATAGAGCCTTCGATCAACTTGGAACCACCGTCGATGAACTCTGGGCCGCACAGCAACAAGACGCGGAAGGCTTCGAGCGCTTCAAGCAGTCTCAAATTGCTGCCCAGTTCAACAGCGGTCTTCGGTCGAGGGGCAATAACGAACCTAGGAAAGACTCTGATGAATCAGAGACTAAGTCCTAACCTGATGCACTGTTGATCTTTTGATCTCGGGTTACCTCCACAGTAACATCTCATTATCACACCTGTATATACTCTACGCGCGCACGTCTTTCCTAGTACCAATTCCTCAGCCGCCTTGGGCCTTTTGTATACATTCATGTAGCAGTATGTATTGGCTTTTTTTCGTTCAAGGCTTTACAGCGAATGCTGCCTTACCAATATGAGGATATTTCTTTCGGGAGAACCCACCCGATGAGCTATTGAGTAGTTGAACTGATGCTGAACTTTTCTAGTACATACCTAGGTACATTCAAGCCCTCAAACTCGTCCTCCCAACGTGCGATCCGACCATTCATTCCACCTTCAGTTTCCATGGCTATCATCTACTCAAAAGGTTCCATTAGTTTGTTTCCAAGCACTTTGGCTGGAAATTCATATTCGCCCAAAGTAGTAGTATGCGACCAAGGCTTCAGCTCGTTCTCCCGATGAATCGTAGCCGCGAAACAACTGCTCCACTTCATACGAGGAAAACAGGTCGTCACATCTTCAATGGTCGAGGGGTGGACACACTCGGAGTAAGCACCAGTATTGTCTAGCTCTTGTCAGCTGAATAGGAAAACGTTTTCTTTGGCGGTATTAACATACCGAATATAGTTGCCAGCTGCAGCAACTGCCCAACAGCCGTAATCTTTCCTTGCTGACATAGATCTTGATGCCGGATTATGGCCTCTGCAACACTCTCCGCTTGATCTCGGGGGGCGACGGCATCAGGATCCGAGACTGCGGACTTTTGCAACACGTCCAAGGCCAAGAAGCCCCCGTAGAACTCGAAACTCATCTTCGTACCGAGAAGGTTTGTCTCTGTTGTTCCAATGTCGTGGAGAACACATGCCAGGAAATATGTTTCATCGGTAAACGACCAGGAAGGGAAGAGATGTGATTTTATCGCCAATCCGTAATGATATACTCGACGAGAGTGGTTGTATGTCGGAGCCGGGAGGTGAGATCTTGCATATTCATCGATGCGTTGGGACAGAGCGGTATCTGGGATTGGGGTTTCCGAGACTGGGATGAACGGGGCGGCAGGAGTAGGCTTCACCGATGAAAGCAGTCTCTGCGCTGAGGACTCGACCGGCGTGAAGCCATATTGGGTCTCGGTGGAGGGACTCATGATGTGGGCTGAGAGTAGTGTAGGTAGAAGAATTCAGGAGGGGAGATCGAGTTTATATAGCTCAGAATCAGAGTACAGGGCTTCTACTCATGTTACGTCATGACATCTCATGGCACCTCATAGCCCAGCCGAGTTTGTCTTTCATTTCGAGATTGAAGTCATGTCAGATTCTCGTGCAACGAAGTCCCCAATGAGCCTTGGAGTATAGTCCGGACCCACAGCCCCACCTGGTCCAACTTCCTCTTTCGGTCATTTGGCATCTGCCCCGGAGCTTGGGACTTTGGGCACTTTTACATTTGTCAGGCCATAGCCCCAGGACTGGGATTTGGCATTCTAGACTCTTCCAGAGGGTTGTATGTGGGTTCTTTGGCAATCCGCCGTGGGTGACATTCAATTGAAGCCCGAGTTAAAGGCATGAATTACTGGTGTATGCTTCAGTATTCTACTTCTGACGTGCTGCATATAATTTTCCCAGCTCATGATAGAATTTAGGAGATATTTCAGCGTTGTCACAGGCCTTGCCTTCCTCTTCGCTGTCAGTATAACCTGCGCCAGGCGTGCGAAAAGGATTATAAGCAGAGCTGAAGACAGTGTCAAGCTCCTCAAGTGTTCGGCCCTTCAAAAGGAGCGTAATATGTCAGCAGGTAGTAGTGACAGGATAATAGAGAGAGAACTGACCTTAGTTTCCGGAAGAAAGAAGAATGTGTATAGCAAGGCTACAAGAGAGACACTGCCAAATACCCACCCGACCCCAAAATGGATGCGCTCCATCATATATGGGATGATGAAGTTGGTCACGAACGCCCAAATGACATTCCACGCAGTCCCAATGGACTGCGTCTTTTCACGAACCGCAGAATTGGGGATCTCTGCCCCCAAGAGGTATGGGATCGAGGCTCCGCCAGCCTGTTCAGGGGATCAGCGAGGGAGCAGACATGCAAGAATGAATACTAACGTTATAGAACAACTGGTATAACATAAACGCCGCCACAATGGCGTTTCGGGAGGGAGTGGACGGGTTGGATACTCCCCCGAGGCCTGCAAGCACGAACATCCAAAGGGCTTGGAATGCGTAGCTGATGAAGAGTGTATGTCGGCGACTGCAACCAGAATATTAGAAAGGCGTTTACCATCTTGCATACTAGGAATCTTACCCTAGCTTGTCAATAAAGCACATGGCTATGGCCACAGCGACAATCCCAAGTACACTGCTTGCAAGTGGATATGTGTAGGCGTGTTCCGCATACCCGTTCTGTTGGTAGAACTTGGTCTGGTAAGTAGATACAAACGCTTGACCAGTAGCCTATATGGTGAGCTTATTTCGAGGATAATCGGAAGTTTGGAGAAGCTTACCTGTTGAAAAAAGTAACAGACAAAAACAATCAAGGTGCGGCGAAGGTTGCTACCTCGGACCAACTCTATCCACTCGGCCTTATGCACTACCTCATGTAGACTTTCTCGGATCTCAGCAAGCTCTGCTTCACACTTTCCATTTGATGCATCTTCTTTAGGACGTAGTCGATTTAGTGAGGAAATAGCATCGTCGTCCCGGTCCTGAGAGAGTAGCCATCGGGGAGAGTTCGGTATGAAGGTCGTGCATATGATGATCACTGTAGCAAAGTGATGTTAGCAGTTGCTATTATCTCGTCAACGGGTGAAGAGCAGAGTTACGTACAGACCGGAAATATCAGCTGAATTCCAGTGATCGTCTTCCAGCCGACCCCACTTGATTCGGTTTCGTAGGCCTTGTTTACACCACTGGCAACGAGACCGCCTGCGACGAGGAAGAGCTGCAAGGAGACCACAACAAGGCCACGGAAAGCGGCGGGAACAATCTCCGACTGATAAGTTCTGGAGAAAGCATCATTCATTAGCAGGAGTAGCATAATTCCCTCAACTCGGAAGGGAACTCACGTCACGTCGACCTCCACTAAGCCAATAGAGATGTATACAACGATTCGACCCACGATGAACTGTGCCAGCCGCCCAGTCCCAGGCTCAGTATCAGCGGCAGTGATCTCAACTGCAATGTTATTTAGTAAGAATTCTGATAGCCTTTCAAGAAAATGAACTCACTGATGACACCTATTATCGAGATCACCGAAAGAGCATAGAACACCATGCGGTGTCCGTACTTCTCGATTGCGGGCCCCGCGACAAAACAGCCAATGAATTTTCCAATAAATGCCAGGGAAGACAAAAGAGATGTTCTCAGGGAGTCGATCTCATAGGTTTGCGTGTCCGGTTGCCAGGTGCCAAATTGGTTGACAAATCCCTAGAAACCGTCAGCCGCATAACTCGCCTAGCGATATGTGGTCTGAAATTGTCTTTCTCATACCGGATTTCCGAGAATCCCCCCAAAGCTGCCTGTGTCAAATCCAAACAGCATGTCGCCGGTCAGCAGACAGAAGCACGAGAATAGCAGCATCGGGGCCGCCATGATGCAGGAAGAAGCGTCGGCCGTTACACTGCCACTTGATGGCTTAGCAAAAGTGAGTCACGGTCCACAGTGACGAGCAAAAGAGAAAGTGGATGTATAACATGATGAGTCTTTGCGGTGATGGACGGTGACGTTTTATGCCCGTTGAGCCTTGGTATGGCCCGGAGTCCATAGCGACAGCGATGACCCACTGCGGATACTACCTGCATTAGCTGCAATCGCACAATCCCCCCACAACCTGGGGTAATGAGAAGCCAACCATTGCCAGGCGACCTCACTCTTCTCGCTCGGAGCCCAGCCAAGACCTTCCGAGCGAGCTGTCTCTGTTCCGAGCGAGGTGAATGCGCTCCGAGCGAGCTTGTAGCTCAACGCCTCCCTTTCTTGTCTACCAATTACTTCTCTTCTTACTTTTATAAATTGATCTTCGCAATCAAGTGTCCACTCTGTCGTTATCGAATATTCTTGATTCTTTGAGCAGGTTTTCGTTTGGGGAGAAACCATTTAACGAGCCCTAGATCTTCGGTCTTGCCCATTGCCCATTGCATACATTCTGCTCAACATGGATAAATCTTCGAAAACGCCAAACTTTCTGTTTATTCTCGCAGATGATCTGGTAAACGACCTTGACAGCTTCGACATACATGTATACTAATTTGTTGACTTCCGACAGGGGTTCTCCGACATAGGCTGCTATGGCTCTGAAATCCACACGCCCAACATTGATAGACTCGCCGCGGAAGGCGTGCGCATGCTCAATCAGCATACTGCAGCCGCCTGCTCCCCGACTCGAGCAATGCTTCTCAGTGGAACAGATGCGCATCTGGGGGGACTAGGCACACTGATCGAATTCAAACAAAATGCCAAAGGCTCTGAGCGGTGGTCAGGCAAAGCTGGCTACGAGGGATTTCTGAATCGTGACGTGGCTGCCTTGCCCGAGATACTTGAGGACAATGGATATTTTACTGCGATTTCCGGAAAGGTATGTATGTCTTGTGGTTACTTTCTTGGTGATACAGATGTTGATCTCATTGTAGTGGCATCTGGGTATGCGAACGTCACAAGGACCATGGGAGCGCGGCTTCCAGAAGGCATTTGCAATGCTTCCGGGGTGCTGTAACCACTATGGATGGGAGCCAGTTCAGGAGAGGTTCCCCGTTGGGGGCCGACCGATTCATGCCGAGATGGGACAGAAAGTAGACATGTGAGTGCAGGTTGATTGGGTGTTCTTATCCTACCAGTACTGACCAATATTGCATCGCAGAACACCGAACAAGACCGAGGATGATAAAGGATTCTACTCGACAGACTACTATACAGATCGGCTGATTGAATATCTCAAAGAGCGAACTGAAGAGGAGGAATCGAAGCCATTCTTCTCGTTCCTACCATACACCGCGCCACACTGGCCTTTGCAGTGCTCCCGCGCCCAGCGTGATAAGTGAGTCTGGATTCGAAAGAAACGAATATCTCAGCTAATCTTTTGGCAAAGGTACAAAGGGGTTTATGACGACGGCCCGTATGCCCTACGAGAGCGACGATTGAAAAAGCTCGTCGAATTAGGCATCATCGACAAGGACATTGTACCACACAAGGTGGAGACAAGTGAAGTGGGAGCTGAAGAATGGGATTCTCTCTCCCCAGAAGAAAAGAAGCAATCGACCCGTGCGATGGAGACATACGCAGGCATGGTTGACTCTATCGATATCAACGTTGGAAAAGTCATCGAGTACCTGAAGACCACAGGCGAGTATGACAATACCTTCATTGTTTTTATGAGTGACAATGGGGCAGAAGGAGCAGCGTAAGTGCCCCCAAGGCCATATAACCTGACCCTATGAATTGACAACGGATTTCGATCAGATTGGAAGCTATTCGTATGTATCGATTGCTGTCGAGTGATTGAATGTTGGCGACTAACGTGTGGCTTAGCTGTCTTGGGTAGGGATATCAAATCTGCAATTCGCGAATACTATGATAACTCATACGAGAACATCGGGGCATACAACTCATACACCTGGTACGTTATGCTGCCTTGCCGTGAAAGAAGAATGGCTAACATGAATATACCGATAGGCTTGGTCCCCTTTGGGCACAAGCATCGACTGCACCTTCAAGACTCTTCAAAGGCTTTCCATCAGAGGGAGGTATTCTAGTTCCTTGCGTGATCAAGCCCCCGACAAGCAGTTTTCCCCGGTTGTCTCCAGGGTCTTTCAACAGGTCCTTCACAACGGTCATGGACTTTGCTCCCACGTTCCTTGATCTGGCTGGTGTGACCTTACCTCAGGCTACGACCAATGGCGTCCGAGCGATGACAAAATTCCGCGACAGAGATGTGCACGCCATCCGAGGCAAGTCATGGGTGCCATTCTTCCGTCACGGCGAAACCGTCGAAGGGGAAGAGATATGGGCGATTCATTCGTCCTCGGAGGCTATTGGATGGGAGCTTCATGCGCGTGCGGCGTTGCGCAAGGGCGACTGGAAGATCGTGCACTTTGCAAAGGCACAAGGTGGTGCTGGCGAGGGGGATGGCGGATGGGAATTGTTTAACGTGGCACAGGACCCCGGCGAGACAACTGACTTAGCGCAGGATGAGCCTGAAAAGCTTCATGAATTGCTCAAATGCTGGGATGAGTATGTGGTCGAGTGTGGAATTGTCTGGGGAGAAGGGGCTGTGACGCCAGGACTGAGTAGAGATGAAGCACCGGAGCTGTGGGAGGATGAGATGGAGTTGCAAAAATGCTGGATGGACGCTCGTGGGGGAACACGACCTGGTTGCTGAGAGGAATGTGTTTGCGCACTAGATATGGAGAGAGTAGATGGTCTCTCAGTTCACATTCTAGACATGGCCAAGCAGTAGACCAGTTGACCTCGGGAGTGAACTTGGACCTCTCTTCCCCAATTTTGTAATAGCAACATTTCCAACTCCGAGTCTGTTAGACGCAATTTATTCCAATAACTTGAATGGCGTGCTGAAGACACTGAAATAGTATCCAATCGACAGAGTGATCCGTGATCGATATGCTCATAGTGGGGGGAGCAGCCCGGGGCCTCATACCCAACGGGTTAGCGCCCCCGGGGCGAAGTCCCCGACTTCCCCAACCTTGCTTCTTTCAACCTCCCAAATGGACAGCTCAACACCCAAACTGTCGCATAATCCCCAGGAACACGAGTCAAGGCGTGGTATTCACAGGACGCACACAGGATGTCAAACATGCCGATATCGGAAGGTCAGCACTTGGCCACGTTGGATGGTTCGCAGACACAATCTGACACCCGCAGATCAAATGCGATGAAAAGAAGCCCTCCTGCACGCAATGCAATCGAGGAAGTCGAGATTGCACTTGGAGTGGAGGCGAAAAGAAACGGACCAGAACCCCCCGCAGAGCCAACGCGACAGCGTGCGAAGAATGTCGCCATAAAAAGGTCGGCCTCACTTCCAAGCTGCTTCAGAATCGTGCTACTTACACCGCCACTGCTAGCTGAGATGTACCAATGATATCAATAGCATATGTGAGAGATGTCAGACACAGGGGATTGAGTGCATAAGGCTTCAACACCGTGCTGGCCCTGCTTCCCCAAGCCTTCCAGAAAGCTCTCCCGCAACCAACCCAGCTGTATCGCAAAGTGTGCAGCTAGGTCAGCTACCGGAAAGCACAGAGCTACAGAGACTGGTTCATCTATACTTTTCATCAGCTCACCGTAAAATACGCGTTTGGCTCCCTGGAAGGAGTGACTTTGCTAATGATCGATAGATTTCGGCTTTTTCGCCTTCATCCACCCTCTTCATTTTCAAAAACTGTTGGCCAATGATAAATCTCCCCGCGAGCTGACTCTAATGATGATTGCTAGTGCTACTCGGTAATGGTCCATCCTTCTTAGTGTTGCTCGAAATGATTATTGATGTCCTATAGCTTCGGTGCCCTGGTCACTGCAGAGACCCTTGCTCAAGCGGATGCATGGGCCGATGCAGCAATCAGCGCTCTTCTTCCACGCATCTATCAAGGTTTTGGGGTCATTCAGCTAATGGTTCGTGGTAGATGGCGTTAACGCACATCGCGATTCATTTCGAAGACTGATCCCTATCCAGACAGGACTCCTCGCGCAACACTATGACTTACATCGCGGAAATTTTACGTCCGCTTGGCTCCTAGGAGCTAGCTGTACACGGTGAGCCCATTTAATCCCGAGAATCTTCTATCGAATTTACCAGAAGGCAAACTAAACCATTATAGTATGATGCAAATGATGTCTCTACACATCTTCGATCAGGTATACCCTGAAAGCTTCCCATCGCATCAGAGCCTGTCTCCTCTACTGTCGCGGGAATCTTTACGTCGGATTGCGTGGTCAACATTCTACCTCGACTCCATGATTGACGGGGGTCGTTACGGCTCCCAGACAATTGATGAATGCGCCTACCGCATTCAACTACCGTGTGACCAAGAGAGCTTCTTGGGGGATGATCAATCCACCACCGAACCATTGATTCCAGATGCGAGCATCAGTGTGCAGCGAAGAGGTGGTTGCCTTCCTCACGCATCTCTCGATATGTCTGCCTATCTCTTACGTACCGCAGCGGCTCGCCGCCGCGGCCTGCACTTTGCTTTCCGCGCATCGTATCAAGAAAACACAGTTGAACATCTATCGACTGGTCTATCTACAACCAAAAAAGATTTTGAGGCTGTCTATGCCGACTTGCCGCGTCGATTTCAGCTCACTGATGACAATTTACTCCTTCACCGCGATCGATTACCGATGTTCATTCTCCTGCACGTTTTGCGAAACAATCTCTTCATCATTCTGGGCAGAGCCGCGCTACTCATTTACCTCCGAGATTCCACCAAGGCTGATCTAATTAACAATACTCGTCGGGATAGAATATCTCGCGCTCTCACCGTCTCAGACCTAATTTCCGTGGGACTCAAGGAGAACATCATTTTTGATCCGCATATTGGCGTGCAGGCCTACGTGGCCCTCGAGAGTACAGTCACTGCCTGGTTTTGCAGTTGAGAGACATTTTACTTACAAATTTCTTGGCAGTTCTCCTTTTTGAGCCTCGTCGGTTGGCTAGTGTCGATGCTTCAACCGATTCCAACAATTCGACTTTAACAGAAGGCATTGTCCACTGCTTGACAGTGATTAGGGACATATCGACTCGATCAGTGTTTACCAAACACCTGGTAAATGTGATCATCGGATTTTTGAAGTCTCGCTCTGACAAATTCAGTACCATGAAGCAATTCACCGTCTCATAAAATTCGACTGCATGCACATTCTCGATTCTAGCGACCTGGAGCATATCAGCAGGTTAGTTTTTATGATACCTGAAGTATTCAATATGGCTGTGCTAATAAAATATACAGCAAACACCCGTTGATTGGCCAGGATGCTGCAGAATTCGACTTTCGCGACCTTCGAGGAGCGAAATTGGAACGCCTGAGCAAGCTTAATGGGAAGTCCGGCGACTATGCGATCAGCGCTACTCATGATGAAGTTTTACTAGACGATTCTCCGAACCGAGAGACCCTCAGCTCCTCGATGGGCGCGTCTAACCAGCCTCCCACTTTTGGTGCCAATAACATCCAGCTGCAGCTTCCCGAGAATATCTCGCACGCACCCGAACTCCCCGACGCCGGCAGTCTTCCATCAGAGCTGAATATTGTGGATTGCGATCTACTCCAAGATGGACAGCAATGGAGGGAAGTCGTGGAGCCTGGGAACATAGATCATCTATTCGCATCACTCAATTGGTTGTGGCCATTTGAAGAGTGGACGGATCAAATTGACCCATCGACGGGGCGACCGGGATTCCCATAGCTGTGTTTACGAAAGGCATGAATTATAAGTTTTATTCACTTTGATGCCTGCAGATCAGCTCCTCTTTGTGCTGTCTTTGGGGGCAAGGGGACTACAATTCGGGGTTGCCCGCGGGTAGGACCCACCAGACGACCCCGGGAGACCAACGCCCTACCATCAGCCTCGGAGGACAAAATAGGGGTGAGTGGGCTTCTCCTAATTGTGATGAAACTTTTAATTTATTCTTCGAATATTAACAAGAACATTATTGAAAAATGACAGGGGGATATTTAGGGTATAGCAAAAGATAAAGAGGTAGAAAAGATCTTTGATCTCATATCGAAGATGGCCAAAAGACGCATATAACGCACGACATAAACATTACCCAAAGAAATCACATCAAGATCGCCGTTGACTGGGAACAGGTGAGATCCAGCTCACAGCCAAGTTAGCTGCCACGGATATCACACCAATGATCCACATTGACTTCCCATAGTCCGATCCGTTGTATCGGAAGATAATGGCAAAGATAATGCCTCCAAGGTTACCAAAGCCGCCCACGATTCCGGATACAATCCCTGTTATGTGTTAGCAACTGGTCAACATGAATGAAGGGACGGAAAGAACACATACCATTAGCAAATGGATGCACGTGAGGCACAACAGCAAAGTTGGCTCCGTTACATGCCTCAAGGAAGAAAGCCAGTCCAGCGACTAATCCAAACATAGATGACTGAGAAGACGGGTTGGACAGGCCAATGGCAAGCTGAAACGCGCCCATAGAAACCCCCAGGAAGGTGAGAAGAAGTTTCTTCGACCAAACACTGTCGGTCATTTGGTATAGTAGATCGGCGACGTAGCCACCAGCGGGCCTGAAGACAACGTTCAGAAGGCCAAACATGGCGGCCCATTCGCCTGTCTCTGTTTGACCCATGTGTGGGAAGGTTTTCTCATAGTAAGATCCTAGGACGGAGTTGATGGACAGTTCAGAACCAAAAGAGCAGGCGTATGGAATTGCCACGGCCATGGTAGATAGACTGAGTGCGACATTCAGGGCTTCTTTCCGGGTTGGAGCGACGACTGTTTCTTGCTTGAAGATCGAGTCCATCTGGCCCATGACCGATGCTTCCTTGTCTTGGATCTGAGGAGACTGGGCGCCCTTCTTCTCGACATCGGTTGTAGCAGCGTTATAGGGGGTTGTCATTCCACTTGAGAAGGTGTCAGTGTTCAAGTCGACTATGTTTCCGTCGGTGGCTGCGCTGTCTCTCGTCTCCTTGGCCCAAAGGTGTCGCTCAGACCATTTGCCGGTTGGAGTGTCTTCGCAGAAAAAGAGCATACACAAGGCAACGGCGGTGATGATGATGAAGGGAATGACATATGCGACGCGCCACGCCTTGTGAGAGGGGAGGCCACTTGTATGGACAAGAGAGTCGTAGATAGCAGGCATGAGGAAGCTGGTTGAAAGATGAGTACTTGGGTATGTAAATCCCGGGATGAGAAAGGAACATACTATGTGATTCCTCCACCTGCATTACCCCAGCCTCCCGCGAGGGAGTTGGCGGTGCCGACAATCTTCTTGTCGAAAAACCCAGTACACCACACCTGGCATGGAACGAATGTTCCTCCAAGAATTCCCACAAAGAATCGCAATGCGATCAGTCCTTTCGGTGTAGTGACCAGACCGGCCATGGATGTTGGAATGGCTCCGCATAGAAGCAGTCCCACGAAAACCAATCTTGGGCCGTAACGATCGCAAAGGGGTCCAGCGATAAATCGGACAAGTAGCGTTGCCAGTAGTGCGACAATGTTGGAATTCGCGACCTCCTGCTGTGTCATGTGTAGGTCTTGTTTGATAGTCACCGTCAACTAAACCGGGTTAGATAGTGCGAGCACGTTGGAGATGGGATATCTTACCAGTGGTGGAAAAGCATACCACGACAGAAAGGCTACCATGAAACCAAGCCATGAAAAGAAAAAGACTCTTCCATATTGATCAATGGGATTGAAGATTGGAATTGATCTGGCTTTGCGGTTACTGGGGTTTATCTCTGGCGACGTGAAGAGGGATTTTATGAAAGCCATCGCCATTTTGGTGGACTCGGGCTTTAGGTAATGGAGGTAATATCAAAGAGTAGTTGGTCAATGCCCAGGTGAATATTGCTCAGATATTTCCAGGGTTCAATTGTAGGTCTTTGGATTTCTTTAAAACATCTATTTTGTGCTGGTTGGAAAGGGATATATATCAGTCCAAATGACATACTTGGTACCACCATCGATGTCTACCGTATGTCGATGAATGCCCAGGTGCCCAGAGGCGTCTCATCATGACACACAAAGGCAATCAAGTCCAGCTATCAGCCTGTCAGATCGAATTGTCGTCTAGCTAAAGGATATGGTCATCGCCTTGAGTATATCCCAGGTTGCTGATTCGACGAGGAATAGTCAATCAAGGTTGAATAAGCGATGATCCTTGAGTGTATGCAGCTGCCCCAGATATCTCCCCTAAGACTCCCGAGATGAGAAGTATAATTGTGACAGCCGATAAGGTGTGTCTTGAGATAAGTCCCGGCCTATAGAGGCTCTTTGAGTCCAACGGGGAAGCATCGAGCAGCCAAGGTACCAAGACACGATGATTTTCGCAGCTGTAACTCCGCGGAGGTAAGGGCTCCATATATCGTGAAAAAGGAAATTCAAATTAAAACGGTCTTTGCCCCAGGGTCCCGGTGATAAACACACGCACGCTTATTGGACGCGGGAGGGAGAGATAGAGACAGCCCACCTGGGCAGCGGGTCAAAGACGATCGATTTACCTCCGCGGAGAAAGCTCACCATATCCACTTTGCCTTGCCTAGTCTGTTCTCAGTATCAAACTCAGATGGTGTGGTATTGTGGTCTATTCTAAATTCATTATTTTAACGCTTCACTCAATCTGATACGACCGACGAATGGCTTCAGCGAACCGTTCAATGGCAGTCCCCATGGCCTCCGCAGTAGCACTTGCATAGGTTGCGCGGAAGAACATGCCATCTGCAGGCGTATCCGGTTCAGCACGGAACCAAGAGCCACGAGCGCAAAGCACACCCGTCTTAATGGCTTGGTCGAAAATCTCGCCTTCGATTTCTTCGATGGGACGGGCTGGGTACTCAGGGTGCTTCAGCGGGTCGCACTTCAGCCAAAGCTATCATTTGAAGTTAGTAAAATGGCAACAAGGACACAGAAATGGACCAAGATGTCCAATCCCAGGGCTTTTCAGAAACTTACGAACATGCCTGTCGTCGGGGGACTCCAGCTGACAACAGATTTAGGGAGGAACTTCTCACAAGCATCGAGCAGCATGTTCCTCTTCTGAGTGTACGCGTTCTTCAAAGCAATCAGCCACTTCAAGTAGCCCTCGTGGCCCCAGGTCTGATCAAGCAATTTCCACAACATGATCTGTGACATGCCATTCGGTCCTTGGTTAGCGACCTCGGCATGGCGAAGGAATCGCTCGATTATTTGCGCGCTCGCGGTGACCCATCCCAGTCTCGATCCTGGAACAAGCACCTTGGAAAACGAGTCCATGCGCATGACTCGTCCGTCAATATCAAGGCTGAGGTATGATGGAACAAGACCGGCCAGGAACGACTCGACATCCTCTGAGGCTTGCACCTTGTCAGAGTCGTTGCCCTGGTACGGAGGCATCTGGATAAAGTAGTAAGGCTCATCCTCGATGATGAAAATATCGTGCTTTTGGCAAACACTGTAAATAGCACGACGTCGCTGAAGGCTTTGGGTTGCCGCAGTCGGGTTCTGGCCCGAGGGAATGGTGTACAGAACATGAGGCTTGCGATACCCGCGTGCCTTCTCATCCCACGAAGATAGCATGGCATCCATGCTTTCTGGGAGCAGACCCTCGTCATCCATCTTGACACCAAATGGCTTGATGCCTTGAGGAACGAATGTTTCCAATGCAGTGGAGAAGCTGTATTCCTCAGCGAGGACCGAGTCCTTTCGAGAGCGATCGAAAAGTAGACGGATGGCCTGCTCAAGGGCACCCGTGCTTCCCACAGTTGGTGCGACCTTCCAGTCGGCGTAAGGGGGGTTATAGACAAGCTCTGTGTGCTCTGTGATGAAGCGCATGATTTGAGGAGATCCACTGGCTTGTCCATAGTTTAAAGCAATGGACAGGTCGTACTCGGAGGTCCCAGCCTTGACATCGTGCTTTCCAATAGTCACTGTTTGGACTGTGGGAGTTTCATTTTCATCATGATCCTTGAAGAAGTGCTGTGCCGTGGGGACCTTGAAGCTCCATTCATAGAATGGGAAACACTCGCTGGAGGGAAGCCCACCGCCCAGCGAGACAATATCGGGATTGCTCATGTAAGTTGCCGCCTGTTTCAGAATGCAGAGTGGCCGTGACTGGCTCTCTGGGCTGATGTGAGCTATCAAGCCTGGGTTAGTGAAAAAGCTCACGGACTGCTGAGCACAGGAGAATCGCTCTTACAATTCCAACATTTGGCCTTGGGCTTATCAGATGCCTTTGGTTCATGTTAGCCGGTGCCTGTGCAAAGTCATGGTTAATATCCATACCGGAGCCTTGAATTGATCAACATCGCATGCTGCAGCTACACCCGCTACAAGCTTGCCAGCTTTGTCTCTTCTTTCCTGGATTTCATTGAGGAGTCTGCGCTTCTCAGCCACCTCGTTGTCACTCGGGAAGGTTGAAAAGGAAGGCATTATAAGTAAAGGTTTGGGGTCAATTGGAACGTATAAGATAAAATCAAAAGACCCGATGGGTTGAGAGGAACCTTTTATCACGGCCTGGTCTTTAAGAAAATATTTCGTGGAATATGGGGCTTTCAGAGATGAGTCAAATCCGAAGCTTCTAATCCGAGCCTATTTCAACAATGCAAAACCGACGAAATTATTGCCATTCAAATATAGACATATCTTGTCATTCATATGACACAAATAAATATGTCAATAAAATGTCCGTTACACGTCAATAGCACAGTCTTGTTTAAATCGACTACTTAGATATAGCTCCAAGCAAAACAAGACGTTGCTCGGCTTTCGGGAAAGGTGTAGCTCAGCCGTGAAGCGGTCTGAGTTCGGCGACGAACACGCCCTATGCATGCGCCCTTCGCGTGTCCCCCGCCCCATGCCGAGACATCTCGTTGGGCACTAAAACCATCAAAGATCCTGTCTAAGCCCACCTGGGTAAGACTCAGACGATTATAGTCAGTGCCCCATACATATTTTGACAAGGGTAATCGAGCGCGAAATGCTCGCGACTCTCAGCACGGTGCAACAATCACACCGGTATCAAAGCATACCACTCGGAAGGCTGCAGATCAATCCCACCCACTGTAGATTCCCAGGATACGAGTAGATTGAAGGATGAAGTAAATGTACGAAGTAGATCTTCCAGCGCAGAATTTTAAATGCATCCTATTGGCCCAAAAATTCAATGTCACGTGCCGTCCGCAGATAAGCGCCAGAACAATCTCTCTCGGCTTTCAGATCTTGATTCCCGACGAGTTCCGATACAAATGAGATGCGGTCAAGTATATCGTGCGAATCATGCAGGTGAGCACATATTACGTTAAATTTAGGTATCCTGGCTCATCTCAATAGGCGATCGAAAGTTAAATGCGTCCATGCGGGAGTTGCTCCTTGCCAGAGATGCCTGAAGTCAGAGCTCGATGGTTGTACTCTGAGCAGACCAAACAAAACACCGCAGAAATCTAGGTCCCAAACTCGCAGGAGTCAGCCCTATGAGCCCCAGCAGGCCTACAACCCATTCAATGAACGTGCAAGATCCTGTCCGGACACACCTGCTGTCCCGCTCCAGCCTGACCCCTCGGAGTCAACCCCCGATAAGGCGTCTATCGACCGACATCTGGCTACTCTTTCCACGGAAGTGATCTTGAAGTCTTTGAATTGGTTCTCCGGAAAATACCCGGAATTCGCGATTCTGAACCACTCCGTCATTTTAGAGGAGTTCCAAGCAATATGTCCACCTGAAAGCAAGATATTACTTGCTGCCATATTGGCTTCAGCCAGAGTTCAATTCTCCCTCCTCAGTCTGCCATGGGAAAAGAATTTATTACCCAGAGAGCATTATGCCACCTATGCCCGAGAGATGCTGTCAGAATGGTCCTTCAAGCCCCCCAGGCTCATGGTGGCACAAGCATCCTTAGTGATGGCATTGTACGAATGGGGTATTCGAGAATTTCACCGGGCCTGGATCTATTGTGGTAAGTGCTCTATCATTCTTTCGAATGATCTCAATACTAAGTCTACCAGGGATCGCGATACGTATCATTCAAGCACTCAATAGCTCAAGGGTCTCCCCATACCCCCTGGATCCCACTCCGCCTTATTTAAGGGATGCGGTATCGGTTGCAATCGAGAATCGAACCTTTTGGGCCTGCTTTATCATGGATCGAATGATCAGCTCTGGAACTTATAATCCACCAATGCTTCCCATGTCAGAAATGGAAAAGCTGAAGGTGTCCACCCCGCTGAGTGCCGTCGACTTCGTCTTCGGGCCTGATCTCTCCTCCGAGCGGACAGGTCTAGATCATAGGCTGGTGACCGCGGAAGATGGCCAGACTGCACCGCTCGACGTCACGCAATCTTTCAAAGTCCTGGTTTATGGCTTTGACATATGGGCTCACATCATGACCTTCATTTTTAATGACGGGCGACGCGCGCCGGGGATGTGTGCTCCGCAGAATTGTCCTTGGGCGCCTGGATCCCCTTGGTCGAAAACTCACATTCGCCTGGAAGAGTGGAGAGCTACGCAACATCATCGACTTCATTATCCAGAAAACAGTGTCGTGACCCACACTACATTAGGATGGGGTGAATCCTTCACTTACATTAACCTGCTTTACTACACATCGTATGTAGGGACAGCCATCAGTTTTTGAATTCCCATGGCTAATGACAGGCTCCAACAGGACTCTCATGCTTCATCGTGAATATTTCCCTTTTCTACCCAATGCTGGCTCTGTCCCTCGCGGCCCAATCGACCAGCCGACCCTGGAGGCCGAGGCGCCCGAGGGCTGGTGGAACAATAGCGCCCTAGTGCTTTTCGGGACGGCTGAAAAGATTGCCAAGTTGCTGCATGACGCTTCCGAGTGCGGCGCGGAAATGCTGACTCCTTTTGTGGGATTCTGTGCTTTCTCCGCGGCATACATGAACCTCTACATTTTCCGGTTTCCACAGATGAATCTTGGCCGGAGTTTGAATGCAGAGAGAAACCTAAACTATTGTCTCGCCTACCTGGAGAGGTTCCGAGATGTGTGGAAGCTGGGCGAAAGCTGGGTATGTACTCACCTGAGCCTTCGTTTATCTGCGGGACTGGCTGCGGAGCCTTTTTCTTACCTTGAGAAGTTGACTAACTGAAACTCCGTAGATAACAACCATCAATCATGCATCAATCTTGTACCAACGAGCTGCATCTGACAACTCTCGGTATCAAGGGAAAACGAGGACAGATTTCAATATTCTGCATCAATCTCTACATGAATTCCGTGTGCCTGATAGATCTGACCAGCATCTTCAAGAGATTGAAGGCGCCGAAAGAGCTGCTGCGCCATCATCACCCCGTGAGCCTGCCCCAGCGGCAACGGGCGGATCCGATATATTGGATTTAGACATGCCTCTCAACAATTTACTCAGTGAGGTCAATGCATATGCCCATGAACAAGGGATGTGGTCACACTGGTGGCCTCCACTGGACGAAGTGAATTTACCACATCCTTCTGAATGAACGGGGATGAACCAAATTTATCAACACAAAAGTTTCATTCATCTTTAATTCATTAAATATACGCTCGAACCTTGGAAGTTCCATACCCATGCAAATTCATAACTACCAGTCGATTGTTTTGGCCGGCTGCACAGCTGGCACCTTGGTCAAAAATCCATCAAGGACCTTCTTCCCCCTCATGCCCTTAAATTTCTTGTCGACTTTGTGGAAAGGATCCTCCGCCTCACCCTTTCGCACCTTCCACTTCTCTGTTCCTAGAACAGAGTCCAGCTCTTCGACTGGCGGGAGCTTGAGATACACCCATCCATCATCCCTTTCTTCAACAGGGAATGTGGCAATGTTCATACTTTCATCATTGGAACAACGTCCTGCCTGCTCGCCATTAAGCTCGAAATTGCGCTTATGGTAAGGACAAGACACCCAGTATTTCCCAGCATCATCATCGCCAACCAGACCATCAGAGAGAACAAACGCTCGTTTATGCGGACACATCTGCTGTGTTGCGTAGAACTTGCCCTTGATCTTGAAAACAGCAAGCTGCGTATCGCCCCGTTTGACATTCGCCGATGACACCCGTGGTTGTTCATCGGAGAAATGGTCGGCTTTGATAACGGGTTGCCAAGAGACACTGGACCATTGATGGCCTTTGAAGTCTTCTTGTGTTGTTGAATCTTTTGGCCAGTATGTCGGGCGCTGTTGGGAACGTTCTTGTACAACTTCGACGTTCTCAACAGTTTCTTCAGTGTTGGCGAATTGTTGGAATACCTTGCGGCGTTTAGGATCTTTGATTGTTTCCGTCCACTCGCAGAAGTAACTGTCGACTAGCTCGTGCATTTGCCGCTCCATGTCAGCGCAAATGCCTAGCTTGTCGTCCACAATCACTTCTTTGAGGTAGTGAATGCCACCTGGGAGGTTCTCGATCCATCGCGCTGTTCGTTGGAGCTTGTCGGCGGTGCGAATATAGAAGATCAAATAACGGTCGATGATGGGCATGACCATCTCTGCCGGGACATCGGTCACAAGCAGCTCTGAATGTCTGGGCTTCGCACCACCGTTGCCTCCAACGAAGATGTTGTATCCTTTTTCTGTGGCGATCAGACCAAAGCTGATGGGAATTAGCACTGAGATACTCAAGTCCGCTTCTGGAAACACTCACTCTTTGTTCTGTGCTTCTGCGCATTCACGTACGCAGCCAGAGACCGCTCCTTTGAACTTGTGCGGGGCGCGAATACTCTTGTATCGCTCTTCCAGGCGGATGGCCATGCCAACACTGTCTCCGACACCAAAGCGACACCACGTAGTTCCAACACAACTCTGGGAACTCAAGTCAGCCATAATCATTCTGATGCACGACTGTTACATACCTTGATTGCTCGAAGCGCCTTTGCGTAAGCATGTCCACTCTCCATGCCGGCATCGACAAGCTCAGTCCAGATATTGAGAAGATCTTGCTTTTTCGCGCCGAACATATCGATACGCTGGGCACCTGTGATCTTGCAATACAGGCCATACTTCTTCGCCACAGATCCGATGGCAATAAGCTTATCGGCTGTGATTTCTCCACCGGGGATTCGCGGCACCACGGAAAAGGTACCGTTTCGCTGGATGTTCGCCAGGAACTTGTCATTTGTGTCTTGCAGGTCGTTGTAGCCTTTGTCCATGACATGTGGGTTGAAAAGACTAGACAATATCGATCCGATTGCCGGTTTGCACAGCTCGCAACCGAGGGAATCTGGGTTCTTGCCCGCGCCCTTCATCACTTCAGTGAAGGTCTTCAGCTGTTTGATGGCAACGATGTTGTACAAATCGGCGCGAGAGTAGGGAATGTGCGAGCAAACTGTAGGTATAAGTAAGTATACAGTCGACAATGCAAGAGTAGGCTAAAACTCACGATGATTGGAGACCTCTTGTCCCATGTCCAGCATTGTCTTATTGAAAATGGATTGCACTAAAGGCATGCATCCACCGCATCCTGTGCCGGCTTTTGTGCAAGACTTGACTTCAGCAATAGATTTGCAAGTGCCATTTTTCACATTCTCGACAACGTCGCCTTTGGTCACGTTGTGACAGGAGCAAATTTGGGTGCTGTCGTCACTATAGGGATGGGTCAGCGCAATCAACAGAGCACAAACTCGAGAATATAACTCACAGATCATCCGCATTCTCCTCCCCGCCACTCTGAGCACCAAGAATAAATTGGCCTGGGGGTACTTCGAGCTCTTTCTGGAGCTTCACCATCTGATTGAGTTTCAGATAATCATTGGTATCACCAATCATCATACCACCAAGCAAGTACTTCCCATCCATGGTGAAGAGGTACTTCTTGTATACTCCGGCAAAGGGATCTTTGTATGTCAATGCTTTGACAGGGGGTTCATCTTCTGGATTATATCCCAAGCCAGGCGCGGTAGAAGGCCGACGACCAGGAAGGAATTTGGGGCCGTCTCTATCGGCAAAGAAGTCACCAAAACTGGCGACGTCGACTCCAAGCAGCTTAAGCTTGGTGCTGAGGTCTGGCCTTGAGAAGCTCCTTCGTGGCTTTTGTGGGTTGGTGAGATTGAAGGCTAGTACATCAGCCATTTCGATACCTGGGGCAATGATTCCGAACGTTTGGTTCTTCCAGCTTGCGCATTCACCGACGGCATAGATGTCCGGAATGGAAGTTTGCAAACTATACACGTTAGACAATGACTGGTGAAATTTGAGAATCTTTCTCCGACGACATACCTCTCATCAATCACAAAGCCTCCACGGTCACCGCACTGGATTCCAATATCGTGGCCCAATTCGTCTCGTGGCTGAACTCCAATCTGTCGATAGTCAATACTTTATCCGAGTGCTATGGGGTGGCCGGACTCACCGCAAAGCAAATACAGCAACAATCAATCGACTCCCCATCTTCAAAGGTAATACCGACAACGTTGTTATCGTCATCTGTATTGACCTTCTTTATCCGCTTCTGGTGCAGGACTTCGAGTCCCAACTCCCGGATCTTGCGGGTTACTAGCGTCCCCGCATCGGCATCCAGTTGGCGTGCCAGCACCCATTTGTTCCTGTCGATCAATTTGACGTTTCCGAAATCCTCCAGATCGGTCATGGCCTTCGCGGCTTCGAGTCCCAGTAGCCCACCGCCGACTGCCACGGCGGTTTTCCCTTTATGCTTCGCTGCAAAGTCGATGAGACGTTCTAAGTCTGAGATTGTGCGATACACAAAGACGCCCTGGGCATTGTAGCCGGAGGTCTGGATGGGGAGAGTTGCATCTGAGCCGGTTGCGAGTACGAGGATATCGTAGGCGATTGAGTCGCCGGTGATTGAGTCGCCGGTGGAGGTTTGGACGGTTTTGAGGGTTGGGTCAATTGCGGTGACGCGGGTGTTGAGATGGTGATCGAAGGCTCGTTCTTTGAAAGAATTGTACTAATTCGTATCGAGGTTAGGTTTGTTCTGGATATTGAGTGACTGTTTTGCGACATACCCATTCTGTGGGATTGAGATATAGATCCTCAATTTTGCGGTGCTCGAAAAATGAGGACAATCCCACTCGGTTGTATGCTACATGGGATTCCTCGCCGATGACCACTATGTCATACTTCCGGTCTGTGTCCTGTTTGATAATTTTCTCACTAAATGTTGTCAGTGGAATTCTGTCAACCTTGCAAGAATGCCTTACATGAGGGAGATGGACACCATTCCTAGGCCAACCACTACAATCTTTTGACGGCCAGACTCTGTGGGCCTTGAGCCATCAGATGGCCCATGTCCGTTTAGCATGGGCATGACTGTGAAAATGAAATTGATTGTCTTTACATCGAACTATGGCAGAAAGTGCTAGTTAATAGTCCAACCTCATACGATATGCGTTATACAAACTACATGTGTCAGTGATAACCGGGGGAAACAGGAAGGGCCTCACTCGTGTATCTCCGCGGAGGTCGTTGATATGCCGGGCCTCTGATTGGTCGATCGCGGATGCCTTATCGAGATAACATTGCTTGGCTTGCGGGATTATGCGTGTTTCGACATTCTGCTGTTATGCTATTATGGGTTATGCTATTATGGCTATGATGGTCCGCGGAGAAGCAGATCTGATGTATACGGCTCACTTCCGATAAAATAATATCAATTATATTTCATGCTCTCAAGTTCCAGTCCACTCTATACATCTATACACCATGACTACAGTGACTACACACGCCCAAGTGGCTGAAATTCTGCCTTTCAAAAATGGCGAGATCACGATAGAGAATATCATCCCAAGCCCGGCAGAACCAGATCTACCACTGCCGCCACCATCAACGAAGCCCGTCGAGATTCTAGAGGTCGACAAGATCACCCCGGATAGCCATGTTCCTCGGGATCCACGGTTAATTCGGCTGACGGGAGTGCATCCATTCAATGTAGAGCCTCCTCTAACAGCATTGTATAACGAAGGTAAAATCTCCATCTCAGCCTCACGATCCGGGCCCACCAAGCTAAATTCCCAGGTTTCCTAACCTCCCCCGAATTGTTCTATGTTCGAAACCATGGACCGGTGCCACAGGTTTTTGATGAAGATATCCCCAACTGGGAGATCAGTATAGAAGGGTTAGTGGAACACATACAGAAGAGAAAAACAAGGCTGACGATGATCCAGACTGGTTGAAAAACCACTCGTCCTCAACTTCCGAGAGATCCTTCAGAAATACGACCAGATCACCGCCCCAATCACACTCGTCTGTGCTGGCAACAGACGCAAGGAACAGAACACCGTTCGGAAATCAAAAGGCTTCTCATGGGGTCCCGCAGGATTGTCGACTGCTCTCTTCACCGGGCCCATGATGGCAGATATCTTGCGCAGCGCGAAACCACTTCGACGAGCAAAATACGTTTGTATGGAGGGTGCCGATAAGCTGGTAAGAGCATCCACTTAAGGTATCGAGACATGACTGACATCACTCAGCCAAACGGGTTCTATGGAACCTCAGTCAAATTGAACTGGGCCATGGATCCACATCGAGGAATCATGCTGGCTCATAAGATGAACGGCGAAGATCTTCGTCCTGACCACGGTCGTCCACTACGAGCAGTGGTTCCCGGTCAAATTGGAGGCCGGAGTGTGAAATGGTTGAAGAAGTTGATATTGACCGAAGCACCAAGTGACAACTGGTACCACATCAACGATAACCGGGTTTTGCCGTAAGTTCATGATGGGATGTTTTCGTAACACATGCTTACCGGACCAGAACGATGGTGACACCCGAAATGTCGGCACAGGATCGCAAATGGTGGACTGATGAGCGATATGCGATTTATGAGCTCAATGTCAACTCGGCCGTAGCGCATCCCCAGCATGAGGAGGTGCTTGACCTGGCGACTGCTGGGTCAAGCTACACTGTGAAAGGATATGCCTATGCCGGTGGTGGGCGGCGAATAACCAAAGTTGAAATCTCTTTGGATAGTGGAAAATGTGAGCAACACCTTCTGAAGCTCGAGACTGGGACTGACTTTCTGTTCGCTTAGCCTGGCGTCTTTCCGATATCGAATATGCCGAAGACAAATATCGCGACTTTGAAGGCGACCTCTTTGGGGGTAAAGTGGATATGTGGTGGAGAGAATCATGTTTCTGCTGGTCGTTCTGGTCCCTTGATATTCCTCTATCCGACTTAGAGACCAGCGACGCAATTCTTGTCAGAGCGGTTGATGATGCATTGAGCGCTCAGCCGAGAGACATGTACTGGTCCGTCCTGGGGATGATGAACAACCCTTGGTTCCGAGTCACCATTACGAAAGAAGGGAATACACTCAAGTTCGAGCATCCCACTCATCCATCAAAGGCCGGTGGTTGGATGGAAAGGGTGAAGAAAAATGGCGGAGACTTGCTCAATGGTACTTGGGGTGAGAGGATGGAAGGCGAGGAGCCTGTTGCTCCTGAGCCCGTGAGCGAGATCAACATGAAGAAAGAGGGTGTCAATCGCCAAATTGATCTTCAAGAGTTGAAAGCCAACAGTAGCAGTGACAAACCTTGGTTTGTTGTCAACGGCGAGGTTTATGACGGTACAGGCTTCCTTGAGGGTCATCCTGGTGGTGCAATCAGTATCACATCTTCCGCCGGGTTGGATGTGTCGGAAGACTTCCTTGCAATTCGTGAGTACAATATCATTGCAATCTCACGGCCGTTGGCTAACAACCTCTCAGACAGCGAGACTGCTAAAAAGATGATGCCTGATTATCACATTGGTACATTGGATCAAGCATCCCTCAAAGCGTTGAACGACAAGTCATCCTCTACTTCAAATGAGCCACGTGAAGTCTTCCTTCAATCGCGAGAATGGACAAAGGCAACGCTCACGGAGAAGAGAAACGTCTCATGGGATACAAGGATATTTGTCTTTGATCTGGAGCATGAAAAACAGACCCTCGGTTTGCCGATTGGCCAACATCTGATGATCAAGGTCCAAGACCCAAACAACAGCGAAGCAGTAATCAGATCATATACACCAATGTCAGACACGAACCTGATAGGAAAGATGGAGCTGCTCGTGAAGATCTACTTCCCAAGCGATTCAATCCCAGGAGGTAAAATGACTCTGGCACTCGACAAACTCCCATTGGGCTCTGTGATCGATTGCAAAGGCCCAACTGGAAGGTTCGAATATCTTGGCAACGGTCGAGTCTCGATCAGTGGAAAGGTGCGCCAGCTCCGCTCGTTCAAGATGATATGTGGTGGAACGGGCATCACTCCTGTGTTCCAGGTTCTGAGAGCAGTCATGCAAGACACTCAAGATCCTACCAGATGCACTGTGCTCAATGGCAACAGACAGGAGGAAGATATATTGTGTCGCTCTGATCTTGATGCGTATGTGGCACTGGATGGGAGAAAATGCAATGTCGTGCATACTTTGACGAAGGGATCAGATACTTGGTCTGGTCGGAGGGGTCGAATCTCTGAAGAACTTCTTGCAGAATATGCGGCCCCGGAAGAGCAGAGCATGGTTTTGGTTTGTGGGCCTGGTCCTATGGAGAAGTCTGCTCGCGCGATCTTGCTCTCTCAGGGTTGGAACGAGTCGGATCTTCACTTCTTCTAGAAGTGGGTGTTGATTTTTGTCACTAGAATTATTCTCATGTTAGCGAGTTGTAAAACCAGATATTTGGAATATATTTTGAAGCATATTGGCTGAATGCGACAATGAATGAGAATCTAGAGGATTGATTGATTTAGAGTGAAAGAAAAAGAAGTATTGAAGAGAGGGAGAGGAAGAGAGAGAAGGAGAGAAGGAGAGTGAGTAGTTGCAGGTGGGTGACTACAGTCATATCTGATCACCATAATGAAACGCGAAGTGGGAGTGCGACAGTCTACAGATTGTCATTTGCTGCCTGATGCTAACGCACTGACAGAAACTAATTTGTAGTCAGTACTACCTAGGCCCCTTTCATAATGTGTTGTTCTTTTCGCCTGGAGTCCGCTAGGTCGCGTGAAGTGAGGGCTGATAGGTATGTAGAATCCTTTCCCATTCAGGTGAATCCGTGAGGAGTACGTTAGGAATCTCCCTCTCAATGTACTGTGCAAGAATTGTCAGTCATCAATTGTGACTTAGGCAGAAACAGAAGACCTCAAAACTCACATCACGGTATTTGCTCTCCATCCTCATTCTCAAGAAACACTTGAATGGCATCGTATCCTTCGTGAAGTATTCGAGCAGCGCACTTCCAGAAGAGCCCAACTCTGACCCCAGAACTGCCGACAAGACCTCAAGAGTGATTCCCCATCCACCATGGCGTTCCAATCCCAACGCCTCCAAGAGCAGCCCGACGTGGTTCTGGAGGAGTGAGTGATGTACCTTGCTCCAGACATTGTCTAAGCTATCGGTCAATGTGGCTGCTCCTGGAGGCAGTGAGTCGTAGCTCACGCCATGCTTCCGCAAGGTCGGGACATGCATTCTGACTCCACCAAAGTCGCGCACGGCGAATCCTTTGATTTGACCAGTATTTCGACACACGCGGGCCACCAGATTCTGTCCGTGGGCCTCCAGTCCAATGCCGAACTCGACCAACGGGAGAAGCACGAGCCTGAAAAGGACTGTAACGTATCTGTAGGTACGGCAGTCAGCATCTTGCCATCTTCCTCTGTTGCTGATGAACAAACTAACGTCTTAAACCATTCCCGTTTTTGGGAAATTGTTTCCAGATTAAACAAAATCTCCGCATAGGCACGATTGTCCCCAACGGGCTTCTGCCCCAATGCTGCAGCGATGATAAGAATTTCATCGTTCTCCAGAGCTCTTGTCTCCAGACTATCTCGCAGAATACAAGACAGGTGGCGGGCGTTACTGAAATCTTTCTGACTGCCAGAGACAGCTGCAACTTCTCGGAAAACCCATAGATCTTCTGGAAGTAGCTTCTCCAAGATCTCCGTTTGAATGGGTCCTCCACAAGTTGTCCAGGGCGTGATGGTTCGCAGAGCGGAGGTGATTTGACAAGCCAATGAGAGCTTCAGATGATACTTAAATTCTAACTCCGGTCGTAGGGTAAGAGTACGCATTGATGCCTGGGCATCAGCAGAATCAGCAACAATCTTTAGAACAATTGTGAGCGGAAATCTCTGCTTAATCGAAGGCAATTGCTGGGCGAGGCATGGAACAATGACTCGGTCACATGTTGTCTTCGGAATGTCGAGCTTCTTCAGGAGAGGTTGCAGTTCTTGCTCAAAGTGACCTGTGACAGCAAGATCTGTACGCGGAACAGAGAGAAAGGCAAGATTTGGTGTGAGCATGCTCGGAATATCATCGGGGATGACGCGCTCCAAGGGTGCTTGTGAATAGCACAGTCGATGGTACTGTCAAATGAAAAAGCACCACTTAGCTCAGTAAGTTGGTTGTCAAGAAGGATGTCCTACAGGGTGACTTGGGTGGCCATAGATCAAGGCCCGCTCCCAATCTGCAGACCTATTCTTGAGGGTCCATACTGGCTGATTTTGGGTAATCTCAAGCCATTTTTCTGGGTATCTTTAATAAATTGCAGGAGGGGAGACCAATTTCATCTTACCTTGATTGGCTGCAGAATTGCGCAATTCATCAATCATCTCGTCCAAGATTGTCTCACTGATGATATCCTTGAATGATGTGCTTAACAGATTGAATAGTGTCCCTGGGTCAAACTCCCCATAACCAGTGCTTGTAATAGTCACAGGGGGTTGTAAGCTGTCTGGCTTGACAACAGACACCACAATACCATCTTTTGTGTCGATAACAGTGCCTGTTTTGATTGCCACCTTGGCCAAGCTTCCATCTTGAGGGCTCAGTTTACTCTGTAGGCACAGTATCTGTGGCTCCTCTGACTTTGGGCATTCCAGCTTCGCAAAGGCGAGACCTTCGTTGACAATTTGAGCAATAACACGCTTCGTTGTTTCGAACGACGCTTGGTCGCGTCTCGAGAGAATGGTCATATTTTCTCCCGTGCTTCTTTGGAGTGTTAGGATTAATTGAAAGAAATCCAGTGATTTTTACGGAAATCAATTTATTTGTCTCTTTCTCTCTGAGATCATCCCGTCTGCCCGGGTGGTCTTAGTGGAGTCTCAAAAGGCTTGCGGCCTTTCCACAATATGACGGTGTCATGCAGTATTATTTGTGGTCATAGTAATTGGCTGCTTCAGTCAGATCGATCGACAATTCGAGGGTCCGGGACATGATCATCATTTCGCTTTGCAGTTAGATCGTATCGGATTTACCGACACGTAGCACGTACTACTCCACCGCAAGGATAGATCACATCGATTATATCACAGACATGCAAGCGCCGCTAGAGATCATTGAAAATTTCAACCCTGGAATTTTCCATAATTGTCCATCTTAATACTAAGTGGCCGAGAGATCAAACACTCACGTTCCATGTAACTACAGTATAAAGCATTCACTATGTTCACGCCCATGTCATCTTTGTACATATTTGTTTCATCCTCTCTAATATAATTCAATTTCAATGCTACTATGAGGCAAACCGTGGATCAGCTTCCGTATCTCCCAGATTCCAACAAGGAATCCGACCTCTTCAGCTTTTCTGGGGAAGAGCCGAAGCAAAATTTCCTCCCGCATGGATTTCCACGGAGACTCAACTCAGACATGACCTGGAAAGGAGCAGATATCTCTACAGATCACCTACCAGATGCTGGAGCTCCCTACTTGGTCATTTTGCAAGCTCCACAATTGGCCGAGATAGATGCAGCGCTCAGGTACTTTCAAAGTGAGCCAGCCACACATCCGCCGCTGCTCTTCTTCTCTTGCTCGGAGCTGACAAGATTCTCCCGCAGAGCTGAATCGGCCAATGAAAAGCTTGGACCCGTCAACGTTTCCTCTGCCGTGCTTGCACTCAACACTACGGTCCGCCTCGGACAATTTGCATTCCGGATACGGGTTCACGCTCATTCGAGGAGTTCCAGTAGAACGCTATTCTCGCGAAGAGAATATGATCATTTATGTCGGGATCTCCTCGCATATTGCCGCTGTCCGCGGCCGGCAAGATCATCAATTCGAGGGAAAGCCAGCCGACGTGATGGTAGCTCACATAACTGACATGCGACGCCCTGGCGACGTACAAAACTTTTCTCTGGCAGCTTACTCCGACGGTGAAGTCGTGTATCACACGGATGTGGGCGATATAGTATCCCTCTTTGTTCTGAGTGAACCCTTGAGCGGCGGCGAAAGTCTGCTTGCGAGTGCATGGACTGTATACAATGCCCTGGCGGAGACCCGCCCTGATCTGATCCGTGTGTTGGCGGAAGACTGGCCGATACCAAGGTGTGCATGCAGCTCTCCACGATCACAACTTTAATCTTCAAGGTAGTGGAAACAATTGGCTGACAATTCTTCGATCGGCGCCACTAGTGCACGAGAGCCCGGTCTGATCACTCGCCGACCGCTACTGTTCTACCAACCAGCTTCGAACACAGCTCCGGAACGGGTGATCCTGCAGTTTTCTCGACGCTCGTTCTCTGGCTTTGGTGCCTTCACTCGCGAAAACTCTTTGAGTGCGATCCAAGTGGAGGCACTCGATGCTATCCACTTCCTTGCAGAAAAATTCCACGTAGCCATGAAGCTGGAGAAAGGTGACATGCAATTCGTGAATAACCTAAGCATGATCCATGCTCGAAATAGCTATGCTGATGATTCAGAGAACCGGTAAGCTGGAATTGGATTTGAGAGGAGCCACTTGTGGACAATTGCTAATGGACTACATTCAAAGTCGTCACCTGCTACGTCTGTGGCTTCGTGATCCTCAAAACCAATGGACCACACCAGACCCGCTGTACAACCGCTCGAATCGGATCTATGATCAGCATTTACGGAAGGGCCCGCAAATATTCCCCTTAGATCCAATAGCCAGATCGGTGGGAAAGGCTGGGAAAGAGTGAAGACGTTTCAGATAGCACTCGTGCTGAGACGTTTTTGCAATTGCGCGGGTGTCGAGCCGAATAAAGACCACTGGTGTTCTTCCTTGGCCAATATAAGTCGCATTTCAGAAGGGGGCGGTCATCCCACCCATCCACCCACTTTACTCATATTGGTCGTGCCCTTTGTTATATGACACATGCATATTCATTTGTTTGACCGCTATTTCACTATATAAGAGTATTAGCTTTTGGATAGATCTTTGCGGATTAAATGCACGTACGTGTACCCGACGAAGTTGTGATCTTGTATCACAATACCCCGGCGTTGGCGATGATATCCCACCTTGCGGTTCTGCTCGGACCATATCAAGCGCTTGAGAATCCGAAGCGTTGTTCTCTTTGGTTACTTGGTTTTTGTGAGTAACTGTGCTTAAGTTTCCTTTTAAGCTTCGTTCCAATTAAGTACAATATGAAGTGGCTATGCATCCATGGCACAGGGTCCTCGGCCGCCATTTTCCAGGACCAAATGGGCAAGTCTTTTACCTTACGAGCAAGCCCTAGATTGAAATTAGGCTAACCCCAATATATTAGCCGCTGTCATCGCCAAAATGCAACCATCAGATCACACCTTTCATTTCATCGATGGACCCTTCAAATCCAAGTCAGCCGCCGGTCTGGACCTCCGCTATCCCGATGGTCCATATTACACATGGTGGGAAAAGGCCACAGTGCCTTCCATTCGAGATGCCTGTCAACATTTGCGTGAATATTTGAATCAGAGCAGCCCTTCCACATACGATGGCATAGTATGCTTTTCTCGAGGCTGTCTCCTGATTGCCAGCTACATCTGGTTTCACCAGGCAGAAAGGCCAACTGAGCCTCTACCATTCAAAAGCGTCGTATTCATGTGCGGCGGGCCAGTCTTTCCGGTGCTAGAGGAGTTGGGAATGAGCATTTCCGATGAAGCTCGTGAGTGGGATAGGCGGACTAAGTTAGCCCTACGTGAGAGAGCATCGAAAGAAGCGATATTGAAATTGGGGAAAGACCGATGGATTACCCCCGGGGCAAATGGTGACAGTGATCTTCATTTGGATCCATCCGCCCCGATTGACCTTTCGGACGTCTTTGGAGTGGATACCCTACGCATGCCCCAGGAGCTGCGAATCAATATCCCAACGCTCCATGTCTATGGACGAGTTGATCCACGTTTGCCTGCTTCGCTGCAATTGATGTATTTGACAGAGTCTACTAAGAGATTGTCATATCAACATGAGGGGGGACATAACATACCGAGAAGCTCTGCCACAGCCGAAGGAATTGCGCGGTTAATTGACAAGTGTGCCCAAATGATAGTGATCTAAGAAGATCATCATTCCGAGCTTATGGTAGTAGCTTTCTAGTACAACAGGAGCGAGAGACAATATCTTTTCCGAGTGGCAGATGCTGCACTGGTATATACCCGTGATGAGGACTTGCAAACGAGAACGGTCTAAATGGCATCACCACTTACGGCTAGAGACTTATTCTTCTCCAGAAATAAGATGGCACATATAACAGGAGCATTTTCTGAGGTGAAGAAAGAGTTGGCCCATTTCCACTTTGTCATTTCCAACCTTGGAAGGTTGCAGGTGGCCGGTGGTAAAGTTCCGACTCCAAGGGATTTGATTGGTCTAAATATCCAAGCCAATGAGATCCATCTGGGTTTGTCCCAAAGCGGTCTAGCGTCTCGGGTCCCGAACGTTCGGATTTCGGGAAACCGAAGGTCATCTTGCCGTTGTAGCCAAATTCGGCAGCCGGGTTATCGTCAATTATTGTTGTGGTGTAAATCACATATCATGGAAGATCGCTTAAATACAGAGAAACGAGATGCCAACAGCCGCGAATCATGGTCCGACACAAGCCCAACACACGTAACGGTGGGATCACTCCCTAATAGTACGCTTTCATGTCTAACCTCACTCGTAGATGCTCAAAGACACTGGTTGGGTCCGTCCGAGAGGAGAAGAATGTCCCAGATTTAGCCATTGATTTCGAAGTGGCTTTTCCGGATTCCATGCTGCGTAGATAGCCAACAAAGGCGGAGGTTTGCTTCCTGAAATTCTGATACAAGTCGGAAACGGCTCCTTCGCTCTCACAACGATACCCTTTGCCATCTGCACTTGACAGGGGTCCAAAGGCAAGGATATTCCCGAAGATAGACTCAAGCAGCTTAGCAGCCTGCGCATGGCGCTTGCTGAGGAAGAACGCAAAAAGCATTTGATCGAGTATGTCTTCGTGGTAGTCGCGGAGTCGGGGCACCGAGTGGGCCGCTTCGATCGTACCGTCAATGTCACCACGGTTAATGCAGCGTTCGATCTTGGCCAGTGTTTCCTGAAACCGCTGCCATATTGATCCAATGCCAATGTGGAAACAATAGTCACTGAAGGCCAGCACGAAGTGTTGCGCATCCACTCTGAATTTTTGGAATACATTTCGTACATCTCCCGAAAGTGATTCTCGAGAGGTGGAATCGCGGACGAGGCCTTTGACCGCGGACACCATTCGTAGTAGCCGGAGCAAGTGTTTGAATAACTGATCGTACTTGTTCAGAGAGCGGGTGGTGATGATGGACTCAAGAACTCTAGGTGGCGTGTATTGCAGGCGGAGGAAGTCCAGCGCCTCTATGGCATTCGGGTTTCTGCATCGGTCAATGTCTTCATCTGACAATTCTCGAATTCCAAAGCTGAGGCCACCAGGTAGCTCGTTATCCTGACGTATGTGAGATTTTTCAGAGTCATCGGTACTGCCTGTGCCAAAATAGCAATCGCCCAGCAGGCCGATCAAAACCAGACGCAATTCTGAGCTTGCAGGGGGCCAGGTATCTCGGCTGCCGAGTCGCAGACCGGTATCCACGCCACTGCGTATCTTTCCAGCTCTCCGCTCCCCACTCTCCATATCAGGGTCAAAGAGGGAGTTGGAAAGACGAGATACAAATGACCCTTCTCCCAGCAGCTGGAACCGCCACTGCAAACTCAAGTGGTGGCGGAGTCTGTGTTCCTTAAAGAGATGATGGAGGCAAGAGTAATCGATCAGGAGGGCTTGAGATGCGAGGATTGGGGCAATAGATAAGTGAAGACTAGACGCCAGCTCAGGACCAAGCGAATCCATTTGATCATTAAGACCAGGTTCGATTTTGCGTGCCTTTCCAATCAATTCGTGAAATGTATCCCGTGAAAGTGCTGTACTGTTCTTGATCGGTCCGTGGATAGTCTCTTCTCCGTCGATATCAAAGAGCTCGAAAGTCTTCCCAATGTCAACTGTCTGAGCGGTATCTTCACTTGGAAGATGGGTTCTGCTCGAATTGCCACGATGATATTTCTCAATCTCAGCGCGGAGACTCAGTTCGTACTCTTGGGCTTTCGTTTGGATTTTCTCAATGTCAGCCCAAGTAGTGGCACAATGCAGTTGGATGCCACCCGAGCGAGAAAGTACATCGCGCCTGGCAATGGGGTGGTCAGGATGAGAACTCCTGAGCAACTGAAGACTGCAACCACTCTCAAATATGGAGCGGGCTTGATCAGCCGGGATGAAAGACGGCATATGTTGTGCTTGGTATAGATGATCGACTCGTGGAGGCCCAGTCTTGTATTTGCCAGGCTCGTCAATCTCCAGTCGAACAAAGGATCTACCACTTGCCAATACTTGACTTAGCGCCGTTTCTTCTGATCGAAGTCCTACCCAGTTCTCGACAAATTTGAACCAAGGTTGGGTTACTCGAATCACAATTTCATGAAAGAGGTTCTCCATCCAACTGAATCTCTGGGTGAAAGAGGCAGCGCGCTCCATGACGGTTGAGATGACTTGCGCATCGGAGATACTTCTTTGGGCTGCGCCAACAATAGCAGCAAGGGCGCCTACCAGGTCGCCGCACCGATGGAAAAGAGCCTGGATTTGGAGAAGCGATACAACATCCTTCGAATGGTCAGAGATTTGTTGCTCAAGGATGAAGATTATAGCTGCAGTTGTGCCGCTCAAGGTGTAGAGAGCGGGCAACTCCTTGCACTTGGCAGGTGGATCTTGTGCAAACGTTCGCATGCGTTGCATAAGAGTACCAATGTGGAGCACATATTCAATGACATTCTCCAATGCTAATGAACTGATACCGGAGACACGAAAGTCCTTGACTTCTCTCTTGAATTGACTGTTGAGGGGATCCCAACGGAAGAAGGCTGAGCTCCATCCAAGCCCCAGACGAAGCAGTGACCGCATGAACACCTCTGTTCGCACTATTCGATGCGCACTTTGTCCCCTTGTGGCCCTTTGGAGCGCCAATACCGCATCGAATCCTTGGGCGCCAGACTCGCTCACGTATGCAGACATAGGTTCTTGAAATGGTCGGTCGTGGTACTTCTCCCATGATTTTTGTGGTATATGTTGAACAGCATCTTCTTGGGTCGAGTCTGGATGCCAAAAATCATCCTCTTCGCTTGAAATGTCGTTTAACAGACCGCCAGACGCATCAGACGAGCCATCTACGGATGGGTCGATGCTCGACTCAGCTGTTGGCTCGGTGGGCTCCAACCCGATGGGAAAGAGGTCTAGCTTCCATACCGGATCGACCTGGTCTGTGGCCTGTTTGGGAATTTGAAGGCAGGATGTAGGATCTTCTGGTTGAGGGAAAGGTTGTTAGCAAAGTTCTGGGGAATTGCGGATGGCACTAACCAGAAAGTGAGATGTTCCATGGTAAAGACTCCAATGGCTGGAGGGCTTCTATGCTGAATTTTGACAGTCTCCAGAGGCTCTCACTGGAGAAAGGATCCAGCTCGTGGTCATATTGGTCCATGTCGAGACCATGTTGTTTGACGCGAGCTGCGCAGGTCCCGCGACGGAGATGGCTATCAGGGGTGCACGGGCCCTTGATAACAGAAAGTGCCTCGCCCTGCTGAAGCTCAACCTCCCACTTCCCCTCCGTTTTCTTTCTTCTGAAGTTGCACTCAGACAAAGCGCTTCTCTTCAAAATGCCCCCACGAAAGAAAACTAAGCGCGCACACTCGCCAACACCCCAGGATGACGCCGCGCGATCGAGCGCCGACACCCCGTCAAGCGACAGCCCCAGCAAGCCAGACACAGATTACGACTTAATCTCGGATCCATGGACAGACGAGCAAGAAACCGCGTTGCTGAAGGCAATCATCAAATGGAAGCCAGTTGGTAGGCTTAATTGCGCTTCTTCGGAAAGAAACTACGTCTAACCGTCTGATCCCGCAGGCATACACAAGCACTTCCGAATGCTTGCGATCTCAGACTATCTGAAGAGCCAAGGCTATGCGCCATCAACGGCAGAGCATATGCGCATACCGGGCATCTGGAAGAAGCTGGGCTCCTTGTACAATTTGGAAGCTCTCGACGAACGGGTAAGTGACAGTGCGCGCCTTGTGGTCGTTGAGACAGTTCTCTAACTACCGACTTTTATAGGAAGATTCAGTGATCACAGACGCAAACGATGACGATGACGGATCGAGCGAAAGGTACTGTCCGTTTGAACTTCCGTACGAAGAATACGGCGATATGATGTTTGAAAGACGACTTGCGATGGAGGATTCCCTTTCGCCCGTCGCCAGCCGCACTAGTCGCGCAGATGAATCACGGCGAGGGAGCACAGTCGCAGACACAGATGGTGAGTGGAAGCGAATTCCTCGACCTAGAATCTTTAACCGATGGCTGACCTCGGCACATCAGAGCCACGATCTTCTCCTGTCCCGTCTCGAGGTCGCAATTCCAATCGAAGCGCCCGCACATCTACGAGGGGCACACGCTCTACTCGTCTACAGGTCGAGATCGGCCCAGGAAGTCAAGGCAAGACATCAGACGAGGGTGGTGATTCAGCAGATGATACTGGAGCAAACGATGACGACGATGAAGATGGGGACGATGGCTCTGAGGGCAACAGTGAGGAGGAGGATGCAGGCGATGAGGAAGAGAAAGGTGGCTCGCGAAGCACTCGGGCACGAGCCTCCCGGTCCAAGGCGAAGGACAAGAAGCCATCATCTGGAACTGCAACGCGCAGCTCTGGCCGACGGCGCTGAAGTGTGCGACTTGGCTAATGTGCAATTAAGCTTTGATACCTATGGCGTTTGGGAAAGGGCATTTACTTCGTTTCTGGGGGTGTATGATTATCTTGAGCAAAAACCATTCGTTCTTTTCTATTTGATGTCAGGAAATCAGATATTCATCCCAACCTAGCTCTAAGATTCTCATGGTTTCGGCCAGGGAATGTGTTTGATTACTTGCAACCCCGGCCAAGGCTTCAGAATAGCAATCTGTGCCGAGGCTTGCGCGCAAGAATGGGCGCTATACAGAGTACAATCCAGGAACAATGGGGGAAGTGGAATGGGCAGACAAGGTTATCATGAAGAGTAATTTGCGCTTGAAGAGATCTTTGACATTGGGCTGCGTATAAACGTTCTTAGACTGTTAACCACAAAAGTTGGTATATTTCGATCGCTATAGGTCTAGTGTCGTTCGAAGGTACAAAGGGAATAGATCAGGGAGTCATAGTACAAGGAATCTAAACAGCGACTGGTTTACAGACGCTTGATGATGGCTCCGGCGTACTCGTGAGTCTTGGCCTTACCGCCAAGGTCACCGGTGAGGGACTAGAGAACAGTTAGTAAAACGCATGGGGTGGGGGGTCCGGAGGCAAACTCACCTTGCCCTCAGCGAGAGTGTCGAAGGTAGCCTTCTGGATGCGGGCAGCGTGGTCGTGGAGACCCATGTGCTGCAACATCATGATGGAGCTCAGAAGCAGAGCAGTGGGGTTGGCAAGGCCCTGGCCGGCAATATCGGGGGCGGAACCGTGGACGGCCTCGAAGATGGAGCACTCGTCACCAATGTTACCGGAGGGGGTGAGACCGAGACCACCGATGAGACCGGCGCACATGTCGGACAGAATGTCACCGTACAGGTTGGGCATGACAAGAACCTTGTCGTTGTAGGGGGTAGGGTCGGTGACGATCTTGAGGCAAGAGTTGTCCAGCAACTCAGCGTCGAACTCAATGTCGGGGAACTCCTTGGCGATCTCGCGGGCAGTGTTGAGGAAGAGACCGTCGGACATCTTCATGATGGTGGCCTTGTGGACAACGCGGACCTTCTTCTTGTTGATGGACTGCGCGTACTGGAAGGCGAAACGCAGGACACGCTCGGAAGCCTCCTTGGTGATGAGCTTGATGCTCTGAACGACACCGTCAACAACGACGTGCTCGATACCGGAGTATTCACCCTCGGTGTTCTCACGGATGAGGACTGTGTCGACGTTGTCGTAGGGGGTCTTGTAGCCAGCAATGGACTTGCAGGGACGCAGGTTGGCGAACAGGTTGAAAGTACGGCGGAGAGTCAGGTTCAGGGAGACGTGACCCTTGCCAACGGGGGTCTGAAAACGCTGTGGTCAGTATCGCGATTCATAATAGTGATCGAGCTGCAGGTGGAGACGTACGGCCAGGGGACCCTTGAGCGCGACGTAGTTGCGGCGCACACTGGCGATGGCATCATCGGGGATGGCGGTCTTGCCGTCCTTCAGGATGGGGGTGACATCGACGGATTCCCACTTGACGGGGGCCTGTAATTATTGACTTAGTGTTTTGATCGAGTTGAAGAATCAAATCATCTGTACCTTGGCGGCCTCGAAGATGTCCTTGATGGACTGAGCGATCTCGGGACCAATACCATCACCCTCGATCAGAGTAACAGTGTACTTGCCCTAATAATAACAGAAATGATCAGTACGGTCGCTTTTGTTGCCATTATGCGGTGGTGGAGCGGGTGCACGGCTGGCGCCGGCATCGTGAAAAAAACGGTTTCGGTGAGCAGCAACACATACATCGGGACCCTTCTGACCCTTGAACTTGGCAACAGCCTCCTGCGCAGGGCTGGCGTAAAAGCGGATCTGAAAAAGCAAGTTCAAATGTCAGCCAATTGAGCTTAATGAGTTGATATCCGAGGAAGCTTTGATACCTGCGCAATGGGAGCAGCAAATCGGGGGGTCACGCGAGACGGGCGCAGGCACTGACGAGCAGCAGAGAAGTTCCGTGCGGCGATCATTTTGAAGAGATCCCTTGGGGTCGATTCTGGGGGAGAAGCTAAAGGTGGTGGGGAGGAAGGAAGAAGGAGAAGGGGAGAAAGAATTCAAATCTCTCGGCGCCGCACCGATCCGACCGGGCATTGGTGGTTTGATTTCCCCCCGGCCCGAGTCCACCGTGGTGTCCACTCTTGACTACAGGGTCTCTTTGCGACACGACATTTAAGCTATTTGATCCTGGGGTTCGAGCTTCATCGTGCTCAGCTACTAGTCCTCCAGGGATACCTTGACTGCTTGAGTGGAATTAGTCCGGCGTGCCGCCTCACCTCGCAACCATGGCCGACCTGGACGTCGCCAGCCACTACAACCTCCCCTCCGAATTTCCCGACGAATGGCCTGCAGCTTTGGATGAAGCGGACCAGCCTGAAGAGGAGCCAATCCAGCGATCAGACTCCCGCCCCCGCAAATCGCGATACATCGCCCTCGAACGAAGCCCCAGCGATTGGAGGAGCAACTTCGGCCCACGTCGAGGAAAGGATGGCAGAGAAAATGCGCAGAAGGACGAGCCAGATCCATTGGGTACGAGTGACAGTGTCCTCCGAATCCTCAAACAACGAGGCATACCGCTAGAGGAGGAGAATGGAAAGCGCTCACGGTTCTTGTTGTCGTCAACATCATTCTCGCCCGCGCTCTTTCTGTCCCAGGCGCATTCCTCGGCATCTATTGAATCATTAACCAGTGGTCTGGATAATCTATCGCACTCGATTGATCAAAAGTCTGCGTCGCTGAAGGTCTTGGTGGAGGCCAATTTCGAGCGCTTCGTGCGCGCCAAGGCAACCATTGATAGTGTCTACACCGAGATGAGGAATCAGGGCGTTGAGAAGCAACCAGGTCTTGGGCCTCGCAGGTCAGGACACTTCCGCAGCTATTCCGGCCAGCAGCGAAGTGTGTCCCCCGCCCCAGTGGCGGCTAAGAAGACAGCACTCGTGAAGGAAAGCGAGTACGGCATGAAGGGCATTCGTGGCCCGTTGGTTGAGGCATCTGTCAAAGCAGAGGAAGTCTGGGGCCCAGCTCTTGGTGGTCGTGAGCGAGAGCAAATGCTGAAGTCCGTGGTCGAAACCATGGAGAAGAACCGGGATGTTTATGAGATTGGAAGTCATTTGGCAAAGTCTATTCAGCAACGCGATTACGAAGCTGTCTTTGAGCAGTACACTAAGGCGAGAACACTTGCCAACCAAGCCAAGGACATTGCAGACCGAGCTTCATCCAGCTCTAATCGACAATTAAGCGACACTGAAACGCACGCTATTTTAGCTATGGGCCGAATGTGGCTAGATGTTGACCAACAGATCCACGATTTCAAGCGGGAGCTCTGGAAGCGTCTTGCGGATGCGCCCACTATATCAACTACAACCACCGCGTTAGGTCCCGTCGAGGAGCACATGGAACTGATCGGGGCCTTGTTGGAGCTCGGCGTTGAAGAGAACCCGATCCAGATATGGCTTCAAAGTCGCTTCGAATTCCTGAAGGCCAAAATCGCCGGTTTCTCGGAGAGATGCAAGGTCGAAATCGAGATCCTGCGGCGAAGACTTGCTGGTGGCGAGAACCCAACTGCACAAGCCACTGCGTCCTATCTACGCCTGGCGCCCCGGGAGGGTACCACAGAAAGTCCAGAGAGATTCGATACTGACCAAGTTATTGAACTGTGGGAATGTATACAAGCATTCTTGAACCGACTTCTATCTTCACAAAATGGTTTGCTTGGTGAAGTCTTGGACTTCTGGGAAGTGGCACAATCTTTTATCGACGGCAATCGGCAACGTCTCTTGCCTGCCGGTTTTGAAGGGGAGAGTCGCAAACATCACCGACTATCTCCCGAGAGTATCAAACAGCTAGAGAGAGGGGTGGTGGAGCTTGTCAATCTCATTCGCGAGAATGTTTTGCTTCTTTTCGCAGAGCCTCCCATCGAAGATGTTTCTATACTCTTCTCGCCTGTGCCACCGAGTCCTTCAACCCCCGAATCTAGAGGCATCACACCGACAGAGTCCCGGTTCAAGCTGGACCCCAAGAATCTGCCGTTCCCTCCTCCAAAACGGGGAGAACACTGGGAGGAATATGCATTCTGGCCTCCATACTCTAATTCGCTGAGTGGAGTGCATTACCTGAGTAAGTTCCTCATCATTGTGGGAACTGCGGCCAGCGAAATGGCGGCATTGCGGCCCGTTGGTGGCAGCGGGAAAACCTACGATCTTCTCAAGACTCTGGTCAGCGTGGCCAGAGATCGATCTGCTCGTGTAGCATGCGCTTCTTGGAGCAAAGATGCGGAGGTCTGCAAGCTGCTTGAGGATTGGACTCGCGATTCGGAGAAGCGTGATCTGACAAAAATGCCTGGTTTCTTCGTGGCGTTTGAAGGGGCGATCTTGAGCGGCATGCAAAAGATCCTTTATATATCAGAAGCCATGGCAAAGCCGGGTACTGTGGATGTTGTCACCCAGCCTCCTGCAAAACTTCTCCAGATGGTCCGCGCACAGTTCGTGTCCAGTGTTTACAAAGCACTGAGCGGGCTCGTGGAAAATGCGGAGCGTGTAACCACAGCTGAAGAGGAAAATGAGTGGATAATTGCTCGACCTGCTTTGACAAGCCAAGTCACAGATGCTGCCATGTCGATACTTTCAGCAGATTCAGTCGATTCCTTGAACCGGGTAAGTTGGCCAACCAACTCAGTATGAACAAAATAACTAACTATTACAGAACGTTCGAATCCTTTTGACTCTATCCAATCTCAAAGCACTACAGGCTGACCATGTCCCACAACTGATCTCCAACTTCGAGACATCTTTCTCAGTAAAGCTGACGGAAGAGGCAAAGACTGTCCGGGACGTCCTCAGCCAAATCGAAGACAGACTGTTCCAGTCCTATGTCAACCCCACCATAGCTTTGTTGGATAAAACAATCTCCGCCGGAATTGCCTCACCAGACTGGGAGCCACCAACCGAACGGCCAGAACAGGTCCGGCCTTATGTGTACAACGCCATGTTAACCATGGTCTTAGTGCACACGGAGATTTCCACAACCATTCCATCCACCGTATCCTCGGTAGCCAGCCGAAATTCGCCAAACGCACCTTTCTCCCTGCTGGCCACTGTTCTCACACATCTCCTGTTCAAAATTTCCTCTTCTCTACTCGCGGCCTTCCGTGCTCGGTCTTCGTTCTCGCTTGCCGCTTTAATGCAGGCTACCTTGGATACTGAGTTCATCGCACAAACGCTCGCTCTATATTCAACAGAGGAGGCATCAAATGTGCAAAGTCAGATCTACGTGGAGCTCGATCGCCGGACTACAAATGAAGCCCGAACAAAGCTCCAGGCTGAGCTAGGCGAGATGCGAGTAGTACTGAAAAACCTCAGGGACCGCACGAAGGGCGAATTCGCTTGCTTCAGGAAGCCCAGAAGCACGGGCGGCAGCTCTAAATCTTCAACTTAGGTCGTGATACTATACAGCGATGCACTATTCTATTACAACAGTTTAACAATCAAGTAAGCATTCTGGCTCAGAGCCAATTCTGACTACCTAGCGGTGGACTATGTCTCGGATGTGCATAAACGCTTATTCTTTGAAATTCGACTTTTTGTATCTGTACACGTAGGGATCTGGGTATCATGAAAACATAGCCCATATGCATGTTGAGCTTCAGTCCGAGCCATTAGCTAGGACTGACCAACCATTCGCTGAACGCGACTGAGCAACGCATTGCTCTCCCTACCCAACCTCCGCTTGCCAAACTGATCCGGCCGCTTTGCGCGGATGAGAGCCTCCCGTTCCTTCACCTTGGCTTCCCGTTCCTTTTGTCGAGCCTCTTCCGCCTTGCGTCTCTTCTCTGCGAACTCCATTTCCTTGTTGAAGGCAGAAGGCTTTGGTCGGCGCTCTCTCTTATTTCCATCGCCGCGTGGGCGGCGTTCAGATTTTGCGGGTGCGGGAGCTGGCTCAGGCTCGTTGAGCATCGCGACACGGTCGGGGTGTAGTTCCAAGGTTGTGGCATCTTCGGCTTCGTCTTCCTTGGTTGTTTCGGTTTCGTCGACGGTGTCGTAAACAGATTTCTTGGGCGCATTGGCTTCTTCTTGTGCTTTGACCTTAGCATAGGCCTTCTTCACTTTGGCCTTGTGGATCAGATCCTCCTTTAGTTTCTGGGCTATATGTCGGTGTTGGTCAGTCTAGGTCAGATCTTGATCTTGGGCATGAATGCATACTCTTGCGGCGATATGTGCCATCTGGGAGATTGGCAGGTCCGACGCTGAAACCCTTGCGCTTCTTGACTACAGGCTCGCCCTTGGCTGCTGGGGCGGCTTTCGCATCGCGGGTTCGTATAGGTGGCATTTTGAAAAGTGCAAGAGAGCTTGGTTGTGTATAACGTGGAATTTGATCTGGAGGACTGATAAGCCAAAGGCGGAGAGGAAAAAAAAAGAGTGGCGATCTCCGCACGGAACATCCGCTAGTCTCAGTGCAAGTATCGGACTCTATATAGTACTGCTTCTAGAATACTTCTCTACACATCTGCTTGTGGTGAAAGGGAAATTGGCAATTCCCCTGGAGTTTATACCCTCAACTCAGGTGTCCACAGTCTGATTTGACCGTGTCGAAACAGACCTGCATCTACGCCATCAAGTTCCTACGGTTGCATTCTTCCAAGGCCCGACGACTCTCAAAATTGGGCCTCGCAAGCTCAGAGTGCCCAGCTAGAAAATCTCCAATACATAAGGTAGGATCAAGGTTGCAACGCTTCGCATCGTCACTGGTCCATCACATGACGTTCTGAGTCAGGATCTCCGGGATCGACAACGTTCATTTGAACTTGACCTAACCCGACATTTTCTCAATTTCTCACCTGGAAAGCCATTGGTCACGCAAGAAAGCGCAGGAAGCCTCTTGCGTGACGTGAACTATATATAAAGCGTATTATTCCTCACCAATCAGTCCTAGCTCACTGACGGCATATACCCGACTCACACCGCACTCCAATATCCCCCCACCACGGCACAGCTCGGCGCTGCTTTCAGAAGGCGCTCTCCACGTAAGGTGGTGGCATGAAATGTCAAATTCAGTGTCGAGGCCTATGAATCCACCCTTATCACGCCACCATGCCCCTATTTCGAGATCCGGACCGACGGAGTCACTATCTAAGGTCACCAGATCACGATAACCGTGAACACCCGACCACAGGGTCCTCCAGGCCCAAACCAAATGAAATGGGCAACGGCGCACTTGAGTCTTCGGAAGTCGCTGAAGCGCCTGCCGACCGTATGGAGCTCTCACCTTCTGGGTTGAACTTGCCTAGATCGCCGGTCAACGACCGAGAGCAACTCATATACCATATCAAGGAAACCTCACCTTGGAGACATCATACGGTATGCCTGTCTTTTGTTCCTTCCAATGTTCATTCTTCTCTCGAAGTCTCTGTGAGAATTTTGCCGAATTCTTCGACTTTTCTTTGACGTCTCATCCCTTTGCTAACGCTTCCCAAAGCCCTCAGGTAGGGTAGATGATGACGTCTTCATGTCTCACTCATCACAGGAACATTCGCAAACTCAAGATCATAGAGAAATCATGCCGAACGCAGAGAAACTGGAATCGCCGGCCGATATCCAGAGGCCTCGATCAGCGTTGCATTCAGGCGATTTCAGAGAAGGCCATGATCCAAAATCGCCGAAGTCTCTGTTCACGGAACGGGATTCAAACTCATCATTTACTCCTCTGGGCTCATCGCCAACGAGTCCCTGGTTCGAGGCACCGGCATTTTCGCCGGCAGTGCAGCACACAAGCACGTTGAATGATCACGGTCAATCTGAACGTGCCAGGCATGCTCGTGCCCGTGCGCCTTCGTTGGGCTCGTTTTCATCGAGTTATGTTCTCAAAGCACCTACCAGTCCACTGGTTTATCAGGCAAATAACACCGATATTGATTATTCGCCTCAAGTCGGTCCTATAGATGTCGTGGACCCATTGGAGAGGGCAAATCGCCGTCGAACTCTACCGCCAGAGACTTTCCGAAACCTCCAATTCTCTCCGCCGAAACACCAAGGGATTAGCCTTGGTAGTCCGTCCCCGCCAAAGCGGCGACAGGATTCCTTCAACCGGATATCTCCAACTTCTTCTCGCCGGTCACTAACCTCGGCATACAGTCTTCAGCTTGCGCCCTCACCGGCAGGGCAGATTCCACAATCGCGAGCGAGAAGACCATCGCTTGCCTCAGAAGTTTCTGTCAAACCACATGCTCCAATGGTCGGTTCTTACGAGGAGTCGATATTGCGCGGGCGCATGTCTATGAATCCTTCCAAGCCTCTGGACTTCACAGCGCAGATTGGCGTGTTGGGGAAAGGGAACTGCAAGGGTGCTCTCAAATGCCCACCACATGTCACAGTGCCGTTTCCGGTCGTCTTCTACAGCTATCCAACTTCAGGATCTGGTCGTTCCATCTCAGATGACAATCCCAGCCCTTACGTCGGGCAAATTGATCTTGAAAATTCACTGCCCAAGGATAGTCCAGCTCCCATCAGGCGTCGCAAAAAGCATACAAGTCCGCCGGATCACCGCGAAGGCACTTCTGGGGAGGCACCAAATCAAGGTCGTTCATCTGAGGCCGGAACCCAACGCCGCCGGGAAAAGAAGCATCGCAGATCTGAATCGCCCAAGCGTCCTCCTGGGGGAGCGTACCGAATTCCACAGCAGGGTCAACTGCAGATAATCATCAAAAACCCGCACAAGACGGCAGTCAAACTCTTCTTGGTTCCCTACGACCTCACCGATATGGAGCCCGGTACAAAGACTTTCATTCGCCAGCGAAGCTACTCGGCGGGCCCGATCATTGATATGCCGCTCAGTGCTCGGAAGAACTTCGGCACTGATCGCCCTGAAGCCTCGTTGAATGCCACAGAGGATCCAAAAGACAAGCCAACTTTGCGATATCTCATTCATCTAAATATCTGCTGCCCTTCTAAGGGTCGCTTTTACCTGCATTCAAGCATCCGCGTTGTGTTTGCAAACCGTGTTCCGGACGGCAAAGAGAAGCTCCGCAACGAAATCCAGAACCCTGAGCCTCGATACAGCCCATACAAGCCTTCTCGCGAGTCATCTATATCTAATGCTGGAAGCTCGAATCCTCGATCTGCAACGGATCTTGCTTCTCGCAGACGAAGCGTTGGCCAAAACCCAATCTTCAACCTTCATCCTCATGTGTCATCACCAGGCCAGCTACAAACGCAATTAAACGAGCCAACTCCAATGGATCTCACAGATTCCCCTGGGCACTCGCACCCCCACGATTTATCATTCGGTCATGAACTCCATGGCGATTTCCAGAGTCATCACTGCACCTCTGGTCCAGCTCTAGAACCCGGTGAAAGCCTACTTGCAAAAAGACTGCGGGGCCTCGACGTCCACAGACAAGATTCACTAGACGAGCAGCACCCACGTAACATGGGATTCTACGACCGCTTATCACCTCATCGGCCCAGCCCTCGTTGACCCGCTCATCATTCTTCGGTATACTCATCCACTTGACCTCTATACATTTTATCCTATCATTATTCGGCACACTCGTGTCTGCGTCATTGGGGCCAAAGTTAGAACAAAGCAGCTCATCAGGCGCTCTTGCTTTGGCCAATGATTGCATACTAACTCTGCATCAATAGCTTCGAGAAACATTCTTATCCTCAGCTGCATACAACATATGTGAGCAAATCCATCACTCCTTTGTTCATATCAGTCCTCAAATATCATCACCGTATAACCCTAGATGCTACCCACTTATGCTCATATTCTTGTTTGAGGTTTTTGCCAAATCCTCCGGGATAAACCGTCCAAGTTTGGAATTAGATTAAAGTGTAAACTGATCTATCGTACTGTATATTCCAAGGTTGTTTCCAGGGTTGCTGTTCATACTTTCCAGGGTTCCAAGATTAGACAAGTCTAATGTTCTGCTATTGATATCTACAGCGCTACCTAGATACAGTTTCCAAAAAGATGAAGATGAAGAAGCATTCTGGACAAAAAATATCCCTCTGAGATCTGGTTGAGTTTGCTCGAGAGGCATGTATTACATTGCAAAATTTGGAAAGTCCAAATAAAATTCTAGCTCAACCGGCATGTTCAACAATCTCGCTCACCAGCACACCGTTCTTGACGTAGCTCTTGAACTGTTCAGGGAGAGGGCACTCCTTGGTGTCCTCATCAGTACCCTCTGGAGGAGGAAGGTTGATGTTCACAGCAGATGACTTGCTAGTGAAAATCTCGGTGTTGAGACTCTGCTGCCCAAGGTAAATAGCAGCACCATCAACCTGATCCAGCAACAAAGTGGGGACGGTGCCGTCGACCTGCACAGCCAACTTGGGGCACTTGATGACGTCGAGACTGCTGACAAGAGAGTCGACAATAATAGAGAGACCAACACAGTTATCGATAGCGATAGCATTGGCCTTGTTCGCGACCTTGATGATGGTCTTGTTGCAGCGGGTGATGAGGATGGACTGGTTCTGCTGCGCGGGAATTTCGATGATCTCACCAGGAGAGTCGAAGTTCTCGATATACCACTTGTTGCCTTCGAGCTCCTTGCGAGGAGGCTTGCGAGTACGCATGCTCTCGGGCTTTGGCTTCTTGTTAGGAGCAGGCGACTTGCCGCGCACAGCGCTTGAGCCCTCCGATACAGTGGAGCCGGCGCGCAGACCGGGGTTCTTGTGTGTCATCTCTGATTTGTCGACCTTTCGAAGGCTGGATGTGATACCTTCACCCTGGTTGAGCTGATCGAAGACTGCGCCCATATCGGGTGCTGGTGCCGCAGGGGCAGGGGCAGGGGGGATGAACGGAGGGGGAGGAGGGGGAGGGGCGCCTCCGCCGGAGACGTTCACAGATGGAACTGGAGGAGGGGGAGGAGGAAGAGAGCCGCTGGGAGCTGGGCTGGAAGCAGGGCCACCCTTGGCCTGCTTCAGAGCATCCAGCGCGTCGATGCCAGACTCATTGTTCCAGGTCAGTCCCTTGGGGAAATGCTTCTTCAGGTATTCTGCGAGGGCCTTGAAGTTCTGGTAGTAGGCTTTGATGTATTCCACGTGCGTGTTGTCCCTATTCTGACGTCAATCCGTGTCCCGCCTCTCGATGACCATGTAAACTCACTTGTCCTTGTAGTCCTTCAGAACCTTATTTCCGTAGTACTGGATACCACCAATCATTTCGGTGACAAACTCGGCAGGCTTGCTCTCAAAGAACCATGCCAAAGCGACAATACCTTCCGCGACTGCGCTCAGGTGATTGAAGAATGGAGATGCTCGGTTTGATTCGCGGATGTTGTTGATGCTGTCAGATGCCTTGTGCAAGTCGGTCATCAGCTCTGGGGGTTGGGTCGCGGGCTTCTTGGCCTTTGTGACTACGAAAAGGTAAGTGCGCTCGGCTTGGAACGCCTGGAGGACGGCTTTGGACTGTGTCTCAGTTTAGAAAATGTTCGGTTGAGCGCAAGCTTGTAGGGATTGTCCAAGATACTGACCTGCTCAGCAACCAAGCCTCCAATCTTCTCTCCAAGGTTGACAAAGTTCTGTACATCTCCCTTGATCAAGGCATCAAAGTCTTGAATCTGGGGAGGCACCGGGGCCGCGGCGGGGGCCGCGGGGGGAGGGGGAATTGCCTTTGGAGGTTCAGGGGTTGCAGGCACCGAAGACGAAGGGCCGCCCATGCTCTTCGGCGAGCTAGGGTCATCAAGCGACATGGCCATATCCTCCAAGCGTGAGGTGGCTGCCTCGAGCCTGTAGACAAGTGAAGTGTCAGTAAGGAAAGCCGAAATTCATTGACCTGGAGCAGAATTGGAGTGAAGAGCCATGGTAATAACGACACTCTAGCTTGAGAAAAGAAGACATACCGCTTGATGAGGGTGGTGAAGTTGTGCATATGGCCGCCTGACGCCATGATGGGCAACACGTTGCTCAAACGGTTGGAAGAATAAAAAGGGGTATTTGGTCAGAGCAAAAGGAAAGGATAGTCGGACGGAAATTTCCCCTCGATTGTGCGTGTGCTAGTCGCTCGCGATCAAAGAAAAACACAGTGGTTGTTAGGGAGTAGAAGAAAGAAGATCGGAGCTCCTGAGGGCCGCTGCAGATGCCGGTGTCATGGTATGTAACTTACCGCGGCTTGCGCTGCATGGCATGACGTTGTGGGGTATGTTTGGTAATCTCCGTACGCTAGCTGGGTCCACCATACATCGATAAACCGAAGACCTCGTTCTTCTCTTCTGTCCAAACCAAAGACTGTTCGGTTTGATGATAGGTCATTGTTGCAACCATGACCACCCAAAATGAAGATATTGAGTTTTGTACCCTGGGGATGTTTATTATTGGTATGCTTTATATATCTATTCAACGTGCGGGACTGACGAATCCACCAGATGACATTGATTTTGGGGGTATAAGACCGGGAGTTAAGAATATCACCGGCGGCGCAGCTTCTTTTGCAGTCATTGGTGCGCGCTTGGTCTCGGGCTCCAAGCATGCGCGAGCTGTTAGCTGGATAGTGGACGTTGGCTCTGATTTCCCGTCTGAGACCCTCGATGTGATCAAGTCATGGAACACCGACTGTCTCTTCAGAGAGGATGATACAAGATTGACTACGAGAGCCTGGAACGGATATCATCCCAATGAGCAAAGAGGTCAGTGTTCGGATGGTCGGGTATCTCGCAGTAATGCAATATGTACTGACTAGGGCAGACTTCAAATACTTGACCCCAAAACTCAGGCTGGAGCCAGAAATGCTTTCCGACAAACAGTTGTGGTCAAAGACATTCCACATGGTGTGTTCCGCATCTCGCTGCATTCATATAGTGCAGACCATCTTGCAGCGACGAGAGGAAATGCACAAGGCGGGGAACTCCCCCTCCGAGGCGCATGAATTGCAGCGCCCTATATTCGTCTGGGAACCTGTTCCCGACCTCTGCACCCCAGAGGAACAGAATAATTTCTTCGCTGCAAATAAAGTCGTGGATGTGATAAGTCCAAACCACATGGAACTCGGCATGATGTTCGATCAGCCCAGCTGGACCGAAGACAGCCAAGAGAGTCAAGCCCTGGTCAGAAGAATTACAGATTCTGGCATCGGGCCAGATGGAAACGGTATGCTGGTTATCAGAGCCGGAAAGGACGGTAGCTACGCCTACTCTAAGACCTGCAAGATTTGGCTTCCCGCGTACCACCAGCCAGATGTCTCGGGGAAGACGCCTGTCATTGACCCCACAGGAGCCGGTAACTCCTTTTTAGGTGCTTTGGCTCAGGGATTGGTGACTACAGGCCGAGAACCCTTCCAGGTAATCCAGTCTGTTCTATCACAGTCAGAAAATTGGAAGAAGGGACTTGACTCGTGGGGGAGCTACCAGAACTATCCCATGGCACTCATCTGCGCAACTGTCGCAGCGGGTTTCGTGGTGGAACAAATTGGTGTTCCGCAGATTACCGAAGAGAACGGAGAGGAATTGTGGAATCAATCTGGATTCGCGGAACGTGTCCGCCTGTACACGCAGCGATTATTGAAGACATTCGAAAAGTCTCCCCGGAGACACCTGCTGACCAATTGATCGATGGTCGAACGGAGAACGCCTTTTTATTGTCGTACAGCACACAGGTTATCAAATAATAGAAAAACACATCGAAACAAAGTCCAATCTTGCTTGGTATCCCCCCTCACACTACCGTCCAGTGTCCTGGATCATCTTCATGAGTCGTTCTTCGCGGCCTGTTGTTGCTCGTGTTCACGAATCTGCTTGCTCCAGCTGAAAAGAGACAGAGATATTAGTAAGGTGTAAATTGACTGAAGTGGAGGAGGACTGACTATCGGCTGGGGAAGAACCGGCCGGGCTCGGGCATCTTGTCGCGGTGCTCCCGCTCGGCACTGATGCTGAAGGCAACTGCAGCGACACCAATGACAAAGGCGCCCATGACTGCGGTGTTAACCCTCCAGTTGGCCGGCTGGGCGTACCAACCACCAGCGGGGGACCAGACTTCCTTGGGGTACCTGTCGGGTGAATTGATTAGCTCCTGGCGGGATTTGAGATATGGAACAGACGTACGAGATCTTTCCGCCTCCACCCATTTTGATGAATGTGCAATTGAAGAGAATTGGGGAGAGAAAAGCGAGTGTAGAGTTGATCTCGAAGTTGGAAGCCGAAAGGGCCGTCTCAATCGCAGGTCTGGTGCCAAGGCGCTAGCCCTGTATTAAGTTTAGCGCGTCCTCACACGACCTGGGCGTCCCGTGACTGCCGCGACAATAATTTCTCCTCCGTCAACGACGAAGGCTAATTGATTGCGTCGCGAATATCCCTTCCGCCAATTGTATAATTTCCCCCCAGCCTTCACACTGCAATCGCCCAGATGAAGAGGCTGCAGCTTCAACGATGCAGCAGCTCAGTCCTTTCGCCGCGGGTTCGGACTGTTAACTGTCTGCATCAACACATCTACGGACGGCGGTATTCGACGGCTCCCGTCGAACGGCAACAAGAGATTCAGCAAAATGAATCAATCTTCGAGGACTCCGACGCCAAGGAGAAATTGCTAGCTCGGATTGTGAAGGAGTCTCACATTCGCGGCTCGCAACTGTCATATCCCTCTCCCCCAGTCGAGGCCGCTAAACAATCCGCAAAACTCGCCGCTCTTCACGCTCGACTCTACCTTCCTTCCAGACTACCCGTTGAGACGCTTGCACGGACATTAGTTGACGCCTCTGCCGACTCAAACCCAGAATTCAACAATGCCTCGCTGGCCACACTCGGTCACGACCTCCTATCCTACTACGCAACCGAGCACCTTATCTGCACCTACCCCCGTCTGCCATTGACCGTGATCTTCGCCGCCATGTACGCATATGTTGGACCTAAGACCCTTGCCGCAATGGCAAGAGAATGGGGTGTGGAGTTGGCCGCGATCCCCGGTGGAGAAGTTGACCCCGGTCTGTTGCAGTTCAACAGGCTCGAGGCCGGCGCCGAGGTCCCTAACCCGCCACCAAGCAACCCTGCCCGCCCATATGAAACAGCGAAGCACTACAGGAAAACAGTCACATCCAAGGTCTTCTACGACGATGAGTTTGGCGATTCGCTTAAGGGGAAAACGGACGCCGTCACCAGCGAACATGCGAGCGCCGAGTTCGTCCGCGCCGTCATGGGCTCAATCTACCTGCACGCCGGTCGCCCTGCGGCTAAGCGATTCTTCGAGCAGCACTTCCTCTCACGACACCTCAACATCTCAGAATTGTTCAACTTCCGTGCCCCGGCCCGCGATTTGACCCGGTTATGCGCGCGCGAAGACTTCGAGCGACCAGTTGCAAAGATCATCAGCGAAACTGGTCGTAAGAGTAGACACCCTGTCTTTGTGGTTGGTATCTTCTCTGGCCAGGACAAGCTTGGAGAAGGCGCTGGCGCCAGTCTGGTTGAGGCCCGCGAGCGTGCTGCTGTTGCCGCTCTGAAGGGTTGGTACCTCTACAGCCCTATCACTGTGCGGGTTCCCAGTGCGATGGAGGAGCCCTCTGCCGCGCCTTGGAAGCCGGTGCACGTTGACCTGGGTGAGGTGATTGTTTAGGATTTTTGGTGCAATGGGATGCCTTGAACAGGCACGGTAACATATTATTTCATGTCTCTTCGTTTTTTTGTCATATCGCTATTCTTGTTCCGATGTGCTGCTGTTTCGCATGGGAAGCTGGCCGGCGGTCAAAAGAGTCATACATCCTGTCTTCATGACTGGATCCTGTACATTATGGGAATTTCAATTCCTCCGATTCATCTGGTGTCTTTTCCCCCCTTAAATTTCTCTTCGTGTTTGCTTTCCATTTGGTATACTCTCCCCTGTTATAAACTGATCACGGCAAGGCAATTCCCAGCCTTGATGTCCCTTCAACGATAAAAAGATAGATTAATGAAGGATCTATATAAACAAGCACCTCCCGAGGCACCTGGTTCACAGTACAATACTTTAGCATCTTGATTCTTTTTGGACAAAGACGCTACCTAGGTAATTCAGAATTGTCCAGGTGCTTATAATGTTCGTTAGCCTTCCAAAGTTGGGAACCTGGAGAGCAGGCTGTTGTATATCCCTGTTGATCTAGAAACTCCCGACCTCAGGAGCCCCCTAAAGGTCGCCCCCACCTGGGCATCAACACCCCTAGACATATCTGTAAACCTTGGAACTTTTCACACGAAACATTATTGAGCTACCTAGTAACGAGATCATTCCGGATTCACAATCTCTTCTTCCCAGTTTCCTCGAGTCTTGCCTCGCGTCGAGTCATCTAAATACCTTCCATATTCTTCCCACAACTCTCCAACTTCTGCTCCAAGTAGACCCTTCCAAAACCCAACGGCTCCCTTTCCCTCATGCTTGTCTTCGCCAAGATACCCAACTCTAAGGAGCCGGTCATTCAATCTCCCAACAATTCCTTTTCCAACTTTGACATCCTCAAGCCAAGCCAAGAAGTATGCTGTATGTTGATACCCCATATCCCATTTCGGGGGCCTATCAGCCGCATTTGCTGGCTTTTTCCAATGTGGTGGCTCTAGCCCAGCCTTCAGCCTCACGAAGTCGGCAATTCCCTCAATAAGCCCACCCGGGGGTCGGAGGGAGCTACCGGGCGGTGCAGTATGTTGATAACAGTGTACGAGCTCATGAGTGAGAACACCCACTAGCTCGTGAAGTGGATCATCCTTTGCACCTGGACCCGATGCACAGTGCTGGACATACGGCAGAGATACATGTATCTCCTTATGAGCATCATCAAGCTCCGTACCTGTTGTATAGGCCACGCCACTGTAGTCCCGCAGAAATACAGTCACAGATCTCGTTGGTGGGATACTGGGCGTGAATGTCGACTGGTCATGGGCCTTGCTGGCGCTCGACGTATAGAGATGCTCCACAATGTTTGTCAATGCTCTGTCCAGCACCGAGGCAACATCTGGGATAAATGCTAGGAAGACACTTGAGGCAGGATGGCGCAAATCTTCAACGTGGAGACGGAGCTTAGGCTGAGGCAATGTTGAGCTCTCACTCGGCTCCGATGGTTGTATGTTCCCCGGTTCTTGCCCTTTGGTATGGGGGATCGCCGAGTGCGTGGGCGTTGGTGGGGTGGCCATTGTTAAGTTTTACAGTCAAGCCGTCGATGATTTGGGTGTGTTGGTAGGTGAAGTTGGCCGCGGATATGTCAACCTTAGATGTCGACTTTGGACCTTCAGTCAGCAGCGATGCGGGGTCAACTGGCGAATTGCGCGGAATCAGCTGTAGCGACGTCTACAAAAAAGGCAAATGATATCCAGCGCATACGAGTATGAGATGAGAGGACTCCTTGCATATCAACTTCACATATCATTCCACCTGCAGTAAGATTCAGAGCTAAGCTAGGCCCACCGTGGCGATCTCGTGGGGTTGAGCATTGAATGGCATGCGGACTGAGCCTCATACCGAATTGCCAGATCCATGAACGACTGAAGAGAACGCAGATGAAATGAATCGAGTTCAGTCGGGATCTGACTTGTTACACTGATCTCATAGAGTCCACTGCATATATCGATGACGCCGGTTGCCCGTTGCGACCATAACAAAGGCGATAAACAAAGCAACCGGTTGGGCTGGGTCTCTTCGGGCCCCAATTCAACCAGGCCTGGAGCATTAGTGTGACTGAGCAGAGTTAAGAAGTTGATAGCCTCTACGAAGTACACGAAATTAAGAAATTACGAATCTCCCCCTTGTCCCCCTTTTGTTGTCCCTCGCGCTTATCGTCACGCGCTTATCGCCCCTTGTTTTCGGCTTTTCAACTTCCCCCACTCCAGCTGGCGCTTTTCTCCGATCGCAACATCGGACCTGGTATGTGCCATTCTTCTTTGTCTTGCGATTCGATGCTCTCCGTTTTCTCTGGCCTGAGCTAGAGTTGCCATCCCCGCACATCATATGCACCCGCGTCGCCCGTCTCTCGGTTGTCGCATTGACTGTCTTTGCCATTGCCATCTGTGGCTTTGCGCTGCCCAGAGATACTGTTACTGATTACTTCTCTCAGTGACATACCAGAAAATCCTAGGTCCCTTCTCCCGCGACCCTCCGTCCCACCGCCTTCGGGATCCCAGTCGACAAGAGGTGATCCTTTGGCGCACTCCCTTCCCTGTCAGACCCGAGCTGAGATCTGTGTCTCGGTCTTGACAATGGAAGCGAAGGCATCCGAACTCCTGGCGGCCTTTAAGAACCCCAACCTATCCGTAGATGCAAAGGTCGCCTATCTATCAAGCGTCAAGTCCGATATCAAACAAAAGAATGTCCCAGAGGGAGCGATCCGCTCGATTTTCGAAACATTACGACTAGCCATCAGCTCCCAACACTATTCCGTCCTCGGCGCAGGATTCTCTACCCTCGGTCACCTCCTCAAGCGCCTTATCATTCAAGAACAGCAGCAATGGATCGTCAACCAAGCCCAAAACCTCTATCCCATCCTCTTGGATCGCCTGAACGACCAAAAAGAGCGCACAAGAGCCCAGGCTGCCTCTATATTCACTGAACTTTGGCCTCTTTCTGGGAGTGAGGTGGAGTATTACGTCCTCGATGTTGCGCTGGTAGGGAAGAACCATAGATCCAAAGAAATGAGCATGCTTTGGTTGGCGAATGTAAGTTGGCTATCAGCAAATGTCATTGCGGCTACTAACTTGAGTGTTTTCAGATGACGAAAAACCATGGATTGTTGTTCCGCCAATATGTTCCGTCACTGGTCGCATGTCTAGAGGACGCCGACAGCGCCGTTCGAGACACGGCCAAGTTGGTCGTCATTGAACTGTTCCGGTAAGTCATGACCCTATCACACACCTCATGAAGTGTTTCTAACCGAGTTCAGCACCGGGCCCGCAAGAGCAAAGTCTGATCTACAGCGACAAATGGCGAACCGTGGAGTGAGAAAGTCAATCGCGAATGCTGTTCTCTCGGGAATTGGGGTGGGGTCTGTTGAGCCTGAGACTGCGACCTCTACACGACCAATTTCTCGAGCCGAACGCCCGATCTCAGTCATGTCTTCGCGTTCTCATGCTATGGAACACCACGATGAAGGTCAGTACCTCAATATTAGTAACTTGCTATGTGGCACTTTTACTGACCCAGACACCAGACCACGAACCTGTTAAGAGTCGCCCAGCTTCAAGAGCTCACCGCGAACGACCAATGGCTTCTTCCGCGCCTGCAGAACCTCCGGTTATTCATCGTCCCCAAACACCAGCGGCCGAGAGACATGTGCCTCAGCCACCACCTGAGGACGATGATGGCCTGGAACCATACGATGTTGCCTCTGCCCGGGACATCGATGACCTGGTACGCGACATGTTGCCGTGGTTTGACGGCAAAGAGTCTGAGGACAACTGGTCGAAACGTGAAAAGAATGTGATCCTCTTCCGCAGAGTGACTCGGGGTAATGCGCCACACGACTTTTCGCAGACTTATCTTGCCGCTACCAAAACCCTCCTCGATGGCATCTTTAAAGTTGTCAATTCTCTTAGAACTACCATGTCTACGAACGGAAGTTTATTGATTCAGGACATTGCGCGAACTTGTGGCCCTAAAATCGACCCAATGGTTGAAATCATTATGCAGAACCTGATGAAGCTTTGCTCGGGTCTGAAGAAAATTGCTGCCCAGAACGGCAATGCCACGGTTGATGCAGTCATCGGCAATGTTTCATTTAGCATTCGCCTCTTGCAGCATGTTGCTTTTGCGGCCCAGGACAAGAACGTCGGCGTTCGCCTCTTTGCCGCGGGGTGGTTAAAAACTCTCATAATTCGACAAGCTCGTCACAAGAGTACGGTTGAACATGGCGGTGGTCTTGAGCTCGTTGAAAAGTCCATTCTTAAAGGGCTTGGTGATGCTAATCCTGGCGTACGTGAGTCATCTCGCGGTACATTCTGGACATTTTACGGTGTGTGGCCTGAGAGAGCCAATTCTATAGCAGACACGCTTGATCCAAAATCGCGCAACCTGCTGGAGAAGGATTCATCAAACCCCAATGCCGTGCTGAACAGCTCATCTGCACTACCTGCTAAGAGTCCCGCAAAGAGCCGATCTGCTTTACAAGAAGCCATTGCTGCTCGGAAGAAGGCCCATATGCCTTCACGTCCTGAATCGGCTCAACCGGCCTTTTCCGAAGCCAGGACCCCTGCTGCTGCGCCCAAGGCTACTCGGACTGTCCCGACCGGTGCACCCCTCTCATCTCTCTCATCTGCGCCCATGAGACCTGGTATGAAGCCCAGGCGAGCCGAACTGAGCCGTCCTGCGACTGCGGACCCATATGCTCGCCGCCCAGAATCACGTACTCAGACCACGCGGGAAGGAACTACTTCTCCACGGGCTGTGAGATCGAAAACATCAACGCCCACATCAAGACCCCCTCCAGCCCCCCGCAACCGACTCAACGAGTCCACGCAGGCAGCCACTACAAAGGGGAGACCCAAGAAACTTGACTTGTCCAAGTCGAAGTCGCACAGCGATCTTGCGGCAGCAAACCGTGCCCGCAGTGATTCCGCTGAGAGTCACACAAACTACCCACCAGCGAGGACTCCTCGTTATGGAAATACCCTGAGCCCAACGGCGAACCGCCATTCCCCGGCACCTGTAGCATTAGAAAGCCCCCCTCTTGCTGCCTCGCAGCCTATGTTGCAATCAGCGCCTGATGGTCCTCACGCCGATTCAGTTCCGCTTGAAGAGTCTGAGCCGGAACCGATGGTTCTAGAGGGATCGCCACAAGAGCCATTGGAAGAGCCGGTCTCTGCCACCTCTCCAATGCAGGTTCATCATGAACCAGCTGTCACTACGCCTCACTCGCCCGAACACTCAGGTATGATCCCTATTCCTGCCCCGGTGTCTGTTGCCAAAAACCAACCAGAGTCAATGGTCATCTATGAAGATCCTGCCACACCCACCGCAGTTGAACATGAAGACCATGATTTTGCGGCCTCAGTTGGGATGGTCACTCCAAAGACCGTGACTCCAAAGACCCCTTCAAAGACTCCATCAAAAATCCCCTCCAAGACCCCCTCCAAGATTCCTGCAAAGTCACCTTCCAAATCCCCCTTCAAGTCTCCTGTCCGCTTTGAGGGAATCGACCAGGATGAAGCAGAACCAGAGGTCATCTCCGAAGAAATCTCGACCCCTGCTCTTGCCTCTGGTAGGAAGCAGATTCCGGATTTGACCCCCAGCCAAGAAGCTTTCATGAGTCACGGAGTGCGCACTCCATCTCCTACACGCAGAACGCCACTTCCACCCAGCGCGTCCCCCACCCGAGGTCGCACTCCGCAGACAGCCTCAAACATCCTTCCGGATATGGACGTCACAATGCCTCACGAGCCTGCCGTGGACCATGCGCGCAGCGAAAACAACAACGAGAACGCAACTCCACATTTGACCAAAACGATGGACTTCACTCCAATCCCACGATCTGCGGCCAAACCTACTGCACTTGAGGAAGTCACAGCCAATGAAAACATGCGGCGCTCCCCCGAATCGAGGAACCGCCTGTCTGAATCATTGTCTCAGTCAACATTATCTCAGTCATCCTTGTCCCAGTCGACAATCTCCGAGGACTCATCCCGACGCACTCGGAAATGGGTTGACCGTCACCGCAGTCCAAGTCCCCGTTCAAAGGACCCTGTCAACGCACAGGAAATGATCCACAAAGGTCTCGCCCGGATCCAGTCCAAGACTATGGAGCCGTCCGGATACCGCAAATTGCAAGGATTGTTCCAATATCACGGTGAAGACATTGTAGCTCAGAGCCAGGACTACAGTGCCATGCTAGAGGCCCTACTCACTGAGCTCGAAGCGGCCCCCCAAAACCGTAAGGACCACGATGTTAAAACCCAGGTCCTGGCCACCATTCGTTCCATGCTCCTCCGCACGCGCGAACATTTCTCCCCCTACGACGCCCGCGCCATGGCAACTATTATCCGGGCTCGCCAGCACTACGAATCTTCTTCACACTTTGTTGTTGGTCTAGAGGAGGCAGTCGATAAACTTGTGTTCTTGACCACGGCTCAGACCGCTATTTCAGGTGTTCTCCAAGCGTTGGAAATTGAAGAGGAGCAAGAAACTGATGAGACTTACCGGTCCACCATTATGGGATTGAGCACTATTCAGCAAGCGCTCGCCCGTCCTGGTACCGAGATCTCCGACGAACTCCTCGCGAGTATTGGCGCGATTGTCATGCAAAAACTCGGACACCCACGTCCTGGTGTTCGGAAGAACGCGACTGAACTTTGCACTTTCTTGAACATTACCTTTGGGTCAGAGCGTGTACAAAAGGTTACTCAACCGCCTCGCGAGGGATCTCTTAACCTGCTCACTTACTTCATGGCCCGTCGGACGCAGTGACTTTATTCCCCACTGTCCTGCTATCCTCTGTTTTCTTGATCTCCCCTTTTTATTTCCCTGTATGCATTTGCTGCATTTGTTTTAATACCTCTCGGTAGCGTGGCGTGTGAGGCCGTGGGTTTTCGGTGTACATCAGTTCTTGTGTTATACTTTTTAAAAAATCAGAAATCATGCAGTAATATAATCTCCTCTCTTGACGACCTAGACTGTTATCCTATTACTGCCACGATCTCAGAAATGACCAGGGCTGTGAAAGTCTTGGCACTCCACCTTCTCTGGACTTTGACAGGTTACCGTTGACACTCCCACTTTCAAGTTGGAATGCGACATCAGAGTGACCAATGACCCATTCACGATTGCAAACTAGCCCTCTCGTGGGTCATCGGTAGCGCGTTTCTCTGCATAGCCATGAACTCCGCAGATAAAGATCGACATAGCAAAGTTTGCGGGACTTGGACCCTTCAGGTATGGGTCTATTCATTGGAGGACCACAATGCAACCTGAAACAGACATATTCCAACCTGCTGGACTCTTCTGGCTTTCTCGATCCGGTATCAATCAGATTAGATGCCATCTGATAACTCGACAAGTACTTGGAGAGTCATCCATTGCTATCCTACTGATTCCTATATAGCCCTAGACGAGTTCACATTGTCCTTGCTTTCGTGGATGTAGAGTCCCACGGGATATCAAAGATCCACCTGGCTTGGATGAGCCCACCGAGGCCTGATTGGAAGAAAATCACCGTTCCGCTAATGACTTGCGACACTTCGCTCCGGGGTTGCGCTTTTAGGGGATCGGCATATGCAGGGTACACGAGTTTGATGGGTCCCACTCGTTCAGGAATCGATCATCGAGGCCTTGGCTTTCCCGTGCTCATAGACTTTGTTGTATGGTCCACTGTGAGGGCAGACTTGGAGGGGAAGATGCTTTGCGGATGTTTTCGCCTTGGATCCAGGCGACTTTGTGTCGATGTCAAGTACCGCTACGGAGCGAGTTGAGAATTTCATCATTCATGGATGATTCGTTCTGATTGGAATTCAAAATCGTGACTGGGCGTTTTCTTCTGCTTTGGCCCATCTTGTTGGATATCTTTGATGTTGAATGATTGCAGACGGAGCAAGATTCATTGGGGAGCATCAAGATGACGGTGGACGGAAAGAAGTCACAAGTGGTATGTTGCCATACTATCAAACTGCCAATATGCAACTGACCAGGTGAAGACACGATATGTGAAGAAATGCATACCAACGAAGCGGAGCCTCGGCAAATTCTTCTCCTACACTCGACTCCTCTTCTCGCTAGACTACACCAAGACCGACGTCTTCCTCATCGTAACCGGTGTCTTCTTTTCCATCGCAGCCGGAATTCCCTTCCCACTTCTCGGAATAGTTTTCGGCGAGTTGATCAACGACCTCAACACGGCCACATGCTCTCCATCCGATAATACAAACGCCGGCGTGACGGATGGTGTCCGCACAAAAGTTTTATACGTGATATACATCACCATTGCCAATTTTTGCTTTATATACATCCACTGCAGTTGCTGGAGTCTGATCAGTGCGCGAATAGCCCGCCGGTATCGACGCCGCTACTTCGAGAGCGTCATTCGTCAGGAAACGGGATACATTGAAAGTCTACCGGCTGGCGATGTCGTTTCAAGACTGGTGGGAGACATCGAGGTCGTCCAGTCTGGCACTTCAGAGAAAGTGGGATTGGTGATTTCCACGGTCTCATATTTCGTGACTTCGTATGTTGTTGCGTTTATCAAGGTTCCTCAGATTGCAGGAATGCTGGTATCTGTTGTGCCGTGTTATTTTCTCATGACTTTCGTTGGAGGATACTATATCAGGAAATACGCGGGTCGAATTTCCGAGCACTCGGATGCTGCCACATCGATTGCATCTTCGAGTCTGTCCCATTTGATGTTGGTGCATGCTTTCAACGCCCATGATCGGTTGGAAAAATTGTTTGCGAATCATATCTCTGCCTCCCGCATGGATGCGCTCAAGAAGGCCGCTACACATGCTGGACAATTGGGGTTCCTCTATTTTGTTGCATACAGTGCGAATGCGCTGGCCTTCTGGGAGGGAGCTCAGTTGATTGCCGATTCAGTCGAGGCTGGTGGCACTGGCGTATCAGTCGGAGCCGTGTATACCGTGATTTTCGTTCTGATCGATGCGTCGTTCATTCTGAGCCAGGTCGCACCATTTGTTCATGTATTTGCTTCCGCTGCAGGTGCAGCTGATAGGCTCCTGGAGGTCATCTTCCGCAAGTCCAACATTGATGGCACTTCTGATTCCGGCGATATGTCCGCACCATTCGACTCCGAGGATATCATTTTCCGAGATGTCCATTTCACGTACCCGTCGCGTGCGGATGTGCCGGTCTTAAAGGGAGTGGAATTCAGGATTCCTCCCCGAAAACACACGGCGATCGTTGGGCCCTCCGGGGGAGGCAAGTCGACCATCGTGGCCTTGTTGGAACGATTCTATGACCCGATGTCTGGCGAAATCCGCATTGGTGACCAATGCTTCCGCGATTTGAATGTCAGATACTTGCGCGGGAATATCGGCTTCGTGCAACAAGAGCCGTCATTGCTTGATCGTTCTATTTTGGAGAATATTGCATATGGTCTACTTACCTCGGTTGTTGAGCGTCACCAGCCACTTGCTCCTTTCATTTTTGATTCTAGCCTTCCCGACCTGGTTGCGCAGCTGCGTACCGGTCTCTCTGAGAAGAAAGCACTGGAAGGACGCGATCCTAAAGTATCTGAGATCGTGAGCTTGGTTCGGCAAGCAGCTGCGAATTCTAATGCTTTGAACTTCATCGATGCATTACCACATGGCTTTGCAACAACTGCAGGCGCATCTGGTAACATGTTGAGCGGTGGGCAAAAGCAGCGTATCGCATTGGCGCGAGCGTTAGTACGGGAGCCATCATTACTGATTCTTGACGAAGCAACCGCAGCACTCGATTCGACCAGCGAGAAACTCATTCAAGAAGCTTTGGCCAAGGTTTCCGAGCGCGTGACTACCGTTTCGATTGCCCACCGTCTTGCGACTGCTAAAGATGCACACAAGATTGTCGTTATCAAGCAAGGTCGCGTTACCGAAGAGGGGTCTCATGCAGCACTGGTGGCTCTTGGTGGCTCTTATGCTGAAATGGTGCGCCTGCAGAACCTTGGGAAGTTGAAAACGGACTTGAGTCAGGATCCTATTAGGCAGACTCACGGCCCGGCTATCATCGCCGAGTTGCCTGTTGATAACAAAGAGGCTTTAATCGATGCTATCAGTGCCGATGTCATCGATGAAAGTCTGCCAGTATACCGCCCCAAGCAAGAGACTGAAAAAGAGCAGAAGATTCGTGAAAAGAAAGAACTGAAAGCTGCAAAGAAGAGCAAGCGTTCGAGGTGGTTCACCACAAAATTTACCTTCTCATTATTGCGTCCGAACATCCATTTCATTTTCCTTGGTTTCGCCATGTCAGTCGTTATCGGTGGCAGCTATTCAGCAGAGGCTGTCATTTTCGGTCATACTGTTGGGGCATTGAGTCCCTGTGATGGCGCGGAAGGGATTCGATCAAGCGGCAATCTATACGGTCTGCTGTTCTTCATCATGGCATTGATCGAATTGTTGGCAAACATCGTCAGTGGTTGCGCTTATGGTTGGGCCGCGGACAAAATTCTGTACCGTGTTCGCGTATTGTCCTTGCGATCGTTGCTGAACCAGACCGTCAAGTGGCATGGTGACGATGATCGCTCGCCGGGTACCCTCCTCACGTATATCACCCGTGATGCTACTGCATTGAGCAGTATCACTGGCACGACTATCGGTCTGCTCCTGGCCACTGCCGTAAATCTCATCGCTGGCTTGGTGATTTCGTTCGCCATTGCGTGGAAAATCACGATCGTCCTGTTGCCCACGATCCCAGTGCTGTTGATTGCGGGTATGATGAAATTGCGCACACAGGCGCAGTTCGCGGAACGGCATCAGAAAGCATTTGCAAAAGCGACAGCCATCACCGTAGAGGCAGTCAACAACATTCGTGCGGTGTCGGCTTTTTCTCTCGAACGGCAGTCATATGCGGTATACGAGCGAGCATTGAAGGCGCCGTATCGTGAAACTCTGAAATCCATTGCGTTCGGAAACGTGTTCCTTGCTATGGCTTTCAGCATCAGTAATCTGGTCTACGCCTTGGCATATTGGTGGGGAACTCGCCAAATCGTGGCCGGGCTTTACTCGCAGACGCAATTCTTCATAGTGCTGCCAGCGCTTCTATTCAGCACGCAGTCCTGTGGACAGATGTTCGCTCTTGCACCCGACATCTCAAAAGCAGGGCTGGCAGCATCGAATATTGCAGAGTTGCTCACAACCCGTTCTAGCGATGAGTAACTCAATCTTGATTTCAAAAGCCATCGCCATGACACACATCTGCTCGAAGAGAAGATTCCGGACCCGGAAGCCGCCCACCCTGAGCAACAGTCTTCAATTTCCACAGAAGAACCGCCCCCGATGAGCGGCATTGGCGCCGAGCTTCAAAACGTCCACTTTGAGTATCCTTCTCGCCGCGGTCATCCCGTCCTCCGTGGCTTAAATCTGAAAATCCAGCCCGGTCACTTCTGCGCACTGGTTGGGCCCAGCGGCTCCGGGAAATCCACAACTTTTGCGATGTTGGAGCGCTTTTATCGTCCGGAATCTGGAAGCGTTCTGATAGATAACGTCAACATAACTCGTCAGCAGGGTACAGTCTTCCGCGATGAGATTGCCCTCGTACCACAGGAAAACGTAATGTTTGAGGGGACAGTCGCCTTCAATATTGCTCTCGGTGGACGACCAGGACACGAGCCCTCTCAGCATGAAATCGAAGAAGCATGCATGATGGCAAACATTCATGAGGTCATCATGTCCCTGCCGCATGGATACCAGACGCCGTGCAGCCAAGACGGCAAGCAGTTCTCCGGCGGCCAGCGACAGCGTCTTTCCATAGCGAGAGCTTTGGTGAGGAGGCCTCGGCTGTTGTTGCTCGATGAGTCGACGAGTGCGTTGGATGTGGAGTCCGAGAAAAAGATTCAGGATGCCCTTGCGACTCTGTCGGGGAGGACGACGATTGTTGCGATCGCGCATCGACTGAATACCATTCACAAGGCGGACTGCATCTATCTCATGGAGGATGGTAGGTGCGTGGAGCAGGGGACTCACGGTGAGCTCGTCCAGGTCAGTGAGACATATCGTACTAGTGTTATCCATCAATCGCTGGAGGCATGATTGGTATGACGTAGATATGGAGTTTGGGATAGACTGTTCAATATCAGTAATGACCTCTGGAATGATATATACCATCTCTTTGGTTGATGGCGGTGTTCAGAAGCCCCAGACATATGTAAAGAAATGAGTTCAGAGTGACAGCTGTAGACTGCGTGATGCGTGATGCGTGAGAAGCGTGGACTGGACCTGATGCGTGGAGCAAACACTACACGATACCAACCGTATTCCCGAGTTTGCACATCCGCAAGAGTATCTGTGTCCCTGTCGTTCAAGTAGATTTTAAAATCATAAAAAGTTAGGTCAATCTCGGAATAATGCTTTCGGTCGTGGGCCAGGATCTGTCAGTAGATTGTCCTTAGGGCTTACTTGGAGAGTGATATTGAAACCGGAACGGAGATTGATTTGGAAATACGAAATAATCTCAGAGCAACTGACCCAAGATCCGGTCATACCAGAGTCTTAACCTCGATCAAGCTCCCCCTGATTCCGTATGATAATGTTTAGGTGCTGGAATCCATGGCAGCCTCATCATCATGTTCATCCTTGACATCATGTTCCTCCTTAACATCCTGCTCGTCGTGATCCTCAGCGTCATCGACGTTCTCTTGCTTTTGGGCAGCCTCCATAGCCTCGAGCTTCTTCTTCAAACGAAACCATCTCTTTTGGGTGGCTCCGTGAGTCAAGCCATACTTTTTGGAAATGGCGTCCTGGTCCAGCTATGAGGTAGTCATGTTTAGCCACGGTCACCAGAAAAGTAAATCAGACATCATAGTTAGGAGGACTCACAGTGATGCTACTACCAGAGTGCTGCATCACATCCCAGAGGAACAGCAAGTTTCGGTCACAGGCTGCGTGGTTCGAGTTGGCTGGACCAGACTCAGAGGCAACGCGCTTCGTGGGAGTGCGCTTGACGACTGCGCCGCGTCCCTTCTTGGCTGGGCTGCGTGAGCTCTTGTTCGCCGGGTCTTTAGCCGCCTTGGGTGGCATCGTGGGTAAAAAGTTTTGAAATATTTGATGGAAGTGGAAGAAATGGTGGAGGCCAGTTATGGTTGGGGATGCGAGAAAGGAAGAAGCGAGAACAAGTGTTCTCGCATATTTATACGTGCGTGTACCTTCCTTTGGCAACGCAGATATTCCTCAACTCAGGCGTGGTTCCTTTTTGCAATGCTTGTTCGCATTGCTCTTCACGCTACTCATGTTGACTCACGACAACAGCCATAGCACCCTGAAAAATATGGAAACATAGTATTGTATCTACCTAGCTTAACAGCTTTGTGAGGTAGACCAGGAAACAAAAAGGGATTTTCGTTTTTTACTTTGCTTGCCCTATACAAGAGACATTGATGGCACCTAAGGGCATGTGGATTGACAAGTGTGCAGATGCACTGGAGGGAAATTGAAATCTGATGAACAAATATTCGCGAAAATTGAAACATTAAATTTTTGCAAGATTAGGGCAAATCGCAGGAGTTTCAAGAGGCAGTGAATTTAGATATTCAGATGGGAGAGCAAGGACTCATTGTCTGACAGATGAACATGAATCTTGGCATTTCGAACTCCCAGAACAGCAATGAGGCCTATTATCACCCAAAGCAGCAATTGCCTCGAATCGACAGCCCGGGGGCTCGTCGCGGGGGCAAGTCGCCCGAGCCGAGCCCCCACCTGGGCATCTCCATCGGCGAAGATCCCGAAGCTGACGTCTGTTCCTCACTCCACAAGCTATCCCTGCCCCTCGGAGATCCACCGATTCGGCTCGATTACCAACTTCGTGAAACTACTCGGTCCACCGGAATATTTGAAGAATAATCAAGGTATAAGTAGCTCGGACACTGTGATGGATATGGAACAAGATCTCAGTTCATATTTTGACAACCTCTTATTACCTCCCACTGCCGTGTGCGACGTTTCAAGTCGCAGATCATCATATCTACCGACGCAAGATGGCTACAACCTTGACCGGAGGAAACCAACACATCATCCACCTCCCAACTACCCCATTCAACGAACCGTCCGACCCGCACACAATCGCGCAACAATGGCTCTCGAGTCTCGAAAGCCAGCTCTCGAATCCTGAGTCTTTGGATACAACCGACTTGTTTCATGCCGAATCATGGTGGCGCGACATGCTGGCCTTAGACTGGGACATGCGGACAGTCCGGACAGCCACTGAGATTCAATATTTCCTGAGCAAACAACAAGCAAAGGCGAGACTTTCTAAATTCCGTCTCCAAGACAAGGGCAAGTTTCAGCCCCGCTTGGAGACAGTTTTTGAAGGACTCAGCTGGATTTCCTCGATGTTCTTCTTCGATGGCGCCGTTGGAACTGGAACGGGAATGCTGCGATTGACACAAGCAGATGACGGGTCGTGGAAGGCTTATGCGGTCTATACGTCATTGCAAGAGCTTCATTCAGCAAAAGAGCCTTTGGGGAAACGCCGCGCTGAGGGGACAACGGAATCCATGCCTGGGGGCATTTCAGGCGGCACTTGGATTGAGCGGAGGCAAAGACAGAAGGATTTCCTGGACGAGGAGCCAACTACGTTGGTTGTGGGTGCCGGTAAGAAGGACGAATTAAAGCTGGATACCAATCGTATTTGGTTTTAAATACTGACTGATTGACAGGCCAGGCTGGGTTGAATATGGGGGCTCGACTACAGAGCCTAGGTGTTTCGTGCTTGATTATAGACAAGAACGAACGTGTCGGAGACAACTGGCGCCATCGTTATCGAGTATGTGATGAGAGTTTCTCGGCCACAATTCCATCATGAGGACGAATGCTCATTTCTACGCAATACAGACGTTGGTCACTCATGATCCGGCTGAGTTCACACACATGGCCTATCTGCCATTCCCACAGAATTGGCCTCAGTTTACGCCGAAAGACAAGCTGGGCGACTGGTTTGAAGCATACGCGAGTATCATGGAGCTCAATATATGGATGCAGACCTCGATTACCTCGGCAGAATACGACGAATCAGCAGGGCAGTGGGCGGTTTCTCTTGTCCGGGGTGATGGGTCACAGCATATTATGCGCCCTCGCCATGTCGTATGGTGTACCGGACATTCAGGAGAGGCTCGAGTACCATCTTTCCCAGGACAGGAGGCTTTCAAGGGGCAGGTTTATCACGGAAGCCAGCACCGTGATGCATCTGAAAGTGATGTCTGTGGCAAGAAGGTTATCGTCGTGGGTACTGGAAACAGTGGTCATGATATTGCCCAGAACTATTACGAAAACGGTGCAGATGTTACCATGCTGCAGCGGAGCGGGACTTATGTCTTGACTGCTGATAAAGGTGTCTTCATGATGCACAAGGGGTTGCACGAAGATGGAGGGTATGCAAGTGTTCCATCTGTTTTCGTCAACGTACTAACAAAGTTGCAGTCCTCCAACAGAAGAATGCGATATCGTTGCCGAAAGTCTTCCTTGGCCAGTTCAACTGGCTCTCAGTGTGCATGGAACAAAGCGAATAGCAGAAGCCGAAAAGGAAACTCTCGATGGGCTCCGCAAGGCCGGGTTTGAGCTTGACTTCGGGCAGGACGGGGCCGGTATTGCGCGCGCATACTTCACCCGTGGGGGTGGTTATTACATTGATGTGGGATGCAGTCAGCTGATTATTGATGGCAAGATCAAGGTGAAACACAACCCAGGCGGCATTAACGGCTTTGGAGAGAACGAACTACAACTAGCCGACGGAGATTCGCTGCCGGCAGATATCGTTGTTCTTGCTACCGGATATGATAACATGCGCACGACAGTGAGGAAAGTCTTGGGTGATAAAATCGCCGATCGATGCTCTGATGTCTGGGATTTGGATAACGAGGGAGAAGTCCAAGCAGTAAGTGAGCATTCGTCTTATTTCCAATGCAACGATACTGACCTCACTACTCCCCAGATGTGGCGTCCTAGTGGTCACCCAGGCTTCTGGTACTTTGGTGGAAACCTTGCCTTGTGTCGGATCTACTCTCGATTCTTGGCCCTTCAAATTAAGGCAGTAGAGTCTGGCCTATCTCCGGGGGTGCGACAGTGAGTTCAGTGTCGATGCTCACTTCCCGTGGATGTCAGAGTCGGCATATTCCGCGAAAGACTTTCGCATGTTCTGAACTTCTTCGTCTGTCCAGAAATCAGGGAAGTTAACCCTGAAGGGCTTCAGCTCAATTGATTTTCCACCCTCGATAGATCTCGTGGTATAATGAATGTTACGTTTACAGGAAGCTATCAACCTCTTTTCGATCGTGCGACATCCAGCCATCAATTCCAAGTCTGTCTGATTAAAAAAATCACCATTAGTTTTGCCTTCATTAATTCATCTCTTTTTGAGCAGTGAGAGCCCGAAAATAATCCAAATACGCCAAGATGCAAGTCGTATGCAATGCAGAACATGAAATGCCTTTAGGCTTCAGCCGGGGTGCTGGACCCACTGGCACGAAGCTTTTCCTCCAAAAGCAATCGCTGACAAAATGAGCTTCTCTCTCGGATCAAGGGACCCCAATACATCAAAGCAAATGGAATGGGAATACAGGCCAGGCTGATGAAGCCAAGAAGCGAAGTACCCCATGACACACCAAGGGAATCATAAAGGGGCCCAGCAGCAAGGGGAAACAATGCTCCAGCAATGCTTCGCACAATGACCGAGGCGGCCATCGCACTGGCAGAGTAGATTTTGTATGCATCAGTCACATATGTGAGAAGAGAAGTGAAGATGATTTGGTATCCGAATCCGAAGACGAGGCCCGAAATCACTGGAGCCGTCCAGTGGAGGCTTGATCTTGCGCTCCACGCCAGCCAGAATAAGCTGATCGTCAAACATGGCCCAGCAATGCAGGACAAGGGAAGTCGGTGGAGCTCAGGGCTGGCTGTCCAAGCTTTCCCCTGCTTTTTGGCTTTCTCATAAATCGTGTCGTAGTAGAATGTGACAAGGCCAGAACCTGCAGCACCAATACCCACTATATCCAGTCAGCTGTGTTCAGATCTAACATTTCTAACAGTTTGGTAAGTGACATACCAGGAATATAGGTGAGAGCGGTTTGCTCAATGGTGAAGCCATACACACCTGGGAAACCAGATTTAGCACAGAGTCATGCAGGGAGAAATGTTAGATTGCTTACCTTTGAAGATGATGGGATAGGCCTGGAAGTAGAAGAAGACCAAGCTATAAGCAAGAGAGATGTAGACGGCCGTTGATGTGATAATTGGCTCGAAAAGAAGCATCGTGATGGGACGAGTGATGATTTGTGAGGTGCTGAATGTTGCATCTGATTTCAACTCTGCACGGGAGATGTACCGGTTTGTACCAGATTGCTTCCGAAGTTTAGCAGCTTGTCGTTTCAGTAAAACTGGACCAAAGGTTTCTATTCACAGCAACATTGTTAGTAAATGATATGGTCACCAATGAAAGAAGAGCTAAAGACCTACCGGACAAGAAAAAAAGGGCCAGCCATGTGGTGCCAATCAGGATCAAATCAATTCTGAAAGTCCACCGCCAGCCATACTTGACTGAGCATCCTGATATAATTGGACCCAGAATTGGACCTAGACTTGCAGCCTTTGAGGGTTTGTCAAATCAGTCGTGCTTTGCGAACATGGAGAATCACGACATACCGACATGTACATCACCATTGCGCGACCTCGAGTTCTTATGTCGAAGAACAGATCTGCGTATACACCACCAATGACAGTCTGAGGGGCGGCCCCCATGAGACCGCATATTAATCGAAATATGAGGAGAGAAGCCCAGTTGGGCGCAAGAGCACAGCCAAGAGTAGCGAGCACAAAAACGGTGAAAGACCACAAGAGAACAGGTCTACGGCCAATGGTTTCGCTCAATGGACTGAATACCATGGGTCCTATCACATAACCAATGAGAAAAACGGCCGTTGGTAAAACCTTTTGTTCATCGCCCGACTGGTTGAACTCCTGCATCATTGCGGGGACTGCATTGCTTGGAAGTGCAGATGATATGCCGCTATTGAAAACAACCAATAACGCCACAACGGCGTTGAAAATCTTTTTTCTCTACATTTTGAGTTAGCTTTTGGGCTTTCTTGCGATAGTATACAATCAAAATGCGTACAAGTGCCCAGTTTGGAGGGTTTTGAGGTGAATTCTCTTGGAATTCGACAATGAGTTGGTCTTGGGACACTTCAACTATTGAATAATTTTCGTCCGACTCCTGATTGCACTCTGACTTCGTTGATCTGATAGACCTCACATCAGAACTATCATTCTTGCCTATGTTGTGTTAGAGAATACTCAGGACAAATAGCTAAGATCAACCATACCGGAGGAAAGTATGGCAGCTATTTGAGCCGTTAACGACTGCTTCGTTTCTGTAGCCATGTTGAAAAACTGAGCATAGGATAAAGTGGAGCAAAAGACAATGTTGCTAACGAGATTTGTTCCAAGGTTATGATCTGCCAATGCTTGGTTCAAGAGGAACGATGGACTATATAAATGATACAGCAGGATTTGATCATCCTCAATACAACCAGCGGATCCAGAGAAAACTTTGATAAATCCTTGACTCATGGTGGCTAGAACTTGTCAGACATGCATAAATCCACGATCTATTATGTTTTCGTATGTTATGAGCCAATAAGATGATGCTTTTGTTGAAATCCTTTTGCACGGGGTACCGGTCCCGACCCGGCACCGGGCTTAATGGCAACCCACCAGCGGCCCCGGCAAGAATCCGGGGCTAGATGGCACCTCCAATTGCGCGAATTGATTTATCTACAGATTTCCCCATACTAATCTAGGCTGGTTTGACTGTGACCTGGCATGTGAAGACAACCATACTCTGCGTTGCGGCCCAATTTGTCATTGTTTCCAAGGCTTTACCACGATCAGGGGTTTGTCTATGATGCTAGATCCCGAATACTTGTTCTGGTAGACTACAAAAAAAAATTGGAAAACAAATCGCCTTGGGGCATATGAGCTGAATCAAATTGGTATCATACTGTCACTGTGGCATCGATGGCATCATGGGTAAGAAATCAAATATGTCGTTCTGCCCTTCCTCAAAAAGTCCAAAGGAATCGGCAATGGAATTCGAAACTGTCCAGTTAGGTGCTTCCATCGTACCTGGTATCCTGGGTAAGGGTGCTTTGGCCGCCGTCGATATATCACTACTTGGCATGGTGACCATGTTCGCAACCTTGTCGGTCTGCATCGTCAGCCCGGCTCTGTAGCGAAGATCGTCGAGGGGACCCACTCCTGGATCAGATGCATTAATCATAGGGCTATCAGGCCTTTGGTACTCTTGATGTGGCCCATCATTTTGATCGCCCATGATAGGTCCATCTGAGCCGTGGCTGCTTTGGGGACGCTGGCTCGCAATCAAAGCGCGTGCATAGTTGACAAAGATTGAAACGGTGCGGTGGATATCAGGGTACGGCGGCTGCTTGAGAAAATCGCAGATCCTCTCTGCCCTCTCCAGCAGCAAACTTTGATTGATCAGACTCGGACGCCATCTCGCAATTCGGAGGGCAAACGTTGCTAGGGTCGAGTCAGTACATGCAGCTAAATGCAGCATTGGAGAACTCACTAATGAACGCAATGGTGAGTGCAGGGTAAGTTGGTGCCCAAGGTAATTGACAGCGATATGAGGGCTCATTGATCAAGAAGCCTAACTGATCCATGATGGTAGTGACAAGGGATTGCCACAGGCCCAGCACGTTCGGATCAAGGATTTCAGAACTCGAATCGGCATACGCAGGCTTCAGCTTTTGAATCCGTGCCAGCGATGCACAGAACACGAATATTCTAGCATAGTGAAGCATAAGCTTCAGGCTGCTGCGTTGGAATGCTCCTATATGGAAGCCATTGTCTTCAAGATGCATTTGTGTCAATCATCAAATTTGACGGAAATTTATGAATGAAATGCTTACTTTCATGAATCTCGTCCCAATTAGTCCACCAGTTTTGAAGTCTCGTCATAATAGCTGGTAATTCTGTAGACACAATATCGCTGATCGTAGATGCGCCATCGATTATCATGCGGGATTGGCCTAAAAATTGTTAGTACTGTAGATGCATAAAGAAAGAAAGATAGTAGCGTTACCTCGAAGTTGATGGAGCTCTATGATGCAAACAGTCCGCATGTCACAGGGCAGCGAGAGTGGATAATCTAAGAACTTGCGTAGCTTTCCTACGTCAACTTCAGCAATGCGTGACTTGCGTCCAGTGCCAGATGCAACATCCAACTCCAACGTGAAGCTAATCAGCCAGGTCCTGGTCTGCCACACCAGTTGGCGCTCGGCCATAGATGCAGACAAAGAGCTTCGGGGTACGCTTTCCTGTGACAGCAAAGTATCCAAGGACTTTTCCAACCCTGAGTCGAGAGCAGTGCGGAGAATGAGTGCAATGGAAAACCAAGTCTTCTCGGAATAGGCTGCCAGAAGAATCATGCCTTGAACTGTTTCAAGCTTCGTTGGTCGCTCAAAGAAGCTGTCCTCCGCTAGGCGCTGTGCCTCATCTTGCAATACACGCTGCATATGCGTATCTCCCCGTAAGTCTGTCACAGCGCGACTGGCAAGGTAGATGATGACAGTAAAGCAGAACAATGAGCGGGATCGAATAGAGTCAAAAGTGTCTCGTATTGGGTCGAAGAGTGGAAGATAGTTTTTTGAGCCACCCGTAAACCTGCAAGCCATTTCAATCAATCATCATTCTTGTTCTGATAGGTAGAGGCTCTGGAGCTTCGCGGAGTTCCTCGAACGTACCTTTCGTACATGACTCGGGCGAGCTCCTCGCTGACGATTTCTCGGGCGATCACATCACCTCTGGGGTCACCTTTTGTTGAGTTTTCCAGGAAAATCTGTTATATTGTCAGAAATATACGTATCAAATTATGATCGGCATTCAACTAACATCATTTGTGCCCAGCAAATTCACAGACATGGAGTGCACTGCTGATGCTGGTGCGATCATCTCATTAGGGCTTAGCTGTTGAGAGTCTGGTCCATTTTGATCACTGGCATAAGACCTTTGTAGACTGCTCAGACCTGTTGCGTCGGGTAAAGAGTCAATGGAAGTGTCAAACCCGCCGTCTTGCGCGTTGGCGGGAGAGAATCCTTGCTCTCTTGACGCCGGAGTATGAAACCCGGTCCGCTGGTCGAGCGGTGAGGCAGTTGATTGATTTCTATTTCGAGTAAGTCGTGCCTTTCACGTTATGGAGACCGGCAATATAGATACCCACCTTGCTGGGGTTGTTGTTTTCCGTCGGCGATCATGTCGTCGACGACCGTCGTCGATAGGATCCAATATACAATCTCGGCCGGTGGACCGACAGCGGAAGCAAGGGACTTGGCTACGCGCATCGCAGCGCATTTTCTGCCTTCTGCACCATCGACATGCTTTGAAGAACCGTACCGGGACATTCTCCGCTCGGTAGATGATTTCCGATCCTCTTTCACTCATTGTACTCACGCCGATCTATCGATGGCATTCAAGCTCGGGTCGGTGCACATTCAACGAGCTTGCCGAATACTCGCTTTCACTAGTGATCTGCAGCAGCTATGGCTTGTCCCAAAACAATCTGATGGATAGAGCGTTTGCCGATGGCCGGGTCATGTGACCGGCGGTTTGCTCCGATTTAGGAAGGTCCCAGTGAACATCCTCAGCATCAACTCGACCTCGCGTATTCCCCATATGTGACCCACTTGGTCATGGAGGGACTGGCAACTGCCAAAAGACGTAAGGTGGGGAAGACACCCAGTTGCTGTGAGTGCAAGTATCGCAAAAAGCGCTGCGACTTTGAGTCCGGCTCCAACTCCACCTGTGTCTCTTGCCAGCGCCGCGGCATACCCTGCATAAGCCAAGGATCTGCAGACAACGCAGATGACGAGCATAATGAATACGACGGGGTTGCGAAACATATCGATCGGGTGGAAGACTTGGTGCGTCAGCTCGTACATAAAAGAGGAGCTCAGTCTCGGGACCAAACTTCCCGGCAGGTGGCTCGTCGATCAGTGCCCCTTGATGTATCAAACTACTCAACGTTGAGATCGGTCAGCCATGAGCGAATGTCTAGGGGTCCATCACTTACTGAATTTCTGAACTCGACTCTTCCAGCTCCCCAGATTGCTACGCTGATACTTAACGTCAACAAACAATACAACGCGCCCCTTCAAATACTACAAACCCTCCAGGTTGACGGTAGCCTTGTTGAAGTTCCGAGCGTTCTGTCCCCGGATGTCTTCCCAACCGTGCACCCGGTCGACTTTGCTCGCCGGCTAATCAAGCTTGCTCTTGCTCTTCGGGAGTTGGACGCAAGCAAGTCCGACCATATCAGCCTGGACCTTGGAGAGCCCACTGTGAATACTGCGCAACGGTATTTTCAGACCGCAAGCTGTCACGTTATGTCTCAAGACTACCTGGTGGGCTCATTTGACGGGCTTGAGACTTTGTTGTTGCAAAGCCGCTACCATATAAGCATGGGCGAGCTCCAAACTGCGTGGTATATCTACAGACGGGCCTTCATATCGCACGTTTGATCGATCTACCCACGCAAGCTAAAGTACCGGACAGTCGGGCGGATTCCATTTGGTTCCAACTGGTCTACGGTGAAATTTTCCTATGATTGATTCTGGGACAGCCAACTGCAATAACTGGGGACATTGTACTAGTTGAGAACACAAATGCCCACACTCCAGCTCAGAGCTTGGAGCGAGTGCATGTGATGATCGCTAGGCGCCTGGCTTCAAGGAACGTGCGCATTGAGAACAGACACCGCGATGAGTCCCGAGGAGCAGCCCAGGATAGCTACAGAGAAACGAGGTCACTGGACCTACGGCTCAAGAAGGCTGCTCGGAATATGCCTACGGCATGGTGGAAAGCTCCCACCTTTGCAGCCGAGGAATTGGATCGAGAGGTGATGGACAAGACTGCCAAGCTTTTGGTTCAAACTCATCAATACTATCTTTTGGTAGTCTTGCACCAGCCACATATCCTCGGAGCTCCTCCTCCCAACGAGTTGAAATATGGACGTGATCATATGGACTATACGTACAGTGCGACGGCTACTGTCGCAGCAAGCCGCGAAATTCTCACACGCTACCTCGTCCTTCGCAATTTCCACCAGTCCTCATCCTACCGAGGTTTTGACGAAAAAGCATTTGCTGCGGCTATGTCACATCTTCTTGTACATCTGAATGGACATAGTCTCGGCGCTACAAACGTGCTTGAACATCAGCGACCACATGATCTTGGGATCTTGGAAGATGTCATTCACTGCATGGAGACAGTGTGTTCAGTCAACAGGGATCTTCGAGGCTATTCTCGGGCTCGAACACTCAGGGAGCTTTCCAGAATTGAAGCGAATGCAGCAGATGGATGTGGCTATGTTGTCTATTCAACCTATGCATTCAATGAAATGAAGGGAGCCGAGTCTGTTGATATCAGAACAGATCTTGAAATTGCTTTGCCATACCTTGGAAACATCTATGTCACTCGTCAAACAACAGATTCATTTGGTGAGGATCTCTCAGCCACTACCCAGATGGCGAGCCTAGCACCTCAATTTTTGTTGAAACCCCCCAATCAACAAGACCAATACACACCGCAGAATACCCTGGGAGTGTTCGGTGGCGAGATTTTCTACGATGAGTCCGACTCAAGCTGGTTTGATAAATGGTCCATCCATGAGGAGAGATTTTCCTAGGACTGAGATAATGTCGTCGAATATTACGAATCCAATGTGGGCGTATTCGCAAAATCATATCCAGTTCTGGCTTGGAATCTTCCCCCCACAATTCCCTCTGACGCCTGACGCAATTCCCGTTCATCATCTTGAGTCAAAGAGACAGAGAAAGTACCCAGATTCTCCTCTAAGCGATTGATATTCGAGGTCCCGGGGATGGGGAATATGTCGTCACCCTGCGTAAGAAGCCACGCAAGAGCCAATTGCGCTGGTGTCAGATTCATCGACTTCGCGAACTGTGAGATTTTGTCGATAATTGTGAGATTCTGGTGAACGTTCTCATCGCCTAGCCAAGGTAAAGCCCCTCTAGAGTCGCCGGGCTTAGTGACATCCTCTCGTGATCGAATGACACCACCCAACAGTCCGTTTCCAAGGGGGCTATACGCGACGATTCCAACACCCAGCTCGCGGGCAACATCCAAAAGCTGCGTCTGCGGAGACTCGATGTCTTTACAGAACAGGCTGTACTCAACTTGGACGCATGTGACCGGGTGCACGGCATGAGCACGCCGCAAGGATTCCGCACTGCACTCACTCAACCCGATGTGTTTGATTCTTCCTGCTTTCTTGAGCTCAACCATTGCTTCCATGGTCTTCTCGATTGGGGTCCCTTTGTCCAACCGATGGACATAGTAAATGTCGATGAATGGTAGTCCGAGACGCACTAGGGACTTTTCAATGGCTTGTCGGCAATACCCAGGTGTCGAGTCAACAGAGAACCCAGGAACACCGGCGGAGGTTTTGATGCCGAACTTAGTGGCCAATATGATATCTTGTCGCTTCTCCAGGTTGATGGCGAACCATTGACCGAGAAGATCCTCGGAATCGCCATACTTGTCAGCTAGATGTGGTTAGCTTGAAGTCTTTGTCATATGTACGAGACATTCGAGTTGGTGGGACAAGATAGGTCTTACCAGTATCCCAGAATCGCTCTCCCCTTTCATATGCCTGGTCAAGAAACTTGAATCTCTTCTCATCTGAGGCCGGGCTACCGTAAACGCCACTAGCACCCATCAGTCCGAGTCCTAGGCGAGGCACGAGAGGGCCATGTCTGCCCAGTCGACGGGCTGGAAGAGGTTGGGAGATTCTCATAGCTGCGTATAGCTATGGGTTTTTCAAGGCCTTTTGAATAAACCTCAGACTTTAATACTGCCAGAACTTGCTAAAGATCTTGCCCTAAATACACATTGTTTCGGATTTTGCGGCAGACAACTACTACATCTACTTTGGGTGCACTAAGTAGCTCTGACCAATCAGAAGCCCCACCGCCAATCACCGTTAACTCCGCTCCACTATACGGAACTCCTGCGGGAAAAAAAACCAAATGCAAAAAAAGATATAGACATAGCATGTCCTGGTTTCGATCCAGGGACCTGGTTAGGTTAGTTTCGAATTCAAATGGGTATTCCGAGAGTGCCTTACCTTCGGGTTATGAGCCCGACGCGCTTCCTCTGAGCCAACATGCTGTGGATACCGTTTAAGCGTCTTATTCTTTCACATGAACATGCTGGGTACTTCATCCAGCACTTGGTGTGGAAGGTTCATCAGTGATGTCACTTTCTCCCCGCTTCCAAAAAAGGAATACAGCTATGCCTCTGGAGTATGCAGACTTCAAGAGAGGAGTTTACCTCGCATGCTAGCAGGTCAGGGTTAGAAACAGATATTGTATCATATCCAGCAAAATCATCCCTACTAAACTCCTTCAACGCTATGTGGTTCAGTTTCGAATCCTGGATGGAGTCGGCGAGTGAACCTACACTCCGGATATTCCAGAAGCTTGGCTGCAAAGACATTCCAAGGTTTACATCCTGTCGTCAGTAATCCACCTGAAGCCAATATTTCGGAACTGGTGAGCGTCCTTGATTAACCTACCCACTAAGTTGGGAGCACCGAGTAATTTCTAGAATGGTAAGAATTTGCAAGGACGTGGGGAGGTTTGTAGTATAGGAGCCCTGGAGGGGGTGCAGAGTGAGGTAAAGAAGCTACAAGGCATCACGAAGAGGAGAGGAGCTGGTGATATACTATTTCACAACTTGGAAAGAAGCAACTTCAAGGTTGACAAGTCAAGCAAAGGAAAGGAAGAAGCCATGGTGCCCAAAAAGAAAAAGAGAGAAAAAAAAAGATAGACATAGCATGTCCTGGTTTCGATCCAGGGACCTGGTTAGGTTAGTTTCGAATTCAATCGGGATCCGGGAGTGATCGTACCTTCGGGTTATGAGCCCGACGCGCTTCCTCTGAGCCAACATGCTGTGGATAAATTCTGATCAACTTTTAGTCTATAACTTCCTACTCGAACACGCATTTTTCTAGTGGAAAATAAATCTACGCTTCTTGGCGGCTAACACTGTGCCATTTTCGAATACTGTAGTGCATTCTTAACGCTCTTCCAAGGTTCGGGTCTCTAATGACCAAATCCTTTCGGTATACCTACCTAGGTACATAGCCGTGTACTTTTTTTCCTGGATTTCTGTTTGTCCGGGTTTTCAAGGTTTGCTTCTCCTAATCTTGAAATTTTACCTAGGTAGTTCTAACAATGGATATATATAACCACCCGTGGACCTGGCACTTTGCCATATTCGTCAAACCTGGAAATACACCCAGTCAATAATTGCACCAGAGCCGGTAACACGGGCTGCGGGAGTCTCACCTGGCAGTCCCAGGTTCCAAGGTTTGGCACAGAAATTGGATAGCTACACAAAATCCAATACAACCTTCCAAGGTTCAACCTTGAATCTCATACCTACCTAAGTACCTAGGTAGGTAACCCTAGACCTCGAAATTAACATATACCTAGGTATCACCGTAGCAACGAAAGACTTTGAGCCAAACTATTCCAGTCCGAAATATCCACACAATCTGGATCCCATCCATCGATATCGAAAGTATATATCGGGGCCGGCTCAGCAGCAGCTGTTTCGTGAATGATACTCTGACCCTGTGCAGAATCACGCGCCTGCCGAGCTTGCTGTGCCTTATTCTTCAACTGCACGACGATAGGCCACTTCGGGCCAGGATCCGGCCACGATGGATCCTCCATCATAGCAAATTGTATGTTCACACCGCGCCATGCCCTCTCGTCATGCAAACCTTCCGGATAAACACACATATGCCATAGAATGTACGTGAGGAGATGGTATTGTGTATAGGTTGTTGTCAACCAGCGGAAACCCCGTAGAAGTTCATCAGAATGCATTTCGAGGCCTGTCTCGAGGGCTGTGCATGCGATGAGGAGTGTCTTTTGCGATACGTCGTAATCGAGAGAAGACGGCTGCTTGCCTCGGAGGTAGATGAGTTTCTGGCGTGCGCAGATCTCCGTCTTGAATAGGAGGAGTTGTCCGAGGAGGAACCCGAATCGCTGAATCGGGATATCTGGATCACTGTGGCGGAGATACTTTTCCTCTATTGAGGTTCTGAACTCGGCGAGTATTTGGTCTCCGTCTGAGAACTCGTTCAGGTTTGACAGAATCTCTTGACGTCTGGTGTTTGTCTCCATGATGATAAGCGAGAAAGTCATCTCTGTCCACCGAGCCTATGATACGTGTGTGGCTGCAGATTCCGAGAGACTCTGATCGTCAATGTTCAATGGGAAATCGGTATCCCCGATATTGTTTTCGGGGACACTTAGTCCATGGTCCTCGGTGACTCTCGAATCTGCCGCGTGAATGTGCCACCACAGGCGCCGGCGAAGCTCGCATTCCAGTTCAGGTAGTTTGAAGTGTTTCCCATCACGCTGAAGTCCAATCGATTGCGCCGCCCGAATAGTTAGACCGTGCATCGTCCAGCCTGAGCGGCCGCTGTTACTATACCGATAACATGTCTGAAAATACCCAATGTCAATAAGCTAGAAACACCCAAAGAAAATGATCAAGTACTCACCTGGTATATGATCATGGCCTGCAAAGAAGTGATGGTTGGCGCATCCAGAAATTCCGCATGATACAACGAGATCTCAAAACCCTGCTTGAATTTCCGCAAGTCCGCAATCGTGGCCTCATTGTGGATATCATCCGACAACAAAGTTGTGGTAGCGGCAAAGTAAATAGCGAAAAGCAGTGAACGTACATCGGCACGCACACTCTCAGGTCGATTGATAGCGGCAAAGATCTGCGACTGAACCGAAGGGACATGGATAACCTTGACCAAAGGATCAACTCGACTGAGAAAGGTTTGCCAGAGCACGGTTGCCTGCCACCGACTCGGATAAAGCTCCTTGAGCTCCAGCTGCATCAGGAGCGGATTGGTTAGGAGGCCCTCAGCTTTGATTATTGGCCCCCGCTGAGGACTACTTGTATCACTCGGCGAGCCAATGGCTGAGCGAAGTTCCTGTTCCTTCTCAAGAACCCGTGTGAGCAGAGGCTCATTGATGTATCGGCCGTCTTTGCCTAAGAAATCCGGAAACCCTTGAAACTCTGGTCTTCCCGTGGAGGTAGCTGGAGACCCGGTACTGGGAGTCGCTAACGCGCCGATGTATTTTGTATTGTGGCTGTTATCAGATGGATGTTGGGATGTAGGCAAGGTGTTAGCCTGGCTCGGCTGTTCACGAACCAGCGCCGCGATAGATCGCTCAAGTTGCTCTAGTCGAGCCGCCATATCGGTCGTACTCTTCTTCGGAGGTTGGCGCTTTACTCGACTTGGGCCGGGATATTGGCATGCCACATTTTGGCGCACACATCGGCCACATGGTGACTTTTTGTCGCATCGGATTTTCCGCTCATGGCAGCGCAAGCATGATCGCTCGACGTTGTACCGCCCCTGATTTTCCATGGTGAATACAGATGAGAGAAATGCGAGGGGCCCTTCTCAGTTGCACAAATGCGAGAAGAATAATGGTCGAGACTGTCGAGTTACACGATGAGTAGGGGGCCGATGATGCGATTATTCGGGCTTCGGCCATTCGCGAACAGCCGAGTGGCGAGCGGAGATCGACCCAACCTTATTCTGTCTTCTTAGCCCAGGAATTATTTCATCTCCAGGATTTCTTGATTCAAGGAAAGGCTAGTGCGCTCCGAAAAAAAGTTTTCGATGGGATTTTTGGTCATGCGATCTCGATTGTACAGACAGCACAACAAAAATCTCAAGGAACTCAATACAAAACGAATGATCAACACATATTGTAACTGACAAGAACGCTAAAGTACCCACCCAGACACCAGAACTCGCCCGATCCCGCTCGAATGTGAAAGAGGTCATATATTTATGAGATGAGAAGATCACGCACGCTCATCCCCTTCCTTCGTTGCGTACCCACAGGTGGAGCCTCATACTTCGCCAACGAAGTGCCCGAAAACTGCTCGCTAATGGAATCTGCAGTACCCCTACGGTCCTGGGTGAGCATGAGCAGAGCGGCCGAGGCCTCATGATCAACACCTTGAAGCTCATGCATTTTCTCCGGAGAAGCCCAGATTGGACCCAGTGCCGGACTAGGCAGAACCGACGTAGGCTCGGGAACGTTTTGCGCAGAAGGCACTTGAGTGCGAGGCGAGAATGACGGGGAGGTATCAGGGAATAGCTCAGGAGGGGCATATGCCTCTGGAGATGCGGATGGAGAATAGGAGTATGTGGAGGATTCACGCACAGGCTCGACACCTGTCTCGGCAATGAACTCCGGTGATGTGGGTGACGGCGGTGCAGCGATATTCTCTGAGCCTGCTGCTTTCATGTCGCGAATGCATTTCTCCAGGTAGTTGACGTAGTCTATGCTTGCCTGGGCGGGACAGTTAGTACCATGGGAGCTCATGGGGACTTTCGACACCGTACCTGAAGGATGGCAAGCTTGTGCATTTCTTGTCCCGTGCAAGCGGGGATCATATCTTTGAGGGTTCCGAATTCCTCGTTCATTTTGGATCGTCTTCGGCGCTCAATCAGGCTGTGGGCGGTCTTGCGAGCAATCTTCCGGCCGGCCGCACTGGTCGCACTGGGTTGCTTCCTCTTGGAGCTTGTTGATGGATTGGGCATCGGCTCTGGACTCTGCGTGGAGACCTTTACGTCTTTGGCCTTGGATTTCGTAGGTTTTGGCTTCATTTGGATGATCTTGCGAGTTCGGGTCGGTGGCGGAGGTAAGTCGAAGTCCTCCAATGGGCGTTTGGCTGTTCCCGACCGTCCTGTGTGACTTGATCGGCGACCAGCGAGATCCGGTGAAGTTGAAGTCGGGGTATAAGAGGGATCTGATCGAGATGATCGGCGGCTTTGAGGACTCAATGCCGCAGGAGGCAATGCGAACATATCGGTGGCGGGCTTGTCTTTGATGGTGAATTCACCCGACATGGCTGGAGTTGGTGGGAAAGACATTTTTGGAGGGTACAGATATAAGGGATGAGTCCCTATATACCGCGAACGTCCTGTCGAAGAGCCCTGGAGTGTCGCGTGCTTAGGAGGTGCCCACGAGTTGCAATGGGGGGCGGTGATTGGCCGGGGCGGAGACTCGTGCTTCAGGGAACAACGGGCATTTGCTGCTCACCGAGTGGGGCACGACGAGCTTATCGAAAGGTACTGGGTACTTCCCAGGAGAGTGGAGAAAGGGGTGACCCCCTATGCGGTCATATGTACCCTCTACTTGCATGATACTTGATTGTTGGGGAAGTGTCCCCCCGGGGGCCAAGCTCCCTCATCGATGTTTGGTAGTTCAGCACGTGCGAGACACGTCGGGATTATACGGCCTCATCTTTGTGGTTCATCTTCGGAAGACCTCACAACTTCTCTTTCATTGGTGATCTGTCGATTCTTGATTTTGGACTGCTTTGCGATTGCGAAACAGGCCGGTCCAAGGATCGGTCCAAGGTACAGCATGTGCGTTCGATCCCTCGTGATTGTGTTGACTTCGGTATGCATATATCCAATCAACAAAGAAATTCTATTCCGCATTGTCTTTGAAATACACTCGTGACCACACCCAGCTTGGCTATGACAGTTTTTGGACAGGCCTGCTCTACTCCGTAGCTGGTCTGCAATAACAACTGTCGAAGCAGTGGTCAAACAGGACAGATCATCGATGACCTTGAGGAATCAGACTTTCAACGTGCTGACGAGTACCCTGGTCGCATTCATTACGTCGGTGACAGAGAAAGCCCCATTTTGACCTGAATTCTTTTGACCTGCACTGCGATTTGAGCTTCGAAGCTAGGTCACATATCACATTCACAACATGATCAACAGAGTGACTGGCGGGAGGCGTTCAATAGATTGTCTAGTAAAATGTCAATGCGAAACAGGAACAACGCGGCTGGGACCTATGCCGCCGAGCCGCACCCCGAGCGTTTCCCCATACAGACAGCCCCAACTGAGATGTTTGAATACACGTAGTTGGTAACAGGCCCTGTCGGGGCGCGGTATTGATCAAACTATGATGCAATGGCGTTTTGCATGGTCACATTTCTATTCTCGGAAACTTCGAAAGTGAGTTGCCCTGGGTGGAACTATCATACCAGTACATTGGAGGCAACCTTGGTACCCATAAGTTCATTATATCACTACCTATGTAGTAAACATGGTATGAGTCAATGGTGATATAGCTTGAATTGATTTTGACTATCTAGGTATAAATTCTTCATTCGTAATACATGTTCCATGGGATCTTCCTTTTTTTTTGCCTCATCATTTCAACCTTGGAGACCTCAAATTCTGCGGAAATTTGAGGGCTGGCACTTCTCAGTGCAGCGCTGGTAGACTGACCAACTAAACCAGATCATTAGCGAATGTGTCAATCAACACAGTACACTGACTTACCAGAATTTGTCATCGTCGAGCACAGCAATCGAGCAAGTTTGCGACTCCAAGGAACATAGTTCATGGCAGTGGTTGACATTCACATGGTCCATTGCGTGATGAACAATGGAAGCATGGCTTTTAGTCCCGTTCTTGGCCAAGCCTGTTGTCAAAGGTGCCTTAGCGCCGGTGCTTGTTGTAGTAGCATTTTGGGCGCTGGTGCTGTTGGTTGAGATATGGTAAGGGATGTGTGCACCGTGGTATGGTCCAGCGATATGAGGCATTGCTAGGGCAGTGCTGGCAAAAGCAGTTACATAGAAGAAAGTGGTGAGCTGCATAATGGCGAGTGGGAGAGTGTCCAGGCTTTTATGTGGAGCTTCGAGAGTGGTTATATGTAGAATTTACGAGATATTAACAGCATGGGTGCACACCCCTTTTATAGAGGAAATCCAGATAGCTTTCATCTATTCAGGCTAGCTTTCAGTCTAGGAAACCAGCCTCCTGGATTGTATAGCGTTGCAAAGCAGCTGAGCGCTCAGCATTGTCTCAGGAGTAAAGGTCGATTCCTGGGTTACGACATTCCACATTCCTTAAGAACTGTACGAAGTGGGAGGTCCCCCCCGAGGCTGTACGTTCAACCGAGCTCAATTCTTCCGGGAAAGTACTAGTATACGAATCCAAATTTACTTTGCAATGCTAGAGCATCGAGTAGATTGAGTATTTATACTAGAGCATACTACTCAGTAATGGTGTTTCTTGATATTTGCATCAACACCGCGTGGAAAAATCTCACAATCCAGACCCGTGATCTACATAGGTAGAACCGTTTTACCTCAAGAGAGAATTTTGAGTGTCCAATTATAAGCCTTGTTTCAATCTTGAACTATGTCCTCTCAATATGACAGCAGGTCGGGCCAATATGGATGCACAGGGCATCTTTGGCGCATTCTTGAAAGCTTCTTTGGCCTGGAGTCCCGAAGTATCTTGAGCATATAACTCCGCGGACCAATAGAATAGTAATTCAAAAGAATAGGAATTACAAGTGATTTGGTCACTAGGCAGGAAGAATGTCTCGAGAAACGTGCGAATTTGCTCAAAATTCAAGATATGTGCATGTTGATAATCTACACAGTGGGAACCGATCGATATGTGCATCTCCAAAATGGTTCCAAATCTAAGTCTTGATTCGTCCACCGACTGATAATTTAGCCGAAGACCCTCTTGATAATGATGTCTCCAAAGTTGCCCTCAGCAGGAGATCCATCCATTCGCCAAATACGGTTACCCGCACGGCCGCTCAGCCAGAGACCGTGGTCACTCGCACTCTCCTCATCGCCCTCAATGCGATGGCGACTGCGGCGATCAACCACGCACATCCCTCGAGTCCACTGGCCCAAGGTCTCGATACGGATATCTTCGGGTGAGTTCGCCGCATAGACCCACTTGGGGTCCTCCGATGTGATGGCATACCACACACAAACGGGGTCGTGCAGACTCAGCTCGGCATCGTCACCAACGTGACCCGGGTGCAGGCGCTCCAGGGTCTTGAAAGTGTGTCCCATAAAGGCATCGACCCACTCAGCGAGTGGGGAGCCACCTTCCAAAAGAGGGGCGATCTCCTTACGGAACTGGCCCTTTGAGAGATTGTGTCGCAGTGTGATGTCCAATGGGAACAGACGCAGAGTTAGCTGACGACTGAGCTTCGCTGGGTATGGCGGGAGTTTATCGCTCTTGGTGAATGGAACTGTGGTGTGCGGGTTTGGCGATGTGAGAGCAAAGATACGGGCAGCGGCGACTGCATCCGCATAGGCATTGAACTCTCCCATAGGTGTGACGTTTCCTGCTTGATTGATTGCGCCGCCCATGACGACGACTTCTTTCACGCGGAGGAAGGTCTCGGGATCTTCTGCCGCTGCCAAGGCCAGGTTGGTGAGCGGGCCTACTGCGACAAGAGTGATGGAGTCGGGCTCATTGTCGCGAAGAGCACGAAGGATTTCCTTATGAGCTGGGAGCTTGGAAGAAATGAATGCATGGTCGTCTGGCCCAGTACAGTCCGCTGCAGGCTCGATCCCTTCGCTAGTCAGCGTTGGGGTGAAGAGGTGCTCATATGCTTTGGTCGCAGTGAGGTGAGGGTGCTGGTGATGTATCAGCTCGAATTATCTCCATGTTGGGGTTGAAGGTGATCTGGCAAAACGTACAGTGGCGTGGATGCCACCGAGGCCATCCGTTCCATCTGCAGTTCCGTATTAGAGATCAATATTCCAGGGCAACAGATCGGGACATACGGAAGTAATCAGCCAGCATCTTTTGGTCTTCCAATGGATCCTCTGCACCGACAGCTAGAATAGGCCGGTGCGCTCGCAAGCTGCCGAAGCCTTCTGGGCGTCCGTTTTCACGACGCCACTGCATCTCTCGCTCCAGAATATGGAACATGGAAACGGCATTGCGAAGACAGCTAGTCAGGTATTAGATAGGAACTTGCTCATGGTTGGGTTTCTCACTTGTTGACCTCGATATTACCAAATGTCAAGGAGATCAACAGGACCTCTACCTCTTCCGGGGTGGCTGAGAGAGCAAGCAAAAGAGCAAGCACATCGTCGATGCCCTATAATGTCAGTAAGAAAACAAAATCAAGTTCCAAAGGGCAAAATACCGGATCAGTGTCGACAATGATCTTCTTTCCCATGGTGAATGTTGTGTTCAAACCTGAAGCCTTCCAAGCTCGAGCCTCGGGAGAAGTGGGCGCTTATCGTTATCAGCGGGGTTACGTCGATACCCCTCACCACGCAACTGCTTGTCTTTCCCTTCATCTTCGTTCTCATTTGCAGTTACTTAATAAATATCTGTTAGGATCTTGGCTCTGTCTGTGTGGAAGTTTGCTGGCTATCAAATTTGTTGAGATGGGGTGATATTGCATCGCAGGTCAATCTGAAGCAACCTCAGCATGTTGGCTCAGAGGAAGCGCGTCGGGCTCATAACCCGAAGGTACGATCATTCTCGGATTACCTGATTGAATTCAAGACTAACTGAATCAGGTCCCTGGATCGAAACCAGGACATGCTAGTATGTCTATTTTTTTTCTTCTTTGGGTTCCACACACCATTTGTGCAATCTTGATTTTGTTCATACCTAGGTAAACCCGACAGACTCAGCATTCTCCAAAAGGCTATATGTGCGTACTGGGAAAATGTGATGGTCATCTGACGTCGCAGAACCTTCCAAGGTGAAGATGAATGGGTACAAAGTGAACATGTACATGTGTAACGTTCTGAGTCTTGAGATAAGACTTGATTAGGTACTAACTAGGCCACAGGAGCTGGGCACATCCCAATTGCGGAGCGAAGCGAAGCATTATAGTATCATAGAATCCTCTTTCCCTGCGCGCATCACGTGACTACACTTTTCCTGGTGGGCTCAAAATCCATAGGAATTCTGCCCAAATAGGGCGGTGAGATTTGGCCCGCTGAGAAACGGCAGAAGGCTCCCGGGCGCAGAGGTAGGGGAAGGACCCCCCGAAGGGAGGGAGGGGCTCCCCCTCGGAGCCCGGTTAGACAATGAATTTTGGCCCTGCACAACTATAATGTTTCACTTCACCCCGCATGACTTTCTGGAGGCCACAGGCCCCCGAGATCACTAGTATAACACTATGGTAATAGAGGAGCTTGTGCTTTATACTCCCTACTCTATACCTACGAGATGGATGCAAAAGTGGTAGCAGTAGTTATTACCTACCTAGGTACAGTAGGTAGAGGTGGTTAGGTGTGAAAATTTGACTCAACAACATTGGAAGATGGGCTTGCTCGCTCATATAGCACAACAATCGGCAAAATTTTCACCCAGAGCATGTTGGCTCAGAGGAAGCGCGTCGGGCTCATAACCCGAAGGTACGATCACTCTCGGATTACCCGCTTGAACTTAAAACTAACTGAATCAGGTCCCTGGATCGAAACCAGGACATGCTATGCCTATCTTTTTTTCTTCATTGGGTTCCAAATTTCTTTTGTGATCGTAGATGTTCCCGAATTTCCACGGCCGACAAGCTAAGTGGTACCGCATACTACATGTAAGTGGCTAGGTATACATATGTCCTCTTGACGCCCTTTGTCCAGGAACGGCACGTCTCACTTGCCAGCGCCTTTTGAATGATGCACTCTCCTCCCGAGAGCATCCTTCCAGTACGTCGACAAGGGAGTTTATTTTTTTGACATTCAAATCTCCCTTGGTGGTCAGCCACTTGCAATACTCGGAATTCCCAACGCGGCCTCTAATAGAGACTGCAAAGCGACAGGCAGGATCGTCATCACGCGCCTTGATAGCATAGGCACATGGATGCGGAGTTTTAGATAATTCAAACCGGACAAGGACTTCATCTCCGTTGCGAAACTCTAGCCCCAGCCGTCGAGAGACTGTGAAGTAGTAGCTTCCGATAGCTATTGTGCTGGAATAGCGATCCTGGCTTTCTGTGACTGCCGCATTTTTTCCGGACAAATACTCTCGCAGAGCGTCACGTTTCTTCCTTTCCCATGTTTCTTGTACATGGTGCAGTCGTATCGTATGAAGATCATGGTAGTACTGACGGAGCTCAGGATCAGGCGAATTGCGAATGTCGTTAAAGGCATCTCGAAGATTCTCGGCCCATTGACGAATGAGTGGATTATTATCGAACAAGTATTCCTGAAAACCAACTCTGCCACCTATCGCGTTGATGTTTGGAACTGCAGTGAACCCTTGCCATAGAGGCAATGCAACATTGAGGTGGCTGCCTGCCCAGAGGCTTTTGGGTCCTTCAGGAAGAAACTCGTCCAAGTGAATTCCCCTCAAAGTCTGGAAAATCAGACTCATCCACATTTCCTGCATGTTTAAGAGGAGCTGATCTCTTGCAGTGGTAACAGTGCTTTGGGTAGCCAGCGTAACGAACACCGATTCCATTTCCGCTGTCGAATTCCAAACAGCATAATGTAAAGAGCGTTGGCGTTCCCGACGATAAGGGTTGTTGTGTGTCGATATCCGAACGCACAGTTGATTGGCTTGACCGACATATAGCCAAAAGCAATTTGGCATATTTCGTTGCCATAATATGTGGAGGTAAACGCCGGTTTCCTCAGACTGTTCAGGTTGACCCCCCAGAGCGATCAAACTTCATGAAACAAGTTAATAAATACATGCCCCGTAAGCTTCGAGTTGAGGAAATACCTTGAAAGGGTAAAGTTTCCTTTCTCACAGATATTTCTCACCGCGGGGGACAACTTTTCCTCTAGGGCAATTCCCACGTTCATCGCGTCTAGTAGTATTGCGTATCTTTGATTGTACTTTTCTCTGACCTGGGTCATTAGATGTCGTAATATTGCTGCACGATCGACAACCCCAAGGTCTTTGCGTTGATAAGAGTGTATGGTTGTTTTCGTGACTGGCGTATGCGTGGTATTGCAATCCTAGCTCAGGCCGGTTATCACGCTTCATCGGTAAATCATTTTAGCATCATTCGCGAACCTGTGTGCTGCTCTCTGAACTCCATGGGGAGCTAGTTCCGGAAACCCCGGACAGGGGTGTTCTCCGTGAATGAAGTAAATGTGTCGGGTATTCGATACTTGGGCATTCGGTGGCTGGGTGTTTTTCATCGCAATGAGGGCATGGAGCAAAGGAGCAAATGTCTCTTGAGTGTCGGAATCTTCCACATAGCGAACAAAAGGAACAGAGGCATTCATCATAGCCCTCTCGCTCGCAATTTGGGCAATCTGCATGGGAGTCTATCATTCTCGATGAGTGATGCTTTCACCAATGCAACCTTGTGATGAGCGAGGAGAATGAGGGATGTTGAAGAAGAAGATCTCACCCTTGAGAGAGGTCTTTGGCGGTACCTGAACTTGCGACTGGCGGCACAACTGGCAAAGAACATCTCAAAGAAAAGGGAAGAACCAGAGTGCCAAATTCCTTAGTTAGGTAGGCAAGAGGTCTAGTCTAACTAATAAGTCTGTGCTTAGGGGTCTTCACTTGTACATGCCTAACAATCCCCAGAAAGCCTGTAGATGCTACACCCCGATGAATGTTCGCTCCAGAAAGTGGATCCAGACATATCACAACATGGAGTCTACAGAATCAATATTGGATTGTACTGTACATATACTCCAGACAGGAACATGGAGAGGCGAAGTGCCTGGACCACTATACGGACCGCGTACTTTTTAGCCGGCAATCACCCGGCCACTCCTTTCCTCGTGGCAAGAGGTCAGCAAGGGGAGAGAAAAACAAGATCCCTGGATCTTCATCGGTCAATTCGCTAGACCAGTAATACTTGTGCCTACTGGTACTTTGTGCAAAAACATCGGTGATTCGAGTACCCAGGAGGCCAGTGATACGCTAGTAAGATATAAATCTGCCTGGAGCGTACTATATGTACGGAGTAGAGCGGAGAGATACAAGGATGAGACAGGCGGAGAAACGTGGCCTGTTCATTGCAAGACTCTCTCATCGGAGACTATTGTATTTCAGTGGTGTACCCGTAGTGCGCGGAAAGTGATGTACAATGATGACAGACGGCCGCCTGGATTTGAATCCAAGACCCGACACGAATATCAGCGGCAGTCCAAGCCAGATAGAAGAAATACCAGAAAGTGCAGTGCGACCAGAATAGAAAGTCCAAGGTCAACGGGGGTGAAGCCAAGGTCTTGGTAAAGTTACCATTACCGTTACAGTACCGAGGTGGATCTGCCACGGTTGCCCTTTCTCTACTCTCCTTTCTCTCTTCTCCTCTTGTTTATCACATTCATTTTGCGCCACTGCGCTCTTGATCTTTCACGCGCACCCCTCTGCTTCGAATTGACTCCATTCCGACCAGGAACCGTGTGCCACGGGAACTTCCTTGCCTTGAGGCAATCTGTCCCGGATCGCAAAGCTTTGATCTCATCTCCGAGTGTCGTGCTTTCGTGTGACTATCTACAGTCTGGAGTTTTGAGCGCAATCGCCTCAATCTTCATTGCGCGTGATTAGGTGAAGTGCTTGTGCACCTTTTTGTCCTACCTCCCCGGCTACTTTCGATTGCAACTCTCGGTTGACACATCTGAGAGTCCGCTCCCAGATAGTAAGTCCCAAGGGAACCCTCTCAGTGGAATTGGCGGTACTGACTGATGAGTGCACAGCTCAATGAACATGAATCCCTACATTAGCTGGGCGATCCTGCTGGTCGTAGCAGGTGGCCTTGGCTGGTACTACACCGGGGGCTCGACCCCCAAGGCCAAAACCGTGATTCGATCCACCGCGGAGAAGACGGAGGCTGCGGTTGCACCCAAGAAGCAGAAGCGCAAGTCCAAGCCCGCCCCCGAGCCTGCCACTGCCAAGAAGCCCGAGGTGCAGACTGTCGTTTCGCCACCCACAACCGAGGATGAGAAGCCCGACGAGGAGATCGACCGCAAGGAAATGGCCCGCCGCATGGCCGGCATGAAGGCTGGTCCCCCCGCCGCCGCCCCTGCCCCCACCAAGAGCCAGAAGAAGAACAAGAAGAAGACCGCTCAACTGGACGTCAGCGACACTCGTGCCTCCTCCACCACCGGCGCCGAGGCCGACGATGATCTTTCTCCCGCCGCCTCTCCCTCCGTCAACGCCACCGTCCCCTCCGCTGGATACGTCTCTGACATGCTCGAGGCTCCCGCTGCCGGTGCATCTGTCCTCCGCGTTACCGGAAATGTTGAGAACCAGCCCAAGAAGCAGAAGGCCCAAACCTTCAAGGAGGTCGAGACCAAGAAGCAGCGTCAGCAGCGTCTTAAGAACGAGGCTCGCAAGCAGCAGGTTCAAGAAGCCGAGGTCGAGCGCAAGAAATTGCTCGAGAAGCAGCTCCACACTGCCCGCGAGTCCGAGCGCCGTGAGGCTGCCCGTTCCTCTGCCCCAGCGGGCAACGCCTGGCAGACCAAGGCGGCCCCCGCCAAGGCCAACGGTGCCTCCCACCCTGCCCCCGTCGCCGCGGCGGCTGTCCCAGTGGATCTCCTCGACACCTTCGAGTCATCCGCCCCTGCCCCCAAGAAGTGGCAACAGAACCTTCCCTCCGAGGAAGAGCAGATGCGCCTTCTGGAAGCCACCAATGGCAACGACGAGTGGACCACTGTCTCCAAGGTCAAGAAGCAGCCCAAGAAGAAGGGCGGCAAGACCGACGAGAGTGTCAGTGAGACCAGCGCCTCGGAGAACCAGTCCGCCCCCGTGGCCCCCGTTCCCGTTGAGCCTCGCGTGACCGTGACCCCTACCTACCTCCCCGACATCCTTCGCTCGCGCGAGAAGGGCCACCCCCTTGACTCTGACTGGGCCGCGTGAGTTCCATCTCACCTCAACGTTCTCACTTCATCTTGAACTGTATTTATTACCCATTGTTTGATTTTTTTTTAATGTTGACCTGGCGTTTTGGGGGTGTTCTCAATCATTCGAGCAACCTTCTTCCCCACCTACGAATGGGGCTTGAAAGGTTGTGGCAGCGCATAAGCGAAATTAGCGGAATCCTCGTGCAAGTTGTGCATTATGAAGGACCGCATCGTGAAAGATCAAAAGCAGAACTGCGGGGATGTATCTGATGCTGTTTGTATTTTTTTTTTCTCTTTCTCTGTCTTCTTTTTTCCCTTTAAACTCTGGTCACATGTACTCCAATGAAAGCAAATGTTCCAATAAAGAGCAAAGAGCACAAAGACAAGCCCAATTCCAAGAATGTCCCAATTATTAGGGTGTTGCATCTTTATATAGAGCAGGTGTCGTCACTAGTCCCAAACGGGTTTAGCGGCGAGTTCCGGTCATCGTGGCCTGAAGTTGCTTTGTATACAGCTCCTTTGGTATTTACTCCTTCAGTCTCCCTTGGCCGACCAAGTCCTTAAGTCCTCCAACCCGCCAATTTTGGTCCTTCTTTTCACAAAACCACTCTTTTCGCACATTCCTCGCCAATTCTCGCCATGGCCCACATCCGTGGCACCGCGGGCTACAACCTCGGCCACCAAAACCCATTTGGCGGGCCCGGTAGCGCAGATGCCACCAATGACCCTAGTCCACTTGACGCTATTCGCGAGCAGACAAGCAAGATCGAAGACTGGTTGGACTCACTGGCCGACCCTGTCAAGCCGTATGTGCCCACTCGATCTTTCTCCCGGATTGAATTCCTTTGTTTTTGTGGCGTTCGAGTCGCGGACGCACCAAAACAAGGGATCTGAGACTTTCTCTGACACGGTGTTCTTCTTAGGTACCTCCCCGCGGTCGGACGCTTCCTCATCGTGGTGACCTTCATCGAAGATTCGCTGCGCATCCTTACCCAATGGAACGACCAGCTCCTCTACCTCCGTGATTTCCGCAAGAGTAAGGCCACACCCTTGTCCGGACCCTGATCCGCACTGGGGTCCGGGGTACAGATCCCTTGAGCTAACGCAATTGTTTGCTTCTAGTCCCTTGGGGAGTCACTCATGTCTTCCTTATCGTCAATGTCATCGCCATGGCTATTTGTTCCTCTCTCGTCATTGCCCGCAAGCGCACCGAATATGCCGTCGCGGGATTGCTCGCTGTCGTTATCACACAGGGTCTTGGATACGGTCTCATCTTCGACTTGAACTTCTTCCTTCGCAATCTGAGTGTTGTTGGTGGTCTTCTCATGGTCTTGTCTGACTCCTGGGTGCGCAAGAAGTTCGTTCCCGCCGGTCTGCCCCAACTTGACGAGAAGGATCGTAAGATGTACGTCCAGTTCGCTGGTCGTGTTCTGCTTATCTTCCTTTTCGTTGGCTTTGTGTTCTCCGGCGAGTGGAGCTTCTGGCGCATTCTGGTCAGCCTGTTCGGCTTTGTTGCTTGCGTCATGGTCATTGTTGGTTTCAAGGCTAAGTGGAGTGCCATCATTCTGGTTGTTCTGCTGAGTCTCTTCAATGTCTTCGTCAACAACTTCTGGACGGTATGTACTGGCGACGCATATTATCTTCGCATACTGACTTGTTCATTTAGCTCCACCCCCACCACCCCCACAAGGACTTCGCCAAGTACGACTTCTTCCAAATTCTGTCCATCGTGTATGTGTATTCCAATCCTTGATGAGTTTGAAAGCTAATAACCCTTCCAGTGGCGGTCTTGTTCTCCTGGTCAACATGGGTCCTGGTCAATTGAGCATGGATGAAAAGAAGAAGGTTTACTAGAGTAGAGACTGAACAGCCACTCTCTTATACTCTCTTTTTTCTTTTCATGTCATGCGGCACTTGTACCCAGCAGCAAACGAAACGTAACACAAGCTGATCAAAGGGTACGCTTTGGTGCTCTGCCGGCTCCGAGTATCCGAGTGTATCCTTTTGGCCCTCGATTGGCTTGGGCAAGTTGGGAATATATGTGCCAGCGTTTACTTGCATTTGGGGATTTATTTTGGAGGGTCAATGTATCCTATAGCTTGCTCACTTTGCTTCTGTTTGAATCTACGCCCAGAGCCTGCAGTTCCGCGAGGTCTCAAAAAGATGCCGGCATATGTTTTTGACATGCATTTGAATTGCATTTATCACGAAGACAAGTTCAATGGAAAACAACATACACTGAGATATAGCTTCGTGACTCCATCCGGTCTGACTTACCAGGTTTGGACCTTAACGATATACATGATATCTATATTCTCTTAACCATCAACAGAACTGCACCCATCTTGCCCTTGATAGCCATGTCTTTCTCAGTAACACCAGCCTCCTTGAGCAATCTCTCCACTTCCCTCCTCATGACCCTAACCACATCTTCTTCCCCGGTCTTGTCGGGATTGGCCTCCCTCCACCTTGTAACCGGACTCCCAGTTCCCATCACGGCTTCGAACGAATCCAATCCCATCCAAGTTTGCCCATTGATCAGAAACTCCTCCCCTTCACCCTCAACATCCCCATTCCCCTCTGTGCCCCACTCCACCCTCAAAAATGAGTCTTGCTCAAACCCACTAACAACAGGTGAAACAGTCCACGGCAATCCAAGATTAACATACAATTGCCGAGAAACCACATTCCCAGCCCCGTAAAACGCCTCTAACTCCCGTTCCCGAATAACCTCCAAAGACCGATTGATCGCCTCATAGTTCGGTACATCGGCATGAACACCTTCAGCATTCATCGTCCAAATAGCAACACTCCCACCAGGCCGCAAAAGCTGCGCAGCTCGTGCCCAGAACCGCGGCATGTCGAACCAGTGTGCTGCCGTAGCGGCAGTGATGAGATCCACCGTTCCATCGACAATGTCGCATTCAAGTGCCTCGGCACTAGAGCATACGTATCGAATATCTTCCGAGCCGGCAGAGCCACCGAGCTTCCTAGCTGTGGTGATCATGCCCTCGGATGGATCGACGCCAATTGCATGGCTGAAGTAAGGTGCCAGTTCGCGGGTGGCTATTCCTGGTCCGCAGCCTACGTCGATGACTGTGTTCAATTGTCCGCCTGTTGATGTGTGGTGATTGAGGACTCTTTTGAAGAAATTGGGGTGATAGCGGAATCTGGATTGGGCGTAGCTTTGTCCTTGGGCTGCTGTGTAGGCGCGGAAGGTTTGTTCTGGTTCTTTGTTGGACATCTTGCGATTTCATGGGTTGGAGGGTTTGTAGAATTGGGTGTGGGGCATATTGAAGGCTATATACCAAGGTGATGTGTGTTTGTTGAGCTTCTCAAGCTGAACAGAACCCAACGAGTTGGTATTGAATCTATTTATATAGACTCAACGGATTGACATGAGTCAAGAGAAGAACGATGCGGACACGGACCGAATGGGATCACCGTTCCCGAGTCGGGGGCTGAGAATGGTAAAGATGGGGATGGTTGGCGTACTATAGAAGAGTATTGCTCCATTCAGTCCCTGCTATATAGGTAGGACGCAGACCGTTTCCAATTAGATTTGATTTGCGAGTTCCAAGGTCACCTACACCATAGGCATGTACATGAAGGCATCCAAGGCTGTTGGTCATCTTCTCGGGGTATACCCAGGTGGCTACCCAGGTGTGGATCCTCCAAAATGGGGCCAAAATCAGGTTATCTCAGGGCTGGCTACGTAGAATTAAAGACAGGCATCTAGAAAGGTGCCGCAAGGAGAGATGAAACGGGATATATAGTACTGACTGTATTGACAACCCTTGCGGGAGAGACTGATTATGATACAAGAAAAAGATCTAAGAATGAGAGACACGAATTGAAAACAAGAGATTTGGGAGGCCATAACAGGGCCGGCAAACAATAAGGAAAGGGAATGTGAAGAATAGCGTGTAGTGCTGTTGTAGGGAAGACGGCCAGTTGCATCTCTGCCATCGGCGAAGTATGAGATATTGTAGGCGATGCTGGGGTTGTCGCTTGATGTACTGGACCCGCCAGGTACATGCCCATATGGGATCTGGGATCCCGACAGCGGAAGAAGTGTTTGCTAGATGAACCTAGCAAATGCAGGGACTGGAGGCTGAAGAGGGAAATGATAAAAAGCAAATGCTCGCTGGAATTGATGCTTCAAACGCCGTGTAGCCCGAACCCATGGATGAGGGCGGAAATAAGGAGGTTTTAAGAGGGCGGGATTGGTGAGGAATGTTGTTAGATATCCATGCTCCAGCGCCATGGGCGAATGGGCTGGAACTGGCCCACTTCGAGATCATCACGATATTCGTCGTTGATTTCTAGATGCAGCATGTGGACCTTCTTGTTGTCTCTTTGCATTGTGGAGAGAGTTTTGGAGATTTGTGGGCGATAGACCTTGTCATCGCCTGTATCCTTGGATTGCGGACGTGACCGCGGAGTTTCGGGGTGTTGCCATAGACTTGGAGATAGGTCGTCGGTGTTGGTGTCGGAGAACATGGAGTCGGTTCGAGAGTGTAATGTCGGGTTGAAGTCCTCATTTGAGGTTCGGAGTCGAGTCAAGGATGGCCGACGAGGAAGATGTTTCATGTTCGTTTCATCCGCGGCTCCGTCTGCTGTCTCGCTCGGTTCATGTTCATTACCCCTGACCGTGTTCTTGGTGACCCGGGAAAGATACTCGTTGCCGGACCCACCGACGCTATCACGGGCCGGCTTGCGGACGTCTTCCTTGCCGGACATCACTCTGGCACTGGGTGGAGGTTGAAGCATCCATCTGGTGTCGGCGCGACTGCAGGGTCCACTGACAATGGGCGGGTGAAGGTCGTTCACGGGCGGTATGCGAGGGATGTAGTATTTCGATGCTTCGTTCGGGTCTGCGCGGCCACGGCCTGAGAATCCAATAGACGACCCGCGCACTTCTTGTTGTCCCCATAGCGGCTCATCTTCACGTTGGTAGCGCATGGACTTCCACTTCTCGCCGAGCGGATGCATTAAGCCACCACTCTTGTCCTTCTTCAACTGCGAGCTCTGGTCGGTGGTCCAGCTGTCGGTTCGGTGGAAGTTGCGACCGCCCCGGCGGGCTGGGGGGCCGGGGCCCAAGGCGATTTCCTCTCGCCAGCCTACATTGGTGCTGAAGGGTGTTGGTTGCGGGAACGGACGGGGTTGATCGGTGACAATTTCCTCGAACTTCTCTCTCTCCTTCTCTCTTTGTGCTCGGGCAGCATCCTTTCTACGCTTCCGACGATCGATATTTTCGGCACAAGGGGTGCAAGTGGCATAGTAGAAGACGGCGGACTGGGCGCCCCGATAGAGCCACATGGCCAAGAGGAAGTATGTTAATTGCTAAGTGAAACAGACTGTTCACGACGGGCACTCAGCCCGGGAGAACTGCTGAATATGACCCGGTATTCGCTCGTTGTGTTGTAGTGATACTGAACACATGAAGGGCTGAGGCGAATAGGGGCGGAAAGGGGCGGGAAGAAGATAGCAGCAGGAATTGGAGATCGCCCAGCGATACTCGGTACAAATGAAGAGGTTAGAAATAATTGAAGGGAGTGAGAAAAAGGGAAGAGGAGTGAGAAAAGACGAAACGCGATTAGGGAGAGGGGGGGAAATATCGATACTTTCTGCCTGGTGTTTCGGCTTGAGTTTCCCTGCCTCTTTTAGGTCTAAGCCTCTCTGTTTGCGGCCTAACATCAGACACTTACGTCTTGACCGACTTCTTTTACTCTGGACTACTCCGTACTCCGTATGCAATACTAGAAAGAGTCCAACATTGTACACCTCACATTCAATCCGACAGCCTCCTCACATACTGCGCCAAGGGTGGTCGGGGCGGAATCCCAAGGCCCCAAGAGAATCGTGGGCACACGGAGCCCACACCGTGTAGCGTATGATGGGCCTACGGAGTACGGATGCCCAGTGTTCGTGTCCGAATGGCTGGTCTTGTACTCTTCCCCTTAGGGTTCTGGTCTTGGCAGGTTCCCGCGTGGGGACGGGATGGCCGCGAACGGGATGGCTATCTACTCCTTTTTGTATATTGAATCCTTTGAGTGTTGGGAGATATGGATCAGCTTGGACACAGGGGGGGAATGTAGTATCAAGTCGTGTTATCTAGTCACATTCTTCTATGACGTGAAAGGGTCTGGCCCCTCATCGCATACTTGGGGGGACAGAGGCAAGACCTTGGCCCCTGTTGTAAATCCGTCTGTGCTCTTCCCCCGCGAGCTCGAGACTGCAAGAATGCCGAGTCCATGGGATCCCAACATGTGAACACCCCAGACGTATCTTCTGAGCATTGCGTCAGAGGAGCAGATCACCGCTCCTAAGGCTGGAGGCTGCAGCCAGAGAAAATACCCAGATCGGACCGACACCCAACAGCGTTATTGCACGTAGGCATAGGGCCAAGGACCAATCCCCCACCTGGTCAGGCCGAGAACCACGTCGAACTCCAGAATACATCGTGCCGCTGGATCATTATTGCATGCTAATGGTTTCCCGAAACGCCGAAAAAAAAAGTACAACCGTGTAGTGTTTGTTCATGCGTTCTTTGTGTCGCGGATCACTTCACCCTTCACCTTGGTCCAATCAATGTCCCCGTCGATCTTTTCGTCGATTTCACCACAAACCACCACGTTATCGCCACGGATCAGGTACAGTCCATGTTCGATCTCGGAGGAGAGTTCGTCTTCGTCTGGGGAGCGAATGATACGTTCCACGGTGTTGGTTAGGACAAGGTTGGTCATTTGGTCGGTTGAAAGAAGGTCGCCGACAAGCGTGCGGCCGTCAACGGTGAGGATCAGGACCTTTTCTGATTGCGAACACTCATTAGCACGGATGCAATGTGCACAAGGCATGGCTGCATATCGTTGGAAGACTCACTGTTGATGAATACGTGAAGAGACATGGTGGGTGTAAAAGATGTAGTTCGTCGCAATATATTGATATCTCAATCTCGTGGAGGTGATCCAAATAAATGCGCTTTCAGATTGGATCGACTCGTAGATCAAGTCCAGTCGTGTGCGGGTTTTATGGGGGTAAGTCTGCTTTGCGCGGATGAGGGAAAGCCCGTCGACTTTTGACTTCGTAGGTCGGGTTGCGCAAGAATCGTCCGCCGCAGTATGAGGCGAGTAAAGAGATTGCAGCTGGATCAGGCAATGCGTGAAGTCGCGATAGGCTTTCGAGCTCGGTCCTGCGAGTCGCAGGAATCCCGTTGAAGTCCGAGACGATTCAATGTAGAATAATGGCAACGGCGTGGAGCGGGTGTGGGAACGAAATTAAGGGTAAGATTTGCGACAGCCGTTATGGAAGAAGGACAGATGTTGGCGGACTTGTTTGCGGTGGAATCAGATTAGTCTTAGAGGAACTAACGGTGCCTGTAGATGTTTTCCATATCAATTGACATCCTCGATCACGTGTGAAGCTTAGCTTTGGGCGCAATGGCGACCGCCCGCGGGGCGGGCGGTGGTCGGGGCGGTGTACTCAAGCGCTGCATGTACATGGGCATGTTTCGCCCTGAGCTTGCCCTCTAAACTTGCCCTCTCAACTGGCATTGTATGCTACCCTGGAGTACTTGGGACCAAATATTTGTAATGCAGCTTGTTCTACTGGGCATGGGAAGCTTGTACATAGAATGTTGATACAAAATACTCCGTATTCACACGAAAAGCCCGTCCAAGTTTAAGATGATATATGTATAGCAGTTAGCTATGTGTGCACAATCGCCTGCAATATCTCGTACACTCAAATCAACCGCGCAAAGCGCTCAAGTCTAATGGAACACTGCTGCCTCTCCCAGCGCGGTAGCGGCGTTCGCCACCAGTAAATTGACGTGGTTTTGGGAGTAAACCATCACCCTGGAACTTGAATCGAGTATCCTCTATTCGAATTGGGCCATGTGTTGATGGAGTTCGGGAGTTCGGTGCGGGTGAGCCACCGTTGCTGAGTGTGTAGGCACTGGGATCTAGCGCTGCGAAAGGTTCATGAGAAGCAGGCCGAGATGGGAGCTCGCTGGGTGGTGCCACAGGTGGTGAAGTCGGGGGTGGTGGTGGGGGAGCACCGGGGGCAGCTGATGGAGGCGGAGGAGGCGGTGGTGCCGCGGGTGATGAACTGTGCTGTCCCAACGCAGAACGGGCAGCCTGAGCAGCGATTGATGGCGGGGCTCCTGGTGGCGCCGGGGGAGGAGGAGGTGTGGATCGTGAAGGTGCCGGAGGGGGAGGCGGTGCTCGGCTGGAGGGGGCTGCTAATGGAGGTGGCGGGGGACCAGATGGCTTCCTCGAGGCTGGCGGAGGGGGCGCTTTGCCCGGCGCTGGAGGTGGTGGGGGTGCACGTGGAGGAGGTGCATCTGGAGCCTTTGTAGAAACTGTGCTAGAAGGTCTTGAAGCAGGCCTTGGGGGAGGTTTCTTTAGGCTTGCCACCAAAGGGTTGATTGGGGGTGCCGGCGGCGAGTCTGTTGTTGGAGGAGGAGGTGGGGGTCTAGCACCAGGCATTGTGGGAGGTTTGGGTGCCGATGCAGCAGGTGGTCGGCGTGCTTCACCGTCCGACATATATGGCGAGTCTCGACCGGCACCCGTATCAACACCTCCACGACTGCGCAATTTGGGCATACCCCCTGCGAACATGCCTCCCAGCTGAGACGCCATTGATCCGCCCGCATTGTCTGATCCGGAAACACCTTCGCTGTTACTCCTTAATCGATTTGCGGCTGGTCCGGATGGGACAGGTGGCGCAAGCCCGCTTGGAGGCGGCCTGGCACCAGGTACAGGTGGTGCACTTCCAATAGGAGGAGCTGATGATACACCCCCTGATCCCCCCAGAACAGGCGCTGATCGATCATTGGTCACAGCCTTCTTGAGTCTGGTGCCCTTGTGAATATCAGAGAGAAGCGCGCCCTATCCAGAGGTTAGCCGGCGGATTGCTGGTTCAACAAGCTCGCTGAAACAATGCGGCTCGGTAGTACTGATTGTCATGCCTACCCGATCTTTAGCTTGCCCTTTCCCGGGTCTGCTTGGTAAATTTGCTGGAGGGGGCGGCGGGGGAGGACCGCCCAAGCCTCCCGGAGGCGGCGGCGGGGGTGGAGGGGGAGGAGGCATCCTTAGGGAACAGACAATGGAGAATCAGAAATGGTACGGCAATCAACACAGAAATATACAGAAAGACGGTAAAGAGCGTTGGCTAGAGGAACTTGGACGTTGTTAGGCAGAGAAGTAAGAAGACGTCAGGGTGTACGGGGAAGTGGACGGCGCCGGGGCGAAGTCTCCGCCTAGACTCCCTCCCAAAAAATAACAGCCTCACAACGAACACATATCTCCACCGCCATGAAAAGAGCCGCTTTGACCGCCCAGAGGGGCTCCCGACAGGGTCAGGTCTGTCAATTATGCCAATTTTCGACATCGGCATCCAAGCGCGGTCTACCTATCGCGCGTTCACCACTCGTGCAGAGTCGGACCTCGATCTCCACCCTCCGTACACAGCCTTCCAAGAGGATCGATATATTGACATCGCGGTCTGCATTGGCCGGGCGCCAGTTCGCCAGTTCGGCATCCGCACCTGGTCCCGATGCAGCGCTGAAAGATATCGCACGAGATGCGTCCGCCCTGCACGAATCCAATACTGTTGCCTCCAATGAAGTTGTGGTCGACTTGCTACAAAGATGCCAACGGGTCGCAGAGCTCCTAGCCTCGCGTGAAAGAGATCAAACCGAAGAGTCCTCTGGTGATGAGGGCAACGCGATCTCATCCTTGCTCGACTTGGAGGAGAAGCAAAACACCACGAAGAGCACTGGACAACCACAATCCTCACAGAACCCGGATCCTCGATTGGCCGAGGAGGTCTCACAACTTGCAATTGCCATTTTGAAGGATGAGAAGGTCTTCATCTCGCCCGAGGCTCTGGCCGCTTGTACCGAAACCCTGACCCTCTTGCGCCGTGCTGAGCATTTCCCTGAAGTCTTCCACCTCTATGCAAACAAGCCCGTCCCAGAAGAGAACAGCTCCCCGGTGAAGTTGCTCAAGCCTAACCCCAAGAGCGTCAACAGTGCTGTTCCAGCCGAGCTGGCAAATAAGGCTTTAGGTATTGCAATTGAGCAAAAGAACCTACCGCTTGTGCTGGCCATCATTGACAACACCTTCTGCGCGCCTGCCTTCCACCGGGCGAAGATCTTCAAGAAGGCCGGTGTTCCCTTAGTCGGTCTTGCCGCTGCTCCGGCTGCCTGCTATGCTGTCGCATCGTGGGCCGCCACTTTCCAGAACACGATGGATCCAAACGTAGCAACCGGAATCGCGTTCGCTGCCACACTGGCTTACGTCGGTGGCACATCATCAATGGGTATATTGGCCATCACGACAGCTAATGATCAGATGGAGCGCGTAGTATGGATCCCTGGAATCCCGCTCCGTCAACGCTGGCTGCGCGAGGAAGAGCGCGCCGCGATGGACAGAGTCGCATGTGCTTGGGGCTTCAAGGATCCCTACATGAGAGGCGAGGAGGTTGGAGAGGAATGGGCGAGTCTTCGGGAGTTCATTGGCATGCGAGGCATGATCCTGGACAAAACGGAACTCATGGCTGGTATGGAGTGAAACTAGTGTGTACGATAGTGACTGTTCACATAACAAGCAATACATAATGTACAACATTTTGAGTTACGAGCCACCCCTGCAGCTTTAGCCCTACACTATGTGGGATAAATTACGATAAATTCAGATAAAAAAAAGGTTGAGACCGATCATGAGCTTCATTTTTTATTCAGTCGTGAGACTATGACATAAACCCAGTTCTCAGACCCAAACTAGAAAACCCGGCGCAGCAAAGCGACAGATAATCTAGTAGACACGGTGGGGAGGAGACATGGAAGCCTTGATGACAAGGCTGCCAACGTTCTGCCAGCCCTTCTTGAGGAGGGAGACGAGGTAGTTGATGGCGAGCATCAGGTTGGCAACGATGGCCTCCTTCTCCATGGAGACGTGGCCGACGGCAACACCGAGACACAGGACCTTCTTAAGCTGGAACTTAATGGTGGACTTGACGTCGGTGACCTTGGCGGCCATATCCTCAGCGTGGGAGATGGGGGTGGGGAACTTTCCGGCCTTGGAAAGACCGGGACCGAGCAGACGGGGAATCTGCTTGATCAGAGCCTCGGAAGCAAGGAAGGCATCGTACTTGCGAGCAAGCTTCTTGATGAGCTTCTTGTTCTTGTTGAGCTTCTTAAGATCCTCAACGGACATGGCATCGATACCGTGGTGCTTAGCACGGTCGAGATCGTGCTGGTCACCAAGAACACTGTGGGCAGTCTGTTAGTATATGTATTCACTTGTACCGCGATTATTCGCTCGCGAGCACATGGGGCAAATGCATAGCATTTGCGGCGGGAAAAACGTACCAGATACCCATGTTGGGGCGGGGGACGGTGGGCAGCTTGATGGTACCGGAGAAACGCTTGTCACGCTGGGGGTCGTAGTTCTTCAGACCGATCTGGAGCTCGATGGTCTCGTTGAAGTTACGCTTCTTCTCATTGAGAGAGTAGTTGAGGAGGTTCTCAACATTCTGGCGCACTCCGGCTGTAATGAGACAAAGGAATTAGTGACAAGGTCATCGAGGTGAGAGTAAGACGAGAAACGTACCGACTGTGATCTTGGACATGATTGCTACAGTCTTCCTAAAGAAGTTGGAATTCTTAAGGTATGGCTCTGCGCTGAATGCTGGAAGAAAAGAAATTGTCGAGGGCCGTGTATTTCTCCGCTTGTGGGTATGATGACGCTAGGCTGAAATAGGATTAGCGGTGCCCTAAAAATCCTTTTGCTGACTCATCTCTCTTCATCTTGCCTCAGGCAAGAACATTCCCTCATTTGGAAACTACCAACCTTTGGACCCGTGGACCTACCGGTTTTGGCGTCGGGCATTATGAAGAGAACAACATAATCCTCCCGAGGTCTCTTTCTTGATCTAGAAATTATCTTATATATCACATCTGGAAATACTTGGAGAGGTTCCCACTAGCTTCTAATTCATCGGCCAACATTTACGCTCGATAGGTGACCCACGATCTAGATCCACCAGAACCGCTATCCTGTACCCCATATGTACATCAACATAAACAAGCCCAGCTGAGCCAGATGAAGTCATCGCGAGAGCTCGACGCAGCGATTACCGTAGTCATTCATGAACATTTAGATTGATCTTGAAGATCTTTCGTCATGGACACCATCTGACACAAAGCCCGGTTATGTATGAGTCTCCGGTGACCGAGCAACACAAGCTTCGGTGCATAAGACGGGTAAACGCAAGAAAATCCATGCAATAAAACCAAGCCAGGCTATTTCAGGATGCATCTCGACAGGCGAAACACGACAAACCGAGCCTGCGGGGACTGCAGATGATCGCAGCGCTTAAACGTGACCGGCGGCAGTGTCAGCCTCAGATGACTGGTCACCCCTTTTGGCGTTGACGAAGCCCATCGTATTTAATGATCCGAGGTCCCTCGTCTTCAGCTCTGGTACTCAAATTAACCTACTTATTATTTTTCTTGTATAGCCCGGGTTGCATTCCCTGAGATCCAGGGTTGTATGTGTATGACTCTTAACGCCTAACACCTGACTTGAAGCATCAGCTGCCTAGGCTGCCTGGACGATCTACCATTTCCATTTAATAAAGATTCCCAGGTTTGAAGATTCGCAACCCTGGAACGCGCCAATATGTCCGAAACGGTATATTCCCGCGATCCTACGACGCCTCGAGACTACTACTCGGGGCTAGATAATGACGGCTCTTTGATCGAGAAATTTAAAGATATCGACGATAAGACACAGTTTTATGGAGCTATGCGCCGTCTCGAAGATCCCCTTACGAAGAACTTTGTGTTGGATTTTGGGAATGATGATGCGTGGTGTGCCTCCGATTTGGATACGGATGAGCTGCAAAAATTGCTCAGCAAGCCGGTAAGATTATTTGAGACCAGCGAGGAACAGCCAAAGAGAGTGGAATTTCTAACTCCGTCCAGAAGCCCAGGTGTTTCGGCACACGTTGGATGTAAGCTGGGGGAATTGCAGCTGCGGTCTTATACTTACATCTCATAGCAACATCTGGGCGCCCGAGGAGCAGAAAGACAGCATTAAAGTAAGAAATTCCATTTACGAAAATGATATTGGAGACTAATGACATGAAGGCAATAACTACACATTACGGCGTGTCTGAACGATTACAAGGTATGATGTGCACAGAACCGGTACAGTCGGGGCCCCAAACATCACCTGTCCCCGACAAAAGATCCTCGACACCGGATGTTGAGAGATCCTTCCACCATGATGTGGACGACACGGAGAATGCAAAATATCTCGCCGACCCAGAAAGAGCCCGCGAATCAGCTTCATTCAAAAACTTGACGTTTGCCCAGGTCACCGACCAGATCTGGCACTTTTCCTCGGTAGACCATGGTCCTCGATGTGAGTATTGCCCAACCCGACGGAGCTGGAAGCTGACTGGCCAGATACTTGTATCGGCTATAATACGTTATTTGTGATCCCGACACTGTCAATGCCCAATGGCAAAGATCTCCCGGATGGAAAGCGACTCTGGACATGGCTGATACAGTGCGATGACGGTAGGGAAAGCCCATCAAAGCCTGATCCCAGGACTGATGTAGGACAGGAACTATCATTTCGATCCAAGAGAATCCATTCCCCAGACGCAACGACGTCCCAATCGACGAAGCCAAGCCGGTCCTTGACATCGTGCGCCGAAACATCCGCTTCATCTTCGCAGGAGTATCACGATTGCACTATGCCATGTCGGAGAGCGAATCACTCATTACGATCCGGGTCCGACATTTCAGCGACTTCGGGCCCGACCAGGCGAGCATCAAACAGGAGGACGGACCGAGTCTGCTGTTCTATTATATCTTCGACGACTGGGTATCGAGCTATGGTCTGATCGCCAAGCGCGAACATAAATATGGTGTTTTGCTTGAGGAACTGGTTAGTCATGTGGACCTGCTGTCACCCATGCACGCTAACCCAGACAGAGAGGAAATATGCTTGATCGACCGGTGGTGGATCTGATCAATGAGCTCCACTGGCTGGGGCGGCGACTGGCGGTCCTCAAGCGACTGTATCAGAGCTACGAGCTGATCATGCGACGACTCTTGCAGCGACAGCGCATGCTCCGCGATGAGGCCCGTTCATTACACCCCGCAGTCCCGTATGGAGCCACCTTTGGCGACATGGAGTATGTGGATATGCGACAAGCCAGTCTCGTGAGCCATTCCAGTAGTCCCAGTACGGCCGAAAAGTCCGTGGGGGTGCAGTTGAGCTCGACGGCGGTGGCGCGATTCGAACGATTGGTGGATCGGATCAATTTGTATTGTCTGAGTGAGATTGAGAATTGCCTCAATGAGAAGGAATCCTTGACATTCTTGGTAGGTGGGGAGATGCGGCGGTTCGTTGTTGTCCGCTGACATGACGGCAGAACTTCAATCTGATTGCGCTCAAAGATTCGCAAGCGGTGGAGAAACTGACGCGCATAACGATTCTGCTGGCCAAAGCCACCATCCTGTTCCTGCCGGTCAGTCTGATGAGTGCATATTTCTCGACGGAGCTCATTGGCGTGAAGAACGGATACACCAAGACGGACTACTGGGTCAGCTTTGCGGTGATCTTCGTGTTGTCGGTGCTATTGTTGACGGTGTTTGGCTATGCCAGTGACACGGTCGAGGGGAAGACGATCTATCGGTCCATGGTAGGGACATTCTTCCGCAAGTCTCGCCAAAGAATGTCACGAGAAAGTCGATCCTAAAGAGTGATAACCTATCACAACAAGGTGGATGGGTCTTGGGCCGAGAATCGTATGTAAATTACGGGGTCAACACCGTGTCCTCTTGTCCTTATAGATAGGCAGAACCATTTGCTCCATGGATATACAGTGCCCAGGTGGTTATACAGTAGTCATTATACAGTACAGTATAGTAGTCATATGATAGAGTATCTGCCTAGATATCGTCCTAGTCTTTGTCCACTCTACAGTATCCTACTAATAGTCCGTACCACAGCCTCGTCATATCATGAGAAACGGGTATTTCGACGTATTCAAAAACCAGCCAATTTCCTGTCTCCTTTCCTCGTAATCCCCTTCTCTTTCATCACTTTATATAACGGAATACATTTTCTGCCGGTAAGTGGTAGTGTCTGACTGGCTCGTGCCCGCCCCTGATCTCTGACCGACAAGTCCACAACACGTTTTCCAACCCCTCCGCTTTCTCCCTTTCCACCCTATCTCCCCGATCTGCCTCTGACATCGCACCAGGACGAGGTTCTAATTCGACAAAATGGGTATCACTTTCTCACGGCTGTTCGACCGCCTATGGGGGCGCAAGGAGATGCGCATCCTGATGGTTGGTCTTGACGCCGCTGGTAAAACCACCATCCTCTACAAGCTGAAGCTCGGTGAAATCGTCACCACCATCCCCACCATCGGTCAGTCCCTGTGCGCGACCCGCTCCCACCCAATCTGACCCAGATAGGTTTCAACGTCGAGACCGTCGAATACAAGAACATTCAGTTCACCGTGTGGGATGTCGGTGGTCAGGACAAGATCCGTCCTCTGTGGCGCCACTACTTCCAGAACACCCAGGGTATCATCTTCGTCGTCGACAGCAACGATCGCGATCGTATCGTTGAGGCCCGCGAGGAGTTGCAGCGCATGTTGAACGAGGACGAGCTCCGCGACGCTCTCCTCCTGGTCTTCGCCAACAAGCAGGATCTGCCCGTATGTCTTCCCCCCCTGGGACGACGCAACCCTTTCCGCCCCCTTTTTCTTAACTGATCCGCTTTTGTCTAGAACGCCATGAGCCCCGCCGAGATTACCCAGCAACTGGGTCTCCAGAGTCTGACCCGCCGTGCCTGGGTGAGTGGAAACCCCGATCGGGATTGTCGAGACCCTGCTAACCGTTCCCTTCCAGTTCATCCAATCGACCTGCGCCACCACCGGAGACGGTCTGTACGAGGGTCTGGAGTGGCTCGCCGATGCGCTCCGCAAAGCCAACCGCGAGTAAGGGTCTATAATGTGAAGTCGAACGAGGAGAATACCGAACTCAAATGATGACGACCATGTTTCTTTCTCCGGGTTAAACCTTTGGCTTTCTACGCTATGTTACCAGCCTTTGTCTATTTTCCTTTGCTCTCCAAAATTGCGTCTCTGTTTGCCTTTTTGGAAAAAGAAAGAGATCTGTATAAGTACACATCCATTGTAAACTGAAGATCCCAAGGCAAGGAGAGAGAGAGAACCAAACAAAGAGAAATTTCGAGCCTCTTAGTGCAATGGCACGAACACGAATATACAGATCAATCTGATCCGGAGTTGTATGGGGACGCATAAACGTTAGCCCTGGCCCCTTCTACCTGCGTAATCTCTCAATTTCTTGGAAGCGCCGGTAGTCTTGGCAGTTTGGGCCATAACTACCCTCTGCTCGATCTCTATCTCTATTTTAATTTTGCTGTAACCGAAGATCCTCAGAATCGGGTTGGAATTGAATTCGAAACCGGGCTGAGCATTGCCTGGCCGACGATCATAACACACTCGCGTGCCTCGCTTCTCCTTCTAGCTTCTCCCCCTCCTCCTCCCCCTGATTCAGCTTGATTAAATCTGCTCGATCTGAATGGAGTGAAGTGTCTTTGAATATAGTTGACCCCACTTCGATGTTGAGATCTGGTTCGACATCATGACCGTTCAGGCGAGGCGCCATTCCGCTGCATACAAGGCCCCATCGCCCTATAATACTCGCGATGCGGACATCGAAAAACAACCCAGTGCAGGCCGTCACACCTACCGCCACCACCCTAGCGATGATTCCGACGACGATTCGCTGGACGAACCCAACGTCGCGGCCTCATACCCCCCACCTGTCGTAGCAGGTGGTAGTCTTCGTCGCCCCGGAGGTGTCGTGGGCTTCCGCGTCCCTCAGCGGATTATGCGATGGCTCTGTTTCGCGCTCTTCGCCGCCCTGGTCGTGTTCATCCTGACCCTCTTCCGATTCACCCTCTCCGCCTCGGTTTCGCAAGTCACCGTCGAGTTGCCCAAAGTCGTCGCCGCCAAACCACCACAATGGGAGAGCTTTCCGTTCCTCAGTCGCTACGAGGGCGGTATCTCCGCCCTGGTCGCGCGGTCGAGCAATGTCCCTGAATATCCCGGTGATGGTTCCGAGGAATTCACTGTGCGGCCAGAAACCGATGAGGAAAAGCAGGAGGCCCAGAAGCAGGAACCCAAGGCCAAGAGGGACAAGGACCTGCACCCGAACATGGCTAGTAGTGTCTTCAACCCTTATCCCGACTACAAGTCGCCGGATTATATCAAGAAATACGGCGAAAAGCGCGAATGCTTCCTCAACCCGGAGAACACCCTGCGCGTCCCGTCTGTGCAAAGCTACCCAGGTGTTCCTAATGGCTTCCCGGAGCCGGCATTGGGCTCGAACACGATCTTGGGCATTCGAGACGATATGTGTTTCGACCGATTCGGTCGATTGGGCCCCTATGGTTTCGGCTACGGGGCAAAGAAAGGTGGCTCTGGCGCCGGACTGGATGGCCATCGCGACGGCGCTGATAGCGTTTGGGAGGATGTGCCACCAGTGGATTTCCGGACGGTGGATTGGGCTGGCGCACAGAACCGCTGCCACGCTGCTAATCGCCACCGTTTCAATGAGTTGCCTGAGCCTCGTCTCAACAACTTCGTTTCCATGCCTATGGGAATTCCCAAGGTGAACATTCCGCCGCCGGCGGAGGATTCTCGTCAGGAGCCACCTCAAATTGGCTCCGAGCGCGTGTCCCGTACTGCTGTGGTCATTCGCACCTGGCATGACTTCAACTACACCCCAGAGGACATCATGTATATGCGCTCTGTCATCTCTGAGCTCTCATTGATGTCTGGTGGAGAGTACACTATTCACTTCCTGGTCCACGTAAAGGACACCAATTTGCAGATCTGGTCCGATGATGAGACCTACCAGCGGGTCCTCCGGGATTCTCTCCCCGAGGAATTCCGTGGAATGGGAACCCTGTGGTCAGAGCCCCAGATGGCTCTCATGTACCCCGGACTGGAGGAGACATGGATGCGCGATCTGCCGATTCATGGCGTTTACCGCAGCACATACATGCCCATGCAGTACTTTGCATTCCAACACCCTGAGTACGACTACTTCTGGAACTGGGAAATGGACGCCCGTTACACAGGCCACTGGTACCACCTCTTCGACAAGGTCGGCGAGTGGGCCAAGAAGCAGCCACGAAAGGGTCTCTGGGAGCGTAATGCTCGTTTCTACGTCCCCTCCGTGCACGGGTCATGGGAAGACTTCCGACAGATGGTCCGCGTGCAGACGGAGAGCGGCACCAACTCCGCCAACAACATGTGGAGCGCTGTTAAGGGTGGAGACCCTAATGTGCGGGGCTCAATGCACCAACAAGGCGACAGATCCATCTGGGGCCCTGAACGCCCTGACGAACGAGACATCTTCGAAGTCGAGGGCGAGGGAATCCCACCCACTAGCATGGACAAGGACCAGTACCAATGGGGTGTTGGTGAAGAAGCGGACTTGGTTGTTTTCAACCCGCTCTACGACCCGGAGGGCACCACCTGGCTTCTCCGTGACGATGTCACGGGCTATAACAGGGAGAAGGGCATGCCCCCTCGCCGCACGGCCATCATTACCGCATCCCGTATCTCCAAGAAGCTGCTCACGACCATGCACCGTGAGTGCGCGCTCAAGCGTCACAGCATGTTCTCGGAGATGTGGCCCGCCACCACGGCGCTGCACCACGGGTTCAAGGCCGTCTTTGTTCCACACGCAGTATATGTCGACCGCCGCTGGCCCAGCCGATACCTGGAATCAGTCTTCAATGCCGGCCGCAATGGTGCCTCCGGTGGTGCACGCACCTCCATCTTCGGTGACCGCGAACATAACTTCCGCGGCACCACCTGGTTCTACTCTGCCGGCTTCTCGCCCAACCTCTGGCGTCGCTGGCTTGGACTTCGCGTCGACAATGACGGAGGCGAGCAGCGCGAGCTTGCCGGCGAGGGTCGCATGTGTCTTCCTCCTATGCTTCTTCATCCAGTCAAAGAAGTCAACATGATCATCGACGACGGAGAGCACGCGGAAGACCGCTGATCTCTCGAACTGCCTTTTACGTTCCTGGGCCACCGCCCACACTACTGTATAATGACCTCCACATACACGTTTGATTTCTGTTGGTAAAAGGCGTTCCCATGTGGTATGGCCAGGATGGCTCATGTCTCATGCATTTTCGGGGCTTCCTGTTTTTGGTGTTCATTCAGGGTCTAGCTGATGGTTCTAGATTTTGATATCCATTGGGAAAAGAACCTGGGTCATGTCCTAGATCTCCCTCGTTTATAGACTGCACATAATTCATTCAATTCTGAGTATTCAAAACTGTTCAGGGATATAAAGTAAAAACGAAATGCCGCCAGTAGCTTCCAATGCAAACGTCAAATGCAATATGCAATATGCAATATTAATGTAATAACTTCCAAGGTTCAAATAGAACCAACCTCAAAGAATCGGCGAACAGAACCTCACCCCCCTCGAAGCAGGCTTCCTTTCTCTCCCAAGCATCCGATCTGAACAGTTCCATGTACTCGAGCCAGAACTCCGACTCAACGGACTCCTCGCCACAAAATCAGCTACCCGAAAACAGATACTGCACTCATAAACTCCACCATCGATCCCAAACTCCAAACAAGTCGTACAAACTCTGTGCCCACACTTGGTCAAAAGGACCTCTACCCTCTCCTCATCCTCAACACATGTATGACAGAAATGCGTCGGGTAATGAAGATGCGGCTGGAGCATGCGTCGTTCAATTTCCGATGCAAGCTCCTTTCCCTTTTCGACACGTGCTCGAAGGAGTGATACACCAGTACGCAGTGTGATTATTTCCTCATCCAAATTGACTGGTGGTTTCGTCAGAGTTGGAACAGGTTCAAGGAAAATGACAGGTCGGAAACGTTCGGAGAGAGGTCTGTCTTTCATGGATGTTTGCTCGAGGAGCCAGCGTCGACGAATTTGGCGATTGAGCTGAATGGTGTAGAATATTGAGAGGGTTTGCCAGGCGCGCCATTGGGAGGAAGAATCGATGGGTGTTTGTGATATAGACATTGTTGAATCAATTGGGGTCATGTTTGAAGCCGGGCTGTGGTCCGGGCTTGTATATAGGCAATCTCCAGTGGAGTATCGAATTGGGTGTGGCGAATGGGCGGAGCAGAGGAGATGGAAGATCTGGACCTTGAGGTTGTTCTGGTTTGAAACACAATCGGCGTGAGACCTAAGCTCTTTATACCCAACGCAGAGACCTGAAGTATGAAAATGTGAGTTTCGGCCGAAGAACCTCAACCCTGACCCAAGGTTGGTTATACCCCAGATCACCCGAGGTGAAGAAGAGGTGCATAGTCATTGGCTGGAATGGGCAATTTGCCCCCCAAAATCCTTTTTTTGCCCAGCCCTGAAGGGCTACTGAGCTGCCACTTTCGGACCCAATAACCACGGAATCCTCGTAGACATCGGGATCCCGTCGCCACTTCCTGGCAATGTGAGGATATTGGAATTAAAGGCTTTCTGCATGAGCCACATTATGCACCTAGTTGCCTCGGGCCGTGAGGCTTGATTGCCCCTTGCAGAAAATTCTAACTGCAGCCGATACTCGAATCAATTAGCTGATCATTGAACAGCTTGAGCGGAACTACGGCAAGACCCGTCCAGACAGACCTCGCTTAGATGGTCTCCACAAGGCGACGGTAACATCCGGGCCTAGAAGGCCTAAATCTCTACTTTCCGAGGTTGAGCTGTCAAGCCAAGGCTTAACGGTTTGGAGGGATGGCCTCTTGGACTTGCCGCTTTGGGCGCATCTCATGTTGAGTCTCAGATCTCGGTGTATGGTGTATACTACCTTCGATAGACAGTTCGTGATCTATACGTCGGTCCATCGAGTTCCGAATATTCTTCGGTGGAACCACCCAATTCTACACACTCCCAGGTTGCAATTGAAACACCTCTGAAGTGGAAGGTGTACAAGAGTGTTTCTCCAGAGGGTCCAACACTTCTCGCAGATATCACATACCCAGCATCGGCCCCGCCATCCGACTCTCGACGAAGCGGAGTCAAGGCCCAACGTCCGGATATACAATCCGCTTCAATCTCATCCGCCAAGCTCACAGACCACCACTCAATCGAAGTAGTACGAGAAGGGGTTTCCGCCAAGCGCAGGAGAGAATACTTCTTCCCCCACGACTGTCCAGTCACACACCCCGTTTCAACCACGTACTCCCTGTCATAAGCCGGACTAGTCGGATAGCGAGGACGAAAAATCACCTCGCCAGCCGTTTCATCAATCCCTGAAGCATGCATGGATTTCCACACTCCATGCAAAGCCCGGAAGATCGCCGAAGCCGCGCCCGTCCTAGCTGCAGCTCCATGCAGCGCATCCCCCAACGCAACCAATGTTCTAGTCGCTTCGCTTTCGTTCCCCGTCGATCGTCCCTGACACATTGACGTGTCCCGGTAGCGAGCAGGGATCACAGGCCCAGACTGGTCGCCATCCAGGACGGTGCGACGGATACCCAATTCCTTGGCGAAGGTCTCCATCAAGCCTACATAGTCGCCCATCGGAAATTGGCCTCGTGCTAGGTCTGGGTCTGCGGCCCTGATGAGTCGAAGACTTGCCTTTTGCTCTTCTGTGTAGACTGCTTCGGTCCCGGACCAGAGGTGTCCGAGGAATCGGGCTTGCATTTCCATGATGCCCCAGTATGGGCCTCGGTAGAAGCCGACGAATCCAACGTCTGGAATCTCGAATCGCACGGTGCCGCCCTTGTCGAGAATCAATGGTGAGAAGGGGTCGGTCGAGCAGTATTCCAGTTTCGAAAGTACAGGCTCTGGCAGGACCGAGAGGGCTTTGAATGGTGTGAACCCTGTAGCCATGACGATTGTTCCAACGTCTTCTATCGTCTTGATATCCCCGTTTGGCTCGGCATACTGCACAGAAGCCAGCCTGGTGCCGGGATGTACAGACAAGACCCGACCCATTGACGCCTGGATAGCTCCAGCTCGGACAAACTCGGCGTAATCATTACCGATGGCAACCCACGGGGGCATAATCTTAGTTTGTCCCGTGGCCATATGCGCGATCTTCTCGTAATCATCTCCCAGCAATGATTGGAAATACCCATTCGTCTTGGCTACTTTTTCTTCCGGGATGGGCCCCAACGCGTATTCTACTGGCCCCGGGGGCCGGCGACTCAGGTCATACATGGCCAAGTCCAGGGGTTGAAATGAGGGATTATCTTCAGGCCCATGGGGAAGATAGGTCGGTAGAGCCCAGAAGGGTCTCGAGTGTATGTGATGCACTTTGTTCTGGGCGGTCGGCATCTCTCGCATATGAGCAGACAGGGACGATTGGCCCAGGGCTACAGCAGATGCGGCTTCGACGCCCGACATACTGCCACCAATGACAAGCGTCGTGCCTTGCGTCTCATTATCTCCACGGGCATGAGACGGGCTCTCACGTCGGTGAAGAGTCGAGCTGTGGATGACATGGTCGGAAAATTCCGCCAGCCCCGGTATACTGGGGATGTATTTCTCCGCGAAATAGCCCGATGCGATTACGAGGAAGTCGAAATCCTCCGAACAGAGCTTTTCAGTCGGGGCGCCACTTCAAGAAATTGTCAGTACTGCGTTCTTCAACTTGCAGACAATTTCGAACACACTAGTCTTGAAGCCACTGGACTTTCCATCTCACGCCATTGTCTCTGCGCTCTGTCGCCACGACTTTGCATCCCAGTCTCAAAATGTCCTTTGGGATATATCGCTCCGCATAGCAAGACAGATAGCGAGCCACTTGTCTAGCGCGGGGGAACACAGGAACCTCATCCAGCACCGACTCCCAATCGAGATCCGAGAAAGCTACCGTGAATCGACTGAGATTGGTTGGCATCTGAGGGTCCAGTGTGACCGGCTGATTGTCTGGACAGACATTCCACAGTCCACCGACTTGACGCTGGGTGTCGAATATCACTGGCGAGAAACCGTGGTCCAGCAAGGTTTTGGCCGTGACCAGGCCGGAAGGACCAGCACCTGGATGTGTTAGAAGGGCATGAATGACAGTGGTTGGACGTACCAATGATTGCTACTGACATTGTCAAAGTAGAAAGTTGAGTCGAGTGTCGCTAGACTTACCCCGCCTCGGCTTTCCTTCCACGCCACTCAAGCCGATCTTTCCGGGGAAGTTCGTATTCGAAGGTTTAGTACTTTTGTTCATACATTTAATGTTGGACATAGTATTTCTGTAAGAATCTGGATTTAATCATAGTAATCCGTAAAGAATATTCTGTCTGGGTGCAACCGGCTGTCATGGACTAATAGTACAGGATATCAATAAAACAAAGGTCCCAGACCAAAGCAGAAACAGAGAAGCAGGCTGACAAGGTTGACAAGGTTGACAAGGCTGACCAGGCCAGAGCGGGAGGCTGAAAGCGGAGGGAAAAGCCCAAAGCGCTCTATTGAATGACGTCCACGCCAAGCATAGATGATTGTCCCCACTGAGGGAGACCTGTTAGAGGCCAGTGATTCCAGCGCATTGACTTTGAGTTGAAACATTCCAGAATAACCAATGGGCTCCACTCGAATCGTTCATGTTCAATCGGCTCATCGATCCTCAGGAGACGCGTTGAAGCCACTCGGTGACTTGGATCTCGGGGGAGTGGAGGTTAGGCTTGTAGGCTTCGTTGCATTCTTGTGCGGTGACGAGGTTGTCCACATTGCGTTGTGTCAGAGGGCTTTTGTGTTGGTTCTTTTTGCGCAGGAGCTCTTTCTCTGCGAAGGCCGCGGGCGACAGCTTGTGGAGGGTATCCCGGAGTCGTTGGATGTGAGCGCCCGGAGGCGAACGAGGTACATGAGGGGGACCGAAGGGTTGTTCGGATTTCCAGGGGCCTTCAGAGGTGACTGAATCGACCTTTTTGGGTGAGAGGGTAGACATGGTGTGAGTGTGGTTTGAGAAGGGGAGCAGTGATGGTTAAGTACATACTTCTATCTCCGCGGGACCCGCGGGGGTCGTGCCCTTTGATTGGATTCCCGGTTTCCCTTCCCTTCACTTCGCACAGTGCATTAGTCCCATCCCCCCGGAGATGGGTCATGCTTGGCATCTATATGCGTCAATATGTACGGAGTATGGAGTCTATCTGCGAGATTGCGACATGAAAGCCGATCGAAACATCAGTTCACAAAAAGGCCTACGTCATGGGACAAAGATGCCGATCAACGAAGTCCTTTTAGGGCGATTCCAGAAAAAGAGAAAAGACGGGAGCTACGTGGAACGGGCACAGAATGGCCAACCAGACTCCAACGTGGCAGCCCTTAGAGTCTAATATGTCATATCCACCATCTCAGGTACTGCTTCACTTTGGACTGCTTCGAATATTGCGGTCAACTCTGCCCATTCATGCCAAATACCATGGAGTCTTGGTGTTCTGGCAATATATTTTATCAGGTCGTGTCGTCAGACAGATGGCACATTAGAGCCTATCCAATTTGAAACCTTGAAGGCGTGAGAGACTGAGGGTAAGATGAACCTGGGAAGTTTGAAGACCGAATTAGAAAAGAACAATGAATCAAGGGATCCAATGTTGCCTAGGTGATCTTATAAACAATTTGATAGGAGAAAGCGAAGAGCCATTTATCCATGGATGCTCTCGTAGCTTCCCTTCCATATTTTGCATTGTAGTCCAGATATTTAGGGACTGCTCAGGTGGGCTTTGCCCAGATGCTTATTCAAGGTTATATAATGACCTTTGGGCACTTGAAAACCAATCAAAGATACACCAGACCTCTACTAGGTATGGTGAGGCATTACTTGCGACCTCGGGAGTCATACAGGACTCCCAAGGCAAGACTTCACTTGCATCCCGCGCAGTCGGCGGTTAAAACACCGTGATCCTCGAAGACTACTTTTCTCAAATTTGAGGAGCAGTGGTTGCCCAGGGGCACCACTTTCAAAATACACCAAGAGGCCACTCAAGTGCTGTGGTCTCTCGAATAAGAGATCATCCCCAACTCCGCATTTTATACGGAGGAACCGCGCCATACACGAATTTCAAGGTTCTCCTCGGTCGCGCCACATCACGGGCTGGGCGATCGTTCATCTCACACATCCAAGCAGGGATTATTGTAGAGATCTCTCTGTATCATTAACAGGGTGATTTTTGACCACGCAGCGGCCAACGTCAATTTTCCAATTTGGAAATATATTGGCTACTACCTGGCCAAGTTCATCAGCTTTGCCCAGCGAGCTCGCGGTCAGTCGTCTCCAAGCCCAGCCAGTCTACATACGAACCACGACGAGACGTCGCGGTATGAATCGATGCTATATCCCTATCTGCGATACTAACGGCTTCTGGATGAGCTAGTGTACACGAAGTTTCCAAATTGGAAATTAGAATTACCCCTGGTTATGGAGCTGCATGAAAAAGCGATGCCCAATGATTTCATCGAGCATCTAATATGTGAATCTGAAACTAGGATGATCGTCGCCAAGATTCTCCAATTCCTCCTGAGGGTATTCATACCGATGATCCCTCTTGCCCTGTTCGCGGACTCGATTCTCGCGATGCAAATAAGCAAAGAACACAACACACGCGACTCCACAGATCCACACCATACCAAGACTCACCCCAAACCCAGTGACATATGTCGGGGCCTCGGAATCAAAGAAAACATTGCTGGCAACCAGACCGCCACAGTTGCCAAAGCCGATCTGCATGGCCGATGCAATAGACTGCTTATAGTGCCCGGCCATATTGTTGCTCAGCCACCCCATCAAGATCGGCTGCGTCATGTACCCGCCGCCCGTGATTGCGTAAAGAGCGAAATACCGCGCTCCCACGGGCACTGACTCCTGGCAGAGCAGAAGGATGTATCCGATCGTGGCGATCATGCAGCCCGTTAGGGTGAACGCGAAGCGGTGGCGGAGTCGATCGCTGGCAAATGCTGTCGCTAAAGCAATGACTGTTGCCACGAGGTAGATGGGAATACTCATCACTTGAGCCCGAACGGATGTCCAACCGAGTTGTTTGAGGATGGTTGGGGTGAAAAATGATGTTGCATACCCGGTGTTGACGATGCCAAAGTACATGATCGGACTGACAATAATAGTTAGCGATGCCTGATTCTGAAGCAGAATTTCATGACGTACCCTAGGTATAGTTTGATGTCGGTGAACGTTCGCTTCATCGCTGGCTTGTCAAAGCGGTTCATCTGCGCCTCGCCTCGATCTTCCGAAAGTCTTTGAATCATCATGGTGCGCTCTTGGTCGTTCAAGAACGTAGACTGCTCAGGCCAGTCGACGATCAAAAATTTTGCCGCGATGGCAGACGCAACTGTCGCTAAGCCTTCGATGATGAAGATCCATCGCCAGCCACTGTATCCAGCCACACCGTCCATTTTGGCGATGGCATATGCGAGCAACTAGAACAATGTGTTTAGCGCCAACTCTGACTATCAAATCGGGGTGTACGTACACCACTAACAGCGCCAGCCAGAATGCTTGCGCTGAAGAAAACATTCAGTCGCCATTGCAATTCATGGCGCTTGTAGTACATGGCGATCAAGTAGATGCAACCTTTAAAATCAGCAAAGCTCTTGATTTGCTGGGAATACCAACATACCAGGCATGAATCCAGCCTCAAATAAGCCCAACAAGAATCGACATGCAACTAGACCTCCGAAGCTTTGTGTTACTCCCTGACAAATAGTGACAATTCCTGTAAATGTCAGCATAGTTTGTAGCATGCAGATGGACGAAATACCCCAGAGGAACATTATTCCACTCAGCCACCACGAGGGCGGGACCTTCTTCAAGACTAGATTGCTGGGGACTTCAAACAAGATATATGGGATGAAGAAGATGAAAAGTGCTATATTGTAGTCATGGCCTTCCATACCAAGGTCCTTCTCAAGACCTTGTAGTCGTGCATTGCCGATATTGATTCGGTCAAGGAAAGCAAGAAGAAAAAGAAACATTAGTATGGGCACAACATGGATATCAAGCTTCCACAGCAATCGCTTTTCCGCGGCTCGGTCTATTTCCGGCACTGAAGATGTTGATTTGACATTTTCAACCATCTCATGGCTTGTGTCTTTTTCAGAGTCCATGGTGGCCGTAGTATCAGCGATCGGTTTTAGAAAATACCGCCAGATTGAACCGGGGCGATTTCGATGCGAAAAAGGCCCTTTTAAGTACTTTCCATTGACTGTGAGGAGCTACTCACGGGTATAAGGACTGGGGAAATCCGGGGTACTGCTCCACCCCCGCACTACCGACTTTGATTCCGCTGTCCTCGATCGCTATCAATTCCGCAGTTGGGGAAGCCAAGAAAGGCCAGGCTTGGATCGGTGGGCGAGGGGCAGATTGAGAGCAATGCCGGTCACAAAGGTGCAGGAAAAGGAAGTTCGGAAAGAAGCAACTTCTCGCGCTGACTATCTGGGCGTGCTGTATTTTCACCAGCCTGGCGTGACCAACCTTGGAAAGAGGGTAACCACCTCGGCACCGAGCTAGGTAAAGAAAAATACCAATGGATAGCTTAAAGTATTTGGGTTGAAAAAGTAATCGCAGCGCAGATATATGCAAGTAAACAGAGCTTCTCAAGGTCTCGACAAAGTCGAAAATAGAATTATACTTACAATCCCAAGATGGTGACAGAGCGCATGAAGGAAAAGGCGCCTTGGCTGAAAGTGATGTTCCAGCTACGACATGGAGAACAAAACATTCTGTTCATTTTATCTTAGCGATCTCTCGAGATGCCAGCCAATCTAGGAATGCAGAGCCAAGCCAAGCCGATCTAGGTTTTGATTGCGGAATGGGACCCGGAATGTCATTCCGCGTAGTCTAACGCAGTGGGCACCTGGGCAAGATCTTGGGAAATTAGATGTTTGACCAACCAGAAAGAGACAGAGACGGTTATTCAATTACAATTACACTGCAGATAATAGATCGATCATTTCCTGCGATCCAATACTTGTCCCAATTTTGTATAATGGACTCAAGTGGAGCGGGATGTCTATCTAAAATAGGATCCTTGCACACTCTGTGTAGTACAGAAATAAGATGCAATCGAGCTTGCTGCACTTCTCCAGATCTAGCAAATTTGAGACAACACTTGAATGAATGCCATTTGCAAGGGCTGTGGGGAGTACCTGATTTAACTCGAAATCACTTTACTGTTTTCAATAAGTACATGTAGTGTGCTGGGGTCGATGAGTGCCCATAGCAGATAACTGGGATATGAGGGTGGTATAGAATATCAGGAGCAGTCAAGATCTCGGCATACAGCAGTCCGCAACTCAACTGGGCACCCTGGCAGCAATACAAGTCAGTCATGGATACTATTTTATCACAGCTCGGTCATTTCAAGCTTGCTCTGACTGGCCTCCAACCTTGGAAGGTTCCTCGGCTGAGACATAACAGGCAAACCTGGCTTGTGGCCTCGTCAATACTGTACTCCTTGCTGCGACAGTGCATATGCAAGCTTCCCCACCAGCTCCACAAACCAGCGATTCTATCGACAAAAGCCCACTTATATCGTAAATACTGCGGTTAAAGCTTCAGATCTACGGCGCACAGTAGATCTGTCTGTCACCGCTGATTTGGAAATCTTGGAAGTGAACAAATCTCACGATTGTCGAAGGGCTAGCTGCTCTACCCACTTGGGCTGCAGGAAGCGATCATTCCATAACCTTAAGACAGTAATTTTCCCACAAGATTATTGGCTCGTGCGAGTAGCACCGCCTAGAGTATCATACTGAAAACGCTGTTTTACCGACATTTTAGATATGATCAATGCACTCTCTATTTGACCAACGCATAGAAGACTTGGATTTGATGCGCCAATCACACATGGTCGTGCTAATGTTGTATCTGGGGCACTATTTCGAATCGTTGAAAGTTTGTGATATCATCGGCGTTCTTCGACAGACCGGCCGGCCATTTCGGCAATCTGCTGGACCCCCGCAGACTGTGCACCGTTCGGATCGTAAAACACTGCTAAAGGCTTCTCACCGTGGAAGCCATCACCGATAACCAGGATCCGCACTTTGTAGCATTCAGGCGATCTTCCAGTGCGATAGTTTCCGCTCTTTGCCGCGGGCTTGCGCTCAGCGCTTCTTCTGTGGCCTATGCTGTGGCCCAACATAGATTCCATGGTGAACTCACCCAGTAGAAATAATTGCGATTTCTTTGCTTTAGTATCGTGCAACCACTCCACAGCAATTGAGTCTCTCAACCGCAACCGACTTCAGGTACTCGTAGCGATGGCAAAAGTGGCGCTGTGATTAGTATAGATCACAGCTGGCATATCGTGGGAGCATGACTCTATCATTGGCCGAAATTTGCGCAGTGCTCATACTAAGCATGTTACCTCAAGTTCTGTAGGCCAGTAATTTTGCTTTGGCCCTCCTAGGAGATGGCTCAGGAAACATATCGGCCGTACTGTGGATTGGTTTGGTGGGGTTGACAAATCTCCAAGGTGGCTATCCGAGTGGTATGCGACTGCACCGAACCCTATTGCTTTGGAGGCGCTAATGTCTATGAACAGTTGTCTGGTCCTGTTATATTGGGCTAGCCGCTGCGGCCGACGAAACTCATCTCGTAGAATGTCAAAAGCGCGTAGCTCTGGTGTGGGGTCTGACAAGCGTGTATGCTTTGCGAAGACTTTCCATGCGGGTCCTCCAGCGGACATATTGTTGACTTCCCTCTCAGCAATAGGGGTAGCGCGATCGATTTGGTAAGGGCCAGGTGAGATCTTCTTCTTCGTTGGTAAAATCTCCTGGTCTGTTCACAATAAGATGCCTCAAAATCCCAAAGGTATCTGTTTATAATCACCCTATCATCCACAGATGACTTGTGAAAGATAGATGTGTAGTGGGGTGGCCGGTGAGACTCCTAAGCCATATCAGCTGTAGTGAGATTTGAGCCTTAACTCCTATAGTCTGAATTCTTTGGTAAAGGAGAGAGGAAGAGAGGGAGAGGGAGAGTGGGAGAGAGGGAGAGGGGAAGAGAGGGAGAGAGGAAGAGAGGGAGAGGGGGAGAGATTGGACAGAGCGCAGAGATAGAAGAGAGAGGGAGAGAGAAGAGAGAGAGAAGAGAGAAGAGAGGGAGAAGTGGTAATCTATGGGTATTATGATAGATACCTGTGGACTAAGTTGCTAAATCTTAAGTTCAAGACTTTCCCACATTAGTGTCATAGTTATCTTCCCATTTTCTTATTTCAAAGGCCTCCCCAGATTCGCTCTTAGAGATACCTGGTACCACATCGATCTAATCTGTACAAGCTTTTCATCATCCCTAAGCTTGCAGGACTAAACGAAGAAGAACTGATATACAGAGCACGGGAGGTAGGGCTGTATAAAGATTGCTGGTACCTTCGACGGGCCGTTCCACCAGATCCATATTTTGGGGGCTTAACCGGGAATCTTGGTCTACGATCTCAACTAGCTGTGTATACAGGCTTCAAGTAATGATCCCCTTATTTCTTTTTGCAATAGCTCTACAATATGTCTGGTTAATCTATCTGTGTGATGTTAAAAGTGCTCAATCTCACATGATGGCACTGAATGCCACCTTCCAAGGGTTGAATCGGAAGTTTTGGAAGAAAGAAATACATATGTATCAATTAGCTTAAAACTGAAAGGAAAAGGAAAGACAGTTTTATCATAAAAGCTGTTGTTTCTCTCACTTGCGATCGCGCGATCGCGCATGTTACTAAATCGAAATTCGTTAGCTAGCACGACACCAAGCTCCCAAAGTGCGAAATCGCCAACCAAAATGACTTGATTTACAGTAGTATCGGAGGGTTTTTCTGCTGAGCTTCCTGTAATCCAATCAATTCCGAAAATTGCACCATATATCTGACCACCAGCGCAATAGCCACGGCGGGAATGGCGTTCCGAGTCGATTTCTTATTTAACCTTGACTCCATGCTAAATATCAATGTTAACAATGTCTAAACAACCCGAACCCAGCACAGCAGAGTCAAACTCTATCGATAGCTCAAATGATGATGTCAAAGGGTTTAACGAATCCCATATCTTGCAGGACCGCAAGATTGGAGTTTTCGGAGCCATATCGCTGATTGTGAACAAAATTGTCGGTGCTGGGTGTGTTCATCAAGTACTCAGCTGGCTTCTTTAAGAAGAACTAACAGTAATAGGATTTTTTCAACGCCTGCATCTATATTCAAGTTGAGCGGCAGTCCTGGAATGGCCCTAATCCTTTGGGTCATCGCCGGTGCAATCTCGACATGTGGAGCAATGGTTATGCTCGAATTTGGCACCATCATTCCGAGATCTGGAGGCATGAAGATTTACCTAGAGAGATCTTTCTCTCCCAAGCTATTGATGACATGTGTTTACTTGTTCTACTGCGTCTTCCTTCGTAAGTTGATGGATTGATGGATTATTGAAATCCTAGATTGATTCTGACAAAAGTAGAGGTGTCCGCTAGCAATGCTATTACTTGCGCGTCATATCTTCTTAAAGCTGCTAGTGTCGAATCAACGACATGGAAGTTGAGAGGTTTAGCCATTGCAGCAACTGCTTTCGCTGTGGGTATACATACCTTTGTTCCACGAGTCGGCAGACACTTGCAAGATATGATGAGTGCAGTAAAGCTTTTTATTCTCTTTTTTATTGTCTGCACTGGATTTGCAGCGCTGGGCGGTCATCTCAAAGTACCTCGCACTCACAATTTCGATGTATCGACGTCTTTCCAGGGTACCTCTAACAATGGATACAACATTGGCACGGCTTTGTTAGATGCAATATTCTCATTCCAAGGGTATGACAATCTAAACATGGTAAGCATATCCCTTTAATTTCCTGGTTGAAGTATTGCTCACTAGAACAGGTCCTTTCTGAGGTCAAAAATCCCAAGAAAACACTCAAGATCGCGCTCCCTACCGCTATGGGTAGTATCACAGTGCTTTACGTGCTTGCAAATATCGCATATGTAAGCCATTTATTACCAAAGCCTTTCTCAAAGCCCTGGAGCTAATGAAATTTAGTTTGCCGGTGTGTCCAGAGATGAATTTTTGGAATCAGATCTTACAATTGCTGCATCACTTTTCAACAATGTCTTTGGCGCATCAGCAGCCTCAAAAGCTCTACCAGCCCTGGTCGCCATCTCTGCTATTGGCCATCTTTTGGGTATTGCATTCACAGTCCGTAAGTCTCTATTATAGTATCTTACCCACATGAATGGTTTTAACTTTTCAACAATAGCTCGGGTTATCCAAGAGCTGGCCAAAGATGGAATCATGCCATTCCCAAATATTCTCATGCAGAACCGCCCTTTTAAAACACCTATCTGGGCATTGGCAATTCACCTGGGAGTAACGATTCTCTTCATCTGTGCTCCTCCCGCAGGTGATGCTTTTGATTTCATTATTAGCCTCAGCTCTTACCCAACAGTGCTTCTGCTCACTGGAGTCACTGCGGGGTTGATAAAGCTGCGTCTATCTAAAGATGAGGATTCAAAATCTGCATTCACAGTTCCATGGGCTGTCTTAGGGTTCTACCTTGCAGGGAACATTGTAAGCTATCTGATTCTTCTTGCTATGCAAAGACAAACTAACTCGCGATACCAGTTCCTCCTTATTATGCCATTTGTACCACCGCCCAATGGAAAGGGCAGTACTAGTTTGCCTTATTGGCTCACTCCCGTTGTTGCATTAGCAATTCTCTCCCTGGGTGTCATCTACTACGTTGGGCGATTTGTTCTGCTGCCGTGGATCTTTGGGTATCGACTTGAGCTGCAAGCTGTTGATCTTAGTGATGGATCCCAGGTCTCACGCTACAAAATGATCAGGGACTGATGCTTCCAAAGTACAAGGGAAAGGCCTGGGTTGTTGACTCGAAGCCCGGAAGTTCCAGCATCTGAGAGGTATCAACTACTGGAAAAAAAAGTGCCCAAATTCTCACACTGGGCATGATACGCATTGATAGGTATTAGAGGGTTCTTGCTAGACAAAACAATAAAATCCGTATGACTATCATATTTTCAAAGACACATTGCAGCACTTGACCGGGGTATAATGTGCTATTTCTCCCCAACACGCTCGACAGTGACAGCACCAGGCTTATCATCGGTACCATGGCTCATCCCAATCTCCTTTTGGTGAGCCAGCACCTCCTCTCCTTGGGCGACGTGGTTGGCTCCGCCGAACAGAGTATCGATCTCCTCGAGAGGAACCTGCTTGGTCTCGGGAATCATGAACCAGACGAAGACGGCAAGTAGGAAGTTTATTCCTGCAAACATGTAGAAGGCGTAGAAACCCTCGTTGTCGAGGAAGAGGGGGAAGAATTGTTGGACGATGGCGTTTGCGACGTTCTGAGTCTGCGAGGCCATGCCCACAGCCTGGGCGCGGACGTTCATCGAGAAAATTTCCGATGTCCAGATCCAAACTGTCGCACCCCAGGATGGTTTGTCTGTAAACAAGTTAGAAAGTATTTCCATAGGGTGATTTTGAATGGAGAACTTACAGAAGAAGATGAATAAGAATAACAAGAACACGATCGATATTCCGACAGGCTCTGACTTGGCTCCGCCAGCGAGTACCGGTGTTTCTGTCTCGACAGCTGAGACGATAATCATGCAAAGTCCCATACCGATGCCACCAACGATCAGAAGGAACTTTCGTCCAAAGCGATCGATGATCCAGACTGCATTGAGGGTGAACAGGATACCAAAAGTGGCGTTGAGTGCGTTGATAAGAGCAACTTGACTGTCGCTGGTGAAGACTTTCTTGTAGATCTTAGTCGAGTATGAGTTTAGTGATCCCTGTCCAGTGACTTGTTGACCAGCATTGAGGATCAAGGCCAGGGCCATACGCTTGCGAAGAGACTTGTCCTTCCAGAGAGCAGAATAGTTCCCGGAGATAGCCTCCTTCTCGTATTCGATGGCTTCACGGATCTCGAGGAGCTCTTGCTCAACCTCTTCTTCGGTGTCGCGGACCTTGCGAAGAGCAGCACGGGCATGCTCGATCTTGTTTCCCTTCTTAACATACCTATAATCTATTAGACTTGTTGAGATTGTTGATGTAAATTGAGCACACTTACCAGCGAGGGCTTTCGGGAATAGTAGGCAGGAGAACAAGAATCAAGACTGGCACAAGGAGTTGGAAAATGACGACGAGTTTCCAATCCCACTCGCCTAGATTGGCAACGTGCTTGGTGCAACCAAAGTTGATCCAAAAGCAGATGAAAGACCCGACAGAATAGAACATCTGCCAGAAAGTCATGATCTTACCACGGATCTCAGCGGGTGCGAGTTCACCGATGTAGATCGGGCCGGCAGCTATCATAATTCTGTTTAGTGATTGTACACAGCATCGGGCTCAGAGTTCTTACTCAAAGCAATACCCTGACCAATACCGATTATGCATCGACCTGCGATGAAGCAAGCAAGGTTATGGCGAGGTGAAAATGTTTGCATGAAAGTAGCAACGATGACCAGAGCACAGCCGATTCCCATGCCCATCTTGCGACCAAGGAAATCGGCACAGGGGCCACCAAGGAAGAAACCGCCAAAAATAGCGCCGACCGTGTATGCTGTATTGATTGCACCAATCGTGTTGGCGTTGGGGTCATTCATCCAAGCGACCCAGTTCTTGGAGCCTTGAACGGAGTTGAACACTGATGCATCGTATCCGTAAAGCACCATACACGATGCCGCCACGAGGGAAATATACCTATATGCCGGGGTTAGATTCTGGTAACTGGGGGATGTATATGTACACCGACCAATTGAACGCTCTTTTGGCGCTCATCAAACCCATCTTGAAGGTGGGCCGCAGCCGATCAGATGAAATGAAAATGGGATAAATACACACTCCTCCTCTTTTGTAGGAAGTCAATCCGAGAGAAATTATAGTAGGAGAGCAGTCGAAGAAAGAAAGAGAGAAGTATATGCCCAAGTTCACTTCAGGGAATATTCTGACGGGTGACAATCCAATCTATATGTGAAATGGTAGAGCGTTGTCGGGGGCGAAACGCAAAGCCCAAGCCATGTGAGAGGGAAAACGCCACGGCGCAAATCAGACCATCCCCAGAACAAGCAACCCCGGACACGCTAAGATCATTTGGCATTTTGATAATGCGGAGCTCTGTCTGAGTGGTGGGGTATCGCGGAGGTCGAGAGCACCTTGCACCGACTTAAAGCCTCCAGGGTAAATTCTCATTGGCTTAAAACACCCCAGAATTCAGGAATTGAATCTGGGGTCATGAGGATCTGGGGTTCGAGGATATTTTATTCCGGGGAAATGGAGTAGCAGGTTTCCACGAATCGGCGCATGAGGCGATAGGAGAAAGTTGACTCCACCAATAGGGTAAATAGTCAATGATAAAGCAAAAAGAAGATATTTAAGAAGCAAAAGCGCCTCCAGACAACGAAGAAATAATAACCGAGGTGCCACTGAGCTTGGCCCAGGCTTCCCGGGCTGGGCGAGATAGGGCTGACCTTGGCCCTTTCTAGCATTTGGTCCCAACAGCAAAGGTCGATAGGTCCTGGGATATTTTATTTGTCGTCGAAAATGAATACCTAGGTAGTCATTGCAAGGATGCATTCATATAATATTCTCTCACTCAAATACACTTCTACAGGAACATTGTGTTAGCCAGAAGCATGCCGATCTGTCATTTCTTGTCGAGGGTTCTCGAGGGCAGAACACGCAGGTCTAGCCAAGTATCAACCTCGAAGGGTTCATTTATACGAGCCCATAATACCAGACATGGCTGTAAATTTGTTTGCTATCCAGCTACCTAGTATAATCTATTCTAGCGGTGATTCATACAACCACTTAATGAATCAAGGTTTCATAAGAGATTCTCTAAACAATGCAGAGCTAGAAGTATATATACTTTCTACTAAGTAGATCATTATTGAAGATTCAAACAGGGAATAGGATTACAAAGGACATCTCACAGACATGTACAGGCTAAAGGACGGACCCCTTATATTGGATGTCCTAGACTGCTGTAAAGGATACTAATTTAAGGTGTCATGGTCATGAGAGCTGACTTAGTCGTCCTAAATGTGATCATGTAATACTTGAGACTGAGTAAAGCCAAGTGAACCTCAAGTGAGAGGATGAGATGCGACGAACTGACGACGTTGGGACAGAGGACTTGGGATATAGGCAGTATATGGAGGATTCCTTCTTCAGAAGGAATCCTTCTTTCTTCATGTTTGATTTTCCGTATAAATACACTCTTGTTGATTTGGAAAGTGACTTATGGGGCAGTCCACCATTTTAATCTCATAACTGTAGCGTGATCTACAGATACAGCGGGAAACACAGCAAGAAATGAATCTATCTTTGCTGACCGTCGGCTGGAGGGCCCTATGTAAGGGGACAAAGGACCACATGACAGCGACTGGATACCTACATAGGTAGGTATGATCCCAAACTCCGCCTTTCATACTGACACACATTCTAGGTCACGCACCTGTACCGGGCCGCGAGCCATTCGCTCGGAGAACGACTATGGGCACTAGGGCTACCTACATACCTACGTATCACTAGTAGACCCATAGACGGTCCATCGGGTTACGTACAATAAAGATAATACCCCGGTGCAGAAGTGCCCAGGTGCGTTATCCTCTACAACTGCCCAGATGATATCTGAGCGGCGAGCCGACAGTCCTCCTGGCTTTATCTTGGTGAGCAGCAGAAAGTTCACCGCCGAAGAGGCCCGTGCTCAGAAGCTACCCCTCCGTCAATTTATTCTTAGCTAGGAGAAAAATTCCACCCAAGTTTACGATATTGAAGGCCGTGCGTTTTCACAGTTTTCAGTAGTCGTTTCGTCGTCTACACTGCATTGCCTAAAACAGTGTGTGTTTCCCGATCCGCACAGCTCTGGGTAGGTCTGCGTTGGCCCCCTGCGTTCAGTGAAGGTTCGCTGTGATTTACTGAGCAGTGCTGCGGTGAGCTTTGGTGAGAAGAGAACGAACTCGGCCCTCTCACTTGGTTCTAATCTCACCGCCTACTTAATTAGGATAAATCATTATATAGCTGTATTTTATCAGTATCTCCTTGATCCGATAGATAGTGAACTGACCGCCTTCTAACTTAAACTTGACTACCATTTCACCGCCTACTTAATTAAAATAATTTATTAACCGCCTTTTATTAATATCTTATTTATGTCAGTCCTGAACTGACTGCCTTTTGACTTAAGTTTGACTACCATTTCACCGCCTACTTAATTAAAATAATTCATTAAGCGCCTTTTATTAGTATCTCATTTATGCCAGCAGTGAACTGACCGCCTTCTGACTTAAGCTTGATTACCATTTCACCGCCTACTCAATTAGGATTATCTATAGCAAACGAATATTAAGATCTAGATGTATAAATTAATTTTGGTCACGTGTGAACGTGACCTCGTCGCGATCCACAGAAGACATACCCGTGGACAACTTCAAAGGGCATTGTGTTTGGCACATGGAATCTCAGATTTCATATATGAACTAGCTTACCTTCTCCAGGTCCAGGAAACCAGCCAGCATCTCTGGATCGCTACCCAACATGGCACCTCCCAAGAGCAAGAAAAAGCAGACGCGACTGGCTTTTGCATCGGCAGCCTTGCCTTCACAAGAAGGAGACTCGGAGCAAAATAGCCGCTACTCGACCTTGACATTCAAAAATTCCAAAACTGGGATCATAAGCTCGAAAAAGCCCGTGAGGCCCGCTTCGCAAGATGCGCCACAGAAGAAACAAACAAAATCTTCCCAGACCGCGCAACGTGCTCCCCTCTCCACTCAGCCCAGTATGTCTTGATCTTTGAGACAAACGCAGCTGTTGCGATGATGCGCTAACATGAAAAGGCAACCCCGACCAACCCTCCGATGAATCAACCGCCTCCGCCTCCCGCAAAAGAAAGCAACATGCGCCAGTTGCCAAACCTGAATCGAGGATTACCGAGCCACAAAGTTCTGCCGTCCTGAAGACTACGACAAACCCCCGCTCGAAAAAATCACAGCGGGGGTTGCAGTTCTCGAAGAAAGGCACTGCAGACGCAGATGGCCTCGAGCAGTCTCAGCCCCGCCGGGTGCCCAAGCGGAAGGCAAGGAGCTCACCAACCGACTCAAGCGACTCCGATGACCCCCCGGTACCATGTTCCACCAAGAGACCTAGAACCGCCCAGCGAGGAGGGTCCTCAGGCTCACCTCTAGTGGTGAGCGAGGACGAGGACGAGGACGAGGACGATGACAATGAAGTTGTGGCACCTTCCACCGCGAGAAAGCGCAGAGCAAGATCGGCCATCACTCTCAGTCAAAATGACGATTCCGACGGTCCAGTGGCATCTTCCCCCATGAAGAGGCTTAGACGTGGACATGATACGGAAAACGCCCAGGCTCCGGAAACCCCTCGTCGTGCTTCAAAGCAGGACAAGCTTGATATAGAGGAGGATCTAGAAGATCTTCAGGATTCAGGTGAGAATGAAAAGGTGCTTTTGTGTTAATCGGTTACGCTAATCAACCTTTGAAGTCGTGAAAAAGACTCGCACCCGTGGTCGAAATGTTGAATCCGCACGCGACAAAAGATTAAAGCAACTGGAGGTCCTGCGTCGCAGGCGCGCGGGATTGAAAGAGGAAACCGAGCAGGAAGAATCATCCGGCACAGAGGTGGAAGCGAATGAAAACGCTGGTACTCACCACAGCCCATCTGGTGAGGGTCTTTGGAAGCATCACGACGAGGACAGTGACGTGGAATCGACCATTGACCCCAACGAAGATCTCGATCGATATGAAGACGACTTCGTTACGGAAGATGGAAAAGATGATCTGGGCGTTCCTACCGAGGAAATTCCATTTGAATTCACTCGCCACGCATACAAGCAGCCGAAGGAATACTTCCGAGATGTCATCGGCTGGATGGTTCAGAACAGACTCAATCCCGCGTTCCCTCGTTCCGACGCCATGTACGAGATGGCATTCATGAAGCTCGAGGACGAAGTCAAGGGTCGAGCTGGATCTCAGCTCATTTCATCCGTGTGGACACCGGCTTTCGTCTATGCACTCCAAGCCAGACCACATATCGATGTTTGTGCTTATCCGACGGAGGATAACCATTCCTGTGATGCGTGCAGAAGATCTGGTCACCCTGCTTCTGCTGACATGAAGCTCTACGGAAAAGCATACTCGCTTAAAACTCTTGAGCCCCTAAATGACGATGATGACAGCGACAGTGACAGCAACTGCCAGTCTGCCAAAAGTCAGGATGATGGAATAGACCGTGATCGCAATGGCCATGTTCTTCCCAATGAAACTACTCATTTCTACCTGGGAAAGTGAGTTGTTCCCCCCCCCCCCATCTTTGCCTAGCCTTTTTGATTCATCTAACATTTTCACTCTTCAGGCAATGTAGATTGAGAGCTCAACTAGCTCATACACTTACGCACTGGCGCTATCACCTAAACGAGTGGGTCGTTGACCACCTCGAGCGCATGGGTCTCATGGTGGACGAAGAGGTCATCAGACGCAACAACCTCAGCGTTAAACGAAAGACCCGGAACGCAAATCATGTTCTGGATACGATGGTCACGACTGGCGAAGTCGACAAGCTCTGGCGTGATTTCCATCTTAATCTCAAGTCTGCTCGCGAAAAGGAGGTATGTTCTTCTGTTATCCTATTGTTGAGGCTACTGATACTGATATGGTCTGTTCTCTGATTAGTCTATCTATGGTTAATCCATGACTCTTCGCATTACTCTGCCCCTGCCACACATGCAGCTTCGCAGAGCTTTATTCTCCACTCAAAAGCCTCAACTGACCAGCATGCATGGCTGCGTCACAGCAGAATCCCACCTATTCAGAGGCCTGCTTCTCACCAAAAAGGAGTTCATTTCCCCATTCCCCTAATTTCTTGCACAAATAGTTTTATTATGATACCCCCTTTATTTCCGGTGATGATCACATTTCCCCTCTGGTGTCGCCTGCTCTGGTTAAGCATGGCGAGGATTTACATGGTTGATCGAGAGGTTCTTCCCAAGGCTACATAGGTAAATAGCAACCCCATTCAGTGGAAGTTGTCATGATTACTCCGTATATTCCCTGCGATTTGAGCACCCCGCTCATTTCAACATATGATCTGAGACTTGTTACGCAACGTGTTCAGGTATGAACTCCGGCCTCTGGTCAAACGCATTTGGTATTACATTCCAACCCTGAAGTTGGACTTTAAACTTGAAAAATTGCTTGACTGAGGCCTGAGGAATCTGGGCATGTAAAGCTTACAGTGCAATGGAATAGAAGACGACCAGACCCATCATTTTTCATTACTTAGACAGACATGCACATGAAGAGAGAAGAAAAAGGTGTATAGAGAAACATGAGTAGATGGATGGGGTTGTACAAATACATGCAAAAGCTGCCGGAGCCGAAGTGTCGGGAAAGCATGAGAAACGCGAAAAGATGTCAAGAGATGTGATGATCCACGTGAAGCCGGTAGTCCTGCGTGAAAATCCGACCAAAAGTGGTAGTCGCAGGGTTCGAGCGGTTCCAGGCACCGCGTGCTTCCTCGCTGGAATCAGCGAGCGGTGGGGCACTGGATCGGTGGTCTCTTTTCCAAAATGGTATTAATTTACAGAGTGGGTTGAGCCTGCTTCTCGGACTCGACACCGGGGGTGAGCATCTTTTAGAAGATCAGGTCAGCGATTTGCTCTGTATATTTTGGATGACGTTGAGGGCAGGGCAAGGGCTCGATGGAATTCCGCGGGAATGTTCGTGGCTGAACTAGATACCCGAGGCAATGCACAGGGTGTTATTTCCCAAGGGATGTGCAAGTCCGAAAGAGCGATGGATTGCCTCGGAATTTATGCGGACGGATCGTGATGGATAGAAACAAGATCAGACACGTACCTCGTTAGCTCCCTTAATCATGCCCTGCTCACGCTCCATCTGGATGTACTGCTCCTCCTCAGCGTAAGCGAGCGCGAAAGGCACACCGAGCAGGAAAGCGCTGGTGCTAATAACCCAAAGGGCCTTTCCGCTGAAAGAGAAGGTGGCCTTGGTAAGGTTTGTGACGGAGGTGATGGAGTCGGAGACAGTGCGGCGGGTGGAAGGGGGAACGATATCTTTCAGGGCAGCGATACGTTCGTAGAGAGATTCGCCGTCAATCTCGACATCCTCATCGTCGGAGATCTCGGAGTCTATTCGGATTTGATGTCAGATATGATTACTGGTGGTTTCCGCGGATGTGTTCAATTCTGGGGTTCAGGCGCGTGCTGGGGTTGACGATATGTGGCAAGAAAGCAAAGGCACAATTGGATGCGATGGACCGTATCAAGATAATTCACGAGGGATATGGCAATGACGCGATGCAGGATTCAAGGTGTAGATGTAGCCGATACTAACCAGTGTCAGAGTAGTCGTCCTCATCGTCGGAGACCAGGAGGGCATCGTGCTTGGTGGCGGTGGGCTTCTCGGAGAAGTGCTCGTCTTCGACCTCGGTGAGCTTGACCATTTTGACGGGTGTTGTAAGGGTGATAAGGACGGTATCTAGTTCAAGGTGATGGATGAGTGATGGAAGAACGCTCTACGTTTCGCTCCGACTTTTTTGCCGAAAAGCGGCGAGGGAGCTTGGACCCACCCCCGATGACCGATGTCATTGCGCCAATGGTTGGGCGATGCAAGTGTTTACATTTGACCACAAGCAGGGAGAGGGATTATCAGCACAAGAGTCTGTTGACAAAGAGAGGTGTATTCTACAAGGCCAAATGCTGGTCTATAATTACAGAGTCATCCGATAGATGCGACCATCCACATAACCATTATTTCCGGCGCCCAGCCGGGAGGTGTATGATGTTATTTACCTCCGGCCAAGCTTCCACCGGGCGATGCGTTCCTGGATCTCTTCCCAGGGGAAGGATCGGAGCTTGTAGCCCTCCAATTCGCCCTCCTGCAGGACAACGGTGGGCTGTCCAGTACCCTGGCCCTTGTTGTGAACCTGGCCGCCAAAGACTTGGCGAGCTACACGACGGAGATCCTCCACAGTGAGAGCATCGATTTGCTCACACATTTCCCTCACACTGACCTTGCGGCCATGGACCTGGACCTGGCGACCCAGATCCTCGAGTTCGACCATGCGAGACTCCAGGTTCATCAGCAACGAGGAGCGCAGTTGGTTCTTCGCTCGGTTGACCTCTTGTGCTTGTAGCGCGGAGAAGCCAGTATCCAAAGTGAGAGATTGAAGCTCACGGCACATGACCTCGAGCATCTCTGTTGTCCGGGTTGGGCTGCACGACGCGGTGATTCCGAAGATTCCGCTATCGGTGTAGCTGTGGTTGAAAGCAATGCAGCTCTCCACCCAACCGTGCTGGTTCAGAACGTTGGTGTAAAGACGCGAATACATGCCCTTTCCGGGGCCACCAGCCGAGAATGAACCACCACCACCCAGCAGAGTCTGAAGTGTGGCGAGAGCATAGATATCGGGCGAGGAGATGGGAAGAGCCTCGAATGCAAGGTGGATGTGACTCAGTCGGGGGAGCATCGGGCTCGCTGGTGGGGGGATAGGGGGAAGAGCGATAAATCCACCAGTGTAGTGAGCGGGCTGACGGAGATCCAAAGCAGAGGGCTCAACCAGAGATGGGTGGAGGGGTTCAACTGCGCTCTGCTTGTTGGAGGTCAGGTTCTTAAGGAATGGAAGCTTCGACAAAAGCGAGGATTGTGTGTTTTGTGAAGCCGCCGGGCTGGTGATAGTTGATGATGGTGTGAACGAAGGGACGGTCGGGACTTGGCCTTCGTGGGCAGCCTGCGGTGAATCCGAGAGGGTTGTTTCGATTCCACTGCCCGACAGAACGGGACCCTTGGACTTGCTGTTGTCGCGGGCCTTCATGTCACCGAAGTATTGCTCGGTGAGCTTGACGGCCTCCGCATGAGGTACTCCGGCGAAAGCAACCACCATGCGGTCAGGGTTGAAGAAGACTTCCCGATAGCGTTCTACCACAGCCTTGTTGATTTCACCCAATCGCTCCTCCGGGCACAAAAGGGGGTTTCCAAGGGTGTTGTCGGCATAAGCGGTCATGTGCACCAACTCTGGAAGGATGAGCTCAGGCTTAGCCCAGATTTCGCCGATCTCGTATTCCGCCGTTGCGAGTTGTTGAAGGACTTCCTCGTCGGTGATGAGGGGATCACGAATAGTCTCTGCGAGCAAACCGAGCGTGGTAGGGACTGCTGAATTGAAACTGGCAGACTGGTACATCAATGACTCTCGGGATGAGGCGCACTGAATGTTACCGCCGAGAGATTCGAGAACCTCAAGCATCTGGTCCCCAGAGCGCGCCTTGGTGGACTTGAAGGCAAGACGATCCATGATGTGACTGACACCCCGCAGGCTTGCATCTTCGTAGCGAGATCCGGCATCGACGTATACTCCAACACCAGCGAAGGGACCCGGTAAAGATTCCGTAGCGACACGGACTCCATTGGGAAGTGTGGTAATCTGTTCCAAATCGGCAGGGTCCTAGATAAGGCAGAATACCATATTAGTCTCGAGGAATGCAGGCGACATTAGCAAGATGGTGTTACCTTAGCGGCCTCGTTGGCGGTAGAGAAGCTTCTTGACACAGCGCGAGGAGCTCTAGCCAATGGCTTCGCGGACTCGATGGCCCGCAATGCGGTGCGGCGCATGATAATGATATTTGTGCAGATGCAACAATCTGGCTAGAAAATGCCGAGTGAAGTGAGTAGTTCTGGAGGTGATGTTCGGACTACTCGTCGGCGAAGAATCGTAACTTAGGAAGGAGCCGTGATCCGAAATCGCTTAGCTAATCGGTTGCATGACAACATGGAGTTCACGCCCACGGAGTAGATCTGGACTGAATCTATTTGATGCGAGGAATTATCAGCATTTGTAATATCTGCAATTCCTCTGGTCCTGGCTGGTACTGTTATTCAGCGAGTTCAGGCTCCATGGCTCCAGGACACCACGCTGCTTATCAAGACGGAAGTCTCGACCCGTGGACACCGAAATATGCAATCCCTACTACAAGGTATGTCTAGGGACCTGGCACAGCTGTGGAGTGTCCGTTGAAACATCGTTTACTCGCAAGGCTCATTAAAATATGCCATAAGTGCCTACAGACATTCGGAGGGCTTGATTTGAACTTGGGAAAATGATGTCATTTGAATATTAAATACGTCGTTTCGTAGTTTTTCCACCGGGGCAATTGAACCACATTGAGCTAAGGATGCTCCGAAGCCCATGTACGATACCAATCAAGACAAGAAGCATTTGCAACACTCGCACCAATCTTAATGTTCAGCCCGCACAAGATCTGCTTGACGGCGTTCTCAACCTTCTTGCCGTTCGAAGTCACCGGAATCTCCGGGCACGCGTCAATGACCCCCGGAACATGGCGAGGGCTCAATTCTCTTCGGATAATAGACTGTATGCGTGTGGCGAGATCTGGCGGCATCTTCGACTCGCCAGAAGCAAGACGTACAAACAAGACAACCGTTTCATCGGTGTCAATACCCTCACGTCTTCGACCGATGCAAAGAGAGTCCTCGATCTCACTGGCGAAATGCTTCAGAAGAATATTGTAGATCTCAGAGCTGCCGAATCGGACACCAGAGGGCTTGAGAACGCCGTCGCTGCGACCCAGCATGACCACTCCACCTGTCTTCGGATTTAGGCGCACATAGTCGCCGTGGTGCCAAACGGAGGGGCCGAAAACATCGAAATAGCTCTTTCGGTACTTCTCCAAGCCAATATCACCAGGTGGCCAGAACATGACTGGTTGTGCGGGGAAGGGCGTAACGCAGACGAGGTCACCAGGCTCGCCCGATGCACTGATGTCTTCGCCAGCATAATCGAACACTGAAATGTCCATGCCCAAAGAGCGACATTGAATCTCTCCTTTGTAGACAGGGAGAATGGGACAGCCCGAAGCAAACAGCGAGAGGATATCGGTGCCACCGGTGATGGAGCCGAGCATGATATCGTCGTGGAAAGAGGAATAGATGTATTCAAATGTCGAAGGGGCCAGCGGAGACCCAGTACTAAAGATTGCTCGGAGTGAGCTCAATGACACCGGTCGAGTCGCATGTTTACGTGGGTTCAAAACAGCTTGTTCCAGAAGAGAGAGGTACTTTGCTGATGTACCGAAGTGGGAGATTTGGAGTTCCTCGATCAACCTTGGCATCGCCATCTCTCCTTTCCCACCCTCGGGGTCAAAAGGTCGGAAGGGCGAGCCATCGTAGAGAACGATGGTTGCACCGCTAGCCAATCCGGAAACTAGCCAATGCCACATCATCCAGGTTGTCGTTGTGAAATAGAATAGGCGATCACCCGGTCGAATGTCACAATGCAGTAGATGCTCCTTCTTGTGCTGCAGCAACGTTCCCAATGAACCGTGAACAATTGGCTTTGGTGCTCCTGTTGTTCCAGACGAGTAAAGAATATAGACAGGGTGCTCCGGCTTCAGACTTGCGAACTCCAATGGTGCCAGAGGGTTCTGGACCTCCGACAAAAAGTCGTCATAGATCTTTGCTTTGCCATTGACAGGTGTCAGGTCATCAAGGTTGACCTCCAGCTCGGGGGCAGTCACAAGAAGCACCATCAATTCAAGACCTGGCAACTCTGAAACAATCTCCCAGACCTTGGCGTGTGAGCCATGTACTTTGCCGTTGTAGAGAGACCCGTTGTCCGCAAAAAGCACTTTGGGCTGGATCTGTTTTAGCCGCTCCAGAACTGCATGAACACCTGTATCTGGCGACACACCAGTCCAAAAGGCACCGATGGAGGCTGCTGCCAACATGGCGACAACAGTCGTGACATGATTGCCAACAAACCCAGCGACACGATCGCCGGTGCTGACGCCCGCTTCTTTCAAGGCGTTGGCACACTGCCGGACTCGCTCTCGCAGGTCTTTCCATGAGATGAATTCACGGGCTGCTTCAGTGGCGCCAATGATTGCCACCGAATTCTCGTCTGGCGCAGTTGCAGGATAGAGAAGATTCTCTGCAAAATTCAGCTGGCTTCCCTCAAAGAAGGCAGGTCTAGGAAAGAGCACATCTTTCGATTCAAGCACCTATGAATACAGTGAGCATCAGAAATATTCCAGGCCGTGTAGGGTATTTCTTACCTTTTGGTATGGCTCGTGAGCCTTGATGTGCGTGTAATGCCAAATTTGCTCCCAGAATTGAGCTGGTTCAGATACACTCCATTTCCAAAGGGACTTGTAGTCCTTCAATGACAAACCATACTTTTTATTCACCTTGGTCATAAAGTCGTAGATTTGAGTTGACTCGGGGGAAGAGGGCCGCCAAAGCTCCTTGACCTCCAAGTCAGCCGATTCGGCCTCGTCGATGTGAGGCATGATTGTTTCTCCAATTGATGCAATCTATTTTCGCACAATGAATGGAAGCTTGAGATTGGTGAATGTCAAGAGCGGAAACGTGTCTCGAATATTGCGGGAGTAACAGCTTATGCTGTGTGACCATAAAATTCCGAAACAAAGTGGCGAATAGCCCCAGCAAGATGTGAGTTCAGTAGTTGACCTATGAGGGCTTGACAGGGTTGTCTAACAGGGGTCATCGAAGCTTGACGAGTCAACGGCTGGGATTGCCCCAAGGAGGGAGCGGATGGCGGGGCGGGAGTGGGCGGGTATTGAGTTGCCGACTTCCGCGGGTATGGGGGACACTCAGAACGTTCACATTTTGATCTGTCAAGATGAATGAGTAGGCGTAATGTCGCATCCAGCGATGCTTCGGGAAATAGTTGTTTTCTGCCTGGGGCAGGTTCCTGGTCACTTCCAATATTGGAAGGTTGCAGCTACCTGCATTCTTCATACATGAATGTTACCTCCGGGGAAGCGGGCACGTCATATCCATACCTGACTATATGTGCCGTAAAGGTTCCTGGAGAGTTGACGTGATCTTATTGATGTGTGATTACTGCTTCTTGGCTCGCTGATTTGGATTTGATTCAACCGCAAATACCATGCCCTGAGGCGTGGCTATTACAGCGAGATATCAGGTTCCACAAATAACGAGAAGACTTTTCAGATGATGCAAGCCTAGGAACCGATTCGAATTAGAACCTGCTCATTCAGATTTACAGGAGACATTGAAGGAATACCAGCAAGGCGAAGCGTCACCTCTATGACACCAAGTTATACTAGATTGGTGCGAAAGGGGATTCAAGAACAACCACGTCTCGCCGGGCAGTCGACTTTCAAAGACGACAATGAATCAAACCCTTCTATGCTGAAGGAATTATCAGTAACTCGCCGCTCCGTTTATTGAAACCGTTCGATGACCACGCTTGTGCGCGATGTGGGAGGTATCGAGCAGAAAACTTCAAGCAGTACTATGGAAGTCTTGTGCTCTGCCTTTGCTGTTCGGAAAGCTCGAAATCGGGCAAAGCTCGATCCTGGGCAGGTCAGTAATGCTGACGAGGTCCTTGGGCCGTTTGAAAAAAAAAAAAGGAAAAAAAAGAAAAAAAAGGCCTGCAAAAATCCCTTGTCCTGGTTGAAAGCCATAGCCATCACAATGATGCTATGCCTTCGAGAGGATAAACATAAAAACCCAACCCTTTCTGGGGATCGTGAACTCATCCATGGATAATAGTAGATATAATCATCCGAGCAAACTTTGGAAAGAAAGGCATGGACAGGAACCGATGCAGCGTGCCCATGGATGTATTGCATCCTGGCCAAGCCGGGGCGCGGGTCAGGGCCATGGACGATGCTCAGGTTAATGGGTGCGGCTGGATAAATGGGGCTAGAAATCTTGATTAACTATACCCATTGAACTCCACCCTGGGGTATTCCGTGCGTAGTTCCGAGGGTTGACAAACGGCCTGAATGGAATGTCGACAGTGGTTATGACCTCCTAATGGTGCTTGATAGTCATTACTCTGCCAGCCCGGTGATGACTAGGAGGCTTTGAAGGGTGCTTGCAGGATGAACCTTGCTGATGCTTGCAGTTATTGTTTTTTCGAACGTGTCACGAAGCACAATGAGCATTGACGGAGGACTAAGTAGTGTGGAACTGCAATTAATTTAATTGAAGTCCGAAGCATCCATGGCGTATCGAGTATGAAGAGTAAGAAGTAGAATAGCCCTGGAGGGTCTTGGAAAGTAACCTTGGAAATGATGCCTTAGGCGTAAAGTCTAGACGTTTGCATTTCAGGTACCGTCACTTGTGCCCAGCCCCGTAATAGTGCAACCTAGAGGGTTTCTTTTTTTCTGTACCTGACTAAGTGGATTCTACTACGGATCACACGGAGACTCCGTAAATCGTCCCTTGAGATCTCGATCATTAGCACATACTGTAGATGGCACGATTTGAATCAATATACCTCAGACTCCACACTCCGTACTAATACTCTTGGAAATATGACATTATAACGAAGTGATCCGTGCCAGATCGAATCCTCAGCCAGCTCGTACTCGTAGAGTGTAAGTGGACTCGGGCCCGAAAACTTAGTGGGAAAAAAACCAGTAGTACTGAAATGGTAATATTACCTCCTTGCCAAGCACAGACACCAATCAGGGAGCATTACGGCTGTCCCGCATGGGTTTTTGATTTATTACCAGGAGGTTCAATGATGATTACTCAAGAAACAACCTTGGAAGTCTTATTTACCTTCTCAGACTCTCTCCTTCTTCAACCATACTCGTTGTGATCTTTGGTTGTTTTGGTTCTTCCAGGGAGATCGGTTCCCTCGTCATCTTCACGTAGGGCTCTTTGCCCCTTAGTCGTGTTCCCTCGCCCCCCCAATCCCACGTGCTCCTCCGTTTGGAAGCCCTTTTCGGAGCACCCGGATCACGCTTCCCTCGACTAACCTGCGGTATGTTTCGCTCTATAACACCGGGGATGGGCCTAGCAGCTCTCGCGCCTCGAATCCCGGGGAGTGGGAGCCTGCTAGAAGTTCCACTGGTGCCTGGCCCAGAGCATCCAGAGCCTCGAGCTAATCCCGCTTCCAGACATTTCTCCCGCGGTAGCTAAACTCGAATTCCTCCGGGGAAAAAAGCCATCCGAAAAGCAATCAAAAGCTACATCGGTAGTCCCTGCCTCAATCGTCAACCCGGACGCGCCCATAGCAACGCGCCCCTCGATCCTGACGGTGTGAACGACCCACGCTGAAACTCTCCGTCGCTTCCTCCTGCGATGCCTCGTCGATTTAGCAGCAACTCCTCCAACGACACCTCCACCAACCCGCCGTCCTTTTCACCCTCAGGGAAGGGCGGTATTTCTATCAAGACGCCCACCGTCAAGACCAATCGCCTGTCACAGCTGTTCTCGAGCTCGCCTAAGTCGAAAGAATCTGTACAGTCCAGTGGGAACTCCCAACCTAACGCTTCTTCCCCGCCGATCAGTTCGGCTTCACTGTCCTTACCGACGATATCATTATCAACGGCCACTGCGGATAACCCCAATATGGACGAACTGCCTCAAACTCTCTTCCAGCCTCCCACCCCGGAGGAGGCCCGCCGCTTGGCTAAGCAACATGCGCAGTTCGGCCCAATCGGTCACCCCAGCCATCGCTACTCTAGTCGACACCCTGGCGGTGTCTTCCCGGAACCAGTGATGGACGAGCCGCCGTATTACTACCTGCTCACCACCTACATCAGTTATCTAATTCTAATTGCCTTCGGGCATGTTCGTGATTTCTTCGGCAAACGTTTCCGCGAAGAAAACTACCGCCACCTCAAGCCTCGCCATGGCTATGCGGCTCTCAACAGCGATTTCGACAATTTCTACGTCCGCCGTCTGAAGCTTCGCATCAACGACTGCTTCGAGCGCCCCGTAACTGGTGTTCCCGGCCGCACCATCACCTTGATCGATCGGGCTACAGATGACCACAACCAGCATTTCTACCTGACGGGCACCACCACTGACACCCTCAACCTGAGTTCCTACAACTACCTGGGTTTCGCTCAATCCGAGGGACCCTGTGCGGACCAAGCGGAAGATTCTATCAGGAAATACGGAATCACAGCACCCAGCACCCGTGCCGAGTCAGGTACCCAAGATTTGCACGTTGAGGTTGAGGATCTGGTTGCCAGATTCGTTGGAAAGGAAGCTTCAATGATTTTCTCCATGGGCTTCGGTACCAATGCAACCATTTTCCCCGCTCTTGTCTCGAAGGGATGTCTTTTGATCTCTGACGAGCTGAACCACGCATCAATCCGTTTCGGTGCTCGTCTGTCCGGTGCCTCCATTTCCATGTTCAAGCACAATGACATGGGTGACTTGGAACTGAGACTCCGAGAGGCAATTTCTCAAGGTCAACCCCGCACCCACCGCCCCTGGAAGAAGATCTTGGTCGTGGTGGAGGGTCTGTATTCAATGGAAGGCTCCATGTGCAACCTGCCCGGTCTTGTGCAACTGAAGCGCAGATACAAGTTCAATCTCTTCGTCGACGAGGCTCATTCCGTTGGAGCCATTGGTCCCAAGGGCCGAGGTGTATGTGACTACTTCAGCATCGATACATCCGAGGTTGATGTTTTGATGGGCACCCTTACGAAGTCGTTCGGAGCCAACGGTGGCTACATTGCGGCAGACAAAGTGATGATCGATCAGCTCCGTGCTACCAACCCTGGTGTCTTCTATGGAGAATCTCCCGCGCCCGCCATTCTTGTCCAAATCTCATCCGCTCTGCGCATCATTAGCGGTGAGCTCGTTCCCGGCCAGGGTGAGGAGCGTTTGCAGCGACTCGCTTTCAACTCGCGATACCTGCGCCTGGGCTTGAAGCGTCTGGGCTTCATCGTGTATGGACATGACGATTCACCAATCGTCCCTGTTCTACTCTTCAACCCCGCCAAGATGCCCGCCTTTTCACACGAGATGCTGCGCCGCAAGATTTCTGTCGTTGTCGTTGGTTACCCCGCGACTCCACTGGTCTCATCGCGTGCGCGTTTCTGTGTTTCCGCTGCCCACACCAAAGAGGATCTTGATCGTGTCTTGACTGCTTGTGATGAAATCGGCAACGTTTTGCAGCTCAAGTTCTCCACTGGTATCGCCGGAGGTGCTCTTCCTCCCACCGAGCAGCCCAGTCCTCCCAAAGAGCTGGAGAAGGAACACCAGCACAAGCTCTCAGAGCACATTACCCCTCCCCGTTGGCGCATCGAAGATGTCATCCGACGCGGAGTCCAAGATGTCAAGACTCCCTTGTTCTAAACTTGACTCCTCGCCACTTGTCGGTTGACATGATGCAGTCTTGAGTTTCAACCTACCTTGAGATGAGTCCTCGGCCAGGGTTATTTCACGAGTGTCGGTGCTGGTCATCACGCGTGACCCAATTCCAAGTGCTCCCATTCTTTTTCCGAGTAATGTTTAGCGTTAGGGCTCACAAGCTCTATCGATGCATCAAAGCAGAGCATTCACTTCAAGAACTAGAAACACATGGAACCAACAAAACCCAATTCGGTCACGAGTTATTCAACGAATGAATATGCCCTGTTCCCCATATGACCATTCTTCCACCTTTCTTGCATTACCTTTTTTGTCACTGTTACCCTTTTACCTAAATATTGCCTAATACTGCCTTGCCCAATATCCTAGTCGCATCTAGCCGGCCTGCCAAACTTCACTTGGATGGTTGGGTTCTGCCATGATGTACATTCTGTATCATTTTGCACGGGGCAAAGGCTGGCTCCTTTTGGTTTCTTCGATGTCTTTTTTTTCTTTTCTTGATCAACGTTTTTCCTCTCTCTGACGGGAAACACCCGTTGATTGCTATTCTCTTTCTCGCTGTGGATACAGATTTGAAATGAAATGGGAGCACGGACTGATGGCTTTGATCATCCCGCAATGCCAGATCTGCCTTGATCAACATGAATCTACTGTCTGGTAATCGGGATGGTTTGATGTTGATGCTTGTTCTTTTATGTTTGTTTTATCAAGTGACTACTATGTTTATAATTAGATGAGATGACTGTCAATATTCTTCGATTCATCATGGTTCTGGCATTTCACATTCCTCTGTAGAGAAGCTTTCTCTTGCCAACTCCATTCAAGCGTTCTATTCAGTTCCAAGGTTGGGAGCCCTGGAGGGTGTGAACCTGGCCAGATGGCAGCCAAATACGCAAATACACAGGATGAAGCTAAGAAAACGACCATAATGTACACCATGTGGAGTTGAGTGATTCCTTAAGCATGAACTTTCTAATGTTGGAAGGTGACAGAAGAGCAGATACACAAGACGAGGCAAAAGAAAAGTTCAACGATTCGTTAAGTATAGGCGATCAATACAAGGTTCTCAACACAAGAAAAAGTGTTGTATTAAGTAGATGCAACGACACAATTATCATGATCCAAATCAAAATGGAGATCGAGCATTAAGCTCCAATATCAGTCACTTAAAGAAAGAGTGCCAGGGCAGCGATAGCCCCGAGAGCGGAAACAGCACCAGACACGGTCAGAGGCGAGGCACCGTTGAAGACAGGCGACACACTAGCTGTGGCCTCGGTAGTCTGGGTACCACTGCCAACCGAACCAGCGATGGTAGTCGCACTAGCCTGGCTGTCAGATCCAGATGGGCTGGCCGCGACGGGTGAGACCTTCGCGGTAGAAGAGGCGGCACGAGTGAGGCTTGGGGTTGCGGAGCTGATGCGTGTAATACCTGGGAGGTTGGAGTGGCTTTCGGCGCTGTTGTTGGGTGGGACGGTATCCGAGCCAGGGCTGGTGGAGCCGGAATCGGAGCCAGTCGAGCCAGAGCCAGTCGAGCCAGAGCCAGTCGAGCCAGAGCCAGTCGAGCCAGTGCCCGTCGAGCCAGAGCCGGTGGACTCAGAGCCACTAGAGCCTTCACCTTGTCCCGCCGAAACACTAGACTCATTGTCATCATGGGCAGAACCAATTATTCCACCGACGTGAGAAACGCCAGTCTCAACAGCACCGCCCTCGCTGACAGAGGAACCGGTAACTGTAATCGCAGAGAAGATAGTAGAGGTTCTAGTCTCGGTGCCGACAACGATAGTCGTAGTCTGAACAGGCACGGAAGAGCCATGAGCCGCACCGGCCGCGGTAGTCGTCGCAGGCTTAATGGGGATCGTGGTGGTTCCGGCGACGACAGTCTCAGTGGCGACGTGTGTCGTCTTGTCGCGGGCTGGGCAGTCGGTCACTGTTGCTGGGCACTCGGTCAAGGTAACTGTGCGGGTGGAGTAGATTGTCGAGATTGTGTAGTCTGAGCCAGAGCCATTACCACTGTTGCTACCGTTGCCGTTGGAGTCGGATCCAGAACCATTGCCGTTGCCATTGCCGCTGTCGCCCGAGCCAGATCCAGACCCAGATCCAGAGCCGGATTCAGAGCCACTGCCACTGCCAATTCCTGTGGATCCAGTAGGGTGCGAGCCTTCGGCGGTTATAGTCGCATCAGCAACTGGGCAAATTGTGGTCGAAAGGACGATGGTTTCAGTGGTGGTGTAGGTAGTCTTCTCAGTGGCAGGGCAGTCAGTGACGGTAGAGGGGCAAGCAGTGATTGTTGCAGTGCGAGTTGTGAATACAGTGGAGGTAGTCATTTCCTGTGTAGAAGTTCCCGCAGGGGAAGAGATAGCTGGCGATGATGCAGCAGTTGTCTGGGATCCTGGTGCTTCATGAGTGGTCGTTCCACTTTGGCCCTCAGAGCTGCCTGAATTGCCGGTGGTAGTAGCACCGGAAGATTGAGCATTGCTAGAGGAATGACTATCCCCGTTAGATGTCGGGAGTGTTGATCCAGTGGTTGTGGTAGTAGGTGCGATGGGCTCTGCAGGGCTAGAGGTCGCAGCCGGTGAGATGTGGGTGGAAGAAGCGGACACAGAAGGAAATGTGGACACGGGGCTAGTTTCGATGCCACTAGATGAGCCATGGGAGCTGGGTTGGACGGTAGCGTGGCTCGAGGGAGCAGTGGAGATACCAGAAGATCCATGGGAGCCTGGCTGACCAGAAATAGGAGCAGAGACAGTGGAGGATGCATGGGATCCGGAATCAGTAGAAGGACCAGAGGGAACGACCGAGGCACTGGAAGAAACGTGGGACCCAGGTTGGCTGGGGGAGCCAGAAGGAGTAATCACAGCACTCGAGGAAACAGCAATAGAAGACGAGTGGGAGCCAGACTCATTTGCAGGACTAGAGGGAATAGCAGAAGCACTGGAAGATGCGTGGGATCCGGGCTGGCTGGGAGAACCAGAAGGAGTTACTGCACCACTCGAGGTCACAGCAACAGAAGAGGAGTGGGAGCCGGAATCAATGGGAGCACCAGAGGGGGTAGCAGAGGCGCTGGAAGATGCGTGAGATCCAGGCTGGCTGGGGGAACTAGAAGGGGTAATCACAGCACTCGAGGAAACAGCACCAGAAGACGGCTGAGAGCTGGGTTCAGCCGATGGTGACGCCGAAGCAACCGGTGTGCTAGAGACAGGAGGAATAGATGGGGTTCTAATGGGCACAGAGACACTTGACAATGAAGAAGTGCCACAGCTCTCTACGAGCGAAATTTTGGTCACATCCACAGTCGACCCGACATCGTTCTCGCCGTCGCAACCGATGATGAGTATGAGATCAGAAGATGCACTGGAAGCAGTCCATGGCTTGGAGATGGTGGTCCAAGAATCCCCTGCAGTGTGGCTGCTAGTATCAACGAGGAGGCCGCCGATATGAATCTCCAGAGAACAGGTATCGGCACCTGCGTTTTGGCGGAAATCCATGGAAAAGGTGTAGCTTTTTCCTGCGACGGCGCTGGATCCAGACTGGATCAATAGCGACATCTGATTAACGGCGGTGGCGCTCAGGTGCCTATGCAGATGTGAGTAGAGCTTTTGATGTTTGAGATCAAATACAGACAGGTAGTCGTCGACGACCGTTCCAGGTTCACTACCGATGACCTCCCACACTCCATCGTTGAGATCATCGCCCGAGAAAGACCCTTCTTGGATCAAATTCTCCGAGCTACATGATGCAGTGGGCAAGGGAGCCGGCGTAGGGATTGCAGTTATGGTCAGAGCAACAGCTGGCAGAGCGTGCACAAGCCACAGAAGATGGCTTGGAACCATCATGGTATCGGATTAAACGAATGGACGGGCGATTGGACACCACAGAGCGAACGACAAAAAACGTGGTTTCAAGTGGATAGCCGACATCGCGGGATCGAATCTGGGGCATATATATAGTATTTGTATTGTGTAGTGCGATGGCTGACCCTGGTGTTTTCGCCTTCGCCGGCTTGTGGCGTTGGCGCTCCACTCGGAAAATTAGCTGTCAGGCAATTTGGAGCGAGATTTGACTCGTTCGAAGACGGTAGATTGGTTCCTGCAGGGATTTGGCTGACTCAAATCGTCATTTGGGGCCATTTTGGCACTAAGACGAATGGAGGGGAAATGAAAGGTTCTTGTTCTTCCAATTAGGGCTTGTCGGCTCTAGAAGTGGTGAGAGCCCTGGCGCTTACTGTGGCTTGTCTTGGTGGTTTCTCTGGGCTTGAGACCTCAGGGGAAATAAATCCACTTAGGTCTCTATAATCTTTTCGATGTCAATCTGCATGCAGTCAGTGAACAATTTCAGGCACCAGGTACGCAGCTCAGCCAAACAACATTGGCACCTGGGAAAGTGGGCAGATGGCGATCTACCCGGAGCCGCTCGGCCTGTCTAACCACGTTTTCGATCCGATGCGATGCGAGACATTGTTGTGCTCGGGCTTTGTATGCTCGGAACTACACCCGATTGAGTAAAGGTTGTTCAATAGTGTCTATTTCTGTGCCTGGGTCTGGTGAAAATGCATGGGGGTTAAGCCCAACCTATATATGCGATGAAAAACACCCCGAGATAGACCATGATGCGCTCCAAATGAAAAGAAAAAAGTCATCGTCTCATGTATGTCGTGTCTGTTTCGCTCGAAAACTTAGACCGACAAGTCAAATACCAAAAAAGGAAAAGAAAAGAAAAAAACGCTTATACGCAATCAAACAGCGCCATACCGACCGCGCTCTGCGCCCAGTAATGCCTGACCCTCTTGGACTGAGGGTTGCTCGCGCAGCGGCGAAGAGGATGGAATCCATCCTCGCATCCAGCCATGAACGTGTCTCCAGCGACGGCCACGGCCAGACTTCCGATCATTGCCAGTGCTGGAACTAACAAAACTTTCGTCATCTTCGTTCTGTGGACCGTCGCCGTACATCAGGAACTGGATTCCCATGAAACCATCGAGTCCCAGAACACCAAAAGCACCTAGGAAAAAGGGCGTCGCGCGCCCGATCCATTCCAAGCGATCATTGCCATGACTATCGGACCAGCCGCCGCCCCCGTACGGGGCGAAGTCAGACCATGCGTTGGGGTTTGTGAGAAGTGAGGTGGAATAGAACAAATTTCCACAGAAGGCCGCCATAAAGAGGAGCGGTGAGAGACCCTCCGTGCTCTTGCGCTGGTAGTTCTTGTACAGCTGAGGAGGACGCGAGCCGAGATATAAGATAGTCGACATCCAAGAGAAGACACGACCGATAATCTCCACGATGGCTTCATCGGGGACCTCGGAGATGGGCGGATGAGGCTTCTCGGTTGGAGCGGCATTAGCGAGAACAGCACAGAGCAGTGATGCCATCAACATTGTTCGGGGAATTGCGAAGGGTGGGCTGTTGGCGCTCCCGGCGACCCGGGTAGATCGACGCGAGGAACTCATTTTCTCATTCGAGTATGAGGGTGTTCCGCCGGCGGAGTTGCGGACCGACCCTGCCTGAACACCCATATCCTTGGCTTCCGATTGCTTGATGTTCATGACGGGCGCAGGGGTTTGGCCTTGTTCGGGAACAGGAACCCCCTGGATGATGTGGTCTGGGTCGCGCATGTGTGACATATTGTCATACCCTCCACTTATACGGGCTTTATAGTGGGTGTACCAGAAGAACTGGAACACCAGAGCGATATCCACGCAAACATAATAACTGGCAATGATCACCTGCCATCCCGCCTGTCGAGTATATATGGCTCCCACGAGATTGCTCGCGTCACCTAAACACCAAATCACCAGGAAGAATATTGACAATCCTGACGTTGATTGGGCTTGGAAGTTCTTGTAGATTTGTGGTAGTTGTGCAAAGAGCCATGAGACAATGCTGAGGGTTCCGAGGACGGAGGAGATCGCCGCTAGTGGTGTGGGGATGCAGATGTGGAGATGCGAGGAGACGGCGGTCAACAAGGGCGATGTCGGTTCACAGTGATCAGGGAGAGTTCCAAGAAGGAAGCTGTGTAATAATGAAGCCATGGTCTATTGTGTAATATGTGCGGTATCACTCTTGGACGATGTTTACCGCAGAGTCGTGCGCCTGTGTGGCCGAAGTATGAGCGATGAAGGCAGTGTAAGACGACAGTATAGATGAGGTCGAAGAGAGCAAAGCAAGTAGCCTTGGAAAGCAAGCAAGAGTCAAGTTGATGAGAAGAGCAGACCGAGCAGCTGAAGATAGCCCTGGTCATTCATCAGGCCCCGGGGGTCACGAGAGCTGAATGCTCTTATCGGACCCTCGGGCGGAGCAGATCGGATGAGTCATGAGATAACAGCGTATCAGCGCTTCTCGCGGGGAGTTCACACAATGGTCTCTTTGGACTCTCATTCGAGGATAGGACTACATGACTTGATCTGGAGTGTCATTCGATTTTATCAGACCCACCCCCGCACACCGGGTCAAACCTATCCCAATGCGTCGACCTACGTGCCCTGATGGTGTTTGGTTGGGATATTGACATTCTTGGGCATTGCTGATACCATGATAGGCAGAAGTACGGAGCATGGGACACTAGGTTGGTCCATGTATGGAGTCCGGAGTTCTGGGGGCTCGAACACCCACCTGGGCACCTGGGCAGCAAGGGGCTAGGAAGAGAATGCGTAGAACCCATGCTGTACAACGAGGCTTGGGTAATGGAATGTTCCACGGATGAGAGTACGGAATATAAGGAGGCGGAACAATTTGAAATATTGGAAATAGACTATTGCCGTTGAAAAGTTTCGTGATCATTGTACACATTAACCAATGCAATGGAGAAACATGAGGACCCCCTAAATATAAACCCGAAAAGTACCTAGGTAGGTTTCTAGGTACCTAGGTACAGTTATAGAGTCACGAGATCTATTCCGAGACACCTGGGCATGCACCATATGCTCAACCAACTTATTGCCTAATGCTTTTAACCGCCTTCACAAAAGCTCGGATTTTGTCCAGATCCTGGACTCCGTCAGTCTCAACGCCGGAGCTGACGTCCAGGCCGACAACCTTGTGGCCAGCCTGACCCAACTGCGCCACAGTCTGAACAACGTTGTCGGGGTTGAGACCTCCAGCCAGAATGACACGGAGCCCATCGTCGCTATCAAGGACCTTGCTAACCCCGCTTGCTTCCAAAAGTTCACCAGAGCCTCCAGCGCCGGAATCCAGAAGGGGAAGAGTATGGTAAGCTCTCCGTGAGATGCCGATATCACTAGGAGCAAATTTGCGGATCACAGGAACGGGGATTAGGCTGGCCCACTCCAATGGTTCGGACCCATGTAATTGCACAACATCGAGCCCAAGCTTTTGTTGTTGCGACAGAACATAGTCAAGGGGCTGATTCATAAAGACACCGACGAGCAAGGCGCGCGACGGGTGGCGTAAAATATTAGTGGAGTGGTCAAACCACTCCAGTGGCGTGGAATATGAGGACTCCTGTGATGTGCCGTTCGGGCGAGGGGTCGACTTAACCACATGTGAGATGCGGAGAGCCACATCGTCTGGAACAAGTCGGGATCGACCCTGGACCATTATTATGCCAATTAAATCTGCGCCAGCTTCAATGGCGGTTTGCGCCCCCTCTTCGGTCCGAGTGCCACAAATCTTAACCAGAGGGGAGCTTGATGATGTCTCGGGCTTTTGCTGGGGATTTCCAAGAAGTTCTGCCACGAAGGCAGATGTGTTTGGTGCCCGCATGAGAGCCTCTCCCACGAGGATAGCCTTGACGCCATCCTTCTTATAGTTTTCCACATCCTTGGGCCCTGAGATTCCGCTGAGGGCACACACAATCGTGCTCTCGGGCACTTGGTCCATGAGGCGACTAGTGGTTCCAAGGTCAACCTCAAAGCTCGTCAGGTCCCGGTTGTTGACACCAATAACTTCAGAGCCCAGGTCGACGGCAATCTTCATCTCCTCCGGGGTGTTGACCTCAACCACAGGCTCCATGCCCAAGCTGCGGGAGTACTTGTACAGGCGGGTCAAGAGTTCAACGTCCAACATCTTCACGATCAGCAAAACGGTGTCGGCTCCGGCCAAACGTGCCTCCAGGATCTGGTATTCATCAAAGACAAACTCCTTCCGCAGGACAGCTGGACGATTGGTGAGACCTTCCAGGCTCTGACGAACAGCCCTCAGGTCATCGATTGTGCCCTTGAACCACTCCGGTTCCGTGAGGACAGAGATAACACTAGCACCGGCCTTGGCGTACTCTCGTGCTTGAGCGGGAGCACACACATCCGCTGAAATAATACCCTTGGAGGGCGACGCACGCTTAATCTCAGCCATGAGAGAAAGGGGGTACTTAGACTGTCGGAGGCGCGCGGGCAATGAAACCTGAGGAGGCGCAATGTTCAAGTCATATGCGGCCTGGAGAGCCTCGGGTCGCAGTGCTGGGATCTTCTTCTGTTCAGCAACAGCATTTCTGCGATGAGCGTAGATCTTGTCAAGGATAGAAGGCTTCTTATCAGCCGGCGCGGAGGTGGCGGCGGCAGCGGGTTCACTCTTTTGGTTCCAGGTTCCAGAAGTGAGTTCCAGGAAGTTCCTGAACATCTGGCGTCCGTACTGGGTCAGAATACTTTCAGGGTGGAACTGAACGCCTTCAATTGCAAGCTCTTTGTGTCTCACACCCATAATGACGTTCTTGCCGCTGCCGTCTTCAAGCTCGGCCCAGGAAGTGACCTTCAAGCAGTCAGGAATAGTCGAGTGTGTTCCGGCGAGAGAGTGATAGCGGGTAACTTCAAGGGACGCAGGCAACCCCTGGTAGGCACCCATGGAGTCATGCTTCAACTCTGATGTCTTTCCGTGCAAAATTTCACCAGTCACATCGACCTTGCCACCAAAGGTGGTGATCATACATTGCTGGCCCATGCACACACCAAAGATAGGGATCTTGCCCTTGAAGTATTCAATTGCAGGAATGCTGATTCCTGCATCGGTCTCGGGGTGGCCAGGGCCAGGGCTGATGACCAAGTGGGTGGGCTTCTTGGCTGCCAATTCTTCGACGGTCACTTGGTCATTGCGGTACACAGACACAGTAGCACCCTCGAGGACAAGATATTGGTACACATTCCAGGTAAAGGAATCGTAATTGTCGACCAAGATGACATTGGAGGCGCTAGACAATTTAGCCGCCATGGTGGGATGATTTGGGGAACGGTCGACGAGGCCCGACATGGCAGCGGGATCTCACGGGGAGTCAGAGTAAAGGAAAAGGTATTATCAACAAAAACCCAGGTTCTCAGTCCTGTAGGTGAAATGAAATGAAACCAATTCTTCGGGCGGATGGTGACTCAATAAATATGACAAAGTGAGTTTCTACAGCCCAAGTGGTACAGAGCCTTACCGCCTGGCAGAATGGAGATAGGCACCTGATTGTTGACCCAGTCGCGGTGAATAATATTCTTTTAGAAGCTCCCTCTCAATTTCAAGAGCTCCCAACGCTCGCCGTCCACCCCTCCATTTACGCAATAGCCACCGTATCCGGTGTCGCCTCGTCTTGCTCTTTATTTTGATCCTAGGATGATCTAATTGCCCCCAATGGCTCCCGTCCCGGAGGCTTATTTCCCGTCCCTGGACAAGTGCTTCTCCGGGGATGTCCAGCTCTTGTGAGTACATGTTTGATTGAACTTGCATAAAGCGACGGTATTCTTACACTTTACAGGTCCTGGAAGAGGGCTTTTACCTACACTCTTGATCAGGAGGATCATCCTGACAATGAGGGCAATATCGATGCCTTCCTTACACACCCCGAGAGCGTTCGCATACTTTCCGACAGTTTGAAACCATTCCCTCCTCCCTCCGCGAAATCAAAATCCGAATTTGAGTCGAAAACTGCTGCCATCCACGTCGAGACCAATGGCAAGAACTCCTTTGATCTCAAGGAGCTCAAAGCCGATGCCTTGTGGTTAAGTCAGCAGGCCGGCATTGATGAGATCGCTGCTCTTCGAATCGCTGTATTGGAATGGCAACATCGCCCGGCAACCCGCCTCGCATCAGGCTTCTCTGCCGAGGAAACAACGAGTCTACAGAGCGCGGCTGGGGCCGAGAACTTCCAGGGTTCACTCGCGGGTTCCAGCTTAGCTGGCATTCTGAACCAACCCGCTAGAAGTGGAGTATCTGCGTCCTTTGACAAAGAGGAAAACAGACGACTACGCATTCGTGAGGTGTATCTCTCCGAAGCAAGCCATATTGTGAAGACTTTCCGCAAGCTACTTGCCTTATCCCAGCATGACAGCCCTGAAAACAACTCCGTTTCTTCGACTATTCGGGAACGAAAGATTACCCTGCAGAAGCTCGGATCCACGATTTTCAAGAGCAAGTCTAATGGCGCTGGACTGGATCGATTCCTACAAGACTGCATTGACTCAATACGGAGTCGATTGACATGCTTAGAAGGAAATGGTGGTTGGCTCAGTGCCACCGAAAGCAGTGAGGACTTGGAGAATCTTTGGAGAACAACTCTTGTGGAAGAGATTGTCCATGTGATGCAACTCGTATTCCATCAAATCCAAAGCTCCGAAGAAATTCCGACTTCATTTATGCTGGATTCCTGGCTCGAACTCATGTCCGATTACAGCTTCATGGAAACAATCCAAGTGGTGAGTGACAAGACCCGTCTCTTTTGGTTTGTTTAGATGATGGTAGCTCTAACATTCTATAGCATTGCGAACATCCAACAGAGGTCCTGTTTCCTCTTCAGGCACTCGCATCACTTATCACATTGGCATTTTTGAAGCTCCCACACGTGATCTCCTCAATCAAAGATGGCACGCATCTTAAATCTGCCAACAAGCCCTACTTCCTGTGTAAAGAGAAGATCTCAAAGATTACTGAGGTGTTTACCACCTTAGGAAGTGAGATCACCACCGCAACTCCAGCGGCGTTCTCTTGGGGATTGGTTCTATATACCATGCAACAGCTGGCAGATTCTGCGAGGGACGGGCGAGAAGAGCGACAGAGGATCTCTGCCGAGAGGTCGTTCAACACCAACACTGAAAACACAGACCTTTCTTCTGTATCCGAACAGACAATCTATGAAGAAGTTCTTGATTGTGCTCAAACCCCACAGGATACCGCCGAGAGCGCCATTGTCATTCTTACATCTGAAGCGCTCAAAGAATCGGCTTTCCGCACCGTCTCCATCCTTGCTAGCAAAGCTGGGTCTATGTCAGCAGTCGATGATGCTCTGACGAGTAGGTGGATCCGTTTGTCGCTCCTTGACCTTGTCCGCGTCTCTACGCTATTCTTAGATTACTCTCCCGAGATTCTAGAGGCGGTTCTAAACATTCTGGGCGACAGTGATGACCATTTGTCAAACAATGTCGATTCCTTAGGGCCTGAGACCGACCCCAAATTCTCATTTGCACAGGACCAGGATCTGATGGGCACTATATTCCATGTTGCACGATCTCGTTTCCCCTATGAAACCTCCCCATTCCTTCAACTCTGCCGTGCCCTTATCAGCCAACACTATTTGACTGATGATGGCCTTCCATCTATCATTGAAGAGCTAGAGGACATGCAATCATTCACTCAGGTCGTACCAACCCATTTCCAGGGCTACGACACGATTCGAGAGGATGAGAATGCGGACTATGTGGCCCTGCTGCAACCCCTTCATATGTTCGAGACCTCTTCGCGGCACCGTCTTCCCGAAAACACCGCCAGCAATGCTCTTGTTGTCAGTGGATCCTCTCAAATTCCTCAGCAAACCGTTGGCCAAGTTGTCTCCGAATCAAGACCGGCTGTCATTAAATGGGAGCACCAGTATTCTTGCTTAAGCTTCTTGGGAAGTTGGCTCGAAGAATGGAGCGAAAGCGGAGCGCAGTCTCCCGAATGGACTGAAGACACTGCCACAGACATCATTGCCCTCTTTACGGACTTGATTGCGAACTCGAAGACACGAAGCTCTGAAGAGGCATGTGGCAAACGGATTCTAGAAATGGCAAGTGATGGGTTGTCCAAACAGGGGGACATCATCTCTGTTGTCTTTGACATCTTTGAGCGCAACCTGCAAACTATCGGCACCCGCGGCGACATTGGCAATTCTTTAAATTCGACTATGGAATGCTTGCGATTCATCAAGGCACTCCTCAAAGTACTCCCCAGTCGTGTCTGGCCTTTCCTCGGGCGCAGTAGCTTCATTGGATCCGACGGCAAGGGTGGGGTCATGGCTGCAATCATATCTGCTATCGAGATCCCTGCGGGTCAGTACCCCTTCTTGTTGAGTTGTGTTGAGTTCGTTGATGCTGTCATCGACGATGCGGCATCTCGTGCCGTGCTACGGAGATCTCCTGGCAGTGCAGGCAGCAAGTCGACCATTGCGTCTGATTGGAGCGCTGGAATTCCCTCTCATGTCATGCGGACTATCCTGTTTAACTTCACTCGTACGACGGTGGAAATATTCAACAGCAATGGGAATTGGAGGTTCAACATGCCGGAGCAGCGCTTTAAGATCAACTCGATGCTTGCCAGATCTTTTGAGCGGGTGCTTTATTACGCCTACGGAATCAACGATAGCTCAAAGATTGAGGCGAAAATCACTGGGGTGTTTTCAACATCTGCGGCATACATACTAGAGATGCTTCGCCCTCAGTCAACGGCTGACTTGCCCTTCAACCCAATATTCCGACTTATTGCCGACGGTCTTCAGACACCCTCTACACTCCACCTCCGATACCTCACTCTCGTCGAAGACCAGGTTAAGTCCACATTGCAACTTTGTATTAAACTCATACAAGCGGCTCACCTGGCAGAGCTTCCTGGCTCGCTTTTGGAAGAGCAGTTGTTCAAAGCAAGCCCGGTGCTCGTCAAACTCTACGCATCCCATGATGCATACAGGCTGTCAGTTGTCTCCCTGCTCGAGATCTTGATCTCCAGTGCTGCGTCGAACGCAGATAATGAGCCTCCCTCTCTTGTCGGTCACCTTGGAGCAGAATCGTCCTGTCTCTTCCTTGATGTCCTGTCACAACTTGATAGGCCGTTGTGCGATCAATCTTTAGTTATCGCAGTATGGCAGCTACTATCCACTTTTGTCAGCAAGCGCCAGCAATGGCTTGCCGTGTTCATTCTCACGGGCTCGTCGCCACGTCAAACTCTCAAGAAAGAGTCCGGCGCAAGCGGCCTCAGCATGAGAAGTGTTCCTTTCTTGGAAATGGCGCTTGAGAAGCTTTCCCATATCGATCAAGAACAGCCTCAGGTGGCCTTGGCATTGCTCGAGTTCGTTTCTCGCGCTCAAGAAAACTGGCCATGGGCCACTCCTCATCTCAGCAAGCACCCTCACTTCTTTACCAGCATCATCAATCATGTGTCCAAGTTGAAAATCCCTTCCCTGCCCCTGATGGATCAAATTTACGCTACACGCATTGCTGCGGTTGTCGCAGATTTGTGTGCTGTTTATCTTCACTCTGCAAAGGAAATGGGTGACCGAAGCTTTGTCAAGACTTTAATCCCGCTGGTATCATGGTATTCCAAGGACGCTGTGGAAGTTTCAGCTTACAACTCCTCCTTGCATGCCAACTTGAAGAAGAATTTCGAAAATCGTTATTCAGGATGCAAGATCGTCGACTTCAAGAGAACTCCTCTCGAAACTCGCTCACTTGGACGGCATTATTACTACGATTTGGGCATGGGAGACAAGCTTCTTTCCTACGACTTTGCCTGGGCGGGTGCTAAAAACCGAGGCTTTGCTGAGGAATTCGAGCGTGCTAACATTAATCTGTCTCTTGTCGAGGCTCAAGTTGTAAGTCTTTTCAATTGTCTGTCATTGCCTCATGAACATCACAGCTAATTTTGAACAGGGTCTCTTGAACAGCTGGAAGTTCTTTGCAATTGAACATTGCGCGGACTTCATGCCTGATACCGAAGTTCGAAAGTCTATGGCACTGGTCGCCCAGAGCTGCTTGAAGGCCAACATCAGCAGCGGTCCTCCGGAGGCCATCTTCGAGCGGATCCAACAAGCGCGTATCGATTTCGCCCAGGCGCTCCTCCAACGACTTGTTGAAGTTAATGCTAGAGGTGCCGAAGTTTTCCAGCTGCTCGAAATCACCTGGAAAGCACTGCGCGCTCGCCATATGACTTATGAAGATGCCCTGATCAATGACGACACCGAATACTTCCGCTCCCTCCTGAACGTTCTGTTCCTATCCCTTCAATTCCACATGGACGGTCCTTCCCGAAGCGCCCCCGAAGCCATCAATAAGAGAGCCGAGATTTCATCGGACTTGACTGTCGTCGTGGAAGTCGTCAAGACGATCGTGGCTCAAGGTTTCAAATCCCTCACTACCTATCTGCATGATGAGCCAGATAAGTGCACGCCGAAAGATTTCGCTATTATCATTGCCATCCTACAGACAGCTTTACAGGTGAAAAATGCCGATCGTCTGTTTGAGCATATCGTGTACCACATTGAGGAGAATGAGACCGCTCGCCACGCCACCACACTCTTCTCCTGGGCAGATCAATTAGCTGTGGGCGGCGATCCTGTGTATGCCGAGCTCAGCGTTTCAATTCTTGTCAAGATGTCTAGTCTTCCTTTGCTCGCCGAGCACCTCGCTGTTGAGGCCGTATTGGTGAAGCTATCTACCTGCCGCCTGACCAATATTCTCACGCAACCCAAATCCTTCGGCCCATTCGACCCCGTCCCTCGATTGTACGCCATCTGGACCGGAGGATTCCTTCCTCTGTGCCTCAACATGCTCTACAGTGTCATGCGAGCCGCGCCCGAGGTGGCAGCTTTCATCAACCAATTCGAAAGCCGCCTGATCCGAGCCCAAGAGGCTTTCTCCGGTCATGCGACCGCCGCGCCCTCTGCACCAAATTCCAAATGGATCAGCCTCAGCTTGGTCTCAGAGGCCTACTCGCTGGCTCTGATCACCTTCATTCTTGGCCGCTTCCGTGAAGCCGGTGCCAGTGCTGGTTTTGATGCCAATTCCATTCAGGATATCAAATGGGACAAAGTACAGGTCAAGGAAGACATTGAGGAGCTTCTTCGTCGCCGCCCTGCACTGCGCGCCCGCATTGTTGCGACTAGTGAGAAGGAGGTGGAATGGTCTCGCCAGAAACCACTCAGCTCCACCTCGGGTGCCGAAAACCGATTGGAGGAGAAGGTTGTCCATGAGATGAAGTCGGCAATCGCCTGTCTTGGTGGTGAGGAATCATGATATGCCTATGTAACCCTGTTTCTCTTTATTTTGCGTGCTCTGGGCTGGTTGGGGTGTAGTAGAAACGTTTTATGTATTCTGAAGCTGAAAACATCTTTGTTCCAGATTCTCAGCCCGTGTCTTATGAGAGTAGTTCCTGACTTGTCACCGAATTAGGCGAACAACTCACCATGCATAAATTTATTTGAAATTCCCCTTCTTTAAGTATGAGCGCCGAGGCTAGCAAAGCCTTGCGAGGCTCGCGACCTCGGGTCCCCCGCATCAGCATACCCGAGCGGGGATGGGATCGGCGAGTTATGCACTACATCATTGGTATATGAATTGGGATGTCCGACTTGCAGGTTTCTGCAATTCTTTCAATATGCCTTACAAGTCTCGCTGGACGATTGACGTCCCGGATACTCACTTAGCCTCTCTCTTGTTACAGTCGCCCACGGCGCCTCTTTCTCAAACCCATAGAGCTTTCTTGGATGCAGCTCGTGCGGATACCCACTATTTGACCACCCATGACTTTCGACTTTGGAGCCAGCGGCTTGCCGCTGGACTACGCAAGTCCGGTTTGCAGCCTGGCGACCGAGTTCTATTATTCTCCGGCAACGACCTCTTCTTCCCGGTAGTATTCATGGGTGTGATCATGGCCGGTGGAATCTTCACCGGTGCCAACCCAACGTTCGTCGCCCGCGAATTAGCCTATCAACTTCAGGACAGCGGTGCAACATACCTTCTTTGTGCTACAGGAAGCCTAGAGACCGGTATCGAGGCCGCAAAGCAAGCCAATATCCCCAAAGACCATGTCTTTGCCTACGATAGCTCGATCTTCGATGGTAACACCACCCCACAGCAGGGCTGTCGATACTGGAGCGACCTTGTTGCCTCCAAGGAAGAAGGTGCAGCCTTTGCTTGGGAAGAGCTCTCAACTCCCGATCTGTCACGCCGCACTCTGGCACTGAATTACTCGAGTGGAACGACGGGTCGCCCGAAGGGCGTGGAGATCTCGCATAGGAACTATGTCTCCAACATGTTGCAGTACTGTCACTTCGGGACGCTGAGTCCCGACTACAAGAGCCGGCTTGAACGCTCGCGCTGGCTGTGCTTCTTGCCCATGTATCATGCAATGGCGCAGAATATCTTCATTGCGGCTGCGCTGTATCGCGCAACACCGGTGTATGTTATGCCGAAGTTTGACTTTGTCAAGATGCTCGAGTATACTCAGCGGTTCCGTATTACGGATCTGATTCTCGTACCCCCGGTGGTCGTTGCATTGGCTAAGCACCCTGCAGTCAAGGATTTCGATTTAAATTGTGTGGAGGCCGTTATGAGTGGTGCGGCGCCGTTAGGAAGAGAGGTCTGTGAGGAGGTTGAGAAGTTATGGCCTGCAGGGAAAATCAACATCAAGCAGGGGTGGGGAATGACCGAGTGAGTGATTCTTTTCATTTATTAGATGCATTATTTTCGCATCATTTGGGGCTATTTCAACGCCACCGGACATTGCTGAACAACAGTTATTGTCGGATCATCTTTGTTTGTGGACCTCTCGCGGCGCAAGCACTTAAGTTCGCTTTGAAAGGAAAACACTTTCCCTTGAGTTGAGAGGTTTTTGCTACCCTCTCTATGGAAAACTATTTTCCTTTTAAAATAAACTGAAATACTTATTACCCTCTCTATAGAAAATGTTTTTCCATAGAGAGGGTAGCGAAAACCTCTCAACTCAAGGGAAACTGTTTTCCTTTCAAAGCGAACTGAAGTGCTTGCGCCGCGTGAGGTCCACAAACAAAGACAATACGACAATTGCTGTTGTTCAGCAATGTCCGGTGGCATTGGGACATTGCGTCCCGAGAAGATGTATCCGGAGTGGGCAAATTTGTATGCCTGTTCTCCAGGGGAGAGAACGTCTCGAAATTGGAAGACTAATGCCAGAACTATAGGGCAACTTGTTCGATTTTGGGCTGGGACCCCACTGAAAAAAGCACATCCGCCTCTGTCGGTGAGCTCAATCCCAATTGCGAAGCTCGCATTGTGTCACTCGACGGCCAAGAGGTCGAAGAGCGAAATGTGCGTGGCGAACTTTGGGTGCGCGGGCCCAATATTATGACAGGCTACTGGCGCAACGACAAAGCAACCCAAGAGACTAAGACCGCCGATGGGTGGCTCCGGACAGGAGATATTGCATTCGTGGACGATTTGGGCAAATTCCACGTTGTGGATCGCATGAAGGTACTTTGTGACAAAGCCCGAATGGAACCAAGACTAACATTGTATTTCCAGGAACTAATTAAGGTCAAGGGCAACCAAGTGGCGCCCGCCGAGCTCGAAGCTCTGCTTCTCGAACACCCGGCGATCGCAGACGTTGCTGTGATTGGGGCAATAATGTAAGTTTACGACTTTCTTTTTTTTAAAAAAAAAGAAAATCCCCTATATTTTTATATTTTAATGCTTTCCCGCGTCGATCTATCAGAACATCAGTTGACTGAGAAAAGCAATCATGACGAACGCCCTCGCGCATACGTGGTTCTTTCTCCCGAAAAAACCGCCACCGCGGACGAGATCGCGCAGTTCGTGAATAGCAAAGTTTCCGCCTTCAAGCGGATTACAGGCGGCGTGGTATTCCTCGACGCCATCCCCAAAAACCCATCGGGCAAGATCCTGCGGGCCAAATTGCGCGATCAGGCGAAGGAGGAGCTCAGGGGTGTCACCGCCAGACTTTAGAGTAGCCGCACCATGTCATTCCCCATGTTTCTGTTCTGTATTTGTCAATGGATTCCATGCTAAGGCGAGACACGACCCATTGCGTCGGGACATGAACAGTGCACGAGAAAATGAAGGTAAACGCAGACATTTGTACGCTATAATAGCCGAGCACCGCGTTGTGGACGGTGATTCGACGGCTGATGGGCCTTAGCGCGGGGCTCGTTGCAGGCGCCAGCTGAAGGACAGGTCGATCTCGTACAAAATTATCTTGATCGACGGCACATGTGTTCTCCGCAACCAAAGCGCTGGGAAAGGTGATCCTACGATCTGAGCTACCGAATAGGGAGAGGGTCAGATCGGGTATAGAAATCCGGCGCACTTGTCAGAATGAACGCTAATTACATCAATTTCCCATTGTTTCCCCGAAAAATAAATATTCAAGGTGGCGTGTCCGGGCAAGCTGAACACCGCGAGGGCTGGCTGGCCTGATCTACCCACATTTGGTATACTTGCGGTGCAATGAGGCAACTAAGACACATTTTGGTATTTTTCTTTCAAGGGCATTTTGTCTTTCTGATATATCGGATTACTCTCTACCCCTGTACTCCGTACATGAACCTGGCCCGTTGGTTGGATTTTTGGATTTTTGGAATTATTGAATTTTCATCACTCATCTGCATCAAGCCCTAGATATATGCCGCCCCGCTAAGCTTAAGCGTCGATCGTGCCAATCGTCTTACCCCTCCGTATATCCTCTAGCGTCGACTCCGGATGGAGTACAGTGAAGTAAGACCTGGATCTTATATAGAAGCCCAACCCCTGTCATTCATCCTACTGGTCCGTTCGACTCCCACCATCCCGGTCAAACTCCGTGGACTGAAGAGCCCCCGATCTGAAAAAAATAAAAAATAAAACGCCCGTACCTTTGACTTGCTTGACTCTGTCAAGTCTTGGCCACACTTGGATTTAGTCTCCGCAGTCTTAAGTTGAGCTGATTCCCTTTGTCCAAGGGAAGACAGTCAACAATTCTGCGAGAGGTGGACGCTATCCATCCAACTCAACATCCGTCATGAAAGCCGTGGAACATCTATACACCTATCTCTCCCAGGAGCTTCCACAGTCAACTGCAAGACTGGTATTCCCAATTACCAGTCTAGTCAGCTTATCGGTATTGAGCCTCATCCTGACCTATCGATACATCAACCATCGAAGACAAAAGCACATGGACGCCAATCTCAGACAAGACCAAGACTCTTGGCTCCAGTCTGCACTTATGGAGAAGGGCGATCCTTCTTTTCAGAACTCCCATCCCGCTTCTGCGTGTGATATCTTGCGACCGTTGTCCCAGACAAGCTCCTGTCCGACCAGCGGCACTCTCGCCGCAATGGCACTAGGGAACCAGGCCCAATTTATGAATTCGACTTCGGAAGCTGCCACCTCCCCCTTTCTCGCACTGGGAGAAAGTGGAGATAGTGGAACACACCAGTCAGACAAATCTGTCCGCTACATGTCCGGAGAGGACTCCGAAGGCGTGCGAACTTGGAAACGGGTTGTTGTCGAGTACAGATAGCTCGGTCATTCGAAGGTTTCAACTTTTTTGGTGTTCCTCTTTCTTTCTTCTCGCTTATCATTTTATTGTCCTGTCACGACAATCTTCTGTTCTTCTGTTGCTGCCTTCAGCCCGGGACGAAGACGACAATCGTCTTGTCTTTCAACTTCTGTTATGCTCACGCTCTCCAAGCTCTTTATCCCCATCTGTGAAATTTCGCTTGTCTGATGAATTATGATGTCCTTCCTTAACATAGCGTGGGCTAGCCTCGTCTTTCTGTTTATACCTGGGTGGCAGGTGTGTTGACTCTGCGGAGCACACCTCGAATGTCGAATAGTTTAGCGTCATTTTTGCTTGTATCCAAAAGAAACAATCTCGGCCTGGTCAAACATCTCAGCCCAAATCTTGGTAATTCCAAGGCTTCTTTGAATAGAATATCGAGCGCATAGCCGCAGACGCAAACGCCGAGAACAGTCTCCAGGGTTGTGGGTGTGTAAGGAGGATAATCCGATTTCAAATAAGCCCAGCCTATGCCAGCAGCCTGCAAGCTGTGGGGTAGATACGGGGCTCAAGTACCGTGGACCCGGGCAATGGGTCATCTTTCAGTCAATCCAAATTGCCCAAGTGCCCAGGTGCCCAGGTGCAGGCCCGGGATCATTTGGGGTGACCCGGGTACCTAGGTACCTAGTATGACCTCGAGGGCCTTCCAATTGGAAGTTGGCTCCTATACTATTAGGCATTTGTGTTGTTCCCACCATCAGGGGGAACCTTGGAATGCGTTGATCACCAGATATAGATATATGTTGATCCGCCACTCGGTTTCAACATCGTGCCTAGAGATTCAGGTTAATCCAAACCAGCCAGAATAGCGATCAAAACTAACTCACTTGACCTGCGCACCGACCTCAGTTGAAGGAAGCCCTGGAAGGGTACATATGATCCCTGAGGCTGCAGACGTCCAGACCCTTCTGGGCGTATGCAAACATGCTTCCTTTTTCTTTTCTTCTTTTCTGTCTTCCAAGGTTCTTTTTCTTTTCAAACTTTGTTTGTGCACCCTCAAAGTTATTTTGCAGCCTATAAACCCTCTCAGCGCTGTGTTACATAGTAAAGCATGTAGGTGTCTAATAGAAATTGGAGTCCGAAGCAGCGGTGCAGCACTAAACGCGCAATCACGCTTCTATAGACTGTCACCGGAATTGACCTCAAATTTTCTCAACCTTGGAAATCAGAACCCTGCAGTTTAGGGCCCAGAATGGCTTAAAATAGACACGTTAGAGGCACTACAATCAACGGTTGTATGAAGATCCACCGGGGCTCCGGGGATGCTGAGTCACCTGCTACTGGGCCGGGCCCGCGGGCTCGTTGGCTACTTCGCCTTCTGTAAACAGTTGCAGTAGCCACCTCCTTACCTCAACCATAATGGCCGTGACTGCATTCCCAGCCGAGTCTCCTGATCTTGCCCTCCTCAATGTCGCCCGATTATTCACCCGACTCGAGCACAATCTGCTGTCCCCGGGCACAGACCGCCGCACTCTCCAACAATCCGAATACCAGCGCATGCGCGTGAACAAGGTAAGCCACGCTGCATAGACCGAGAGTGACCGCGCAGTGATCCCCCACTGTATCAAGAGCCTAAACTGACCCAGTACTACAGAATGTGGAATACGCTCGCACGCTCTTGACGCAGCTCGAGCGGTCTCTCCCGCAATTGAAACCACTCGACCGCAAACATGAAGCGCAAGCCGAGATTGCGCGTGATAGACAGCTTCTCAAACGGATACAGACTATTCTCGACGAGGAAGATGCCAAAGCAGCAGCCGTGCAAGATGATGACGACAACGACGACACAGACGGCGACGATGAATGGAAAGAGCTATTCTCCAAGCCTGTAGCGCAGACAAAGGTTCACACGCCGGCCTCTCAAACCGAACCCAAGGACCGGGACATGTCAGCATCACGGGAAACCAAGGAAGCGCACAGTGATCAATCCGCCACAACCACACAGATCCCGTCCACCACACAATCCGAGCCAACACCTACTCCTTCAGCAAATACACCGGCACCGCCTACACTCCGTAATCGACACGCCAGGAAGCCACTAGTGGCTACAGATAAAGCAACCGCAACAGGAAGCAATACCAAACAGCATGACACCGAGAATGAGCTTAGCACGCACAGAATGGAACAAGAAGACCTCACCGGCTCCCTATTGACACTGGCCGCGCAACTCAAGACGTCTTCAATCTCTTTCCAGTCTGCCCTTGAAGGAGAGAAATCCGCTTTAGATCGGGCGGTGTCTGGTATCGACCGCACCAGTACTACTATGGAAGCTGCGGAGAAGAGAATGGGCATGCTGCGCAAAATGACGGAGGGGAAGGGCTTGTGGGGTCGGATGATGCTTTATGCTTGGATCTTCGGGCTCTGGGTTGTCGCTATCTTGATTGTTTATGTTGGGCCCAAGTTGAGGTTTTGAACCTGGTTCTTCTTCCCTGGTGAATTCCGATTTTTGTCCTAGTAGCTCAACTCAGATACCCCTTCGCCGTTTACTTTTCCCTATCTTTATACAGTAACCAACAATGCTGACTTCAAGATGGCCTTGGTGCCGAGGTATGCTTTAACCAATATGCACCGTTCTTTCGAAAATCCGAAGTGTTCTCGAATCCCTGAGATATCTCGATTACTGAAGTGACTGAATTACTGACACGAGGAAAATAATGCAAAGACATCAAGTATTATCGGTATTTACAAATGTACATCCATAACGAAATTTGAAAGACGGGGACCGAGGTGAACAAATTAAGAGTCAGAACCCTGGAATCAATTCTTGAACTCTGAGAATAACCCAACAACCGACCTGGCATGACACATGAGAAGGAGACATGAAAATCCGCGGATCCTGCCATATCCCAGTATCCGACGCCCAGCTGATGGCCAAAGCTTCCAACGGGCGAAAGACGTGAGACAATGATGGGGGGAGACGGTATGGTTACATACAATAGAAACAAGAAAAGGGAAGAGATGATAGGATATCCAGCATTCAAATCAGACAGATAAAAAAAAATGGTGGAAGCAGCAAAGGAGATGAGAAAAGAGAGAAGAGATCAACCACGGCTTTTGAGCGTGGAACATCGCGAGAACACTCTCTGTTTCTGTCGTGGATATCAGGGGCGACAAAGGAAAACACAAAAACCGGCTAGAGATCGTGTCACACGGGGGACAATTAGAACCGTGGGAGGCGGGAGCCAAAAAAATGGCGAATAAAGTAGGGAAAAGAAATAGAGAAAAGAAAAAAACCAACGCAAAATGAAGCCAACGCCGGGATCTCGAAACGAGGCTTTTTGACCGGATCCGATCAGCCCTGGGTAATAAAACATGCAATCTAGATTCGACACTCTTCGTCACCGGAACGATAATATCATTAAATCAAACCACAGAGACGGAGGTTCTCTTGGATGATGATATCTGGGAGATGTTAGTACAATGTTTGGGACTGAAACGGAAAGAGGCGATTGGCTTACCGTTCACGGCGGCCATGACGAAGCGAATTTGCGTGGTGTCAGTGGCACATGTGAAGTGGGTGTAGATCTGCTTTTGCTCGGCTTGGTTGAGGGAAACAAAGCGGTTGAGGATGTAGTCGCAAGCCGCGGCGTAGTCGGGACCACCCTCGTAGTCGGGGAAGTAGTTCTTCATAGGGCTGACGGGAAGCTTCTCCTTGAAGCGATCGATCTTGTTGAGGAACAGAATGATCGAGGTCTTGACGAACCAGCGGGAGTTGCAGATGGAGTCGAACAGAGTCAGGGCTTCTTGCATACGGTTCACGGTCTCATCTTCGAATAGCAGCTGGTCGTACTCGGAAATGGCAACCAGGAAGAGAATGGTGGTGACGTTCTCGAAGCAGTGAATCCACTTCTTACGCTCGGATCGCTGGCCACCAACGTCGAACATGCGGTAGGTAAGGTCTCCAATGATGAAAGTGGTCTCGGTGATACCGGTGGTCTTGACACGGGAGCGGAGGACATCCTGGTCGGTGGGGAGGTAGTCAGGCTGAGCGATGCGCTCAATGGAGTCGAAGTAGCTATGACAGAGGTTAGTTGGACGTTTCTGCGCGATAACAATTGACACTCACTATTTGGCAGAGTCGTTCAGCTGGTATTCACGCGAGCGCTTGAAGCACTCCTGAACACCGGTGTCGCGCCAAAGTGCGCCAATGGCGGTTCCAACCTCAGGGGGGATGCTGTCGCCCTCAATCTGAGCGGGCTGCATGAAAATGGTCTGCACGTGGTACTCGTTGCGCGCATCCTCCAAAGGCAGCTCGAGAGATTCCATGGCCTCAAGAATGACCCGCATGGACTGCACGGTGTTGCTGTAAATGATTTCCTTGAAAGACTCGCGCTCGTCACGAGAGTAGCCACCCTCGTGGATGAGCTTCATCTGCTTCAGAATCGTGGACTTGCCCGACTCTCCGGCTCCTGTATCCCGAGTCAGCCATCCATCTCCATCTCCAGCTCAGGGGTCGACCGATCATACCGAGAAGCAGCATCTTGATCTCGTTGCGTTGCATCATCTTGTCGCGCTTGAGCTGGTTCTCAATCTCCTCGTTCCGCGCCTTGCCCTCCTTATCCTCGGTGCTCATTCCGCAACCCATTTTGGCGGTATGTGGTGATCGCGGTTAACGGTGTGAGGGTGGGTAAAATGTTATCGCGAAGGTATTCGTGTTCAGTGACAGAGACTAAGACGGGTGGACAGTCAGCACGCCTGAATGATTTCATCCGAGAGACCGGATTGATGGGCTCGAGGGGTGCACTGCATTGGTGGTACAAACTGCGCTCAGCAGAGGCAGGCAGCGTTTCAGAGTTGGTGTAAGCCTGCCGACGCAAGGAGTCGGAACAAAATTCAATGTACCAAGCAAATGGCCCATTGACATGCAGCTTTCCAAAGGAGGAAAAAAAAAAGCTCACGTACCTGTAAGAATGAACGGTCGACAATCAAGTCGGGAAGGGTATAAATGAACAGAAACAAAAAGAAAGGAAGAAACAGAAGAATTCAAATGGAATCCAATCTGGAGAGCGAAGAGAGAGGAAGAGAAAGAGAAGGGGTGATAGAGCACAAAGGATCACAGGTAAGGGGCAAGACTGAGGGGGAAATTGGGAAAGTTTCAGCAGCAGAAAGGGGATACCAGCGCAATACCACTGGACACCACCGACCATGGCAGTGATTAGGGGTACCGTTCGGGTACCGAACGTGATGCAATGTTTTAATTACAGACTGAAATACAGTCCATTACCAGTCCAGAGGTGCACCAATATGATTGGGCGGTGTGGGGGGTGATTGACGACCTCGCGAGGGCCCTAGCAAGCCCCTTTTGCTTTTGCGGCGGTATCAGTCTGGTTTGGGTAATTTATCTGTTGCACGATGTATCATGTCGATTCGACTGTACGGAGGACATATTCTGAGTACACAATTGCACAGAGTCAATCTGAAGCTTCCATGTCTATATTAGAGTATGTAATTCGGCTATGCAAATGTACGAGTCATGGCATCGTGGTGGACTCCTGGAGGCGTGCAGATCTTGTGGAGAGCAAGACTACGTGCAGCATTATCAAAATACACTTTGTACTCCGTTTCTCCGGCCAGGCCACCCACACTTCCAATATTCCGTAGGGAGGTCATTGCACTATAATGCATTGTCCCAAGGAATATACTATGCAGTATACAGTACCCTGTCTAGCGCAATGGATTAGCTGAGACGGAGAAGTGTATCTTGAAGGACTCCGTGCTTATGCATTGGACACTGCACCCGCGGACCATACACCCGTGAATGTTGTACTCTGTATGTACAGTAGGTCATGTTTCTCCACACCGTTGTCGTTCCAGAACATCTGACTTCACCCTCGTCTCAGGTTTCAGTTTCAGTCTGAAGAAAACAAAGCCCAAGGTTTGATTCTAGTCTCAGCCTCGGAGACCAATCAGCTCAATGAACTGACCCCTCAGCCCCCAATCCATGTACAGTACTGTAGAGTTGAGGTCTTGTCATCGGATTCTTGATATACTCTAGTAGTACAATGGTATACGGGAACTCCGACAGGTACGAGTATTCGTATGCAACCCCGTGGGCCCGTTCCAGTGGAGCCTTAGCCACACAGCAATAGCCCGACACTGACTGTCACATCTGGTTCTCCCACCCAGGGTGAAAAGGAGATGGACAAAACCTTGGAAGCTGGAAATCGAGGAAAGGTAAAAAGTTAGGGGAATTTTGCATACAGTAGGACATCTCCTGAAAATATACCGGTCGACCCACCAGCTAGCGATTTTAGCCGTTTCCTTATGCTTTTGGTGGTGGTCCCCACTGCCTCGTGGCGATAGCGCGACGCTATTGAGGCCCGCGGCTCTCAGGTGGGACCCCTGATTTCGGGTAAAATTTTCGATGTTTCGGTCTATCAAGATTACGGTGCACATCGCACACAGCGACTAATACTACATTACCTCCATTCCGTACTCCAGGCTTGTCCCTGCATGGAGTAGGGGGGTCGAAGGACACTGATTGGTCGTCAATACACATCTAGTACGGATAACCAATACGGAGTCCTCGGTATTGTACCTGCGTGTCGTTCCTGACTAAATGTGTAGATCATCTCGCCATATCCACACATTAATAAGCGATTGAGCTTCAATGGCCGCCAAAGTCCCCATCTCTAATTCTCACAATGTCTTTGAGAGCAGAGCGCCATTGTCTTGAACTGTAACTCACACGGAGAACTGTACACAGAAAAGACCCGTGGTTCGGGTGATCGGGTACCCGGACTAGATCCAGGTTGCCTGGAATGCTTGGTCTGGCAGAATCCGCGTCTATTCAACTCGTGCTGGCAGAGACAACGTGCATCCACATTCAATTAGATTGCACTCTGTACCAATTAGCACTCGGCCAGAGACGCTCGTATGGTAATTACAGTCTTGTTCTGCATTGCTAAAATACCGACGATTTCACATTGGAGATGGCTATCCTTGGCAGATCGATCAGAGTCCGTGGTATGTCACATCGTGCCCTCGGATCTTCTAAGGCCGTCCATATGGTTTCAGAGTCGGGATCCTATCTGAGCTGGTACGAGGGTCTCCTATGTAGCTCACACTAAGCTACGGAGTAAAGCCCTGGAGGTGAGCCAGGGTGTATGACCCAGTACCCTGGGCACGGTAACCAAACCGATCCACTATGAGCTACAATTATGACTGCCAGATTTGGTCATCAAGATGTGAGCCCCGTACGATATTATCACCCCGCGGATCTTCGCATTCCTTTCAGCGGGCTTCGGGTTGCCTCATTGCACTCGCGTCAATTGCCGGGGGATGAGCATATTCCCGAGATGAACAGGAGATGGAAGAGCATTCCAAAGTCGGCTGCCAGTTACAACCGAGGCTCTTTGTTGCACATAATAAACCACCCTGGAGGTGAATGGACTTCAAAGCACTGATGCATACTCCAGTCCTTAAAGCGGTAAGGAGGGCGGTGGGTAACAATGGCTGTACCATGGAAAGGCGATCGATCTGAAATGCTGATTTTTCGGGTTTTTGGGTCTCCACTTTTGGAGATTCCCCTTCTTCTCTTATCACGTTCAGGGTAATTGAGCAGCCATGTCGCACGAAATGTCCCACATGGGCCCTCGGGGTACGTATCAGTAGATTCCCCCGGAATGACGCGCGCGCTAACTCAGCACAGCCTTCAACCACGACAACAGCAGCGACGCCGAGGCGGAGTACGACCGGCTCCGCGACCTCGCCCGCCAGGAAGCTTCCAAGCGCGGACAATGTTTTGGACGGGTATGCGGTACTTCAAATACTCTTGATCGCAGTCGCGATTGCAATTAGAGGGAAATCGAACCAGACTGACACCACTTAGTCGAAGGAGGCGTACTCGAATGGCGACGGAGCCGGCGCCAAGCAGCTCTCCGAGGAGGGTAAGGCTCACGGTCGCAAGATGGAGGAATATAACAGGCAAGCATCCGAGTTTATTTTCCGGGAAAACAACGCCAATGGACGAGTGGAGGCCGACACGATCGATTTGCACGGTCAATTCGTCGAAGAGGCGGAGGAGATCTTGGAAGAGCGCATCAAGTATGCCAAGGCGCATGGACAGAACCACCTGCATGTGTGAGTCACACAAAACCACCTGAGCTCAGGGGCAAGATCGGATCGTGCATGAATTCCAATTCGGCTGACATGGTTCTTTCGCGCAGGATCGTCGGCAAGGGCAACCACTCTGCCAACCACATTCAGAAAATTAAGCCTCGTGTCGAACAGGTATGCCAGGAACTGGGCTTGCAGTATGCTACCGAAGACAACGCTGGTCGTATCTACGTGAACCTCACTGGCGGTGAGGCTGTCATGCCCCCCTACGGCGGTCACCATGCACCGCAGCAGGGCCACGGTGGCTACCCTGGCCAGCAACAGGGATACCAGGGTCACCAGGGCCAGCACCAGGGCCAGCACCAGGGCCAGCACCAAGGCGGCCAGCAACAGCAACAGCCCGACGAGATCGAAGAGTTTGCCAAGAAGATGCTGCCCAAGGTTCTCCGCAAGTTGGAGAAGGCTTGCTGTGTGGTCATGTAAGTTCAGGCTTGTATATCTGGTTGTTGAGCATGTCTAGACGCACCTTCGCTGTTGTTGAACTTTTGCGCTTTTGGTTTTTTGTTTCCATTCAGATCTAGGCTAGGCCTAGACACGACTCATGATAGCAGGGATTTTGGATATACCCGTGGACCCCTACATGAACATGACATTGTTCCTAATGAAACTGCCATTTAATACCTATACAGCTTCAATTTCGAAGTCGAGAAATCCTGGAAAGCCATTCGAAGCGTGATCAAAAATCGTGGCGTGAATCATATCGTCGTAAATGCTCATAGCTACCTAGTACATATGCACAAAACCAAAGCCAGCATCAAAATGAGAAATATATGGCATGAGACCGCGCTCGCAGGAGGCTAGCGCGAGGGATTGGAAAGGGTCGTCTGCACGATCTTTTCCACAATGGCACGTACCATTGCACCGTCGCCCGCGCCAGCACCATCGGTACCTGGCGCCGCGTCGATGGCATCAATCAACGAAAGCGCCTGGTCGCGCAGGCGTGTCACGACATCCCTTGTGTGCGCAAAGCTCCCCGTACTCTCCATGTACTGCACAGCGTACCTCTTTACCTCGTCGTCCTTGGTTTTCTGCTTGAGAATGTTGAGCAGCTGGTGGTTGGACGGGTTGGCGCGTATGCTGTGAATGATGGGGTAAGAGAATTTGCCTTCGGTCAAGTCCTCGCAAAGTCCCTTGTTCTGCGTATAGACCGTGTTTGAGAGATTGAGGTAGTCGTCGCAGATCTGGAATATGAGACCCATGACATTGACAAGGGCCACGCAGTCCTTGCCCGTGGTGCTCTCCGCTTGCATGAGTTTGACTGCGAGTCGGAAGAGCCCCCCGGTCTTGTTGCCCACCATTTCGAGATAGTCGTCCTCGGTGGGGCATGTGAGGGTGTCCCGCCAGAAGAGGTCCATCCCCTGGCCTCTGTGGAGATTCAGCATCTCCTTCACGTAGATATCGATCGCGACCGGGTTGTTGAGCTGTTGGACTTCTTGGAGGGCGAGGAAGTAGACGTAGTTGGCGGAGTTGATCGTTTGCGCAGTGCCGAATATGTTGTGTGCGACGGGAATCCCGCGACGGAGCACCGAGTTGTCCTCTACATCGTCGATTCTGAATTTGGTCAGCACCGAGATAGAACTGGAGAGAGGGGAGCACTCACAACAAGGACGAGGTATGCAGCAACGTGACCACCTTGGTGATGATATCCAAGCTCTCTTGGGGCACGTGAAGCCAGGCGTTGAATGCATGAATGAGTTGACGACGGATGTCCTTGCCAGGATGTTCGTGCATGTACTCATAGGGCGCTATCAGGATCTTTTCGTTTTGCGGGGACCACGTCCCATCTTTATATTTGGTGCCATCCACGCTCGATCTGTTTCGTTGATGTCCAGACTTGGATTCTTCATTTGTGGGCTTTCGGCGAAGAGAAAAGCCTTTGTTCCCCACGCCGAGGCCACCAGAAACCGGAGGAGAGCTCATTGTTGTTTGGAGGGGCTAAGTGAGGGGGGTCCCATGACATCAACCCCTAGGCCGAGGCCCCTGTCACGGGACCTGGGCCCTGCAGGGGATCCTTGCACTGAAGGAGAGCCTCTGCCAATCCATGGCGATTCCTATTGATTTCTAGTGCTCGTCGCTGGTGAACAATGCTATTACTAATCCATATCGGGCACCTGGGCACCTGATCACCGCCTGATCGGCAGTGGTTCTGCAGGGTTGATGTGATGAGTCCGATTTTTCCATTTCGATAGATCAAACTATAGACACAAGGAACAAGTGCTAGTATTCTATTCTTTTGATTCCATTGCGAGCTCGTTCAACAAAATCGGCTAATCAAACCCAGACGATAGAAGGGCGCCTAGCAACGGGGACGTCCGAGGCTGAGAGCGTCATCTGTATAGTATATAGTAGTCGGTCCAGAATTCCAAGAAATCCGGATTGCCCGAGACTAAAATTAACGTTAGAGAGTGACTGACGCCATGGTCGATCTAAACACAGCTAAGAACCACAAGTGCGTGATGAGTTCCTTGGTTGTTGCAGGGTTGCCGGGGGCAACGGGGCATGATGCGCTGGGGGAAACACTTTATACATTATTTACGGACCTGACATCAGCCCCAAACACGGACCATCTCCACTTGGTTTTCTGTCTCTTTTTCGTATAAGAGTATGAGAAGCCTTTCCTTTCTTTTGTAGGGTGGCGAGCTATTGTTTCACATCTTTGATTTTCGGATTCATCAATGGAGGCTCTACTAGCTCATTCCTTTGATTACCTCTCCTCCTACGAGCCGAGCAAGGTTCGGAAAGGTCTTCGCCAGGTCGAAGGCCTACTCGCACAAATATGTCTTTCCAAATCAAAACCCGTCAATGACCGACGGAAACCCCGAATGTCCCCCGATATCCCACAACCCGTCCCAAAAGCATTATCAGAATTGCGAGATGATCCCGCCTTCCGCGAGTTCTCCAAGCTCCAGGAGAGCTTCCAATGGAACAGTACGTCCTGCATCTTTCCAATCCAGCCGGCCACCCACTGACCCATCCCAGTCGCAATGCGCCTAGTATCATGCCTCGAACACCTCCTCGGCCGAGGCAGCAACGGCACAAACGACATGTTGATAGTCTGCACCCTCGATCTAATCCAAGGCGCACTCCTCCTCCACCCGGGCTCCCGCACCCTCTTCGCCCGCGAGATCTACATGAACCTCCTCCTCGACCTCCTCGACCCTATCAACTGTCCTGCTGTCCAGTCCGCCACCCTCCTCACGCTCGTCACCGCTCTTCTAGACTGCCCAGCCAACACCCGCACATTCGAGGATCTAGACGGCCTGCTCACCGTGACATCGCTCTTCAAACAACGCGCCACATCCCGAGAGGTCAAGCTCAAACTTGTCGAGTTCTTGTATTTCTACCTGATGCCTGAAACCCCAACCCAGGCGCCCGTCTCCCCGCCCGGTCTGCAGCGCAGTCCGAGCAAGTTTTCCAACGCGCCTTTCTCTCGGAGTGGGCATAACGCGGCTAACGCGGCTAGCAAAATGAGTCGTGACACCCGGACAACGGATGAGAAGCAGGCTCTTCTGGGGAGATATTTGAACAATGTCGAGGACCTTGTCGAGGATCTGAAGGAGACGGCTCCGTTCGGAGCCACGGTTTATTAAATGATTTGAATTGGCGATTTCTGGTTTCCTGCATGACCAAATGTGTGCTATGCTTGGTGCGACACATTCGGGGTTTCTTTTTTTTTTTTCTTCTTCTTCCCATCCTCTTTTTTTTTTTCTTCACTTCTCTTCTCGTTCCTTTGAGCCTTTGACTTATGTTCCGTCCGGTACGGCTTTCATGCGATTCCCTGTACTGATGTCCCTCGTTTTTGGCCTGTCTTGGTGCTCTCCATACTCCAGTTCTGGGGTTTTTCTCCATTATGCCCCACTCGGGCTCCTTTTTTTTGATAACAAAAACCCACAGTCATTTCATTCGTCTCTCTAATGGTGGCATGATTGTGAACGACTCTGTGACTTTTCCAAATCCCAGATACTTGATAATGACCATAAACTTTTCCAACGCTCTTCATCTCAAATAACTGTATATCACCCCATAGTCTTCGATTGGGCGAGTCTCGTCTAAGTGTTGCTTGGCTTTGAGCCTCAAAAGTTCCTCAAAAGTTTCTCAATCAGATTTTCGGATCACTGAGATCGGCCATTCCATCGCCGCCGACAATCGTTCATCCCTCAACCCAGAAATGAATGTATTGATCTTTTCAATCTCGGCATCAAAAGTGGCCCCGAGATACCATGTGCCCTCCAAAATGGCAAGGGTCAGATACAAATGGGCAAGGATCGTGAAGGAAACCCCTCCAGTTGTTGCAAAATTGTCACAAGATTCCAACGAGGAGATGAATTCCTGAGAAACACGATGCGGCCACGATGTGACGGCCGCCTCCTCGATCTCTTTTTGGACATCAAGATTTGATGACGGCTGTGGCTCCACTCTCTGAAGCCGAAGTGCATAGAGAATCAAATAGTGCATCTCTTCAAAAACAGCGACTGCTTGTTCCTGCTCCCTCAAGAGACTGGTCGGCACAGGGCCTCGTGGGGAGGGATGCTCGGAATTTGCCTCCAATTCCAGAGAATGAAGTAGACTGCGCAGGTTGGAGACTGCAGCTCGTGCACCTGATGCAAACTTCGAGATTTTGGATCCCAGACCATCAGGCACGAACTCATCCAATTCAGACCGACAAAGCTTCCAGTCTTCATGGCTATTTTTAAAATGCATTAGAGCCCTACATCGGCTCACTTTGACTGTCATCCAATGCTCCTGTGCAATGAAAGCGACACCGCGCACAAGGCGGAGCCAGTGAGTGTTTGGTCTCTGAGTGCCCGTGGTAAGATGCGAATCTCCGTATGGGTTATCGGGTAACGGTTGAGGAGGTCCCATGTTCCCAAATGGCAGAGATGCAAATGCAAATGCCACTATCAGCATGGAACCGGTCACCAGGATTTCTGCATCGGAGCCACTAGAAAGCTCTTCCTGTAACCCCTTAAGCCCGAGTTGGTGATGCTCGATCACCAATTTGAGTTTTGCCGACTGTGAGGTGTGAAACTGGTTCTGTTGGATGCGAGAATTTTGGAATTCTCGGGATTCCTGACTTAGGATATCGAGACCAGCCAAGGCCAAAAGCAGGTGCATTAAGAACTCATTTGTGCTGGCCATGTCCGGGATAATACGCTCCCACACCAAGACTTTTTCGGGATTGAGAGATGTCTTTTTCGAGGTATGTAGAATATAGTGTTGGAGTAAGTTCAAGTCGTTCATATTCAGATGACTCTCGGATTGATTTTCGTCTGCTGATGCCCCAGAGGGACCCAGGTTGAAAGATAGGGGGCTGATGACAGACTCATGGCCACCTCTCGGTGCCGAATGGTCATATTGCTCTGGTGTCAATTCATGTATCGTTTCGTTGATATCATGAGGAGCAGAGCGCCTGGGCCTGTTCTTGGTACTTCCTGGGGTTGGAAAGGTACATTGACTGCCTCGGATCGAACAAGCGCCACAAATTGGCCTTTCTTCATCACACTGATTGATTCGGATGGTTAGCAGACGTTTAGTTGCGTTCAACAATGAGGCCTACCTTTACACGCCTTCTTTTACACGTGTAGCATCCATTCCGCGATTTGGTATGGCTGATTCGGTTCTTCGGCCGAACAGGTGCATTGGGACTTAGCACTGAGATGCCATCTGTACTCGATGAATGCCGCAGCATTGCCCAATTTTCTCAAGTCACTCAGTCATTAAGCAGAGAAGTCAACGTAGGTGCCTGCCCAGGTGCTTTCTGATGCGACGTTGCCTATCATTGGTGGGTAGATTTCGGGAACCTAAGATTACTCAGGCAACAATATATGCCTGAGGCAATTATCTGGTCACCGATCTGTAAGTCGAGCTTCAAGCTCTGGAGATCCCTAGTCGACTGGGTTATTTTTCAATCAAGTAGATTCGAAAGTCAACTGGTAAAGTTTCGCCTTACTCCCGAGGTCAATAGACTGACACAGGCCTGGAGCAGCCTACAAAGCGTATACCGAAGATTTGGAAGGTTTGATACCAGTTTTACTCCGGAATAAGACCACGAAACTGCACATATTAGATAGATACTTTGAAGATTACAATTTTGCTGTGTATGATACTTACGTAGTACCTAGGTAGTATTATGATAATGCAAAATTTATCGATACATGGAAACACGATTGGGATGATCAAATAACTCTATCGCTGAAATCGACGACTTGCGCTTTCTCAATAAGCCCATCAAGACTCTTGATGAATTGCAGGTGAGCCGGGTCACTCTGCACGTAATAGTCTCGGTCTGCAGCATTCTCGAACTCGACGACGAATGCGTGGGTAATGCCATTCTACATCAGAACAAGATTGCCCATTAGTCAAGTATCCAGATGTTCCCCCGTGTTCCGGGACTCGGGAGTTCAGATGCAATTGAACCAACCTGGATGCCTTCAGGCGAATTATCTTTACCACCAGATGACGATCTGATATAGGGCTTCTGTGATAATGGGTGGATGCAGTTGTCCTTCAAAGCAAGCATACGCTGACAGGCCTTTTGAATCACTGTTAGCATTCAATCGAATAGCAGGTACTCCATATCACGCGTAGCATTCTTATGATAAACCGTACATTGTGAATATCCTCGGCGGCGATGCCTGATTTGAACTGAAAAAGAACAATATGGGTGATTGACATGCTGCTGAATATTGTGAAGGGTAGCCTCGGAGTAACTGGAAAATATCCAAGATTGAATGTTTGAGGAAATATGAATAAAGAACCGTGGAAATTCCAAGCTTGTTTACTAAGAGCGGGGTAACTCCAGGGCTACCTAGATAGTGCGTAAGTCGGGGATTGAAGCATGACTCAATTCTTGTCGTCGGCCCCGGGGAGGAAAAGAAAGCGCTTGAAACACTCAATTCATGCTGTCTACGGGTGTTTACTGAGATGGGAAACAGTAGAGAAATATTCATGAATGGTGCTCCAGTTATCGACACGCCTGGCATCGCATAATTAATCACTTATCTTGGCTTGTGAAATATTAGACCAAGCTTCCTTGACCAGGATATGGAATATAGACAACACAACTCTATAAGTGTTTCGAGTGCCGCCACTAGATACCTAGGTATTTCAAAACATCATAATGATCAAAGCCTCTTGCGACCGGATTGCTTCAAATGTTGAACTGCCATCGATAATTCCCGCTCGACTTGTGAGAATTGCCATTCGGTCCATATAACGATAAAAAGCGACTTCGGGGAAAAACTCCAATGGAAAAACAAATGGTCTCTTAGATAAGATATATAAATACACTTTCGTTGTTCGTACCTAGTAGACCGTGGGATGCCCGCATCCTGTTCGCTACCTAGGTATCTGATTGATCTTCACGACCTTGGAATTTCCATCCTGGGAAATATCATATAGGTCCCTTATCTGTGACTTTGGGACGGGTCTACCGCCTGCGGTGGCTTGTAGATGTTTCGTTGGGAAGGAATAATCTTCCTTGCCACAGACTCTTCCTTTACCGACTCTTTGCGCGCTTTCTTTCGGCGGTATACAAACCATCCGACGAGGCCTGCAACAATTGCAACGGCTATAAAGGAGCCAACTACAGCTCCCGCAATCCAGCCTCGGCTTTGACTAGATTCCGATCCTGTCACGGTCTGCGATTCACCGGATTGCGTAGCTGTGGTAGTGTCTGTTGTTGATGGCGCTTGTGTCGAAGAGCTAGTTATGGTAGGTGGAGTGGTAGATTGGGTAGTTGTGTGCAAAGATGTAGATATGGTGGAGCTGGAGGAGTCTAGATATTCAGTCAGCTTGTGCATTTGACTTTGAGCGGTTATGTGTGGACACACACCAGAGCTAGTGGTTGATACTGCTAATTCGCGGAAGACAGTGAAGGCTGACCAACTTTCCGCGCAAAATATGTTGGTCGCTGAAGGTAATGCGTATGGCGCTGATTGGAAGATGGTCATGGTGCGACACACAATGCTAGAGGGAGAAAGGGAGAAGTCAGTGAGGCTTCTGTCCTGATTTCGAGATAACATTCCTCTAAACACTTACCATGGAGATGATCCACCATCATCGTAGCTAATGATATTGCCAGTGCAATCCGTAGCATAGGCGCAATTGCCTCTAGAGCAACCGCGCGCATAGTTCCCTGATGTTGTCCAAGTCCCAGGATCCATTAAAGCCTGGGCTAAAGCAAAAATAAGCTCAGGTCAGTTTTGAACTCTGTAGATCAATTGTGGGGACAAACACACTTGTTGAAGGTCCTATGTACCATCCCATGAAATGGGGGTTCTTCTGTTGCGAAATATCGACCGCAGTACTTTGCCCCATAGTGCCGTGGAAGAAGAGCATGCTGCTCAGTAGCATAGCCCATGTCGAAAAGAAGGTGGATGAAGCCAGCATCCTTAAGCTGGAAGACCGCATCGAAATCTGGGAAATGGATGTCGCGTGGAGCGAGCAGCCAGGGAGGCCGCCATGATTTATTCGGTTTGTTACCTCAGATACAATTCACCAAGTTAGGCGCTGCAAAACAGCCTCCTGTATACACAGACTCCTGGTTGCTATTTTAATAAGACCAACACTGCCCGGGTGCAATGCTGGAATATATGAATATCTATGAGGCTGCAGCAGACCAATCAGTGATCTATAGTAACCGCCATTATTCGCCATTATTAGCCCCCGGGAGCAGCAAATGCAGCGTATTCCAGCCATTTAAAGCCACTGAGTCGCAGATTCTACCCCACGTGGTGCTCCTGGGCCAATCTTTGATATTTCTGGAGAATGGAGACAGAGGCTTCAAATTATCCAATCTCAGACGCCATGATCAAGGGTCTCACCTGGGCACTTCAGCTTATTGCTTATTTTTGTCCTTATCTCCAGGGCGCCATCTTACCACCTTCTTTGACACTTATGTATTTTCGATTTTCCTTTTCTCCTCATTTTTGTTTTGCCTCTCTTTCGCCTCTGCACATCTACCCCGTGGAGGTCCGTCATCATGTTGGCAATCGCCAACTTGAGCAATTCACGCGTCTTGCGTCTGATCGTCCCCATTGTCGTGATTCTTTCACTCGTGTGCACTTTCTATGCGGATTGGAAGCCTGTACAAAAGATCATTCCCAGCTCAATCCCCCCATCGGTGGTCCCTGCGACCAGTGACCTAAGTCCAGCCTCAACTCCACAAATTTCTGAGAAAGCTTCGCCCAGCAAATCCAAATTTCATGACTCAAACGCCAATACTTCGATCGCTAATATTCCGGATAAAGTCTGGCATTCCGCCAAAGCAGATGACATCTCGGAAACTCAGCGCAAATGGGTGAATAGCTGGTCAAGCATCACTCCTCAATGTCGCCAAGAATTGCTGACCCACCGATCTGGCGAGGCGTTTGTTCGCGCCTACTACCAGGAGACTCGGCCAGATATTGTCGAAGTCATCGAGTCTCTTTCCATTCCCATTTTACGGGCAGATCTTCTTCGGTATTTGATTGTTCTCGCGGAGGGCGGGTACTGGAGTGATCTAGATGTCACTCTGGAAAAGCCGCTTTCCGAATGGGTGCCTGCGGAGTACAAGGATCGGAATATCGATATGATTGTTGGGTTGGAATTCGATTTCGCGTACCGTGGCCCCGAAGCTGAGGTCGCTTCTCAATTTTGCAACTGGGTGTTTGCAGCACAGCCGTCATCTCGCAACCTGCTTGTGATTGTGAACACTGTCATCAACAAGTTGAAGGAGATTGCAAAGACCAACAAGGTGTCTATCTCTGGTATCAAAATAGAGATGCTCACGGATGTGGTGAATGTGACTGGACCTAAGATCATGACGATTTCGATCTTAGAAAGCCTAGGACAGTTGCTCGGTAGGACCGTTGATGATCGCGACTTCTCGGGGATCAAACACCCGAAGCTGGTCGGTGATGTCTTGATCATGCCCGGTGTGTCCTTTGCGGCGTCCCAAAACGGATTCCCTACAGATCAAGGTGATGCACTTGTGACACATCATTATGAGGGTTCGTGGAAGCAGGCAGATGCAGAAGCTAAAGAAAGAAAGAAGCAAAAGGAGCAAGAAGATCATGGTGTACAAAGTCAGCAAGGATGAAACGAAACCTGGAAGCATTGTAACATTAATTGACTGTACAAATTGAACAGATTATGTCTGTAATCGGGTGTCATTCCAATTTCATAGTGCTTGCGACAAATATACAACATATATGTGACAAGTTGTCGTCTGTGAGTCTTGAAGAGCCAATATCTAGGCAAGTAAAGATCTCCAGATGATCAAGCTTAATCTCCTCAGGGCTGTGATATGACTTGACGCTTGAGCGGCTTCTCAGTCGAGGTCGGTTCGAGTTTGCGTTCGTAACTTGTTCCAGTCTTTTAGGCTATTCATCCAGCTCTTGGTTACCTACATCCTTCCAAGGTTCACCTTGAGAAAAAAAATCGATACCAATCCATCTGAACCAAGAATGATATACATTAAAAAAAATCGAAGTGGCAAGACGATGAGCCCCATAATATAGTGGAGCCGCGATCAATTCATACACTTCGTATTCTCGCATTCTCGCATTCTCGTACTTTCGCATCTTCGCATTTTCGCATGAACAAAAATAATTCTATTGTTCCATGGATTTGACAGGACGTGGCCATGCTTGTGTACATATAAGATTTCTTTAGATCCAACCCAGATAGTTTCAGTCTGTGTGAACTTCGTCGTTATTCGCAGATCCAAGATGAGTGACACCAATGGCGGGGTGGACTATGCTCTCTATCGTTATACTCCCTCAATGCCTGCAGCGGTGATATTTGCAGTGATATTCGGCCTACTTGCGGCTATACATCTGCTCCAATTGATCAAGCATCGCTCATACTTCTTCGTCCCCTTCCTGATCGGCCTTCTCTGTAAGACTTGCTCGGAACGCCCATCTGTATGTTCATGAATCAACAAGCAGCTAACCAAATCACACTCAATAGTGGAATGCGCAGGATACATTGTGCGTATCTTTTCTCACTTCGATACCAAAGCGCTGGGCCCGTACATTGTGCAAACTATGTTGATTCTCGTGGCGCCTCCTCTTTTCGCCGCATCGATCTACATGACTCTCGGTAGAATCATTGTCAAACTTGGGACCGAGGATATGTCTCTCGTGCCAGTCAGGTTCCTGACCAAAATATTCGTGGTTGGGGATGTGATCTCCTTTTTGCTACAATGTGGAGGTTTGTACACACTCCAGTTTCCTGCTATTGCTTTGATCAGAAACTGACGATTCCTAGGTGGTGGATACATGGCTGCTGGAACTTTGTCTGCAATGGACACGGGGGCCAATATAGTCATCGGGGGTCTAGTTATTCAACTGCTCTTCTTCGGATTCTTCGTTGTTGTCTCGGCAATTTTCCACTGGCGTGTGAAGAAGCGATCAGAGTATCGCCAACTCTCTCCAGCTGCGGACTCTCGGAGCCCGAAAACCAAGATGACCTGGGAGTCTATCATGTGGGCACTCTATATTGCCTGCTTGCTTATTCTTGTGCGGTCCATCTTCCGTGTGGTGGAGTTTGTGGAAGGAAACGATGGGTTCATCATGAGGAGAGAGTACCTTCTTTACATTTTCGATGCATGTCTCATGGCGTTGACCGGTGTTGTTTTGGGTCTTTGCCACCCTGGTTCTCTTTTGACGCAGGATCGCAAGAGAGACTCTGAGATGTCGCTCTACCCGAGCACTCACGGTTGAGCTTGTCTCAGGTCTGTACCAGTATGTAGCAAGATTTGTCAAGAATAGACTAAAAATGAAGTCTGTTCACCGCGTCTGGGCCGAGGCCTTAATATGAGTCAGGGCGAGTCTACAAAGTGGAGAATGCTGCGCTTGCACGCGGAGCAATAAACGTATTTAACCCCAGACTCCCGTGCTAATACTACGCAGATCACTGAAGTATTTCAATTATGGCGACAATCCAAGATTTATTGGCCGCTGGACCGATCAAGGATCCACAAACAACACAGTATGTGGACACGGTGCAAGCGTACGACAAATGGGCGGAGGTATGTAGCCCTCGAATCTAGGACCGGGTGCTTAATGGCGCTTTTTCGCGCATTTGAAGATCAAATACTGATGATCCGACAGGTGTATGACACAGACGGCAACTTCCTGCAGCGTCTTGACACGATTGAGATGCGCTCACTACTTCCTGGTTTCCTCGACCGTGTATTCGCTTTCCAAGATGCATCTGAGACAGGATCTCCCAGAACAAACCTTGTAGATTTGGGTTGCGGCACAGGCCGAAACACTATCCAACTACTTGATACCCTGTTGGCCAAGAGACCCGATGGCTTCGACCTCATGGGGCTTGATGCTTCACCGGGGATGCTAGAAGTGGCGCGAACTGCACTCAAGGAGCATGTGAATAAAAATGGGTATTCTCAGACCGTTTCACTTGAGATTCTGGATATACTACAACCTATCTCTTCGTCACGATTGCCACCGTCACTTGATATAGGAGCTGCAGGTGTGATCTGCACTCTTGTACTAGAGCACATACCACTTGCGCAGTTCTTTTCCGTAGCCTCAACAATCATGAGGCCGGGCGCATATCTTCTAGTGACAAACATGCACGAAGAGATGGGAAGGCGGAGCCAGGCCGGTTTCACAGACCCGGAGAGTGGTGTCAAGATTCGGCCTACCAGTTACTGCCACGCAATCCCTGATGTTGTGGACGCCGCTCGAAGGGCTGGATTCTCGGTTGAGAGGCTCGATGACGCCACGGGAGTTGGTAGCCAAGAGAGTGGCGTCCTTGTCAGGGGCGTCGATGAGAGATTAGGAGAAATGCTAGGCGCCAGAGCGAAGAAATGGGTAGGAGTCAATGTGTGGTTTGGGATTTGTTTCAGAAAGGCGGAGTGAGAGGCATCTAGGGGGCGATGCTGGATACAATGAAAGAACTCAATCAGGGGAGATATTAATTTTCTGGAATCATTGCGATTCCTTGTTGCTGTTATACATTCAGAAGAATTTCAGTAGTCTGTCACGGTGTTGTACAAGGTTGGGATGCTCTCGGAGCAATTGTCCCAGTCGGTTTCGCTTCCAGCCCATGGTGTCGTCCAAGATCAATTGTGTGTATGCGAAGACACTGGCATCAAAAAGACCAGGGTTTGGTCGACCAAAGAAATGCTCATCTTCGCCGAGCAGTGTTGATAGCGCCTCGAAGGCACCACTTGCGTCGCCTTCCAAATCGGCGGCGTCAATATACCGGGAGGTCTTCAGGAGTTCATCGCGAGCGGCTTGCTGGAGTTGGTGGCTGAGCGTAGCCCGCACCAGCAGATTGGAGGTTGCGGGGTCCACGTAAAGTCGGCGCGCAACGGCGTCGAAGTTCTCGCTGTCGAGGTAGAGCATGTATAGCTGGGTATGTCAGCTAGGGTCATTGTGCCAAATACGGTCATTTCGTCGGCCTACCCAAGCATTGCGTATCCGGTGGTCCAAAAGCGAGGCATACACCTCGAAGCGCAGGTTCAGTTGTTGTTCCTCCTCGCAGTGAACCTGTTCAATGGCCCACTTCTGGAGTCTGTGCGAAGGAATCGGGTTTGAGACGTCTGTAGGGAGTGAGGGAATGAGGAAGGGCAGAGCGCCTGTGGGGGATGCGTGGTTGTTGGAAGAGGTGACCTCGAAGTCGATTCCGACGAATTTCAGGTATGCCTAGACCGAGGTCAATTAGCACGGCTTGGGCGGCTTTTCACAAAGCGCGGCGACGCGCATGGAAGGACATACCTGCCACTTCAGACATTGGGGATTGAACGAGGGTCGGCCCTGTCGAGCTCCACGCGCATCGGTAAAGACAAATAGTTGATTGGCGCCATTGAACTGACAGCGCTGAGGGATCTCGTTTGCGGGATAGGTGGTCAATGGGAACTTGTCGAAGAGGCGCTTCACCGGAGCAGGCACCGTAAAGAAAGGCTTCCCCGGAGTGTCAGACATGTTGTGTAGGGACGTTGACAAGGAGAAGTTCGTCATCGAAACAATCACCGAAAGGACGCCAAGCCCAAACAGGAAGTCATTGCCTGACTTACCTAATGGGCCCAGGAACCGATCTCCCCGCACCTGGTTTGTCTTTTCGCCCTCTCTCTTTGCAGATTTTCGATTTCCTCGTGATAGATTGCGTATTCCGGAATTTACTGCGTCTGCGTTGGTCTTTCCAGCCGCCAAATCGGTCCTTTCCCGATCCCCCCGGTCAAACGTTGAACCTCCACTTCGTTCCGTCTCGACTCCACTCGGATCATCATTTTCTGAAGGTTCAACCACATGCACATGGCTCAGTCGCTGCAAATACCGAGGTGCTGGATTTAAGTGGAAACCGCAGACTGCATGGGCTGGGCGACGTACCAAAGCTTTGCGCATGCGACATCTTGAATCCACCTTGCGTCTCATAAACTCGACGGAATCATACATACCGTTGCGCCAATATGCCTCTCGACGAAGAAGGCGCCAAGTGGTCTTGGTATGACAATAGTATATCGATTTCAAATGTACCCAGACTAACCGATCCCAGTGAACCATGCATTCGAGGCCACCGGTCGTCAAAATGTCAACACTTTGATAGACTCATGATGAAGGTTCCCAAGGCTGGGCGTCCACTTGCCAAATGCCCTCATCCGAAGGGGACCTGTAGCTGCCAGAAGACATATGCCGTGATGGTTCGCATTCCGAAGGGTATCTCTTTGTCACCGGCTATACGTCCACATGAATCTCTTTGTGCTAACCTACCCCAGGTTCGTCTTGCCTGTGTCGGCCACTTTATGAGGTTCCCATGGATGGTAATGAACCCGCTCGATCTCCCACATCATCGACGCCTTCAGCTTCGTCACCGGCTCCTGGGAAAGTGCAAAAGTCCGGAAGGAGACAGAGCACCATGCAAGCAGCGCCACAGAACATTGCGCGAGCATTAGACAGCATGCCAGATAGCCTGAAAAGCGAGGAAGGAACGCCCCGACTTTTGTCAAGTCGCCCCTTGCAGTCTGAGCTTGATGCCTCGAGTAATCCCTCGGCCTTTTTGAAGCCTACCCAAGCGTCATCGCCCCTAGAACCCGCCAGGGACAGCTCGCAATCTCCTCCGGTATCGAGCTGTTGTTCTCAAAAGCCGAAGGCGCCTACCCCAGCACCAGCACCATCCCAGGCTCCTGCCAATGTCTCTCACTCTCAACCAGCCCAAAATGGAGGTTCCTGCTGCAGCTCTCGCCCTCCCGCAGCAAATCAACCCAGCCATCAAGACTCCAACAAGAAGGACTTCCAGCACTCTAATACTTGGAGCAATGAACCCTACATGCACCTGCCTGAGTCCCAGGTGAATCCATGGCAAAACCAACCAACCCATTCGCATGGAGGCTATATGCAACCCCCGATGGGCCGGGCACAACCCCAACAACATTTCTCTCAGAACGGATATTTGCAAATGTTGCCATCCCACTCTCCACAAATTTTAACTTCGCCACCGTCTATGGGCTATCACAACTCCATGAATGGCCTGGGCATCACTCAACCCTCACTGGACCCGTTTAGGCTAAACCAGCCCCAGTCTTCATTTGTTGCCCCGCCGAGCGGTGACCCCTGCCACGAATGTAGTTGCGGAGAAGACTGCCAATGTCTGGGATGTGCATCCCACCCCTTCAATACCACAACCCGAAAGCATGTGCAAGAGATGGGTGCAATGATCACGTTCAATGGTGATGAGACAAACTCGGATGCTATGAATCCATACCAGCCCGCGCCTTTCCAAGCCGGACCACCGTCAAACGGGTTCCCTTATCTCATGAGAAATGGGCCGTCTCTGGACCACGGCTTCCAGCCGCACTCATACAATGGTTATTCAGATCCCAATTCAGCTTTACCCAACGGCTACTCCTCGCTGGCGACAAACCACCATATGAACCAACAGCTGATGCACCCCTCGGAATATTACACCTTGGAATATCCTGTTGGGCTCCCAAGCGCCTGCTCCGATGTGACAGGCAGCTGCCAGTGTGGGAACGATTGCAGCTGTGTTGGATGCCTCACCCATAGCGGCCACAGCGGCCTCTCTTTGGACATGGCTGCTCCCGAACAACCCGTTTCTGAAACCGCGGCACTGCAGAACGCGCATCACACTCAACATCCCATTTCCACCTCTCGGCATCCAATGCTCGACGGCTTGTCTGTCCCATGCTTAAGCCCGCGCACCTTGGAGACTTCTATGATTTAGATGATCTGCAAGGTTGTCGCGTCGCAAATTAACTCTCCCCTCCTTTTCCTCGCAAGTTATGATATTCAATGATACCCTATCTAGAATTCGTCCTCTAGACGGCCCCAATGTTAGATTGCATGTTTTGATACAAATTCTTTTGGCGTTCCCTTCCACGATAGATCCCTATAGACTCTTCTTCTCGCTCTGGAGCATCCTGATAAAGGGGCCAACAACCCTGTAGCCCCGAGGTTTCGCAGGGTTTACTCTGATGTTAAGCACCTGCTGCGGCTTTTGTTGCTGCATAGAATCATATGTATGCTTTAATTTCACTCCAACTTTGAATTTTCCTACATCCAAGGCCCTTAAGAACCGTGCATGTGCGATTTTCTAATCAAATGCCATCATACTCCCCCTTTGCTTTCAGCATTAGGCCACAGGAGGGCATTCACTGATTGGTTTCAATGTACAATTACGCAGGTTTAATATGATCATCAATGCATTGGGGGATATCATAATTCTTAAGCAAAAGATAGTGTACAGATGAAAGATACCTTAGCACCCTATGAAAAGCCCAATCAGGCCTTGTTCCACTTGCCGAACTTCACATAGTCATCATAAAGCGACTTGAAGACAGCCCGACCAGAGACATCCAGCGCGGCATTCAGCGCACGCATGGACTCCCGGGACATGACATCCAGAGCAGCATAGAGACCAGGCATGATGGCAGCCTTGACATCCGGGGAAAGCGATCCGCGAAGCGAGCACTGCGCATATTCCATGACAACGTACTGCAGGTACTGACCGGCGATGCGCTTGGCCTTCTTTGTCTGATCGGTCAGGGCGTCGCGGGAAGCACCGGCCTGGGGACGAAGGACTGCCGAGACGGTGGGGTCGCAAAGGGACGTGAGCAGACGGGTGTAGTATGTGGCGTGCGAGGGCTCGAGGGGGGCAAGCCAGAAAGGTTGAGAAAGCGTGGTCTGAGTGCGTGGGGAGCGGCCACGCTTGCGGGAGCGGGCGAAGAGGCAACCCAGCAGGCGTTGCATGGCATTGATCACGAGATGAAATCGGCCACCGATCTTAAGACGCTGGAGACTGAGCACAACGCCCATGAGGCGACACAGACGTGTGTAAATGGTTGGGGCGTAGGTGGAAGAGATCTGCGGCCCGACCTTGGAGGAGGCACTAGCGATGGCGGCCAAGATGGCGTCAATATTGCACTGGGACAAGCAACGGGTGTGGCTGCGGAGGAGTTGATCAAGACACTCGGATGCGAGACAGAACTGGTCGATGCTTGTGCTCTGCGCGATAGCTTCGGCGAGGGCCGTGCATAGCAAGGAAATCTCTCGTGCTGTGGCGCTCTCCTTGTCTTCCACGGCGGGGAGCGAGGCGACGGCAAGATAAATGACAAGAAGTCTATATGCTGCGTTTTTGTCAAGCAAGCCAAGCCCACGAACTTCACAAATCGCTTGAGTGATTCTGTCGATGGGCATGGAACGGAAGCGTTCGGTCGTAGTTCGGATGAAAAGCTGCTGGTCTTCATCATAGAGAGATTGGAGGCTGAGGGTCTCGGCGCATTGCAAGACTGGCTGGGCAATGTTTTTCTCCGGACCTTTGCTGGCGAGAAGTCGGCGTCGAATCAATCGCGATGGGCCTGAATCAATGGACATTTCCATGTAATTTTCGATCTTCGATAAGAATTTTTCCACTTCAATGTTGTTGGTGGCCAAATCTTCGAAATCTTCGAGGGCATCAATCGTTTTGATGAGAGTGATCGTCTCCTCCAATTTGCCCTTCTTACACTGGTCTCTGACATACTTCATGTCTGCCAAAACCAAGTCAAAGACTTTCTGACGGCACTCGCTCAGTTCCTTCTCGGAGAAAGCGGAGTGCAATTGCTTGCGGTGGACCCAAAGTTCTGACAAAGTCAATCGCAAAAGGAAGCAAGCCATAGAGTCCCGGTCCACCTGTCTCATCTTTGAGGTTTGTTTCGATACTCTGGCGAAGAGCTTCTTGAATAATTTCTTCTGGTCCTCGTCTGACAGAACCAGAAGCTTGGCTAGAATAGCACGATACAAGCCTCGGAATGCTTTCATGATCAAGAGGTCAAGATCAGTGCCCTCCAATGGCACTGCACGCGCAACTGTCCAGATGGGCTCCCAATCACTGGTCAGCGTGGCTTCGCACTTTGGCATTGCAGACAGTTTGGCCATCATGGTAATGATACCAACCAAGACTTCTGGAGAGCTATCTTGCTGTAGCAACACATTCTGCAATTTATTCAGAATGTTGGTTCTGAGACCCTTAGTGATCAGTGGTGCCGGTACTCTCTGCAGACTTTCGACAAGGAGCCGGCGGTTGGAAGAGTCTTGCTCAATGCTCTCGTTCAGAAGAAGAGATAGATCGGAGACGATGAAGGGGGCGTTGAGCATGTACTCGTGGCAGACCACGCTTGCCCACGCTTGAAGGAACCTTGCTTCTTCCGCGACGGCTTCTAGAGGCAACGAGGATGAACGATATTGAGCAGCTGCCAAAGATAAGATGTGCCGGAACAGGCGCGATCGATCATCGGAGCCAATGAGAGACCATACTTCTGGGACTCTGACAAGTGCGAGGAAGTAAGCCAGAGCAAGGTTGGTTTCCGTATTCACGGTCTCTGTCCGGCCATTCCAGGGCGCCTTCATGGATTTCTTGGCATCTTTAGCCGAGACAGAGGTGATGAGGTCTGTCACATCCTTGGAGCTCTTGATAAAAGACTTGAGGTGGACATCACTGGCGTGGGCTTTGATGGCGGCAATGGAGAACCGGTAGGCCTCCCAAGATTCCAACGAAGCAAGTTGCTTTTTGGTCAAGTCCTTGTGGTTGCGATGAACAGTCTTTTCGGCAACTTCAATCATTCCCATGATTGACTGCGCCAGTTCAACGTTGGCCGACTGTAAAGTGTTCTCCAGGAGATTTCGCAGCAAGCGCCACAAACGCCATCTCCAGTGCAAAGCCTGTTTGGAGGAAAGAGTCGAACTCAGGGTCTCAAGAAGAGATGACAGGATAGTGTCAGAATCCAAAAAGGGTGAAACACGGCCACAGAAGCTTGCTTCGACAATGACCAGCTTCGCGTAAGATTGAGCACTTTCAGCAACCTTGCCAGTCTCGTCTCTTGTCTCTTTAGCGGCCGTGGCCATTTGAGCAGCAACTTGCGACTCGGTAAGAGAAGTTCGCATCAGCTCCGCATAAGCATTCGAAAGATCATCATCTTCCCAAACCGAGAAAAGGCTCAGATTGCTATTGTCCTGACGAGCTTCTTCAATGGCAATGAGTTGATTGTGCCACACTTCCATGAAAGTAGGCAGGTCTCTTGCCGCAGCAAAACCTCGCAGCAGGGGGATCACAATCTTATCTTTGATCACGTTGTATTCCTTCTTGCTTCGGGCACTGTTCTCGCGCCAGTTCACAATGACTTTGTCAAGCAGTGCGTCGAGAAGCTTGCGGGAATCACGTAAACCAGAGTTTGGTAGGAAAATATCAACACCGAGACTGACGAAAAGCGCTGTCACGTTCCATTGAACCTTTTCAAGGCCTTCTTCAAAGAGGCCGGTGTAGTTGGCATGTGCCATGATGGTTTGCAAAGAAAGTCCGACATTTCGATCGAAGGCCACTTGGAGAAGCTGCTCCAATACCGAGATGAACTTGGACGAAAACGTTGCGAAGTCTTCCTCCTTTGCTGTCGAGAATGAAAGCTCTGCAACAGCAACGAATAAAGTCTCCAGCCATGGGGCTTCATGTGTCTGACGACGAAACACGTCTCTAGGTACAGCGCGCACAGCATTGTCGAAAAGCTCGGGAAGGAGCTCGACTGATCGCCAGGGGTGCACGCATCCATCGTTGGATGCTTTGTTTTCTTTGGCCACGGTAAATTCACGAATGATCGGTCTGAATGTATCTGTAATCGGCTTGACTGGGCTCCAGTCAGGCTCATCTTTAGAATAGTCAATCCCAGATCCTCCACGCTCAAAGAATGCCGCGCGAGCCGGAAGTAAAACATGAAGAGCTAGGATGCGCTCAACTGAATGGAGGAGGTGGGCGCGCTCATCAGTATCGAGTTTGACTGAGCGCACACAGTGTTGCAACCGCAGTCCATGGGCAAAGCAGTGTCTCGCGAAAAATTCATTGCTAGATTTGTTGTCCGCATCGTCCTCGCGGTAGGATCTCAATTCCCACAGCTCCACCACAGAGGGAAACACATAAAGCAGGTGCTGCAGATCGGTTGTTTGTCCAGCGTGTGAGAACTGCTTTGCGGCCATGGCGGCCACCCTGAATGATCGACCGAGCAACATGGCTACAGCCTCGGGCTCACCCCTCAGTGCAAGCTTCAGGTGGGAATTCGCGACCCCATCAGTGCTGATAATCCGTTGTGAAAGGCTCATGAATCCATGAAGACAGTCAAGTGCGCGAATAAATGCAAGGAAGCATGCTGCGGGGTTCTGTCGCTGCTTGTCCTCCTCCATTGGGTCTGCGTCGGTCTCGGTCGTCATTCTCTTGCGCTTCTTTCCATGGCGATCATCACGAGCCGGAGAACCAGTAAGCGTATGGCTAGACTCGGAGTCAGAGCTCAAGTTCGCAAGCCCATTCCCGAGGCCAGCAAAGATGTCGGTTTCCAGATCTGCAAACGTGTCGCAGAAGATCGACAGGAACTTTTGATCCTTGAGAACGGCAGCAAGGTTTTTGGGTGAAATGAGGTTGATAAGCTGTCGCAATAAAAGGAACGAAGCCGCGTCCACTCTGTAGTTCTTGCCGGTCCGGAGTCTCTTAAGTAGCCATCGTAGAACCCATTCTTCCTTCGGGGTAGCGTTTGTTGGAATCGAAATTTCCCGGTGTACTTCTGGATGACTCTCACACAGAGCCAAATCTAAGCCAAGAATCTGCGCCGCGTCGTATAGTTGGGTGGTGGGACTGGCGGTGCCCTTCTCGAGGCGGAGGAGCGCCTCTTGCGAAGAGCGCGGACGCTGTTAAAGGAGCTTGTTAGAATTCTGGGGCAAAAACATGCATAGGATCAGTATAATGCATGCTTACCTCCGCAAGCAACGGCATCTCAAATATAGCAAACTCAGGTGAATGGTGAGTGATCTCGTGGAGGGTAAAAAAAAAGAGACCAAAAAGAAAAGCCGCAGATATCTCCGACCGCCTTTGCCCGAATCAACTCGGTCTGCTGCAACACGCCCTCCTTGCACTACTCACGCCTACATTTACCTCTGCAATTCCGTAACATTGCACCTTGTAAGTTTTCTAATCGACAAAAATAGCTTGAAACAGAGCTTGACTAACTTTTTTGCTGTCAGATACCTCGCAATGGCTGAATCCAACGAATCCGGGCCGATCGCGCGGGCTACCAAGCCTGTCAGCGAAGCTCTGCTGAACGAGAAGGTATGCGCTTGTCCCGACTCATAATACAGGAAGCTATACTTCCTTCTTGCAACTATGAGCTCTGCGATAAATTCCACTGAAGCGCACGGGAGGATTTTCCGGCTAACCTCGACTTTGAATGTTTAGTGGGACCGCGCCATCTCTTCCGTCATCATCAAGTCCTCCCTCGGTCTCTCTTTCGGTGTTGTCTTCTCGGTTCTCCTGTTCAAGCGCCGTGCTTGGCCCGCGTGGGTTGGTCTCGGTTTCGGAGCCGGACGTGCCTGGGAAGAGGCTGATGGTACGTTTACACCCATGCCCATATAGATTGCAAACTTCCACGGAAGCACGAGGTCAACCGGAAGCTTGGAGTCGGCCTTACAGAGACACTTCGGAGCTTGTGTACTACAATGTTGCACCATTACACAAGGTCTTGACTGGCCCGGCTATCCGCTTTTCCCCGATCTCTTCCCGAAGTTCGAGTGTTCCTGCGCTAACGGTTCTCCAGCCTCCTTCCGCCGTGGTGACTCCCCCATCAGAGATGCTCTGCGCCGTTAAAGATGAAACTCGAGCGTGTACGATATATTGTACAGGAAATTAGGAACTCATCAATCGAAGATTGTCTTGGGCTCATAAGAATTGGTAGAGTGGGTGCTCACCGAGTGATTGTCATTGCCGCGCGAGGTGTTTCTTAGTTTTTGTTATGTCCTCTGGTTGAAGAAATACATTTTTGACCCCAGCCATTTTCTCCCGGCTGAGAATTTGTTCATCACACGCCATTCCCACATTGATTTTGTCAGGTCTTGATAAAAACTAGGCCAGGAAACGAAGTGCTCCATCAAGAAAAGTCACAGCTTCCAATTCTGCTTACTCGCCATGAATCAAGTGGTATCTAGTAAGGCCTCTCTACACCTGAGAATCGTAGATGTCACTGTCGTCTGCCACAATCATATGCAACTGCGGACAATGACCTAGGAAGCTGTCTATAGCTCCCAGCTAACATGCGCCCACCGCGTCGTGGATGTCGAACCTTGGAACAATTTGAAGCTTACCAAAAAAGTACAATTTGAATCCTTGGAAGTCTCGTGTGGTGTCTGGCACAGCGCACGAGGCTTAAAACCACGAGGTCGTCATTCCCACGAGGCCTGGCAAAGCTTGTTTGAGGTGAACTTGCTACATGGCGTGCTCGCAATGAAACAGTGTTGACACTTCACATATTGTTTGGCATTATGCACACATGATATCATAAGGCAAGTGGATTCATCGATCAACGACAAGGCGGGGATCACCAGGGTCGCACGAATCGTCATAGCACCACTGCAGAATCGATCCATGCATGCACGACGGGCAAATAAAAATGGTCTGGGTGATCACATTCGACTTTCGGAAACGGGATGATGAACTGGCGAGGTGTTTGTGTTTCTTCGCGGGGGGGTCGGGGTATTCATCCTTAACAGCCTTGGTATAAAATTTCCTAGTTGGATGGGTCCAGGCTCAACCCATTTGGACAGGGTAGATTATCCTGTCTGCATCATGGATCAGCTGTGTGGTGATGAGCTGGTCTGGCATCCCAAGGACATACTCGATGGCTGAGAACTAAATGCAATATAGTTCAGGGAACATCGAACTTGGAACCCACTTCGCAAAGAACATAAACGCTCAATACGAAGTCTCGCGTCTTTGATCCAACCTTAGCTCCTTCGCCATCCATTGAAAGAAAACCCGCACACTCTTGTTCAGAGCTTGACTCGGCCCAGGAGGCTTGGTGACTTCGCGATATTTCTGGAGGACATCCTCCGTAGACGCTGGCGGGCAACAGGGTCCATCGTCCCTTTTTTGGGCTCACCATGTTAGAATAGGCCCCCTCTGAACCTTGGAAGAGTAAATGGAGTTGGCTTTCCTCATTTGCTTCTGGCGTAGCTTGATCGCTTCCCTGTAAAGCGCGATTGGCACTCCCTGTCGAAAGGTGTAATTGCTGAATTGCTTGACAGCCCAGTAGATAGCTCCCGCAGATCCTCGAGTTCCAGTCCTTGGACTGATTGTTTCATGGTAAAGTGGCAACTTTGGTCAAATAGTTGCAAGTGTTGGGATGTGATTGTGGGGCAATGGTAGTACTAATGAATAGAGACAAATTCCTGGATAGTCCCAGGTAGTGAGATGGTCAGGTCGGGGCTGCAAGATGCTAAAAGTGAAGTGGTAGGAATTTGAAAAGCCGGCAAGAATTAAGAGTGGATATCTTTGAATTGAAGGTGTAAAGGTCAGGGGAGGAAGCGATCAAACATTTTGAAATGAAGTGAACAAGTTGGAAGCCCTCTAGTCTGGGGTACTAGTGCCATTGGTGGCATTTACCGAGCTCCGCATAGTGATTCAGCCAGGAAAAGGTCATTTCTATTAGGAAGAAGGGTAAACATAGAATTTGGGACTTGAAGAAAGTCAATTGCCCGAGAGTGGTGAGCTCATCCCGGCTACATCCCGGGGAACCTCGGGATCAGTGGACTAGGCCAATACTTAAGAAAGGAAAGAATCACGAGAATCCCCGAGGATCATGTGATTTGGGTATTACTCGATCACATCGAGTCAGCGGGGATTTAGCGCCTTTTTTCTATCTTTTCTATCTCCAGCTTTTCTCCATACTCCTGCGTGAGGTCAGATTAGATACCTCACCCAGCCAACCACAGGCTCGGTTGGCCCTCCACAGTGCCCAGAGTGGATCACGGGTCAAGGTTTCCTCAGATAACGGTTACTCGAGTCGTTCGGTCACCGAAAATGATAGTTAATTGTAATTAGCCCTGGCCTATGATCATGATCCAAACTCCCGAGCCATTCCAGGACCTTATCATGTTAGGTGATGTGAATATGAGTTCAGTTTCAAGGGGCCATTATAACGGTTGCTTCCCCTCGTGGCTTTCGGTTTCTTAATGCAAGACCCTGCTCCCCGCTTCTTATAGTCCATTTCTTGAACCTCAGACACTCAAAATACAACCTTGCCTTTGTTTAACTTTGTTGATAATCCCCTGGCAAGCACAGCCAAGCACCATGTTGAGCCTCAAATGGGCGCTGGACAAAGCGGCCGTCGAGAACGATCCAGGGCTCACCAATGCCCAAATGATGCTGACGAACAGTGACCTGCGGCCTGGTAAGGACTCATCACTCTATACCATTCAAAGAGGCTCTTTCTTAGAAAAGAGATGACCGAAAAAGCCGAGACTAACCTCCTATTCCTTGTAGTCGACCCAGAACGACGCCAATGGCGATGGCCAAACTATATTGCTTTTTGGATTGCGGATTCATTAAATATTGTCAGTACTCCCGTTGCATACTAAAGCTACAGTGAGAGTGATAGAGAAGTCGTATCTAACTCAAGTCTAGAACACATGGATGATTTCCTCTTCGATGATCGTCGACGGTCTTTCATGGTGGCAGTCATGGCTTTGTGTCTGGGTGGGATATTTCATAGCTGCATGCTTCGTATGCCTGACAGGTCGGATTGGTGCCGTGTATCACATTTCATTCCCGGTCACGGCACGCGCTTCATTCGGAATCTGGGGATCTTTCTGGCCTGTCATCAACCGAGTAGTCATGGCCATCATCTGGTATGGCGTACAAAGCTACATTGGAGGTGCGTTTTCCCCCCCAAAGTTCTAAATCATTGAAGTACAGGAGCTGACTGATTCTAGGCCAATGTGTGACTATAATGATTGAGGCTATTTGGCCAAGCTATCGAAACCTCCACAATGGCCTCTCGGCCAGTGCCGGCGTTGACACTAAGAATTTCCTTAGCTTCTTCCTCTTCTGGTTGTGCTCGCTACCAGCACTGTGGTTTCCAGTGCAAAAGATCCGTCACCTGTTTACAGTCAAGGCCATCTACTCTCCCATCGCCGCCATCGCCTTCTTTGCCTGGGCCATCTCTCGCGCTCACGGCCTCGGTCCAATCATCCACCAATCCAACACTGTCCACGGTTCCGACTTCAGATGGGCAATGGTGAAGGCTATCATGTCCTGTATCGGAAACTTTGCGGCCCTCATCATGAACAACCCTGACTTCTCACGCTTTGCACGGACGCCCAAGGACGCTACATGGTCACAGCTGCTCACTATTCCCGTTGGATTTGGTATCACCTCATTCATCGGTATCATCGTCTCGTCCTCGTCTTCGGTGATTTTCCACGACGGCTACACCTGGAATCCACTTGACCTTCTCGGAAAGTTCCTTGACGGGGCTAGTTCCGGACAACGCTTCGGCATCTTCATCATTGCCGCTGGATTCGTGCTTGCCCAGCTGGGAACCAATATTTCTGCGAACTCGGTCTCTGCGGGAACTGACCTCACTGCACTTATGCCTCGGTACTTGAACATTCGACGCGGTAGCTACATTTGTGCTATTGTCGGTCTGGCAATGTGCCCGGTAAGTAATGACCGCTCAATCAAAAGCACCTAAAGTCTGTTCAAGGTCTAACTCAGTCTTCAGTGGAATCTCGTTTCTACCTCCAACAACTTCACTACCTACCTATCCGCCTACTCCCTCTTCCTTTCCGCGATTGCCGGCGTTATGATATGCGACTACTACATCGTACGAAAGGGGTACCTTGACATCAGATCGCTGTACAGCAGCCACAAAACCGACCCTTACTACTTCACATACGGGTTCTCGTGGCGTGCCTACACAGCTTACATTTGTGGAATCATGATCAACATCGTGGGCTTCGCCGGCGCAGTCGGATGCGATGTACCCATCGGCGCACAATATATCTACAACGTGAACTACTTTTCCGGCGTGATCGTTTCGGGCACCGTGTACCTCCTTCTGACGTGGCTCTTCCCCATCCCTGGGACAAGCGCGATTTGGAACGAAGTCGATATCGATACCTTGGATCTCGACGTTGCATACGGGCAGGATCCTAGTGATTTGGAGGCTCACGGCGGGCGAACATCCTTTGATAAACTCTCGCTTGATCAAAAGGGTCCTAGCCCGTCTACACAAAAGGTTTGAGTGGGTTGGAATTGTTAAAACAGGCGTTACGGGTCATTCTGCTTTCCCATTGAAGTTTCGACTCGAGTCTTGTCACCGTCGAGCTGGCATCGATTGTACCTATAATTGCTCCAAACTTGGAGATATATATGATGATATGACAACATTGAATTGAACACGGGCTTCAGTCGTTTCAAGGTTGAAGCCCCAGCACGCTATCTATTCTGCTTTTCCCTATTCAACTACCTAGGTACTTGGTACCTATGTTCCAAGGTTCTCGAAGTCTCAGGTCGCGTTCTACCTCAGGTGAAATTGTTGCAGAAAGTTCCAACGCCTTCGGTAATCGCGCAATTGAGAGGACTCGCCCTCGTCCATTATATTGGAGTCGTCCGTGATATTGAAGGAAATCAAAAATATATAGGGGCCCAGCAAGCTCCCGATGTCTGTATGCTACTCCCGAAGCCCGGGTCTTGGAAGGTCTCTACTAGGTACAGCGTCACGGGTATTCGCTCAATTCTACATCCTGGCAGCCCTGGAAGCCCTGAAGGCAGACTAAAAAAACCGTTTCTCTTTGTAAGTTCCAAAGTTGGTCTCAGGTGCCGTTGTGCTGAGTCTGTCAAGCGTGGATCTATACGGCAGATCCTACCTAGGTAAGAGATGCGCATTCATATCAACATGATTCTGTGTTCCAGCCTTGGAAGGTTGGTTTCATTTGATCAGTGAGTGTCGTACCATTTTGGTGATGCCCAGGTATACTCGAACGCTGTCATGTCTGGGTAGACTTCATTCAATACTGAACTACAGTTGACGTTAGCCCTAGGGCCCACATGTCCTAGCCTCAGGTGGCCAGCCCTGGAGCCCCAGGGCTCATGGTTGCCGATGAGTCACAGGCTCCAGGGCTGGAATGCTCCGGGGCCCTGGATCGACTTCCAATGGAGATCCAGAAGTGCCGCGTATCATATTTCAATCCCACACACGGGACGATGTTCATGATGTAGTTGTTCCGAATTAATGTCGGTGAAAGTTTCCTATAGAAGTGAAGGTAAGGTGGACCGAAGAGGCTGAGTGCAAATTATGCCTTTGAAAGGGATCACCGAGCCTCCCGAGGCCCACGACAAGATACTCGAAACCCGATGAGAAACAGGCAAAATACGTACGAATCTTGTAAGAATCCCAGCCGAATTACAGCAATACACGTCGCGGCAGCAACACAGCCCGGATCCACAATTGCACCATGACATTGATACACAATGTGCATTGTAGGGCTTAACAGGTTTCCAACGCGGGAACGAGTTCAGCACCGCCAAGGCCGGACCACAATTTGCTGGCAACGGCCAATTTGGGGCCATTGGGGCGACCCGCGCGTCGTATTCAACACTTCTCAAACACTCTGTGGAAAGTGAAAAATTGCCGTTTGGGACTGCTTGAGATTCACGGTCTGTGTTCTGCGTTTCGTTTGATTATTATTTTTTTTTTTGCTTGAAAAAAAAAAATCGCCACTGAGAGCAAACCCCGGATGTACGGAGTCAGGAGTTCGCGTTTCGCGCAACTACCGAGGTGGGTGAAAAAGCCTTCGATGAAAATTCTGGAAGCCACGTTGTCCACTGTGGGGATTTGATTCATGATCGCAGATTCAAAGGGGTTATTTTTAGCCCTAGATCTGCGACATATGGAGCCTGGCTTTGACGAGTCACGTTGCGGTCAGGATCCGAGTGTTTGGTGTAAAGTGAACGCGATGTGCTTGGTCGTCTAGGGAGTGAGATTCGTAAACCTGATTTATTAGATTAAGGCAAAGGACCCAAAAAATATGTAGTATATTGTTACCTGGGATCGTACGAAGTCGGTGCACGCGGGATGGAGTTGAAACATCTTTAGCTAACAACAGATAGGCTAGCTTCGGGAACGGCGTGCACGCTTGTGACGGCGTCCCCGGGCTCTTTTTCCTAGCCTTGCGACCTGCCCCGCTGGGGCTGAGAATGGTACAAGTAATGACCGGTCAACTGCTTCAGGATGCCGGCGTCGGCTTACAACCCGCACTGGTAATTCCAGGCATGGGCACGGCCAATCGCAAGGCTGACGTTAGATGTGTGAGGGTCAAAAGAGCCGCTTGGGACCGAAGAATCACATTACCAGCGGAAAGATCGGTCGGCAATATCGATTCCAGCAGATATATGCCCAGCCACAAAACCCAGTGTGTTGGGAAGAAGCCTGTTTTGCTCAACTTGACGGATCATGCGGCCCATTCCGAGTGGCCGTGGTTGTAGTTGTTGCGATATTCTGTCCTTCCGCTTTGCCGCTCTCCCGCGATGCCGCTCACTGAGTACAAAGTAGGGCGTGGCAGCTTGAATGAGCGGGTGTAGCATGGTTTGTTTCCGAATCATGACCCTGTCGCAATGTTCAGTATTATGGGTCATACGACCGCATTTCTGCCAATGAGACGCTTGGTAATTGCCGGGAGATTATCCAGACATCCTGCAGGTCGATCCTCATGTACGGAGTAAATGTCGGATGAGCTCGATGCCGGAATCGGCAATGGTAACAGGAAGCTCACTGGAGCAGAGGACAAAACTCAAAGTTCAACGTTGAAACAGGCGATGGCATCATGCCGGTTCCGGGATGTCGTCCCCTGAAGCAAGAGCGTCATTTCCATCAGGCCCAGTGCGAGTCGTAATCGTTGACTCTGGTGACACAGCCGAAGACGGGCGAGCCATCAAAATTCCATGATCAAGTTGCACCAACAGGCCTCAGAAATGATGTGGGAGATTCATCCCAGGGTGAGTCACATGCACCTCCAGCAACAAACGGGAAAAAGGCAAAACACAGCAATGCAACATGAGAGCGAAGGAAGAGATACATCTGCCTGCTGCAGCCGGAATTGCAATGTGGCATATGGCACTCCGTACCTGTAGGTAGCTCCCTTGGTGATCAGCCACAAGTCCAATGGGGGCGGCGCTGACAGGCGCCGCCAATGGAGACGCAGGCCCGGGACGTCACATCAACAGGGGAGGCCCGAGGATGGCGGGATGGCTCGTTGGTGTGGAGCTGGAGCTCCCCCTGTTTCGTTTAAATGAGGAATTGTTGTGAAACGGACCGGGCAATTTGCATCAGACTCCCCCTTGGAAGCACCGAAGACGCATCGAAGAAACGAAAGCGAACCGGGCTGGTAGTGGCTGCTGGCAGTTGGCCAAGACGAGGTAAGGTGCTTGAGATGTGCCTGTTGTGTGTTTTCGCGATGGCTTGCTTTTCTCGCGCTGCCCAGACAATAATTGTTTTGGGGACTTCTTCTGAGTAGAAACCTGCCGACGTGCATGTGCCCGAGCGGGACTTCGTTTGCTTGCCAGTGGTAACCTCAGACAAAGGAACCTAGTTAGTCTTGAGCTAGTGCGGTGCATGTTTAGGCTCCTTCGTTGCCAAGTACAGAGTACTCCGTATATATCAGGCAATGAGAGATGGACATGGATTCTCGCGTCCAAACATGTGTATTGCGTCCATACGGAGTACCACGGTATCGAATCTGCCAACTGTCATTTGCAAACCACAGTGTCTGTGTATTGAGGCGCAACGGTTCCATTGCCCTGGGACTTCAGGGCAGAGGTAAATTACCGTTATTTCAAGTTTCGCGTCTTTACTGAAATTCCCAAACCCAAATCTTAAATGCTTAGTGCAATCGGGGGAAGGGAGAACTGAAATTGCATTGGAATGAAGATGCGCCCCTTCCGTTCTCTCCTGAAGATCAGGCCGTAGCTCGGTCTGAGGGCTCTCTTTTTTTCGCCTCAATGGATCACTACACCCCTGAGCGACAGCCCCTACGGAGTCGTTTGTACTATACTCCGTACTCCGTACAAATGAAAACTTTTGTCGTACCGGTACGCAAAACGATGTAATACCGTAAGTTGACGAGATTTCTATTTGGTGTGCGTCTTCATGATGTCATCACCTTTCCAGGCCCCGAACTTCCAGGGTTGTCTGGACATCTGGACTGTCCGGGGCACATATCAGCTCGGAATACAGGATTAAAACACCGCAGCGCGAGCTTTTGATTTTGGGGAATGTCTTTAGGAATATCTTCCCTTCTCTTGTAGGAATTGAGGCCCGATTCAATGAAAGAGCCCCGCGATTTCGGCGAAGATCAAAGGAAACCACGGGGAATTCTGGTAATTTACCTATTATTTTTCTTTTTTCTTTTTCATCGTGCAATTGCCCTCTACTCCGTACCGAGGTGTCCCATCTGAGGGGGTCGTCAACAAAAAAAGCGGGGTGTCGTCATCCAGGGCCGTTGATCGCAACAAGGAGCGGCTGCGAGATTGACGGATTGGTATGTAAGTATGGAGTACTCCGTACGGAGTACATGCGCATCAAAAATGGAGTGCAGACTTAGTTCGGCATAGGCCTCTCTAGCTTCATTGGAATTGAGGCCATTTCCGGCGCGCAGACTAGTGAACTCCCCTACGGAGCACCGTCTTTGGCGAACCGACTGCCACTTCTCATCCCATCTCCCAATGTCTGAGACAGCGTAATTTTGGCTTTCCAGAAGAGAACATTGGAAGACACGTAGAACAACATTGGAACCCCTGAAGCGATGACATACACCATAATACACTAGTTTGTCCTATCTCAAAGAACGACCCTGTCAAGTGGGCCGAACGGCGTTAGTCCCCCACCGAAGCCAATGGAGGCCGCTAAGAATCCTTGGAAATTCGGTAAGACATTGAGTCCACCTCGCAAAACCAATTTGATTCCCAGCCTGTTCTTTACACCGGCCGGGGGATCCGAAACAACCCCATTCGCGATTGGACAGAGGTCCCAGGTTGGACCGCTGAGATTACTATACTGTGACGGCGTTAAGACCAAGCGCCCAATAAAATGCGACACTGGGTCACGGGGATGAGATTGAAACACGTTCGCGATTTCGCGATTTGATGGGACGATTCATACACCGCATCGGACTAGTAGACGAGGTCATAGATCGCACGTCAGCGCTGGAAGCTCTTTTCCATGCGAAGCGTGGCACGACGAGCTTTGACAACCCTTTTCCCGTCTGCGGCCATCATCGATGATCGTATTTTGTCGACAACCCGCCTCAACCCGCCTGATTGGTTACAGTGGAGCCCGTTCAATGGGCTACAGCACCTTGCCCAGGTGGACTCATACACACACGGTTTGCACCTGGATTACGGAGTCATATGGAGGCCACTAGCAGAGGCGGTCAAGATTCATTTCATTTTGGCTAAAGATCGTAGCCTGATCACCGAAGAGTGGCTCAACGCATCCTTGCTTCAGCCACCGCTCTTTGCTACAGAGTGGGGTTGTATTGGCGATAGGGCAGTACTGATGGTCATCGAATGGCTGATCGAGCGCCATGATGTTTTCACTGATAACGTGGCGCTTTTGGATACATCATCGAATAATCTCGGAATTTGTCTTACTTGTACGAAGTAAGCCTTGGTCTACTCCAGGGCTCCGTGGTTATCCCGTGGTCGTATCCTGTGAGAGTGCTTTCATTCAACCCGCCACACCCGCTCGGTACAATGTACAGTATGTTGATAGCGCACGGATACGTCGGATAGAAGGCACGCAAGTATTGGCTCTGATTCCAAAGGCGGCTGTGGAGTAATTGCCTGATAGGGCGGACGAGTCACTTCATTCACTTGGTGTACTCCGTATTCCGCTTAGGACTGCCCACTTCCGAAGCCACAACCCTAAGACACTGGAGAAAAGGCAACAAAGAAACGTCACTAATAGTATCACAGGGAGTGGTCCTTCCGTGATATCTCCAGAGAGGGTTTAAGTTTTATTCTCGGGGACCATCCATGGATATCAACGGGACAAAGGATCGATTTCTTTATGATACGTGTTCATCGGATAGATAACCATGATCAACAACATGAGCTGAGGTTTGAACAAGATCCTTGTCGGGGCAACTAGGTTGATGCGGCTGCTAAACCCGGAAGATGTTACCTCAGACGCTGTAAGGTCAGTTGCATTTGATACAGCCAGCCCACCCGGGTTACGTGCAGCTCGGGATCAGAAGGACAGTGGTAATCTGAGGGGTAAGGGGACTCTGCCTTTCTCTCCCGGCTGCAGCGGCTGAGATTTGTGAAGAATTGACGAAATCAAGGAAATGGTAAAGCACGGCATCGCCAGCTCATCAATCCTAACGGCTGCGGGGTTAGCAGGGCGATATCAACCCCGCAGATGGTTGTATATTGTACAGATACTGCAGGCTTCAAACCAAACTATATCATGTACTTCTGGTATCTCGGTATCCTTGACATACATTACGAAATATAGAGTACAGAGTACGGGCTGAGAGATATCATATGAATATCACGAAAACCGCGCAGGAAATGCGGGTCTTGTAGGGCAAAAGAACCACTAAACACTTGGCTTGCAAGTGGTGACAAAAAAGTCCGATTTTTGAGCATGGAATCCAGTGTTCGTAACAGGACGGAGACAAGACAGACTTCCAGACATGATATTTTCCATAACCAGAAGAGAAAAAGAAAAAAACCAAAAACCCCTTAGCTTGGTTGGCCCCACAGCACCGCCCTAACCGTTTCACTGCCACAGCAAGCCTCACCGTCTCAGGGATGACATGACATTCTAAGTCCACCTAATCCGTCCTCCGGGCCTTTCTATCCTTTGTCCTATTGTAGATGCAAGGAACCCAAGGGATTTGCGGTGTGTGTACCCCCATCAACCCTCTATTTATTTTCATGTAGAAGGGATCCCGTGAGATACAGCGTCATCGTCTGTCGCACTGTGCCTTTGTTATGTCTCTGGGCACCTTGGGCAGAGATAGACGCCCGACTAGTCAACTACATGAGCACAAGGGACAAGACTCCCGGATATGTACAGGTACGACAGTGAGGGCCGGAAAGTATAATTCGAGGATATTTCGAGATCAAAACGCAAGAAATGCAAGAATCCGAAGGTTCCGCATACCTTCCCCGGGACCGCTCTGTCGGTGCTGGGCGGGAATTACACCGAGGTAATACAAGTAAATATGACATTATATGTGGGTCAGTTACAGGCGAAGTATGCTTTTAACATTATTGTTGTACAACCTAATTCTCGGAAGAGATGAGAAGGGGAGAAAAAAAGAAAAGAAAGAAAGGTAGATCCAATTGTGGGGGAACTGGAGCCCGGCGCTGTGTCAGACTATAGAGGTTTGGGTGAATAGACTGCTATTTTTACCCACTATAATCCATAGTCCCATAATCTCTCCGAGCGCTTGAATGAAAAGATTAGCCCCCCTTTTTCGTAACAATTTTAGCCCTACACCGCAAAACACCCCATGTGTACTGATAGGTACAGAGTAGCCTTCGATTATACGAGTAATGTCCGTCGTCATCCGTCTAGTGTTCCCGTCCAACGCACCTGAAACACAGATCGACCCGTTTTGGTAGATAACATTCCCCAGAGATCCTAGGGATCGCCCAATGACACCGAGCAACGGGGTCTGCCCATCTTCTGGCGTGCAGTCATTCCACATCGTCATCCGGTGGTAGGCAGCTCTTAAATTTGATAGGCACTTGGGTATTGAAGTAGTACCTAACTGTGGTAAAGACATCCCTGGGTTGAAATGAGCAAGTAGAAGTGCGTTGTCTCCGGTTCTGGTAGTATTTAATCATTTCAGAAGCACATCCCCCTCTTTTTTTTTTGCCTACTATCGGTTATTTCTTTTTTTGCTTTTGCCTCTTTATTGATCACAGATCTCAGCCTCATTTTTCCTCGCAGGACTGTGGCTAGACTACTCCGTCCTGAGTCGTATCAGATCTGCCCCGTTCCACCCCTGGAGATAATCCAAGGTTGTCAGACCATCAGATCTTTGCTGGGATATATTGATTCTCGACCGTCTCAGCCGAAACCGAGCATCCGTGTCAATCCCGCAGGGACTTTGAATACTTGTTTTTAAAACCCGCCAGAAGCAAAGAAAGGCAAAGATCACGAAAAAATACGCCATACACCGAGTCGCAAGAAATACATTACATCAAATACCGGTATCGAATACGACGTTTCGCAATACACTATCGTAAGTACCACAGTACCCACTGTAGCTTCAATTCGTGGAGGACTCATTGATTTAATAATTTATTTCTCTCCCCCTTCATCTTCCACCTCCCTCCTTGAGACAAAAAAAAATATATTGACTCAGACGATAAGGAAGACCGGTTCCCTTTCCCTTCTCTTGCATAATCATTTCAGGCTACCGCCGACTTTCGCAATCCTTCAACTCGCATACGGACTTGTGGCCACCACGTAACCGTGCAGCAACTGGATCAGCTCACGGTGACGCTCAAAACGGCACTAGACAATCCAACATCAGCGTCTCCTTAACTCGGTCCAGTCGCCTACTGCTCGCCCTTCCCTTTTCGACCTCCTGCATCCACTGCGTTGGCAACCCTGTCGCAATCCCCGATTTTCATCGCATTCCCCCTGCCCAAGCTACGACGCGCCAGGGAAAAATCGCGGGTGTTCCCATCGCCTGCCGCATCACTAGTCTCCAAGTTTACCCAATTGCGCACAGCTCCCGTCGCAGAACGAGATTACGTGACAATCATCCTGCATTTTGCTCGCTAGCGCCGTCGACTTCCGCAGACACGCAAAGCCGGTTCTTGGGGCTCTTTTCTTTTGGGAACTCCAGGGCCGATACCTGCATGCGCATTGCATCCGGCTTCCTACTCGCTACGGAATACGCTATTTAATTTCGAACGGCATCCACGTCTCGTCCCCGGTTTGTTCGTTAATTACACGATCAATTGGTCCATATCGCAATACATCCCTCATCCGGTGCAAAGCAGTAGCTTGCCCCACGTACCGGCAGATCGTTTGGCTCAAAGAGGGGGCTAGCATCGGTATTATTGGAAGACAATACAACAAATCAGCCAGGCTCCGAAAGAAGAAGGACAATTTGCGGACCATAACGCTGAGGCTGGAGATCATACCCCGTGTGTCGTTTGTGACGTCTGTCTCAAGTGGTCAGCGCCGTGCTGAGAAAATCCCCTCTGAGAGATTGACCGTTGCACAGGGCCAGTGCCCTTTGCAATTGTTATCAGGGACCGCTCTGAGTTCCCCACACCCTTTGGTGCTTCGGTCTCTTCCCGTGGGCTACCCTCCGGCAGGGCTCTCCGCATTGCATTCAAGTCTGGTCAAGATGCAGCAGAGTTCAAGAACAGTGAACTTCTGCTGAGGACGTGGCTGAACGGCTCTTTTATTTTTCTATTTTTGTCAACCTGCGTCAGAACATACTCTTTCCGTTTTGGCTCAGATCGCATAAACATTTGACAGGCGGCAGCCTTGCGAACCTTGACAGCAGGCTGGTCCCCTACGCTGTTACCCATTCGTCCATTTCTGAGTCCAGGTGACTCGGACATTGGCACGGTTCACGACAGGCTTGGATTGCACCTATCGACAGCTGAGCTGTCGTTTCTGATAGATAGTCATCATGGCATATGCTACGACTACCTCTCCGGTTCTGGATGCCGACTCTCAATCCAGCTTAAAGCTTGCAACATCTCTCCCTCAGCCGACTTCCTTACACCATGTTGTCACCTCTCTACCTACTGGACAACAATTCTCCAACACTACACACTCTGGACAATCGTCCTCCAACGCGCCCTCTTTCACGTCGTCTCCAATCTCCACACCAACATCATCCTTCCCTGCCCCGGACACTCCATATGCTTTCACCCCTGCTGGTACACCATTCCAAACCGCCAGCGAAGGACTCCGTGGCCGAGTGACTGGTCTATCACTGCCTACCCCAGGTCCTCTCGAACTGGGTGAATCTATGATGGCTATTCCCGGCAATGCGAACCCATCCAGCTTCAATGATCCCGCAACCTCAAAGGCGCCGGGCCTGATGCGGCGGATTTCCCGCGGTGCTGCCAACAAACTTACTCGTAGAAGACAATCCGCAACCCAGAACGAAAAGCGGGACCGGAGCACTGGCCCCATTATCATGCGGCGCCGCAGTGACAGTAAAACCGGAACACAGCCCGTTCGAGACAGCGCGCTTGACTCCAGCAACGAAGACGAGACAGGCGAAAGTCTGGACAATCTGGGCGCCTGGGGCGGCTCGGAGGCATCCAGCCTTCGAAGTGAAAGCCGCATGTCTGCTGCTCGCGAGGCTGGACCTCCTGCTGCGGTTGTCATCGCCCCCAAGGTCGACTCAGCCGTTCAGCGTGGTACTGTCCTCACAAAAGTTACCAAGAAGCGGAGAAAGCAAGTGCGCTTCTTCCTGGACCTTGATGCTGCCAAGGTCTTCTGGGATGTTTCCAATCCTGCCAAACGCTTCTACATTGATGACATCAAGGAAATCCGGGTTGGTCCTGATGCTCGCAATTATCGTGAAGAGCATCAGATCCCGGAGGACTTGGAGCGTCGCTGGTTTACGATTGTCATCGCTGATTCCGATCGCTCCAAGGGCCGTACGGTGAAGACTTTGCATCTCATTGCCCCCAGCGACCGGATCCTCGACCTGTGGATCACCACACTTGAACATATTTCTCGCTACAGAATCGGCCTCATGGCCGGTCTCGCTGGTTCGAGTCAAAGCGAAGCTGTTCTGCAAGCTCACTGGCAGCGTGAGATGACAAGAATGTTCCCCCAAGGACTTCCCCCAGCAGACGAGCAAAGTCTCGACCTTGCTGCTGTGGAGAAGGTATGTCGCAGTCTGCATATCAACTGTTCCAAGAATATGCTTCGGGCACAATTCACCAAGGCGGACTCTGCACGAAACGGGAAACTCAACTTTTCCGAGTTCAAAGATTTCCTCATGCGCTTGAAGGAACGAAAAGACATCAAAGATCTTTTCAAGCATAACACCGCAAACACGAAAGAAGGCATGACCCAGGACGAGTTCTTGACTTTCCTTCGTGATGTGCAAAATGAAGACATTGATTCCGATCGTCCTTATTGGGCTGCACTGTTCGACAAGACTGTTCGACGCTCCACCAAATCCCGAACCCCTTCAGCTGAAGGGTCTGAACTCATCCCACCTGTGATGCATATGAACTTGGACTCATTTGCCACATTTTTGGCTTCGCCCAGCAATGGTATCTATGCATCCCGTGCTCCCCAGTCGAGATTTGACCGTCCATTGAACGAGTACTTCATCTCGAGCTCACACAATACGTACCTTCTGGGTCGCCAGGTAGCTGGTGCTTCAAGCACCGAAGCTTACGTGAGTGCACTTCAGCAAGGGTGTCGCTGTGTCGAAATTGACTGCTGGGATGGTGCGGATGGACGCCCCATTGTCTCCCATGGCCGAACTTTGACTACCAGCGTTCTCTTCGCTGATTGCATCACTGTCATCAACCGATATGCGTTCATCTCATGCGATTTCCCCCTGATTCTCTCCCTCGAAGTTCACTGCAATGCGGAACAGCAGTTGGCAATGGTCAAGATTATGAAGGAGACATTCAAGGACCAGCTCATCCTTGAGCCCTTGATGACCAACTGTCACATTCTCCCATCGCCCGAGGAATTGAAGGGTCGCATCCTGGTCAAGGTCAAGACCTGCGATGAGGCCGAATTCGATCCTCGCCAGGACACAGTCAGCTCTGTTGGCACACACGGCCGCAAGCGCAGTGCCAGTACGCCCTTCGTGCGACCCGCACCTTCAGACTTGCCCCTTCCATCCTTGTCCAGCCCCCCTACTATTGCATCTGTCGACAGTATTGGTCCTCTCATCTCGCAGGACAGGAGATCTCTCACTGCGACTAGCATGAGCAGCGCGACCGAAGATAGCGACGGGGCTCTTGTGTCCATCCACAACGACAAAAAGAAGAAGCGACGCCAGAAAAGCAAAATCACGAAGCCCTTGTCCGACTTGGGCGTTTACACCCGGGGCTACAAATGGCACAGCTTCTCATCTCCGGAGAGCAGGCGCTACAACCACATCTACTCATTCGCCGAACGCTCTTTCGAGGGCATCACTCAGAACCATGACAACAAAGTTGCACTCGAAACGCACAACCGCAAGTACCTAACCCGAGTCTATCCTTCCGGGTTCCGACTTCGCTCCTCGAACTTCGATCCGAACAAATTTTGGCGCCGTGGTGTGCAGATGGCAGCATTGAACTGGCAAACATACGATATCGGCATGCAAATGAACCAGGCTATGTTCGCGGCTGGCACCGACCGCACAGGTTACATCCTCAAGCCTGAGAGTCTTCGCCTGCCCGCAAGCGAAGATGGAACCCAGAAGCGCAAGACGGAGCGCAAAATGGTTCGCTTCTCAGTCGATGTCATCTCCGCCCAGCAGCTACCCCGCCCTCGTACAATTGGCCAGGACGACAGCATCAATCCTTATGTCGAGATCGAGATGTTCAGCGCGGATGACCGCGGCCAGAGTTTCGTTCTTGGTGAGGGTGGTATGGATGCTTCGGCTCGCAATGGCATGTCTGGAATTGGTTACCCACACCGCCGGCGCACCAAGATCGAACAAAGCAATGGTTACAGTCCTGTGTTCAATGACAAATTCAAGCTGTCGCTGGAGACCAAATATCCCGACCTTGTTTTTGTCAGATGGACCGTCTGGAGCTCAATGGACGGCCGCAGCGCTGGAAACAACAACAGCGTGCAGTTGGCCACCTTCACAGCCAAACTCACCAGTCTATCACAGGGCTACCGCTATCTGCCCCTCTATGACAACAGCGGTGACCAGTATTTGTTCTCAACCTTGTTCTGCAAGATCTCCAAGGAAGACCCTTTTTCTGTCCAGCGTCTGGACCTCGAAGAACTTCGTGCTGAGCGTATGGGAATCTTCCGCCAGATCGGTCAGACCGTCTTCAAGCGCTCTTCCTCCGCTGAGCGCGAGAGAGATCAAGCGCAAGATCGCAGTGAGCCCGTAAGCCCCGAGGACAGGGACGGCTCACCCAACCTGACACCCACTGTGTCAACAACCTCCAACTCCTCATTCGTGCAATGAGTAACCACTCATGCAAATCACCTCCACTGCAGCTTCCACTCGTCCATCGACGTGGAACCAAGTTCCTATTCACCTCAGCATCTACCAAGGTTTCGGCGTTTGCTTTTTCTACTGCATCATATCCCACTCTTTGTTTTCATCTGTGCAATTTCGGATTTTCGATTACTGCGTCATTGCCGTGCCCACCTCAGCGATACCCCCCAAGTTGTTCCGATTATTTTCATGTTCACTGTTTCCCCTGTACTATCTTTTGAATTTTCTTTGTCCTGTCATATTCCTTGTGCTAGCCTCGGACCTGGAAGTCTGGCTATGTTTCAACCGCAAGAGTTGTATGCAACGATTTACCTGTCCCAGTCCGTCATGTTCTATTATTACCATCGCCGGTTGTTCCTTGTTTTGTGTTTCTTGTTTTCAGCTTCTCTGCACGAGAAGGTCTGGGGGTCTGGCCTTGGTGACACACTTCTTTGTCACCACCAACCATCATCGCATTTGCGGGAGTCAATTCACATGAGAGACATGCGTGGCTGGATCACCGGAGCAAGTCTTCACATCATTTATCATCATAGCCAACGGGTTCGGGAATCATTTCAGGGGGCTCTCATAGTTCGATCTGTCAATTCAATTCTACATTTAGGTTCCACTCATACTTTTGCCGTACAAGGCGACCTGTCCATAAAACAGATTTCTTCAACTCCATATTTCACCTCCGCCTCCATCTAGCTGGGTGTTTGCTGTTCACAACCTTGGGAAATGTATCTCTCGACTTAGTTCCACTGGGCATAGTGAAGGCGCCCTGTTGATAAAGCGGTCGCCGACCCTCGGGCGCCAATCCACCCGTGGGCATTACGCACGGGAGCCCATTCGCCGGGCACACCCGTGGACGCAATAAAAGCATGAGGTGCTTCGCTATGGATGACCATTGGAGTAAGAACAACCAAAAATGTGATGTGTTGGCCTCGGAACTTCCAAGGCTGAGGGTTGTAGAGTCGGCAAAATATAAACAGTGCAGGAGTCATTTGCCGGACTACCCCCGCTTCAAATTTCCACCTGGGCATCTCCCAACACCCAGCACCGACTCTGAATAATGTCACCCAAGCCTGTCGACGAACCGTTTGTGAAGGCGCTACCAAAGATCGAGGTATGTGACCACTATCACCGAAGACTGGAAATGATTGTCGCCGGTTTTGCTGAACCAACCAGCTGCACGCTCACCTCAGTGGCAGCATAAGCCGCCAATGTCTGCATGAGATATGGCTTCAAAAGAAGCAGAAAGACCCAGAATTCCCGGTAGAGGATCCGCTAGTGCTGATGCCACCTGGAAAGGTTGACTATACCCTTGAAACGTAAGGTTTTCAATCGCGAGCATCAAATCCATATACACACACGACCATCTTACCGACTTAGATTCTTCTCAACATTTTCCAAATTGACCTACCAGCTCTGCAATGACTTAGAGAGCTTGGTATATGCAACTCGCTCTGTTCTCGAAGATTTCCTCAACGATGGAGTTGTCTACCTTGAGCTGCGGACTATCCCCCGAGCCTCCCCCGGTATCAGTCGGGAGCAATACGTCGAAACAGTGCTTGGAACTATTGAAGCTTTCAGAAGCAAAAACTCAGGGATGGCTGTACTTTTGATTCTTGCCATCGATCGAGGCAACATGTCCGCCGTAGAGGCAGACGAAATCATGAACCTTGCGATCGAAAATAAGCCACGAGGCGTTGTCGGCGTGGATATCTGCGGAAATCCAACACGAGGCGATGTCAGCATCTTCAAAGACTCTTTCTCCAAAGCCAAGATGAATGATTTGGGAATTACTCTGCACTTTGGCGAAACTGCTGCGTCCGGCTCGCCCAGTGAGCTGGAAACGCTGCTTTCGTTTCAACCTGATCGGATTGGACATGTGATCCATGTGCCAGAAGATATCAAGAAAGAGATTGTGAGGCGCAAACTTGGCTTGGAGTTGTGCATGTCGTGCAACGTTCATGCCAAAATGATCAACGGGGGATTCCTGGACCATCATTTCGGGTACTGGCGACATGAAGACTGTCCTGTCATACTCTGTGTAAGTCATCTTATCCATGCAGCTCGAATTGCCGATGTGAGACTGATTTGAGACGACAGACCGATGACGTGGGGTTCTTCTGTAGCCTGGTGTCAAACGAACATCTCTTGGCAGCGCATCATTTCGACTTGAGTCGGGGGGATCTTTTGGCTATGACGTTCAAAGCGGTGGATGCGATATTTTCTGGCCAGGAGCATCGAGATAAAATTCGTCGGGATCTTGCTCTTTTTGCCAGTCGATGGGAAGTTGAGAGCTCGGTGGATTTTGAGCCCTTTCAAGTATCTCTCTGAAGCCCCCAGAAGGCCGACTAGAGTCATACCCGGCATATACCCGGCTAGTATGAGACGCCATCATATGTTTCGCTCTCAGAATAGTTCACTTTGCAATCACTATAGTACTAGTAGTAGTAGTACTTCTACTTTAGCATAGTGGGGTACACGTTATACCCGATTAGGATTCCCGCGCGCTGCTTTGAGCCGCAGATGAGATCACCGTGTCTTAGCGGTCAACTTCTGAGTCAATTCTTTCAACTATTTAACCCTCCAAGTTGTCCTGGTCTCTTTCTTGTCCATTCAACTTTCACTTGGGAATTGCAGGATTCCATCATGTCTTCCGGAGCCTTGCCGCAGACTCTCAAGTCCATTACCGCCACCAAAATAAACGAACTTTCCAAACAACGCGTCATCTTCGATCAACACAAAAGCGAGATTCTTGCTGCTTCCAAGGCAGCCAAAGACTTAGGGTCTCGTGCCCAGATATTACTCGATGGGATCTCACACCTAAAGGGATATCCCAAGGACAGTCTCGACATAGATGACGACGATCTTGACGCAGAGTCCGAGACAGACTCAGACATTTCATCATCGGAGCCAGGTGCAGGACGACTGCAGCGAGCGGATCATGCAAATATCCGACGCTTCCTCTTGCAAAGCCGATATGATTCCTCCATCTCACAGGAATCAATCCAGTCACGGATCTCTTTGCTTGAGAAGGATCTGCGGTACCTCGAAATCAAACATGAGCATGGCGCTTTCTACAGCAAATTAGTCACCGAGTGGCTATCGGAGTTGGATGGCAACACTGCCTCCACTGCGGATGAATCCGAGACAAGCCAATCCACATCTGACTCGGGCTTTGAACCTGTCGGCCGAACAGAGATGCATGAACAACGCGCAACCTGGGAGTCCCTTGTTTTCAATCCCGCCACTCATGTCAAAGAAGATGTTATCTCTTCCTACCTCTTAGGCCTTTTCGCGCAGACCAAGCTTTCTCGACAAGCTCTCAAAAAGATGCAGACGAGCATCCAGTCATTTGGTGCAGACCTATTGTCCAAGGGATCATGGTTCGATGTCCACACACTCAAATGGGTTTCTGAAGCGCTTCTCAAGGCCGACTTGCTGAACGACCAAAAAGCCGCGATTTTGAAGGAATTCATGCGCAACACGGAGGTCGCACAAGAAGTAGCCGATGTGCTCAACATGCGCCTTGCCTCGCTTGAGAGCTGGTCCTGGACCACGGATGCTGACGGAATTCCACTTGAAATGCGCCGTCAACTGAATGGAAAGTACCGCTTCTACATGGATGAAGATCTCCTAGATGCCCTCATGCTACAGTACTTGGGGACAAAATGGGCTGTGCAGTTGAGAAAGGTATTCGTGGAGTTCTTGCATTCCCGTGAATGGAAGCCGTTGCGTGATGATGTCTCGGAAGAGTACGTCAACAAACGGAAATTCAGTTTCGGTCGCCATGGCATCATAACCAAGGAGAAGATCAATGATTTGCGGCGTACTACCTACGAGAAGGAATACTTCATGAGTCAACTTCCCATGTCGGAGCAGGAAGGTGCGCGGGAGTACGACGCCGAAGATGATGATCAGGCCAAGAATCCCCTGGACACAAAACACTCACTCCTCCACCTCCTGATCACGGAGTCCGTTATCCATAAACACCAACATGGTGGATTTACTGCGCTTCGGTCGGACTTTGAATGGTTCGGGCCCTCGATGCCTCACGCTACCGTTTTGGCTGTTATGAAGATCTTTGGGTTCTCGGAAACCTGGCTCAAATTCTTCAAGACCTTCCTGGAAGCCCCTCTCAAATTCACACAGGATGGCGCTGAAGGGGCGGTTCAAATCCGCAAGCGCGGTCTCCCAATGAGTCACACACTGGGCGACTGCTTTGGAGAAGTGGTTCTGTTCTGCATGGATTACGCGGTAAATCAGCATGCAGACGGGGCGTTCCTCTATCGACTCCACGACGACTTCTGGTTCTGGGGCGCAGAGGACACTTGTGACAAGGCCTGGAAGGCGATGGAGAAATTCTCCCAAGTCATGGGTCTCAATTTCAACAAGGAGAAGACTGGAACAGTCCGCATGGGAAATTCGAAGGGTGAAAGAAGCTCAACTCTTCCACGTGGCGACATCAGATGGGGCTTCTTGGTTCTCGATGCCGCACAAGAACGGTTTATCATTGACCAAACCGAGGTGGACAAGCATATCGAAGAGCTCTCGCGACAGCTCTCATCCTGCAAGAGTGTGTTTGCCTGGGTTCAGGCTTGGAACACCTACTTTGGCCGGTTCTTCACCAACAACTTTGCCAAACCAGCCGTGTGCTTCGGGCGCGATCACATCGACATGGCTATTTCGACACTGAACCGCATTGAGCGAACACTATTCAACAAGGGCGAGGATGCCGAATCCAACAAGCAAGTCAGTGGTGTCGCCGAATACCTTCGTGCTGTGATTGGGGAGCGATTCAGTATCCAAAACCTTCCTGACGGCTTCTTCTACTACCCCGTCGAACTGGGTGGCCTGGGTCTTCTCAACCCGTTCATCAGACTGCTTGCCATGCGCGAGAACATCAAGACAACACCTCGAAAGCTGCTCCATAAAGCCACCCTGAAAGAAGAAGTGGAGTACGAGACCGCGAAAGAACATTTCAAGAAGAACGGCGGTGCAGACTCAACAGGGTCTGGTGTTGACTATGGACCCGGTGATTTTATGTCCTTCGAAGAGTACACCCGATACCCTGAAACATTCAGTGGTCCTCTGAGGGATGTATACAACCAACTTAATGAGGTACCACAGGAGAAGAAGGTGCCCTTGACGCTCGGCTTCAGCAGGGAGCAAGATTCTCTCGGTAATGACGTCTCCCAAAAGGCTTCCATCACGGATAGCTGGGGAGGAATGACACCTTATTGGTGTTGGGTGGCGGAGTTGTATTACGAAGAGATGGTTCAAACTTACGGTAGCCTGGCGGCCGTTAACCGTGAGTTTATGCCTCTTGGCGTGGTGAAGACCCTACGGGAGGGTCGATTCAGATGGCAAGGATGAGTACTGCTCCTTGCCGGTGAATCGCTATCTTTATGCCGTCTATGACTTACCTTTCAAATACAAATCACTTACATTTTGTTGTTCCCATGGCCATCACCGTAATGCAGATTCGGCATAGCTTCACATCTCAACCCGTGTACTATTCAATTGCTAGTATTCTTCATATGACCTAGACCATTCTCAGTTTCTCGTCAAATCAGAGATGGTACCTAGGTAGGTAAACCCAGGCAGGTTTGGTGTATGTTACCCACAGGCTCGACTGTTGTTCCCCAAGCATATTCCCGGTAATTCGGCAAGACTGTTGAATCTCATCGGTATTTCAAAGCTAAGTCTGTCTAGTGTCTATTCTCACAGCCTTACATCCTCGAACTCCTGATGCTATACTCGCAGACACCCTTTTCTCACTTCTTCAATCCCATCCATCTCTCACGATCCCCTCTCCCAAGGGCTGCTGTCATCATGATGTGCACGTCGCCGCGACCAATTTAGGACGGGACTTTCAGCACAAATACGTCCACGGAGGATTTCCACTGGTCTAATGTTATGTTTCAGCATTATGAGTGGTCGCCGTCCCACTATAGCCCAAATCGGTGGTTCGAACCTGACCTTCTGCGATGGTCCTGATCTGGCGGCGGCGCATCACCACAGTTCACTCAGTCTGGTAGCCATGGCTATTCAAGCACTATCTCTGCATCCTGGCCAATAATGTAGTATCCTACCAGCCAGATTATCTATATTCATGGTACTCAACCCGATGCTGCGAAGAGACGAGCGCTCTTGCTATAAGAAGGGCCTCTGGAGCTCTTCATCCTCTCCTTTTTTCTTTCTTCTACAACTATTTCCTCTATATCCTCGAACACCGACGTCACTCTGTCATCAGCTGTGACGAGACTTCGGTACAACTTTATACCTCCAACTACAAAGGGTATATCCTGCACACTGATGGGCCTTCCATCAGTCGTCACAAATCAATACAGCCTTACAACCGAAACTCAAGGCTGTTCACAAAAGCGCACGATGACATCCGTGCCAACTCACCCCCCTTCCGGCTTCAACTGGCTGGAGGCCATCTCCGGAGACAACGGAAACCTTGATCCACGGCAAGTATCCATGGATTCATATATCCGAACTTGTATTGACAGTCCAAATAGGACATATCAAGTCCACCAAACAACGGCTCCCCACAAATTCGAGGGCCGTATCTACGAAAGCCACCTCTATTCGGCTGCAGGGCAAACGGATTACAACCGTCCCAACTCACCGGACTCCGAAGAGATCATCTTCCAGGACGCCAGATTAGAAGATTGGGTCGACACAAACCAACAAATCGCCCAATCAAGCGGCCTTAAACCACCGGAGGACTGCGAGACAAGCTCGATTCTCAGCACGGAGACGCTGATGGAGGATTCGAAATTCCCCCTACAACTCGAGGCGGAACCTCCATACCCGACATCAATCCACAATAAGTCGGCTTGGATCGCCTCCAACAACACCAAGCTCTATCGAGAGCCACCAACAGAGATGCCATCGCTGTCTTATGGCGATGAAGACACATCCGAGGAAAGCGAAACCAACAGCTGCGACGACGCGCTGTTCCCATTCTGTCAACCGCTGCGAGCACAGACAGCATCCCCTTCGACGGGAAACGCCGACTCTACGGAGTGCGAGCCACAGTGGCTTATTCCACTGGCGGGGCAGGTCATTTTCCACAAGACCTGCGGTGCGATTCGGAAAATTCGGAGGAAATTCTCTCGTGGCAGCGTCAAGGACGGCCATTGAGCTTTGTGGGGGATGACAGGGACTTGATGCCCTTCTTTTGTGGTGCCCGATGGGCTTATAATGTTAATACATTCGAGGTACTCTTTCCAGCTGGGGGATTCATCCCAGAGGGTTTTATCTCAGTTGGTTTTAACGAGGCCTCGACTCATGAGTCATGTCTTGAAAATAATCATGTCATAACAGTTGATATTCTTTGTCCTGTTACATTCAGATGAGCAATATACCCATTTTCATACTCATCGAAAGATCCAGTAGGCACATATAGATGAAACTGTGTCGAAGTATAGCCCTAAAGTCCCGAAGGTCGATGGATTTGTAGACTGATTACGTCATTCTGTCGAGCGGAATCCATGGATCTGCAACGTTCTGCTCAGTTCAAACTCCGTCTTGGCAACCATCGCATATCAACAGTGGGATTTTTATTGGGATCTGCAAGAAAGAGAGAGAAAGAGATCGCTGTGTTGACACCCATCCTGATCGCTAAGAAGCAGACCTGCTACAATGTCGACGACGGACAGGAAACGTGTGTCTATTGCATGCACATCATGCCGGAAAAGGAAACGAAGGGTACCAAATGTGCTACAGTCATTGAATGGGATCCAGGCTGAACTGTAATGTCTAGTGTGATGGTCAGAAACCCATATGTGGTTTGTGCGAGAGGGAGAGTCGTCAGTGTGAATATACTCATCACCTTGAGAAGCGAAAGTCAGTCAAATCAACTATTACTCATGTGTACATTGGAGTATACTAAGCATAGCAGGCCTCCGACAAAATGTTATATCCACGCTCTTCACGCTAGAATTGCGCTCTTGGAGGACCAGCTTATGCAATACAGGTGCAGTGCTAATGACAGGCCAGCACCATCTAGCATCTTGGAAGACCCAAAGTCACACCTCTCCGAGGACTCCCCTCAGCAAGACTCTCTGCATCTCCCATTTTATGGACGAGAATCCAGACTATTCAGTGCATATGGTCACTTCGGTCTCCTTGCCAAATTTGATGGGGCTACAAATACATCTCAACAAAAAATCACTATCATCGATGGTGTGCTGCTAATAGATACATTTCCGGTATTCCTTGAGCCCAGTCTTCAAGGTCAACTCCTGGACGAGTTTTGGACTTGGCAAAATACCTGGCCGGTCTTAATCCATGAGCCTCTCTTCCGAAAAGACCTCCTTGAGAAAGGTGCCAACAACTACAGCACGCCTACCTTACTGGCAGCCTTGCTAGCTTTGAGCACGAACGCTCATTTAAGTGGCCCTAGATCGTCTGATTCTGGTCTTGGGGCGTCAGCAAAGTCGCTCCTCGAGCATGCAAAATCGGCAGTTCAGGAACAGATCGAGCATCCGACCCTCTCGCTTGTTCTATCAGCAGCCCTCATTTCTCAGTCTGAGCTTTCGATGGAAAACATGGGCCTGGCATCTCAATATATCGGTAAGTAACTCTGCACCACATTCGAAAATTTTCCTGATCCATTTAGGTGTTGCTATTCGACACGCGATGACTCTCGGGTTTCACGTCCAAAATCAAGAACTTGATGCCCCGAATCGAGGCTCACAAGATATAAGTCAAGCTCGTTCAATTGCTTGGGCAGGCATATTGATGCTGGATAGGTAATTGTTAACCTTCTGATTGTACACGGAAGCTTACATTTTCAGACATATAAATCGAATTCTTGGCCAGGCAAGTACCATTTGGGAATCAGACATGGACCCAATATCAGTGCCAATACTCTCGAGTATGGAGTATTGTCTATGGCCTACTTCAGGAGATCCAACAATACCGAAGTTGACTTCGTATTGTATGTCAAACTTTCAATTATCATGCGATCTTCTACAGATGGTCACACCAGCCTTGGAAAAAATGTTTGTTCCATCCCCAATGACAGATCAATCTATTGAGGATAGCGACTAATCATTCCTGAATTAGCTATGCTTTATCAAGCTCTATTTCCTTCGAAGAGAAGGAAGACCAAGTGACAAAAACACACGTTGCCATGTCTGAGTTCTACAACAATCTGCCTAGTCCACTTAGGCTACCATCCACCGCTACCAAACAATTGCCACCACATGTATACCAATTCAGGTGCGTATGAAATATCCATGACATGCAATGACACATGATTAATTGTGATATGCAGTTTATTGTACCAGTCCTTGAAAATATTGCTTCATCGCCCATTTATACGTGGACATCCATCCATGGAATCATTGCAGACCTTGCAGGACTCGCATTTGGTGCATCTCCAATCAGCCACGTTTTCTGCTATTAGGGTGTCGTATATCATCAATTCATTCAGAAACTTCTACCCCTTGGTGAGTTATTTCCCCTTTCCTCTGCCCATAAACCATACCTTTTGCTTCCTTCTATAGATACTGACCCGTGAAATAGCACCGTTTATCTCCCATGGCTGTCGAGGGTCTAGTTTCGGCCTCGCATATTCATCTATTCAACTCCAAGTCGAGAGATGAAAAGCTGGCCAGGCGCTCTACCAGCCTCTTCGACTTGAATCTGCACATTCTCAAATTGATGACTCCACCTGGGAAACAGAGCAGCCGAGTAATTGACACTCTTGTATCTCTTGCATCGGAAGGGAATATGCCACCATTTTCTCATTCTGATGCAAATTTTGCACAGGATAGTGCATTGCAACCCAGCTCCATTGATTCTGGGAACATATCTCACGCTCCACAAGTCATTGCTGCTGCCCCAAATGACTCGATCCGGGCAACGGGGTTCGAGGATCCAACCATTCTATCTGATATTTCACTTCATCCAGAGCCTGATTTCGATTGGCTTGACCTTCCACTGAATGGTCAGCTTTTCTCTGACAAGGATTTTGCTGATATGCTATGGGATGATCCTTGTGATCAGGGCCATGTACACTGCGGGATGAACGAGCATTACTTTTGACCTCACTTTAGGATGATGAGTCAACAATGGAACAACATTGGGCTTGAATTTACGTATTGCCTATAGATCGATATCTTTGTCAAAATCAATTCGTTAGACTGTCTAGGTGGGATTTCTTTCCAGCCAGTAGTCTCCGGAGACATTTCCTCTCGTTTTCCATGGTTGAATACCTAGTAAAGCCCGGGCTAGATGATTAAGTGGTGAGAACCTTGAAAAAAGGGGAGTGACCCCCGGGGCTTAGACATTTAAATGTCTACGGGTGACTCATATATCAATAGTCATAGCCCAGCGCCTAATCGGTTCCATAA